ACCACCCTAACTGCTTAACGGTGTCGGCGGGTGGTATGGGATCTGGTTGGGTGGTTGACGGGTGGACTGTAATAAAATGGGAACCGGCCCCGTGCTTGAAAATCCGCTGGCATGAAATATGTGTACTATTGCTGTCGATCTCGGCCTGGATGCCTGCAATCTCGGATGGTTTAGGCCGGCCTCGGTGGCTACTAGGGGACTATTAATGCTCCTTGGACCAATGGTTAGTGATGTTCTCTTTTCGGACGGCATACTCACATTTACGGTAAATCACGACCTGAAATTCGACGTTGGTGGAAAAAAACTCGCTGGCGTTAGGGGTAGTATGGGATATGCTGGAAATGGAAATATATATCCTGGAATATATGGGCGGATTCTGGATAATTGGAAAACTGGATCGCTGGAACTTGGTTAATTGGCCTTGGAATGAAAATGGGAACATGAATGAAATGAAATGAATCACCCCCTGAATTTTCACCTCGAATAATCCTTGTTATGATATAAACCCTATTGGGTCTGTGGTGGTGGTTGTCATACTGTGATGCATCACGGGCGGGCGGGGTTGGCACCCCATCAAAAAAACTGGTCAACTTTGAACCCCTGAAAACACCTTTTTTGGTGGTGGGAATGCTTTAAAATTCGTTCTGGGCATAAAACGGAGGGTGTTGCCAAACATATAAAAATATGAGCTGCCCCGGAGGGCAGAATGTAAATCCATCGGTGTCATGAAGCTTAAATCCATTGGACCCCGACCCACTTTTATTTCCCCATACTAGAGCCGCTCACCCTAAATCCATCGGTGTCCAATGGATTTACCCCTATGGGTTAGATCTGACCTTCCGCCCTTATGGGCTCTTAGATAAATTATCTACCCTTACACGAGATAGTCGGATAGCACGGGCTAGTATAATACTGAGCAAACAACGAACTTGCCGCTTAAGTTTGTCTTAGTAACTTATATCATATTTATAGCCTCTGCATTTGCATGAAGACATGGGGAAAACCATACAGAATGGGGAAAACCCATGCCAAGACATATCTAATATAGGTAAACCCCCAACTCCGAAGCCACATTCTGTCAATAGCCTTCTACTAAGTGTAGCATTAGCAAGACAGGTGATCATCCTCGTCCCAGCGAAACGTACGACATGACATCCTACGCCCTCACGACATTTCCTGTGCTATCAATGTTGAAACTTTGTGCTGGAGGAGTATGATCGTCCTCATCACGAAGACCGCAGTTCCCATTAGGTGTGACGTAGTAGTCGCCATTAGAGTCTGTGGCACAGACTATTTGAAATGTGGCCGCTACGTTTGCGGTCAGAAGCCTGTCAAAAATAATTAATTGAAAATGAAATAGATGTGGTTCATCCTGACGCTAGAGGGCGAAAGAGACCTACAAAAGAATAGACAGTACGGCATTTTTCGACAGTTTCATGACTGCGGGCCTAGGTTAGAAGGCAGGATTGTTATTGTTTGCGGACGAAGTTGTTAGTACTAGGTGAAATCGTGGGCTTTTGACTAGTTATATACATCAGACCTATGTCAAAGAATTGATTCTAGACGAGACTATTGGAGAGAGTGCATGTTATTTACAGTTTAGCCAATTATTAGAATGCTAATGGGAAAACTATTGAAAGTGATAAGCCTATTCGGGGCAGATTGCGTAGAACTAATATGGCCTTCAGCCGCGCCGCCAGCTAGAATGTGGCGGATGCGGACCAGATCGACAGATCGTCGATTACCCCCTATTAAAGGAAAATATGGGATAATGCTTCCAGATCTCGATCGGCGGAGCGACCCAGTAACTTTGAACTACTCTGTCTAGCCCCACTATATGCTACGTTCGCTATGGTATTGCTGCTCTTCTTTCTCTCTTTTATTTTATATTATTTTTTACTACTAGTTCAGATTACAAACTCTCTAAACTTGGTTCAGATATTATATATCAATTAGCTTATTATTACGATATCTCTCCCATGAGGTGATTCCTATGCCGTAGCCTTTTTGCTACGTGGCCCAGTCAGGTTTCTGCCAAAAAGGTGGTGGCCTTTCGGCGGTGAGTCGCAACCCGCCCGATGGCGCATCTAGATAGGAACGCTACACGCGTGTTATAAGTTCCCTGTTCCCTTCCCTTACTACTTTTACTTCTTCTCTAAAACCGCTAGATCGGCTAGGGATCGGCAGTCTCTCGATAGAGTCTCCACGGAGAGGCCGGCCCGAACACACATCCTCGTATTACTCCTCTTTCATGTCACACAAGATCAGACTTCAGCTGAGTTAGCTTGTATCTACTACCATGTACCCTGCCCGCCGGGTAGGAAGCCATCAAGGAGTAGACATCGCCAAAACCCACAAAGCCCAAAGCCCAAAGCCTAACCCAACCCAACCCAACCCAACCCAACCCATAAATGGGTTAGGTTTTGGGCCCGATGCTCGGCCCATTGTTGGGGCCCATTGGGGGCCCACTAGTCTACAGACAGTGCAAACATTTACTAATTTGAGTAAAAAATCAAAATATACAGTCTTTTTAAGCATTTTTCTACATTAGTCAGCAGATTTATGAGCGCCAAGACCAGTTTTATGCAAGGTTGGGCTTTAGGCCCGACTCTAGGCCCATTTTCAGGTTTTGGCGATGTCTATCAAGCAGAGCGTATATTAAGTAACTTAAGAAGGAGAGGTTCTTGAGGGGTCCTAAAGAAACAGACTTGGACTTAATAAGACTCGGTAGTTTTCTTCTACCTGATTGATAGGCCCTCTGCCCTGCAAGTAGGTACTTACTTATGTGGTAGAAGCCTAACAATCTGGTAAGAAAGAGTAAATCAACCAAGTCAAATTCTGGCAGGACAGATTCACGAGGAATCTACACGAGACTATATCTAAGACACTTTTATAGATAAGGTCGTTTTGGAATTAAATACGAGGAGAAGTAGAGAGAGCGAGAGAGAGAGTAGCTTGTGTAACCTAAGGATAGGGTTTCATATATAGTGTGACTATCCAGCTAAGGACCCTATTCAATCCTCGACCTTCAACAGGAAGACCGCCGTTTCGGAACGGAGTTAGTTCAGGCGGTATACTAAAGGTGGGGATGGCTTCATATCAGCAAACCCCGTGATATCATCAATATTGAATTATAGACCTAGGTATTAGAAGGGCAGAGGGAAGAGCTACATGATGGGCATAAGAAGAGTACTATACGTAAGAATTATTACGTCAACCTAGGTTAGGCTAGATAAGTATTATAACATATCGTTGATATGCATTAACGTTACACTACGTGCGGAAATATGATAAGCCACTTTTCCAAGGTTCATCTATTTGTCATTACGAAAGGGAAATAATCGCTAAGACTTCTATTCGTACAGCGTGCTCTACATGGGATCACAGAGTAGAGTAACACTATACTCTCCTCCATAAAACTCATAGTTGCCGCTAAAGGTTTATAGTTCAGAAACCAAGGCATAGAACTTAATTTCCTGTGGCAAGATGCAAGATCATACCAAAAGCATTTTGCCATCGCCTCTCATTTTAATGTAGGTTACTTAATATTTTATCCGCGCTAAGGTCTTGGCGGTGGGGTCGGGAAAGAGTTCTCAGAGTGTATTAGTTAAGCCGATTTCGAAAATAAGTGTAGTAGAGACTGACCAGCCTACGCTGAATATTCTCTACCGCAACGTTCTTCCTAAATCGGTAGCTTCCTTTGACGCTATTTTGTTGATATAACTTCCTTAGGTATACACTGAAGATAGGAGAACGAAGTAAATAGGCCACGATAGATACAGTACGTTATCCGGCCCAGTGTTATCGAATTATCCGATTAAAGTACTATACGTCAATGTAGATTGCCCAATAGAAAGGGAAGTCCGAAGATTCATTCATTCTTATTAGAAGAACTACAGTGCGACCCTATACTGCCAGAGATTTCCCCTCACGAGAGATCGAATCTTTAATATGTATACTGTACAACCTACGGAGTATATAGACAAGATTGTCGATCAGATTAATAGTCACTTTTAGCAGAAAAGTCACCTGAGTATTAATTTAGTTAGGCTACCAGGCAGGCCAAGTTACTTTCAGCTCTCTGCGTTGTATTACTCCACTAAATTGACTTAATTTAAAATACATTCTTAACTTCAAGATGGCTTTCTTCATAATAACTTTCTTCGAAATGCGTTTTTAAAAATGACCCTACACCCTACCTATCTTGCTATGCATATCCTTCACCCCTTACTGTGGGAATATATAACTATTCGTCATCGCTTATGGCGATAGTAATATACTCCTGCCGGTGTTTCCATGCTTGTTCCTCATCACCATTTCCAATCTGGCTATATCGCCGTTTACGTGCCACTGGCGCCTCGAACCCTAGGAACTTATGCCACTCTAGACTAATTCCCCGGAATCGCATCCGCTTACCCTCTATCGCCCCTGGTGCCTCTTTGAGACCACGTGCATAGACAGTCCCAGCCACCCATGACCCATGCGCGGCCTGTTTATCCACAGTTGGGTCATCGAGTCCATAGTCACGCCGGAATCCACCACATTTAAGGTGGACCTAGGAAATACCAATTGCAGCATGGCGCTAGGTAAGCACATTAAGCTTGGTGTGTAGGTATGCCTCACCTTGCGATCGCATGATGACTCCGAGACATGCAGCATCCCAATGCCCCTTAATCCTAGGCCAGAAGAATGTGGATCGAGTGCGACGGTCGCTTTAGCGGGCAAACATATCAGCTTACTCAGTAAACGGCTAGATCAGCCATAGATAGTAGACCACAAGCTCGCTCACGACTTGCGGGAGGTAACGGTAGATGATCTTGATAGAATTCGTCGTGCTCTAGGACTTATGGTAGCTAGTGACAATGCAAACAAGCCCATGTTCAATAAAGATATTCCGATGCCGCCCTTCTAGAGTATTGCAATGCCGGATAGACACCAGCTCGGTCGCGCGTGCGGGTTAGCCGCTAGTCATATGGACCAGTAGTAAAATCCGCTGCAGGAACTCATCAACCCAGTCAAGGTATGCCTCTAGCAGTCCTATATTCCACTTGATATCGGTATCACGCTCGTGCTAGACCGCTGGCCGGACCGTAATGAAGTCCTTCCAAAGCGACTCAGTCGTCAAAATACGATCTAGCATCTAACGTTCGCCAGTGGTAGGAAGAAGCTGGCGGTTCTTCTTATGTCGGAGAAAATTCCAGCCCCGTTGGTTATTGACTGGATCGTCACTAAGCTAATGCAGCAGTAGTTCAGGTATTTAGTCAGCTCGTGATTCGTCTTCATCTAATAGGAACAGCCACTCAAGCTCATATTATGCAAGCTCGACCTAGGTGCGGATGAATTTAGTAAGTGAATCCATAGTGAGTTAGAGGTCGCGGTAGTGTAGCGTCTGGTGATCATCACTCCAAACAAGAAACCCAAGACTAGTAGACGTATTTTGGATCCGTTTGCCGTAGGTCCGGAGTCGTGTGATCCAGCTGAATGGGTATCGAACACCATACATCAGGAAACGGGCTCGCATTTCTTCAAGCGCATCTCCTGGGTGCTTTACTTAATGACTATCGGCAAGATTAACCGCACGTTATGCGACCAACATCTGTGAGATTTTGACCAAAGCGGAAAGATGCGTTGTATAGCTAGCGGGATCGTGGTAGGTTTGGTTCTTACTATCGATCCCGAGAGCCGCCATGAATGCTACTAGTGGACTCTTAAAAAGGTCACCCCGGATTTCATGGTCGAGAAGTGCAATCGAGAGGTTAAGGCAGGCTCGGTCTAGGTCCTCTAGAGCCACGCTCGCCGGCGTTTAAGTCTGACTGTAGGACTGGGGCGTAGTAGAACCAATTGTAGTATTTTGCGTGGAAACATGTTGTTCTTCCTGGAGAAGCCTCTGGCAGGAGGATTGAACGTCATCGATGGCGCTTAACTGCGACGTTGTAAACTGGTGGCGAAGCTGGATCGGCTGGTCAGGCTGACTTGTGCGATACGCGAAGCTTAGAAGACGGACCCAGATCTGGCAGTAGCTATTATAGGTTTTAGGGCGTAGCTTGATTTGAATCGGACGCTCCCAGATAGCAGGCTTCTGAACAAAGCTGTTGATGCGGACTTGATCGAACTCATTAATACGATGGGAGGAGATCGACTCAAATGCTCGATTGACTAGTCTTTTCACGCTGCGCTCCATAGCGACAAGGATTGGCTCCATCACAAAGTCTGGTAGGTATGCGAGCTTGGCGACGTCAAAGAATCCATGCCCTCGGATGTACTCGGGCCATCGGGTGAGCTCAAGCCATGGAGAAGCCTCTGTCACGTCATTTTCAGTTAGGGCAATCCGATCCTCTGCATCGGCAATCTCATCAGAGCGGAGGAGCGCGAACCCCACCTGAGCTTGGATAAATGTAGCTTCGTCAATTTCTGGTACCAGTGTCCGCGTTTCTAGTAGCTCCTCTAGATCTGGCGTGACAACGAAGTAGTAACTATATGTCCCAAATGGAGCTAATCGCTGGCAGTACACAGGGTATGGGACCGTTAAAGGATCTATTTTCTGGTTGGCTCTTCGCCTTCCACGGCGAGCAACCGAACCACCTTATTCAGAGGTACGATGAGTCGTTATACGATGGTTCCTCATAGTGCGAACTGTGCGAGCCGCATATTGACAGCTTTCGACTGGACAGCAGTAGCCACAATGGACCTGTAGTCCAGGGATTGGTCGGGAGCTTAGGTATGGTCGGATAAAAGGCTCAGTGTCTGAACTCCACGTGTCAGCCTTGACGGCTTCACTATGGATCACCGCCCGCTGTGCCTTAGTACGAGCAGAAGAAGAACGCTTATGCTTTAAGGCTAGATGGGTGATAATTGTTTTAGCATCCACTACATATTGGCATGTCTTGCAGATCCAGAACCGATAAGTGGTGTTATAAGTAAAGAATTCTGCAATCAAGTCCATAGTGGTAGGGTAGGAGTAAGAAATAGGTAGAAGAAGAGAACTAAAAAGTGCTAGATAGCAGAGGAATATATCGTAGATTTGGAACTATTGAACTAGGGAAGTTTTATAAGATAGGGGTTAAAGGCTGGTTAGCTTGTCAATGTGATGGAACGAAGCCCCTGAAAATGAGGCTGAGCTTAACCTCGTGACGTGTAGATTAGGGTATGAATGTAAGATCTTTTTTTTTCCATGGAGATTAACGTTGGCTAAATACCCTAAACTTATAAGGTTGCCTGAAGTATTATGGGTTTGGCTTTAACTCCCACCCTTTATTAATGTCAGAGATCAATGATAAATTAGATATACATATTCAATATCCGTACTTTTTAAGGTTCATGATTTGTGATATATGTTAAAGTATTCACCATCGATTATATATTGAATCTCTAGAAGTATTCTCAGGTTTAGTGTTTGTAAGCTTCTTGTCTTTTCCATCAGATTTATATTATTCTTTTACTTATTCCTAGGGAATAAAATCTCATTGGAACTCCCTATAATTAAAGACCTCACAGATTTTTGACGGGGCGGGATGCGGGCTAAAAGGACACGCACCACCAGCGACGGGTACACGCAGAACGGGCCAATCAGGATGTCAAGAAATGCATTGGGGGTCGAGTGCATTTAACCACTACAGTATAGAGATAACGACCGACGGCTGGTCCAATACTAGAGCCAGATCCAACACTAGATAGAATCCTATAACTTCCTCTGTTAGGCTATATGGCGACTGCTTCTCACTGTCCTGAAATGTGTGCGAGATTGAGCGCGCTAATGTTCCATTTTGACGAAGTTTGGGAGATGCTGACAGGCTCTCCGTATCACGACGCTCGCCTTGTATTTTAGCGCTTTTCGCTCTGGACTTGAGATACGCGGCGGGCAATGAAAGTCGCTGTGCCTCTCTAACCAGATATCTTCACTACCATGTGCTATTTCAATATCCGAGAAAGATTCTAAACCCCTTGAAACATGCTTTCATCCGTACATATCGTTTTCATGGGTAAATAAAAATGAATATTCACTATTTCACACTTCTTACTCCTGACTAGCTTGAAATTGCAGCTCATCCAAATGATTAAGCCATCTCTCATATTTGTATATTTTCTTTGTCAAAAGTAACAAACAAGAAGTGTCCGAACAAAGGCATTGAACTCACGACTTAATAAAGTCAAATAAATCTTTGTTGACTTCATCAACATTGATATTGTGAATCGCATGTGATCCGCCCTTGTAAATCTTCAGCTTGCCTTGAGGCAGAAGTTTTGCCGACTTCAGTCCAGCTGCCTCAATGGGAACAACTTGATCATCATCCCCATGGAGGACCAGTACAGGAATGTTTATCTTTTTCAGATCCTCCGAGAAATCGGTCTCAGAGAAGTCTTTGATTGAGTCATACGCTGATTTGAAACTGGTATTCATCCCCTGCTGCCACCAGCTCCGAATCTGCCCTTCGCTTTTCTGAACACCAGGTCGGTTGAAACCAAAGAATGGTCCGCTGGGGACATCCAAGAAGAACTGCGCACGGTCTTTACGCATTGCCTCTCGGAACGAATCGAAAACTGACTTATCAGTTCCCTCAGGATTGGCACTGGTCTTCACCATCTGCGGAGGCACAGCGCCGACAAGAACGGCTTTCTTAAAACGACTTGTGCCGTGCTTTCCAAGGTAATGGGTGGCCTCCCCCCTCCATGGGAATGGCCAACCATGACTGCGTCATTGACTTTTAGGTGTGTAAAAAGCTCATCGAGGTCGTCGACAAAGGTGTCCATATTATTTCCATACCAGGTCTGAGTAGATCGTCCATGTCCACGCCGATCGTGCGCGATGACACGGTAGCCGTGGTCGGCTAGATAAACCATTTGGCTTTCCCAATTGTCACTGCTCAGTGGCCAACCGTGAGAGAAGGTGACAATAGCGCCTTCGGGGTTGCCCCAGTCCTTGTAGAAGAGCTCGGCTCCATCTCTAAGTTTTAGATGCGGCATGATTAGGTGAAGCTTGCTCAATAATCGGTAAAACGTATGGTTTCAAACTTCAAAAAAATGTGCTCGGGAAGAGATTTGGTGCGTATAATAGAGACAGAGATATAAGTTATATATAGTGTGGCAGCCAAAGTATAAGTGTTGGATGTGCTCTCATCATTCATTACGTCATTCATGCCACAGACAGGAATATAAGTTACATATAGTGTGGCAGCCAAAGTATATGTGTTGGATGTGCTCTCATCATTCATTATGTCATTAATGCCACAGACAGGAATATAAGTTATATATAGTGTGGCAGCCAAAGTATAAGTGTTGGATGTGCTCTCATCATTCATTACGTCATTCATGCCACTAACGTAATTCACCACCGAGCGGATCATCCCGGTCGGCCGGATCACCCCAACCAAATTATGATAATTAAACCAGTATAATTCAACCAAAACAACGTAATATTAAGTATCTAAGCTATTTAATCAAATTTGGACAATGCGTTCTCTTATGACCCTGGATACCACAATTCGAGCATTTTGGTGGCGCCCTAGATCGTCGTTCTTGTGCTTCTGGTTGACCGGTTGGCTGGTCGAATGGAGCTTGAAATCGAGTATTTCTATCATTTTGAGCTAATTTTCTAAGCTCAGCGATAGAGAGGCCTTCTGGAGCTGCTATCTGGAGCTTAGAAAGTGCCTTTTTTTGCTTGATTTTCTCGTGACTAGCGCGTAAGAGCTCGTTTTCTCGAGCTAGAAAAGCCGTTGATTGCATCGTGATTTGGCACGCTTTAAGCACCTGGTCTATAGCGGAATTCACTAGGCTTGGTGGGCTCTTAGAGCGCTGTTTTAAGAGCTTTTTAATCGAAGAAGCTTGCTTCTAGAGCTGCTTATAATTCGATGGCGTCTTAGGCTCCCACGCGCCACTACTTTGGCTTCCTTGAGATGGTGGTGGTATAGGTGTCCGGAGCTGGATATCAAGCTTTGAAATAACTCGATCTAGGTTATATGGAACTAAACTAGTTGCCGAGAAGCTATTCTTGATCGTTTCTGCTTTAAAAGCTTCGATTCGAGTGGTCGGAAAAGCGTTAAGAAAGTCTATCTTATCGATATGGTTCTAACCACGCCGCATCATATCCTCGACGCACTTCCTATACGCGCGCTTTAAGACCGCAAAACAACCCACGTCGAGCGGTTATAAAAGATGTGATGAGTGCGCTGGCATGTAGATTAGAATCACATAATTTTGAGAGCAAATTTCGTCGAATTTTGGAGTTAGATGGCTTCCATAACCATCTAGAACTAGAAGTCGATATATCCCCTTTAACCTTAAGAAAGTCGATAGAAGAAAGACCTTTTTAAGCCAGCAAAGTCCAATTTCGTCTAAGGTCTATCTATTTAGACTAACCTGGAATTGCTAGTCGTCTAGAAGTATTAAATTTTCAGCCTAGCCTCTAATAAGTATTTTACCCTTAAAGATAACCATTAGAGGAAGGCTATATCTAGACGCGCCTATACACTTAATCGAGGTCACCTATTCACGATTTCTAGGCTATAAAAGAGAGCGTCGACCATAATATTCTACTCTTATAACGACTTTTGTGGTCGCGGTTAAGCCCATCGCGAAGCCTGTCTCATCAAAGTTATAGATATCATCTTGCTAAATACCATACTTAAGGATCGTCTTTTGAACCAGGTCGAACCATTCCATAATGATTCTTAGGTCCTCGCACTTTGCCCGCTTATAATCATAGCGTCTAGAGAACCTTATATCGAGTTCTAGGTGTCGTTTAATATATTTTATAACCCAATTTTTGCCGACGGTTTAGATCGGGGTTATTCTACGTGTCGCGAGTAAGAGATTAGCCATTTCTTACACCATAGAAGGTCGTGGTGCTACTCCACGTATATCCATAGAAATCACCTAATTCTTAAGCGAATTCTCCTCAATTTCAGTCAATTTAAACGAATTTACGCGTAATTCGACGCGGTTTTGACGTCCGTGAAGACGCGCGTATAACGTTGTATATAGGATATTATATATGCATGCTGCTTTGCGAATTGACAAATTTTCCTGCTTTTTGATAGCCTGGATAGCAAGTAAGATATTGCCTTCTTGTTGTGTCAATTTTTGACGATTTTGGGAGCGAATTGGTGGCATGGTGGTTGGTGGAAGAAAGATGGTCTAATTAATTAAAGCGTTTTGGTTGGGGTGATCCGGCCGACCGGGATGATCCGCTCGGTGGTGAATTACGTTAGCTAGTTTAACAGATAGTGACCGATTGAGGTATAGACCGGTTATCTTGTCTCGAATAGTTTGTCACCCCGATCTTATCTCACGTCATACTTTCGTTGGCGCCAAAAAGGCGCGAGAACTAGTCGGTCCGTCAATCTAGCCAGCCTCGCTGTGAGAGTGTGTAATATTCGATCTTCCGGAAATGACTTGACATTACTAGCATTGCAAATTATCCGTTCTTGCGTCAGACTCAGCATACAATGTAGCATGCGATCTCAATTGTAACATCTCATCTGGGAAACTTCTGGGCCAACTGCTCATTTCGAAGGGGGAAGCTAACGATCAAAACCTTTGGGGCATAACAACCGTTTTCAAACAATTTCCCTCGGAGCTGTACACCCAGACTCTCTCTCCGGAATTTTCAAGGTAACGGATGGTCCCAGATCGGAGGGGCGAATGATAGAATTCAACCGCTGATGGTACTAGGAGTTAACACCGTTGATATACTAAAAGGAGTCATTAAGCCAGGTGGCTTTCTAATTTTTTGGTTCAATAAGAGGCACTGAGTCTACCTTCTGCTTTACTTCGGGGAATGTGACGCCGATGCAGGAAGGTTGTCCGACAGGGCGATCACGGCTAGTCTTCACTGAGAGTTCGATGATCTGTGGAGCCTGGGGAGCCTTGCCCAGTCCAATGATGACCCATGCAGTAGGCCTGCGGCTAGAAAGATATACGACCTCAATATCGTATGATTCTCAGGACTACTCCTCATTTTGACGCGAACTGATCCTCTTTGTTTTTTGACTATGTAGCCGCCCAAAGGCTCCGACCACCTAGGTCGAGTTTGGAGATCAGAAGGTCGATGTACCTGAAGGCGGTTACTACGACCGTTATCGTATGAACCTGAACCTGGACGAGGTAGCCCGCGATCCGGCTGTAGGACCCGACATCGATTTCTTCCGGAAGATTCCAAAGAGGCTGGTCGATTCGACAGTAGGGGTATACGCACCCAACTTCTACTATCGCTCTAGAAGCGTCCAACACCTTTGCAAGACGTTGCTGGTACATAGTATGGGTAAATGATTATGGCCGTGTAAGATATATATTTTCCGCTGTTCATTACAATTACTTATCAAATTATAAGAAACTATTAAAACATGACACAACCGCAATTTTGGACAATCTGTGTAGACATGATGACTAACTGTAAATACACTTTTATGTAGGAATCACTTTACATAGTCGCGTGATCTTTTGGGTCAGCTGCCCTGTATCGAACCTGTATCGGGTTCGAGTACCCAGCATGTAAAACCCAGAGTAGCCTAAGTCATTAGCGAGTTCCATAGGTCAGCCGCTTCCTGGCCAGTGAGACCAGCAGTTGCCTCCTTCGCGGCATAGCATCGATCAATAGTGGCCTGCGGCGCATTGCAAGGGCTCCTGAGACGGTTGCAAATGAGATCTTGCGGAGTAGCAATGTCAGGTGAAGATCCGAATGGGAAGTCTTTCTGGTTATTGGTGGTGTAGGCCCACTCGTTGCGATTATCTAGGCCATACTCATACTTAATGGTCGGGTCCGAGCAGGTACCATAATCTATTGTTGGAGTGGGAGTAGGTGAAGTGGTGGTAGTGGTAGTAGTGGTAGTGGTAGTAGTGGTCGGTGAAGTAGTGGAAGTGGTAGTAGAAGTAGTGGTTGTAGTGGTCGGTGAGGTGGTGGTGGAGGTGGTAGTAGTGGTCGGTGAGGTGGTGGTGGTTGAAGCGGTTGTGGTTGTTGTTGGTGAAGTAGTGGAAGTGGTAGAAGTAGTGGTTGTAGTGGTCGGTGAGGTGGTGGAAGTGGTAGTGGTAGTGGTGGTTGTCGTAGGCGAAGTGGTCGTTGTAGTGGTCGGTGAGGTAGTGGTGGTTGAAGTGGTGGTAGTGGTAGTAGTGGTCGGTGAAGTAGTGGAAGTGGTAGTAGAAGTAGTGGTTGTTGTTGGTGAAGTAGTGGAAGTGGTAGAAGTAGTGGTTGTAGTGGTCGGTGAGGTAGTGGTGGTTGAAGTGGTGGTAGTGGTAGTAGTGGTCGGTGAAGTAGTGGAAGTGGTAGTGGTAGTGGTTGTAGTGGTCGGTGAGGTGGTGGTGGTTGAAGCGGTTGTGGTTGTTGTTGGTGAAGTAGTGGAAGTGGTAGAAGTAGTGGTTGTTGTTGGTGAAGTAGTGGAAGTGGTAGTGGTAGTGGTGGTTGTCGTAGGCGAAGTAGTGGTAGTAGTGGTCGGTGAGGTAGTGGTGGTTGAAGTGGTGGTAGTGGTAGTAGTGGTGGTAGTGGTAGTAGTGGTCGGTGAAGTAGTGGAAGTGGTAGTAGAAGTAGTGGTTGTTGTTGGTGAAGTAGTGGAAGTGGTAGAAGTAGTGGTTGTAGTGGTCGGTGAGGTAGTGGTGGTTGAAGTGGTGGTAGTGGTAGTAGTGGTCGGTGAAGTAGTGGAAGTGGTAGTGGTAGTGGTTGTAGTGGTCGGTGAGGTGGTGGTGGTTGAAGCGGTTGTGGTTGTTGTTGGTGAAGTAGTGGAAGTGGTAGAAGTAGTGGTTGTTGTTGGTGAAGTAGTGGAAGTGGTAGTGGTAGTGGTGGTTGTCGTAGGCGAAGTGGTCGTTGTAGTGGTCGGTGAGGTAGTGGTGGTTGAAGTGGTGGTAGTGGTAGTAGTGGTCGGTGAAGTAGTGGAAGTGGTAGTGGTAGTGGTTGTAGTGGTCGGTGAGGTAGTGGTGGTTGAAGTGGTGGTAGTGGTAGTAGTGATCGGTGAAGTAGTGGAAGTGGTAGTAGAAGTAGTGGTTGTAGTGGTCAATGAGGTGGTGGTGGAGGTGGTAGTAGTGGTCGGTGAGGTGGTGGTGGTTGAAGCGGTTGTGGTTGTTGTTGGTGAAGTAGTGGAAGTGGTAGAAGTAGTGGTTGTAGTGGTCGGTGAGGTGGTGGTGGTAGTTGTAGTTGGTGAAGTGGTGGAGGTGGAGGTAGTAGTGGTCGGTGAGGTGGTGGTGGTTGAAGTGGTGGTAGTGGTAGTGGTTGTAGTGGTCGATGAGGTGGTGGTGGTAGTTGTAGTTGGTGAAGTGGTGGAGGTGGAGGTAGTAGTGGTCGGTGAGGTGGTGGTGGTTGAAGTGGTGGTAGTGGTAGTAGTGGTCGGTGAAGTAGTGGAAGTGGTAGTGGTAGTGGTGGTTGTCGTAGGCGAAGTGGTCGTTGTAGTGGTCGGTGAGGTAGTGGTGGTTGAAGTGGTGGTAGTGGTAGTAGTGGTCGGTGAAGTAGTGGAAGTGGTAGTGGTAGTGGTGGTTGTCGTAGGCGAAGTGGTCGTTGTAGTGGTCGGTGAGGTAGTGGTTGTCGTAGGTGAAGTAGAAGAAGTGGTCGCCGTGGCTGGCGAGGTGGTACTTGTTATGGTTGTTGCCGGTGAAGTTGTCGGAGATGAACAACTCGTTGTGGATGACGTCATTATCGGAGAGGTTGAAGAGGTAGTACTTGTGGTTGTTTCCGGTGAAGTAGTTGTAAATGAACAACTCGTAGTAGACGTTGGTGAACTAGTCGTCGGCAAAATACTCGTAGTTGGCTCTGGACTCCAAGTCTCACAAGAGGTGCTAGGCTTGGGACGGGTAGCCCAGCTAGGTGGTATCCCACCTCCTTGATGGCCCCCATCGTGAAGCTTCCCCTCGTTGTCATTGTGCCATGTGTGGGTCTCCTGGAATGGATCTGTCAGGACGGTACCCTCCCTGGAAACCGAGGAATCCTTGATCCACGGGGCTATAGTATCCCTTGATACATGCTCGAAGGGTGTTGCTGCCTTCACATGGTCTTCCAGATTGATCCTCTGCGGGTGACAGAGAGATTGCCCAATCAGAAGCAGAGCAGTGACAGCTGCGGGTACCACTCTCATGTTGACTGTTTTCCTTAACTCTTTGGCGGTTTTTCTTGGCTAAAATTGCAGGAAATTTTACAAATTTGCGGCTTTTTTATATGATCGAGGATGCTTCCAAGCTTCCAACTTCTAAGTTTTCATATGCGTATGACGCAACTACATTGAGTATATATAATCATAGACCAGCCCTAGAGGGTCTAAGAACACACACTATCATCCTGACTTAATGATAGGATTGTGTAAATTTCATGGTGACGTTACCACCCCTGAAGGGTCAGCCATATGGAGTTGGGCGGATGTGACCTCTGAGGCTACAAGCTTTTCCCAACTCTAGTAATTGATGCATTACGATGAATCATAGACATTGTTATTGTTCTCTAATATACAGTATTCTCCGCAATGGTCAATGGAGTACATACTATCACTTTCATCTTTGTCGGGTCAATTCCGCAACAATGGGCAGTTTTATGATCAAAGAGAACAAACGTCCGCCGAAATATCGAAACAAACCACTTGCTATACAGATAGCCCTTGTTATCTTCTCGATCTGGCTCGGCTACAAGATTGCACTAACCTGGAATAGTAAGTGCCAAGCAGTAGATCAATCATGTTTGGAAAGTTAATACGCATACTAGCCAATCAAAACGCATCCCAATTCCAGAATGACCTTGAAGAAGACGCTCAAAGATCGACTATACCACTGTCCGAAAGCCTCTCACGCATGCTCATCCTCCTACCCGACGATACGGAAACAAAACAACTCCTCAGCCCAATCGACACAACCGGCGAAGCCAGACTACACGACTTCGGCCTCCGTACACGACAATACAAAGTCTTGTTTGAAGTTTGGACAGAGCTACACACCACAAAGTCAAACACAGGCACCTCTATCCGAGACGACATACCCTACCAAATACGAACTAACCCTCGACTCTCCAGCGCCCTTTCCACAAACTCTTCCAATCTCCTCCACTACTATGAGCAATATCGCTCAACCCTTACACGTCTCCAAACCTTCCTTTTCCCTTGGACATCACCCTACCATGCCGACCACCTCTCTCTCCAAAATGCCCTCTCAAAAGGCGGCCGAGGCCTCGTCTTCACGGCAGGTACCCACCAACTCCCATACCTCCTTACCTCAATCCCAACCCTCAGGAACCTAGGCTGCACCCTCCCGATCGAAGTTTTATACCTCGGCCCAGAAGACCTAAGTCCCGAAGCGCAACGACAGCTTGAATCTCTACCGAACGTGCTGACGCGCGACTTAAGTCTCATGATCTCAGACAATGGCTGGACGCTGCGTGGATGGGCAGGGAAACCATTTGCAATCCTATTTTCCAGTTTCCGGGAAGTGATATTCATCGATGCGGATGCGCTGTTCTTCCAGAATCCGGAGATCCTATTTGAGGATCCGGAGTATAAACGGACGGGCGCATTGTTTTTCAAAGATCGTCGTATTATGCCAGAGGATAAGAGCGACTGGATGAGGAAGGTTTTGCCCGCTCCTATTTCCGAGATGGCGAGGGGCTCCAGGTTTTGGAAAGGGATAAGTGGGCATATGCAGGAGTCTGGGGTGGTAGCTGTTGATTCCTGGAGACATTTTGTGCCATTGCTTCTTGTTACGAGGATGAATGGGCCTGATAGGGATGGTAATAAGGAGAAAGGTCTCAGAGGGGTTTACGATATGCTTTTTGGTGAGCCCTTTCATTGACTTCTGTTTCCTTATTGAAGATAAGAACTGACGATGTCCAGGCGACAAGGAAACCTTTTGGCTTGGCTGGGAGCTTGTTGGGTCCACATCATACGCATTTCACAAGGGATGTGTCGGAACTATGGGAACTGTCCAAGTGAATGGACCAGCACGCGGGCGAGGCTTCGACGAAGCAGACTTGGATTCGATTCATTCAGTCTCTTCCGAGAGCATTGAGAAGGCCCCGCGTATCCAGCCCGCTCTGAGGACACGGCCTCGGGAGTATACGATATGCGCACCGCAGCTACTTCACTTGGATCTTGCTGGGCGCCCACTTTGGTTTAATGGTTGGCTTTTACAGGATAAGTTTGCAGACGCTAAGAGTCAGCAGCCTGGAAAGTTTGAGAGTTTCGTACATGAGCAGATGGAGGATGAGAAGGATCCAGAAGCATGGAAATTACATGGGAATAATGTTTGCTGCTTGAGTTCGAAGAAGGTGGCTGAGTTTTCGGAGGATGAGAAAGATATCTTGAAGATGATTATTAAGGCTGCGAAGAGAGTGGGCGTCTTTGGTTCAAACTAGTTCAATATATGACTGATTCGCTGATGCTTTCTTTTCCGTCTTGGCGTAGTAGCAGCATACTATTAGGGTGTTCCGATATCGTGGCGCATCGTGGCACCTTATGGGACCTAGACCTAGACAAAACTAGACTTCCGTAAACCTAAGTTGGGTCTAAAGTCTCGACCCAAAACCTAACCCAGGCTGGGTCCGGGTTGAACTTCTATAACCCGGACCCAACCCGGACCCAATATTAGGGCTAGACCTGGACAAAACCCGCGGGATTCCCACCATGGGATAGACCATGGCACGGGTAATTTTATAAAAACTAGTCCCACGGGAGTGGGGCGTGGTGGTTAAAAATGGTTTGTCCCGCCCGCGATGGGATATGGGTATTCCCACGGGTATTGTAAACAGTGCAAACTTACCCTTTTTAGACATGCATTAATCATCCAATTTTTTCTGTATTTTTAGTAGTAATCTATATACGCACGTGACTATATAACTCCACCAGAACTACCAAATTCCACTAGAACTACCCTTTTTTAAGGTTTCAAGTTCGATTCTAGCTCTATATTACATACCAAAACAGCTTAAATTACCAATCTTTTAGCATTCTTAGTCAGCAGATTATATAACGTATTTCACAAGCGAGCGGAACACCCAATTGGCCGGAACACCTCTAAACACATAGTAAAAGTGATGATTCACAACTTGATATCTCACCAACCATGAGTTTGTTCTATTTAATTACCGGTGGATAGCTATAAATAAGACTTCTTAAGATAAAATATCATTTCAAGGAAATTACAAAGCTAGATTATATCGCTTACGAAAATTACGGTGAAACGAGCTCAAGAATATATATTTCTACCATTAAATTGCCCACCAAGCTTTGAGGAATCCCTAAACTCTCCAAAGGGGTTAGATACGATACTGACAGTATTAGGCTATAAGCAAAACGCCCGCCAGACTTACGTTGTTAAGATATTAAGTTGTACTAACTAATACAGAGAATACAGAAGTATAAAATTATGAAAAATTATGAAGAATTATGAAAAATTGGGTTTTCCTGGGTACCCATTAGGTACCCAGTCTGGGTCCTGGGTAGGGTCCGGGTTATCTTGCCTCGACTCAGACCCGGGCTGGGTCTGGGGCTGGGTCCAATACTTAGACCCAGACCTGGGTCCTGCGGAAGCCTACTAATATCTAGGCTAGTAAATCAGATAAGGGTATATTATAGTTAAACTAGGGTCCCGTTTGCCCCCATTAATATAGGTCTCATCTGGGGCCTAAATGTTAAAACCTACTCTGGGGTTAAGTCTTATTGCCTGTTAAGTAAACCAGCCACTACTGATCGGAATGAAACGTGCCGAACAGGATATTCGAAATGAAAGTTGGATTCCCAGATTGTCTACATGACCTACAAGACTCTACGGAAAATTGATTCATTTTTAGATCAGTGAGTAGAAAAGAAATAGCATCCTTTAGTTGGCTACGAACGCCATCATGGATCTGATAGCCAACACATTGTGAGGACGAGAGCTCGGTGTTGCCTTCTTCGCGAGAAGCTTTCAGTGGACCCGGCCGTATGGGCTCCGTGACTGACCGGTTCAAGTCTCTGCCGATACTCGACACCTGCCTTTTGTAAAGATGGTCAGCTTCGGCCCTTGTAAGAGCTATCCGGAAAGATGGTACTATGAAATGATCGACACTCTACCTTATCATCAGTACGCGCGTCTTGCGGTACTATTGCGCTCATACCGGTTTTTCGTCGGTCAAGGGCTACTCCTACGTCATTGGAATGACCTTCCTCCGTAATTCCACGTTGTCTCTGCCTTATTGGACTAAAGAAGTCAACAGCCTAACCTCTCCCGAGAGCTGCGCACTAGCGAATGCGGGCGGCGAGTGTTCGGCGGTGATTGACCCGAAATGCGGAGAAGGCATCTTGAAACTCTCGGTGAACATTGCCCTAGATGGACACTTTGGCAAATTTGAAAGTGGAGTATTTCCACCTCTTGGAACTTGACTCTTAGTTAGCGCCGCTAGTCTAAAATTTCCCGCAGTAGGGGGAAGCGGGGAAAAGCAAGCGTTTTTTGACGGAGTTCAATATGTTTCAGCTATAAAGTGCCCCGATTGCTTCAGATGGCTCTGTTCTTTACGAAAAAGACCCTCGTCTGAAGCACACAGCATGCTCGTCTTTCCTTTACTCTTTTCATTGACTTTGCTGTGGCCTTGTCTGGCTTCAACCCTCTCAATCCTTCCAGGATCGCAACGGACTGAGGCTTTGTTGGATCCAATCGCAATCGGCGAACCGTACCCGCGACTCAGTTGGCAATTAACTTCATCTGTCAATGGAGCCACACAGGTCGCTTACCAAGTTCAAGTAAAAAATGCTGCGGACCAAAAACAGACGATCTTGTGGGATAGCGGCAAAGTCATCTCAAAAGACCCGGCAGCTCTATACGGCGGCGAAGCTCTTGGATCACGAACACAGGCTTCTTGGCAAGTTCGTGCTTGGGACAAGAATGGCATTGTAACAGCATGGAGTGAGCCAGCTGAATTCGAAATCGGTCTTTTGAATTCACAAGATTGGATAGGATACTGGATTACCAATTCGAACTTTGAATTAGGAACGACTTCCTTACCGACTTTCGCCAAAACATTTGAAGTGTCTTGTGACGTGTCTCACGCGCGTCTCTACCTCATTGGTCTGGGCCTTCATTCAGCAACAATCAACGGCCAATCCGTGAGTCAAGGAGTATTGGCTCCGGGTTACACAAATCTCAACAAAACAAAATACTATTCTACCTACGATGTTACTAGCGCTATCTCGAAGGGCGCCAATCTGCTAGGAGTCGAGCTGAGTAGGGGCTACTATGATGCCCAAGCCGCTCTTGATAGTAGGTATATGAAATTCACCACCTCGGCCAAACCACTTATGCTCTTATCGCAATTGGAATACACCTGTAAAGATGGAAAGTCCGTCAAAATTGGATCTGATTCTAGCTGGAGGTCTAACATAGATGGTCCCCTATTAGAATCATCTTGGTACGGTGGAGAGGAGTACGATGCCCGATTGGAGATTCCGGGATGGCCTTCAGCAATCTCCAATAGCAGTTCGTGGCAATCAGTTGCCAGAGCTTCTCCGCCGCCTGGAGATCTGGTTCCTCAACCATATGCTGAATTGGCGATTGTGGAGGACATTCCCTGTGTCTCTGTGACCAAGGTCGGTACATCAGGGTGGACCTTTGATTTCGGTGTCAACTTTGCCGGATGGGTCGAGCTACAAATCAGTGAGCCGGCAGATACCAGAGTGGCGATGTGGCCGGCTGAGATCGTGAGCAGCCACGTCTGGGCCGATCAATCGACTACTGGCAAGCCCATTTTTGACGCATTCACATCTAATGGAACAACCTATACATATTCTCAGAAATTCATGTACCATGGAATGCGATATCTCTCGGTGAATCTGACTCAAACACCATCGGCCACTGATGCCGTGGGACATTCGATCCGTCAGTCAGTGGACAAAGTGGGCGAGGTATATTCAAGCAGCAACTTGTTCAACAGCATACATGGTATCATCGATCGGTCGATCCAGTCAAATCTCTATAGTACACTGACGGACTGTCCTCATCGGGAGAAACTTGGCTGGCTTGAACAAGACCATCTCATGATATCGCCGATAATGTGGAGTTATGATGTGCAGGCAATGCTTCAGGTGCCTGTCCAGGATATTGTGGACTCTCAGCAAAATGCTTCGTCGTTTGGCAATGTCTCTCCACACCCTGGATTCATCCCGGAAATTGCTCCTGAGTTCCAGGTATTTCCATATCCTTTTAGAGATGATCCAAACTGGGGAGGAGCCGTCGTTCTACTGCCCTTACAGCACTACAAAGAATATGGTGATACCAGAATTTTGTCTAGGCAATACTCCGCGATGACAGGTTATCTGTCCTACCTAGAGTTTTTGACAACGAACTACACTCTACATTATGGATTGGGTGACTGGGAAGCGCTTGATGATTGCACAGGAAGTTTAATTCCTGCCACCTACGGATTCCAGCAAGCGGCGCAAGGAATGGCGCAGGTTGCGCGCTACCTTTCATATTCGGATGACGCAGAATACTATCAGGATTTGGCGGATAAAATCACCTCAGCCTTGCATACTGCGACCTTTAACGCTTCTGAGGCAGTATACGGCTGCGGATCTCAAGGAGCTTTGGCTCTTGCCCTCGATATGAGTGCGCCGCCTACAGAGGAGATATACGCTCGAGTCCTTGATAACTTGGTTGGCTTGATCGTAAACAACACGAACCATTGGAGCGTCGGAGAGATCGCATTGCCAGCATTATTCCGGGTCCTTCATAACAATGGGTACGATGAGCTGTTGTACACTTTGATGAGCCAGACTACTGCGCCCTCATATGGCTATGAGGTCGTCAACGGCGCTACATCGCTGTGGGAAGCCTGGGATGGGACAAGTTCATCTGGTTCTAGCATGAATCACCTCATGTTTGGATACGGTGACGTTTGGCTCAGCCAACTCTCAGGTTTGCAGCAGGTCAATACTAGTGTTGCATGGAACTCGATCAACTTCTATCCTGCATTGGTAGGCAATCTGACTGCAGCCTCCGCGAACCACATGACCCCTCGCGGGTTAGCGAGTGCTGCCTGGACGCTTGAATCAGATGAATTCCGGTACAACATCACTGTTCCTATTGGTTCCAAAGGACATGTGTACTTGCCCGCAAAAAGCAACGGTACAGTGATCACGTCTTATGATGGATCATACTCGCCTGTTGTTGTCGGCAGCGGGAATCATTCTTTTATCGTGACCTGATTTTATTAGGCGACTTGCCGCTTTTGAAGCAGCCCAGTCTCCTCATTACTATTGAAGTTCCTTCAATTTGAATGTCTTTTCCTTAGAGTCTGTTCCTGACAGTATCCGGATAGTAGAACAATTGGCATGCTCGGAAATGGTATTTCCATCATTGCCCGGACGACTCATAATTGCCCACTTCTCCATTACAGATTATATCAGTAAGTGATGTGCTATGGATCTTCAGAGCTTTTGTAGTAGAGATACACCGGCTGTAGGAAGACAGTATCATGCTTCTGGCTGCCGAGGTGGCAGAGCAAGGTCACGAGGGCTCCGCAAAAGTTGTACGCGATGCCTTTGTTGGTAGCATTTAGTTGAAAGAGATGGGTATTCCGGAATCCGCTTCCCGTGATTCTGCGGCACAGAAGAGCCCGTCGGCCGCACATTTTGGGGGATTCTCTGACCTGATATCGTCGCGAAGTGAAAAAAAAATGACAAGCTCATGTCTATTGGTCTGGTGCCCCGAAGAAGATCATGGCATTTCTCTTTGATAGATGGTGAAAACGGAAAGGGATGAGAATGGTCACGGGTCCATCCAGTATCAGAAACTTGATTGGCAGAGCTTGCCTGTAGACTGACCACTTGAAATTTTTCGTGCAGACAACCTTGCAAACGTGCATCGTTTACGCTAGGTGGGTGCATTCCTGACTTTGAAGCTGCAAGACATTTATGGCCTCTCCAACTTGGTATACTAAAACAAGAGGCTAAAGCGGCAATATCTGTGCGGGCAGCAACTACTGGTCTATGGATTTCCTGTCCTCGTTGAGTTAATGGTCTGATATTTTTGCCTGTTGCTAATTGTGCACAGGCCCTCTTCTTCAAGCTACTGTCGCAATTCATCCACCGCACAATCTGACGACGATCACGACGCGTTAGTGTTTGGTCGAGCTTCCCTTGCTCCATCGATGAACGATGCTCGCGAAGTTTCGAATCATGCTTGCGTCAACGCAGGCTGTATAGCTATGCATCACTGTTATGGAAGCTATCAAAGCGGTCGAGGGCCAGCTTTCTGTTGAGTGAGGCGGCAAATCATGAACCAGTAGGGCCTTTCTTCCTTCAACGATGCACTTCGGATTTACCTAGAGCCGAAAGGATATTTTCGCACTCGATCTGTAGGTTTCATGAGGTTTGTAGGAAAATAGTGTCGAATGCAAGAATGTTTGCTGCGTGCCTTGACTAGTGGCTCCATCGAGTCACGAGCGTGGGGCCTCGCAGCACCCTTAGCTGGGACGACCATCGGTCTTCGATTGGTGGGATTATAACTGGCAAAATAGGGTGCTTACACTGACGAGGAGTCACTATAAGTTCTATATAAACACGTTCACTCCGGCACTGATTATACCGAACATGAACATGACCTCTAGGTGAGCCTTACTTGTCGTATGGTTTTAATAAACATAAGGGACGCGGTGCCTTTGTATAGCTGAGAGTTTGAGCTCGAGACGCCCCCTATACATAAGAAGATAAAGAATCTTGACCAGATCATCCTGTATTGGTTAGCATTCTCCACTTTCTTTGCCCTTGATGATAATAATGATGTAATTATTTGGTGAATCCAGTTCAGTCCCAAACTTTATCAAAAGTAGGTGATTTTTGGCATTTTTTTCGAATGACCTTAGTAGACATCGCCAAATCCCACAAAGCCCAAAGCCCAACCCAACCCAACCCACAAATGGGTTGGGTTTTGGGCACGTCGCTCGGCCCATTATTGGGGGCCCATTGGGGGCCCACTAATTTACAAACAGTACAAAGATTTACTAATTTTAGTAAAAAATCAAAATATACAGTATTTTTGTGCATTTTCCAATATTAGTCAGCAGATTTATGAGCGCCAAGACCAGTTTTATGCAAAGTTGGGCTTTTTATGGGGGCCCATGGGGCCCCACAAAAAGCCGAAAGCCCACAGTGGGTTGGGCTTTGGGCCTGACTCTAGGCCCATTTTCAGGTTTTGGCGATGTCTACAAAAGGCCCATCTCAAATGCAGCGGGCTCGCTCCATTCTGATACACTGCCGTTCTTGCACCAAATTCGTACTTGCCAAGATGCTTGAGCTCGTGATTCAATGACAGTCCCGCCGTATAAGGCTGCCGGGTTCTTTGAAATAACCTTTCCGCTATCCCACAATTTCTTAGGCTTTTTGCTGGCATTGTCCCTCACTTGAACCTGATAAGCGGCCTGGGTAACATCATTGATAGATGAATTCAATTGCCAGGTGAAACGGGTATTTAAGTCGCCAATCGCAATGGATTCAATAAGGCTTCAGTTCGTCGTGACTCAGGAACAATCGACAAGGATGCCACCACACAGGGCAACACGAAGGCGAAAATGGAAGCAATGTGTAGTTTAAATGGATGCCGTGGGCACCTGGAGCAGCTCTTGGGAATAGAATCACTGATTTATACTGTATAAAAGGTCCAACAAGACATCGCGTAGTAGCTGTCCCGTTATTCGTGGTGTAGGGGATTACCTTCTACCAGTGTGGATCCACTCCTGCGGGATCAGACACCTCCACATTTCGGGCAATTGACTGCCGAATATCCGCATGGACGTGCTTCTGCCGAATTTTAATTTGTTGATCAATACCTTATGAGTGTAGTTGAGTCTTCATAAGACCACACTATGCGCTCACGCTATAGACCACAGGGGTTAAGTGCTGCTGGTCTTCATGGTGAGGCCCATATCACCCCCGTGTAAGCGACCACAGGTTCAGGAAAAAATCATCATTTCCCCGCAGTAATCGAGGAGTAGCGAAGTCTAATTGCTAGAAGCTTTTGTTTCGGTATTGACTATACCGAGCGTAGGAGTTGGTACAAAGTATGACACGTAATGCTGTATTGACTAGCAATCATGGAGAATTATGTACTCGCCGACATCGGGCTATCCTTTAATCTACCGGGGATTTTCTCTAAGAAAATCAAGCTCTTGAAGTGTATCATCAGATCATGCCAAGCCTTCTCCACTTCGGTATAATAGGCGGCGAAGCCGTGGGTATGAAAGAGAGACAATGATCAAGTGGAGAAAATACTTCCTTCTGTCGAAGTAAGACAGGAGTTGCACTGACTCTATTCGCTGCGAATATTAGGACGCCCTCATCAAAACCCAATCATCGCACGCAGAGTTTGTGGAGAAAATCGAGACTTTCGGGACTGACGAGCTATATCTTGTCAATTATGCGCCTTCTCATCATCTTATGCGCCGTGTTACAGGCAGCATTCGTCGTTGCGGATAAACCGTACGCGCTAAAGCTCCTGAATGCGACTCCCAGTATGGCAATTGACGACTCTGTACCGCGATTCGCATGGGCATCATCCTTTGAACAGAGGGGATCGAATCAGTCGGCATACCAGATCCAAGTTCATGACGCGAAAAGCCACCCGATATGGGACTCGGGTCGAGTCCGCTCTTCAGTACAGCAAGGCATCAATTATGGAGGGCCACAACTCGAGACGTGTAGTGCCTACACGTGGAGGGTGCGTTTGTGGAATCAGAATGGCAAACCCTCAGACTGGAGTACCGCCTCCAATTTTTCCACGGCTTTCTTCGATGCCTCGGATTGGAGCGATGAAGCGATCTGGATCAGCGCGCCGCAAAGCCGGGCTGGTCTCGCCGGAAGCAATTGGATCACCCCACCAACAGGTTCCAGTAGCACAACGGTTTCCAAAAATATATCTCTTACTGATGGTACCATTGTAAGCGCACTGACAACTGTGAGTGGTGAAGGTAACTTCAATCTCACAGTCAACGAACGAGTATCCAAACAATTCAATGGTACCTGGAAAGACGGTGTTGTGGACCTGGATCTGAAGAATTTCCTTCAGAATGGATCTAATATAATCTCTATCTCGGCTCCGGCATCCGCCCCAGGCGTGACTATGCGAATGGAAATCCGAATGTCAGACGGGTCGTGGCTCCTCGTGGTGACAGACAGCACTTGGCATGATAGTGAAGGTGAAAGCGTCACCAATCTAGGAGACTACACCCAATCGTCGTTTGCGGGGATCGGGATCCTTGAGAAGAACGGCGCTGTCAATGACGAGCCTTCATCGTTCCGTCGATCGTTCACTGTCAAGGGAGACGCACGCGTTAGCCGTGCGACGTTATACATAACCGGCCTTGGCCATTTCATGGCTTACCTTAACGGCCAGAGGGTCGGAGACAACGTCATCGACCCGGGATGGAGCGACTATGATGACAGAGTATATTATGTGGCGCTAGACGCTACGGAACTCATCCGCATAGGGACAGAGAACGTGCTAGGTGTCCAGCTTGGAAATGGCTGGTTCGATTACCAAACTATGCACATGTCAGAGCGCTGGGGTTGGGGAGAGTCGGCAGTATACATTCGGAATTGGGGCATCATGCGCATCTTTGCGCAGCTAATCATCGAGTACGACGATGGTACGGTTCAGGAAGTCGTCAGTGATCGGTCTTGGACATCAGATATAGGACCCTGGATACTGACAACGGGCCACGGGTCTGAATCTTACGATGCCAGGCTGGAGCAGGCTGGGTGGAACACGGCCGCGTTCGATGACTCGGCTTGGAGCCCCGTTAATATCATCGATGCGCCTCCTGGGCAATTACAGGCTCAGCGAACGGCCCCGCTTCGAGTCCAGGACACTCTCCAGGGCACAATGATAGCGGACAGCTCCGACTATATCATCTTTGATCTCGGTATTAATATCAATGGGCAACAAGAGATCACTGTGTCCGGGCCACGTAATACTACTGTTACTATCATTGGAGGGGAACGGATCGGTAGTAACGGCCACGTCCAGGCAATTGGGGACTCGAAGCAAAATCCTGCCTCTGCGGATTACCAGACTCTCTCTACATACACCCTAAAAGGAAGTGGGAATGAGACCTGGCGACAGAGCTTTTCGACCGTGGGATTTCGATATATTGAAGTGCAGGGAGCGACGGCGCCGGCGGACACCGCATCAAATCTACCTACTGTACAAGGCGTCAGGGGATATTTTGTCCACAGCAATGTGCCCGTCGCAGGGTCTTTTAACTCTTCTAGCGATGAGTACAACGCGGTCTACGATATAGTTCAGCGAACGATGCTGAGCAATCTCGTGTCCATCCATACGGACTGTCCAACATACGAGAAACTAGGGTGGCAGGAGGTGGTATCTGACCTCACCTCATCGTACGCCTATATCCTTGATATCCAGAGTTACTATTCTGTTCTGATGGGCCATGCTCGTGACGGTCAACTCGACAATGGCCTTGTCCCGGACATTGTACCTGCCTACACTGCTGGAACTGGTGCGTATAATGATGCCCCATCCTGGGGTGCGGTGGTCATTAATGCACCGTGGGGAATATACCAAATGTACGGGGACAAAACAGTCCTAAACGAGAATTATGACGCTATGAAGAAATACTACGCCTATCTCCAGAGCAAGGCAGTAGACAACCTAATCACGTACGGCTTGGGTGATTGGGTCGCCCCAGCGAGAGTACAGGTCCCTAATGTGGCGGGTGCTATTTATGTGAGAAGCGCTGAACAAATGGCCAGAATTGCTCAAATCTTGGAAGAGAGTGCCGATGCCAATAACTTCAACTCCGCCTTCAACGTGAACAGGCAGGCATACAACGACGCCTACTTCAGCACAGGCAATTGCAGCTACGCTCCCAATACGCAGGCTGTTCAAGGAATGCCAATAGCATTCGGAATCATCCCGGACATCCAGCTTCACTGCGGCTTGTCGGCACTTATACAAACTATCGCCGACGGTGGGTACCTGGCGGGCCAGGATATTGGGTTTGGCCCGAACCTTGCTAACCATACCACCATGGGCGATATCTCTATCGCTTCCGTACTACGCGCTCTCAGTGATCTCGGCCGTCCTGATCTCGTCGAGACAATGATGCTCCAGCCTACTCTACCAGCCTACTGGGCACTGGCGGCCGACGGCCAGACCTCCCTCCCAGAGAACTGGGACTATACCATCGCACGATCCTTGAACCACGATATGTTTGCTGGCATTATGGAGTGGTTCTACAGGACGGTCGCGGGCATCCAGCCACTGGAGCCGGGCTTCTCCAAAGTTGCAATCAAGCCTGCAGTCCACCTACTCTCCCCCACCGAGGTGCAGGCCTCATACCGGAGTATCCGCGGTGACATTACCGTCCAGTGGAAAAAGACTACTTCGAAAGATGCAAGTATATCCGTGTCAATTCCTGGCAATACCATAGGGTTGATCTATATTCCATCGGGCTATGTCTCGTTGCGTGATGCTGCTCGCCTTAGCAGTGCACAGGGAGTGAGGTCTGTTGAGTGTGATGATGGTTACACAGTGGTGGAAGTTGGATGTGGTGATTACGTTTTCGATTTTACCCTTTAGGGGGAACTGGATGGCTAGAACAGCTATTGCTGTTATTCCTTTCTTACTGCAGATACTGTCGAAGTGTCTCCTGACTTGGCACAGATACGACTAGCGTGGTTCTATCAAAACGGTCAGCGATGACAGGGGCTGTATTAGTAGACTTGTCAGCTGAGAAAGAAGTGGGGAGATCTCTACCTCAAAGAGCTTAAAAGTCCCTCCTGAAATTTGGTCCTCTATCATGTTGGTAACTACAGCCCCAGTCCCTGATGAATTGATGTAATCATTGGCAATATCGAAAGATACAGAGTTTTGTATGCTAGCTCCCCAAAATTGTCGTATTGTCTTCAGCTCTCGTTGTCTCCTCGCTAGTCATGAGAGAAAACACATGAATTACTTCATGCTGAATCACATTCTGTGGTGTACTATCTTCACTTTCCAGTTCATAATTACACTTTTTGACCCTATTTTAATCAAGGAAAACATTGAAAATAAATCATTTGCTAAATAGTATGACTCGTTTGGTTACCCTGCAATACGCCAGCACGGGCTACTCCGAATACCTGCTATGTGGACACTTTGCATTGAGCGACTGTGAGTAACCAGCGCGCAACTGCTAGGATGGACCCAAACGCCCGTTGTGTCAATATTGCGGCTCACCGGCATCTCACGAGCCCAGCAAGGCTAGGCAGCAATGCTAGGCACGAATCGTGATGATTCTGTAGAGTTCATTTTACCACTGGAATTTACAAATCTGGTTTCTCCATCGTCCGCTCATTTCCCAATGAAACGTTATTGTAATCCGGAGTGTTTTGGAAGTACTGTACGGTGTCGTAACACGTATGATGATTATCCCTGGGGATTTCTCAAAGGATTATCGCGCTTTTATACAACATACTAAAGAATTAGCCTTTATTGGTTTCGTCGTCAATTGCTGGCGCACACGTCGCGCCGCCTCACGTCGCTGTTTCTTTTTTTGTTGCCATCCAGATGGTTTCTCCTCATTGTCCTTCATGCTTCATAGAATAGGCAGTGCAAGTCTTCCACTTCAACAGTTGAGTTGACCATTTCATCTTTACCCATTTTAGACTGCCGATAAACTAACAGCCTTGAGCCTACTAAAATTAGGATCCACCCCCGGCTCCCCACCGCCCCTGGATAAATCATCGACCAGGGGTGATTGGTGGGTTATTCAGTATTGTTTTTGTTGGAGGTCGGTGTCATGTACGGAAGGAAGAGGCAGCTCCTCTGTCTAGTATGTCAGATTGAATTGAGTATTACTCCATATTCAGGCCGGCTCTGGCTGCAAATTGATAATTGAAGACGTAAGAATGGTTCTCGAAAGCTGTAGAGGCCCGGGATACAACTAAGCTTCCAAGGAACTAGGCTAGTAAGCCTTTGGAATTATCTTCCCTCGGCCCGCACTGGGGATGTACTGGTTTGGGTAATCCGAAACCTCCGCTGTCTGATGGCCCGAACAGGCTGTCTGATGGTCCAATTGCAAGACCTCCGTGACCCTTTCGGCCTGGCAACGCGGCGCCGGACCAAAAAGTCAAAGATCTGCGTGGACAAAGCTGGAAAATCTTCAATTTCCAATGTCTTTGTGGAGCAGTACATCTGCTATTACATTATACTCTTTTATCTGTGGATCCGGATACTCCAAGCTCAATGACACGGGAGAGTGATTCCGAGTAAATGATGAGACGTAAAAGCGCTCGCTTTCTCCCATGTCAAGCTCCCTGAAATTGCACTCAACTTCCTTTAAGATCTTTGCTAGGAAGTTCCCTCTGATTTCCGGAAAACATGAGATTTTTCGAGCAACGTCTGTCCGCTGGATGGTCATTCAGGGACCGAGATAAAGAGACACCCGATGCATGGATGCCTGTGCCAGCGGTGCCTTCGACGGTGCAACAGGATCTCATCGTAAACAGAAAGTTAGGCTTTGAAACAATCTTCTCGATGCACCGGTTGAGACTAACCTTCGCGACCTAGACTCGAGGATCCATACGTCGGCTTCAACGAACTCAAGGCCCATTGGGTTAATGAAAAGTCATGGGTATACCGAACGGAGCTAAAGCGACCCCGCGTTCCTACCGGCACGCAAGTGGACTTGGTGTTCGATGGCCTAGACACGTTTTCCTCGGTCACGCTCAACGGCCGGACAATTCTTACGAGCAGTAATATGTTTCTCGGCCACCGGGTGGATATCACAGAGGCTCTAGAATCCGAGGGCCCACACGTGCTTGAGGTCGAGTTTGGTTGCGCTCAGCTCAAAGCACGCGAGCTGCGTAACCAACACCCAGACCACCGATGGGATGGCTTCAATGGCGATATGGCGCGTCTGGCCGTGCGCAAAGCACAATATCACTGGGGCTGGGATTGGGGCCCAGCAATTATAACCGCTGGTATCTGGCGCGGCGTACGCTTGGAGGTATACGCTGTGCGAGTAGCAGACTTGTGGCCGCAAACGCAGCTCGAGCCCGACCACCAGACGGCCACTGTCGCAGCCACTGCCGAAATCCACGCCGCCATCCCCGGAAACTATACGGCCAGCTTCCTTCTAACTCTGCGTGGAGACGAAGTCGCGCGTAAAGATGTTCCAGTGGAAGCTGGTAAGACGGCTGAAGCAAAGTTTGAGGTCAACAACCCAGAGTTATGGTGGCCTCATGGCTACGGGTCTCAACCTCTATACGATATCTCGGTGTCAGTTATTGCGCATGGCAAAGAGCTTCATAAGATATCGAAGAAATTCGGTGTTCGGTCAGCCGAAGTTGTCCAACAGCCTGATAAGCATGGCAAGTCTTTCTTCTTCCGAATCAATGGACAAGACATTTTCTGCGGTGGCTCTTGCTGGATTCCAGCCGATAGTCTTCTGCCTAGAATCAGCGAAGAACGGTACAGAAAGTGGATTGACCTTATAGTTGCGGGTGGTCAGACCATGATCAGGTAAGCTCGGACACTATGTGGGCTCTTTTCTAACACTAATTCAATTAGAGTCTGGGGTGGTGGAATTTACGAAGATAAATCCTTCTATGAAGCTTGCGACGAGCTCGGTGTACTAGTGTGGCAAGACTTTATGTTCGGTTGCGGAAACTACCCAGTCTGGCCTGAGCTGCTGGAATCAATACGGCAGGAGGTAGTTTACAACGTCCGCCGATTGCGACACCACCCCTCAATTGTTGTATATGTCGGCAATAATGAGGATTACCAAGTCCAGGAGCAGGCAGGCCTCACTTATATCTACGATGACAAGGATCCAGAAAGCTGGCTCAAGACAGATTTCCCTGCACGCTACATCTACGAGAAGCTACTACCAGAAGCGGTGGCTGAGTTCTCTCCGAGCACCTTTTATCACCCAGGAAGCCCGTGGGGTGATGGAAAAGCCACTTCTGATCCTACCGTCGGAGATATTCATCAATGGAACGGTTCGTCCACCCGAATTCTGATCAAAATATCAATTAGACACTCGTACTAATAGCTACACAGTTTGGCATGGAACGCAGGAGAAGTATCAGATCTTTGACACCCTGGGCGGCCGCTTTAACAGCGAATTCGGCATGGAAGCCTTCCCGCACTTGGCGACGATCGAGTATTTTGTCCAAAATGAGGCCGACAAGTTCCCACAATCCCACGTTATTGACTTTCACAACAAGGCTGATGGTCACGAAAGACGATTGGCGACCTATCTAGTGGAGAACCTCCGCATGGCTACAGACCTCGAGGTAAGCGCTACTATAAAGTTCCATTGATTGATGATTATACTTAGAACTATGTCAGACATACATCTACCTAACCCAGGTGGTGCAGGCGGAGACGATGATGTTCGGATACCGTGGGTGGCGCCGACAGTGGGGTGATGACCGACACTGTGGTGGAGCGCTGTTGTGGCAAATCAACGATTGCTGGCCGACAATCTCGTGGTCAATTGTAGATTACTTCCTACGACCCAAGCCAGCGTACTACACAGTTAAACGGGTGATGCAGCCGCTGGCTATTGGCGTCCGTCGTGAACACAACGACTGGAGTGTCGTTCACGCAAAGCCCCCGATCAAGAGCCGGTATGAGATGTGGGTTGCTAGCAGTAACCGGCAGGTACTGCAAGGAACCGTCGAACTGCGGTACTTGTCGGTGGAGAGCGGCCGGGACCTATGTCCCCCGGTCATCTACGATAACGTTGCTATCGCCGCCAACGGTACGACCAATGTGATCACAAACGGAGTCATTGATCACCTCATCCAGCCCGAGGCACAGGTTCTCGCCGCGCGGCTCTGGGTGGGCGGTCGTGTTGTGGCTCGCGACGTTGACTGGCCACAGCCGTTCAAATACCTCGACTTTGCTGACCGCGGGTTGGACGTTAAGGCAAAGCCTGGGACTACCGCTGGAGAGCAGATACTCACCATCAGCGCACTAAGGCCGGTGAAGTGTGTTGTGTTCGAGGAGCGGGAGAATGTGCAACTCAGCGATAGCGCCTTGGACATCATACCAGGTGATGAGCAGACGGTGGTAGTAAGAGGACTCAGTGAAGGCGATCCTCCACTTAAGTATCGCTACTTAGGTCAGTGATTCTATCTAATCCAGGTTACGCCTGAAGCTGTAGAAGCCCTCTTAAGGCTTCCACGGCTTAGCGGCTGAGCAGTAAAGCGCTATTAGAGGAAAATCTCAAACTTGCGAAAACTCCGTTTTATGTGCTTGTTGTCTTTTCATCTAGATTCCACACACATACACACACACACACACACACAATTCATTAGGGTCCGGTGGTTAACGTACTTCACTACGAGTCGGACACCTGGTCGGCCCGAACACCCCATTAACTTCTAATAATTCAAACTAGAATAATTCCACCATAACCACATAATATTGACTATCTAAGAGATATAACCTAATTTAAATAATGTGTTATTTTATGCCCCTGAATTCCGCATTTAGAGCATTTTGGTGGAGCTCGACGACGTGGTTCCTAAGCTTGATTTTGACTGGTTGGCTCACCGTCTTGACGATCATGAGGTTGAATTTGCCGATTTTTAGCAAGTTCTTTCAATTCTGCCATAGAGACACGTTCTGGATAAGCTATCTGTTGCTTAGGCCTTTCCTTCTTTTGCTTCTTTTTCTTGTTTCCAGCGCGTAAGAGCACGTTTTCTTGAGTAAGAAAAGCGGTGGTTTGTGTTGTAATTTGGCAAGCTTTAAGAACTTGATTTATAGCGGAATTTAACGGACTTAGTGGGCTCTTAGACCACTTATCTTAGAGCTCCTTGATTGACGAAGCTTGCTTTTGAAGTTGCTGGGAATTAAATGGTGTCTTTGGCTCTCACGCGCTGCTTTGGCTATCTCGGGAGGGTGGTGGTAAAGGTGTATAGAGTCAAATATTAAGCTTTAAAATAACCCGATCTAGATTATATAGTACTAATCATTTCTGCCTTATATATCCCGTTTTCCAGGGCGATTGGAAAAACGTTAAAAAAGTCTAGCTTATCGATATCCATACAGTCAACTCCTGCTTATGGTACGGCGGGTTATAGAACACACCCGGTTATAGTACACCATCCGCCTGTATGGACCCACTTTCCGGGTTTTCCCATACAGTACTCTCACTAACTTGCAACGTAACTGCTAAGCGAGCTGCGCATGCAAGCGAGCTGCGCAGCTGGAACACCATAGTAAATGCGATAAATTACAGCTCGATATTTCAACAACGAATATACCCAAGGACTTTGCCTGGAAGCTCGATACTTTTCATACAGTGTCCAGCTTATTTGAGGGCTTCAGGAGTTATTTCGCCTTGTGTAGGTGGTTAATATTTACGGCATGTATATTTCGGGCTGTAATAAACGTAATTTTCGTAACCACGATGATTTAGCTTTTATAATTCCTCTTAGTCTATTGCAAATACATATGAAGAGCTATGTCCAGAGAGTAAAACAAAACAACCCCGTGATTGTTGATATATCAAGTAGTTATAATTTATCGCATTTACTATGGTATTTCAGCTGCGCAGCTCGCTTACCAGTTACGTGATTTAGAACCTGAAAGGCTTATGTAATATCCGCAAAGTGCGGATAACGCGTTATCGTACGATATGCCGCAGCCTTAGTTTGGAGGAACGTAATTCACCATCGAGCGAGCCACCCGTCTTGCTGGGCCAACCCAAACCCCTTTTCAATGCGATAGATTGCAATCCAATATTTCACCAACCAGGGATTCTCTTATATTTTCCTTATAGAAAGGTATATTTTGGACTACCGAAAATTCATAGGTATTCGGAGAGAGCTGAATAAATCTCCATAAATGGTGTAGTGGGGAGCTCCCTGTTACCTGTTATTACGGGTTCTTGCGGGTAGAGTTTTTCCGAGGGTTTTTCCGGTTTAGGCCGTGACCAATAGTTTTCAGTACGTGGGCAGGTAGGCCCAGGATAGCATAACTAGCATCTAGTACCCCTCTTCACTAGTTAAGTCAAAAGTATATATTTAGGGCTTGAAATTGTTGAATTGTTGCGCATTTTGGTAATATCATGCTGTCCCGTTTTAAGTTGCACCAAATTTTGAATGCTTACTAAACTTGTTCTAAAGCAATATCATCGATAGCTGACGCGGTTAAAACGCGTTGTTGCTGGAATATAAAATCGTTCTTACGATGTGTTTTCGGGTGGCTCGCTCGGGTGAATTACGTTAGTTTGGTGGTAGGCAGCAACCTGAGCAACCAGACAGGCGTTGGAGAACAGAACAGTAGAAACTTTTATCGTGAAGGTGAGTCGGACAATTGACACGAACAAAATTCCTCTGCTTTCGTTCTTTCCTTCCACCCCAGTCCCTCAAGATCGTTATCGGCTCCCATGGGCCATGGCAGCTGCGCGGAGGCCGAGCGACGATCCCCGCCTCCCTCTTACTAGAAACGGTTTAGCCACCACGATATGCGGTTCACATGCCGAACGGATCGCACGTACGCATAGGAAGGAGGCTGACAATTGATGCAGATTGTGTTCCTTTTCCCTCTTCTCTTAGTTTCTCGCGCTGGTTTCTTTGTTCTTACCCCACCCCCCTTTTCCCCAGAAAGATTATGTGATTTGTTTCCCCTGCATGAGCTAAATAACAGCTTAACACTGGGAAAAGCGGGGTTGGGTATTGGTGTCTCCCCTGAACCATCTTCTCTTTTAGTCGCTGAAACACATACGTATATCGACAGGCCTATTCCTGGGCATTCGCAGGGTTCATCGCCATCGCTTGGAACCAGCGTTCTGAAACGATCGTTGGTTGAGTTCTCGAATGGGATTGTGATTTCTCGGCCGTGTCTCCACATGAATCGCCTTTGATTTTCGATTTGCTTCCTTTTCTCTGTAGTCCTCCTTGTCGCCATGTTTATCGCGTTCGACTCCTTCCAGAGCGGCGAAAAGGGTCTGTCCAACCCCAAGCGCCCCAGACGCAGTGAACGGATCGGCCGACGGGGACTGATGGTGCGCGCGTGCAATTCCTGTCGTCGGCGGAAAATCAAATGCACGGGCGACAAGCCGTGTGAGTCCTGCCGCTGGTACAAAACACCGGAACTGTGTTCCTATCCGGAACGGCGGCAGTCATCAAGGTAAGCAGACATTCTCTCATTAAAGCGAGAACAAGAAGAAACCGCCCGGGCGGACGCGTTGGCCCTCCAATTCAAATATATGGACTAAACTAAGTAGCCACTCGGAAAAATCGGGAACATCGTCAAATCAGTATCGAGCCACCCTAGAAAGGCTTTTTCCAGACAAGACCCCGGAGAATATTGCTAATTTGCCCCGCGAGGCGCTGGTCGAGTTGGTGGATGGATGCGGGTCTCAATCGGGCCAGCATCAGGATCCGCCGACCGTTGCCGCGTCTATACAACCCTACAACTCCGCATTGTCTGTCGGACAGCCGGCGCTGGAGTCCTTGCATTCGATGCCCGAGGAGGACCTCGTCGACCAAGGCCAATGTACTAGCCGCCTTGGCTCACTGGAGCAGATCTCCGATGATGTCAACGCGCTGTCCCTGACCACCCGGCAGCCCGCCTCGTACCTGGGGATATCATCTATCCAGGCGGCCTTGAAGGTCATCGCATGGTTACTGCCGCAATCCAGGCCATACGCATCCCACATCCTGCCGCCCGACCATAGCGACCGAGCCGTGAATCCAACCCCGTCGTTAAGCACGCAGGCCAACCTCGCACCCACCGAAGCGGAGATCGTAGATGCGTATTTCGTCGGGTTTCACACTCTGGCGCCACTGCTGGACGAAAAAAGCTTTCGCGCCACCCACTTGGCTGGGAACAGGACAGATAGTCGATGGCTAGCGCTGTTGAACATAGTGCTCGCGTTGGGAAGTATTGCCGCCTCGGGCCCAGATAGCCACACACACAGGACATTTTTCGACCGTTCGATGAATCTCCTGAATTTAGCGACCCTCGGAACGCCCACCACCGAGACGGTCCAAACCCTAGGTCTCATTGGGGGCTGGTATTGTCACTATATCAGCCAGCCAAACCTTGGGTATTCCCTGATAGGTGTGGCCCTGCGCATGGCGGTTTCGCTAGGGCTACAACGTGAGCCTTGCGATGGTCGTTTGGTACTTGAACCTGCCCGGGCTGCTCATCTGGAATACAAACGTCGTGTATGGTGGGGCCTCTGCTGTCTGGAAACCTGGGGCCATGAAACCCTCGGTCGGACGTGTATGGATTTATTTGCGCCAACTGTCACCGTCTCCCATCCTCGCGTGCTTGATGAGGTGCGATTGAAACGCGTCCCAGTTTCCCTCCACTCTGCCTTCCTGTACTGAGAAACCAGAAGCTGACGGGTCAATAACGCTTTCTAGGAAAATTATCTAGCAATCCTTCCATTGATTGAAAATGTCGAATTCATCAAAATCGCTTCGAAAATACAGGAAGCGTTAGCCTCCATGACAATGATCACACACTCCGAGACTTCTGACATGGATGCACAGCTTCTTCGGTGGTGGGACAACTTGCCCCCGGCTCTTAGAGATTATGAGCCATGCCCCGATTCGCTGTATACCGCGCGGACGGTGATGCGCTGGCGGCTTTATAATCAACGCATGCTGTTATATCGGCCAAAACTTTTAAGCTACGCTATGCGAAGAGTCCCCTTTATGGCTATTCGGATGGAGGAGCGTAATGCCATTCTTGTGTGCCGTGAAATCGCGGAAATTACTATTCAAGATATTCACATGACGACAAGATTGAATCACATGATCGGATGGAATGGCGTCTGGTTTTTGTTTCAGGCAACTATGGTACCTTTAATCTATCTATCTACTCGACCCAAAAATGACGATTCCGCCGTTTCCTTTGAATCCTGCAAGACGCAGGTTGAGACAGCTATGTTGACACTCGAACGTATGAAACCTTACGGACACACCGCAAAACGCTCCTTGGAGGTTATTTCGGGAATTCTCGAAGCTTGCCTGGAAAGGAGTGCGGTGGAAACACCAGATGCAATGACCGAGGGTCTCGGATTCCAGAATATCTCTCAGATGAATGCGTTTGATTCTTGCCTCCCTGCTAGGCGAGATCAAACTTGGGACTGGAATGTTATGTCTTTCGAAAGTCTTCCACCACAGTCGATGTGGGAATTTTTGAGTTGGGGTGCTGAGGATTTCACACTAGGCGTCCCTGGTCTCGGCCTCGAAAATCAGGATATTTCTATGGTTCAACCCCTAGGTGGAGGTGGCTGAACGCGAAGCATCAATGGATTTTAATACAGTCCTAAATCCCCAAACAATCCTGAAATACCACACATTGTTCATATCTTCCGATTTGTATACACTATTTGTTGGGAGGTCGGGCTCTCCCGTCTCCGCATGATTGCCATTGCATTGACTCGGCTATGTTGAGTTTCATGCTCGTCACAGACTTTTTGTTTTTGGCTAAAACCGGTCAAGGCTTTGTGTGAATTTTACCCCATGAGGGCTATTATAGGTGTAATCTATTCAACAGCATTGGCACACGCTGAGCAAATTCCATAATAGTCTTGGGATTATGAAGTGAAAGAAGACTTCGAACTTCATAACCAGGCAGGACACTTTATAGTCCTAACAGTAGAATTACTGCCAAGGTACCGAGACGCAGCGGCGTTCAAGAGCACTGTGTAAAAGCTTTCTGGAATCAATACGTTGAGCAGAAGGGAGAAGGGACAAGATTTGATCCGTTTCTTTGGAATTTCACTTAAAAGCGAAATGTAAGTGAAGACTAAATTGACCTTCTACTAAATAGTTGACTCAACTCCGACTAATCATATCCTGGGCGATTCTTTGGTCTCGAATGGACCGGCACTCTACTTCAGCTTAGAAGCTCATTGATAATATCTAATACCGACCATCAATGGCAAAACTTGAACCTATAATGTATTTGCAGAATTTGATGACTATAGACTACTTGCAATGACGAACACCCAACATAAGTCAGATCGCCTTTTGAAGAAGCAGGGAACACGTCAGAGAGAACATCAAAAGCTAAGCTCCTTTGAGTTGCAACACCTCATCCGTATAGGTGGAATTGCATCCATGAGACCGAAAGAAGCCGCCGATCTTGCTTTGGTAGGAGTCAGGTTTTTCGCAATAGAAACCCTGGTGTAGGGCTAGCGCTGAAACCACATCCCCATGTTAATTAATGAATAATACTTGAATGGGAATTCCAGAATTCCTAAAGGTAATAAAGTTTTCGATAAAAGAGTGTGTGGTTTCAAAAATTCCACAACTAAGTCTCACATGGCAGGGGTGCAGATAGAATACCGCCGGGGCGTGGAAACGAAAGAATGTGATCCCATCACATACTAGTATATAGTGTAAGGCCTTATTCCAGGGTAGCTAGTCATGCGCCACGAGGTCACCCTCACTGCGTCTAGATGGCAACGACATCAACCCAGAAGCGCGTATCGTCACTCAGGTATTTGTCGTCGCTCTCGATCTGCTGCTGAATCCATGCAATGGCATCGATATATGCTGTCGATAACTTTAGCCAAGCGCTCATACATTAGTGGATCATATCATGTAGAACTTACCCTGGATGTCATCCGTGCCCACGTTATTAATGCCCGTTTCTCCATTGCGATGGCCACTAAACCAAGTCTCATACCCGTAGTGCTCCTCGCCATCATGACGAGCTTGGATGTCCTTTGACAGATCCGAACTAGTGCTCGGAGTATTAGCCAACATGTACCCAGGGATATAAACCTCCTTGGAACTTACTTAAGAATAGCACCATCATCGACCTGATCTACGGTCTCGCCTAAGAATTCAGCTGCAGAATGTCTCAGGATATACCAGTTCTGCTTAAACACGCCGAAATTTGTGCCGTCGCCTGTCTTGCCATCACCTAGCGGTAAAGATGTTAGAACCGGTACTAGCCTTGCCGGTCAACATTTAGACATACCATATATGTAATTCGTGGTCATAGATTTGCTAGTACTTATAAGCGAGATTATTGGGCACGAAGATCGAAGAACTAAACTCACGTCTCTAACATCGCAATAGCCAGATCACGAGTGTTGCCACCAGCGTCCACCACCGCCTGCTTGCGAGCCCCGAGCCCAGAGATCGTTTCGTTGCCCCGATCATCCGCGCGGGCCATGATTGCCTTGAAGCCTACTGTCGGAGATGAAACCACCGCAGACACGAGGGACACAGAGGTGAAAAGAGAAAGGAGCTGCATGTTGAAAGAAAGGAAAATTCGAACTTGTTCACTGGGTTATTCAAATGATAGGTTGGTGTTGTATCCAAATCAAAAGACCATGAGCTTCTTTTTATAGCGGTGATCTAACATCTGTAGACATCATGACATCTGGAACAACAGGAACGTATAACTAAATTGCTGTCCCACTTCCCGTGTAAAAACGGGAAATGATCACCTTGTTTGACTACAGCAAGTTGCGGTCCCTCTTCCCCGGTAAAAATCGGAAATTCTCATGTTTCAAGCCTCGCTCCACAGTAATTTGAAATTTTATTTGGATCCACTATGAATTCGGAAAAAATGAAAATGCAACCTCGTCTTTCTCCTTGTTCGTTCCGTGTAAGTTTCTCTCCATTGAGACGGATGTAGTTCCAGATACTAGTCCAATTTACCAGCTTCACCTTCTAACTATAGCTCACAGGAGTTGAGCGTGCTCCCGAAATTCACCAGAAAAGTAGACAAGAAGCCAAAGGTGGAATGGAGGATATTCATGAGACCACATACCTAGATGATAGGACGGGAAAAGATAACGCGACAAGCCAAACGGCATGATTTTTCCAACCTGTCATCTTTAGGTTATACCTGGTCCTTGCTAGGTAACCTTACCCCCGCATAGGCGTTGTGATTATTGGTCGGGGGATCTACATCTTGGCGAAGTTCTTCAGAGCACCTGTTTCGGTCGAACTTCCGCCCATTGTGAGATAAAATAGGCAATTCTACGTCAATATGCGTATTCTCCTTCGTATGACGCTTACAATAAATCCGAAGACTTCGATAGAGAAAACAGAGAAGTTTAAAATAGCAAATCGAGCTGTAACCAAATACTTGAAACTCGACCACGGCTTGCTGAGACAAGCAGGGCTATGTTTGGGGCCCCATTTTGCGGGGTTCTTTGAGAATGGTTGCCTGTTTCGATCGGAATTCCGCCTACTGTACACTTAAACAGTCACTTCGACGGAATCAAAGACTAACAGCGTGTCATGCTTGGCCGATCTAAATTGCAGGTGGGGCCGCAGGTTGTACTAGTAGTCTTGCGGCCCTCAAAGATAATGTATTGAGCGAAGGGCCCCGTCTTCAAAGTTTCTATTTTGGACGGATTTCAAGGTCAATGATTCAATATGGACGGAAATGGACCCAATTCCTTTCAAGTACCCGCTACCGATATAAAATGGCCATTCCACCATCTCTAAAAATTCTCTTACTTGAATGTGCAGCAGCGAATCTTATTTCAAAAAAAAACGTTAGGGACACGTCCACCTTATACAGTAAACTTGGAAACTATATTGACTGACATTACTTTACTATACAGGTCTGAGGATCCTTGCCTGGGCTTTTATTAACTTAAGGCGCGCTGGGCCAACGAGAGGACATAATTATGTCGACCCAGTTTTCCAACTAATGGAAACTCCTGCTGGTGCAATCGTAGCGCTGGTGCTCAACGACCTGGACACTATCGCCTTAAGTCAGGCTCAACGGCGAGATGATCCTTAAATATTCCTAGGTTACCGTCTGGATTTAATAGAGGCCCTGGATCACCTAAGAGCGCAGACGTACTAGAGATTGAACTCGATTGCCTCTAGCTTAAAGCAACCGAGCTACGTAATAAAGTCTCAAGTCATAAATGGCACGGCATGCTCGGAGATATAGCGCGCCTAGGCGTTCGCAAGGCTCAATACCATTGGGTTAGGATTAAGGACCAGTTATCATGATGGATGGTATCTAGCGTGAGGTACGATTGGAAGTGTACTCTGCACGCGTAGAAAATCTATGGCCACAAAAGAATATTGCCGCTGATCATAAAACGGCCAATTTTACAGCAGTTGCTAAAATAGGTGCGGCTAACCTGGAAGGCTGTGTCGCTCATTTCCACTTGACTCTAGGTGACACGAAATCGCCAGCCAGGATATCCCCATCAGCGCCGATAAACGCTCCGAAGTCACTTATGGAGCCAATAATACCAAATTGTGGTGGCCGCATGGCTACGGTTCTTAGAAATTGTATGAAGTGTCAGTATCACTCTTTTGCGATGGAATGAGCTCACGGAAGCTGGTGGAATGTCTCGTTCTGAGAGCGGGGAATGTGCGGATTGGTGACAGCGCTATATACACTGGTACGGGACATGAGCAGGTGGTGGGGATTACGGGGGCTAAGGGAGAGTGACCCACCGTTGGGGTATCGTTACCTGGGACAATAGTCTTTTTTCAGCCCTTTTGTGAATTTGGCTGCGATGCAATCGAAGTTTCCAATTGTGTCGTGGCTATAGTACAATTTGGAAATAGAAGCGTTTCGCTGTAGAAGCATCTCACTGGGGGAAAGGACTGTGGTGTTACCTACTCAAGTGTTTTATGTTATACGAAAAAAGTGGCCTTGGAGTTTAGCATGTTTTGTGCAGAATAAGTTTACAACTTATACTTATACTTGTCTTAATAGGTGACTGATCCAATCCTGACTTCATGCCAATCAGGGGCCTTTCAGATCTAAAACCTGTTGAGGCGTCCACTCCAGGCCGAGAGTACAGTATCTATGCTCTAGGATTGATATCTCCCTCTCTCTTGCTAGCTGTCAAGCTCAATGCCTTCCCTTTGATTTCTATAATACCTCCATCTCTCACAATCCATAGTCAGTGGTTGGGTGAAATAAAAAAAATATTATATTACGAGAAGCCATGTAGGAAAGCCGTTACGAGCGTTCGTCGCCAACTCTCCGCTTAATATTATAGAAGTAGAGAATCTAGATGGTAAAACCTCGAAATAAAAATCACATGGCATTCTCCTGTCAATTCCTACTAGTTACGGCTCCACATCCGCAAGATCATCCTTTTTGCGGAGAGGATGTCCTGTGATGGGGGCCGAGGTCAATCCGAGGAAACAAAGGCGGAGTATTACCCTTTCAGTCGAGGAGTAGGCGGAGGGTGCCGAGTCATTTTCGGCGGATGGCGAGTTGCCGGGAAGCGATCGGCTTGGATCGCTCGCTTGGGGTAATTCCTATCCCCACTAAGGAGCCAAGGCAACTCTCGTGATTGGACCAACCTAATCCAAGAAATGTGTCCAGACCCATTTCAGCTAATGACATCTGAGGCATTCACAAAGTACCACTTCAGGCCCACAAAGGCAGAGAAAAGCAAGTCCCATGACCATAAGAACATATATCATGTCTACAGCCGTCTTTTCCCCGAAGAGTAGAGTCATTTTTTCGCGATTTACATCTATCGGCGTGGGAAACGCGACTTTTCAGCATGATTGCAAAACCTACACATCCAGACTCATTAGTTGAGAAAGAAGGTGACAACGATGTCATGCACCAGGAGCACAAGGAGAACGTCAACCTAGAAATTGTTCAGGGCTCATTGGCTTTGGAAATAGCCAGGCGGACCAATCCCCCGAGTCCGTGGAGTTTTCAAATGAGAAAGCTATATTTATTTCTGACTGTGGCATATCTCTGCTCAGCCTTGAACGGTATGCAAGAAATGCCTCAATGCCAATGAACAATGCATCATTAACTGATTTAGGATTTGATGGCTCCCTTATGGGTGCCTTGCTTCCCATAAACCAGTTTCGCGAAACCTTCGGCTCTGGGTTGGTCGGCTCTAAAGCTTCCTTGATTCAAGGGATGTACACTATTGGAGGCGTCTGCGCGCTGCCGTTTGTCGGCATTGTCCTAGATACTTGGGGTCGACGATGTGGCATGTTTGTTGGATCTTGCGCTGTCATTTTGGGTACCATTCTTGGTGGTACTGCCAACCATATGGATCAATTGCTAGCCAGCCGATTCTTGCTTGGTACGTGTCCCAGTCAGCATAATCCCTTTTGGATGGCGTTGCTAATAATATATTCTAGGTTGGGGATACTCCTTGGCCTCCTCTGCCGCACCTGCCTATGTCGTCGAGATGAGCCACCCTGAATACCGTGATATCCTGACTGGTTTATATAATTGCCAGTACTTCGTCGGCGCTATTGCCGCTGCTGGCGCTTGTCGTGGATGCCTGAGGTTCGAAAGTTCTCTCGCGTGGCGCATCCCAATCTGGTGTCAGTTAATTTCATCCAGCATTGTGGTGTCGACTGTTTGGTTTATACCCGAATCACCTCGCTGGCTCTACAGCCATGGACACCGCGAGAAAGCCTGGGATGTTATCATCAACTATCATGGCGAGGGCTCCCGGGAGAATGCCTATGTTCATCTACAGGTCCAAGAATATGAAGAGGCGATCAACCTTGAAGGATCAGATAAAAAGGCATGGGACTTTAGAGGCCTTGTTAACTCGAAGGCCGCGAGATGGCGTCTGTTATGTGTGGGTATCGCATCTTTTATGAGTCAGTGGGCCCAGGCTGGCGTCACGACCTACTATATTGGCGGGCTTTTAGCGACAGCTGGTATCACTGATACAACGCGAGTGCTAGACGTCAACCTTGGAAATACAGTCCTTTCTGCTGGTCTAGCCTATCTAGGAAGTTACTTGGGCCCAATGATCCGACGCAGACCTATGATGATTGGCGCGTCTATTGCTTGCAGTGTACGTAAGATTTCTCGCATGACTATTCTTTTATCGATGTTCTACGCTAACGTTTCGAATACGAAGATCTGCTTTGCGAGTTTAGCAGCCACAACCGGGGTGTACACAAAGACACTGGAAACAGGACCGGCCACTGCTTCTATTGTGTTTATTTTTTTGATTGGCGCTTGTTTTAGCTTTGGCTGGACTCCATTGCAAGCCATGTATGCCGTCGAATGTCTTTCATACGAGACTCGTGCAAAGGGAATGGCAATGTACTCTGTCTTCACCAATATTGCATTGCTGGTGAATCAGTTTGGAGTCGGAAATGCCATCGATGCCATTGGCTGGCACACATACATCATTTTGGCCGGCTGGAACATTGTCCAGGGAGTGATTATCTACTTCTTGGCGGTTGAAACAAACAATAGGACCCTCGAAGAGCTCTCTGAGATTTTTGATGCCCCTAATCCTCGGAAGAAGAGTACGGAAGTACAACAAGTCTTAATACCTGAGACTGAAAGCCAGGCGGTGCAAGTTTCAAGTGTATAGGTGATTTTACACAGCATTTTCTAGTTCTAGAGTCAGTCCAAGCATGGTGTGTGATTTGCTTGCCGCGAATATGCAACCAAAGTTATGTTATGCAAATGCTCAATGTTTTGGTTGTCGGGGATTATTACCGGCTATGCTCATTTCCATTGGACTTGATGAAGATTCATACTAGTTGAAGGAGCGTGATACCCGTCGAGACCAGATTTTGGAAGGCAGGATATCATTGTCCAGGTAAGAGCCTTAGGATGAATGGGTGCTTATCCATACCCTATCTAGCAACAATCACTCAAGTCTTCCGTGGAAACGATCATTCCACTCTCAAACAACAGCGCTCGCAAGAACCAATCGGAAGGGTCGAGTCAATCATCGCAAAAATCTATGCTGACTACACCAATTTACTGCGCATGAACTTCAGCATGAGGATGTCTCTAGAAAAAGAGAAAGATATTAGCGCTGAGCTCGAGCCCCACGTGCAGCGTCTAATATAAACAGCCCGGAAAGCTGAGGAACGGGCTTGGAAGCTTGAAGAACAGTCAACGTGTAACAGGTCTGGGTAGCTTCTCAAAACACGGAATCACTTCAATAGACCAAGGAGAACGTCGACGAAAGACCCTAAGTCTCTAAAACGTCTGCTCTTAGATGTGTATCGGCAAGTGTTATGTACAACGGTGGTGTCAAATAATTGAACGGTGGATGTCAGCTTGATCGGGACGATTCGGTTGGCTTTAGCGGAAGCATAGTTAAGCTAGGCTCATCAGCTCTCTCAATTCATCTCCCTGTGTTTAGTATACTCATTCAGTTCTTAATCTCATAGAATAAAACCACCTATACTCGACTCCGGATAGATTTAATCAACCCCTACAGGTCTTATGTAGGTCTAAGTGAAGTTACTAGAACACAATTGTTACAAAATGATATAAGTATTTGAGTACTCTAGATCGTCCTTTTTACCCTAACTCAATATTCCCCTCCTTCCCAGCCCCCCAAGCCAAAAATCCGCTAGCATTAAATACTCTCCTACTTTCCACGAAATTCTTCAAGTACTCAAAATCCCAACACCGTCTCGCAAATCCAGCTCCCAAGAATCCATGCTCTGTATCCACTGCCGGCTCAAGCGTACTATCAACTGAACAGGTAATTGATTGGGCAAGAAAATCAAAGCAGTGCGCCACATGCACAGAGCGGTTTCGGCCTAAGTCGAAGCGTTGAAGATCCGAGTCAAGTGCATCAGCATAATAGGCTCGCCGGAGGAGGTAGAGGCAATGTAGTTGGTGGAAGACAGAGGGTATTACCACAGAAGAGGCATTTGACTTTAAGCTTTTTGTTGTCGAGGGAATGAAGTAGCCCAGGCCATCTGTAAGCTCTGTCAGTACTGGTTCTTGCAGTGTGTGCTGAAATCTGGAGAGGCAAAAAGGAAATGAGGACGTACTAGGTATTAACGCATCCCAAGCAGGCTCTGAGATGTTGCCTCCTCGCGGGGCTATTGTCGAGAAAGGAGAAGGATACATGAATTCGCCTGCGATTCGGGGGAGGATGATTTGAGGTGCCATATGCATGTTCTCTAGAGTCTCGGATCCATCGTGCTCTATTCTGATGGGGTTGAATATGTAAATGGTGAGCAATCCCCCGGTCGTGAATGCGGCTATTAGAGAGGTGAGGAAGTAAAGAATTTGTGCAATCGTAATTTTTCGTTCGGTGGTTTTGGAAGTTAAGATCGAAGCTCCTCTTCTCCATTTAAGTCTTCGTTTCCGTTTAAAATGCTTTTGTATGTTTGTGATCTTTTTGCGCATATCGACATCTTATACGATAAATTTGGAGCAGAAAAGGATTTTTGAAAAGGCGAATCCGGGAGTCGAGCACGTAAAATCCGAAGAAAAAATGTCCATCTGAAGCTAGTCAGCTAGGCGTCACTTCTCAACGCTGACTAGAATGTCTTCAAAATGTCGAATCAGGCTCTACCAAAATTTCTAGTGGATCCCACTGGTCAGCGATCAGGCAGCCCCTACTTCGTCTTACATAAGGAGTGTGTTGTCACGAAAAATGTAGTATTTTTCTAAGGGATGCTCTCCTGAGAAGTAAAAACCAAACATCCATGGATGATTAACAAAGTCTCTACTGAATGACCGTTAGGTACCTAGGGATCCTGAATATGCATTTATACCTTCGCGCATTCATGGTTTTATTTGCGATCGCTTCCATTTCTCAAGATTCCTAAATCGCATGATCAATCAATGTGGGTTAGTATCAAACATTCTCTGCTTCAAGGGTTGGAAATATGGGATTTAAAAATAACAATACATGATAACCTTGCATGGACATCATGGATATAACGGTCCAGTTTGCCTCAGATAACTAGTGGGGCAGCCCCAAAAGCCATGGTGAATATGATGTTATACAGCCTTACAGAATGTGGTATCTCAAAAAACACGTTTTTATCTGCTTTGTTCGTCATTTAGTAGCTTCGTTACATGTTGGTTTGAGAAAAATCCAAATATTTCTTTATCATATCATGGCATTTGGTGTTATTACAAAACAGAGACATGGAATGCAAGTTGCAACCAAAAAATCCAAACTTGTCCTCTGACTCCTAAGAGGGGCTCTATATCACATAAAAGCCATAGAGCTATTAGCAAACTTCGTACGGTATATGTAAGAGCTCAGCTGAGGTGTATCTAGGCTACATTTATCGCAATGTTTGTTGTTGTTTTTTTTCTTTGGACTTAGGCCACTCGCTTCTGATTGAGTGACCTCATAGGGTAACGCTATGTGACGGTGACCTGCATATTCAGCTAAAGACGAAATGAGCTGCCAGTGCTGTGATATGTCTTGGATTAAGCCAACCTTGTTTCTTGACATTGAATATAATGTTGATCAGCGTTTGACTAGGATTTTAGCGCCTAAGATCTCCCGCTTTGCAGCTGGGAGGTGAGGGGGCTTAAGGTGTGCTACTATTATTGTAGTCCATCTGCAGGTAAGAGAGGGGTAAGACGCTTTAGGCTGGCTGATCACACTGATTAGGCTTCATACTGGTTGGACTTGAAAGTACTAACTATTTGATAATATCATGCATGGTAAACAAACCTTTATATTTATGGCACTCATTTCCTCGTGTTCTCGAGGAACCATCTCCAACAACGCTGAGTTCGCCAAGCCTTCGGTCTGCGGATTTAAAGTCATCCACCGTTTTTCAACAACTTATTTATCGTTGTGCTCCGCTTTGCAATAACACAAAAGCCTTCGCCACCAGTGATGCGCGCATACTTCATCCTCATTTCTTTCTTGGGCGCCATGGCATTGGCTGCACCCGCTCCAGTTAAGAGTGAGTATATCCCAAGATGTACATTCAAGGTTGAATAAATTCGTCTGACTATTGCTACCAAGCCGCCGCTACTATCTGGTCTGAAGAGCTGAAAAATGGTGATGAGAGTTTCGCTGTCGCCGATGGGTTTTAAAAGATCTTTCTGTAGTGGAGCCAGAATTTGTGACTAAGGTTCAATCTACACCATGGGTTCCGAGACCTTCTTTGATAATTACCTAATAAATTAGTAGTGGATCCGACTATGGACATATTCCTTCTACGTAGGTTCTCAAGTAATACGTAGATTGTCAAGTGAAACCTGCCTCGAACGCTTCTTCTATACCTTCTTGCTTATTCCTGTTGCGATCGACTCTTCCGGCAAGCCGACCAAAATCTCTTCTTCAGGTACATATCCCTCATCGACCACATACCCAATCCCATCTGGACAATGCATAAACCTCTTCAAACCAGTCTCATCCTCCGGCCTGTCGGGACGCTTGTAACAAGCCGTATGAGCTTTCGCCCAACTTTCTAGCTCTCCCCAATCCCTACACACTCTATTCTGGCCGACCCCACTAACAACCTCGACCCTTCTTTCCGTAGCTCTGGGAGTATCATCCGCATCACAGATAATCTGTCGTCTCAACGCGTCTAGACAATGCGCGATGTGGTGCCATGTTCTCGACTGTTCCTGGCCGTTTCGAAACTCGGAAAGACTCATGTAGATTATTTTCAGGCAATGTAAGTTGTGGAAGCCATGGAGAATGTAAATCCCTTTGTTGGCGTCCCAAGGAAAGCGTTGCGCTGTGCGGAGGCCGTGAGATATGGCGAAGGAGTCTGGGAGTGCAACAACACCATTGTCGATATTTATGGAGTGCCAGAGTGCGTCTGCAAGCGTAGTATTGGGAGAAGAGTAGTCAGTTAAGAGGACGTGTGGCTCTGTGTGGGTGAGGTGGAGTTCGGCATATTTTGATGGCGTTTGATGAGGTTTTTAGTCTGAGACGAAGAAGAAGAGAGTTATTATGTTGGCAGTGAGAGATAACAGTAGTATAGGAATCAGGATCAGAAATCGACGCCTGTAGGGTTTCGGGCTTTCGATGCCATTTGCAGCTGTGTCTGGATCTGGGCCAGTCTTGTCAATATTGTTGAGAAGACCAGCGCATTCTTCCTTATTCTCAGATGATGTTCTCATTGTAGATTAATTGAACAACCCTTTTGATAGATTTTAAGGGTTTGAAAACTAAAATACAGGATTTGAATCTTCTCCCTCGCCAAAAATCCTAGAACTCACCTAGACCACACATGTACACCCCCTGCATTCATGGCGCTCGCATGCAGCGGTTTCTCGCAAACCTTGCCCAAGAATATTGCAAATCAAACCGCCTGGATTTCCGCCCCTCTGAGATTGAATTTTAGCTGCGAGTCACTCAATCGAGCAAATATACCGAGCTTGAGGCAATACGTGGGCAGGGTGGAATTACTCCGTATTTGTACGGCCAACGGTTATCTTTCAGCTGATCAGTGATCTTTTTAGATAATAAAGTTGGATTTCGCTTTTTACCCAGACTTATTTGATTGTGTCATATTCTGTACCTCAATCTATTCGGTTTCATCAACCACGTTTCGCCATTCGAACTATATCAGCATCTACTATACCTAGTCGAACTCCAACCCAAGCGCATTCCAAGTTTTGGCGCAAAGCGACCAGCGATGACATACCATCGCGCTCTCGTCCCTGTCAACGACCGCCCAGGGTTAATATTCATGACATCAATATTCATCGTGATAGGGACGTCCGCAGCACTACTCCGCTTCTACTCTAGACGACTCACGAAACCCCCCCTAGGACCTGATGACTGGTTTGCTCTGACTTCCCTTGTGGGTCCACTCTTCATTCTCCATTCTCGGATCGAAACCACACACCAAAGCCTCCAACTGTGATAAACTAATGTCTAAGTGAACAGTTCTTTGTCCTTGTTTCTCAACGGAATCTTTCTCGCGGGTGTAATTCAAGGCGCAATAACCGGTCACTCCATAGTTCGAAACAATTGGCCCCAACCTAGCGCGCTCGAAGTTCTGGTCCAGAAATACAAATTTGCTTTCCAAACAACAGAGAAGATCGCTTTTGGGCTGATCAAAATTTCCATCTTATTCCTCTGGAAGCGGATGCTAAGTCCCATCCGCTCTTTCCAGCTATTGTGCTGGATCATGATTGGGATCGTTGCTGCTTGGAGTATATCTTTCTTTTTCGCAACCTTGTTTCAATGCGGGACACATTGGGATTGGAATTGGGCGCCAATCGGATTTTTCCTGACGGAGTGTACGGGTACGCTCAATATGTTGACAGTATTCTGTGGGACGGACGTGCTGACGGATTTTGTGATTATGCTTATGCCTGTGCCGATCATTTGGGGGTTGCAGATGTCGGCCAAGAAGAAGATTGGGGTCACGAGTGTGTTCATGGTTGGAATATTGTATGTGCTTTCTGTTCTCCTCTTGTGGAAAGCTCCTGTGGGGATGCTGAACACTAAAATTGATATCTTACAGCACGATCGGTGCAGGAATCGCAAGACATATATCTATCTCGTGACATCCTACAGGATAATCCTGATTTCATTGCCGGTTTCACGCTGTTTATCCTTTGGTCGGAGATGGAGGTCAATGTGGCGATGATTGTCTGTTGCATGCCGGTCTTTGGACCTGTTCTTGGCCAATGGCGCGAAACGTTGTACCATCATTATGGTCACTCAGAGGAAGGCGAGTTCGGTCTCCTTCGACATTCGGCCTCGGCGTCGACGAAAGAGGGGGAGACACACCTCACCACTCTCAGCACTTTCGGCGGCTCCGATGCACACCATGAACAGGGCGGTTACGAAGCAAGATTGGACGATCCATATCGGTAAAGCTGGGAAATGGAGTTTGGTTAGCCAAAGGTGGCCTTGAAATTTTGTTTATATGAATCAAACCAAATCATGGAATAAAGAGATCCAGGTCCGGAGTGATAGTCATTTTATTTCCATATTACTAAATAAGCAAAATCTTGGCAGCCATCTTCGTCTGGGCTGCAATTTTGTGAGCATTATGTCCTTGGAAAGATGGGGGCTTGTGTGCGAAACCAAGTATTTTTGCTTAGTAACATGAAAATTTCATGGTGGCCCTCGGCTTATCCGTTTGTGTCAATTGCAAACCGGCATAAAGGCTCAATGACGCGCAAACGGTGAATTTGATGTGGGGTCTATGGTGATTCGGTTCTTTGGGGTGTTTTGCGGGGTGCCTCGGAAGGAGAAAAACTTATCTGTTTCCTTAAGAAGAGGTCAGCTGATTACCCAAGAAATACCAGTGATGTTATACAGTAGAAGGAGCAAAGAAGTAATTAGGAAAATACCTTCGTGGGCTCCAGTGAAAAATACATGAAAGATAAACTTTTGTCCATAACAATACCATACGGCAAACAAGGCAAACGAGGCGTATATAAGCAAACGTAGTCAGTAAATGCACCCATCCATGAACGGGCGATCATCCACCCGTGGTGCCCGTGGTGCCCGTGCCCCGGTGGACCCCCGCCCCTGGCAGTACAAAGGGCGTATTTGATGATCCCCTGATAGCCCAACTTGTATCTCCATCTCTTAAACAGTCTTCTCTTTCTCATCTACCTCGAGACTTTTAAGGGACTTAAATTTGGAATCACTGACAAAATCACTCTAGCCAATATGGCTAACCGCCTCGTTGCCTCCGTGGTCGCTGTACTCTTGGCAATCGGTGCAATCTATTACCAGAACCTTTTGGATACATTTTATCCAAGTCCCAACTTGAAGGTAGTGGACTCCCTGCGAGATGTCACGTATCTCGGCAGTCTTTCGCCCGCCGGAGTTGAACATTTCCAGAACATTTTCTACGCAGAGGCACCCACGGGGCCTCGGCGTTTTGCAGCACCAGCTCCAACAAAACCGGAGAAAGGGTCTCTTATTGATGCCACGCATTCTAGTGCCTGGTGTCCGCAAGGCACGGGTGATATCCTTCCATTCACAAGTGTTGTGGCCAACATCAGCGAAGACTGCCTGAGCTTGAGAATTGCCAGACCAGCGGGAACGCAGAAAATTGCCAAGCTCCCAGTTGTTGTTTGGATTCATGGGGGCGAGTTTACCGTTTGGGAGCACGTGAGCTCACGAATCTGACGAGTATACAGGTGGTCATGCTCTAGGTTCCGCTTCTGATATTCTTTACGAGCCTGACGGCTTGGTTAAATTGGCTGCTGTTGATGGGCTGCCGCTGGTGTATGTTGGCATCAATTACCGTCTGGGCCGTAAGCCATTTTCCAGGGGCTCCTGTAGTTTCCCCCTGATGCGTTGTAACAATTGCTTATTCTTACACAGTATTCGGATTTGCAACCAGTGACGCATTGATTGCGACGAAAGACACAAATGCAGGACTTCGGGATCAGCGTACTGCTTTGGAGTGTACGTATCTAGAGCTGCATGATCTCACATTCCAGGGCTGAAAATACAACAAACAGGGGTTCGTGATAATATTGAGTCATTCGGCGGTGATCCCAACAGAGGTACACTCAACTACTGTTTCCCGGAATCGCGCATCGAGATGCTAACAGACTGTATCTAGTGACTGTCATCGGACAAAGCGTGGGAGCTAGCGATATTGGTCTGCAGCTAACAGCCTTTGGCGGTGACCAAGATGTCCCATTCCAGCAAGCAGTGTAAGTGAGTCGAGACTTGAGACTCTTCGATACTGACTACTGACCCACGGCTTTAGCATGATGTCAGGTGGTCCAGGGTTGAACTTCAACAGCCATGCAACCCTGCTTGCGAGTCGCATGGCTGCCATTTCACAACAAGTGGGATGTGGTAGCGGTGAAAGTTTGGAGACACTAGGGTGTATTCGGGATATCCCATTCGAGCGGTTAACCAACCTATCGGTCACTGCATCTCGAGCCGCCCACCCACCTTTCGGTGAAGCCTATTTTACCCCACGATTGACAATGACTTCATTCAAGATAGACCCTCGCAGTTGACACGTGCAAGCAGGTTCACCAAGGGAATACCGATGATAGCATCCTGGGTCACGAACGACGGTGCTTGGTACGCACTGCCGACCACTGCGACTGATAATGAGGTTCTAGGCAGTTTCAGCTCATGGCTGCACAAACTTTCCGAATCCACAAAAGAGAAGCTCCTGAACCTGTATCCTCTGGACGACTTCAAGCACATGATCGAGTCAGAGCACGAGGGCCAAGTATCCCCGCAGTATTATCGTGCTGCACAGATGAACCGCGACATCTGGTTCACTTGTCCGGTTCTTGACTTTACGTGGCAGTATGTCAAAAATGGGGGTGTGGAAGCCTCTAATGTGTGACTGTACGAATTTAACGAGACCAGATACACACCAGTCTTTGATACAATGGTTGTCTCGATGTGGGGCGTTGCTCATCTTAGCGATATTCCTTACCTATTCTACAATGACCATCTAAGAGCCGGTGCAGATAACTCTGATCCACAACTTGCGCTGGCCCGGAATTTCAGCCGGACAATCATTCAGTTTGCGTATGGCACCCCTCAAGGGGCGGACAATAGACTTGAGTCGTGGCTGCCTGCCTTCCCAAATAAATCACCAGAATCTTCCACAAGCGATATGCCTGGAATTGTTACAGTGCAGCTGTTTGGTGGTCCTCATGGCTCAAAATGCACTACATCTAGCGAAGGTACCGGGGTTGAAACAGAAGACCTGACAGATGCAGAGAAAGCTCTTCATTGGGAAAGGCTATTCGATCGCTGTGCATTTCTCACTGGGCCTCAGTTTAGAGAGGAAGCGGGGATATGATCAATGTGACTTATTAAAGTTCCTCTTGTGATACTAGGGCAGTTCGTGACCATCTTTTGAATGAGGAGTGACTGAAAGCCTTCTAAAGAAAAGTCTAAAGATCAGACTAAGCATAATTCATTTGTTTCTATCCTACATAAGAATCTAAATGGTCCAATTTATGGCTCTCCTCCACCACGGCTAATCCGCCTGATCCACTCCCCGATTGGGGTACCCCTCGATCGTCCGGCTGGAGCTGTTGTATTGCGCAGCCCATTTATTGATCTTCCAAAAATTGCGGCAGGTATGCTTAATCGCGAAGTTAGGCATCCAGGGCGCGCCGTTGCCGCGCGAACACTCGGGGCGGGGTATATGCACCAACGGCGCCACAACGCCGTGGCACATGATGCTCTGTCTGATTAGTATACAGAAAGTAGCTGAATGGGAGGAGTCGAGCTGGTGGGATACCTGTCTTCTCTTGCACACAAACACAGCAGTGGCTTTTTAACAGTCATGAGGGAGGTTTCTTCCTACTTCGAACCTCTGGGGCGCTAGATATTTCCAGACTTCGCGTTGCCTGTAAACGCCTTCTTCAATCTCACACTGCGATCTCTTTTTGCCCGCGTTGATGACAAATTGGTCCAAGTTGTGCTGGACGACAACACAATCCCATTCACCGAGCATGCGGATACTTCCAATCAAGATCCGATTTTGGCTGCGCGGGATTTGTGCGCGATTGATCCCAAAGCAGCATTCCCTTTGGGATTACCCCCTTTGTGGTTTACCTTGGTCAGTGGACCTATTAGTCAAAATGTTCTTATAATTCGGCTGTCCCATGCTCAATATGATGATATTTGTCAACATACGATTGTCCCGGATTTGTGCCTTTCGTACCGGGACGCGAAAGAAACGGTTGTCTCGACTGATTTTGCTCCCTTTTCACGAAGCCTGGATCGAGAGCAAACATCCGAGGGACTCGCCTATTGGAGATACTTGTTGGGTGAATCAACGATCACCAATTTGCCACGGAAAACCCCGCAAGCGGTCTCAGAAGATGTCATTTTACGATGCTCGAGCAAGGTGGTGATCCAGAATGCCCCCGATGAGATCACAATGGCTAGCGTCATCAAAGCTGCGTTGGCAAATGTCTTGCGACAAGCGACTGGAGATCGCACCATTTTATTCGCCCAAATGGTCAATTTTCGAGGCATTGACGTGCCAGGTATATACCGCACTTTCGGGCCAAGTTTCAACAGAGTGCCTGTTTGTCTAGAATTCGCTCAGTTGAAGACGGTCCTTGATCTGCTCCAGGCTATACAAGACCAACATACTGGTGGCATTCCGTTTGAGACCATTGAATGGGATCACATCGTGTCCAACAGTACCAGCTGGCCTCTGGGGGCTCGACCCCAATCTTTGGTTATTCATCAGGATGTTCCAGTGGATGTGAACCTTCGGATGAGAAGTGACCTTCGATGTCAGATTGCCGATTATGTTCCCATTGAGCCCACCGATGATTCTATTGAGCTTTACTCTGAAGCGTCGGATAATTCTGTGGAACTAACGCTGGTATCCTCCAGCCATTTCATTCGTAAGGGTGAGATGGAAATACTATTGGAGAGACTTTGTGAATCTCTGAATACATTCACTGCCAATCCTGATCATTTACTAGATATTTAAAGACGGCATTCGATGTTTGTACACTGATTTTGATATTGATGCTTATGATAGCTTTCCCATTTCTAATTATAGCTACTTGGTAAAGGGGATAGGATTTATGTTAATTTAGTGTGTATAACTTTCCTCCTATATCAAATTTCGTTCAATTCTACTACCTTCTCTACTGCCTTTTCTTATATTTTTCTAACCTAGAGGAGTAAGTCCATATGCAACTATCGAAGACTAGACACTATGGCAGCCTCTGATAAAAGTTACCTATTTGATGATTGTCATTCACAGATACACTAATTTGTGTTTCATTCTTTCCATTCCAAATTATTGGTGCCTGTTCCAAAAGCTAGGGAGAATCATGAAAATTCAGGTTTTTTAGACGGCTTAGGTCGGGAAGGTCCGGAGCAGTCGATCGCCTTGACGCTAAGAAATGATCGTCATGCGGGGAACCCACTTTTTTTATAATTGACGAGGGTAAGCAACATACATTAGTGCCAGACCGAGCTCTCTACACAGTGAGCCTCTAATATTATTGGGAGATATTCTCGCAATACATTCTTGGTTGATCCTTGGCAGCGACAAAGACCACGACTCCTCAGGCGGTTCGCCGGCTTAGACCCCATCCTACCATTTAGTGACCAACAAAACTCGTTATTGTCCGGGCATCGGAATTAGGTCTTGGCAGGATGACAGTAATGCGAGGCGCTATTGCCACTCGTGTCAATTATAAAGTCTGACATGACGGCCGTGGAAAAGCAATTACATTTATAATTCTATTCCGAGCTCGTGTACTCGTGACGAAACAACCGGAAAACTCATCATGAACACGATGACACGCAGTCTCACGGCGCTGTCCATGGCCGCTTCCGCAATGGCGCAGAATATGTCGTACGGAGCCGAAAACTTCTACCGCAGCAATAACGTGACTATTCAGCCGGTTAGCTTCCCGAGTCAGTATCAGATGACTGTAGCGGGTAACCTCTTCTTTCTCAAGGACCTCGATTGCAGCGCTGGCTGTCCAGCCATTGTCATCGGTCACCCAATGGGTGCCGTGAAAGAACAAAGCGCGAATCTTTATGCCACAAAGTTAGCCGAACAGGGGTTCGTCACGGTCTCAGTCGACCTTCCCTTCTGGGGCTCCAGCGAGGGTGAGCCGCGCAATGGAGTGTCACCCGATCTCTACTCTGAGGCGTTTAGCGCTGCAGTTGATTATCTCGGCACTCAGAGCTCCGTCGATCGCGAGCGGATTGGCGGCCTCGGTATCTGTGGCAGCGGTTCTTTCATAATCAGCGCGGCAAAGCTCGACCCGCGCCTTAAGGCCATCGCCACGTCGAGCATGTACAATATGGGAGCATTGTCCCGCCATGGGCTACAAAATTCTCAAAGCGTCGGCCAACTAAAGGAAATAGTCGCAGAGGCGGCTCAACAGCGCTGGACTGAAGTCGATAGTGGCGATATCCAGTACACGAGTGGCGTTCAAAATCATCTCACGACGAATTCTACAGCGGTCCAGCGTGAATTTTACGATTATTATCGCACCAAGCGTGGCGAATTCACGCCTGTTGGCTCTATACCGGAGCTCACTACCCACCCCACACTCTCCACATTCACCAAATTTGTGAATTTCTACCCGTTTAGCGGTATCGAGACGATCTCACCTCGACCAATGCTGTTTATTTCGGGCGACCAGGCACACTCCCGCGAATTCAGTGAAGATGCCTATTCGCGTGCTAGCGAGCCGAAGGAGCTTTTCTGGGTGCCAGGTGCAGGCCACGTTGACCTCTATGATCGCACTGAGCTTATTCCATTCCAAAAGCTCACTGACTTCTTCCGCCAAGGTCTTCTTTGAAGGGAGCCATTGTCGTCACAAAGTAGCGGTAACGGGTTCGCATCCGACTAATAATAGTCTGGTCCCCTTCCCTGAGTAGGAAACAGGGTCTTGGCGCTGGAACTTCGAGGGGCTGGGGAGGTGCATCTGGTCGGTCCAAGAAGCGAATTGAGACCTACATGTATTTTGTGTTTCCCTAGTAGATAGGTGCTAATACTTTACCTTACGTATAGCAATGAGACAGATTTATTTTCATGTCTGTCAAATGAAGTCAAATCCCTAATCTCTGTCATTCTCGCAAGTTCGGCGGTTGCCTTGCCTAATCCTGCCATGGGCATTTTCCATAGGAATTCGGAACAAAATGATGGGCCAATCAAGCATGGGACTTTTGCTTACATTGGTTCAGACATGGATCCACATCCCGGAAATGAACTTGCTTTCTGAACCCCACTCTCGACCAATTGGCGCAAGCACCCAAAACTTTGGCAAAAGGCTTCTGCCAGTCAATCAGTTTAGGGGCTAGTTATTCAAAGTCCTGATCAATTAGTCAGACGGAAATTTCGAGCTCCGAATTTAACTAACTTTTAGTGAAAGCGCTGGTTAGCGTCATGCGTCGCCGACCCCGCCCGCTCTTTATTAACCACCTACTTGACGAATTTATTGCATTGCGGTTTGTCATCACATCACTTAAGATACCAATCGAAATGGCAGAATCCTCGTCAGAAATGCAGATCATTCCGCTGGCAAAAATGCCTCAACAAGCCGGCCTTAGGAAAGCCCGAGATGATTGGACCGGTATTATAAATCGAAAAGAGCGAAGAAAGCTACAGAACCGACTCAATCAGCGACGGTACCGTGTGTATATCGGTTCAACCAGGATATGAATAACGGTAGCTAAAGTGAGATAGGGTCAAGAAGACAAGACAATCAAGCAGGGTCACAGGCCGTCGTCGAAGCTAGAGCCTCCTCAAGCCCTCTCTGCTCGCCGTATAACTCCAGCATGCCTCCACTTATATCCCAGGCGGATCGACGCGACGTTTTTGAATGCGCACATGCACCACCACATGCCTTGAAATTCCGCGACTGGTTTGAAAAAGAGGCGTACCAAAGCTATATCGATGGCTCACCAAACAGAGACCATTTGATTGGTCTTAGTCGACTCAATGTCCATCGAGCCATCAACGAGAATATTGATTCAATTGGAATGACGACCGCATGGATGCAAAGCGATGATTCGATATCGATCTTCAATCTGAAACAACCCAGCTTTTCGGTCGAGAAGATTCCATTTTGCTTACGTCCCACCTTCGTGCAGTTGCATATTCCCCACCATCCTTGGTTAGACTTTTTCCCATTCCCGAGCATGCGTGACCGCATGATTCTTGCTGGTGACTCTTTCGATGACGATGACTTGTGTCATGATCTCATGGCATTTTGGGATACCAGAAATACCGCTGCCACATTACTTGTGTGGGGAGATTCGTGGGAAGCATCAAATTGGGAAGTTACAGAAGGGTTTGCACTCAAATGGAAATGGTTGCTCCGTGGATCCCCTGAGCTACTAATTTCAACAAATCGTTGGAGAAAGTTGAGAGGGGAAAAGCCCCTCATCTGGAAAAATATTCTGTCTGATGCACAGAAGTGACAATTATCTTGAATTTCCTTTTTCTTTTGTCGGATGAATATTGTTCATTAAAATGGATTCTGCTGCCTGGTCAGTTGAACTGACGTATGCAATGTGAAATAGTAGAATCGATTAGAAGGCCCACCTGAATAGTTTGCATACATAGGAAGCTTGAGCCAGGGACTTCACACGCTTTCCAACGAAAGCTCTTGGGATCAGATGACTGGTTTTCGCTGGGGCGTTGCAGCAAGGCCAAGAAATCGCGAAGTACTTTATGAGCAAGACCATGGACCTATATCGTCAGTCTCGGTTGATCGATTTGCCTTAATTCTGACAATGGTCATCGCAAATTGGCCAATCGGACTTTAGCCGTTGTACATTCAGTCGAAAGGCTTTTCTGCTTTCACCCTCCACGCTTGGTGTAATATTAACTCTTTTACCCAAGAAAGGAAGCTCCAAAACTATCGCCATTCCTGCATTTCCCTAAAGGTGGTCAATTTTTTTCTTTTCATTTTCTTGCTCAGTGTTGGGACAGTCGCTATTCCGATTTTCAAGCTGTCCGATATTCTGCCCGCCGCTGGGAACCCACTGTCATACTCCGCGAAACCAATCATGTCTATCGATTTCATGCAATAGCACAATATCCACACCCAGTCATGTAGCATATGTACGAAGAAGAGCCTTCAGATTACGCTTATCTTGAAGCTGACGGCTATGAGAACTCGTTGCGCTTTGTGAGGCCGGCTTTATATCTGGTTGTTAAGCGGCGATCGAGAAATTGGAATGATTTAAGTATGAGCAAATACCTTGATGCATTCTACCCTTCAATTCACGGAAAATATGAATAATATGCATTGCTAGTGGGCCAATCATTCTTATGTACTTGGACCTCTGTGCTACATCTGAGTTGTTCAGTGTATCACCCTCTCTTGTTTCTTCATGGCGTTTCAGATAAGAAACTACACTATCTTCGCGGGAATTGGAATTTATACAAGGAGTGATCTTTCTTTTGTCTTGTATAATGAGGGCTCTTAGACTAGACAAAAAGGCCCATTTCAACGGGGGCCGCCTTGACTTGGTCTTCCTGAATACTCTCAAGCAGAAGGTTACCCTGATAGTCTTCAAGTCCAAGATCCATGTATCCCTCCAGTGACCACTTCTTGCCTGAGATGAAGTAAGAACGTCCGTTGATACTGCTGTCATTAAGTATGTGCAGAAGACATTGACTTGCATCGGAAGTTTCGGCGAACTGAACACCTACACTAGTGATATGCGCAAAGTCCTCCTCCGAGAGGATATTTGTCTTGACATACCTGACTATGTTAGTTTCAGGTACGTGTATATCACAAGTGTAGATTCCTTACCAGGGTGATATGACGTTCACGCGGCTCCCATAAAAATGAGTAGTCCTTCGCAGTGAATGCATTATTCCTCGCATCGCCCATTTTGTGGCGCAGTATTGAGGAGCTCGAGGGCAATCAAGGAATGCTGCTCCTGAACCGATCAAAACCAAGCAGGTGTCTTCCTGTGAGGATGACGGCCGTTGGCCATTCTGCTTGATAAAGTAATGCGAGGCAAGCTTCGAGGTATATAGCGTCCCGATAAGATTGACATTGATAGTAGCAAGATCGGGCTTTTCGGGCTGTTTGCCATCGCCTGCATATGCAAAGACCTCATCCTGGCGGTAAATCCCAGCATTCGCGACGACAAAAGATATCTTACCAGTGGAAGAAAAAGACGTTGCCTCTTCAAACAGACGGACTTGATCATCCCAGTTGGTAGTATCACACTCGATGAATTTAGTGCTTCATAATGCTTAGTGAAAGGGAAAGTGCTCATTGAATCGCAGGAACACATACCCTGTAAGCTCATCTTCGAGACTTCGCCCCCTTAGAACATCAAGGTCCGCGATCACCACTAACGCTCTGTATTATGATGAGTGATTGTAAGCCACAATGAGATTTCTTTGTTATTGTATTACCCTGCTGCGATAAGAGCACGCACGTATGCCTCTCCCAGGCCACTTGCGCCTATATGGTTCGATTAAGTTCAGCCCTTAGCGTGGCCCGAGGGACTATGAGGAAACACTCACCGCCAGTGACAACAGTTGTCTTGTTTTGCAGACTCTTCATACTTATGTCCATGTTGTTCTTGACAGTAGAAGCTTGGCCTCTCGAAGAAATGATGATATGAAGAAAGTTAAATCAAAAGAAAAATGATTGACTCTACAGGAGACAGGTTTTATGAGCAGTAGTTTCAGCTATCTCGTGGTATATAGTCGTTATGTGGAGACGATAACGCGCTAATGCAAGTCGCTTATACTAAGATTTGGGGCTTACATGAAATACGGGACTAGACCCACTAGCAGACCTCGATATTACGCGGTGGGTAGCTAATCACGTTATTGGCGTCCACTAGTGGGTTGCGCACTGCCTCAAACCTCACTTGTCACTACCTGAATTGGACTTCCGCACGACCTAGTATAACCCGGACCCGACCTAGACTAGGTTAGGTCTGGGTTTACGATTAGGCACCCTTGGAAGAAAGATAAGGGCTAACTGGTTCCTAGGATAAAGCCACAAGGAGTAGATCACCTATTACTAAGCTAGAATTTGCCACCTAGGCACGTACACCAAATAATCAGCAAGTGAATTAGTTAATTGTTGGAAATCACATAAGCAGCCATTGATGCTGGCTGATTAGGCATGAAGCGCTTAGACGGAAGAATAACTCGAGGAAGACTTAGGGAGAAAATCTCGTAAGGCTAGGCGGAAAGAGGAGATTGATAGTATTGAGGCAGAAATGCTCCCTCTTGAACAGGAAAAACAGGCGATTCATATACGAATCGAGTTGGGCACAGGGTCTATGCATCAATAGCTAGCTCCATACCTAAGAAATAATGTATCTAAAGTTCTCTTTATACATAATAGGGGTATACCTAAGGAGTAGGCCCCGGCAGCACCAGCGAACCACCCAATACCCGCTGCCTGTTGCCCAGGAACGACCTGCCTTACCTCTAGATAATTCTTACTGAGTTTTGAGCCCAGCCTGTTTAGCAACTTGACCTCGAAGCTACCAAATACCAAGTTTTAAGTTTTAGGAAAACCCTCAAGATAGTACAGGTATTATCCTATATTCCAGAAATAGAGATATCACCGAATGATCCTAAGTAAAGCCGAGGATATAACATCTTAGGATCTTTTAATGTTTTTTTTTTGGGTGCGTCACTAATATACAGGCATGACGGTCCGCGAGAGCACGCAAGATGGACCAAGATCGTACAAGGAACCGCACCAAATCCTTCAGTGCAGTCAATAAAAGAATTTGGGTTATTAAGTCGGTGTGCCAGCAATTCCAGGCAGTTCACAACTTCTCGCCTGTTCGCGCAACTGTTGCCATTACTCACGGTACTCACCAACAATCAGGATGCCTTTCCTTTTGAGGAAGATCTTACTAGAGCGCCTCAACTGGTTAATTCAGGAGATTCAAGTAGTGCTGGGGCTACCCGTATCCTTCACGCCGATGGTATACAAAATGTCGCTGTCAAGATTACTCTTTCTGTAAGATATCTTTTGTGTTGATCTTCAGTTGACTGTGTGTGTGCAAGGCTTCGTTTTACACAAATAAATCATGCCATCAGGCTTGTGCTCAGCAACTTTCCTCCCTAGTAGAGGGACCGTGGAGATTGAAATCGCTTTCAATTCTTTTGATCAGAGGAGAGCCATGTTGAGCGAGAGTGGTGATTTGGTGGGATTCTCTCCAAATGCAGAGAATATTTTGATCATTTCCTAATTAACAATTCGGAATGGTCGGCATAATATTTCCGGGAAATTATAATGACCTGCTACATTTACCACAAACTTGTTCAGGAGCACGTCTTCAATGTCTACAACTGCGAAGATAATCTCTTACCTAGCGGGTAGTCGCCCAGCCACGAGCTTGCCGCTGGGTTCAATAATCGTTGCCAGTGTGCCGCCATCCTCGAAGCCGTCTTTGTCGTGCTGGGTCAACATCCATGCCCGGCCTACGGGGTACGCAACTTTCAGTCTTCATCTTGTTTGCTTGCAAGACAATTGGCAACCATAGATAGCCTGTGTCATGTCAATCCCTGCTCCGTATGTATTAGAGTTTGGGGGCCGGTCAGCTGAAATACAGAGAATTGAAGGAGCACTTACTTCTTCATTGTTCCATATAAGCAGAGGACCAAGTAAAGTAGACAGATACTGGATAGCTTTTTGATCTCTTTTCATTCACATCGCCAATGTTGTTGACAGGATAAGGAACAAGCCTGATTTATTTGCAACACTTTTATGGAGAACATTGGTACGAAACACGCTAAGAAGTGGTGCAGCTTCTTTGTTCATCAAATACAATATGAAGATATCTTATGTATGCTTCGAGGGCCTACTCGTCTTCTCATGCCATGGTTGTACAAGGTAGAATTCGCTTTTGACTTGAGTGGAGAATGACTGACGCAATTAGTCAGTTCAACCTCTTATCTAGTGATAATTTGAAAGTGAAAGGTCTACTGAAGGGAATTTGGTCTTTATCAAACATTTATACGTCGGCAAGGCCAAAGCCTCAATAGGGCCGTCGTAGTTGAGAAAGTAGTGTCACCGACGAAAATCTACTTGATGGCATTTTCTAGACGACCCTGATATACTCTATTGATGAGTCTGATGTACACAGCGGATTTGATCGTAGAAGCATCAGATTCATTTCAAATAAATGATCAGAGGTTTGACTATGGCACAGACCCGTAGATTGTGGTACATATAAAAATATAATATCAACAAAGTCTCTAATCCTGCAGATTTCCCGACTAGTAAGACATTATACTCTACGAACGTAAATAAGGAATGAGCGTATCAAAATGATTTGTGATGTGTGGTATGGAGAGGAAGAAGTCTATTGTAGGTAAGTTGAAAACAAGGAATGTGAGTGTCTGGTCAGTCTCCTGGCCTAACAGATTCGATGGTCACCACAGACTATACAAATTTGTTCATTGGAGGCCAAGCTCTATCCGAGAATTTTGATTTATTTGCCGACCAGATTCAAAAATATCACTTCGATCTACGCCTTTCTTTTTAGCAATCGATATGTACAGTACTTGTTGAATACATAAGATGTATTGTATGTGCACTATATGCTGCAAAATATTTCGTATCTCTTCTCCTGTTATCTAGATTGATTCAACCTGTTATGAGTGTCTGATCAATTCTAATGGCAATTCAATGATCTTTTAACAGTGAATTCGCACTTACGAAAAAAGGGTTTAAAAGGCTTCCCTGTGTCTAGCCCTTCAATCCTCCGCGTTATCCTTCAAGCTCGTCGAACCGATTTTATTAGGTAATTCATACAGCTCACTTATATACCTCGAGGAATACGTGATAATTTTTGCCACCTATTTTCTATTAGCTGTGGTATGAGATTTCAAGGTTTTGACGAGTCGAAATGATTTTCAAATATTTATCTGTTTGTCTGTTTGAAGCGCTCATGCAGAATAGAGCTTCTAGAATTCCAATCACGTTTTTCCCCATCTAAGAATGCGTCTAAGAACATTGGGCTATGGGAATCAGAGCGATTAGGGGCAACGCTTGAGGACATGAAAGACAAATCATATATATGATTGGAGTTGTTTCATTAAAAATACCGCATTTTACCTAAGGCAGCTGATTTATTTCGGTTTTTTCCTAAACGGGTAATATGCTGCGTTGGCGTGTCAACTTGATCAAGACCGGGTATCTCGGGATCGACAATATCCGCTTGTTCGGTAACCCGTGTGCCGGTGTTACGTCCCGAACCATAACCCAGCTGCGATCTTACATGGAATTATTTCTCCCTGCAATTGTTGTTATGGAAGTGAAGTGGTCCTATCACGATAACCTGACTGGTCACATAAAATTCCGTATTTCATTCCAAGGTTAACAAATAGATAATTTTCCATTTTTGAACAGAATTGCAAGAATCAAGGCAAATGATCTTGGATTCCCTATTCTAGTAATATCATGCTGATTGATTGAATGATGACGGCCGGCTAGATCGGGATCGATCAATATAGTAGACTACCAAACTCTCGGCGACGAATGCCATGCTATTAGGTCTGCGTCCCTGAGATTGGATCTGTCTTTCGGCAGTCAACCCGGAAACCTTGGGTTAATACGCTGGCTTTTATTGGGTAATTATATACAATAGACGTAAATCACGCACACAAACGTGAAGCTCCATTACCGGGCGGCTCCACTTTCATAATTTTTCCATACCTAGTGCATAGAAAGTGTACGATCAGCAGCTATTGGGGGATTACCAATGGCTAATGACCGGAAATTTTCATTGACTGGATTTTGCTAACCCGTCGTATCCACCTGTTTACTCAACAAGAGGGAAAAACCTATTGTATAGTTTCGGCATATGTTCCTTTGCTCCACCCACTATGGGTTCTAGAATATTGGTGTTTACGTATTCGCAAATCTCGGGTAGCCGAAGTACTCGTAGTTCTTATAAATACCCGAATCCCTAAGTATTCTAAGTCTATAACCGTAGTTCTGTTTTCAATTGGACTTACAGTACCATTTGGAAATCGCTGCTTCTGTCTTGGGGCAGAGAATCCGATCACATGTCATCCTCCGATAAACACCTCGAAAAGGACGAGAGGGAGAACCGCGACACTCTTGCCGTTCCCCAGATCAATCTCCATGAAGCCAGTAGCTCAGAGACTCTGAATGCTCCTCGTACTCCTCCAGTTTCGTCCCTCGACGAATTTGGAAAAGATCATTGGAAAAGCCACGAGACACTCGCGCTGCCCGTTACACGCACCGGCTCACCCGCCGGAAAAAATACAGAATGGATTATGACACCGCAAGTGATTCGAAACGCAGAGCGTGACGAAGCCGCAGGTTTCAAACGACGCGAGCTTGGAGTGACCTGGCAGAACCTGTCTGTGGAGGTTCTCGCCGCTGAAGCAGCAGTGAAAGAGAACATGATCTCTCAATTCAATGTTCCTCAACTCATTCAGGACGTACGTCGAAAACCACAACTGAAATCAATATTGTCGGAGAGTCATGGCTGTGTCAAGCCTGGGGAGATGCTGCTTGTCTTGGGTCGGCCAGGTTCCGGATGTACCACGCTGCTAAAGATGCTTTCCAATCGTCGTGAAGGATACCATGGCATCAATGGCGACGTACACTTTGGAAACATGACATCTGAAGAAGCGCTTAAGTACCATGGTCAGATTGTGATGAACACAGAAGAAGAGTTGTTTTATCCTCGATTAACTGTCGGCCAGACGATGGATTTCGCAACCAAGCTCAAAGTACCTTCCCACCTTCCTGATGGGGCCAAGAGAGTTGACGACTATACTTCCGAGACTAAGCGATTTCTTCTGGAGTCCATGGGTATTTCGCATACTGCCGATACCAAAGTCGGGAATGAATTTGTTCGTGGAGTGTCTGGTGGGGAAAGAAAGCGAGTGTCTATTATTGAGTGCCTCGCAACCAAAGCCTCTGTCTACTGCTGGGACAACAGCACCCGCGGTTTGGACGCCAGTACAGCATTAGAATGGGCAAAGGCTCTGCGCGCTATGACTGACGTTCAAGGCCTCTCCACTATCGTCACACTCTACCAAGCTGGAAACGCCATCTATAACCTATTTGATAAGGTCCTTGTCCTTGATCAGGGTAAGCAGATCTACTATGGGCCTGCAGTGGAAGCAAAGCCATTTATGGAGAAGCTAGGTCTGATGTATACTGATGGAGCTAACATTGGTAAGACACCCCCTTTTTGATCATCATCTGCTTAAGAAGTACTAATTGGCTTTCAAGGTGACTTTCTGACTGGTGTGACTGTTCCGACCGAGCGAAAGGTCAGACCTGGTTGGGAAAGCAAATTTCCTCGAACCGCCGACGCCATTCTAGCGGAGTATAAAAATTCCGAGATATACAAAAAGGAAATCACGGCATACAACTATTTCAGCAGTGATATCGCTTCTCAGCGCACGGAAGCATTCAAAGAATCTGTGGCCTGGGAAAAGTCCAATCACTTACCCAAGGGTAGTGACCTGACTATCAGTTTCTGGGGCCAAGTCATTTCTTGTACCCGAAGACAGTATCAGATTCTGTGGGGTGAAAAGTCTACTTTCTTGATCAAGCAGATTCTGTCTTGTGTGATGGCTTTGATTGCTGGTTCTTGCTTCTATAACTCCCCGGACACGTCAGCTGGTCTTTTCACTAAGGGCGGCGCCATCTTCTTCTCGTTGTTGTATAACTGCATTGTTGCTATGTCTGAAGTCACTGAATCCTTCAAGGGACGTCCTATTCTCATCAAGCACAAGGGCTTTGCCATGTACCATCCAGCTGCATTCTGTCTGGCTCAAATTACAGCGGATTTCCCAGTGCTGTTGTTCCAATGTTCAATCTTCTCGGTTGTGATCTACTGGATGGTTGGATTGAAACACACCGCGGATGCATTCTTCACCTTCTGGGCTATTCTTTTCACCACAACCTTGGTACGTGAGCATCAGTCTATTACTGGCAGTCTCTTAAATCATCAGAAGCTAATGATTAATAGTGCATTACTGCCTTGTTCAGATGCATTGGAGCCGCATTCAGTACCTTTGAAGCTGCTTCCAAAATCTCAGGAACCGCCGTCAAGGGTATTGTGATGTATGCAGGTTACATGATCCCCAAGCCCGAAATCAAAAATTGGTTTGTTGAATTATACTATACAAACCCATTTGCATATGCCTTTCAGGCTGCGATGACCAATGAATTCCATGGCCAGCAAATCGATTGTGTTGGTGGAAACCTGATCCCACATGGCCCGGGCTATGAAAATGTCGGATCTGCCCACAGAGCCTGTGCAGGTATTAATGGTGCTAAAACAGGTGCTGATTATGTCACCGGTGATCAGTATCTCGGATCCCTTCATTATCATGCCTCCCAAATGTGGCGAAATTACGGTATACTCTGGGCATGGTGGGGATTTTTGGCAGTCCTGACTATCATCTTCACCTGCTGTTGGAAAGGTGGAGCTGGCTCTGGATCGTCCCTTCTCATCCCTCGTGAGAGTTTGAAAAAGCACCAAGCGCACAACGATGAAGAAGCCCAAGTGAACAAAGGTTGTTTAGCCCAGACGACTGCAGATGTGCCCGTCGAGGTCAACGGTGAGAACCTTGTTCGCAACACGTCGATCTTCACCTGGAAGAATCTCACATACACAGTCAAAACCCCCACTGGGGATCGTGTTCTGCTGGATAACATCCATGGATGGGTTAGGCCTGGAATGCTTGGCGCCTTGATGGGTTCATCCGGTGCGGGCAAAACGACGCTACTGGACGTGCTCGCCCAACGCAAAACAGAGGGTACCATCAATGGCTCAATTCTGGTTGATGGTAGACCTCTGCCCGTTTCATTTCAAAGAATGGCTGGTTATTGTGAACAGCTCGATGTTCATGAGCCTTACGCGACCGTGAGAGAGGCTCTACAATTCTCTGCTCTTCTACGCCAGTCCCGCGATACCCCCAAGGAACAGAAGCTCCAGTACGTTGAGACTATCATTGATCTCCTTGAGCTCCATGACCTCGCAGATACGCTGGTAGGATCTGTGGGTAACGGACTTAGTGTTGAGCAAAGAAAGCGAGTGACTATTGGGGTGGAGTTAGTCTCAAAACCTAGCATTCTTATCTTCTTGGATGAACCTACATCTGGATTGGATGGTCAATCAGCCTACAATACAGTTCGGTTTCTTAGAAAGCTTGCCGACGTTGGTCAAGCAGTGCTCGTCACCATTCATCAGCCATCTGCACAGCTTTTCGCTCAGTTCGATACTCTTCTCCTCCTAGCCAAAGGCGGCAAAACGGTTTACTTTGGAGATATTGGAGAAAATGGAGCCACAATCAAGCGTTATTTTGGTAAATACGGGGCCCAATGTCCCACGGAAGCCAATCCAGCCGAGTTCATGATTGACGTGGTTACCGGGGGTATTGAGGCTGCTAAGGATAAGGACTGGCATCAGATCTGGCTCGAATCTCCGGAGCAGCACGCAATGATTACCGAACTTGATCAAATGATTGACGATGCGGCAAGCAGGCCACCAGGAACTGTTTCCGATGGATATGAATTCTCGATGCCCTTATGGGAGCAGACCAAGATCGTTACTCAGCGAATGAATATCGCACTCTTCCGGAATACAAACTACATCAACAACAAGTTCTCTTTGCATATTATTTCCGCTCTCTTGAATGGCTTCTCCTTCTGGCGCCCCGGTGAGAGTGTGACAGCTTTGAACCTGAAAATGTTCACCATTTTCAATTTTGTCTTTGTCGCACCTGGTGTCATTAATCAACTACAACCGTTGTTCATCCAGCGCCGCGATATCTATGATGCCCGCGAAAAGAAATCCAAGATGTACTCCTGGGTTGCATTCGTCACAGGACTGATCGTGTCCGAGTTCCCATATCTCTGCATTTGCGCAGTCCTCTATTTCGCCTGCTGGTATTATCCTGTTTGGACACTCCCTCACAACTCGAACCGATCCGGTGCCACTTTCTTCATTATGTTGATTTACGAGTTCATCTATACTGGGATCGGCCAGTTCATTGCTGCCTATGCCCCAAATCCGACTTTCGCTGCGCTCGTGAATCCTCTGGTCATCAGCATCCTGGTCCTCTTTTGTGGCGTTTTCGTTCCATACACGGAGCTCAACGTCTTCTGGAAATACTGGATGTATTACCTCAACCCATTCAATTACGTGGTCTCTGGGATGTTGACATTCAGTCTCTGGGATGCCAAGATCACCTGTCAGGAGTCTGAACTGGCGGTGTTCGATCCGACGAATGGTACCTGTGCTCAGTACTTATCTGATTATATTGCTGGTGAGGGCTGGAGGGTGAACCTTCTTAACCCAAATGCTACCACCGGCTGCAAAGTGTGTGAGTACACTGATGGCAGTGATTTTTTGTCGACCCTTAACATCAATGATTATTATTTTGGATGGAGAGATGCTGCGATCTCAGTCATTTATGCCATCAGTGGATATGCGTTGGTTTTCGGTTTGATGAAGTTGCGGACGAAGGCTTCAAAACAGGCGAAATAGAGACGAGGTCTTGTCGTTTCTCTTTTTCCTACGGGATTCTGCCCATCGCGGTTGAATCGGACCTCGCCCCTTCCAAGATTCCACGTTTTGAAAGATGTGACCTCCGGTGATCTCTTATCTGCGTCTTCCTTTCTTACGGTCGCATCTTCATTCCACGCAATCCGACTATCTCTTCTCCTTTTTCTATTTTTCGTGGTTTTCTTTTTTGGCATTGTTACCATTATGTGGAGCAAAAAGACATCATCAGGCAGCTTTTAAATTCTTGTGTGGGTTTATTGCCGGGAATCAAATGAGGTTTACCTTGCATTGAAGAGCTTAGCTCTTTGTCCGTTTTCCGTTAATGCATATAAATGAATATTGCAATAAAATGTGGATCATCATCTTGGCACAGTCCATTGTAGAGAGGCAAGTGAATCATGTAAACACTGCCAATGTTGTTGATGGCTTTCTATGGCTTCTACCTAGTGTTCCAGGCCTTAGACTTTTCGGGTCACTCTCTTGTGGACCAATCAAGGAGAAGGCCAGCGTCCGAGGATCCATGCTCCTTATGTGTCACTCTGGATTCTCCTGTAGATTCACTCGTCTTTGTCACTTAACTCGAAATCATATTCTTACATCTTTTGGTCCGTGTTACCTTTCCAGTAATTCAATGGACCTATTCCATGCCGTAATCCAAGGTTCTGATTGACATGTTGGTGCGCTGACCAATCACGATTCCCCCAGTCTCAATGGCTGTTATGCCAAATACTGCTACATGTATAGACAGCAGCCTTTGAGTAATTGCGCATTGTGGTAGGGCCAGCCTAAAAGACGCGTAATCTACACGCACATGTCAAGTGGCATAGCCTGTGGATGCTCAGTTCGTGCTAATTGCTCGGGCGATCGCATCGTACTTTCAGTGGAACACAAACCTACCGGGTAGCATCATTCACTTTGTGTTTCATGAGAATGTCGAACGTAGGGATTCGTGATACCAATCAACTACATCATTAGGTAGATAAAGTGCCACCCGTCATCCCTAGCTCACAAATATATTCCAGATAGGTGGATCTTCGTAATAGACCAGTCATTTTCGTTCCATATAACTAGCGAGGGACTGATATAAACGCTTTCTGTCCTACGCAAGCCCTAAGAATTAGTGCCACTTGAAAAGGACTAAAACCGTCCACCACAAACTTTGGCCATCCCACTCACCGTCGCCCTCGGATTGAACCAAGCCCAAAATTGATCGTAATTGACATTGCGTCCTGGCCTTTCGGTCTCCAAGCTTTCAATTCCACTCTTGCCGCCTAACATAGCCCAGATAATTTATCCTGAATTTTTCATCTCCGGTTCTGGAGGCACCTACCCAGAATCGCAAAGCTTGTAACTACGCTTTAACAATGAGGCCCATCTTTTACGCTTTCGATCCATCGGGAACTACTTCATTTGTGCCCCCAAAGTATAAGTACTTTTCTTTCCTTTCAGACTCTCTTACTCAGAGTATTCCCGGTCTGGAGAACACCGAGTCTATTGATCCGCGCGCGAAAGGAGTTCCTTGGCCAACGTCCTTCCCTGCCTGTTTACAATGTAAATACTGGCATGCTGCAGATGATGCCGCAACAGAGCTCATCCATCAGATAGAGGCCGCACAACCAGAGCGCCAGGGGCTGTTACCTTCGGGTATGCAAACTCAAATAGGATCTACCACGAGTGTGACAAAGCGCGAGGAACTGATATTGACATCCGCCACTGCATCGATAAACATGTTCCCAGCGGCGAGCAAAGATCGAGTCAAGATAATTGCTAAGGCGAACGTGCTTATATTCATACACGACGGTATGTCTTCTGCTATGAAGATTGTAACTGAAATCGAACTTTGGGGATTTCAAAGTTGGGCTAAATCGAATACCCCATTTTGAATAGATGTTATTGAGTCTGGATATGCAGACACGGTACAAGATCATTTTCAATCAAGTATTTTTGACTACACAATTTTATTAGCCTAACGAATACGGATATTAGGGAGTTACCATCATCGAAAATGTGACATTTGACCAACTGGATGGGGATCAGCAAGCTGATAAGATCCGGTTATGCAAAAATGATATATGGAGACAATACGTCAAAGAGGTTCTTGAAGAGGATCCGATTATTGGACCAGAGCTTCTAGGAGGTATCATAAAATGGGCAGAATATACGCGCGTTCACACCACCAACCCACGCATGAGATATAACACGTTTGGTGAATATGTTGAATTTCGTATCAGAGACTTCGCTGTAGAGTAAGCATCTAGCTCACAACGAAGCATGCTGATACTGACCATACTACCAGGTTTATTGACGCTGCTTTAAAACTTTCCTGTCGTACCCCTTTGACAGTCGCAGAGATGGAACCTCTTGAGTCTCTCCATACTCTTTACATCACACACTTCTCACTTACCAATGATCTTTACTCATATGGCAAAGAGTATTTGGAGATGCAAAAATCGGGAAGTGCTCTTATAAATGGCGTGAAAGTCCTGCAGGATCTTCTCTGCGTTCCCGCTGATACAGCGAAGGTGCTGCTTCGAAGTTTCTTATTGGTCCTTGAATCTCAAATTCATGATGCGTACGAAGCATTGATTGAGAATGGGGACGTAAACACGCTTCAACTTCGCTTTGCTCGTGGAATGATCGAGAGCCTTGCTGGAAATACCTTTTATTCCGCGACATGTTTTCGATATGCAAGAGTGGTTCCAGGCTCTGCATTAAATGTCCCCATGGATTGAACACTCTATTTTATCTGGGGGGTTTTTTTTTCTGTTCTTTTTTCAATCAGTCCTATGAATACAATGGAACGATTCATTTCAATAATGCATATGTCGACCCTTTATATGGGAAAGACTTCTAGAATTTCTATGGTGAGAAGCTTTGGTTGCTTCCAGGCAATCAAATGACTGTCTCATTCAATCTAGTGAATGACTGCTTAGTAGTCGGATTGTGGTCGATTCGAATTTTTCAATTTGGCCTCCCTTGGATTCCTGAAATCCTTAGCAATAGTAACACTGATATCACCCACAAAATACTTAATTATATCTGGCTGTTCAGACTGAATGAAGCACCATGCTCTTTTTGTTGGAAATTTCACACGGAAATGGGCCGTCTTCAATGCTCCGTTAGCAGCGTGACACTTGCCGTCAGTGAATGCCTTTCCCAGACGCCGGTAGAAGTGCTCCACTTAGAAAAGTTTAGCATAGGAACCTGTGTCTCAAAATACAGATCTGGCAAATGGGTATTCAAATTTGAAGAGTCGGGCGTTTCAGTTATATAAACCAAGCATCAGGCAGTGGACACATAATCATCGAATGAGTCATGACTACGTCTGTCTCGTTAGTCCTGAATCAGGGTTTATACCCAGGATTAGCCCCCAAGGCAATTCGTGCCGTGCAAGCCCCCCCCCCACTCCGTACATAGATGGGAAATTAACTTGAGCATGAGCGATCCACGCGGAATATTCCGCGAGATATCCGGGCCCACGACCAAGGTCCAGAATGCAAGGGCTAGGATCATTGCCGAGCTTCGGTCGGCATTCTTGCATATTCCCCTACCGACCAGCTCTTCTTTGTTGCTCGGCAGTTTCTGGTCACTCTCCGCTACGTTGGTGCGACAGAGACTCCATTATTGGTAATACAGTGTTCGGATTGGTTCATGCTAAAAAAAGTCCAAAAGTTGGGTCCTTGCCAGAGTGGGTTTGGGTCATGTCCAAGGGCCGTGAGTGGCTCTCTAGTAACTCTAGATCCCTCGGTTATGTTCTGGATGTGCTAGAGTCAAGCAATATTCTTGGCAAAGCCCCTGTGGAGATGTATCTATTAGTAAGAATTGATGTGTGCAAGCTTCTAAGCTTATTAAGGATCAAACCTTCCTGTAGATGCACTTGTGGCATGTTGACGTCCGGTCTAGTCAGTAAATAATATTCAATATGTTATAACCCCTGAAGACCAAGGGGGATTTCAATGTTCTAGGCCAAACTCGAGAGAGACCTGGCGCTAATATGGGTCCTGCTGTCTTGATGATGATTGGATAAGAGAATCACCTAAGGCTGAACCGGTTACTTACAAGAGTGGAGAGGTAAATAGGACGTAGTACGTATATGGACATGCAAGTTTGCATATTTGCCATGCTCGTTTCCTTTTTCTTTCTCACCATAGAGAATATTTATAGTAGAAACAGTCCTTTGCATTAGAAAGAGATGAACTTAAACAAAGATCATCGAACAAAGAAATCATTGACACTCCAAGATCTACCATGTGCATTCGGAGTAACGCAACTCCGGGCCCGATCGGAGCTGCTCCCGCCCGTTAACTCTTGACTCCACCGCGAGAACTGTGGCAATCGTCTCTCCACTCCAATTTACGTCGCAAATTTTCTTATCACCCCTCCTTTCCCTTCCTTACACTTTTGCAAACACTATTATTCTACGCGTGACCTAGAAATCAACTGCCCATCCCTTGTTCTATTGCTGCGAAGCTCTGCGTGACGAAGCGCAAGCGCTCCAGCTGCCATGGGACTCTCCAAAACCAACAGGATCATTATCCTGCTTGTCATTGACACTGCATTCTTTTTCTTAGAGTTGATCACTGGTATGAGCTGAACTTTTTACTGCCATTTACGCATTGCGCTGACTTGTGTTTCCTTAAGGTTATACCGTCCACTCGCTCGCTCTTGTCGCTGATTCCTTTCATATGGTTCGTCCTCCCCCGGTCGCAAAGTACCTATACGCGCGGTAATGAATGGTCATCTAACCCATATCCTAGCTAAACGATGTCTTGTCTTTATGTGTTGGACTATGGGCCGTCAAGGTTGCCAACCGCGAGACCAACTCGAAAATGTACACATATGGCGTAAGTCGGACGGAAGCGGCAACCCCCACCTTGAACAAGATCTAACTATGAACTCTGGGGAATATAGTGGCAACGGGCTGAAACCCTAGGTGCATTGGTCAATGGTGTTTTCTTGGTCGCTTTATGCATGTCGATCTTCCTGGAAGCTATTCAGCGATTGGTGGAGCCCCAGGAAGTGCAGAACCCCAAGCTAGTCTGCATCGTAGGTTGCTTTGGCCTTCTCTCAAACATTCTGGGCCTGGCCCTCTTTCACGACCACGGGCATGCTCATGGCGGGCACGGACATGGTGATCACGGTCACGCCCATGACGAAGACATCGAGTCAGGTCACGCCGATCACGACCACGGCCACAGTCATCCCGAGGCTCCATCGCAACATGGCCTTCCACACCCAGCCACCGACCCCGCATCTCCTTCTTGGAAGCGCCGTGGAGCTGACTCCCAAAGCCGCACCTCTCGACGATACAGCACCTCCGGCCTGGCGAGTGTCGAGGACATCTACGTTCATCCCGCGACTATGCGACAAGATATTATTGCTGCTAGTCGGGGCTCCTTTGACGACGAATCGTCCGACTCAGACAACCGTGATGACGAAACTCCTACTGAGCGCTCTGGCCTCCTCCGTCATCGAGATCGCGCCTCAAACTACACCGATCAAGATGGGGGTCCGTTAAAGACCCCTGGTCACGTTGAGGACGACCTCCACAAGCATCACAATCACGCCCAACCCAAGCCCAAGGGCCAGAAGGGCGGTCACAGTCATGATCTGAACATGCGCGGAGTCTTCCTCCACGTGATGGGTGACGCTCTTGGCAATATTGGAGTGATCGCCTCTGCGTTGGTGATCTGGTTGACCGATTACGATTGGCGCTTCTACGTCGACCCGGGTATTTCTCTGCTCATCACCGTCATCATTCTTGCCTCTGCGATTCCTCTGTGCAAGGCCGCGTCGCGAATTCTACTGCAGGCTGCGCCGGCGGGCTTGAGCATTGATCATATCAAGGAAGATATTGAAGGACTTCCGGGTGTAATTGGCTCACACCATCTTCACGTGTGGCAGCTGAGCGATACTAAGGTTGTGGCCTCGATTCACATACAAGTAGATACGGAAATCAAGGGTGAAGGATCGGAGAGATATATGCGTCTTGCTCGCCAAGTCCGACGGTGCCTCCATGCCTACGGCATTCATTCCTCAACCATTCAGCCAGAGTTTGCCCCCGAAAGCGATACCGAAGATGGGCCGCACCTGACCCAGGCATCGTCGTCTCGAATGGGCGCTGACGACGTGAACCCCAGCCCAGCTACCAGCCTGCGGGATGGCGACTCCCAAGCCTGTCTCCTTGAGTGCGATGACAATTGCGCCCAAGGGGGTCAATGCTGCCCCAAAAAGTGAAATTCAAGCTTCTTACACCCCCCTCTCCTAACCTACTTTTCGCCATGGAGCATCTCATCATTATCCTACTTTCCTGTCCTCACTGTCCATCTAGAAATACCTTGCCCATTCCCTCTCGTTCATTCCAGCTATTCTTGACTATGGTTCATGCCTTGGATCTTCATGCTGCTTTGTACCCCTGAAACCCAAGTTTCCTCTCTGCCTTGAATGCTGGCATGGCATTAGATTTGATTGCTTTCTCTTTATCGGCGCCTCCGTCATCCTGGTATCCAATCAGTCATTGTATCTTTATTTATCCTTAATGGACTATTCCACATCCGGGATATTGGGGCTCGAGCTATCCTACCCGCCAATCAAACATGCAGAGTTCTGCTCAGATCATGACCCCTGGTGGCTTAATTAGCCTGTTACTATATCTGTTTTCTCATTGCCTTGTATCTTCTCTTCTCGGTCCCAACATTTGAGGTTTTGTAGATACACTGTACACCCTCCGGTTGCAACGCAGGGTCACGTGGCATCGACGCCGCGCCACATTGTTTCTCGGGCCCCTTGTTTTCGATTAGGAAGTCCAATGCTTTGAAACATCGTTTGAAAAAACAACATTATAGCGCTTTTAGTCTTTCTCTCTCACCTTCCTTTTTTTCGGGCTGCTTCTTCCTATTTCTTGTCGTTCATTCATGTGCATTGGCTTTTAGAGCATGCAGCGTCACTCCTTTCGTTGATTCCCCACCCAAATGAACCCGTGTCGCCTAGGGTTGAGCCACTTCTCTCTTCACCCGAAATGAGTTACGCCTATCCACGCAACATAGGTGGTGCTACCCTTCCTTCTTTTACAACTTCAAAACTACCGAGTAGTGTTGATCGCTCGTGGGATGGCCTCTTCGGGGCCGCAAAACAATGGATTGCAGAGGGCGTCTATAGCCTTCGAACGGCGAGGCCTCGGAACAGACTTGATGTCCAGAGATCCACAACTCTCATCTTCAAGCGTATATTTACAATTGCTAATTCGGTGATCCTGCTATGGGTGTTGACCTTGTGGTGGGGAGAGCGAACGGTCTTCCGAAAAAGTATAGAGGCTTGCGCTTGGGAGAAATGGGAAAGCTGGGTAGGTTGCTCATGTCATTGGCTTTCTTCAGGAACTGCAGTTTTCCTTCTCGAGATAGATTTTAACAACTAGTGCTATGTCAGCCTCAAGATGCAACACCGCATCACGTCGCCTTCATCGCCGACCCGCAACTCGTCGATCCCCACACCTATCCCGGCCGCCCATGGCCACTCTCAACCCTGACAGTTCGGTATACCGACCAGTACCTCCGACGGACATTTTCATCCATCCAGTACGATTTGATTCCCGAATCGGTGTTGTTCCTGGGTGACCTCTTTGATGGCGGGAGAGAATGGGCAACGAGCACGACCTCCAGTCCGGAAGAGCGTTACAAGGGTTACAAGGATTCATTTTGGAAGAAAGAGTATGGTCGCTTCATGAAGATCTTCTTGGATCCTTGGCTCAAACAAAATGAGTCTCCTTTGGACGGTCGAGGTCGGAGACTGATCGCAAGCTTGCCAGGCAACCATGATCTAGGGTTTGCTTATGGGATCCAAGAGCCTGTTCGGGATCGTTTCGAGGCCTATTTTGGTCAGGGTAACCGAGTTGATGTCATTGGAAACCATACCTTCATTTCGGTAGACACGGTCTCGTTGAGTGCAATGGACCAACCAAACCCCCAGACTGGGAGCTCCAGCTCCAGCTCCAATGACGACAGTCTCCCTCCACCTATCTGGAAGGAGGCAGCCGATTTTCTTGATAAGATGGCCGCATACCGGGCGAAGGCTGAGATGGATGAACTCCGGACGCTGCAAAAACAGCCCAGTGGCATTCAATTCGATTACCGCGTCGTGGATGTAGAGGAGCCCTCCATACATGCCGATCCCCCAAACACTCCTCTGCAGCTCCCTGCCATTCTCCTCACCCATGTCCCCCTCTACCGCAAGCCAGCCACTCCCTGTGGTCCCCTGCGAGAGCGCTACCCGCCATCATCGGCCACCGAGGAATTGGAGGAAGATGAGCCAAATTCGCTGAGAATTGCGGGTGGCTATCAGTATCAGAATGTTCTGACTCCGACCATAACGACCGAAGTGGTTTCCAAAGCAGGTCCCAACGTTGTGCAAGTCTACTCCGGGGATGACCATGATTACTGTGAGCTGATCCACCGAGAGTTCAACGGCTCGCCCAACGAGATTACTGTGAAGAGTATCTCATGGGCGATGGGCGTTCGAAAGCCTGGTTTTGTGATGACTAGTTTATGGAATCCTCTTGACCCTCAGACGGGCGAGTCCACCCTGAAGGGGTCTTCGCCGACCATCCAAAACCACCTCTGCCTTCTGCCCGACCAACTGGGCATATTCATTTACTATGCCTTCACCTTGTTGGTCAGCGTTGCGGTTCTGCTTATGGCCTCAGTCTACCATGCATTCCTTGCCCCGGAAGCCCCGTTATCCAATGACTCGCTCCTTCCCCTCATCGAAAGACGCCGAGATTCCTCCAAGCGCCAGTACCCTACATCCGGTATGTCTAGTTCCACCTTGTCTGGTCCAGGCGGCCTGGCCGGTCGTGGCGGGGGTACTGTCTTACCCCGTCGTTACTCCGGCGCCCAACCTCCCCAGATTGCTTATTGGGCCCTAGATCAAGATGGTGTTAACACGACCACGTCCAAAGATAAAAGTCTTTACCGTCCAGCGCGGGCTCAAGGATTCCGCCAAAAATGTGGCCACATGGCCAGGGAATTCGTCCAGTCCATGCGCGCTGTTGCGAGGGTTGTTTTGCCTGTGTATTTCTTTTTGATCTGGCGCTGGTAGCTGGTCCATGTTTCTGCGCAAATAGTATATAGAGTTAATAAACGGCACCCTCGGTTCAGCGAGCCGACATGCAATACCCCAACGTCTTTTTGGACCCGATCCCGATCCTGCTCACCGAGACTGGATCCCTGGAAACTTGGTCTGGGGCCCTGCGCGCCCAGACTCGCGCTGCGCCGAGAATACGTCTGGACCTACCCACCAAGTTTTCTCGCCTGACGTACTCCATAGATCCCGTCAACCTCTAGGGATTCGCCGAGGACGGCCTAATTTCGGAGGACTATCGGTGCGCCGTCCAATCTGCATCCCGGGAAAGGTGCCCTGTTCATTGTTTAGGCTTTTCGCCAAGCCTTGACACGGGCCGGTGTTGCAACACGTCGCCCGGGGTATATTTATTGCAAAGAGGACTATTTGAAATCCAATACTGGATTTACGACGGGAATGTATATTTCTGAGGACAAGATATACTCTCAAATCTCTTTTTATGGTCTATCGCAAGCGCCGATGCGAGTCCTATTTATTTATTTTTTTATTGAACAATTTACCATCCCAAAACCCCTACACGGCAATGCGGGGGTCTTTGTGGATACTTGACTTTAGGGGTTCCTGTATACTGGGGAGAAAGTTTCAGAGTCTTCGAGTACCTCAATCTCGCCACATGCATTTCTCAATAGGGACCCGGTGAAGGCCCAAACTAGCCTGTACCGGTGGTCCTGATGTCGCTCATCATCTTGACTTGGACAGACTCTGGGGATCACGTCGTCATTCCGGGGATGTGGAGGTCGATGTAAATCCGGAGATTGGACAGTCCAGAACTTTTCTTGGCTGACTTCGTGTTGCTGAAGGATCAAATAATTCCCTCAATTACAGTCCAAAATAGCACTGAGGACAAGAGTGGCGTAACAAGGGATGGTTTCGCCCAAATGCGGCTCTCGGCGTCGTCGATCACGATCGCAATTGAATGCGGGCACATCTCACCCCGGGATCCCGTTTTCAGTGATGAAAAAATACAGAACATGATCGTTATCTTCGTTTTGTTGTCCAGGTGATCATGAGCCAACAGGAATAGCTCCCCAAATTCGAATGCAGCCAGTAACTTGGCACGTTAAATCAGGTCAATCTTGGGAATATCTCTTCGAGAACATTTCCGTTCAAGGCCGTTCATATCTCATACCCACCAATCATACTTTCCGAGATCCACTTTTCAACGTGGCCGCATTGGCTTGAGTGAAAACATGGAGTTGGAGACTCAAGCCGGGGTACTGTTGAGTTCTGCTTTCAGCTTTGGGATGTTTCGGCCTTGGTCGTGCCCCCCATGTGGAGTACAAAAGATGCAACTTTCCACTGTTTATTTTTTCTTTTGAAAGTTTCGGCTTTGTTTTTGTGTTGAGTCTCTTTATCATACCTTAAACTAGGGGATCTTCATCTGTCCACTGGCCTTCTATCATTTCTGTCCACGATGGGGTTTGCCTTGAAGAAACCTGACAATGCGGTTGGCTCTGCTACTCCAGCCATTGTGATCGGCCTGTTTGTTGCTTTTGGTGGTGTTCTATTTGGGTGAATATTGATGTTTCATTTCTGCTCTCAGGGCTGTACTAATGAAGCGATTACTCGTAGATATGACACTGGTACCATTAGTGGCATTCTCGCTATGAAGTATTGGCGAAAGACGTTCTCTACCGGTTATACCAACCCCGACGACCATTACCCCGATGTCACATCCTCTCAGTCCTCCATGATCGTCTCCCTCCTCTCTGCCGGTACTTTCTTTGGTGCCCTAGGTGCCGCTCCCATCGCAGACTACTTCGGTCGTCGGATTGCCATGATTCTTGAAACCTTCGTTTTTTGTGTTGGTGTCATTCTTCAAACTGCATCAACGTCCATTCCCCTATTTGTGGCCGGGCGGTTCTTTGCCGGCCTGGGTGTCGGTCTTTTGTCTGCAACCGGTAAGGCTCTACAACCAGGACATTGCTGGACCGTGACTGACCATGATTCCTAGTCCCTCTATACCAATCGGAGACAGCTCCTAAATGGATCCGAGGAACCATTGTCGGTGCCTATCAGCTAGCCATCACCATTGGCCTGCTGTTGGCGGCCATCGTCAACAATTCGACCAAGGATCGCAATGACACTGGCTCCTACCGTATACCCGTGGCTGTTCAGTTTGCCTGGGCTATCATCTTGGTCGTTGGAATGCTTATTCTTCCTGAGACACCTCGGTTTCTCATTAAGAAAGACAAGCATGAGGCCGCAGCAAAAGCTCTTGCCCGTCTACGTCGCTTGGATATCAATGATTCCGCCATTGTTGAAGAGCTGGCTGAAATCCAGGCCAACCACCAATTTGAGCTGAGTCTGGGCAAGGCTACCTACCTGGAGATCTTGCGCGGTTCCATTGGCAAGCGTCTGGCAACAGGCTGTGCTGTCCAAGCCCTACAGCAGCTAGCGGGTGTTAATTTCATTTGTACGTTGACCCTAACCCTGTTGTTTCCACTACCTCAAAGCATATGTTAACAAAGCCGTCCGCAGTTTACTATGGCACCACCTTTTTCCAAAACTCGGGTATCAAGAATTCATTTGTGATTACCCTCATTACTAGCATTATCAATGTCGTCTCGACATTCCCAGGCCTATACATGGTGGAGAAATGGGGTCGCCGGCCCCTATTGATGTTTGGCGCAGTGGGGATGTGCGTCTCACAACTCATTGTGGCCATCGTCGGTACTGCGGCATCGTCCGATGTGGCGAATAAGGTATTGATTGCCTTTGTGTGCATATACATCTTTTTCTTTGCCTGCTCCTGGGGCCCTGTTGCTTGGGTCGTCACCGGGGAGCTGTTCCCTCTCAAGGCCCGCGCCAAGTGTCTCTCCATCACGACCGCCACCAACTGGTTGCTCAACTGGGCCATTGCCTATGCCACACCCTACATGGTGAACAGCGGCCCCGGAAATGCCAACCTCAAGTCCAAGGTCTTTTTCATCTGGGGTGGATTCTGCTTCATCTGCGCCATCTTTGTCTACACTTGCATCTATGAGACTAAGGGTCTGTCGCTAGAGCAGGTGGATGAGCTTTACGCCAAGGTGCCAGTTGCATGGAAATCAATTGATTTTGTTCCATCTGTCCACTATACCGATGTTCGCGATGTCTCTGCCTCCCATCCTGGTGACCTTGCTCAGCTTGAGACCCAGGCCAATGAGAAACGCAGTGGCGAGCAGGCGACTCATTTGGAAAGTGTCAGTGCGAAGGCCGACGTTTGAATCGATGATGCGTCGTGCTATTTGACTTTCTTGACTCGATATGTTCTCAATGTTGGAATAGCTAGGCGTGTTGCGATTTACTTTGTTTTGCTTTTTGTCAGGACTGGATTGGAACCTCGTCTGGCACATAAATAAGGTTAACCATCCTCCCGAAGACCAGGATATATTGCGATACCAATTCATACCCGCACAGTGAAGTAGTTTTCATTCCAAGCTTCCAAGGCGTTTAGCTCTGAATTAATTATTATCTACACCACATTGCTCAGGCAAACTTCTACTTTCAAGGAAGCCCACGGTTTTAACATGGGCAAAAGGCTCTACTCGTAGCATTCAAGGACGTCAAAAAAAATTGAATAGTTCATGTGTGGCAAGTACATACAGGTGTTATTCTGATCCTCTCTAAAGCTGGGTTGGAAGGCTTGGCCCTGCGACGATTTAACTGCTCGGAGCGCCTAATCCACCTGTGTCCGAGGAACCCCGTGATCGCGGCTGACTGTGGTCTAGCTTCACGTGACTACGCATCACCGGCCAAGAATTATCACATGCTTGTCTGCTCGTGATCTATCTTCACGTGACTGTCCCTGATCCAAGCCCGATGTTTGGTCTGGTGAGGTGTTGCTCGTCATAAGTTCAAGATTATTGTGTTTACCGAGTCAATATCCCGCTAAGGCTTAAGGATGGATTCTAGTACATCGATGGATACAGTATAACCGCGACCATGTCGGTCATCATTCCCTTGAAGGATGTTCTAACTCCTGTGGTTGCGGAGCAGTCGGACAAGTCTCAGGCCCAACGGATTGTCTCGACTTCGTTTGACCATATTGATGAGCCCTCCGAGCCAACAGCTCAGCACCATAATACAAGCGCAATGGATGGGGTGTCTATCCCCAAAAAGCCTGAACGAAATGACCTTGTGCTACCCATTGGCTCGTGTGACCATCCACTCTTTCCTCCCCTTCCATCTTACGGCGCTCCGAATCTCGCTCGCAATTTACGAAACTATGTCGCGAGGGCGGTCTCATTCCTGCTCTCCCTCATCTTTTTAACCGCTATATTTTTGGGAGCATTGATATCCACAGCTCGAATGACATTTCAGGGTGTTATCGCACGACTGAAACGAGACCACGCCGGTTCGAAACGGGTTTTCCATGCAGAGGAGCGAATTCGAAAAACAAAACGAGTGGCATCGGAGCGGAAGTGGCATATTCGGCGACAAAAAAAGCATGTTGACGAAGAGCAAGGTCCCGATGAATGTCCCCCCTTGGAAGGCGGCAAGGACATGATCCTTTGCGACGTCGCCTACTATGCCAGACGCGTCGGTCTCGACGTGGAAACATTTCGTGTACAAACCGAGGATGGCTTCATCATCACTTTATGGCACGTGTACAATCCTCAGGAATACACAGCTCTATCTCCGGAGCAGAGGCGTGAGCGAGGTCCCACTGTCTTTGGTACACCGAAGCAAGGGGTTTTATCTGGGGCTGGATCTCGCCGCCGATACCCCGTTCTGTTAGTTCATGGTCTTCTTCAAAGTGCTGGTGCGTATTGCACCAACGACGATGACAGTCTTGCATTTTTTCTATGCAAATCCGGGTACGATGTCTGGCTGGGCAACAATCGCTGCGGCTTGAATCCAGAACACACGACTCTTTCGACCTCTGACCCCCGTATGTGGTCATGGGATATTCGTCATCTTGGAACTCTTGACTTAACAGCGCTAACCTCGCGTGTTCTCTATGAAACCGGGTTCAGCAAGTTAGGCTTGGTGTGCCATTCCCAAGGCACCACCGAAACCTTCATAGCATTGGCCAAAGAGCACCGCGCAGAACTTGGCGAGCGCATCTCAGTATTTTGTGCGCTTGCTCCTGCTGCCTATGCTGGCCCACTCGTTCGCAAGTCCTACTTTCGGTTCATGGGTATCCTATCACCTGAGTTATTTCGCATTGTTTTTGGGATCCATGCTTTTATTCCCTTCATGATGACAGTCCGTCGAATTTGCCCTCCCAAAATATATGGAACTCTTGCCTACTGGGTGTTTTCATCTCTCTTCGGGTGGACCGACGCGCGCTGGGAACGCGATCTCCGTCATCGTATGTTTCAGTTCGCCCCTGTATACGTCAGTGCGGAATCCATGCGTTGGTGGCTAGGCAGTGAGAGCTTTGCGAAACACGGGTGCATCCTGTCCCCTTCAGATGAATCAACATCGAACCCAAGCCAATATTACCCTACGTCAACTGGGATGGAATATGGTGATGATCCCCGAGATCCATGCCTCGGTTCACAGAGAGAGTGTGCTTGGTTCGGCCCCCAGACGCCCCCGTTTGCTTTGTGGATCGGTGGCTCTGATGCCCTCGTTGACGGCCGACGACTTCTGCGTCGCTTTCAAGATGGGCTTGAACCCCATGTACGAGTTGTTCACTCAAAAGTGATCGACGAGTATGAACACCTCGATCTTTTGTGGGCTATGGACGCCATTGAGCAAGTGGGCAAAGAAGTTCGACAGGTGCTTTGGGCGACCATGCCTCAAGATGCTCGTGGCACATGTCGCATTCCGAGTGGGGTCCATTCAGGCCAGCTCGATGATTAGATGACGATTATAACCCTCCGATCAACTTGCATATCATTCATAGCTAAATTGTACATATAGACATTGGAATATGTGAATCTCTAATCGATTTTCCGTCGGCCAATCTCCAGCCACTCCGCATTTACACTCTCACTCGACTTCAGTATCGAACTGGCCCATGTCCAAGGCCTTTGGGGGAATTCATCTCGGACACTAAAAGTCCGGAAACAATTCATCGGCAACAATTTGGAGTTGGAACGGAATAGATCCTGCATTGCTTGGTCCACGGGAAATATCAATTCTCCCTTGACGCCCGAGAGGAAGCTTTCTCAAGATCACAAGCAACACACCATACATACTGTTCCATCTCGCGCATGTAGAATCATGCTGTACCCGACAATTGTCTCGCTTTTTGCTGGATGTAATCTGCACTGACTCACGAATCCCTATCTTGAACATTGTGGAGAGCTTCTTGATGCATTCCCCATGTGAGTCTCTTATTGCTTGCATCTCAGTTTGTCAGTCCAATAGCCTATAAACTTGGGTCAATTGGGCCTAGTCCCAGTATCAATGGCTTGGCATATCATACGGGAGACCATACTACGCTGAATAGCACCCATCCTGTCTTGACATTTGACTATGACCCCTGGTCAGTGGCTGCAACTTATATCGTCTTCAATGATATCTATAGTGCGCGGACCAAGTGGAATGCCAATATCAACAATAACAAATGGGTGGTTGATCCATCTTGGGATATCGTGCAAGAACTAGGCCTTCAATGGGCGAAAGGCACCTGGAATTCCTTTGTCGGGTGGAGGGCATATCCAGGCTGAGTGGAATGCGTCTTCCGCGGGCTGAACCTGACATTACGGCAAGCGTTACTGGGACTTCTGTTCATATAAAGGTAATGTAATAGACGCTGTACTATTACCAATCTCGAGTTCCTAGTCCTTTTCATACCATGAATTACAATGGTTTGATGCTGCCTGGAAATAAGCCCGGATATTGCGCCCAAATCCGCTAAACAACGGCATTTATAACTGCCAAACTATACACGAAACTTTTGATGTATTTGTTAAGCTCAATACATTGGAATTATAAGTCCCTTTGCCCAACAATGAGATTATATAGACTATCAAGGTCAGTCCATCCATGGAAGTCTAAATGGTATCATAAAAAGCACGATGGTCATTTGCTCAGGAGCAACATCAACACGTAGAAATCTAAAGCGAGATAAGGAGTAAAGCTCAATTCAAGCCAGCTAGCGAAGAACGAGGATTATGCTAGCGCTCCCTCCTCGAGGCCCTCGTGTCCACTGGGGGGATGGACGGAGTGTCGGCGTTTGTCATTACCACCTTTGACCCGTCGAATTCCAAACATCTGACCCACTTCTCTCCAGAAACCCACCGGAGGATCCATGAAACTGGCTTCATACGCATCGATCAAAGGTCGCTCCCACACCAGGTCCACCTCATGCGATCTGACGAATTTGGTTCGCTTGAAGACTTTCCACAGGATGAAAAGACAGGGAATGACGATTTGCATAGTGTAGTTGGCCCAGAAGTTGGATACCGACCAAGGCTTGAATGCGGGGTAACCGTAGAAGATGGTGACAAGTGTCATCCAGACCAGTGCCAAGTAGGCAGAGTACGGCTGGAAGCGTCCGAAGTATGCAAAGTCTCTGCGGTTCACATGTTGCACTTTACAGGCGCGATGGTAGCAGATGAAGGTGATGCAGATAGTAATGTAGTTGATAAGTCCTGGTTCGGGCATTAGCGCAGGGTTTATGTATAATCTGAGCGTTTATTTTTACCTCCAGCAGTGACAAGTTCAGCAAACCAGGTAATCACAGTGGCAGAGCTGCTGGAACATTGCAAGAAGGACAGCAGTGGGAAGATCATCACAATGATGAAGCAGTAGATCGGAACACCTTTGCGTGTAGTATGTGTCAGGAACCTAGGAGCTCGACCCTCGAGTGCCAAACTATAGAGCGTACGGATAGCGCAATAAGTGTACGTGTTGCCGGCGGAGAAGATAGAGGTCAAAAGGAGACTACACAGGATCAGTATTCAGCAACGATTGGGGGGGGGGGGGGGGGGGGTCGGAAATACTGACGCGTTAATTATTGAAGGAAAAATAGTAATGCCTAAGTTCCGCATGCCAATAACATATGGCGATGCTGCAGCAGTTGAACCGGAAGTTGTACCCTCAACAACGGCCGTCAATGCTGGATCTCTGCAAGAACAGACGATACCGACGGCTAGAGCGCCACCCATGAAGAACAGACCAAAGCGAAGGTAAACCGTCTTGAAAGCCGCTTTGATATAAAGCCGGGGGCGCTTGGCTTCGGCCGCAACCATCGAGATATACTCGGGGCCAACAACGGCAAAAGAGGCTGACCACAGAGACCCTAAGAATCCTTCAAAACGACCTAGAGTACCGAGATCTAGATACTCCATGAAAGAACCAGGATTGTTCCAGTACCGAAAGCCATAAGCATCATGAGCTGGATTCCCACCAACCATAGTGATGAAGGTGAAGAAGAACAGTGCAAAGATCAAGATCACCTGCGGGCCATCAGAGTCAGCTGGCATCTTACTATGCAAGTAGAGAGAAAACTTGCCTTGCCTCCAGAAAGCCAGAATTCGGCTTCGCCGTAAGCTTTGACGGCCAGGACATTGAGAGTACTGGTCAGAGGATCAGCATTGAGGTGTCATAAAAAATACCACATGACAATCACTTACCCATAACAGATGATGATTCCAGCACAGATACCAGCTACTGGACCAGGCTCGGTGACCTTTTCAGACCAAAATGACACGACCAGAGTAAAGGCGGAAATTTCGAATGGAATCAAAAGAGCCTCATAAAAGCTACAGTCATGTTAGTCAGATCAACGGCTATGTAGCTCGAAGAGAAAGAGGTCGAACAAGAAATTCCAGCCAACCATAAAGCCGAGTGCATCATCGACCCATTTTCCTGCCAGCCGAATGAATCCACCACTAACGGGGTAGGTAGTGGTCATTTCGGCTAGGCAGTTGTTTACCATGGCCAAGAAGATACACTGCACGCTGAAGGCGATGAACAAACTACCGGGTCCACCATGGTACAAGCCCGTCCCGATACTCACGAACAGAGCCGTTCCAATCGACCCTCCTATGGCGATTAGTTGAATTTGGCGATTACCCAGATGACGCTGGAGATTGTCCGCATTATCGGCCATCAATCCTTCTTGGACATCCTGGTGACCCTCGGTCACCTTCAAACCCAGTGTGTCCAGCACGCCATGATTAGGGCCGGACGGCTTATCTTCTTTGAGTGCCATCTTGTGTCATACCAGTTCGCGGGGGGGGGGGGGGGGGGGGGGCAGAATTTGAATTTGGGCAAGTTGCGTTCGAGATGAGAAAAACGGTCTATCGTACGGAATCTGGGCGCATGGGAGTGTCTCGTGGAGGGCTTGATGGGGATTGGCGTATGGGCATGGGCAATGCTGCAGGGGAGGCAATGTCGCGTTGCGGGGTGCTATGGCGAAGATCCGGGGTAGATTTGACACGGGCAATGTGGAAGATGGGAATGTCGATCTAGGATTGGAGGGAATTACCGCGTGGAAATGTCATCAAATAAAAATTGAAGATTCGAGTCCAGTAGAGGATAACAGACCAATGGAAGGGTGTAGGAGGGTTTAAAAAGAGGAATCAAAAAGATGAAAGTGACCTTGGCCGGCAGAAAACGCATGACATCCGGAGCGCTATCACACCGCGACCATAAGTCCACTATGCGAATCCGGCCAGTTAACGGCACAAGTACTGCGGGGCAAAATCAAAATTGCGTGCGCGGATAAGTGGAATGCGACACAGAGCCACGTTTTTTATCGCGACAGTGCATTCCCATTGGACGGTTTCCGGAACGGCAAGATGCCAAGCCTATCTCTCCCAAGACGCACTAGCTTCCTTTTGAGAACACGAGAATTATCATGGTAACGAATTGCCGCAAAGACGTCAGGGGGCTTAGGGGCTTGACGGGGCTAAAACAAATGAACCAATCCACTGAGAGACAAGCCAGGATTCGCCTCGTGGCTGACTCTGTGGCATTGGCCTGCTCTACTTACAGAAGGGATCGACATCGGCTTGGATTTGCACTAGTCCTACTTGTACGAAGTAGAATGTGCGCTGTCGTTGATTACTGAGATTACTCGAACCTGCATATGGAAATTCGATCCCAGCAATTATAACCTATGGCCGTTGGGGCCAAAATCCTGCGCGCTTTTTCCTGGTTTTTTTTTTTTTTGACCTTAATTGGATTAGACCGACACTAGGAGTTCAGATTCACTTTGCATCGAGCTAAGTTATCCAGATTTAACCGGGATAGAACATAGACTGCTCCTCCCATTACGCCCCCACGACCTAGTCTAGTCAAGTTTGGCAAGAACCCCCGAGATTGAGATTCGCTTGATCTGATTTGGCCGCCGATATCACTATGCCAAGTGGCTTACGTTTCACCAGACTCGCACGGTGGGCAAACGGGCTTTTAGCGCGGCCCTATCGATAACTGAGATCTTCAAGATAGGAAAAAGAGACAAAAAGTCTTCCTACCCTCGTCAACCTTGCGTCAATTACACATGTGGTGAAATAGCAATAGGATCGTGGAATCCAGGCTAGGTATTTGGAACATACCGTTGACATATATATACTCATTTGTGACGATCTGACGTCTTTCCACATCACCTTCGATGAAATTGTTGACTTAGTTCATTATGAATAGGTACATAGATATTAGAGTAAAGGAACTTTGGGATTAAAGCATAAAAGAGAGTGATCTAATTTTTGAACTACGGAGGTTGGAGGTTGTCCGGAAAGGATGTGAGCTAGAAGCTCGTAAATCCTCGATTTCTACTTACTTTGTAGGGCCGTTAGTCCTTCTCTGGGTGTCTCATCATGCAAAGTTGGATAAGGATGGTACTCACACTTCGGATGCAAGGCAAGGCTACCGCCTTATTCTGGAGTGGTTGCTTTTCTAGTCGTGGCACCATCTTCGACCTGTTGGAGTTAAATTGTGATAAAGGAATTTCTAGGGTAGTTATAGTTGTTTTAAAGTGAAAAAGTGTGGAACAGGTCCCGGCAAATTAGCCATACCTAGTCAAGGGCTGAGTTCCTTTTCATAGTGTCTGTTTTATATCATTATTGGCGGAGAGACAGTGCCTTAGCCGTGGATCGAATTTGAGTCGCATAAATCAGATCTGGGTAGATCAAGATCCTGCCAGAGAGAGTCACAGTTCTGGTGACTGCAGGCAGAGTTGTGCTGCACTCCGATATATCTTGGCGGGCAGGAGCGGGTTAGGGATCCGCGTGGTACGCCGCATATTCGCCCTGGCGTTGAAAATCAGACAAGCAGCGACACGACCATCAGCAGCAGGGCTGAGGTCCATTTTCTGCTCCAGCTTCGCAGGGTTAATACGTCCCCGGTGGATGCTCTGGTTTCTCTGAAAGCCAGTTCATCAGCGTGGAAAAAGAATAGCGAGGCTCAGTGGCTCTGGCAGCCAGATGCGACCGTGAATATCCTTTCCGCTATTGTTTTCATTCTGTTCTTTATTTTCAAAACGCAGATGGTCGAAACAGAATTCGTGTGAAGTCGGACTCGTGCTTTCTCGAAATTCGCACCGAAAAGTGGAGGGAAGGAACTGTGGACAGATGGTATGTTAGTTTTGACCGGGTGATGGAAAGCCCGGTACGGTGATAAAGTCATAGATTTGGTTCGTATTTGGCAGGCTATCGTGTGCTTCTATATGAACCACCGAGAGGTCTGAATACTGCACTCTTTGGGGCGTTGTAAACCAGTGTGTCTCATATGCGACCGTGGGAGATGTGATCGTTCATCTGTGAGGGTGGCGAAAGGGAGAGCGTGCTCCATTGCCCCCTTGCGTTCTAGAGTGGGGTTGCGGGCACTAAAACCCCACAACTTGTCATCCCCAGGTTTCCACTTTTCGGTGGACCCGGTCTCCACCTTCTATGAGAGCTTGAGAATTAGATATCTGGATATCAAAAAGAATGTCGAGATTATCAAGAGTATACATTACATCCGACTCTTACCCAGGCTCTGCTTTTCTGGGATGGAATGATTTCAGGGCCGATGACTGATTGGACCCCTCGTTAGGCGCTGATCGTGTGTTATGATGTACCCCAAAAGTGCTGAACCAGACGCATCCACTATTGACCAATCGTAGGAATTACATGAGTTTCGACTATACGGCAGGGGGCCAACCTAGACAGTCGGCATCCCTGATTCTTCCACTACCATCATGCCATGTGAATTTAGTCAAGTCGCTGGCATGTCGATTCATCAACTTCAGAAGAGGCTCTATCTTCCCGAATTGTTGATTTTAAACGGCCCTTTAGATGAGATTAAACCTCTTAAGATCACGTACCTGTATGTCACCCTGGACAGCTCGCCCAATTCATTGAAACTCAAAGTGCGTTGCCACAAGACAAGGATGCCCCGGATGTGACCCGCCACTGTTGACCCCGCATACTTTGTCAGATGATGTGGTCTATATAATACTCTCAGGGGGGGGCTCTGGTACTTCCCAGTAACCCAACCTCCACTCTATCAATCCACCATCATTATTTTCATCAATCCATCACTTTCATCAATCCATCGCTCTCATCATCCATCGCTCTCATCGACTCATAAGCATGTCAGCAGCCGCCGGACCTATCATGCAACAGCTCGCTGCCCTGCCAGCTCGCTCTCGGCAGGGCTTGAATAACCTGCGACAGAGACTCTTCCAGCAGGGTATACTCTCCCTTCCCCCTCCAGTTGATCTCTTTGACTCACAGGCTCACTAACAAACTTATAGGTGAGAAGCCAAAGAAGGAAGGCCAACTCCTTCGCACCTCGCTGAATGTCCACCGACCCGTCTGGATCACGGCTGGTGGCGGCGCTTACACCAGTCTCGCCGCAATCTATCTTACTATGCGCTACATGAAGCGTGTCAGATAGATCTGTAGAAGACTGGCAGCCTACATATTCCCACCATATGCGACTCACGGACAACACTTTCGATTCATGATAATTATTTCCTGACACCCTTCTTTCCTTACAAACTTCTCTTCTGACACCGTGCTGGCTATGAGCTTTCTCTTGACGGATGCTAAGGCAGGCCCCCTTTGTTAGCAAGATTTATGGTCTTCGTGTTACTGCTATAGAATGGCAGGACGGACCTAGCACTCAAGGGCTACTTTTACCCTGAATATAACAGTACTACACTAAGATATTCCTTTGTCACACCAGTCATAGCCTTTCGGTACTGCGTAATTTCGCATAGGAATGACATAGAATACATTACCGGAGTAAAGAAATCCTCGTCTTCATCAAGTCACCATGACAAGTACATTTTGGGCTGAAGAAATTTACCGCTGATTCAGCTCTCGTGTGCGAGAACAGATCTAGTACATCTAGAATCATCATCACAAAGACGCTGTCCTTGTCAAGCCACACGTCCGACCAGATAAATCTCTGAGCAAGTGATATTTTTCCTCGCGGCATGGGTTCCTTAAGCGCAACAGGAAGGACAGTCTTGGATAGCGCAACTTTGGCTTTTCAAGGTAAGAAGATAGTCCAGTCTAGACAGCCCCTATTCTCAAAGTGAACCGGTGCAGAACCCGCGCCACCCCTTCCTGGGCTAGCCAGCTGGCAACCGACCTATCACCACACGCCTTTTACCCAGGGCGTCGTCACAGTACTTTGCAGGTGATTTCATGTTTCTATCCCCAGCGACGCGACGGCCTTGGCAACCCCGCTTTTAGTGATCGAGACTATCTTTATCTTTGGGTTATCTGGGTAAATAGGCCGAGAAATAGATTCAAGAAAGTTCAAGGTGATTGACTTAAGTGAGTCAATGTGTTTTCCATCTGTGTAGAAATGAATGAAAATGATAATTTTTCACACTGGGAGCCATCTCTATTAGCACCGGAGCCCTCATGGTCTAGGATGGCACTGATCTAGTAGCGTTCCAGCGAAAATATGCAACTTGCAATTCGCGGCGTTTCAGTCTTACCAGACTGGTAGCCTCAGATTACCGGTTACGGCATCGTGCAACGTCAATTCATATACAGTGAACCAAAGTGGTGATCATCATAAACATTCCCTTAGGCGAGTTTATTCAGAAGGATGGGCGATTGAAAACACCCAAGGATATCTAGTAGATATAGCGCTTACACAGATGCAATAGCTCCCAACGTTGGTCAAAGTTCATGGATCTTGATCCTTGAAATGTTTCCATACCTAGGTATTTATTCTTCAATGTTCACCCTATGTATATATTGCGAGTGGAGTGACCCCTCTTGGTAGATCAGCGCTTCTCTCTTCTTCTTCTTCTTCCTCCCCCGCCAACCCACTCACAATACAACGTCTTAATTCGTCTGTCTCGTCCCCTCTGCGTATTCGTACTTCGTACTCGTACGCTCCTTTGTTCTTGTCTTCTCTGACCGCTTTGACCAGCACGCGATGTGCTGATAGTATACGGCCTCAATTGTACCTGACAGATGGATACCTCCGAAATTACACCGAAATGTTTTGACTGATACTATTATCGCTGTGCCGTGTGCGGCGCTCGAGTAACCCTCCAGGAACAAAGTTTCAAATTACCGAAGGAAGCGGCAGGAGCTTGTTAAGTAATCCATGCATATTGGCCAAGGCACTGCAGTTAGTAACATCTAGGCAGTCCTAGACAAGCCACTTCGAAGATAGATGTACATTCATCCAATTCCAAGTCGCCCTTGATCCTCTGAATCTAACGCCAACACTAAGTATACCTATATATTTCTCTTAACAAGTTCCTGACCCCGATTCCTCCTTCCAGAACGAGTTGGTTCAGACTACAGGGGCTGGTTTAATACAAAGGTTGAATGAAAGTATAGGTTCTTGCGATTAGGTAGACAGGATAAGTTAAAGGACATGTTCACTTAGAGAACTGTACATCCACCTGACAAACCCGGCCATCCATGGTTACTATCCAAGGGAATTGGGTAACATTTAAGCTGACTCTTTGAATTGGTTTACTTCTTCAGGGCTGAGCACCCAAGAGCAACAGTACCACTCTGTCCTCAGTCAGTCACCAGTGTACATAAATTTGGCCAGAGAACTCACCAGAAGGTTGGCCTCAGTGCAGCACTGGGGAGCAGAAGTGCAAATGCTAGCTTCATAGGGGTCACCTAACGAGATGTCAGCATTGATGACTATGAGGGCTTTCTAGCAAAAAGCGACACGTACAGAGAAGGCCAATGGAGCCAACAATGGCAGAGGCATCGACACCGAGGTCCTCCAAAATTGGGTCGATGATGTGGTCCAGAGGAGTGGTCAAGGAGCCACAGCAAAGGAGCGAGCCAACGCAGTCGGAGGTCTCAGACTCATTCTCAACGGTGTTGCCCTTCAGGGAAGCGGCAGCCTGTTGGACCTTCTCTGAAGTGGTGGTAGTGCTACGCTTTACCGGTGCGACAAGAGCACCCTCAGAGGGAAGGGCAGCCACCATGCCAGCACCGACGAGGGACAGGGCGGAAACTATGGAGAAGCGCATTTTGATGACAGTTGCTAAGTTTTGGCGTTGCAAAATAGAAGGTGATTGCGAAGAGCTGATGACTGTAGTGGTTGAGAGGCAATGAACTCAGATGTGATGGTCATGAAGAGAACGCTTGCGCCTTTTATACCCATATCAACCAACTCAATGGTATGTGATAATCCCAAATTTCCGAATTTTCAAACCGGCTTCACTTATCAGTCACTTGAAGTGGTTAGAGTATTCTATCAAATTTGAGCTGTAAATTGTTCTGAGGATCGGCAAAAACTCTAGATAGGGAATACTCCTATCCGATGAGGAAGGACTGGAGGACAGCTGACAGAGAGGACTACACGTACAAAGTAAAGGCACCGGCGTTTTGGTTTGGTCAAGGAATAGTCCAATCCATTCATCTGAACTTCCAAGATGGGTGATCGAGGCCAGTGCTGAATATGGTTCGGTGGGTCCCTGCGAAGCCCTAACCGATCTGTTTTGGCTGTCGATCACAGCTGATCCGAGCTAGATTTCGATGGATTGATCAATGGTCATGAAGTCATATTCCCGAACTTCATGCTCAGGCCACTAGTTTGTGGGGCTTTTAAATGAAACAAACTCCGTTCTCTGTTCCTGGTGGCCGAGCACAATGTCCTTATCAGTGGGTCCGACTGGCTAACGTAATGGACGTGCATCGCCAAGGCGCCGATCTTCAGGAACGAAAAGATCCCAGATGAACGGAGCCATCCAATCAACTAGGATTTATGCAAATAGTACACACCAAATAAAGAAAGAAAGAAAAAGCAAATAGGACTCGCTAGAACTGCGTGTCAGGCCTCCATGAATTTGTCATAAATGCCATCAATCAGCGCATACTGCGGTATCCGAATAGTCGTGATAAGGATCTTTCCAACGATTGCCCAGCCCCGCCTCGAACTGCTCCACAACGCCCGAAAGACCCGTGTTGATGGTAACATGATAGATTTCGATTGATGGCGCAGTTAACCTTCCGGGTGTGACGGTTCTAAATTTCTAACCGAGGTTTGTCCACTCCGGATCATTTCCAGGGCTGATCTTCACATGGTCCACATTCTGTCCTCACATACAATGGTCCGTACCGACTCCAGAGGCACCGATAAGCACCATTTGCACTTACTTGAGGGTAATTGAGCTCGATATGATAAGCTCTCCTTGGCAGTATGCCATCATATATTAGATGGCTGAAAATTGGCCTCACAACTACATCATTGACCTTGAGATTACTTATCAAGACCAGAGTTGAATTCCAGAAGCCATGGGAAGGATTGAACCAATATCAAGGGAAAGAAAAAGAAAAAATCAAGCCCAGCTCCTAATACAGATGCCTATCAAAGTCTAAGACATGTTGCATCTACCGGTAGACTGTTTCAGCCCATCGTGCACCTATGTACCTGCCCAGTCCGCTTACGACTGCGTATTTAGATAATGCGATATGTCATTTTTTGGCACATGCCGCTAGTCGATAACAATTCGTGTAATTTCACTCTGAATTCAATTACGGCTGGAATGCCAGTGCAGGGATCTTATGAGTCGTGTTTAGTTGTTGAGGATAGCCCGCTTGAAGACCATAGATAAGAGTACTAGACGCAATTAAGGAATTCACATTTAATGCTTCCACCGCGAACTTCTACTTCTACTCCAAGCATAAAGAAAACATCCGATTCTTTGGTGTCGCACGTGATGTGGCTAGTGTGGCGGTGTGCGGAAAGGATCCACTTCAGCCACATGGACTCGCGACACAGAAACTTCCCGGTGATAATTCGAACCCCACGATAATCAAACACTCACTTTTCGCCTTTTTGCTTGCTGGTGCATCAATCATCTGCAAAATGGCTCCTATCTCGATCGCGGACCTTGTGGCCGCCCTTCCTTCCGAGGATTCCTGGGGCCCCTCCTCCACCGCCGACAACATGTTGAACGGCGTCCCTTATGCCCCCTTCTCCAAGGGCGACAAGCTCGGCCGTATGGCTGACTGGACTGCCGAGTCCAAGGACCGTGAGCGTCAGGGTCGCCAGCAGTACAACCGTAACTTCAGAGGTAAATATCTCCAATCTTGCAACTTTTTTCTTAGTGCCCCACCGTGGCATGCCAATCCTCAGTCTACTGACTTTTGTTGTTTTCCGGTTCTTTTAGACCAGCAGGTGTACGGTGCCGGTTCCACTAGCCTGTTCACCGTCCAGGCTGCCGAAGATGAGTCCTCCTTCTCCGTTGTCGACAACACTCGTACCTCCACCAAGCGCACCTTTGGCCGTGGTGGTGGCACCGTTTTCCGTGGCCGTGGACAGCGCGGCGGTGTGGCTGGCCAGCGTGGCGGTGGTCGGGGTGGCTTCCAGCGCGCTGGTGGTGGTCGTGGCCAGGGTGACCGATCCTACGATAGCCGTGGCAACCGTGGTGGCCGTGGTGGCCGTCGTTTCGGCTGGAGAGATTACGACAAGCCTCAGCGCACCCGTGAGGCGTCTGTCAACGTTCGCCCTGAGTGGCAGATGCTCGAGGAGGTTGACTTCAACCGTCTGTCTAAGTTGAACCTCGAGACCCCTGAGGGTGAGGATCTTGACTCCTATGGTTTCTTGCACTACTACGACCGATCCTACGACCGTCCCCCGGTCAAGAATGCTGAGCGCAGACTTCAGGCTCTCGAGCGTGCCGCCTACAACGTCACCACTTCTCAGGATCCTATCATTCACGAGCTCGCCGAGAAGGATCAGGCTACTGTCTTCGTCACCTCCGACATTCTCTCCATGCTCATGTGCGCTACCCGCAGTGTCTACTCTTGGGACATCGTTATCTCCCACCAGGGCAACAAGATCTTCTTCGACAAGCGTCCCGGTGCTTCTATGGATCTCGTCAGCGTTAACGAGAATGCTCAGGATGCTCCCCTCGAGATTTCTGAGGCCTCCGGCAAGCAGGAGCAGATCAACACCCCCGGTGCTCTCGCCATGGAAGCCACTTTCATCAACCACAACTTTGCTCTGCAGACCGTGACCGAGTCCGAGGATGCCAAGGTCTCCTTCGCTCAGCCCAACCCCTTCTACAACGAGGCCGAGGAGACTGATCCCCTTGCCTCCAAGGGTTACAAGTACCGCCGCTTCGATATCTCCCTGGAGCGCGATGAGGAGCCCCTGCAGCTTATTGTGCGTACCGAGGTGGACGCTGTTATGAAGAGCCCCACTGGCGGCCCAGACCAGCAGTTGATTGTCAAGGCTCTTAACGAGTTCGACAGCAAGGCGATTGGCTCTGGCGGTGCCCTCGATTGGCGCAGCAAGCTCGTCTCACAACGTGGTGCCGTCATTGCCACTGAGATGAAGAACAACTCCTGCAAGCTCGCTCGCTGGACTACCCAGGCCATCCTGGCCCAGGCCGACGGCATGAAGCTTGGCTTCGTGTCCCGTGCCAACCCTCGCTCCGCCGCTGGCCACATTATTCTCGGCGTTGTTGGTTACAAGCCCCGCGAATTCGCTGCTCAGATGAACTTGAACCTCGGCAACGGTTGGGGTATTGTTCGCACCATTGTGGACCGTATCCGTGGCCTGGATGCTGATGAGCCCGCTGATGCTCTGAAGAAGTACGTCCTTGTCAAGGACCCCAACCGCTCCGTGCTCCGTCTCTACAGCGTTCCTGCCACCACTTTTGAGGAGGATGAAGAGGCCGAGGTTGAGGAGAAGAACGAGGAGGATGATGAGGACAATGATGAGTAAGTATCCATGGTCTGGTGTCTTTTTCGTCGGATTAGATTCCTATTTGTTTTTTTGGATTGTGCATATCTGCAAAAGTTTTGATCAAAGCTATGAACTAAATCTTTATGACTTCTATAACTTGATCCTTTGTATCTTCTCGTAGAGACAATTGGCTTAACTCAAGTTCATCCATGCATGCCATGGCTCATGAAAGTCCGCAGTTCCATCCAGCCATTCTAAAAAAGACCCTCGGTCATCAAGATCAATGCCGTCCAGTAAATCTGAATGCACAAGGGCTGACTCGTCAAGATTAAGCTCTGTGGTAGAATTCAATGCGGACGAATCGGCCCACTTGCACGTAGGTGCTGAAAGAACTTGGTCCAGAACGTGACGAATGGCTCGGTGGCCCTGTTGTGCAATCTGATAATTGCCATCATCTTGTTGAACCATGGTCTCCAAATAAGATGCAAAGACACTGAGCTTCTGGATAATGTCGGATCGCGGGAAAGTTGATGGCTGAAAGGTTCGTAGTCGAAATTGCCGCAGAAGCTCAGCAGATAGAACTCCAGCAGCAGGAAGCCCGGTATTGCAAAGCTGTGTAATATAAGCAATCTAGGAGTGTCCCCTGGGTAGAATGGCAGTTTGTGTGCCAGGATGTGTCCTCTTACATTCCACGAGACCATGTATTTGGACATTTGGGTTTCAAGGGTTCTGGCGACAAGAGATAGTAATGCACTCATGATTTCTAGCGAAACACTGATGATGCGGTCTGGTGCGAGCTTGGTCTTCTTAAAAAGGTTCCTATGTAGCAGGAAGTCGTTGTAGAGGTACTCTAAGCGAATGTCAATTTGGAGGCGATCATCAGGGGCATCTTTGGTCATGTAGCGTCCTATAGAATTCCACCGAAGAAAATCAGGTAGATTCTCGTATTGTTGGTATAATTCCCGGGACAAAGCCCTAGATCGAGTCAGCTTCAACCTCATGAATAGCAAGCTTTATCGTCGGCTCTTACTCAACCCGCTCTGGCAGATCTTCGGTCGGGCGACCAAGCGATAACTCCAGTGCCTTTTCGCGGAATTTACTCGTCAAAAGACCGACCCGACCCAACGCGCCTTGCTGAATATATCCTTCCTTGTTCCAGCCATCACTGGTCAAATTCGCAATGGCGGCTTCTCTGGCCGCTGGCTCGGCGTGAATTTCGTCCCAACTGAGGTCTAGAGGCATTTGAATGTCACAATACCGCCAGCATATTAGTGGTGGTCGCCCAAGGAATGTGGCAAGCGATTTGTCTATACTATATGCCGCTACCATTGTCCTCCTCCGTATCTCGCGGAGAAAGAAAGGCACGTTAATCGGCTCTTGATGAAGTCCAAACGCGAAAAGGGTAGCGGCCATATCACCTAGTCTGCGCCATGGTCGGTGGTCTGCGATCTTCTCTATTAGATTTGACATGGATGCTCTTCTCGTATTTGTTCAACCGCGGGGACTTACCGCCATCACCATATACGATTGTAAGAAGAGCGGTATGATGCAAAAGCAGTGAGCATACTATATCATTGATAATCCCGGCACTCTGGCAGAATTGAAGACAGAGATCCCCAGCTGCCATAGCGGTGACTTTGATGCTCTCTGCATCACCCAGCGCATCATACTTCTCATTCGGATCTCGAAGGACGGCGTTAGCCGCTGCACCGACGAGAGTAAGCAACAACCCTATTGTTTCCCAGCGTCCAGCGATGGAAGTCACAAATTCTGTACATGTTGTCTCCGAATGGAGATCTATCGGTTGTGTCTGTTTCTCAAACAGTCTCCTGGACAGCAAAAGTGTCCGTTTTGTTTCATCGGCTTCTTCACGCTGAACGGAGTCCCACATCTCTTCGGTGTGGCTCAGGATTAGAAGCGTAATTGGCCAGGCGAAAGTCCATCCTTTCCAGACCTTCTGACGGGCAGTCAACATCTCCCGACATAAGGAAAGATGTCTCAGCTGCACCAACGCTCGTGCGCCACGCTGAATACGCTCAATATCTACCGAAAAGGCAACGGGGGACGGCGATATGCCTTCCAGCTCCAATCCGCTGTCGCTATCTCTAAATGCATCCGAGTAGCTCGTGTGGCCAAGGAAACCTGGCGCGGATATAGTGAGCTTCCTTTGGCTCCAATCATCTGAGCTAACGCTGGGCTCCGTCAGCTCTTTTCGCGCTCGGGCTTGTACTCGTTTCTCGCGATTTGTCCCTGAACGTGTGAGGGGTGATGGGTGATAGACGCAGAGATGTTGTCTATCGCGTCGTATGCAGCGGCCACAAACTGGGGTCGCATGATCACAACGTAATTTTGATTTGCGGCATGGCTCACAGGACCACAACTGACCGTTGCGCCGAGTTGTTGGCATGTTAGACATTTTTCAGTACATCCAGGAAATGGATCAAGATGGAAAGAGTCAGAGGTGCGGAGTTCGGAGTTCGGAGTGAGACAAGGCTCACTACAGGTTAGCGCTAGTTCTGACGACCCGAATCCCGAAGTTTGGGTATGATGGATTTGTTGAACACCAATTGCATATTGTTTCACGATCGATAAATCTTGGTATAGACATGATTATCTTCACCCCGTTTCTCACTCGGTTACCCACACAAGGGTCAGTCAGTCTTGCAACATTTCCAGGATCAGCTAGGGGGATGGTGCCCGTCAGGCAAAAGTTCATTCGGTCTTCGGCAGGTTGTTCTTGTTCATACTGACGACAATATTTAGCACCTGCCTCACTCGTAGATACCCATCTCTATCTCTCTTCTCGTCCCTGGCAGTCCGGGGTCGCATTCCGTAAACACCGACGTTGTACACGGGAAGAGTGGGCCCGCAAATAAGCACAAGCTTCAACTGCCCCGCTCCCGGTGGAGATCATTAGTTCGTTCATCTGGTATGGTCACACATCTCTTTTCACAGAATATCAGCATCCAGCAGAACCCAAGTATTGTTATTCCCACCTCCAGAGCTGTAGCTTAGTGCTCGCCCAACATGGATCTTCCGATATCTCCTAGAGTCGTCATCGGCATCATGATCTGTCTTGCTGTTGGGACCTTTTACGCCAAACAGTCTCGCAAGCCACGTCTTTCTTTACCACCAGGTCCATCGGGAAATCCCCTCTGGGGTCATCTTCGCATGATTCCAAAAGACCATCCCGAGCGTCAATTCGTCAAATGGGGCGAGATGTACGATTCTGACATTCTGTATTACAATGCTCTATCCCAGCCAATCATCATACTCAACAGTGTGGAAGCTGCACACAATCTCCTAGATAAAAGAGGGGCTAATTACGCTGATCGACCGCGCTTTGTGGTTTTTGAGATGATGGGATGGGGTGTCACGCTCACGTTCCTGCGCTGGTCACCACGGTTCAGACTTCATCGGAAACTTCTTCAGCAATCTTTCACGCAGTCTGCCTGTAAACCATATCAGCCGATTCAGCAAGAAGAAGCCCGACGAGCCGTGAAAGCAATGTTGCGGAAACCACAGGACTGGGAGAATCTTTTGCGACAGTTTTCCACCGCCGTCGTGCTACGCATTGGATTCGGTATTGAGATTCAAGAAGAGAATGATCCCTATGTGCAGATGGCTATCGATGTAGAAGAAGCCACCGGGAAAGGCGGGGTGCCTGGCGCTTCCGTAGTGGACTTGGTTCCTATCCTCCGTCATCTGCCCAGTTTTGTTGAGAAGGTCTCAACTGCCTTTCAGCCACTAGCTCATGCTCGCCGCACAAAGCCTTCCATTCAACATTTGCACGATGCACCTTGGGATTCAACAGAGCCTTTTATCCGTTCAGGAGCAGCAACTCAGCCTTCTTTCATGCGTACCCATTTTGGTCGATATTTATCCAACGAGAGAAACGGCGAGCCCAATGAGGCGACAATAGCCGATCTAAAGGGCGCGGCGGGAGCAATATCCATTGCAGGGGGCAATACCACTTGGTCCACCGTGATCGTGTGTATTCTTAACCTGATGACCCATCCGCAGATACAAGCCAAGGTCAAGAAGGAGATTGAAAATGTGATCGGCGTTGATGAGCGTGGGAAAATCCGTCGTCTTCCTCGCTTCGACGACCGACCACATCTAAGATATCTCGAGTACGTGATCCAAGAGGCGACTCGCTGGGCGCCTCTTTCCCCTCTCGGCATCCCACATGCCTCTCTCGAAGACGACACTTACAGAGGCTATCACATCCCTAAGCGGTCAGTCATTTTTGCGAATGCATGGGCAATGTCGCGAGATGAACGATATTACTCCTCTCCGGAAAAATTCAACCCGGATCGATATGTTTCAAGTTTAGAAAGGGGCCCGGGGGAGCCTTTACCGGAAGGTCCATTCGGGTTTGGGAGAAGGGTTTGCCCTGGTCAGCATCTCGCCCTTGCTGGGGTTTACATAGTTCTGGCAACATTGCTGGCCACGATGGACCTGAACTGCCCCGTAGATGATAATGGGGTGGAAATTCAACCACATGTGACATTCTCCAATGGACTGAGTGGCGTTCCTGATAGCTTCCAGTGTGTCATCACCCCAACATCCGAAAGGGCTCAAAAATTGCTTCTGCAATGATTTTGAGAAACATCGATTCCTTCAACATGAAGTTGTTAAGGCAGACCTCTGTTTACTGGATTCGGATCCTGGATCTACACAGCAGTAACTTCTAGTCAACAAAGTATGGTTAGGGCTAGATGTGGGGAAATTTTAAGCCTTCGGTTATTGGTGTAGCAAGCTGCCCAAGTGGGTGCGCCAGCTGATTGGAAACAATGGATGGTCTACGGAGTATTGGCTTCTAGTATTCGGCTGTCTCCAACAAGATGCAAAGAAAGAAAAAACAAGTTCCAATGTTTGATGAGGTCAAATATATCACACGTATTGAATGTCAGGGTAATCCCATTCCATGGGGCCAAGGACCAAGATATAGAAAAAGAAGGGGGGGAGAAAGAAAAAAACAAATCAACTCCCTAGGCTCACGGCTCAGCCACGACCGTTTTCACTGTATATACATCTTCACAGGAATGATAAGAAAGAGGAAAAGAACGATGGTAGGGGACAATGAAACAGAAAGACGAGGCCAACGTGGCTCCCACTCGGGTCGACAGAGAAGAGACCGAAAGCAATGAAGGGAGGCACAGTTTCACTCCGTAATGCACGCCGAAGAAAAGAAATGAAAAGAAAAGATAGGGTTTTGCAGACATCAAAATCGTTATAGTTTGCCACCAAGGCGAGAAATTGAAGCGGCTTCAACCGTAGATGGAGTCACCGCGAACGCGGGAAATACCGAGGTCGACTTTGGTTCCAAGCACGCTGCTCAGGCAATCTATAAGTTCAAAGTCCTCGACGACCGCACCAAAGCCATAGCAACGGACTTTGGTGTTCAAGGTGTCGATGATGATCTTAACGTCATCGCGACTTAAGGAAGGATAGAGCTCATGGTTCTTGAGGCATGAGAGTGCCATGATCGGAGTGATCTGACCCTCGGTCACAAGCTGGCGACTGAGGTTGAGGAGTGTAGAGAGATTGGGATGCGGGAGATCAGGCGCCTTGTGCGGATATGTCTGATCAGGGGTGGTGTTGGCGATGTAGCTCGGTGGCGGGCAAGTGGCCATTAAGGCGTGGCCCGAGAACGGCATGTCTTCATCGTCAGCTTCGGTAACTGACCGTCGACACAGGTAATCGGTGTGTTCACGACACGGTCCTTCCAATCTGTGTGAACGAGCCTGGTTAGTGCACATGTTCAGGCAGTATCGGGAGAATAACATACGTCAAGATAAAATCAATCTGAAGCTGGGGGTCGCTTTCAAAGACGCCCTTTAGCATCGCAGGCACCGGGGCATCTGTGACATGGCATGCCGATCGATCCAAGGCACCCATCTGTTCAGCCGGACCGGCGTGGTACACTTGCTGCTGGGGGGCAAAGGCCATTGGGGGCGATACCTCGGGATGTTCCACGCCGCCATTGGCGCGCGGACTTAATCCCGTTGAGATCGATGTGCCCGGAGTAGTGTTATGTTGAGTCATCGAGTTGGTAAAGCCGGCCGTCTGGGAACCATTGCTGCTTCCTGCGACCGGACTCGACTGGTATCCGCCGACCGAGGCACGCTCCGCCCGGCGTCGCTCGAGCTCGGACTCGAATTGAATTCCGTTGGCGAGCAAGATTTCCTTGAGGATTTCGTTCTCGTGTTGCGCAACATTGATCACCTCCTTTTGTTGCTGAATCGTGACATTCGCTTCGGATATCTCGTTCGTATAGGCCTCTCGTAGTCGCGATACCTCAGTCTCCAGCGCTCGCATGTATTGTTCTTTTCGTTCTCGGTGAGTTCTATTTTACCCAACAATCGATCAGCCATGAGTTATTTTGACCTCCTCACTGACGGGTGACCTCGTATCCTACCTCTGGGCCTGTCGGTTCAGCTCCTGTCGGCGGGTGAGGGCCGGCTTGCTATCGGGCTTGGGGCCTCGGCGCTTTGGTGTTTGGCCGTCTAGCTCCGGAGTCAGTGGTCTGATCAGGTCCTGTGGGAACTGCAGGGCACACCTCGAGTGGTTTTCTTCGGACCAGCTTGAGCTTGAAACATTTTCTTGAATTCGGCGCCAAAGCCGCCTCTGGTAGGAGTCTGTGGTTGTTCTGCAATGAATTGCACCCCGTCCCGCGGGGACGTTGGCGCGACGAAAATTAGCAAACTGACATCCAGAAGTTTAATCCAAGATCCGAGACATAGAATTCTTCTCTGGTCGCTGGATCTCTCCCTCTCTCGATCTCGGTCTTGATCTTGGATCTCGATCTTGATCTCAATCTCGATTATGATCTCGGGAACGAGATTCAGGAACTGTCGCGAACCACCGGTCGCACCAGGCGATACCACTTACCAGGGTACTGTTGCATATCCATCGGATACACCCCGCCACTATCCATGGTGAGCAAGGGAGATGAAGGTCAAGGGGAGGAAATAGTCCGAGCGTTGCACCGTTGGGAAAGAGTGAAAGTGGAGAGAGAGCGGATAGATGAAATAGAGGTAGAGGGATTCTTGGCGCGATCGGTGCTGGACCGTGAAGTCGAATCACAATATCAGTTGAATCGTCAAGCAAAACAGGTTTTTAATTTGCAAATCAGAGTGCTTCACTAGTATGTGCAGGGCATAAAAGGGGGATGGAGGCCAGGGTCGATTGCAGTTGATAGAAACCACATCGGGATTTCCAGTATTTGAGATTCTTTCCTGTACCTCTCGCATTCCATGTATTCCATCAGACCCTGTTCTCCACAAACGCCCTTCTCTCTTCTCCACTGTTCTCTAATTTCCTACAGAATATCTTCATTCCTCTTCCTGCTCTACTTCTCGAGTACCACATTCCCCTCTTATCCGTACTTTTGCTGGGATGCGGGATGTGATGTGACAAGTCTCGCCAAGGGATACGAAAAATCAAAAATCAATTGGGGAAAAAAAAGAAATCGATAGTGCCCCTGCATCTTTGACAAATACTCAGATCGGGTAATGGAGATCCTCGTTCATGTCTCTGCCCCCAGTAGGGTCCAGGACGATGCGCGATACCGTGCTCAGGTCGCTGCCATCCAGGCTCAGTTCGCGCTGACGGCAGACACCCGCGATAGCCCAACGCAGTCAGCCGTTCATTCCGTCTCAGTCGGCGGACTTGCTCGCTCGGACCATCAGGCTGCTCCGACTATTCCTCTTCCAGGATCGGCCCTCAAGCCCCAGCCGATCGCTACTGAGATCGGTTCCAGCCAGACGGTAGCTTTAGATCTTGTCCATCAGCCTGTGGGGGATTCCCTCGACAGTCTGGTCAGCGTCATCCCAGAATCCTTGCCAGACTTATACCAGGCTTCTCAAGACACGCGTCCATGTCCAGTCCCTGGAAACCCAGTTGGTCCACCGGAGACTGTTTCTCCTAAAAATCGCCGGCTCGAGTCTCCATACCCAATGGATCTTGTACTGGCCATGCCGAGCACAGCACCTTTAGCCATCACTATTGCACTAGAGTCACCACCACATCCCGATAATACACATGCCTCCCCTAATTCGAACCCAACTCTTGACTCTACTTCTATCACTCCATGCAAGTCTTCATTACATCTTCCACCCCTTCCTCTGAAGATCCGACCCCCTCCACCCCCCATTTCCACTGTCCCCTTCACCAGTCACATCACCCCAACACTGTCAATGCTCACGGAGCGACTCAAACCTTCACGAACCTACAAACCACTTTACCAGACCCGGTCTCTGGATCCACTCGAGCGTGGCTACTGGGCTATAAACATCAACATCTGGCCGGAGAACCAGATCGAAAAGAAAAAGGACCTAGAGAATCCACCAAACCTAAACCAAGACCCGGGACCGGAACCGGGATTGCAAAGTAAAGTTGATGGCCCATCAGAAACGAATCAAAATCGAAATTGGGATATCGCTTTTTTCAACCGCTTCTGGTCCTTCCTCTCTGACTTTGTCGGCAAGGACGCCCGCGCCGGCTGGGGTGTCTGGTGTTTTCTCGAACATGCATCTTCAGCAGAGTCCCCATCAACTGCAATATCTCCAGGGGTTACAATAGATGGACCCGTTCCGGTGCTGCTAAAGGTTTACGCATGGGGTGAGATAGCCATGCACATGTATCTGGTCTTGTTCTTAGCGAGTGACCGGCGGGTTCGGAAAATGGGGGCCCAATGGAGGGATTCAGCTGATGCAGTGGCAATTCAACTGCCGTGATTCTTTCATGGTTGATCTATCCTTCTCTTTTAAATCCATTTATATGGTATTTCAAGGTATATGAGTCCTGGCGTTGGACGAAGACACGAAAGTATGATTGAATAGCTCTGAAGGCTCTGAAGATTTACCACAGCTACGCAAGACATGAGATGAATTTGAAATCTTCAATTTATTGTTAAGAATGCTATTATACATGCAGATTTAAATGCAGTATGGGGACCCCAGATCGAACAAAAGAAAGCTTAGGGGAATATCACTCAATCAAGGGAAAAGAGCACAAAATAAGATAAAACGAATGGTGACAGACAGAAAAAAGGGAAAGAGATTAAAAGTGACGGAAATGTTGCACAAAAAAAAAAAAAACATAGATCCGCAGAAGAAAAACGAGTGACACCTGATAAAGAAAAAAGTGACGCACCGAGCAGATCCCATCCATTGCCTTGTCATACGCCGCGCACGCCTGGTAGAACATTTATTTGAAATTGGGAAGAATCACAAAATTCGACTAATAGTTCAGCTCTCCACTACCGGAGCCACCAACGGCATCCAGGTCCTCATAACTCTTGAGGCTACGGCCCTGGACCGCTTCACGTGGAGGCATGGCTTGGGAACCACCGCCAGCGCCCATTGCATCAGGAAAGGTGTTGTTAGTAGGCACCATGTTGGCAGCCGGGTGACCAGGAGGAACTGAGATTCCGACTGGGGGGAGGCGCCCACCAGATCCATACATGCTGGGCATCCGAACGGGGCTCAATCGCCCAGTAGGGCCGCTATTGTAGCCTCGGCGACGGTCGTATGGCCCGGAACGATTGTTATGACGGTTTGGACCACGGCGCATGACACCTGGCTGGTGCATGCCTGCATCACCTGACATGAGCATGTTTCCATTCCAGGTACCAGTGGGTCCTACAAGACCAGGCATTCCGTTGGTGGGGAATCCCGCAGGGAGGCCCCCGGGATTGCCAATGTAAGGCACGTTGGCAAGGCTGAAGCCACGTGGAGTGCCACTCTGGCCACCACCGGCCATAGGGAAATGGCCATTGCTGTTCGTGTCAGACCGCGAAGGAGCAATGCGCGCGGGGTCTAAGACGTATGCATTCACAAGAGACAGCTGTGGACAAAGTTAGTAAACATCAAAACCGTGGGAAAAGACCAAAGAATTCTGGAGAAGAAAACGATACCTCTCGTTGAATGGCGGCTAACCACTCTGTATGGCGCTTTTCAATGTGTTTGTGCCAGAAGTTCTCGGCCTTGAATAACTTCGTACACTCAGGAACCTTGCAGCGGTAGCGCGAGTCATCCTCCTGTTTCACATATTTAGATAATTCCTCTTCCAAGGCTTGATCCACAGGCCGGCCTCCAAGTTTGCGCAGGTCGGCATTCTCAGGCTCCAAGATCTGCAGCAATTTATCCTCGAATGTCTTCACCCAATTGTATGCACGTTGTAGTTGCTGTTCTGACTTGCTAGGTCGCTGTGGCCGCTTCTCCGCAACCGGCGAGCTTCGATCTTCACCCTCTTCACTGGCCTCCTTCTTCTTGACAGGAAATGGCTGTCCCAAAGCAGAAGCGCGGGCGACTAGCTTAGCCTGGGTAGAAAGGCCAGATCGTGGGCGACGAAGATGCCCTCCGGGACATTTGCGACCAAGCTCATGAACCGAATCACTCTCAAAAACACAGAAAAAGCAGAAGTTGTAAACTCGGCGTAGGTATTCGACCATCAAGTCAAGTTTTTTCTTCTTCGCCAGGAGGTCCTCGTCATCCACCTCATCTTCTTCAGATGTCTCCTTCTCTTCACCCTCCTCCATCTCACCTTCGTCAGGGCCATCCTCATCATATCCGTTAGACTGCTTCTTGATACTCACAGGTCCAGTGACCGGTGGCTGCAGCCAACCTTTGCCGCGCAAATCTTCAATTCGCTCCTCAATCTTGGCAAATCCATCAACGCCCTGCCCCATCTCGGTATCAAGCTTGGAAACCAATCGGCGAGCAAGATCGAGATCACGATCAATTCGCTCGGGTGCGGAGAACAAATCCCAAAGTGCCTTCTTGCGTGGCTGTGAGGGTGGAACATGCACACCCACATGGCAGACGAAGTCACCGTGAATTGGGTCATGGATGGTCTTGTCATTGACTGCTTCCAGGGCCTTCTCCGCTGTGCCGAGGGTATTGCCGGCTTTAGTGTCCATCTCTTCGCCTTCTTCCTCGCGGCCATCTCCTCGATCCACAGCCACAGTTTCAGCGGCAGGGTTGAGTAAGATCCAACCTATACGGTGGAACTTCTTGGACGGGTTGGGGTCGCTGAGGCTGAGCCATTTGAAACCACCGTCACCCTCTCCGAGGTGATCTTTGCAAAAAGTCACAATGTTATCGCGACAGACATTGGGGGCCAAGGTCTTGATGAGCAGAGTAGGTTGAGACAGGGCCTCGTCGCGGAGTTCGCCTCCTCGGACGGGCAGCAGGTCGGTAACTCCCATGGTCTCGCCCACAGCGGTCGTTTCGCCTTCCTCTTTCTCAATTACACCACCAGCACCGTCGCTTTCATTCTTGTAGATACCCTCAAGAGTGAAATCATCGAACGTACCGGCACGAATGTCGCGTTCCCATTGGTCGTATGCACCTTTCCGGAATTCCATGAACTGGCTACGCAGGCGATCTCGCACTTCCGGCACGTAGCGCTCCTTGAACCATTCTTCGTTTCGGTGTTGCTGAACGAATTGGCGTCCCAGCTTGACCTGGAGATCCATCTTGTATGCATCGTAGGCTTCCTGGATCTGCGAGCGCTCCTTCTCTCGATCATCACGGGCCTCACGTTCTCCTTTTACTCGATCAGATGGGTGACGCCCGCCATTTTTTGCTCGTTCTTTTTCCTCGTTGATCTTTTTTTCGGCTCTCCACCATTCCGCGAAGAAGGTGAACCCCGCTGTGAAATCGAGACTGTGTGGATTTGTAAGCGGGTTGACGGGGAGTGGTCGCTTGCCCGCGTCCTGGCCAGGTACATAGCGATCGATGTTGATAACATTGGGAGAAGGCGGGCGTCGGCGATCCTCGCGCTCGCGAGCAGCATGCTCGCGAGAGTTATCGTAAAAGTCATCTCGGCGGGTATGATCGGATGGTTCGTAGCGGTCAATCATGGGGGACCGGGAGCGGCCACGGCCTCGGCGGCGATCTTGTGAAGCTGAAAACATTGTCAGTAATTAAGATTCCATTGGCGCAAACTTGTGCAGCAAACATACCTGGTGACCGGCGTCGGTATTCAGCCGGTGCTCGCCCGGAGAATGATTCCATCTCACGCTTTACGCCGGGGGAGGCATAGTTATCATATGAGTCCATGTTCATGCTCGCAGAGTTCCGATTGGTCGTGCAATTCCACGGCTTTTGCCGCGAATATGTCGGGGGAAGGATTCCAAGGCGGATCGGGGGGAGTTCAAATGTATATTAAGCTTCCAGCGAAGGTCGAGTGGGTTGCACTCGCGCACGAAGAGCTAAGAGGTAGCATCGTTAATATGGGACCCAATAAAGTGGTAAAAGCGAAAGGCGGTAGATGACGGCGAGGGGGAGGTTTATGAATAACATAAAAGACAAAAAGCTTGGGGATTGGGGATTGGACAAAGATGAGAAGAGGTGGTCGTCATGGTGGCCTGTGGGACGAGGATCCTCCAGCCACATGGCCCCGAATGGGAGGAGGGTAGCAAAAGAGATGAGAAATTGAGACTGGCGGGCGCCAGTGCCCTGCAGGGCGGTCGCCATAAGTCGCAAGACCTAGCATGTACACAACTGACGAAGCAGGTGTGGTTCGGAAGGAAGAAACAAAAGATAAGCAGAAACAGGCATGGAACCAGAGATAGGGGACTGCGTTGGCAGGGATCAAGGGAGGAAAGGGATAGAGACACAAAGGGTCTCAAAAGAAAAAGAAGGGTAGGCAACCTACAAGAAGCCTGAGCTAGAGTAATGAAAGCGACACGCGCAGGAGGATGAGGGAATTGGTGATTGGGAATGACTAAAAGCAACTTTGGAGAGAGCTGGAGAACGCTAGCCTTATTGGGCCTAGCGTGGAGATGGGCCCGATGTCACCTGATCCATGTATCAACGAAATGGATATTGAGCAGAACGGGAATTGAGCGGGGGAAGCACAAAAGAACAAGGAGTACAGTAGAGCCAGATGGTTGAAAGGATGATGGTCGAAGGTGGAGAGAAGAAAGAAAACAAAAGTCCAACGTGAAGTAAAACATGTAAACGGCCAAAAACAAGTACGCAAACCAAACGTCCCGCCAATCATAATGCGTCTTCAACCCCTTCTCATGCATGATCGTTCATCTGCAGTTTAGGATAAACAAATACCGAGCAAATTGAGCAACCATCCGTCTGCGAATGTCCTTGTAGGCGCTGAGCTTAGCTACTGCTACCCGGGCGCTAAACAGGCGCAAGTTGTGCCATGATGACATAATCAAAGCAATATGGGTAAATTACTAAACATATAACTATCATAGCTAATGGAAAGAGACTAGATCGCTCACATTAGAGGATATGTAAAGTTCATCGGTTTCAAATGTTTGCCTTAATCTCGGGCCATCTCTTCTCTCTCCGGTAAGATACGGTGTCTTGTCAAGGCCATCATTGCGGCCACAAGAAAACGAAGAATCTTTTTTTTTTTTTTTTTTTTTTTTTTGCAATTGAATCATTCCCTGGCAAATCAGAAGCTTCATGAACCGATTTCCAAACTTCATATACTTCATTTGACGATCTTGGCTAACCCCACAATGGTCCGTGCACCATCATTTCAACCAGAGTTCGCCCGAACACCTGCGCCCACACGCCACCAACATCGATCATCGAGCGATGTCCGACCTTCTCAGCTCGCGCTGGGCTCCCAGCGCGAGCGAGTCCTCAAGGTACAGCTCACCGCAGCTACGACGCCCGCATTCCGAAAATCGGATACGATCTACCAATCCCGCGCTCTCGGGCCCTGGGGTCACACATGGTCACGGATACGGATCGGGATCAGAGACAGCTATAGCTACAGGGACAAGGACTGGGACAGGCATCCTATCACCGACTGAAGAACTCGCGCGCTTCATGAAAATCGTCTCCCGGTTGCGATGGAAACTTCCCTTCCTAGCCGAGGGCTACCGCCTTGCGACGCTGGCCGTCGACGAACTAAACGGAATCTCGGCTGCGGACGTGACGCAAGCAGAGATTATGTTCAAGATTGATTTCCATGAATACTACGCGCTACTTGAGCGAGCCATTGTGCATCTTCTGGCCGTGTTTAACATCGCCATCTCTTCCGTTGGGGGGCGGGGTGGTCTAGGTGGGGTCCAAGTGAACGGACATGCGGGGATACACCGGTACCATGCGAACGTGTTACAGGCGTTAGAGGAGGAGAGCACCCCTCTTACGCCTGTACTAGGCAGTGGATACGTCTATGAATTACTGCGAAAAGCGAAGGAGCTCCGAAACCGGTGGAAGGGGGCCGATATGACCCAAGAAGAACGGGACCGCGATCCCTTTGAGGTTGGGAAGAAGATCTTACCGCTATCGAATTTTGATTTTGATGAGATATTAACGGGAATATTTGGTGGGCTGGAGGAGGCTTATGTGCGTGCCCGAGCTCACGTTGAGCTGTGCAGGCGCCCGGAAGATGTGGATAGTGACACGGTAGGCCCGGAGTCGGATTGGGGGTTTATCGTGGACGCTATGGATTGGGAGGCAGTATAATGGGAAGTCTTGATCTTATTGCATGGCACTGGAGTTTACATCATCTCTTTCCCCTTTTCTGTCGAATATCCGGTATTGATGGGCGACTGGCTTCGCTCCACACTGCCCTGACCTCGCGATACACTTCATAGACACGGGGCTCGAAAGCAAGCCTTCCACGCAGCCTTCAACATTGTTTCTGTAGATCTCCTCAAATACAAATGGTATCTTATTGCAGCGTTAAAGTATAAGCAGTGACAAATTGATTCATATCCATAAATCAGATAGGAAAACGACCCAGTCTTTCAAACCCAATTCCCAATCTGTTTTTCCAGTGATGGAGACCCTCTCTAAATTCCCAGCCGGAGACCCATAAACGCACAGCACAAAGACACCGAAGTAAAAGCACGTAAAAGCAAAGACAAATCGCCATGGCGCAGAACCAAAGCCAACGGAAAAGATGGGTAGTGGAGCCAGAAAACACAAACCAGACAAGTGGCTGTACTGTTGACATATACACAAGATGATGGAAGCCTGTGAGCTCTGAAGACGGGAGAAGGGAGACAGGAGGAAATATGATATTGCGGCTTGGGCAACAAAGCCAGAGATAGAGTATTTCGTTTCACGAGATCTCCCGTCAACATTGATACTCATTGGCATTGATGTTCGGGACATTCCCGCGTGATGTGATCATGATCCTCCACGGCACGATGGCAGCCATGTCCATCGGGTGGAATACTTCAAAAGTGGTAAGCAGAAAAAGAGGAAAATTCAGAATATCGTCCCCGCAGAAGCTATACACAAGACGTCATGGGCAGATAAGAAACGAAGAAGACTATGAAGGGGGAAAAAAAAGCACGAATAGAAGTCCAAAGGGGTGGGGGGGGATCCGTACACATCGCTCGCTAGAGATAAGGTCCAAAAAACGTCCATCCATAAATCCGTAACGACAAAGGAAAAGAGACAAAGGGAAAACAAAAATATAGAAACATGAGTCACCGAAGCAAATCATGAGTTCAAGTGTGGGCGAGATATTTAACCGTCATCATCAGACGCGTCAGCGGAGTCTTGCTCACTTGCTTCGGCGCTGGCGATGATCTTGGTCTTTTTGGAATTCGATTGATCCTCGTTGACCTCACTTGACTTCCGCTTCGTGGCAGAGCCGTTCTCTCTTCCCATGATCTCGGCAAGCGGGTCCGGATCACCCTCGGCGACCTTTTTGTCCATGGCAGCCACCTCATCCGCTGTCAAGAACCGGCCACCTGGACCACGAGGTCGACGCATAGCGTGATTGTGCCGCGATTCATGAAGGTAGGGTTTCCGGCCCTTGGAAGTTAAACGCAACTGTTCCTCCAGCTTCTGTCGAGCAACCCGACGCTTCAAAATGCGGTGGAACTGCTTGGCATTCACGTACAGGGGAGACTCTTCTTGGTTGTTACTGGCCACCATTTCAGGAGACGGCTGATGCGGTTGCACGGCCGCTTGGGGGCCGCCCATTGGGGGAGCTATTGAGGGCCGGCCAACGTGGTTCATCACGGGCTGCGCACTTTGCACACCAGGACTTCCCACGTGGCTCATCCGCCGAGGAGGCAACTGCGCGTTTGGAGGCATCTGAACCTGACCACCCATTGGGGGCATCTGGCCCGCCATCTGCGGCGGGGACCGCGGATTCCGATCCTGCTTCATCTGTACTCCGGACGACATGCGCGGTGAGCCTCGCGACCCTTGAGCCATCTGTCCAGTCACGTCCTGGTGCAGCGGGTAAAACTGTCCGGATGCAGCTGCGGTGGCCATCGCGGCAGCCTGGGTGGGGGAGATCCCATATGTTTGGGGCATGGCCGCGGGTACACCGTAGCCTTGGGGAAAGTTCATTTGTTGATGAACGGTACCTGGCGCATTCTGTGCCTGCTGATAGTGCTGCTGCGATGGGACTATGGGGGAGGTCTGATGAGCGGGGTGTGTTGGTTGCATTGGGGCCTGGGGATTGGTGGGGGATGTCATGGACCCGACGGGGGCACCAGGGTTCTGTGGGGCCGCTTGATAAGATCCAGGTATGTGCGACGAGGCATGCGGATGTTGGCCATGAGGCTGTTGGTACTGCGGAGGGTACTCCATGATTGCGAAGGGGAATGAAAGTCGCGACGCGACTGTTCTGTCACACGGTGTGACAGGGGGCGAGAAGAGGGCGTTAAAATGACGGGATCCACCCAGTCAAATGGAACTCAGTTAGGCGCAGCAACGGATTAGGTTCGTCGTCGAAGATGAGCGATCTTGTTCGATGCGGAATGCGAAATCTGTTTGGCAGACGACGCGGTTCAATGGCACGTACGGCGTGTGCTGACGGGGAGATAGCCACTACCGCAGTTGGCGTGGGTGATCGGTGATTCGACGGAGCGGGGCACGATAGTCTGCAGACCCGGGTAATCGCGTCAGCAACAGCGCAGGACCGAGCAGTCACTGGATTGAAGGGATACTGGTGGGGCACACGCTATGGGGGAATGGAAAGCACAGGACTCGGCGCATACCTTATCTACTATCTGCAGGCACCACTAACCAGGATGGGGTGTTTATGGTCTGGACAAAATTCTTCAGACCTTTTTCGTCGACCAGAATCCCGAACCCGGAGGGTTTTGGCTCTTTTGTGCAAATCGGTCTATGTCCACCGTCGGGTGTAACGTGGTTGGGCTGTGATGCAGCAAACCGGGGGATGATGCGCCCCTCGACTCGAGCTGTGATGCGTTGTTCACAATGATGCCACCCCGATACTTGAGGCTACGCAGATTATTTCTCAGGCACAGGCCTTTTCGTGAATGCACCGGGGCTGAGTGTGGCTCGGCCACGTCCAGCGCAAAATCCGGGGAGGAACGGCACCCGGGCTTGCGGGTGTCCAAGAGTGGTCGGAGACGTCAGAGCACAGTGGGATGCTCCGCGAATCAAGACTGTGCCAGTTAGTTTTTCCATATTCTGATCAAACTTCCCAGGAGAGTGATGCGTTGGCATATTGGAGGGGGTGGGATCGCAATCCAAGGCCATGGTAGGCTTGCATACCCAGAAATGGGTTAGGCTCCAAGGCGAAGGGCGAGTGGATGCATGCGTTGGCACGGGAATGATTGGGGCTATTGCTGCAGCCTGGAGGGGGGAATAGTAGACATACCTTGTCGATCGCGGTCTTAGGTTTCTGCAGCAAAAGCAAGACAGATCGTAAGGCTAGACAGGGGGGAAGGGGGCGAATGGAATCGCGTGCAAAAAAACCCCGATGGAACTGAGCCTAGATGTCATATGTTAGATGCAAGTTGCCACGAGCGATGATGTAAACCCCGACGCGAACGAGAGGAAAGGTGACACATCCGATATCAATACCAGGTGATAAATAAACGGGAATACATGAATCGTGTGGGCAGGTATATCAAAAGGAAACAACCAATGGTAATAGAAAGCTCGATGAAACACGGCGTAGCCGCTTTGCATGCGATGGAGCGCGTTGTTTTGGCACGGCCCGAACGCTAAAAAAAAAAACGCGCACGCAACGTGGGATTGGAGATTGGGAAGGGTAAATACCGGGGGGAACCAACGTTCGGAATCAAAGATTCAAGGGATACAATTGGAAGAGATCAAGAGAGGAGGGGAATCCAAAAAGAGGGGAAAGAGACCAACGAGACCAACGAGTGGGAAAGGCGGTGATGGGGTGAGAGTCTCTGTGCGCGGGCACTAAAACTAAACCCACGTTCAAGCCTCTTCAAGCCCAGGGATCTTCGATTATCTCCATATCATTTCCCTTGAGGGAAATTCAGTAGTCACTGACAACATTGACCCAAGGTCTTGATAGAAAGAGGAAAAGTGGTTGTTGAAAAGCCACCAGTGGGTAGAAGGGGCCCAATCATGAAAGATGATGGTTCATGTTTGGGGGCAAAAAGTCCAGCAAGCAAAGGAGAATAGAAAAGAAAAAAAGCCCCCCAAAAAAGAGCCAAATCAAATAGGATATAGGGGGAGAAGGAAAACATATAAATCCAAGGGAAAAATATACAAGGCAAAAGCGAAGATAAAAAGATTCAATCATTCAAAACTAACGATCAAATATCATAGCGCAGCATCGAGTCCATGCATCACTTACCGTAGCAGATCGATAAATCAAATCCACTCAGATAACAATCTCTTAGAGATCTCGACACCTGAGGGAAAATCTAAGGTGGGAAAGCACGATGATTGGGCTCACCAACTGGACCAAGGCGGACGAATGATATGGAAAAGGGCGAAGTAAGGGTGGCCGACTCTGTGCGATGGTTGGCAGGAGGAAGCTTGGGAAAGGGAACGGGCAACCAACGAGAAGAGGCAGAAAGAGGAGGGAAAGGGCGAAAAGGGGCGAGATGGGGCACTTTAGTATTTTAGTACCGGCTTTCTCTTCGACTGACTGGCCGACGATGACTTCCTCTTCCCTCGGCGACGTATCAGAGTACGTGGACCAGTGGGGCCCACATTATGGGGCTGGTATGGGTCAGGTAATGCGGCCCAATACCCTTGCATTACACTGGGACTCCGACGCGATCCCAAGGAATGGGGGCCAGAACCAACGAGAATTCCCGGACGGTGCCTGCTTAGCAGTCTGATTGGTGGACGGGGCCAGGGGCTTGTATGGTACCGTCACGGTGAGATCTCGTGGATGGTAATCTTGGTAATGTCTTGTAACGCGTCTCCGGCCATCCCGGAAGTCACGGGAGTCATGTGCGACCCGGCGTCGAACCACCAGAGGCGGTGAGTAATCTCCCAGTAGATACCCAAGAGTAATCTTGTTTTCTGTTCAGCCAAGGTATTATTCTGATTTTATGACTGATTTAATGGTTACCTGAACCTGGGTCAATACACACATCAGCCCTTCGCCTAATCCCGAAATGAGGTAGCATCGTGATAAGTGATTTGATGGACACTCGGCCCTTGCTCCTGTTTCGGTCACTGGACCCATGCCCTTTGACCCCATCACTGTGATACCGCGCGCTCCGTGGTGATCAGATCCTAGTGAGTCCTAGCAAGGCGGTGATCAGCGTCAATTCCAATCTCAACCATCTGGGCACCACGGACAAGCTTGCGCTCTTCCCTGTCATCCGGGCCGATCATGTCTCCCTTCAATCTGAGGCCTCTTTGTCAGGATCTTGTCAGACGAAAGTATGACGCAAGATACGCCATGTCCAACGGTGGCAATCTAAATCAAACACAAAAATAATAAATAATGAAAATAATGACCCTAACATGACATCGCCTCGAGTCGCGCTCGTCACATTTGGGGGTTGGGCGAGACGCCCATGAGGTTGCGCCAGCGCCTACAGGTCCACAGATCGTCCAGAATAGATGCTCTAGGAAAACTTTGGGGAAACATCTGCACCAGTAGACTCGTCTCAAAAATACAGTATTTTCTCCATGGATGGGTCTCTGGGCGATGGCCCACGTGTGAACCGTCAACTTTATGGGCAAGTGACCATTCATTGCTTTCCAATTTTACGGGTCCCGATTCCCTGCGAACCCCACGTCTGGTTTGGGCCCGACCGCCATGAACATTGTCAGATTCAGTCAACATGAATAACAACAAACACCAACCTCATTGTGTGCCCAGGTCAATATAAGCGCAGATCTAAACCTAGAAATCGTACTGTACGTTATTAGATTTATGCCAACGTTTTGACTGAAAATGTTGAAGTTCTCCAGTGAGGTGTCTGCTGCAAAGTCACAACCATCCATGGAATATATATATGGACCTCGCTATCACTACTCGTCAAGTAGCGACTACATAGCGTACCCAGGTATCCGTACATAAACCTCACCTGGACATACTAGGTATTTGTAAGACCTTCTGGTTCGTTTGAACTATTGGTGATTCTTCAAATCCGAATCAGTCTAGGTATTAGCCTCTCTGGAGGTATTGGCGGACGACCGCCGATAGATCAAGATGTTCTAGCATTCCACAGCTACAGACTTTCAGTCTCCGTTCCTCTATTCCTTGCAGCTTATTGATTCCATGTCACGGAATGTACAATGCATTGCAGATGTATGCCTCGCTTCGTGATGAATAGAAACTGCATTATCATTACCGCGACATTGACTCGGCATTTCGTTCCAGAGCAAGTGGTGCCTGCTTACCTCAGCAAGGGGTCCCGCTTCGGAGCAGGTGGCTTTTCTACATGAACAAGTCGAGCCAAACAATAATCACAGTCAACACGGTTTACTGTCTCGAGTCTTCGCCATTGAAGTCGCGGCTCTTGAGTCGATCGACCATACCCTTCCAAACACCCCCCGCAACACCCAGTGACCCACCCCACACTCAACAGCACGCGTTCAATATTCGCTACATGACGTCTTTGTTGACATCGACTGTTTCCGACTTCCCTGCAACCCTGATTCGGCCGGAAGATCCGAGACGACCTTACAAGCAACTCCGACCCGGGATCTTTGCGACATAAGCCAAAGCCGCACTCCTCGGGGAGTTGGCGCATTGCTGCATCTCTCGTCAACGCTTGTGTCACCCCTGCAAACACCAAACCCTTCCCTGAACAGTCGATTCCTGAAGCACCTCCAGTGTATGGGGTATAGAGATCAAGATGGGTCCAGGCGGCGGAGGCAACATCAAGGTGGTGGTTCGGGTGCGGCCTTTTAACAGCCGAGGTGAGCGAGGCATTGAGAGAAAAAGAATGACCGAGAACCAGCAAGGCTGACGGGCACATCCTATCTACAGAGATTGAGCGTGGTGCAAAATGTATTGTTTCAATGAAAGGCGCCCAGACGGTGATCACCCAGCCGCCGGGCATGGAAGATAAATCGCGAAAAGGTGGCAAGGGTGGTGGTGAAGGTCCCAAGACCTTTGCCTTTGATCGATCTTACTGGTCTTTCGACAAGAACTCCCCAAACTACGCCGGACAGGACAATCTTTTTGATGATTTGGGCACACCATTGCTGGACAATGCCTTTGGCGGATACAACAACTGTATCTTTGCCTATGGTCAGACCGGTTCTGGAAAGTCATATTCGATGATGGGATATGGAAAGGAATATGGTGTCATTCCCCGCATTTGCCAGGATATGTTTGAGCGAATCACACAAATTCAACAGGACAAACTTCTCAATTGTACTGTGGAGGTCTCATATCTGGAAATTTACAACGAACGAGTGCGCGATCTGCTCAACCCGTCCAACAAAGGTAACTTGAAAGTCCGCGAGCATCCTTCTACGGGTCCATATGTGGAGGATCTGGCCAAGTTGGTGGTACGCTCCTTCGATGAGATTGAAAATTTGATGGACGAGGGAAACAAAGCACGAACGGTGGCTGCAACAAACATGAACGAAACATCCAGTCGATCCCACGCCGTTTTCACTTTGACATTGACACAAAAGCGCCATGATGCCGAGACCTCCATGGATACGGAGAAGGTGTCAAAGATCAGTCTGGTTGATTTGGCTGGGTCAGAGAGAGCCAACTCCACAGGAGCCACGGGCGCCCGATTAAAGGAAGGTGCAGAGATTAACCGTTCTCTGTCCACGCTGGGTCGTGTCATTGCGGCCTTGGCCGATGTTTCTGCTGGAAAGAAAAAGAATGCCTCTATGGTCCCATACCGTGACTCTATTCTCACTTGGTTATTGAAAGATTCACTGGGTGGTAATTCCATGACCTCTATGATTGCAGCTATCTCACCTGCAGACATCAACTTCGAGGAAACACTCGGCACCCTGCGATATGCTGATTCGGCGAAGAGAATCAAGAACCATGCAGTGGTGAATGAAGATCCGAACGCTCGTATGATCCGCGAGCTCAAGGAGGAATTGGCACAACTGCGTTCAAAGCTCGGAGGAGGTGTAGGTGGTGCTGGAGCCGCGGGTGGATTGCCAGCCGAAGAATCATATCCTCCCGATACCCCCCTGGAAAAACAAATGGTTTCTATTCACCAACCCGATGGTTCTGTGAAAAAGGTTAGCAAGGCCGAGATTGTGGAACAACTCAATCAAAGTGAGAAGCTGTACAAGGACCTCAACCAGACATGGGAGGAGAAATTGCAAAAAACAGAAGAAATTCACAAAGAACGCGAGGCTGCCTTGGAGGAACTTGGTATCAATATTGAAAAGGGATTCATTGGACTGAGTACACCAAAGAAGATGCCTCATTTGGTCAATTTAAGTGATGATCCCCTGTTGGCAGAATGTTTGGTTTACAACATCAAACCAGGGACTACGACCGTTGGACATATGGACCAGGGCAATAATGTGGAAATTCGATTGAATGGCTCCAAGATTCTTTCCAAACACTGTACCTTCGAAAACGTGGACAATGTTGTGACTATTGTCCCCACCGAAGGAGCCGCAGTAATGGTAAATGGTATGCGGGTTGACAAGCCAAAACGTCTCAAAAGTGGTTTTCGCATTATTCTCGGCGACTTCCACATTTTCCGTTTCAACCACCCGCAAGAGGCTCGCGCTGAACGAGTGGAGCAGAGTTTACTACGGCATTCTGTAACAACCAGCCAACTGGGTTCACCCGCGCCTAACAAAACTCATGACCGCAATATGAGCAAGACTGGGTCTGAAATCGATGGAGACTCAAGTAGGGCAGATTCTCCGATGCCTTCCCAGCGAGGCCGAGAGTCAGACTGGTTCCTTGCTCGAAGAGAGGCAGTTGGTGCCATGTTGGGACCAGATCAAATCTCACATTTGCCGGACGATGAGCTGGATGCCTTGCTTGAAGGGGTACAAAAAGCTCGAGCAGAGCGTCGTGGGTTACCCGAAAATGACGAAGACTCAGATTCTCTTAGCTCCTTCCCCGTACGTGACAAGTACATGTCCAATGGTACCATTGACAACTTTTCACTTGACACTGCTATCACGATGCCAGGTACCCCCCGTCAGAATGGCGATGATGAAGGAGCTAACGGGGGTGTTTCTCTGAACTCGGTCCGGCAAGACATGCAGCGCCAATTAGATCGGCAAAGAGATGAGTTCCATGATAAGCTCAAGGCTGCCGAAGCGTCTTCCAATCAGGACCCGACCGAGATTCGCACTGAGAAGCAACGTATGGAGGACGAGCTAAAATTCGCCAAGGAAGACTATGAGGAGCAGCTAAGAGTGCAAAAGGAGGAATTCGAAACACAGATGCGAGACATGGGGAAGCCTATTCCTCAAATTTATGAGAATGGTTTCGCCAAACTAGACGAACGAGAAATCGAGATCGCCCGATTCGTTTTCCGGCATTGGTCCCAGCGCAATTATGTCCGCATGGCCGAAAAAGTTCTACAGCATGCATCACTCATCAAGGAAGCACAAATTATGAGCCAGATTATGGACAAGAACGTGGTCTTCCAATTCGCTATTGTTGATCATGGCCACAACATGGCATCCTCTTACGACCTTGTACTGAATGGGATTTCTGGCGACGACGATATTGTGCTCGAAGAGGCCAAGAAACCTTGTGTTGGCATCCGGGTTATCGATTATAAACAATGTGTCATTCACCTGTGGTCAATCGAGAAGCTACAGCGTCGCGTTCAATCTATGCGCCAGTTACATCAGTACATTGACCGACCTGACTATATCCAGCATTTCAAACTTGAGAACCCGTTTTCAGACCCATGTTCCCCGCAGTACTCTCTCATCGGTGATACCGATATTCCCCTAACGGCGGTTTTCGAGACACGCGTGCAAGATTTCTCCGTCGAAATCACATCACCCTATACCCAAAGTGTTGTCGGGATTATCCGACTGTCCTTGGAACCATCATCTGCGGAGGCTCCGTCTTCTACATTGAAATTCAACGTGGTCATGCGGGACATGGTTGGTTTTGCTGAGTGGGAAGGAACGGAAGTTCATGCTCAGCTCTTCGTGCCTGGTATCTCCGAGGAAGGAGGTGCTACAACGACGCAGATGATCAGTGGGTTTGAAGAGAGCCCCGTGCGTTTTGAAAGTGTGCATAGCATGAGCCTGCCACTTTCAAGCCCGCGAACGGCTGCTCTCAAGGTCTGTGTTTACGCTCGTGTGACTTCGGTACATCTAGACAAGCTTTTGAGCTGGGATGACATGCGCGATTCGGCGGATGTTACACCTCAGAAGCGGACCGCCCCTCGAATTGCAGAGTCAGAATTCTACTCGGAAGAAAGACACGACGTGTTTGCCAGAGTCCAGATCCTTGAGCTTGCGGAGTCTGGTGAGTATCTGCCGGTAGAAGTTGTCCAAAGCAACAATCTTGATGCAGGCACCTATCAGCTTCACCAAGGTTTGCAGCGTCGTATATCCATCAACCTCACTTACAGTTCCACCGAGAGCCTCCCATGGGATGATATCACTAATGCCCGTGTTGGCTCTGTGCGTCTTCTGGATCCGTGGGGCAAGATCCCTGATCAGGATCTCCAGACCCCGGACGTTCCTCTCAAGTTCCTTCAAGAACCCATGGTGAAAGACAACGCGGATGGAACCTCCAATGTGACGATTGTGGGTCAGTGGGATTCGAGTTTGCACGGTTCCTTGCTACTCGATCGCGTCACCGCGGACAAATACCGAGTCCAGGTCACCGTACGCTGGGATCTTGTATCCTCTCGTCTGCAGGCCCCGGTTGTTTTCGAGGTCGATCAGACAATCCATATCCTCGGACGTACCTACGTTCGCCAGCAGTCTATGTTTAAACAGCTCTGGAGCTCTACTCGAGTTGTGCACTCGACCACTCGCATGTATTCTCTAGTCATTCGACCGATTTCTGCCAAGCGAGCTGCCGACCTGTGGCGAATGAACACACAGAATGACTACGTCAAAGGCGAAGAGTTGTTGACCACATGGGCGGCCCGTAAAGTGTCACTGGTACGAGATTATATAGCGGCCCGCAGACATCGATACCGTGTAGCAGAATTACACGCGGCCCGAGGAGCTCTCAGTGCTGGCAGCCTAATGGCATCACCCGCTCGGGGCAGTGGTCGATCTACGCCTCTGAGAAACCAAGACCTTAACGAGCGCAAAACCAAAATTCTACGCAAATACCTTGATCTCTGGCCAACCAAGAAAGATCCCACAGAGACCATCCTGGTTGGCAGCAATACCGAACCCCCCACCGACGGCGCACAGGGAAGGTCGAACGGTGGCAACGCCATATTGGACAAGATGTCATTGAAGCCTCGCTTCGTGGCAACCATTCAAACTTTACCCAAGAATGCCTCCGTCTTGAAATCAGGACATGTCCTCACACCTGACGACACAAACAGTGTCTGGACTCGCCGATTCGTGGAGCTTCGCCGGCCGTACCTCCACATCTACTCGGTTCCCGATGGGGATGAAATCAACGCTATTAACCTGCGCAATTCTCGTGTCGATCATGCTCCCGACTTTGCGCGTCTCCTAGATGGTTCTGGAGCCGGAGCCGATCGCTCATTATCCGCTAAAGGACGTCCCAACATCTTTGCCGTCTACGGAACACAGAATACATACCTTTTCGCGACACGTACCGAGGCCCAGAAAGTAGAATGGATTCTGAAGATCGACGAAAGCTACTTCAGCAGCAATGGCGGTAGTGCTGTTGCAAGTGGTGACGAGCGATGATATCTTCGTGCTTTTTGAGCTTTGCTCTTTGCTTTTTGCTTTTTGGCAGCTTAGGGTTGTGCTTCATGTTTGACGATCTTACTGGGCCTGGAGTCTACCATTTTCTTTCGTTTTATATATGTCTCCCCCTTTCCTGTTATGACTTGTTGTTGAGATACCCCCCCCCTTGAATATATCAAATGGCTGTGGCGCGCTTCTCCCTTGTACATAGTGCGATATCGTTGGGACCACCATGATAGATTCGACGGTGCTCATTGATTGTTTAGAGTACTATCTCGGTTTTTTTACCAAATAAATACCTCACCTGAATGTAACTTAATCCTTTTTGACAGGTTTCCCGAGCTTTGTACATACTGTATTCCATCTAATCACGCTTTAATGCAGGCGGTGATGTGATGGTGATTTCATGTTTCACATGGTGATGATAACGCGTTGCCCTGGAAACTATCATCGTTGACATCCTACATGAGCAACTATCTCCCCTACACCACCTGAGAAGCTCCAAGAACGTCGAAGAGTCTCAGATCCAATCTTCGAAACTGCGTGGATTATTTTCCATGGAGCTGGTTTAACTCGCATATTTCCAGTCATATTCCCCCTCTAGCAGCCAAAATGCTTGCACAGAGGCCCTCATTCCGTTTCTTAGCCACTGGCGCCGTGGTATCCCTCTTTGTTCTCACATTTCTTATCCTTGGACTCCATCAATCGGGAGACTCCACTCGATATACTATGAAGAATCCCCGGCCGAGCCCTCAGTGCGCATCATCAGTTGAGTCGTCGGCTCCGAGCAACGGAACATGGGAGTTTGTCGTTGGGCGCGATGAACAGAATCACGGCCTTTCGGAGGAGCAGTGTCGTATTGCATTCCCGAAACTTTATGTCGAGATCGACAAGTCTGCTTTACTAAAGCAGGAGAAACAAATTTCCTACAAGGAGCTTGATTCCCGGGAGGTGGAGGATGGCATGGTGCGGGGGATCATCGACCGAGGAGAGGTGAGTTACCGCAATAGCCCCTAGTTGTTTCGAGTCACCAGCCCTAACATATATTGTGATTTATAGCTATATATTGTCGACTATGCTGCAATGCCCGTTACAGGAACCCGAGCTCGCTCAACATTAAACTCTTTACATCGCGCTCTAAAAGCATACCCAGACCGCCATCTCCTCCCCAGTATCGAGTTCACCTTCACAACGGAAGATTTCGCCCAAGATCCGTTAGGACCCGGACCAATTTGGGCATACTCCAAACGCGATGGAGATGACTCGGTCTGGTTAATGCCTGACTTTGGATACTGGGCCTGGCCAGAAGTACAAATTGGACCATACCACGAAGTGCGACGACGCATTACCGCGATAGATGACGGTGAAACGCTAGCAGATGGCACCATTGTCCCAGCTCTAGCATTCCAAGATAAGAAAAAACAACTCGTCTGGCGCGGTAGTCTTGCCACGAACCCCGCCATACGCAGCAAGCTGCTCAAGACCGCTCTAAGTCGGAGCTGGGCTAGTGTTCGTGTTATTGACTGGGACGACGAGAATGACATCCGATACAACCTTCTCCCGATGGAGGATCATTGTCGCTACATGTTTGTTGCGCACACCGAAGGCCGTAGTTTCTCCGGCCGAGGCAAGTACCTCCTTAACTGTCGCTCAGTGATGATCTCGCATCCTCTCGTGTGGCGCGAAGCGCATCATGGTGCACTTGTTTCCTCAGGTGCCGATGCAAATTACATTGAGGTCGATCAGCATTTTGGAGATCTGTCCGCCAAGATTGATTACTTGATTGATAATCCGCAGGTGGCGGAGCGAATCGCTGATAATGCGGTGCGAACGTTCCGAGATCGTTATCTAACTCCTGCTGCAGAGTCTTGTTACTGGCGGCATCTGGTCAGACAGTATGGAGCAGTTTCTGACTTTGAGCCTGTCTTGTTCTCTACAGATCGGGACGGGAAGAAGTCACCCCGTGGTGTTCCTTTTGAAACATGGTTGCTTATGCATTAATGGTCATGATATTGTATTTTAGCGTTCTGTTGGACTGTTATTTCTGGCGTTTATGATACCTTGAACACTTGAAATCTATTAACCATATGCATGGATATCTACAGACCATGATCTCCAAACCATGTAAAGGCTTGGGTCCTTTGACTTCAGCATGATATTACAATCCTTCTTGCGCTTATGAACTGTCGAAGTCATAGTATAACTAAACGAAGGCCCCCCTAAATTATCTATCATGCAACCTATTAAGAAAACCTTGCAGAGAAGATACCCAGAAAGCTGACTGTACCAAATGCAAGCGGCGCTATCATAGCTTTGACATCTGACTCTTCGAGATCACCCACTCCATGGCAGCCACCATCTCTTGCGCCTCAGCCTCAGAGCGGGGAAGATTATGAGCAGCGCTATGCTCATATATTCGCCTCTGCTTTGATTCACAAAAGGACCCAGCCAAAGCTGAAGTCACTTTCAAACCCGGTTCATCGTCCTTTGCTCTAACATGCAGCGTTGGAATAGAAAGACGCGCTTTCATCAGATTCGGATCCAGCGGACAAGGAATTTCCAACAGCGGACGATGCAGTAAGTCTTTGCGTGTCAGACGAATAACTGGTCCCAGTACATCGGTAGCTCCTAATAAAACCCGGACAGCCGTTCGGGCAGGCTCGGCGATCTGAGCAAGACGATCGTCTTCCGTGGAGTGTAGACTTCGAATGTCTTCAGCTGATAAAGAGCCAAATACAGAGCGACGATATTCCAAATCTACAGCTACAATAGGGACAGCCGAACAAAATATGCCAAATCTCACGGGAAGAGGCATGTCTGGATGTAAAGTGACTTGCTGAAGCAAATAGCCGACCATCACGGCCACACCAAGACTGAAACAAAAGGTGCCATCGAAGGGGCCACGTTGCTTAAAGACCTCATCTACGGAGGCGTACGCAGACTCCATACTTAGAGGATTGAAATCTCTTGACCAGCAGAAAAAAGGACCAGGTGAGACAGCTCTTGCTCCTTGGGTTGAAAGGCCAGGTCAGCAATGAGTTCATTATGTTAGCAACTGCTTGAATCCGACTTACCAGGAGCAGGTGGGCAATCTATAGTTGCTTCCAGAAAAACAAAGTCCCAGCTGGGATCGCAGAACTTTAGCAACGCAGCCATTTGGCGTTTCATCACTTCGACATTCATGCCGAATCCATGGAGACAGAGTATTCGCATTTCGACGGCAAGATCTCTTAGTGGATGTTGTAGTATATGGTGCAACTGTAAAAGTGTCAATACCTGTCCAAATGGTCACTACTCATAGAGTATTGTATAAGTAAGAGCAGAAAATCTTTGAACATGCATTCCAAAATTAGCGGTCCGAGCTACTGGCCTTTAAAGGATTGAGAATGACGACGATGGCCCCCTCACGCTCTTGCACCTTGGAAGAAGTAAATATAGCCAGGAATTCCATATTGATCTGATACGTAGTATGCAAATTGTAATCTTCGTGCCTTCAATAAGGAAAAGTAGCATTTCTAGATGATGATCGGCGATGCGTCCAATCACCTGTTTCGTCAACGGGGCAATCGCACGTAGACCGTGTAACATACCTAGGGCTCCGACTGATGTATGATGATAAAGAGAGACAACAGGTTCATCGATGAGAAGCAATCGTGGATGATTATTGGCTGTTCTTGATTTCTAAGGCTCCAGGGTAGTTTCCCAGGTTTTTGTGCCCGATCTGGCCTCCTACAGGCTTAGGGTCTGTGCATGGATCCTGAGGTTCCACAGTAAGTTAGTAACCAATTACCTAAAGTCACAGTCAACTTGAAAATAATATGTGTATGTACACAGTTTTGGTCTCTGTGTTCTAAGGTCGAAATTGGATCTATAATGCAGATTGCGTGTGTCACTGCTATGGTATCACTGGACTGCACATTGCCACCTCTTTCTGCAAGGGTCGGTGGAAAGGCTCAGCAGCGGGTATAAGATACAGGGACCTCATTGGGTGGTAACGGCTGATAGGCTAGCACACTGTTCGCCTGTATTCCAATGTCACCCTAGACATCGTCTCATTTCCGTTTTTCTCCCAATGTAAATTATCATCATCCACTCTTACCCATTGCTCTACGTATTATAAAGTGCACCTTTGCTCTTGACATGAACTATGAATGGCAACTTACCCCCGATGGAACTTTAAGTCCATAGGAGGGAATTCGTTCGGGGCTCCGCCAAATTCAATCTTGGCGTCAGACCCTAGGACCCTCACTAACCCATAGAAGCTTAAGCCTGAGGACTGAGCCCGGTCTGACTACCCGAGCTAGCAAATTGATGGTGAGGCGAGTCTGTCAGGCTACTTGGACTAAGCCTCATGAGGGTTTCACCCTGGTCTAGTCATGTGGACTTGGACAAAAGACACTGCGCTTCGTCTTACTTATTCCCCCCTTTGCCCTGGCCAAAATGATACTCTGATCCGATTTCTCAACTTTCCCTACATTTAAGTGAATGATAAGCGACCATGCCTAGCGTCACCACCATCGATGGCTATACCTTTGACAATTGGGGCCCTGTGACTACCACTTTCACGCCCCCTGCGACCTGTGCAACCTCAACTACTAATATCAGAATTGGACCGACTCAAAACGGCTCTGCTCCTTACTTTCTATATGCCCAGCAGTGTTCTACTATCGGATACTGGGACTGTATGCCAACTGGAATAGAATCCAAGGCTGTCATCACGGCTTCCACCTTTCATTCAAACCCCACAGATGCATTCCGGCCCATGTATTTCTCTCCAGGCTTATATTGCCCTTCTGGATGGGCAACCGTGGGCCTTGCTGCACGCGGAGAAAGCACGCTGAGTGGATCAGGAATCCTGAGCACGGCCTCTCCGATATACAATCCCGATATTCCAGAATTCGAAAATCCCGCGACTTTGATCATGAGTCTACTCGACCCAAGCGAGACTGTTGCGATGTGTTGTCCAAGGTTCGTCCAGAAAAAGAGTCCATGGATTAGCGAATAGAGCTGATTTTGGCGAAGCTCCATGACTGCTGATATATCTGCAGGGTGCTACTCCATCTTGCCAGACTACAAACCCACGGAAGGTTGTTATCGCCTATTCCCTAATGAAGATTTGACGGAAGTCACCAAAACTGCAACGGTCAATGACACTACTGAGAAGTATCTTATCGAAACACTCATTGGCACGGCTCCTATCACCAGCACTCATACCGTAACGTTTACAACCGACGAAATATCATCTTTGGTCGGCGCCACTTATATGCCTATGGTGACACTTGTTCACCATCAGTCTGATGTGAAGGCGACAGGGACTGGCAATGCTGCGGCAAGGTTTGTTCCAAACATATGGGATGGATTCGGTGCAGTGCTCGGGTTGTCTGTGGCTGCGATGGCATTAGGAGCCGCCATAATCTTGCCTTTTTGAGGAGTCTGTACCAACGTTGGACCAAATCAACGGAAAATAGTATCAAATCTACTAATGTAACTTTGATTAGGTAGCTCATACTTGCCGTGAGTAAATAAATTAATCAACCATCCAGACTGTAAGGTATCGCGGGGGCTATATCGCGTACCCACTGTGACTGATCAATTCCAAGCCAATTTCCCCTCAGCTTCTCCTTCACACACAGAACGTACATTCTATGTAGGCCTACATTAGCTGGCGACAATTTGTCAAAGCCATGAGTGCTTTGCTCGCATTGACCTTGGACAAAGGAATCTTAGCCAATGTTAGGCAGAGTATACAGGTCGATGAAATTTACAAGTTCTTGCAAGAAAGAACTTGCCCCAAACAAGGCCCACCGCTACGGAAGTTACTTGACACACTATCGTGTCTCTGGCTCGATAGATTCAGATGCGGTGGCGATTACACCCAGGAGCACGTTGACATCCAGGACGAAATGAAACATCCCGTTCGAACTTTAGTTCCAATCAATCGAGAGTCCAAGTCGACTGATAGGAAGCTTCATTAGATTAACCATCTCATTGATCAATTTAGCATAGTATTTGTCCCCACATCAAATTCCATTAGTCAACATAACCTGTCATCCCGGTCACCCTCCAGAGAAGTGAGACAGCCTGTTTCTCGTTTTTCAGTAGGTTCTACAAGGTAGCCAGCATGAGAGCTCAGAATTTGCCATTACCATCAGTAGCCAGCTCGGGATCCAAAATATTCCTAAAAGTTTATCAGATAGGGAAGAACATACAACGTATCACAGAACTGACCGTTGGCTTTTGCGATTCCAAACTGCACTTAAATCTCCAATAGGCAATGAAAGAGGAAAGCCCACAGAGTCAAGCAGCTGCGCTGTCAGTAAGTAGAATCCTAACATAGTAGCCACGAACAACGCGGCACCAGCGCCCTGAATGATAAGATTAGAAGATTTTCCTATCAGACTGAAATACTTCAAACGTACCACAGTCAACCGGTTAGCAACCACCTCGTCTTCGAGACCCAGTTTCCAATATGCGGCAGCCAAGAGAGAGAAAACGAAAATCAGAGATGCAAAGATCAGCACAAACACAATGTTGGTGCGAGTTGCGCAGACAGTGTATATCAGCATCAGCAATGCCATGAATAAAAAGAAAAATGCTACCAAATTACGTTAATACCCAAAAGTTCATACGGAAATGGATGTATTTACCGAACGTGTCCACAAAACCAGGACCGTGAAGACCTGCTAAGGTATTGGTTCCGTCTGCGGAGTATGGGGCTTGAAAGTAAATTAGTACAAGTGGAGTCATGGGGTTTGGATGAATGTATACCTGCAGAGTTGAAAGCTGGAGTCATAGTGGCACCAAAAGCCAAGCAGAATCCACCTAATAAAGTCAATTTTGTTTCAATCTCTTTTTTCAGACAACTTACCCAAGTGACCAAAAACGACCGAAGAGAATGTGTTTCCAAGAATGAACTCAAGGATGCTGGAAAGAACTAGCAAGAGTCCACCCAGCAAAATCAAAACTCCACTGTAAGGTGTAAGTGAAGAGCAAAACTAAAGTCGGGATGTTTCTTACGTGAATGCAGCACCACCCCCACCAGCGCCTCTCCATCCCATCAAGCAGCATGCAAGTGGTGTGGCTGTGAGCACAAAAGCCCCAATTCCTCTAGAGTCACACGGTCAGCAATGAATGTTGTCAGAGGCCGGGTGTTATATCATACAATGGAGTAGGATTTCCTAGATTCTTCGCCAGCGTCGGCTGACGGTGCATCATAGGACTCAAATACAGCCTCTCAAACTGCTCAGCAGACAATGTAATGGAGGTGGGGACCTGCGTCAAGGCAGGCATACCCCCCTCACTATGCGAGACCTTCGAGTTACCACGCATGATTTCGTCGTCCATATTTTGACCAGTCATTTTGTAAAAAGAAAATATCGGAGAATATGAAGCAATGAGAGCAGGAAAGGGTATTTATGCCGGACGAGCGGACAGCCCCAATTACCGACCTTGGACCCGAATATATAGCTAGACATGCTGGGGAGCTTCCCCAGATTTGAGTCTCCGCATCCGATCGGAAGCCTTGTTGTGCAGAATTTACGGGGTAAGGCGCTATCGGAAAATCTATCGGCATTTAGTTCCAAGGTCGACGACGATCCCCGCATTCTGGGGGAGTTATTAAAGTTTTAGGTCCACTCAACATTTGGTTCTGGAATGGATTGTGAGTTCATCGTAGATGATTAGTCTGTGAAAGTTGGTAGAGCTCCACTTTTAAGAAACCCCTTGTGAGTAAATTTACCATGTATTCAATGGAATCAGATGCGAAGCATGGAAATTTTCATATCGCGGTGATGCATAGGAAAACCAGTTTGCGCGCTTAAATAAAAGCGAAAGCATTATTGATTGCACTGCATATGCTGCGACATTTCGTCGCTCAATGGTCATAATTGACGGTTGCCACCCTAACGGGTCCATGGGACCGGGAAGCTTATAAGATGCCGAGGAAGATGCCGAGGACAAGGCGGAACCCAAAGTTATATTCCGCCTTATTTGGATCGTCTGGTTGCGCCAATCAATTGCCAATTACTCGAGTCTTACCAAACTTTAACCCCGCATTATTCGTTATTGTTTAATAGTTCATCTATGGATTCACGAACGTGATAGTGTCGATCTTTCATGGCGGAACGTGGGTTCCGCGACTTGTTATTCACAAAGGGAATGAAAAGGGGGACGAAGTGGTGACGTTGGATTCTTCATGGGCCATTCGCCGCTCTGGTCATATTGTCACGGTTTGTCCACTCGAATCAATTATGGCAGGTGTGTTACTGTCACAGTGCTTACTGAATGATTTGCTTGCAGAAATCTATTCACAAGCAATCACTTTTTGCATTTAGCTTAACAGTCCCCTCGCCTTGACCAATCGGCTTGAGACCATGTGGCTGAATCATATCATTGGCTATGTGAGCCCAAGTCTAGGTTTTTGGGGCTCTCCAGCCCAGTCAAGCTTACTCTCCTCAAGTGTGTTTTGCATTGCTCACAGCTACCTCCTATGCGATTGAGCCGAATGAGATTGCCACGCTTTCCATGTCAGCTCTCTACATAATTATGGCTTTGGCGTCCCGAATAAAAAGCTCAGTAGTTTCCTGAATGCAACACCATGGTCGACACTTGACAGGTAAGAGAACAAATTGTAGGGTATTTGAAAGATAGACTTATTGTTGATACCTGGTGCTTCAAGGGGATAAAGGTGAGGCCGAAGAAGTTTATGTGTGTAATGATTAAAGGATTAGAAAAGAGAAAAAAGAAAGTGGATCGTTGACTATACCGATCTAGGACGAGGGAAGCCCAAAGAGATACGATTATAGGGGAAAATAGAGAAAAAAAAGAAGAATCGTGGGAGGCAAGGCTTGATCTACAGTGCTGACCGGTAAAAGCCACCAGAGCCTCAAATCAAGCCACACCCGCGCCATAGTTAATGACACAATCCCCCTGAAAAGCTCTCTCTCTCTTTCTCTCTCTCCCTCCTGCATCCACTTTGTCACCCAAAGAATGACTCAAAATTAACCGAATGCATTACTCAACTGTGCTTTTTCGTATGAAAATTTTTCATGTTGGTCAACAAAACTGGAGCTCCCGAACTCGCGCATCTAATGAGTCTCGACCCGTGCCGATGTCCCGGTGGCAACTGATCCTGCAGCTAGCGCCATGAAAATTTTACTATCATCTGATGATGCGTGATTTAACGACAAGCGTTGATTAGATGCAATGATTTTGATAGAGAATTACCAATCTATCATGGACCCGACATTGCATTGCTTTATGGCAGTCTAGACTCGAATCTGATCTTCTCCGAAGACCTCGACGATGTTACATAGCAGAGAATGCACCAGCAATACCAGCATGCCTCTAAAAATAGGGTAGAAATATCACTGTCCCCAGTCATTTGCGTTTTCGACTCCTGATAAGTGGGTTGGCGGGTAAGAACGGGAGAAGATCTCGAACCTTGGGTTGCGATCATGGGATTCACCGCTGTACCCACTTATGATGCCTCGACTCGATCGCACATTTACTATACCCTAATAGCTTATCTCAACCGAGATATTGTGGCAATTTGCAAGATAATAATAATCCTGTCATATGACTGATGACATTTCGCATATATAACATAGGTTCCTCTGAGTCTTTGGATTAACTTCTCAATACCAAATTATTTTCCACATACAAACCATCCTTTGAAAGGATTCCACCATGCCAGCCATGTTTCGCAGAACCTCTGACTTTTTCAAACACTTCAACCAACGGCATGACTCAGTTCACTCAGACAAGCCTGTCCTGGAGTCCCACAATTCGAGTGCGAGATCTTCCCATGCCGATTTGACAGTCGAGAGCACACCCCTGGCTCCTGGTATGATAATCCCATCCACACACTGCTCGCGAACCTCGCTAATGATCAATATAGCCGATACCCCACATCCTAAGAAACAACGACTCTGGAGCTTTGGCCACCAAGACGAAGACGAAAGGGAGAAGCGACGCCTGGAGCGAGAGGAGCGGGAGCGCGCTGATTTTGCCGCTACGAGACGGTACGCCAGTGCTCGGCGACGCAGCAACGGTGCTGGGATCGGCTTTGAAGGAGGATGGCAGGGCTAGGATGCTATGGTCGGGTGCTGCCCCTGTGGTCTTCAAGGAATTTGGATTCCTCTTCTTACATTTAATATAAACTTTAATACCGTATAATCAGAAGCATTGCAATGTTATTACTTATCAAAACTTAATTACAAAAAAATCCACTTTCTTCGCACAGTGTACAACGCAGGAACTGAACCGAGTCACGTCCCAGTCCGATACACAATAGAAAACAGGGAAACATTAGTGACCATTGCAGTCAAGGTATTATATTCATAAAGGAGTGTTCATGCGGTTTGTACATATTACCTGCATCATATTCAAATCATAGGCCCAAAATCGCACTGATTTTGTGACTCATTACTAGGATGGACGTTCCCGAGCCAATTGCTCACTTTCTGAGATCATCCCTGCAAGGCAGCAAGATGACTGTCTATACGGTGGTCTAGTAGAGGACCATCACGCTCAGCATGACAGCGATGGAAGCAACCCAGTGGGCGAAGCCCATGGGAGCAGTGATGGCCGAGCCGCTGGTAGTGGGGGCGGTGGAAGCAGCACTGGAGGCGGACGCACTGGTGGTAGACGAAGTGCTGGTGGTCGAGGACGCGGTGGTGCTGTGGCTGGTGATCTCAGCAGCACTGGTGGAGGCCACAGCGGGGGTGGAGACCTTGGCTGGGCTGGTGGGGATAAGAGGGCGAGATGTAGTGGGGATGACGGGAACAGGGGTCGAAGACTCAACCACAACGGGGATGGACGAGGTGGGAGCAACAGCGGCAACGGAGGAGGCCACGGAAGACGAGGCGGCGGCACCACAAGAGTCGCCGGTCAGCTGGATCTTCACGCACTCGGTGACGGAGGTGCTGTTGGTGGTGTAGATGTTACGTCCGTCATTCTCGCCGGTCTGGCAAGCGATGAAGGAGGAGCTGCTGTCAAAGCTCAACAGGCCAGAAGAGGCCAAGGAGAAGCCAGAGGTGCCGGTGGCGCCCTCATCACACTGGAACTGAGTGGTCTCCGCTAGGTATGCTGTTAGTCTCTGTCGGTATAAGAAGCATATGCTGACTCACAAGTGACAACACATCCACGGCCCTCGCTATCGGTAATGATAGAGTTGGAGATGCAAAACTCGGCAGCCGACAGGGTGGTGTCACCCAGACGAACCTGGCCATCGCTCAACTGGCCAAGAGTGCCAGTAGCACTTCCAGAGGCAGTCAGCTGGAAACAGCAGCTATCACTGCGACCAACGAGGGCATTTGCGCCCGCCAGGAGGGCAGCAATGGCAATGGTGCTCTTCATCGTGAGATTGAAACGTGTGCGGGGTATTAGAGAGCCCGAAGCGAATGTAAACAATGTTGCTTCAAATAGAACGTCCGAGATCAGAGAAAGAGAAAGAAAGGTTTGGTACCGCTTTAGGGGTTTAAGTAGGAAAAAGCAATGACCGTTCCCAAAGACTTACGAATCATCCACGACCGATACGAAAACCGGGAATTGGGCAATGAGCGTGTTCGCCGTTGGAACCTATCAAATCCTCTTTAACCTAGCTTGGTCCATTCATGCTGATTGTTCACAAACTACACGGGCACTAACCGTATATCGATAGGACCAGTCTTTATTGCAGCGGGGAATTCCCAACGTGGGACGGGACGCGTAACCATGGAATCCCTGTCATAGTTCGAATCCAATTGTGGTTTGCTGTGCCTGAATGGCCCACATGGAAAGATTCTGATTTTGCCGAGTCAGAAACCCACTGTTCTCGAGAAAGGTTCCGACGAACTCATCCAACAACTGAAACAGAAACTCTTGGATCCCAATGACTATAGTCTATGGACCAAGCCAAAGGCGTGGATCTCTGGCAACCGAGCTAAAAAGGTACGCCACTGCCAAGTAATGCGCATTGTTGATACAGCCCCGCATGGAGCTAGGCTTATGGCCTTGCGCTTGGGCCCTGACAATCCAGGAACACGAGTGCCTTCGCAATTGTAGAATGCTTAACCCAGAGGCGATTAAACTTTTCATCGACAGTGATCTGGAATAACCATAAAGATTCAGAAAAACGAGTTTATTCGGCGATTTAAGCAACGTGGATGTGTCATGTTTCACGAATTCTCACACTCCACTTTCGCCTTAACTACGGGCCGCGTCATTCTCGTCTGGTCCAAGCGTCTTCATATCCACCATCCGCTCGCTCCACAGATCCAGCAGGTTTTTGCCTTCTGGGTCTTTATTTCAAAGGGACAAATCTAGACTCCGCTGGATTCATTGCCTCTTACCTACTGGAAAGCTGGACTTTTGGCTATAACTATGCTGCCGACGTGGGTTCTCTCTCGGCCACCAATTGGTCCTAAAACACAAGCTTGGCAAGTTGAACTTTCAACATTGGCATGACATATTACCTGGTCTAGATGCCCACAAAGCGAAGAAATTTTACTGCTAATTTCCCATATCAAAGAGATCGGCATTAGTACATGAAAAGCAGGTTCCAGCGAGAAATCCTCACCAAAAACCTTGTATACGGAAATATCTTCTCCACTATGTAAATTTGTGGGGCACCTCGGCCAAGATTGATTTTCTAATGTTCTTCCTCTGCTATTCTCCCATATACGAAGCCAGCAACATCCCTGTCTCGTGAATCAAGGACGCGTCGCAGGACCCTCTGGAAATGGCCAATCCCATTTGTGTGCCTGGCTGATCATGGCTAAAGTTGACCTGCATTGAGACGCGTATTTGTTTATGGCTGTTAGGACTATTTCCGCAGCTAGAGTTTTATCGACAGGTTGGCGTAATCTTGAGCTGGGGGCGTGGCACCACAGACGTCATCATCATGGTACATACTCAACCAACAGACTTACTGCTCTCACTCCCACTATGACTCAAGAGATAGGAAACAATGGCTTCCATTCAAAGCCCAATTATTTCCCACTTCATCTTATTGGACATCCAAACTTATTGAGGGTCAATTAATTAGCACCCCCCTTTTTTTACTCGGCACGACTTCCCGCCGTCTCTCATGTCAACATGCCTATTCTCATCGCTGGCAAAAACATTTCTACGCAGACTCCTCCTATCCAGCACATTTTTCGAAAAGTTCGACAAGTGCACCATAATAAGCGGGGAAAAAATACGCGATACGGAAATGTATTCTTCTTACTCGGCATGAAGCCAGCTGCAGTGTTCAGTGATGTGATTGGCTCATCAAAAAGTACGGATTTCTTGCGGTCATGGTGCTAGGAAGCACCTTAAAGAGAAACTACCATGGTCTCATCAGCCAACACTCAAATACAGAATACGCTAGAAGCTTCTCTTAATCCCTATCAATTATACGAAGTGGCTATGAGCATTGTCGCTGGTATCGTAATACGTTATACTAACATTGATGACATTATCATGGTCACAAGCTTATGCGATATCTTTTGTCATTTATCAAGGGTCTTACACATCGGTTCGAAATGACCATTGAATATTAGTGCGAAGAATTATAGAAGAAGAAGGGGAAAAGACTACTACCAGCGTATGCCTAGATCGCTCATTCACTTTCCCCCGGATTAACAATTCTTGTTATCCAAACCACCTCCCTATCGGGGACCATGCCGAGAAATACTCTCCACTTCAACCTTTCACACACGTCGACCACGGCGAAGAAGCTGACTTCTCCTTAAAGGATATCCTACCTGAAGGGTCTATAATTTGAAAGCTCACACCATCCATTGGTTCCGAGGTGGCGGACATCCCGCTGAGCAAACTCGACTTCGCCGCAAGAGACCAGCTCGCACCTATTCATTCCTGTTTAGTCACTTGGCCGTTGATAGTCTCATTGAGAAAAGCGGAAATCAAATCTATCCAAAGTTAGCTCATCAATCTTAATTGGAGTTGAATGTTCAACCTCTTGTTATTCATTGTCGGATGTTCACGTAGATAATCTTTTCTCTGCTCGCTAGTCATTGCGTTCCATCTCTCTGCATTACGTCTGCTACGATATTAGCGCTAGAAATAACATCTAGTGCGAAAAGGGTGCATACCTGTTACATCGGTCATAGTATACCTTCGACCCAACGAACGAAAACAGACTAATCACAGCAAGTGCGATCAATATTTTGTTTCCACGTTTGTAGTATGGCTTATCATCGATTTGATAGACCTAAGGTCATTAGTATCAGCTTAAAACAGGAAATATGGCTCCTCACATTAGCACTAGCAATGGCACTGATTTGCACAGACATGTTATACAAGGCAGTGGCAGTAGTGCGAGTTCGCACAGAGCCCGCATTTCGTGATGTCAAAGCAACAAGGACCGGGTGTATACTAGGACTTCCGACAAGAAGAGTTAGAATTGCGAATCTAGGCCAGGGTAGCGTCTTCGCAGGTAGAACTTCTAATGCGATCAGAAGAGCAAGATTCCACAATTCAACCGCGGCGCCAGAAAGTAAGCGCTGATCTGTTCGCTCCGCAATCCATGTAATAGTGGCGAGCGTAATGATGGAAACGACAGCAGCCGGAATTGTTAACAAACTTGTTTCGAACGTCCCGAATCCCACCTCTTTCAATTGTAACGTGAGATAGTTTGTAGCCGGCGTCGAGGGAATCAACCAGATCACTCCGAGAAAATAAATTGGCCACATGTGGTAGTCTTGTAACGACTGCCACAATAATTTCGGCGTGACAGCTTGCCGGTTATGCATAGTTCCCTTGCTAGGATCATCGCGAATAACGCGATTAACGATGATCTTTTCTTCGTGTTCCGTAAACCACCCATCTTTTCCACGCAATCCTCCTTTGGTCTGAACTGGGGAGGCAGGCATCCAGAATACCGCAATAATTCCGATAGCTCCCGTTATAAGGCCCTCAAACGCAAAAAGGTATCGCCACGAGCCAGTGCCGTCGGCATTTGTGACATGAAGGAACCCAAAGGCCAAAAATGCACCAACAATTCCAGTCAGAGTGTCCGAGATCCAGAAACAAGTCAGTCGTTTTGGCAGTTCGTTGGATTTGTAAAAAAAAGACAAGAAGAGAACCGTGTCGGGAATACTGTGTTTCGTGATTAGTTCATACCTGACCGGAGACGGGAATAAATAAGACTCACAAGCCACCCTCCAGAAGACCTAGCAAAGCACGCGTGGCCAAGAATGATCCTCTTCCTTTGAGAAAGGCCTGGCAAGCTGCAATGATACTCCACACCACCATCTGAATGGGAATCCAGCGATCGGGACCCAATCTCTTGGAGATCAACTGGGAAGGCATTTCAGCCAGGAGGAAGCATACCAGAAAAATGGTCTGGCCCAGGTTATAGTCATTGCTGGTCATTCCCAGATCTTCCAGAAAAGTACTGGCTAGCGCCTGACTAATATTTCCTCGATCAAGTTGCAGTGCAAAGAATGTCACACAGGCGAATGTCAAGACACGGACATCAATCTGTACCGTGTCAGTGAGTTACTGGCCTTGCTTGAGGAAATCATTTTACCTTTCGGACGATCTTCTTCTCTTCTTCCTGTGTCCATTCGAATTTCGGATCCCAGCGGTGTATTCCCTCATAGCTATCAATTGGACGATAGAACTCATATCCCTCTTTGACTTGAAAAGTACCATTGTCATAACCTTGAGTATGTTGCGACTCTTGATCCGACTCCAATATACTAGCTCCTGGGGAGTGGTTCTGACTAGCAGAAACCTGCGCAATCTTTTGTTCGGTCATGTTTTCCAAGCTTTTCAAGCGCTATAAAGCCCAATGTTTGGAGACTATTGAATAGATCCATACCTTCTATCGGCATTTTTTGTTTATTATGTAGTATAGATTAGCGGGGTTCATTGGTCACGCAATCCCGTCAAGTTGGAGATCATTGCAGCCACATGTCGTGCCCTCGATTTCGAATGAGACAATTGCAAATATTGACCTACTTCAAGTGTCAAGTTTTCGCAATCAAGCATAATGAATTTGGTCGCATCAAACTGATCTTATCGATAATTAGGCAAAATGATATGAAACGTTGCAATCTTGGAGCAGTTACTACGTTAGCAGGGTAGACAGACACCAATCTTTAGCAGCTCTAGTACTACGGACTCTTGCATCATCGAATAACTCAAAGACGAAATTCTTTATTATCTCCGGCCAATCACTTCCCCCAAAGGGCAAACGCCATGCCCTGCAAGAAGAGATCTCAAGGGCCTGTCATTGGACGGCGCACACCTCGATCTGATATTCTTTACTTTCCTTTGGCGATATTTAGGGCAATGGTGATGTGATCTCTGGAAATTGCAAATGAACTGAACAGTGAAATGCAAGCCACACCATGGGCCAAGGGAATCGCGGGCTAGATACGACAAGATATGCTGGGGCGATGAAATTCCAACAGCAACAATTTCGATCATGCTTTTTCACATTTTCGTTTGATATTTGGATGTATGCCCAGATAATCATTAACATGCGTATATTACCGCACTGTTCCACGACGCTTTGATAGGAATGTGGCGGTACAGTACAAGACATACGTGAATGCATGCAAACTCAACCCCTGCTGTACAACGGCCTTCAGTCAGTCTTTTCAGTTGTTAAATGGGAACAAAGCGACTGTAAGGTAGCACGTAGCAAAAACATAAAAGCTCATATAGTTGAGAAGAGCCAGGACAGACCAAAATTTCGTTTTGTTACTCTCATTCAACCATCTATGCCAACCATGTCAGCGACTGCTGTGACCGTATCTTCAATGTGCGCTTGGACCTCGGGGTCTATGGTGGTCGAGGTTCCCTCAAGACAAACAAATTCAACCTCCTCTTGTCTCGCCCTCAACACGGCTTAAGTCCCGCCATTCGACGCAAGGCTCAGTTTTTTCGAAGCTAGGCATACGTGAAACTATTGAGCCTAAGCATCTCAAGGTACTTGAGAACACCTCAGACTTCGAAGTCTATACCACCCCGTCACCCCTATTCTGGGAGTGGTTCGCCGAACACTTACCTTCCCTGAAACTCATAAATGTGAAAGCCGCACTTCTCGCTGGTACTGATCCAAATGCAATAGGCCATGAGCATAACACATGTCGCAGCCTTGGTCGTCCTCTTAACGATCCTTTATAGGAGAGGGTTAATCCGGAGCATTTGAAAGATAATATCCTGGTCATCAAGCTTTGGCTTGAACATGGTGCCGATCAACGTCTGGCCGTCCGAAGATCAAGTCTCGAGGGCTACAGTCCCCACTAGAAGCTGCGAGAAGATGGTCCTACCGAGTATTATGGGAAAATCTATCGCGTTGTGAAAGAGGCTGCTGGTGAGTTGGATCGTAAGTGCCCACCCTGATGCTTTTTTGATAAGACTCTGCTTATAATGCAAGGTCGTGGTGCTGAGAAGAAGCGTAGGCAATTTTTAGACTGGACTCGGCTTCGTTAAAACATGGTAACTTATTAGCCTCCATGGATCTGAATGGAACATCAAGGGGGCTTGTCTGAGATCTGGAAAAGAATTCCAGTGTTCTACTATACAGCCTCTCCGCGACATCACACATTTGTGCTTCCCTTACATCGATGCCAAGGCCAAGAATCCAAAGTTGAATCAGATGACATCTTCCATGGACTGCATCCACACTATGGAAATTCAGGGTCCGAATCCTGTCATGCGCGCCGACGATCTCACAACACCCCAGTGTAAATATTGACGTCATCATACTCTGAATACCCTCACCGACTGGTCACAAATTCAATATGCGGGGTACACTGAAGACACACACTAAAGCTGTTCGGGATTTGGTTGAGTTGAGTTTCCAAAGCAATCTTGTTCATCAAGTGGAAAATAACCAAGTCACCAGTCCCAGATGAGACCTCTCGGCCAAGGCAACAAATCGCAACCCATTTGCTATACATTCCGCCATTTTCGCACAACCAATAGGGTTATATTTTTATTTTTATTTTTGAATGTAGGCAATGGGGAAAAGCCCTGAAATATGGAACATTAGGCCCAGGAATTTCAATGATGAAAGAATTACTGATACTATTGAACTCTATAACCCAGACACGTGCCTGGCTAACCCTTTGCTCCGTATAATGCCAACGCATGCCCCTGTACCTCCGCAAGGCTCCTGGCTTGGTTACGAGGATATTATATCCAGCCTATTGGATCGCGTGCCTTGTCCTGATTCTGCATGCTGACAACCCTGAAGGCGTGGTCCGTTAGGCGCCCCAGTTCACAGAAGAATACTTTGTCTGGGCTGCATGTCGCAATACGCCTGGCGTTTTTCTGCGAGAGCTCAGAGCTCGCCGATTTAAGCTGCGTATGATTGGCGCGAGGGAAAAATGTGTCGCCCTTACATCGCTAAGCGAGCTCCTCGAGGAATGGGTGGTCTAGTCACTGCGGTGAGATTTAAGCACATCTCAGACAGCTTCAAAGGCGGAGCGCATAGGCCTCTGGGATCGACATCTCCCCCAACGTCCACGCCCAACCATGATCCACAAAGTCTATTCCCCACAAGAAGCCTAACTGACTGAATCTTCCAAGATTGGTCTGACTAATGAGTTTCCTATCATACGCTCCTATCTGCCAGTCTGAGTTGGTGCAGATGAGTAAATCCAATGATGCATACAGACATGTCCATCATGCCAACCATGACCTACCATGGATCTTAGTGGAGCCAGCCATGTGGCCCTCACCGTGATTCTGGAGCACGAGCGCTCATTGGCCTCCTTCCTACCCCAATCCACTAGCTGTACCAATTAGAGGACGATATAAGCACCGCAGCAGTATCGTGGCATCTTCACTTCTTCCTTTTGACTGATCGATTATTAACTTCCGACCTCACATCCCGCAGGAACATATTTGCACGAGCGTAGAAACAAGTGGATTAGAATTAGTCTTCCAAACCCGCATGCAGCTGATGGACTTCCCGTGTCAGGTCCCCAGCGCCGGAGGTTTTGATCCCTCTCGAGAGCTACTGTAAGTTCGCCCCCAGTGTTGAAGAATGGCCTGGTGGGAATGGTTGGTGCCAAGTAGTACGTAGGACTGACATATAAGACTTTGTTTTCCCTCTCATGTAGATGGATAGTTATTCAGAGTTTATACTCCTCACCTGACTTGTTTTCTTTTGTCTCAATCTATTCATACTATTCTCAAGACTTCAAGAAATGCGCTTCTCTCCATCCAAATGGGTGTCTCTCACCCTAGCACTGTTGTCACCCGCTATCGGCTCGCCAATGATCCACAAGCGAGGGAACAGTATTCACATGGGTCTAAACACAGACTTTCCGGACCCAAGTTTCCTCAAAGCCTCAGATGGAAAGTGGTACGCCTTTGGCACAAACGGAAACGGCAAACGTATCCAAATAGCCAGTTCTTCCGACTTCAACACATGGACTCTGCTCGACATCGAAGCCCTTCCCACATTATCAACCTGGGAAACCGACAAAGATCACTACGCACCTGATGTAATTCAACGCGTAAGTCGCGGGTCGCCTTTTTTTCTTTGTTTCAAAGATATCTCCTAGATGCTGATACCGAACCAGGACGATGGAAAATACGTGATGTACTACTCTGGTGAAGCCAAATCAGATATAAACCACCATTGTATCGGAACTGCTATTGCAGAGAACCCAACGGGACCATACGTACCCAGTAATACACCACTGTCGTGCCGACTAGACAAAGGCGGCTCAATTGATCCATCTGGATTCCTCGACTCAGATGGAACTCGGTACGTGCTATTCAAAGTTGACGGCAACAGCGTTGGACATGGCGGGGACTGCAACAACGGGGTCGAGCCACTCGTCTCAACACCGATCATGCTGCAAAAGCTACAGGCTGATGGTGTCACGCCTATCGGAGACGCAGTGCAAATCCTCGATCGGAGTACAGCGGATAATGATGGGCCGCTTGTTGAGGCGCCGAGTCTTGTACTTCATCAGGGCACTTATTTCCTGTTTTACTCTACCCATTGTTATACTGATCCTGCATATGATGTGCGCTGGGCTACTGCGAGTAGTATTGTCGGGCCATACCAGAAAGCAAATATTCAGTTGATGAAGACGGGGGAGGATGGGTTGACGTCACCGGGAGGTGCAACGGCTTGTGGATGTGGGGATCGAATGCTGTTGCACGGGTGGTGTGATTCTGCAAAGACAAAAAGGTGCATGTATGTAGCAGATATGAGGCTTACTGAACAGGCTGCCATCATTGGTTAATCTTGTGATGGGGCCTGTCGATTGACTTCCAAGGTCCTGGCTCTATGATATCTTGATCTTGTTCGTTTATATACCCCTGGCTCGTTTATTGCCGGATTATTGAGAACTATCGTGGGAGGCAGTTTCAATTTAAACTTGGAAGATATCCTTCACTGCTTCAAAAAGCACCTGAAGAAGAAAATACTGATATGTAATTTATTTTTTCATGTTTTCGTGACATTCTTTAACACGACCTCCTAGGGCCGTCTATCAATATATTAAGATCCATCGAGTAAGCCCATATCACTAAACGGATCATAACCTTGACGTTTGGCAAAGAGCTCTGATCAATAGGTTATAATCCAAATGCAAATCCGTGTAAACACCCGCATCGCTATGCTAAACATTCTTCTCTTCGCGTGCCTTTTTCTTCTCCCGGAGAGCATGCACCCAAGCCCCAGCACCCTTAATAGCAGCCTCGGGGGTACTCTTGTGGTTAAGTAAATATCCCTGGATTTCAGCGGCAGTAAACTCATCAGATGGAACAATAGATGCGAATCTCTCTGCCAGGTTATTTATACGAGAGCGCAGCTCTTGGAGATAGCACTGTTGCTCTTTTTGTTCCTTCTCTTCCTTCTCCAGCAACTCCTGGCTCTTGCTCCGTTTATGCGAATTGGGGGTGGAGACACCGCTAATTCTAAGCTTTGCATTTTCATTGCTCAGGCGCTGGGCAGCAGATGTGCGAGGGGAGTCACCATCCATCGCCATGTAAATTGAGGTGAAAAGCTCTTCGATGGCCTCCTGGCTGGTATAACCGAAGGCAATACTCATATCCACTCGGCCGGGCCGAAGAAGTGCTGCATCTAGCTTTTCCGGGTGGTTTGATGTCATCACAAGGATCCGTCCCTCACTGGCAGCGACGCCGTCAATGACATTCAAGAGGCCTGACAGAGTGATTCCGTCGGGCTTGGCAGTGGCAGCAACTTCATCAACGACGACGGCATCGACTGCATCAGCGGGAATCTCTTCGATATCAGCTTCATCGCCTTCGTCATCTTGGGGTTTAACATCGGCAATGGTCTTGCCCCGCGATTGTGTGATCCCGGCCGTGTCGACATCTTCAAGAAGAACGATGCATCGGTTGGGCAACTCGGAGAACAAAGAAGCAAGACTATCTTCGTCAAGGGACTTTGAGTTCAGGTTGAGAAGGTAAAGTTTCAGGCCGAACAGACCTGCTGCAGCGAAGCAGAGACTGGTCTTGCCCGTACCAGGAGGACCATGCAGTAGATAACCACGCCTATATGGGATTCCACGATTCGAGTACCACCGACGGGTACGCGGGTGAAGATATTCCTTGATATCGTCGATGAAACCCTGCTTCTGCTCTGGGTCGAGAACAACAGTGGACAGAGGGCGTGGCGATCGGGCCATACACCGAGTCCAGTTCCATGAACCACCGGAGTAGTAGCGATGACCACGGTAGATGATGGTGCGATTACCATCTCGCTGAACATATGCCTGTTGTGCCTCATTCAAGACGGTTCGGAGGATGGATGCATCGCGACCGAGGCAAGAAAGATAGAGTCGCTCGTTGTTTAGCACGTAGCGGTGGTTGCTGTTCTGGTGCCTTCGCTCTAGCATCAAGGGCCGGTTCTTATACCAGAATATATGTCGGCCCTGTGATGGAGTAAAGCGTAAAGGCTTGTATTTGTCGCGGCTGATGACCTTGGCCCAGTATTCATCGAAGGAGACACCGTTGGTGCTGCCAGGTTCATCCCACTCTCCTGCATCCTTTTCTGGGTTGTCGTCGTCGTCAGAATCTTCCGATTCACTGCAGTAGCCATTGGACTTTACACCGGCAACAAAGCGATTGGTACGCCTCATATGTGGCTGTCGTGAAATCCAGTACATGAAATAATTGAATGTCTCATCGTCCAGGCGGATCTCTGCTGTCGAGACGAGGTATTCCTTGACGAAATCGGAGATGTAGCCAACAGTGTATTTAATGGAGGCACCGAAGACGACTAGGAGGACCAATTGTTGCAAATAAATTGTGAGATCGATGTGGAGGTAGGACAACAGGAAACGTGAGAATAAAGCATATCCCGGTATCAGGGCCTCCAGCATAGCAGTCTCTGAGGAGAAACCCGCCCTGTCGGGTAAAGGAGTTGTTTGGTTGAACTCCATGACGGGCTTGCCTGGCAAACGAATGACCTTGAAAGGAACGTATGTAAGAGTAAACTGAGAGGACAAATCTCACATTTTATACGTGGTTTTTAAAAAAGAGCCTCATTCACTGCGCCAGGATAACCCTGTGGAACTGCGCCCGAAAGGGAGCCCGAGCGGTCGCGGTCAGGCCTGATTGCTGCCTGCTGCCTTGTACGAAGTACAGCTTGACTCATGCAGGTGGTGAGTCGGGGGGCTTAGACCCTGGGATCTGCAGCTTGGGCCCGGATGCGTCATTCCATGTGAAGCAGAGAGACATAAGCAGCGCCTACGGGGAAAATATACCAAATAAGAAAAAAGAAAATCTCTCCCTCGGGGAATCGAACCCCGGTCTCCCGCGCTTATCGGTGTTAATGACAAGCGGAAATCATGACCACTAGACCAAGGAAGATGAAATAGTCGAGTTTCCGCTCGGCCACTTGGTGCTGGTTGATGTCTTTGTCTTCATTCTTTAGTCTCATAAACGTCATTACTACTTTCAGCCGTAATGTAACTTGGCAGTCATTACACTGGAGACTACGAGCCCTTTAATTACTGTGGTGGTTTTTTTTTTTTCTTTTGCGAAATAGGTAAATGTTTTGCTCCTGAATTGTACGATTCGGAATTAATGGAAGTATGGAAATGCCTGAACGATACATAGGTCCCCGTATCCAGGTGCTCACCTGGGTGAGATGGATACTCGCATAATAATACAATCAGGTAGTGCACGGATGCACTCACCCTCGAGACATAAACCGTGCAACCCGTTTTCAATCGGGATTGGAGCCTCAAGCCTGAGGACGTAATCCTGTAGCGCGCAGGTGGCACGGTCCTCGACTGGAGTTTTAGAAGTAGCATTCATACATACAACATTCGAGGCTCACAAAATTACTATGTATTATCTAGAGTTTTATAAACATGGGTATCTTTCAGAAATCATGGCCACGTGGCCCGGAATGAAATAGAAAGTAGCAAACGCGTCCCCGCCAGCCACATTATGCACTTTGCGGGTGGTTGTCTTTCTCAGCTGTAATCAACTCCCCCGCCCATTCCTTCCACTCCACCAATTTGTCCAACAGGGAGCCCCACCACGAACCTTTCTCGCCGTGGCTGCTGGGGTCTGATGCGGAGGGTTCAGTGGGGGCAACTGATGCTGGGCTAGTTGGCTCGGGTGAAATAGCAGTCGGCGAGGCTGGCTCAGGTGGATCAGCTGGGCGTTCCATAGGAGGCGTGTTCTCGTCCGAGTGAAGTCCGACTGGGTGAAGGGGAAGACGAAGGGTCCCGTTATTCGAAATTGGGTCAATACCCAGTGAATCACAGACGATATTGTAAACCTCAATGTTTTCTATGATAGGTCAGCTCATGCGGCTCGGAAACCAGGACCAGAGAAACTTACGGAATGCATCGAGACGGCTGTTAGGGGTGTGGGGGAATGCTGGGCCCCGCGCGACGAAGATTGCGCGCATCAGCGGGTGTTCGTGGTCATATCCGTGGATACCCCTGGGGTGATAGACTTCTCCTGTCTTCAGAGCCTCGGCCGCATCAAACTCAGGGCGTTCCACAATCGCCCACCCAGTCTTTGGAATAACCCACAGCGGGGCAATGCGATCATTGTTCTTGAAGTGGTACCGCTCAGGCATAGCTTCCCGAGTATAAAATTCAAATGCGTGCACATAGTCGGGCGCTGCTTTCTCTAGCTGAGCTTGCAGGGTCGCCAAATCTTGCGGTCGCTTGGGGCGAATTCCGCGAGAAGGCCACCCATCTAAGTGATCTACCAGATCAAGATCAATAATATCATCCAGCTGAACGAGGCGTTCGTTGGAAGTCGTGGCCATGCCATGGTCGGAAACAACCACGATGTTGACGACATCCGTGAGATTGCGGGTTTTGAGGCCAGCAACAATACCTCCTACAAACTCGTCTGCCCGAGAGATGGTGGTTTTAATTTCAGTGCTGTTGGGTCCATAGTTGTGCCCATCTCGGTCAACATCTGGCACGTAAGCTGCAATGAACTGGGGCCGCGCTGGCGAAAGTTGGGATTCGTCCTCTGGGCCAGGGAGATCCAGAAATTCCAAGACACGGTTGACCTTGCGGGACAAGGCCTCAGTCCCATTGTATTTGTCCACATAGGTCGGTTCTGGAGTTCCAATGTGAGCCTCTGACCCCGGCCACATGTGGATGCCACTTTTGACGCCCTTTTTCTCTGCAGTCACCCAAATTGGTTCGGCATTCCACCATTTGGGCAGCATACTGACAGATGGGTGCGTGTAGTAGAATTCCTCCTTCAATTCCGGATCCCAAAAAGTGTTACCCACAATCCCGTGGCTCTCGGGATATAACCCAGTGACAAGTGTGAAGTGATTCGGGAACGTCACGCTAGGGAAGCTGGGATTCATGTATTGGGGTGAAACACCGTCGGCGACCAGCGAATTGAGCGAAGGAGTCAGACCGCGGTCGAGGAAATCCGCTCGGAATCCATCTAGGGAGATGAGGATAGTCGTGGGAGCAAATAGCGCTGTACCATTGGACAAGAGTGGTTTCGAGAGGGCGTGTGCAGCTCGGAAACCAGTGGAGGCTTTGTATGCACCGAGGATGAGGATCAGGAAGAGGACGACAATGAGAGCGAATATCAACAAATACCGGCGCCATGATAGTTTCGCAGGCTGAACAGGATCAACATAACGTATTAGTATCGGGAAGAATCAAATAAATGTTGCACTTGTAAGACTTACCGGGTTATAGATGTAGTCGCCCTCACCTAGGTCTATTGAGGAGCCGCTCATCAAGGAATCATCATCGCCGATCCCTTCTTCCATCTCATACATCAGCTCTCCTTCCTCGCTGACCCTCTCTCTGCGCGATAGTCGAGCCTCCTTTCGCGCTCGTCGGCGTTCCTTCTTTCCAATTCGCACGCTACTCCCGTTGGGACTGAACATCCTGCGGAGCCCATGAGTCGGACCCCGTCTGGTCAACAGCTTTTCTAACTCATCTTCATCATCTAGAACGCCTCGATCGTGTTTGGCGAGCTCTAGAGTGCTGCGGGGATGACGAAGGAACTCATCATCTTCAGAGTCGGAGTCTTGCTCGGAGGGCGATCGCAGTGAGGCCGCGTCGCCATCGTAGTTGGCAGGAGAGAGAAGTTCAGGACTTTCAGGACGCAACATGGCGGGCGTTTCAGCCACGACACGAATGCATCGAAGCTGTGGAGAGGTGAGTTGGAGATGCCGATTCTTGAAAGGGAGATCGGCGGGCCGGGATTGACCCGCCAAGACCCTGGGAAAGCCCTTGTTCCTTTCAAGTTTGCGTACTCAGACTCAGTGACAACAAGAGATTCTATCTGTATCGAAGATTGGCACTTGATAAAAGATGTTTTTTTTTTTTTTTTTCTTTTTAGATAACTTAACATTTTTTTACATTGCTGACTACACAGGCAATCGACTCATCCTGCGGAGTTGCAGAATTTCAACAAACACTTGATGTTTACCGCTTTTCGAAGATCTACGACAGCATGCAACAATGATCTTTGAGTAAATTCAGATTATGTTCCATGTTCTCTACCTCATGCACTGATCACCTTGGAAGGATGGCAATTCGTCCTTCACGTTGAACTTGGAAATAGAGCACATGCTTGTTGCTCATCTCCGGTCAATTTGGCTCGACCGCATGAGTCTCACATTCCTCAAATGCTTGAGAAGTGACGCTAGTGACGTGTGGTCATGGTTTGCACTTTTGCATTCCTCGAAAATAACGTTGCAGATTGCAGATCTGGTACGAGCGATTCTATTCATGGTGAAGCCACTGACGCGAAAACATGGCTATTCCGGATGCAGTATCTCAGCACCAGCCAGTAAGTGCCCTAGAGACAACACCTCGTCTAGGATGGTGCATATGGCCTTGATGGTGTCTACGTAAGAGGGCTTTGCTTCATCGGCCCCGGAAAAGCTCGTTGCCCCCTCTCCCCTCAAGTGCTGTATAGCTTGGCTAATGGGCGACACTGTCAGTATATTTCAGTAATATCTGTGATATTCCCCCTACTCCTAACTACTGCTGGCCGCCTGGAATCCTGGATAGCTTCCCTAGAGTACCCAGGGCCACAAGGTTCCTTAAAGGTCTACTCATTGTTGACCTCGTTGAATGTACAACTGTTGACTCTATATCCCATACGGGTAAATGGTTGCGATACTCTCCACCCATTGTTCTCTCACGGATGCAGCAGGCGGCTCCTCCCCACGAGAATATGTACGCCGTTTTTGATTCCCAAGAGCAGAAAAAAAGCAATTGTTCCTACCTCCACACGTGTCGATCGCCGAGGAATTCCCCGTTGGTGCTGTGACGGAGACAGAAACAATCTTCATCGCGCTTCCGCTTGCGAGGCCGATACCTTCCTATTTTGGGTATCACGTGACAGACCACTGCCCTCAGCAAGGCCAAGTCTGCGAACACCATACGGTATCTCGCCCATGAATAGCTATAAGTCTATGCTGTTGGTGCCGACCCGTGCCATGGTTCCACAGTGGACCCGGGCTCCGGCCGGATACTCAGAGTGACATCGAAGTGTCCACCTCCGCATGCGGAAACCTGCAATACTGCAAATCTCTCCTGCCCTGGCACCAGGCTTTTCATCAAGGGCAGAGAGGCACAGGCAATCATAGATAGGAACATATGGGGCAAATAAAAACTTTATTGAAAATTTTCTGTTCTCTTTCGTTACATGTCATCATATACTTACCTTGATATCCCTAAACAGGCCGGATTTGGACAGCTTCCAATTCTATAAGAAAGCGTTCCTCATCGCCATAATCTCAAATCTGGTTCTTCTCCCTTTCACAACCTTCCACCGCATTTATATCTTCATCCTAGGTAGGGTTGGACATCTTGATTTGAAAGGATCCATCTCATACTGACCTTGTCTCAGCACGGTTCTTCATTCGTTAGACAAAAAGCCCTCTCTTCTTGAACCAATCGCTTTCATCTTAATTCACCCTTATCATCCAAAATGAAGTTCACCTCTACCGTTGCCATCCTTGCTGTCGCCGCTGGCGTTCAGGCCGCCAAGCGTGCTGAGCCCCCTGTGCACGAGCGCGTTGCTCGCGGTGGTGCTGCTGGCACTGGCACCGCCGTCAAGACTGGTACCCACCCCATCATGACTGGCTCGCCCGTCCACAACGGCACCACCAATGGCACCGTCCCTACCTCCTCTGCTGGCCATGGCTCCAGCATTGCGGTCATTCCCTCCAGCACCCGCAGCGCCGGTGCCGGTGCCAGCTCCAGCGCTGGCTCCACCTCTGGCTCTGGCTCTGGATCTGGCTCCGGCTCTAGCTCCGGCTCCGGCTCCGGCTCCGGCTCTGGCACTGGCTCTGGCACTGGCACTGGCTCTGGCTCTGGCTCTGGCTCTGGCTCTGGCTCTGGCTCTGGCTCTGGCTCTGGCTCTGGCTCTGGCTCTGGCTCTGGCTCTGGCTCTGGCTCTGGCTCTGGCTCTGGCTCTGGTTCAGGCTCTGGCACTGGCTCCGGCTCCGGCGCCGGCAGCAGCAACACTCCTGCCTCGCCCAGCTCCACTGGCTTCAACCCCGCCAACGCTGGTGCCAACGTTCACCCCATGGGTGTTGCCGGCGCTATGGTCGGTGGTGCTGTCTACGGTCTTATGCTCCTCTAAGCGGGTCGCTTTACTTAATACTGGGATTTCCTTTGTGATCTAATGATGGTGTTTGGTTTTCTTTTCCTCTCTTTTGGCCCTTCATTCCTATCTATCTGGTTCTTCCTGGCATCTATCCGATGTTGCCTTTCTGGCTGCTGTCCATGAGTCATACTGGATTGGGTTCTTTGGGTGGAAACTGGAGAAATAGAGTGATGGATAACCAATTGAGAAACGGCGTTCAGGGTGAAATCTAGATCGTGCTCTTCAATGTTTCTACGGATGTTGTATGGGATATTTACCGATCTAATATAATTCTAATTTCGAAAAGTTCATCTTCTAAAATATTTTTGTTGCTCGTCTTGGGTTCCTTTTGAAAATTTCGGGCTCCCCCTCAATGAAGTATGATTTAGTGAGACTTGAGCCCCTGCGCCCAAATTATCTCAAACCACCTTCTCTCATTCAACCCGTAGTGAGAAATTGTTCTTACAAATCCACGTTCCTAGCAATTACCTCAGGGTCATAGTTATAGATAGGGTTATGACCAGAGCCAAAGGGTGGGACTGAGAAGGTACATCGAGACAGTGATGGGCCAAGTACATTAAGCCCCGAGGGCATCGAAGGAACAAGGTGCATGTACCTAGCAAGTCTCTAGATTTAGGTTTCAGTAAAACTTCCCACTACTGCATTTCATTTTCCATGAGAGCAAACCATGGAATATCACAGCGATGATATATCGACTGAACCTTGTTTCCTAGTGGCAAATGCAACCTGGCCCCTGTGCTATCTTGTCACAGTCATACATCTATTAATAGTAGGTGGCGTGCTCCACCAGCATCGACTTTTAAGGTTTGGATTAAGGTTTTAGCTCGAGATAAGCATGCAACATTAGGTGAACAGTTCGCGAGAAAGGGAGGAACACGACCAAGGAACACCGATAAAAGGCGAATTAGCCCCGCGGCATTTATGTGCACGTCATCATTTCCATGCTTTTGCAGATTTGTCCCTTTTCATGAACTCAAGATTCACAGGAGAATTTACAAGATTTGTCTTTCGGAAAAATCATCTAATATATTCGATGGCGTTGAAGGGAAGTTGAGGGTTATCACCGGTGTAGGTAGGCGTATCGGATGCATGAAAACGGTGGCTAGTGATTTTGCATACTCCAAAATATTCGGAATCAGAGAAATAAGGAATTGAATGTCGCGCTACAAACTATTGAATTCCAAACCTGTTTCCACTCCTCTATCCAAGGACAGTATTCTAGATACTGCAAAGACGATAGCAGGTAAGAGGTAAAGAAAGGCTATCTACAGAGAATGTGGAAAGGGAAAAGTTCTCTCTCTCTCATCTACGCGTAACCCGTAGGCTTCATCAAACATAATGGGAAAATCATCCATACATGCAGGCAATAAGAGACATCAAAACAGAAAAAGTGATCCAATGCATTATATCAAATAATTAAGACATGAAGAGCTTGAATTCAAGACAAGATATCTGTCTATGACTTAGATATCCAATTCATCCACTGACATTCACAACCACCCGTCCCACCATCAATACCTCCGTAAGCCGAAGAGGGCGTAGAAGAACCAAAAGCAGGATTGACCAAAGTACCTCCAACAGCCCGATCCTCAACCTGGAACTTCTTGTCCGTCATATTGTAATGACCGTCCTCTTCGATGCCATAACAATACAGCCTCTTTTTATCGTCATCGCCACCGTGTCGATCCAAAGTAACGGTAACAGGGTACGGGAACGAACCGGGACGAGTATAATCCGTGGCTGATGACGACGAAGTAGCCGTGACGGAAGTGGAAGTAGCTGATGCCGCGGCAGTAGCGGTTGTACTGCTTTCGCTATTGAGAGAATAGCCCATGCCTGATGGATTAGTCCAGATCTGGACAAGGAAGCGAGTTTGCGACCAAGTGCACCGGACCTGGGCGTTTGCTTTGGTCACGCCACCGTTTTGGTCTTCGGGATTGTAGTCTGTTTTGCTGTTGTTGAGAGGTGCTCTTGTCTGAAGGAAGATGGACTTGTCAAAGTAGGTATAAAAGCCGTAGTGTTCTGATGTTTCACCGCGGTTATAGAGGCGGACAGGTTGTGACGAAGGAAGTGGGTATAGTACTGCTGCTGCCGCAGTGCCATCTGAATCCTCGTCTGGTGCAGGAATAATGGATGATATATTGGTGCTGCGGCGGAAGATATTCGTTGATGATAGGTGGACGGCTGACAGGACAGAAAGGTAGAAAGGCGTCTCTTCGCCATCATAAGGCTGAGCGTTTCCATCGGTTGTATTTCCAAGAAAGGTTTGGTCCGCGACACTCGGAGGAGATGGATCAGCCGTCCAAACGTCACGCTTGGTAGTTGTTGAGTTGGAACTGCTCGTTGTGCTATTAGAAGTCCCATTACGGTAGCGAATTTCAAACCGAAACGTGGGGTTATCTGCAGCATAAGGTTTATTCTCAGTCTGCTGGGTACCCTTAGGAAGGGCGCAGCTCCACATAGCTTCAATGTTGATACACCCCGAATTCTGAACCTGGGGCTCTGTTCCAGCAATCGTCATGATACCAGTTTCGATGGGCGGGTAATTCGTCAGATTAACCCACTTTGACTGAACCTGAGTCTCATCACTCTTCCTCGTCAATGTAGTCGCCAAAGAAATTGCGACAATCACAATGACGAGGAAGAACAAGCAGATGAACAGATACCATCTTCGGCGAAGACGACCTTCACGTCCGGGGCGTCCGAAGCAGCCCTTGTTGCTAAAACAGCCCCGTCCTCGCCAGAGACCGCCAATCTTCTTCCCAGCAGCATCTTCGCGTTGTAGTCTGCGGCGGCGAGCCTCACCAGGGCCTACTTCTCCTGTGGGGTTCATTGAATGTGCCTCCGGAGCTGGGTAGAAGTCATTACGCTCCGGAAGAGGGGCATCTCTGTGGTGTTGGGCATACGCTGGTGCTGGAGCGTTAACATCAGACATTGGGATTGATCCAGGTCCCCCCGCAGCACGCTGAAAGCCAGGAGAAATAGGCTCTGATGCCTGAAGTGTCCCACGTTGCTCTGGCGGAGCGAGATGTTCAAGAGTCCTTGCATCTTCTTTTGGTGCATCTCGTGGCGCATCCTGAAATTCCTCAGGCATCTTCGTGATATCTGCCTCCTGAGGGGGCTCTTGGGAATATGACTGGGGAGCTGGAGGTGCTCTTGACCACTCTGGTGTTCCGGGTTGAGGCCGTTGCTGTTCCTGTGGAGCAAGGAAGGGGTTGTTTGAGGGATATACAGGAATATAATGAGGCATGGCTCTCTCAACTATGACTGGAGCTTGGGGGGGGATCTCGGAAGGCGCTGCACCATAATGATAATTGTTGATAATCTGCGGAGGTGGAGCCTGAACCGGAGGTTCGGGTGGGTAGTAAGGCGCTGGAGCTGGCAATGGCATCTCGGGCCGGGGTGTTGGAGCCGGTGCTGGGAAATACGGTGCTGGGGCTTGTTCTACCTCTCTCACCAAAGGCTCTGGAGGCACAAAAGGCGCTGGAGCTGGGGTTGGAGCGGGTTCTGGTGGGAAGAAAGCTGCTGGTATGGGAGCCGGCTCTGTAACTGAAGGTTGAGCGGAAATATGAGCGGGCTCTTGGCTCATAGGCTTAATTGGAGGTTCAACGACCAATTCTTTGGCATTAGTCTGTGGCAAATCAGGTGCATGCTTCTCATTATCACCCATAACAGTATCAACAGCAGTGGAGGCCCAAGAATCAGTGCTACTTGTTGAAACCCGCAAATGGGAGCATTTAGCACACTCGGAATTCTTCATAGCCTCCGAAGAAGGTGTGTCCACGTCGATCAGCAACCCACGAGCACCAGTCACAGCTTCGGCATCCTTGATCTCAGGTTGAATATGTTGGATCTCAGCTTCCGTCAAAGCTAGCCCTCGATCACCCGTGACGGCGGCCCCGATACCTGGCTGACTGGTAATGACATCCGGCGGCGTAATCGAGCACACATGGTTGAAACAATCAAAGTATGGAGCCTTGCTAAACAATTCATGGGCACAAGCCTGGTAATATTCGGCTGCTTCACCCTGGACTCGGGATCCAGGGAACATCATCGACATGGCATTTTGTCTATTCGGCACCGGTGGAACTACGTCCATGTTATCGATAGAGCGAGATTGCTCGAGACTTCTGTTTCTTTCTTGCCACTGGTTCGTCACGGCGGTCTCCGGTGTATCGGGCGAGAAGCAGGAAATCTCCTTTTCCTTACCTGCTTGCGATGTTCCCGGCATAGATGGACTCGCTTGAGGAAATCTCGGGCTGAGTGGAGACTTCTTACTAGAGAGTGTATTTGAACGACCGAGTAATGGCGAGAGCAGTACATTCCACCATCCTTGGGACTGTGGACGACTTGCTTCCGTATTTACACTCAGCCGGTTCAAAGGGCTCTGATCATTGTCATCGATTATTGTTCGAGGGCGTTCTGCTTCCGGGCTGTCGATTTCACTCTGAAAGATGGTACCAGCCGAAAGAGATTGACGCTTCCGTGTCATAGCAACAAAATGAGCATTCAGATAATCAGACTCCTCAGTTTGCTTTTTGGACAAAGAATGCTCCTCTGGTATGGCTGGAACCGGAGGGATATCATTGAGACGTGGAGTGGGCTGGGAGTAGACGCTAGATGTTGCTCGAGGTCGTAGGCCTTCTGGACTGGGTGTATCTGCAGACCAAAATGCTTCTTCGCAGGCAGGAGTAACGATTATCGAGGGTGTGAGGGGCTGGTCACCGGCACTGTCGAGCTCTCTTGATCGATCCGAGGACTCGTGGTATGGGACTGTCAGACCGATCATAACATTGCGGTCAGAGGGCGATAGCCCCGAATCTGTCCGATCGATGAATGAGTTCTCGGAGCTTTGGTTGAGAAAGAAGTCTCCATGGTGGGACTCATTTGGGTCCAGACGCTGACCAACCCGAGAGGCTCTTCTCGAGGTGCTCTTTGTCTTGTCTTTTTGTACTGAGCGTTCTTTCTCCCGGGCCTTAGATAGTTGTTTCAGGTCATTCAAGTCCACAAATGGAGCCGTAGCGTTATTGTCGGGTTGCTTTTTAGGTGATGGTGCTGAAAGCGAAAAGTTCGTGACCAGGTTGAGGCCGGCTGGTTTGGCGGCTTTCTTTTTCTTCACAATCCCACTCATGCTCAGCCTTGAGCTTTCTCCGTGGAATCGATGCAAGTTTGGGATCTTTGGGGATCGGCTTCCCTCTTTTTGTGACTTCTCGACTTTTTGTCTAGTGGATTTGACTAGGAAATCAAACGGCCGACTCCGTTCCAACCCATGGTCCTCGGCAGATGAGCATGAGGAAGCTTCTACTTCCTCAGTGATGGGTGATGAGAGAGGGAAGGTCGGGACTGGAACCTGCAGATTGGGCTGCGGTCTCTGTCGGTTTGGGAGCATTGTGTCGATGTTGTTTTGAGATCAAAAGACTGATGCACAGTGGTGTTAGGAAATGGATATCGCGACTCGAATCAATCACACATACCATGTGTTCGACGCATGGAGATTCAAGAAGAGAAGAGGTCGAATGCTGCAGTAGATATCACGAGGAAAACAAAGCAACCTCTATTAATATTAATGACGACGCTTGAAACAATGCAGTCAAAGAAACGCCGCGGGGATGCATTCACTGCACGTCACGAAGGCAGTGGCAAATACAAAAAAGAAACGGAAAGGCGACAAAGGAAATGCAGTTTAGAGAAAGAAAAATGAAAAGAAAGCCAGGTGGGAAATCCGTGAAGAAAAGAGCTTCTGCAGCCCGCAATGAGTAGCTTTCGGATCTAGACACTCGCATCCATGTCGAGTGTCATCCACAGCCACAACCCAATCAGATCCTCCGAAGCTGCTGCTTCTATAATCATCTCTGACAACCTAAAGCAACCATTGAGATTTTTAATCGCCGCTATTGGGTGTTTCAGGTGAAGATCAGGGGTCAAATGAAATGCGATGAGTGCAGGCGTTGGGGCTGCATACGCGCTGGGAGTAGGTGGGCGCTTAAGCAACCACCAATGATAGAGAGCATATCCCGGGACCCAAAATAGATCCCGCGTTTTTATTTAGTTGATTAGCTTCTTCAGGCGCTGCATCTTGTTTTTAGGCTTGTTTTGATTTTGGGAAGGAGGTCTAGGTTGTTTTTACAATTGACTGGTGATCGGAATCAATGCAACTCGATTGACCATACCAGGTAGACATCATTTGGTCAATGATATTTGTCTTGAATCATTTTCTACCGTCGGTAGAAAAAGTGGTATTGGCACAGCAAAGACTTTAAGGATATCAGATGGCGTGAAAGCACGCGCTTTTGGATATTTGGTACACACTTCGTATGGAAGCAGAAAGGAAAGAACAGAAAAGAAAACATGGCGGTCCCATATGCCTTAAACCCCATTCCCAAGACCCCATCATGTGCAAAACATGCAGAAGACCGATGATGCTAGAAGGGTTCACCAGGGCCTCAAAAACCAGATCAAAATAAAACAAAAAGCATCACAGTGAGTGCGGGTATGATGAAGGGAACAAACAGATAGGAAAGTAAAGGCTCAAAAGGTGAAAGGAGCCACTCCAGACAAGGAAATGCAAATGAGAAGGTAAAGTGAAAAACAAGGCCTGGAGTTGTCTCGAGACAGGTCGGGTAGAAAAAAGAAACCCCAAGGTCCATATCTAAAAACAGGGGATATATAGAATGACAATGTGAAAAAGGGGAGTCGTAGGCGTGCATTCGCAACGTGACTAGTCATTTCTCATCCACGGCGGGGAAGAGTCTGGTTACCTTCGCTCGTCGGTATACTGAATGCCCTGCATCGGAGCGACGGAGCCATTCATCAATGGTGGGAGAGTGCGAGGTTGGTCCTGGCCCACGACCGACCCATTGCCAAAGCCCGAGAACACCGGCGGTTGGGCCTGCCCATTGGTCGGTGTCGCGGACATAGGGTGATGCTCAAAGATCGAGGGCGGTCGGGAGGCCCCATTGGCTTGTTGTTGCAATTGGGCGCGGAGTTCTTCGTTTTCCGTCCGCAAAACAGAGACCTCCCGGCGACTTTGGCCAAGATTCTTTTCGAGCCCAGTGATGTAATCAATGGCCCGGGAGAGAGTCTCCCATTTGCTGGACTTGTTATTTTGGGGTTGAGGGAGACGCATGCGTAACGCTTCGAAACAGTCCTTCATCTCGCTTCGGCGCTTGCGCTCTGCCAGCTTATGCGTGACACGTAATTCCGGGGTCCGGCTATACGGCGTGTTGGCGGCAGATGCCTCCGCTTCCCCAATCAGATCACGCACTTGCTTATGTTGCAAAGAATGATGATGTACATTTTGCGATAGATCTGACTCAAATGTTAGTCGGATTTTGTTTTGTTTTGTTTTGTTTTGTGTGTTTTTTTTTTTTTTTTTTTTTTTAGGGTGAGATAATCTTACCGTGCTGACCTCTGGGAATGTGCGACTCCGAGTAAATGCTATTCAGCGACTCCGCAGTGCTGCCTTTTCGCGAAAAAGGTGGGTTTGATTTTTCATTGGACGAGATTGAACTTGATCGAGCTACATCCGGGTCAGGGAAGGCGTAAGCCATACCGGCCGTGGGCGCCTCGGCATTGTAAATATCGGATCGCGGGTTAGACGAGATGGCCGGAGCAGTTCGCCCTGCCGCGAATCCCCGATAATCGTTGGCGCGCGGACCCAAGGGAGACAACGGCTGGCTGCCCCCGGAGTATCGGGGCCCCCGGTATGAGTTCATATCGGTTGCGATTCCCCGTTCACGCTGAAGACTGGACACGATCGAGGACTGGGAGGCATTGGTGCTGTGGTATGGTGAGGCTGGGTTGATCGCCAATGAGCTGATGCCCTGGTTCATGCGACTGTCGACACTACTGCGCCTCGACTCGGGGATCTCGGCCACACTTCCTCGCTGAGATGACGCATCGTAGTTCTGGTTGATAGAGGGCAGGGCGGAATTGTGTTGCGACGAGTTGAAATTTGGCGAGGGTTGTTGCGCGCCGGCCGAGGAAGGAGTCGTCGATTGCTCGTGACCGTATGGCGATCGATCTGGCGCAGGGTGTCCTCGGTTGGGCGAGGGTTGGGATGTGGAGGTCAGAAAGGTCAGCGAGGGATAGTTGTTGCCGGTCCCGTTGGTTGCGGTCGAGTAAGTGGAAGATCCTGGGTCAATGTCAGTCACTGGATAGGGCATCCCTGGCCGTCGGACTCCTACTTGTGCTCTGAGGCATAGACCAATTCCCTGAGTCTCGCTCAATTGTATTTAACGATGAATTGCCGGGGGATTTGTCTTGGGTATTCCCGCCGTTCATGTTCGCCGTGAGAGTCGAGATAGACGGGAGGGTTTGGGCTGAGGCCGCGGGGGTCGCAGGCCCCGACGATACAGGCTCCCAGGGCCGATGAGCGATCGAGTCCATCATGGAGGGTAAAATCGTCGGAGGGGTGAGATGGAAGGCAGAGAGTGAGAGAAAGGGGAGGGAAAAAAAAAAGAAAAGAAAAAAAAAAAAAAGACGAAGCGGGAGAGAGCACCAAAAGCGAGTGAAATCCGAGCCGAGTCGAGAAGAGAGGGGAATACAACTATTGCATATTCCCTGGGGATCAATGGGAAGAACGAGAGAGTGAGCCGCAGTACAATGGAGTATACCCGAGTTCGTCAGGTCGGGGATCGGCGCAGGGCTTTTTTTCTCGAATATAGGGAATTGCTTGGGGGCGACAGCGTAAAAAGCGGGACAGAAACCGAGGAAATCCTGTCAGAGAGGGGCCGCCGAGCACATTTAGGTCGTGAATAAGATAGAGATTAAAGAGGGGGAAGTCGATCTTACGCAGATGACCCCGTCAATCTCTTGTCCACAATCGAGTCCGATCTTTGGATTATATCTGAATTACCAGTATTGGGGTATTTTTCCTGCGATTGCCTTTTGGACCAACTCGACGCCTTCTGTACGCGTCACGTACCGTACTGCGCAAGGGAGCATCAAGCTTAGGGAACGTGGCACAAGGATTTGGGCCTCCACGGTAACTCGTCCGGCTAAAAACGAGTGGAGTCGAACCTGTGTCGAGAACTCTACGGAATGTATTGTCGTTACCATGCGCCAAGGCCGCTACTGCGCGCAACACTCTCCACCTGTGTGCCACGAGGCTGACCCTTTCTGGGGCAAAGGGAAAAGGCAAGGAGACCAGATTCTCCTAGAGTTACATTTGCCCCCTCCCAGCCAAAATTACCAATACTGGCAGTTCCAAATCAAACCATCCCGTATCCGCCGACGTAGTCACCCGTATGGGAGAGGAAATGGATCAGAAGCCAACCGGGAAGTGGATCTGTTCATCCTTCATCGCATGGCTTAACTTTCGGGCAATGGGATTCCCAGGTCTCTGGCATTCCCCCCAAATATGTCGACTTTGTTCAAATCCCTTGAACCTGCAAGGCAAGGAGTACACGTTTTATTCAGTGAACTTGAGGGAATTGACATTCTGCTCATTACATCATGACCTTAGTCTTCACGTCACGTTCGTGGTTAACTTTCTGTACCACCCGGGGGGTGGAGCGGCCTGTCTTTTCCGTTGTATACATCCAAAAACAAAAATCAGCCTGGAACTTCGTCGTTAGATGTGATGTACCACTTCCCTTCCCCAGTGTGGACGGGTCTCTTTTTTCCGGTAGATCACAAAAGAAAGACAATCCAAGGGGAGCGTCTCCTTGCAGACGTGCCCTCAACCTATACAAAGTTTGACCCGTGTCATCCCCCTTCCCAAGGGTCAACCAAAACAAAAAAGAAGTGTCAAACTGCATGCATGCCACGCTAAGCCCCAAACGTTGAACACATGGCTTTTATGTTCGACAGGAATGGGGTTGTCACAAATACCGCGCAACATCAGCAATCCTCGCGGCCCAACATGTATTCAATACGCTCCTAACCTGTCCTACCCACGCCACGCTCTGTTCCACACACATGGCAATTTACACTCCGCTAGCGTTCTGCAGAGGTACTAGTCAACCAAGCCATTTCCATACACAGTATAGCCAGGTTATTTGTATCTTCACCCCTTGTTTTCTGCTGTGTTGCCTTTTTTTCCTTTTTGCCATCGCGCAGAACTAAACCGCGCCAAGTGGTAACACCGCGCAGTCCGAGCCGCGTGTTTGGAACCTCCATTCAGAAGCTTGACACTTGGATCAAAACGGCGACTGGACCGGTGCTGCAAGCACCCGCTGCCGCCCGAATCCCTCCGTTTCGAGGGCTACGCGCAGCTATTTCCACACGGCATTTTCAAAGCCCAGACCCGCGCGCGCCTATTTCTACCTGTATACCGTGTCTATACTTCGGGCCCAGTGAACCCTGCCCTACCCGAGTCTGTGCGACCGCAACGTTATCTTGGCGTGAGGAATGGATGCTCGATGCTTCCCCCCGGTTTTAATAGTAATCGAGAGTTTACACCTAGGGCTTGCTGCCCGAGCTACCGATCCACGCGAGTCTCACCTAGGCGTAGCGTGGAGCTACCCTGAAGCCCCGAAATCCCAACATCACGGGCATAAGCCACCAAAGTACATGAAGAGAAACAGCATTCTTTGCCCCGGTTATTTTGGAACGGAGTGCCTTGGTGGCTGGCTAGCATCTGATCCCGATGGATGTGTCAATTTGATCTCGGCTTCCTGCGCCCCGAACAGAACGGATTTCGATCATCTATCTATTTCGAGGACCTAGATTCGATCGAGTAAGCTCAAGTTACAGGAAGTATTGTACATACACGTAAATGGTGAATGTTTCCTAATGTTTGGAAATTTCATTGACGCGCTCCTACAGAGTAGGCAGCAAGATATTCAACCGCCTGAATTCTATAATTAAGTGGAAGCTGAAGCGGGTCAACGCCACGGTTCGCGCTGCATAACGACTCCGCCGTTTCAGAGCCAGTAATCCCCCCAAATCAAAGCTCCCGCCCTGTGAGTAGGATTCAGCACGCTCATCAACACCATTTCGAGAATTCGACCACATGGCACCGTCGCCTTGCAGAATGTTTCTAATTGATCGCCACCGATCACCAATGCAGTGTACATGCCCACCTCTTTTTGACCCTCTTGACACGGTAGCAGTCTTCCATTCCGGGGGACCCCAACCCGCCCGAGCTTATATGGATTCGGGAATCTTCAATACGACTCTACCCTGCAGAACCTTTGAAGGTCCAGCTCTAATTATACAGTCATAGCTCCCTCCTTCACGGGAAATTCAGCCTCAAGGGATAACATCCACCTGCCGCCGATAGAGTTACCAATGCCAAATAGTGTGGTCCACGGGCCCGGTACGGTTTGCCACGGAACATGCCCCCCCATTCCAATGTGCCCACGGGGAGACATCGTGGCCCTTCCTTGCGCTTTCCCAATAGTTTGGTCATGACACGCGAGTACCATAGTAAAACCGACTCGCCCCATGATTCACAGAAAATGACTCCATTTCCTCCGGTCATTTGCCATGCCTGTGATTTTGGCTACCAGGGAGGGGGGGGAGGGGAAACACAGCACAGCACAGACTCCCCCCTGTGCACCCGTCGATCATCGTCCCGGGCCTTCCTCCCCGAAGCTGGGGGACCAGTGGATCTTGCAAGTGGATTGGCAGATCATTCCATGCTATTGTATATTGCAGTACAGTATGATCGGTTTTTTCTCCCTTTTGTCTCTGTTTCTCATGTCTGTACCATACTCTTTCGCCCCTTGTTAGCGGTTCCCGTCATCCCATAGGCTCCAGCTCGCATACAATTGTTTGCCCCTGCTTTTCGCTCGCGTGTGGACATCCTGTGTCCCGACGCCCATGGACCCGACCCTTTCACAACGTCGAACCCGGGAGAAACATGTTTGAGATACCACGGGGAACGCGCCCCGAATTCCATGGCTACCCTCACTGGTCATGTCTTGACCCGTCTGTCGGGTAACCCATGTGTACCAGGTACCGGTCACGGTGCCGTAATAACGGTGTACAAGGGAGACTGACACCAGACTCAATAATTGATTTGTATCCCATACCGCTGCGAGACTTACATTACTGTAATCATCCAACCGCCTAGTACTATGGAAATTGGTACATGTAGTGACCTCATCCAACCATGTGGCTGTTTCAGTCCGCGCGGGTACCTAAACCCCACGGCCCCATTATTCCCGCTATTTCTTAATGGTTTCATCTGTATGTCGGTTTCAACGACCGCCGCTAGGAAAGGGTAAACTATATTTATAATTTAGATGATTATCATCCAGCAACAAAATTCCAGAAGCCACTGGACTAGCGCTGATGTGGAGCGTCTTGTTTCGCGTTTCCAGGGCGATTTCGCATGTTAGGGGTTTTCGCTCTAGAACCTTGGAAATAATAACCTGTGAGACGGTGTGTGATATCCATGGAAGAAAAGTTACTCCGGAGTAGATGTGACATCTGGATGCTTGACCGCTATCTTTATCAAATACCCTAGTATTGTTACATTGCGTTTCCTGAACTGTTTGGCCTAATGGAGTTGCTCTGGGGGATTGATTGTCTTGGCAATTGGGGCCAAATGCGAGGTGGTGATTATGTGCCCGAATAAGCTCAAGTGCTTATGGTGATGACGAATTCTTCAACGGTATCTGATCTTGTCTGTGGGGATTTTAATTTCCAAGGTTCACCTAGGCAGCTAATATTTCAGTCGCTCAGCCCCGCCTGATATTCCAATGTTCAGCGATTATATTGCTTAACGGAGTTGTTGATCTAGAGTAGCCCGCAATTAGACTGACGATCGCTTATTCAGTGGCTTTTCACCTTCATGGCCTCCCATAGCTCCTTCCCATGTTCCAAGATTGGTGCAATATCAGATAATAAAGTGATCATGTATATGTGAGGTAAATAGATCGGCACCGGAGCCAATCTATGTTTTCGTCAAGCCGCAGGCGATGGGTACAGTCTGTACATATGTATATATATGTGCTTAGATATTAAATGTGGTGTCCCCAAGAAGCTGCAGGTGAATATATATCGATGCTTTGGTGGTACATAACCTTTTGACTGACATCTGGAGCTGACATGCTCTAGGTAAAATATATGTAGTGCACATTTTGAGAGCTCCAGTCACAAAGATTTGCTCCTGATCTGCGTTAATTTACATGAACACAAAGGAGAAAGCTTGCCTGGTGCGAGGCCAATAACTACCTACTCTATCATGATCTCGCGAAGGAATATCTTAAGACCGGTAGAACGGAGCTTTCATAGTTATCTCCGGTAACCCCGGGTTTCATTGGTGATAAATACCTGCCAGGTGCACTTTGTATTGGATTCTACTTCTACGGACTTCATACCAAATTCAAAATTGGAAACTACTACGCAGACGTCTCTCAATTTACCGCGAAGCTCAACATCACAAAACACTAGAACCCATCACAATATGGCAGCAAACACTTGGCTTGTGACCGGTGCTTCCTCTGGTCTTGGAACAAAAATCGCCGAAGTGGCTTTGAAAGCCGGCCATAAAGTGATTGCCACAGCTCGTAATCCAACAAAAGCAGCAGCACAAAACCCTCAGATCGAACAGCTTGGCGGTACATGGGTCCAACTCGATGTAACAGAAAGCGAGACAACAGCGAAAGTGACCGACGCGATAAACCAGGCCGGCGGGAGAATCGATGTAGTCGTCAATAATGCTGGATACTCGCTGCTGGGCAGCATCGAAGATATGAGCGAGGACGAGATCTCCACACAGTTCAGCACAAATGTTTATGGCCCTGTTCGTGTACTAAAAGGTGCTCTGCCATTTATGCGGGCACAACGATCAGGGACGGTCGTCAATATCAGCAGCATTGCTGGATTAGATGGACTACCTTCGTGTGCCATGTATGCCGGGACCAAGTTTGCTCTGGAAGGTGAGAGGTCTTTATATTCAACAAGACAAGGATGTATATCCACAGTGAATTTTGAGCAATCTTTTAACCAGTCCACACATTTAGGCATGTCGGAAAGCCTTTCAAGAGAGCTAGCACCATTCGGCATCCGTGTACTCATCGTCGAACCAGGTGCCTTCCGTACCCAATTCTTGGCTGCCTTAGTTGAGCCAGCTGCGAGAATGAACAAGGACTATGTTGACACGCCATTGGAGTATGTTCTCAATAAGTTTCGATCGGCCGATGGAAACCAACAAGGGGACCCTTTCAAAGCGGCCCAGAGGATTGTGGAAGTTGTGTCAGGTACAGGCATAGGCGCTGGAAAGGGCAATTTGCTTCGATTACCGCTTGGTCCAGATTGCTACCAGCGATTTCAGGCGAAAATCGAAAATATGCAGGAGAATTTAGCGCAGGTAAAGGAGATTGCGCACTCAACTAGCCATGAATAGATGAAATTCGATCAGAGATTAGGCTGACTGGAGATGCACCCTGATTCATTAGTCGAAAAAGACTGGATATAGACGTGGGGTGTGACTGAGCCTTGAAACCAAAGCAATTTCACGTAAATTAGCACATTATATCAATGAGATCCCGGAACTTGCTGTGCAACATGCTGAGATGGCACATGCGGCTCCCCAGTCCAGGCGTTGGAAATGCCTACAGTAGCCTACCGGGGAACGCACATATTGGAATAGGGAGATTGACGGAAGAGCCTAGTCTGTCCAATTTAACTTGCATGTTTGAAGTTTGCGTGGAATGGAGTCAATGATGGCCAAGTCAATAAATGTCCAAGGCGGTGAGGTCCTGTCAACTGGATGGTTCGATGCTTTCTACAGCATCAATTGTCACTGCCATCGCTTCTACTTATCCCTTTGATCCGAGAACGCTGAAATCTCGCGTCATACCGAACGAGTTCGAAAAACAAATGTTCTTCTCCCTGCAATCCACCTGCACATGACCGGGTACTGGCGCGCCCGGGCTTCTGCTGGACAGAGGAATAACGCCTGCGCTAAATTCAAATTTGTTTGAACCTTTGTCTTTTTCTTTTTCTTTTTCTTTTTCTTTTTTCTTTACCAGGACCGATTCTGGAGGGGCCAGTCTAGTACCGAGTAACGGATTGGCTGTTCTTCCTTTCCTTGTTGGCTCGAGAACAGCCTTTCTCTGATTTGCTGGGATTTAACGACCTTACCTGACTACGATACGATCCTGAAATCAGCGGTTTTAAGTGTACCAAGTGAAATCAGCCATCACAGGAACTGTACTTGAGTGTTGAGTTGGTCAAAGGTTGTTGGTCAAACCAGTTCGCTCGTTTCAGGCGCCAGCCCGGTGTCGTCACTCCCGCGGGACCAGAAACCACTGGAACGTCCTCCAGCCTTCTATTCTGGACTTCTCATTCCACCCTTTGTCCTAGGGTAAACCCGATGTCTACCACTGAGATACCCGCGCGTCATTCACCGACGATGAAGCCTCATCGCGAAAAAACATGGAAGGAGGACGCGATACCAGAAGATCAACCAGATCAGCCACCTCCACCCCGCCCGACCTATTCCCCAGTAACGCCAGTGTTCGCCCAACTTGAACCGGTCGCCGCGCAGAACGCAACAATCGTACCGCCACCATTGTCGCCTTCACCTACCAGTCATACTACACAACAAACATATCGACCGCCACCACCTCCAGCAAATCCACCAGTCTTCAAGCCGGAACCGCCTCCAGTCCCGATCTCGGAGAGTGAGAACCCAGATGCGATCGCACTGCGCTCCGCCATATCAATATTGCAGTTGCAGAAGCAGCAGAGTCTGCGTGACATTAAAACACTAGATCGCATGAAGGAGGCCGCCGCTGCGGACCCAGAAGGCTTTGCGCGCGAGTTAGCGGCTGGTCGTTTGCGCACCGAAGATCGCGGGGCTGTCATTCAGTTTTCCGACGAGAATGAGATGGACATAGATGAAGATGATAAAGGAAACACGAAACAAACGCAGGGCGGCAGTCAGTCGGCATTCGCCCGTATCCCGCAACCACAAAATGTAGTGCGGATGCCCCCGATCAACTGGGCTAAGTACCAGGTGACCGGGGAACCACTTGATCGCATGCACGAAGAACAACTACGCCGACCAGATTCTGGTGAGCCACGACGAGAACCTGCACCAGAACACATATTGGCCTCGCCATATCGTCCGCTGGTCGACCAGTTAGATACGCCTGCACGGACGGGCCGGGCAACCAAGAATAAAAAGTGATGACACTCAAGATTTTTGTATGACAGCGCTGCTTTACCTTACGACGTGATGCAATTTATTATGAGAAAGCAAATAGAGGTTCCCTCGAAATGTCATTAATGTTGACAATGATCTCTCACATCTGTCTGTCCTTTTAGTAAAGCGATGAGTTGCACCTAGCCACTTCCCTCTCCGGCTCCAAATCCAAAGCCCTTACCACTGCCACCTCCACTACCACTGCCTTCACCAACTCCAACACCGATGCCGCCACCAGCACCGAAGCCGCCACCAGCACCGAAGCCAGCACCTTTACCTTCACCGCCGCCAGCGCCAACACCGCTACCGCTGCCAGCACCGGCGCCAATGCCGCCACCAGAACCACTGCCGTAACCAACTCCGACCCCCTTGCCCGAACCAATCCCGCCTTGGGAAACTGCTGATTCTGTAGTGCTCATATTGTTAAAAATATGTAACGTCAATGTTAGTTGCGGATTGGAAGTACGCACCAGCCTCGGCAGCAACAGGGGCCGCGATAGCGACGCCTCCCAAGGTCAGGAGGGCGAAGAGGTAGTTGAACCGCATATTGAGTGTAGCTGATCTGCCGATGTGTTCAGTCAAAGGGTTTTGCCATGTCAAGCTGAATCACTACTTACCTGGTAGATCTTAGCGTGGACTAAAAGAAGAGATGATCGAAGATCGAGAGAACTGCGAGTTGTGTAGATCAAGAACTCAAAATTCGAGCGAGATATCACTCATTTTATACCTTGATGAGGTCTATAAACAATGGATCCTAGGGCTGTTTACTTTCGTACCTAGACCGGTCAAGCTGAATCTAGCTTAGAATCTCGGCGAATATGTCTTGACTAAATTCGGAGCTCGCCAGGGTCTGAACCAGTCAGATCGTCATTTGTTCGCCAAGATTGCAATCTTATGACAGAACTTCGATTTTGAACTACATTGATGCGTATATTGCTTTTTGCGTTTATAGCTTGACTAGGCCGGACCCTAACGCGTCAAATGAGAATGCTACTTTGCATCCTGGTAATGTGACAGGGCCGCGTGGAGGCAGGTGGGCTAAGACAATGCAAGATGAGGGCTAGTTGTTGGATACGTTGGAAATCTTTGAGATCTCTTCTGTTTGCCTTCTCCTTGCATGGCAGTTGCTCTTCCTCCCAGTCAAGATCAATCTCTTCCTCCCTGGACTCGGAGATGAGAGCTCTCGTGATTTCTAATCTACATGAAACCCTCAATTTACAAGAGTATACGAGCAGCCTAGCTTCTTCCTTCCATGTCATTCAAGGTCGTTTCTCTTGGAAATCATCAGCTATGGACCGCATTTGAAGCAACCAGCAACAGGCTACATTGAAAGTGTTGAGAGGTAAGCAAATGAGGAGGGTAAAAAAGGAGTGTCGTTCTGCTTCCAACTGGTTTTTCCCATGATCTGCACGACGAACACGTTCCAACTGCCAACGACATTAGCTGACAGTGCTAGAACTCGTCTGTCAGCATCTATACTAGGACATACATCTAGAATCGGTTCTAGCTTACGTTAAGCCCTGTTTTCAAACCAGACTGTAAGCCTGTGCTTCTAAATTTGTTCGATTCCCCTGCAACCCATACCATCTAGAATACTTTTCTGGTAAAGCGCTAAATCCGGCGAGAGTTTCAACGGGGGAAGTCCTGAGGGCATGAATGCTTTTGTCTGCAGCACAAGACTTGCATCCCAGCGGCTACTTCATTCTGAAAAATAGCAAGAGAAGCTAAATGCGCGAATGACAGTAGATTTCTCTTCTTTTTGAATGTTTGAAGACATGTCTTGCCCGTATATGGTACATGATGCAAAAAGCGCCGGATGCTGGATTCAGTCTCGACACGCAGAATAGATATCGAGACAGAACAGAAAAGCAACAAACCTCGGGAAGTCAACCAAATTGCTCAAAGCTTAGCCTTGCTCTTCTTCTCCCATTCCGCCACAGCCTGCAGACCTCTCTCTTGCACAGCATCCTTCTTCTGCTCCACCTTCTCCCGCCACGCTAGATTTCCAGCATGATCATCAAGACCATTCAATACCCGCGAATACATCTCCTCTTTCATGGTACCATAGATACCAGTCGCAGCCTTATTGAGAAGTTTGCGATCGCGAATAAGCTCGAGAACCTCATGTAATGAGCCCGTCCCATCCACAATGCCAGCCTGCAAGGAATCTCTCCCTCCAAAGCGACGGGCCTCCAGTACCACATTCCGGAATGTCGTCGGGCTCAGCTTTTCGCGAAATATCGACATCATAGGCGTTTGAAGCGGCACACCAAACTCCAACTCATTTACGCACAAGAACCCTTTCTCAGGATTTTGAATACGATAGTCGTGGTACATGGCCAGCATGAAGCCACCTGCAAATGCGTGTCCATTGAGTAGACACACTGTTGGCATGGGGTACCTGTAAAGTATCAGCTGGAGTCCCTGCGTTGAAAAAAAGGACATACGTTAAGAGTCGTCGGAACAGACGCCATAACCATTTCTCGACGAATCCCTCCGTGGACATGGCAAGCTCCAGATCAAGTCCATTGCTGTAGAACTTGGCGATACCACTTGTCGTAATCACCACCCCCTTTGGATAGCGATGCTCGATGATATCAAGTGCCAATATGAATGCATCGATGAATGTGGGAGTCAACCGGTTATCCTTCGGCGAGGTAAATGTCAATAGGTAGACATTCTGTCGGTCTTGCGAGGGATTAGTGCACACGATGGAGCCACCAGTGGAGGTGATGGGAACTGTGAATAAAGTGGTCATTTTGGGAATGGCGGATAATACATGGAGCTCCAGATCTGGGGGAAAGCTACTTTATAAACTGGATCGGTTCGAAGCTCATCGTCGGTCAACTCGGGTCTGAATTGTAATCAAAGCTCCGCGGCATCACATGCCAGGGCCGTGGATGACATAATCGATGTACAGCCGTTTTGAAGTCAAGAATCAACGTGATTTATCTCGTAGAAGATGCATGTTGTGGTACTGTTTTCTAGTCCACAGTTTATATCTGACATTTAAAAGGACCAACTAATATGATGTTGGCTGAGCCCATTATATACTAGTTCGTCTAGAACTAATAGAAGGGCTTGACGTCATGTCGATGTCAGAGGCATTCGATCATTTCAGAGGTTCCTTCGCAGGAAAATGATTTGATCTATTTTCCACATATCATAAAACACTGATAATTAGAAAGAAACATCTTCATATATCATTTGTCTTAGCGCCATCAGTATCTCAGCCGAAATGGAGACCCGCAACCACCCTCGTCAACCGGCGCAACCACCCAAGCAAGCCGCCTACGACCAAGCTTCAAACCCAGTGTCGCATAATTTGCAAGAGCAAAGAGCTCCAGAGAGTGCGACCCGGCACCACGGAGATGCCCCTGTCGCGATCACAAGGGGTGCAAATTCGAAACCGTCGAGCGAGGAAGCTCGGACACGCCTGACCGAGCAACGCAGACTGGAACAAGAGAGGATGCATAATTCCCCGGATGTCGACGTGGAATACGGTGTAGAGCAACAGCCTGCAGAAGGCTATATTGCGGATGCAGTCGAGCGCAAGGGTATGGGAATGCGACGTGCTCAGGCTGGTGCACATGCCGGGCCTGTTGGGAGCGCTGGTGGGCCTGGACATCCGGGATTTGGAGAGCAGAGTGATCTTGCGGCTCATATGGATGAGAAGCGGGAAGTGCATGATCGGATGCTTGGCGAGAAAGTTGGACACAGCCCATCGGAGTATGATGTCGCCGATAGAGAGGCCGCTCGGCACCGCAAGCTGAAACAGAATGAAGACCTGGATGTGACAGGGGCAGTTAAAGAGGCGAGTGGGGACCCAGTGGTCACTAATGAATGAGATACTGGGAGAAGGCAGTTGTTGGTATCATAATTTGAAATTAAATGCGTTCGATCCAGCTCGACATATTATGTGCAATTAGATATCGGTGTCGTCTCCAAGTCCAGCCGACACCTTCTTCAGTTGAAGGTCCTTCTTGAGCTCTGTGATACGTCGACTCATCTTGTTTCGTAGAATTGGGTTCGTCAGACTCTCCCACTGTCGGGTTTCGGTGCGAATCAGGTCTTCTAGCTCGGCAATCTCTTCACGCGATTGCTGAAGCTGTCGCTGTTGTTCCAGTTGCTCGTCATCCAGATCGTCCTCATCTGAGTCGTCACTATCGTCAACAGATGATTCTCTGCCACCTTGTCCGGCCGCTGGGTTGGCTGAGGGTGTCTCTGCCTGTTCCGCGTCTGTAGGCATGGCCGACGCTTCGTTGTCGTCAGCAGCCAAGGCCGCCTCCATCTCGGCGACAAGGTCGTCATCGAAATCGCCCATCATGTCTTCATCTGCCTCGCCTTCAGCATCCTGGTCTTCGTCGTAGTACTCTTCGTATTCTTCGTCTTGCACGTATCCTTCAGCGCGGTTCAAAGATGTGCTATCGACCAACTCGAATCGTGGTGGAAAGACCGATGTCTCATCCTGCGCGACCAGATCCTCCACAGCTTTCTCAACTTGTTCGATTGTACGCGAGCTCACACGGTCACGGAAGCGCCGTTTGCGAACCCACCGTAACGGCGGTGCCAGACCGTGTGGGTATTGTAATGTTTTGTCATCTGGATGCTCGATCTCATCAGGAAGAGGAAATTCTAGAGCCTCTTGATCGCTAGAGACTCGCCCAAGCACCAGCAACATTTGGCAGATATCTGCCGATTTGTACCAACCCCGACGATCCCAACTTTTCATGCCCTCGACAATGCAGGGGAGGTCAACCAAAGACGCAGCATACATTTGATCACGAATTTTCAATACGGCGCGTCGCCCCTCACGATTCAACGGCTTGAATGAAAATTCTGATTTGTCGAATCGTCTCTCGTTGATGGCCTGACGAAGGTATTCACAGTCCTCTCCCGGTAACATTCGTAGAATGAACTGTTCTTCGATAGCCGGATCGGCTTCGGTATCAGATGCTTCCGAGTCATATCCCACACCAACTGGTCGATGAGCAACCACTCGTTGGTTCTTGAGGCGAATAGCTTGGAGACCCGGCTTCTTGGAGGGGATCAGTTTGAGGCGTTTGGGACCTTGCTCCGCGACGGGTTCGGGTTGGCCAGCATTCTCGGCAGGTCTTTTCTTCGTAGTCTTTTTCTTTTTCGGTTTCTCTTCAGTCCCCTGGGGCGGTTTAGACTTAGAGCCAATCTTCAGAGTGATCTTTGGCTGAGAAGGTTCCGCTGGTGCTGGCGCAGGGTCGGCCGGAGGTTCGGGTGCCGGCCTCTTCCCAAACTTGATCTTGAGCGTTGGTCGCGGAGCATCAGACATGATGCCAGTCGAAGGAGGGGTTATCGGCGATCAAAACGGCGGGCTGATTTATGTGGAAACAAGAAGGTTGAGAAAGTGAGGGTGGATATATCGCGTAAGGTGATAGCAAGGAGGTGGATTAAGTCGCGGCCCAGTGAATTCTCCGCCTTCGATCCGCGTTTCTTTGAGCTAAGACAGCAACTTCATTCACTTTCCTCTCTCACCTTCCCATTTACCTGCGCGCAGCTGTTTACGTGGGGTAACCTTTCGATTCTATCTGCCTTTCATTTTTCTTGTTCGTTTTTCTTTTCATATCTGGCTAGCTTTGATCACCATGTCCGGCCACAACCTTCACAACGCTCTTCTCCGCCCTCCCATCATCCAGATCCTTCGAGCCCAAGGCTTCCATTCCACAAAGCCATCTGCTATTGATTCACTATCAGACCTCACCGCGCGATATATTATGATTCTCGCATCTTCCACCGCCGCACACGCCGCCAATGCCCACCCCGAAGACCCCTCCCCAGTCCTCGAAGATGTATACCAAGCTCTTCAGGATGCCGGCGCACTCCGACCTCAGCTGCGTGAATGGGAAGAAGACTGGCAGGGTGAAGAGGATATGCGGGGACTTGAATCTTTGATTGGGTGGATCACCGGCCCGTCGCACCGTGAGATTCGACGAGTCGCGGGTTTTGTCCCCAGTGAAGGCGATATGGTGGATCCCGATTCAATTGAGAAGGAGGATTACCTTACGGCCTTGAAGAAGAAACACAGCAAGACAGGAGAGGAGTCCCGATATGCAGGTACGGTGCTTGGAAAGAGCGCCGAGGAACATCCCATCATCATCGAGGGTGGTGCCCCGAGCATCCGCGAATGGGGACAACAGGTGCGGTCGCGTGCGCCTACTAGCCCGGGCAGCAATAGCTCTGGCGTCAGCAGCGCGCCCAGCAACATGTCAGATGGAGCGATGGAAGTGTGAATACTTGGAGCAGAAGATTCCAGTGGATCGATTGATCCTTCAACATGATAATCACCAACCACCCTTGCGCCGAGCTATCAAATAGCCACTCAAGTACACCCCGGCTCCGGATATAAACCATCCAGTATTTGGTTTCGAATTGCCAGGTACAGGAAAGCCACTCCAGCCCCTTCGCATCACCAAAGCCGCGTCATTGATCAGTCAAGCCAAACCGAACACTCGGCTCGGTCCCTTCCATGCTATACAATGGGGTGTGTCTAGTCGCTCTTTTCGAACCACAGAAGCCGGAGCTAAGGGGAGGAGCTAAAGAGCTCTACGGTGAAAGAGTCGGCCGGCGAATACGAGCTACGATGACTGGAAGTGCTTTGCATAAACCTCTCAATACACGGATTCTGTGCATGTAGCATGCACGGGGCAATCATCTCAGATGAATTAATAGTCATGAAATCGATAACCCCATTTATCCAATCATGTAATCGGCATTCAAGTAGTCATCGCACCTGCACCCGAAGTGCTATGTGACCATCCTCTAAACCCAAACATGATTGCTATAGCCTTGCTATTTTGTACCACCCCAGCATGGATTTGGGGAGCTCTAGAGCCCTGCCATGTACATGTACAGTACAGCTATCGAGTGTATGTAATTCAATCCGTGTGGTTAGGCAACTAGGACCAATAGGGATCCGTAATGTGGGTCTAGTGTGTTTAAACCCTGAGACCTTGGATGCCACCTAGGCACATGGACGGGTGTTAGACGTATGTAGGTATCCCGGAAATCAAATAGTGAAATGCAAACCGCTGATCTTCATCCAGAGCAGATATAGAGAACATTGGAAAGGTCCAAATGAACCGATGGGGTAATAGCGTAACACTAATTGGACTGGAAATGCGCACCATCGCGGTGGATAAAAGTCCACTTTCCCCGGAAATCCCCGCTCAGGACAGTCCGGGGTTGGAGACTTCAGCCTTCAGATCTCAGGGCTTGGGTACTCCTGTACTGGATCAACAACTCTGGGGTTCAACCGTCAGATTATTGCATTTGTAATCCAGGCCTAAAAGCCTAAAGTCTAATATCAACATTGGAACCGGCAAACTTCGACGTGACAACGCCGAGCTCCTTTTCCAAGACGGCCCCTTGCCCAATCACAAATCTCGGAATTGCGCATCGGCAGTTGGGAAAAACGAAGCGAGGCATCTCGGCCTGTTGTTGATTTCGGCATAGTCTTTGCCGATGAACTGGGTCCTTTTAACGCTGATTTTCCCCGAGTCTCGCGCGGTCTACTCCACCCGTGCAGCCTGTCAGTCGTGTCAATCCTGTCAACCCAAGATTTGCCGGCATTGATAGATAGTATAACTACCGGAGCAACTCCACAATGCGTCAAACTCGGGGAGTTTTATTGAATTGCCACTCAACCATGATTCCATTTGCCCCAGATTCCCCTCCCCCAGTACTCCGCGTTTTGCTATTATGTCCCAACGGCCCCATGACCCGGAGTGGAGACGACCGGCGTGAGCCTTCTAGATCCGCGGGGTTATGAACCCCCTATGTGCTTAGATTGGGACCCAGTCCCACCTTTCCTTTTCCTTTCTCCCTCAATCCATATTCACAATGGCGACCCTAGGCCATACCCCGGACGAGTCGCTTGACAAGGTGAGCTCCTATGTCGATGAAAAGGCGGAGGGCACGATCAACGACCCATCGAGTGTCTTATCCGAGTCCCACAAATCATACCTAATTGAGCGCCATGGCACCCTCGATCTTGATCCAATTCCCAGCATGGACCCGGCTGATCCGTACAACTGGCCAGGGTGGAAGGTAAATGGAAATACCTAGAGCAGCAAAATCAGCATCAGAAATTAACAGACTAGTAGAAAACTACCAATCTGAGTCTAGTCGCGTTCCATGCTTGCATGGGCACATTCACGGCCGCTGCCATTATCTGTGCTTACGAAAACATTGCTCTAGATGTGGGCGTTTCCGTGCAGCGAGTCAGCTATCTCACCTCATTGCAGATCGCCATCCTTGGTGGTGCCCCGTTGTTCTGGAAGCCACTATCTAGTCGATTTGGACGACGTCCAGTCTTTCTATTGTCATTGATTCTGAGTTGCGTGTGCAATATCGGCTGCGCAAAGAGCCCAGACTATGCCTCCATGGCGGCATGTCGTGCCTTGGTAGCCTTCTTCATTTCCCCCGCCATGGCCATCGGCAGTGGTGTCGTCACGGAGACATTCTTTCGCCATGAAAGAGCGCGTTATATGGGTATTTGGACTGTAATGGTGACACTCGGTGTTCCCGTTGGACCCTTTATCTTTGGATTCGTCGCCCAGCGTGTTGGTTACCGCTGGATCTATTGGATTCTGGCCATCGTAAGTCAATCTATGTCTCCCTTTACGGGGAAATACTAACATAGACTAGACCAATGGTGTTCAATTTATCCTATACCTCTTCTTTGGACCCGAAACCCGGTATATCGGCGATGATGTCCAGAGTAAAGCATCTGCATTCAAGCGCGAGTATACTTCTGTTCGCCGAATCGACCCCACCCCATTGAGACTGTCCGAATTCTTCCACCCTCTCTCCCTCTTCACCAACATTCCTGTTCTCCTCGCTGCGGTCGCATACTCCATGGTCTTTCTGTTTGCCTCAGTCATGGGCTCCGTCGAAGTCCCCCAACTTTTGCAATCCAAGTTCGAGCTAAATGCTCAACAGCTCGGCCTTCAGTTCTTGGGATTGATTATCGGCTCCCTTCTCGGTGAACAACTGGGTGGTGTCATGTCTGATATGTGGATGAACTCTCGTGCCAAACGCATTGGCCACAAGCCTGCCCCGGAATTTCGACTTTGGCTGAGCTATATCGGGTTTCTGTTGGCCATTGCCGGCATGGTTGTTTTCTTGGTATGCACCGAGCAGGCAACAGAAGGCCAGTGGACGGTGACGCCGGTTGTTGGTACGGGTATCGCGGCCTTTGGCAACCAGGTTGTCACTACTGTCCTGACGACCTACGCCGTGGATACCTATCCCCAAGATGCTGGTAGTGTTGGTGTGTTCATCAACTTTGTTCGCTCAACATGGGGATTCATCGGTCCCTTTTGGTATGTCGATCCATTTGGCGTTCACTGAATCCCGTCTAACTATTGATCTTAGGTTCACCGATTTGTTTAACAGTGTTGGTATCGCGAAGAGTTCAGGTGTGGTTGCCGCGTTGATCATGGGTGCCAGCTTTATTCCTACTGCACTTTTGCAGTGGAAAGGAGAGAAATGGTACAGCCGGGAATAAGGATCATAATGGAACTATGCTTATGTATATTTGAATTGGAATTGTTGAGCTGCGTGAAGATATCTACCTAGACAATGATTACGTTATAGGTTGACCCACCTTGAATTAGTACGTACAGTATTAAATACATAACCTTTGACTCAAATCTCGTATAATCCATGATCTTCTGGAGTCCTGGTTTGTAATTGCAATAAACGCTGCTGAAGCCGATGCTCTGAGACTTTTAGCAGACATTCATGGATGTCATATGTGGAACTACATAGGACGAATTTGGAGATACTCAAGATCGGACTTCAAAGACTAGTAGAAGAAACTTCAAATGTCGTGTCACTCAAGGTCCTACCCTGTCATGATCTGAAAGCTTAATCTTGTATATAGAACGTTTTGTTGATTGCCAAGACCGGCCGCAGGTGACATCAATCCCGCCTCCAGAGCTGTCATCTCCAACTCCCCAATTCAATACCCCCGCATCAACATGGTCTACGCCTTCAGCCTCCCGACCACGTCCCCCCTCTCATTCCAATCCTTCATCTCATCCTCAACACATCCCTCGCTCCCTCAAGCAGCATCCATTGCCCGTCATGCTCTCCGCAACGCCCTAAAGGCCCACAAGCGCCTACCCCGCGGCGCTCGACAAGATGCCCACCTCCCAACCGTCCTCTCCGCCGTAAACGACTACCTCCCCTATCTCTTCGCAATCTCACACGGTCTACGCGGTCAATCTATCAAACTTGAGAATACTACCGGCAGCCAATATGGAAGCTATAATGATCCGTCAGCCGAGAACCAGCCCCGCGCTGGCGAAGAAATCGAGATAACACTACGCGCGGAGATCGAATCTGCCTGGAAGCCTTCACTATCAAGCTCCAGCACTTTAAGCCTCAACTCCCCAGCGGGTAACCCATCAAACGGAAAAGGCATTCGAGCTCGCGGGGGCCGTGCTACAGGCCAAGGCATCAACTATGAAATCGCATTCGTGCTCACCACACTCGGCTATGTGCTAAGCCGACTTGCGCGAGCGAGCGTCATCCAATCAGTATATGCACCCATAACCCAAAGTAGCGAGCAACGTACTGCAGCCGTGCAGACCGCAACCCGGCACCTACTACAGGCTAGCTCGATACATGGGCTTCTAGCTTCCTCACCTTCTCTCTCCGTGGCAGCTTCAGGGCTAGCATCCGTGTCAGATGTGGATACAACGACACAGTCTGCTTTAGCATCCCTCGCGCTCGCAGAGGCCACTCTTCTAGCTGTGTTGAAAGACGATGCGTACGTCGCGGCGTGTGTGCAAGCGCGCAATCCAAATGACCGGGAATGGATGGTGAAAGCCCCCGACATCCCAAAGGTACGGGCGTTACTATTTGCGCGTCTATGTGTGCGCGCTGCTGAGTACGCGGAGCAGGCTGCTGCTGGGTTTGGAAGTGTTGGATCAAGCAAGAGTGGTCGTCTTGATGACGAGGTTACGCGGTACGCTGGCGTTCTGGGCCGCGTTGCTCGTGCGCGTGCTTGTCGATTCTTTGGAATCGATGCGGAACTTGCAGGGAAATGTGGCGAGGGCATTGCATGGCTGCGAGCTGCACGTACACCACTTGGGCTGCGCGGAGGCGCGGGATCATCTGCTGGATCTGAAGATCCTGGAGTGTCGGCTCCATCTAAGGGTGGATTTTCCCGCCTCAAGCGTGAGTGGACGGAGCGCCGGGAAGAGAAGAAAATTGGTAAAGATGCTGGCGGTGGTCGTAGCGAGAAAGGTCTTCTGGAAGAGGGAGACGATGCTGGCCGTGACGAAGAGGGCCGAGTAATTACGATGCTGGAGACGAAGTGGGTGCGCATGAATGATACAGTGAGTTCACCGAATCATATTTGACGTACCTACCAATACCTGATGGATTTTATTCTGACTTGTTTCAGATCAACACTCAGGCCATTCCGCCGTCTGCACCCTTATTATCTAACCTACCATCTGGTCGAGATATACACACACCGCCTGCACCCTATAAACCTCCTTCATTAGATGAAGACCAGCTGATGCACATGCGGGCTCCACCGAACGAGCTTGAGGATTTATCCTTCACGAACGATCCTGAGGATAGCGACGAAGAGGATACCTCACCCGAAAGACGTGGGCCACCGGGAGGATTCCCAGATCGCAGCGAAACCGTTTCGACTGTGTATTATTGATGATATCTGGAATCTTTGCCTGATATCATGTAGACTTAGATCTATCAAAGTATCAGACAAGAAAGCACACCGATCCTATATTTCAGAGGTAATAGGATACAGACAGGACGTAAATTTGGTTCAAACAGAATAAATTGACCAAAGAACCTTGGAATGATATTGTATATGTACAGTACAAGAGAGAGCACATCACTCCCTCCGAAATCTTCAGCCATTCCCAAGCATTGGAGCAGCAGAACTCTCAAACCACCAATCATGCACTTAGTTTCAACGGTTAAGCAAATCAAGAATCTCCAAGGGTCCGCACCCGTGGTGCAAAGGGGAGTCATGGCTTCACGGTACCATCCCCGACAGACCGGACCCATCGTCATAAGCAGCTAACGCAGACCAATCGAGCAAATGAACAATTGAGCATTTAAGCCTTCTCGCCAAGAGCATTCTTCTCCTGGAAGAGGTAACCCTTGATCTTGCGCTCACCGAGGAGCTCGAAGTATTTTTCTGTTATGAGTTAGCAATAGGTTCTGCCAACCTCAGTCTCCAGCATGGTCACCCGGATCAATTAGGCCACAATTCAATCCCGAACTCTGTGTAGTTCAGATGTTTTCTATTTTCGCTCCAGGCACACCGTGGGAGAAAACTGAGCTAAAAGGGAGAGACCTTACCTCTCAAGACACCACACTTCTCCAAATGGTTCACACCCTCACGCGCATAGCACTTGCCTAGCTCCTCTCCGACCAGTCGCGACATCATAGAGCGCACCCACTGCTCACGAATAATGGCATCACGGGCATTGTGCACGGCAACGTTGTCCTCAAAGTCGACACCTTCGTAGGTCGGGGCAACGGTGGGCTTTTTCGCGAGGAAGGCGGCGGACTCGGGGGTGGGCATTGTGGGCGGATTGGTTGGTGACCGGGTGTTATGGTAGAGGGAAAGATTGGGGGACCCCTGGGTGTCGAGGAGGAATTGAAGGTGACGGTCTGGTGTGGGGATTTTGGAGGTTGCGCAAGGTTGATGCCGTCGAATCCGATGTCTCTGGAGGTTCGATTAGGGGGCCGGTGATTGGGTGGAATCAAGGCGGTGGAGAGGGGTCAAGCAGGGTAGAAGGACTATTAGTGCACTTTCTGTCAAGATCACGTGATGCCGTATCTTGGATGTTTTCGGTTCCATTGGGGAAGTTGACGCTAGTGGAATACGTAGATTGGGAGATAGAAGATATTGTTGGAATTCGATAGTTTGTATCAAGAGAAGCCAAGTAAGGCTATAATCATATTTCATACACTTAACTCCAACCCAACACCAGTTGCTAGCGACAATAATGCAGAAACTCCGTTGTACAAAACCCAGCAATCTCTAAATTCGTATCATACAATGCTTTGCGATGGAAAGTGCGTGGAGAGCGTGGAAGCATGATAGCTCATCAGGGGTAGAAGCAGAGTTAGAAAGCGAAAGGGAAGGCCCGTATAACGAACAGGCTATTGTTCGGGTTCGTCATCTTCCTTAGAACTCCGCTTGAATGCTCCGCTGAGAGTATCTTTCAAGACTTCCCACGGTGTCCTATTCAGTCGTTCCGTGATTTCCCGATATTTGTAGATCTCGGCCCAACAGTCGCGACCAAACATGCAACCAGCCATGTTGACCAAGAGGTCGTGGTCTTCCTCCTGGTAGTGGACATCAGGATTGTTTTTATCACCACAAGCACCTTGAGGGAAGGCATTGATAGTGCGTTGGGGTAGAAACCCAACACTGCTGCGAATCCACGCCTGGCTTTGGTAAATGTACTCCAAAGCATTCTGTTCTTTATGCTCCCACTCCATGTGCATTTGCTCGTACATGACGGGATCCCACAACGCATCCAAGAGCCGGTCCGTCCAAAGTGATCTTCGAACCATGAAAGAGCCCAGATTGAACCCGCGGCAGTCTTGAGTGAGAAGCATATTGATTGAGCGAATGTCTCCGTCGCCCTCCCGGGAACGACCTAACTCATCCAAGTAAAATTCCGGAAGCGGGTGTGTGATGTTGAGGGGATTGTGTTCATTGATGTCGCGGTAGACCAGTGATTCCAGGTTATTGAAGATATGGCTCTGTAGCGAGGTCCCATACTCCATCACCCAGGTGTTCAGATCCAGCCACCAGAACCATTCCGCATCGGGGTATTTGTGCAAAGCTTCACGGATCACATCGCCTTTCTCCCATCCCTCGCGCCACTCATGCGAGTACCGCTTCTTAGCCAGCATGTTAGCGACCTCCAGCTCATATCCCCATTGCTTTGCGTATTGTTCCTTGTTCCAGATGCTGTTGCGCTCAATGGCCCATTCGCGCGCTCTCTTAATATCCGTAACACCACCATCAACGTTCGCCCCGAGGATGATCACGATTTTACGGCCTCCTCCGAGTGGGGACCGGCGGTATAATTGAACCAGCGCTAGAAGAAGATTAGCCACGCGCTCACCACTTGTATAAGATCAGATACATCACTCACTCGACCAAAGAAACAGATATCCCATAAAAACAAGCAAAATCCCAGCCAAAATACGGACCCGTCCACGTCGCATCAACATTCCAAGTGCAGCCAACGGCCCACGCCCGCCGCCACTAGGACGCCACTGCGCGCGTCCATAGGCATCTTTATCCACATACCCACCAGCACCAGACTGGCCCCTAAAACTAGGTAACCTGGCCGAGATCTTATGTTTCTGTCTGGAGAAGAACCCGCTATTGCGCGTCGAGAAAGACGGGTACCCGCGCACTTCGTCGCTTTTCGCTTTCGCCGCGGCCCAGGATATCCCGCCTGGCGCGAGGGAGGAGGGCGAGAGTCCGCGCGGATTCGGAGTCGCGGTCCCGCTACCGGGCGTTAAGCCCGGGCTGGACCACCCTCCGCCCAGGTGGGGAGAGGGTGATCGCGATAGCGACATGGGACGTGATCGGCGGTGGTGAAGAGAGAGCTTAGATGGAGAGCGAATAGCGTGTAGACAGTTGCGCGTTCGAGGAGGTGTAATTGCCTAGGAAGGTGGCAGAGTGAGGTCAGAATGACCGATGCCCGGGAGGAAGGGGATACATAAACGGAGAGAGATTAGACGGATTAAGATTAAGATTGAAGGCGCATGGATCCATAGAGTAACAGCACAGACCAAGTCCCCACCACGTTGGATGATGAATCGAGAATCGAGCGCTTTGATGGGAAAGCCGCAAGCGGTGATTACTAACAGGAACCAGCAACAATTAGTTAAGATTTGTTCAGATCTAGATTTGTAACCTTCGGATTGATTCAAAAGCATTGGCGCGGCAAAGAGAAGAATGAATGCAATTTCGTCTAATTTTCTCGCGGTTCCAGATAGATTGCGTGTTCATGTACTTAAAATGAGGCTTGGAATAATGTACCGTGCGCATACCGAGCATCGGGAGATCGACTTTCTTGCATGGAACACTACAATCTGCCTTTGATGGACTCAATTTACGAGTCATGGATTCCACGCATGCGGACAATAGTATTGTCCCCACATGGGATGTGCTACCTCAGACTCACACCCAATGATGCCATTGCCACTATGAATCTATTTGCAGAGAGGAGAGATAACAAGGAAAAGGGATTTGTTACACGGCTTGCTTTTTTTGGGTCCGAAGCGGCAGTCGGTTTCCCGCGCCATCGGGTTTGTTGGCCAAGGCCTTGCGTACGACGAATCCGGCTTCGTGAGCTGGTCGCTGTTGGGCACTATCGCCATGGTAGAACTCACAACGAAGGTCAAGAAACTCGCCCTTGTGTCGGTACACTGTGATAATATCGCCTGAGTAAATCTCGCCAAAGTGCAAGCCCTCCATTCCCCCGTCGTTCGAGGTTCCGCGTCGGAGTTCCGTTCCATTGACCCAGATACATTTGCGCGTTTTGGTGGAGAGAAGGGCTCTGACCCCGGGAACCTGCTGCCAATCTTTCCCTTCCGCGATCATGACCTCGATGCCGGGCGCCCAGAACGTGATCTCCAGGGCATAGGCCGGGATGCGAGTGTCCATGCGATCCTCGTGGCGAATCGTCGCGGCGGGCCCTCGACCCCATGAGGTCATCCGATTCTCTAGGCGTAAGTTTAATTCGAAAATAGACCCACGTACACTCTTTAATCGGCCAAGGATCTTCGGTGGCTTGGTGAACTCATTGCTAGAAATGCTGGGTGGGACAGAAGGTGGATCAGGCTGGTGCACAATGGGCTCAGAGGCCTCAATATCAGCATTCAGTTGTTGGTCCAGGATGGCCTGGCCAGTCTGCGCATCAAGGGTAGTCATAAGCTCAATATCCAGATTCTCGTGCGAAGCTAGCTCAGGAGGTTGTGTAGAGCCTCGGCGGCTGGTTTGTGCACTAGTGTCGCTGGACTGCTCGCTAGCTGTCTCGGGGAGATCAAAGTCGAGGCGACGAGAGATTTTCAGCTTGGGTGCCTTGGGAGTAGTATCCTGAGCACCCAGGTAGGACGACTTGGCTATTTCAGGAGGACTGCCTGCACTCGTGAGATCTTTCGGCTGTCCAGGGTTGACCTGTGGCGTCGATATTTCGTTAACGGAGGCGGTCTGGGGATGGAGGACAGGATGCGAGGAATTCATGTTCAGTCGTCCGACTAGGTTCTCCGCTCCCATCAAGCTGGGTGCAGTGCCGCCAAAGGGATGTGCTGGGAGGGAGACGACCGAAGAGACGCTGTATTCATCGCTCATCGACTCACCGGATGACACAGAGTTCTTGACGTTAGAGTCGTGGTCCCATGCACCTGTGTGGCCCATTGCATGTGAGCTTCGCAGAGCTGACGAGGTGACCTCGCCAAACAAGCGTCTTGCGTGGTGCTCGGCAACCACTTGACTATCTTGGAAGCTTTCAATTTGAGGAAGAGAAGGATATCGAATATCTGCGGGGATGTATTCGATCCTTGGCTTCTTCGCAAGTGCTTCACTGCTACCTACTTCATCTTGGGCTTCATGGAGGTACGCTGCCTCATCATGAATAGACAATTGAGACGCGTCAAGTTCTTCATCAGCCTCACCGATGACCGAAAGACCATCGCGGGGGTCAGCGAGAAGATCATCATCTTCATACTCATCAACATCAAGCACGTCCACAATCCAAGGATGTTGGAAACATTCCTTTTCCGTGGGGCGGGCAAAAGCATCTCGATTTAACAATTTGGAGACAAAATCAACACCGTCCTCGGACACGCCGCACTGGCGCAAGATATTGAAGTCGGCTTCCGATGTCATGATACTGCGCAGCATGGCAACACCCCGGTCTTCGGCACGGCCTGAATATGGTGGGATTCCGGACAAAATATGGTAAAGGACTGCACCCAGAGACCACATATCCACGGCCTGACTATATGGAGAGGTTTTTGGCGGTCTAATAAAAAAAAGTTAGTATTGACTGACTCAAGATTGGACAGTAACAACTCACGGATCTCCAACTCGACGTCGCTTCCGAGCCTCTCCACGTGTGTACATTTCATAGTCCGGATACACCTCAGGCGCACAGTACAGCAGCGTTCCACAAAACGTTTTCAGAAACGTTTCTTCTTGTGTTACCTTTGACAGGCCAAAATCGGACAGCTTGACCCGAAGGGGATCTAGGGAGGCAATCAAAATATTGTCCGGCTTAATATCACGATGAGTGATTCGGCGTTTGTGAAGGTAGTGCAGTGCCCGTAAGAGCTGACGGGTGATAGTCCGAACCATATCTTCCGGAATTTTACCAGGGCTTTGCAAGTATGTAGACAGTTCGCCACCAGGGACGTACTCCATGACGATATAGATCCACCGGTCATATTCATGGTGTTCGATGTATTGGACAATGTTGGGCTACACCGGATGAACCATATTAGTATCAATAGGTCAGGGGCAAGGAAATAGGCCAGCTCACATGTTTGAGATCTCTCATGATTTTCATCTCGTTATCGACCTTTTGATCGAGAATACCATTCTTCATGAAGCGGCGCTTGTCTAGCTCTTTGGCAGCGTAAATTGCACCGTGTTGTTTGGTAGCCAGTTTATACACTGTGGCAAAGGCACCCTTGCCGATCTGCCCAGTCACATTGTACATGGGACCGCCTGACCAATGCATACCATAGGCGTTTGCAACCGACCACGGTAGGACCGGCTGTGAAGGCGTCTGTCGGGTTTTTTGCTGCCCCGCTAAAACACGCTGGACTCGCTCGAAGAACTGGAGTACATTCTGTGTGTATTTCACGGCATAATTCTCGCGCGACGGAATCCGCACAATAAAACGAACCTCGTCTGAACCTTGATTCCCTGTCACGACCTGGATAACTGAACCATTGACAAGCATGCGACTGTTGTCTTTGGAGTTCTTGCGCAGGCGGCAGTTGTCTACAATAGTGCCGTTGGTCGACGTATCTTGTAACATGATGATACCGTCACCGGTCAGGTGAATGCGGAAATGGGAGTTGGATACTCTTTTAGCATTGTCGTTGGATGCTAAAAGAATATCACAGCGGACTGGGTTGCGACCGAAGCAAAATCCAACCCCAAGATCGTGGACATCGGAAGATAATCGTAGCGCGAGGTCCAACGCTGCGGTCTCGGAAGTTTCGAAGTCCAAGGCCGCCTGTTGCAGAATATGCTGAGTGCCCATTGCAGCCGTGGCAGCAACAGCATCATGAGCGGCATGTGAATTGGGATGAAGGATACAAACAATGTCGGCGAGATCCTGTTCCTGCAATCCCGAATTGTTCAGGCCCATGCGGCGTGGGTCGGCGCATGGCTGAGTGGATTCTTGCGTTGCCTCCATGGTAAAGAAATCAACGGAGGGAAATGCAAGCACTAATGATAGATAGCAAAACGACTACTAATGACTGATGTGGGGTATATGTGCTGATTGAACGAGAAACTTTTGCATAACAGGGGAATGAGTACACGTGACGGCCTAGGTGTGTGGCCTGTAAGTTAAAAGCAAAAAAGAAATGTCGACAGCCTGACGGGGACCAGAGAATATATACCTTGAGGAGGGCGGAAGGTCACCAGGGCAATTTACCCGGGCGAAACGTGGACCTCAACAGAAGAATAAAGGCAGGACAGAAGTGAAAATAACCCAGCGCACAGTATATGCGGAATCTGAGTGCAGAGAGAAAGAAAAGTCGGGGAACGAAATCGGAACTAGAATAAGATGCCGTCTTAAAATGGCGGGGGCTCGTGTTGACCAGTCACAACCTGCTTGTCGGATACACGAGTGATGTACTCAGGTCAGGTATCTGCTATGGAATCCAATTTCTCTTTTCGGAAGAACCCAGCACGTAAAATATGAGGCCCGTCTCGACGGTCTTGGCTTCTGCGAAGGGAGGTTTGGTAAGTTGCGGCGGTGGGCTAAACTGAGGTTTTGTAAAAGCGATGATTTTGATGGCGGCAATTTCCTGGGGGATATTGATGGTTTCCATAAGTCTGAACGGGAAGGAGTATCTCTGCAGGAATTCAACGTGCTGGTCAGCTCTTATCCACTTAGATACAGGTCCAAGGTCGTTTGTTTTGACCTCGACTTGGCTGGAAGCTGTACTAACACAGATTGACAGACACCCTTTTCATTTGTCCACGACCGATTGAAGACTCGTGGACAGATTGGAAAGGGGGAAACCGGGACGGTTGTAGTCCTGAGGAAGGGTTCGTCGTCCGAGAAACAAGAACGAACTCGAGCCGCAATCGATCTCTCGTGCTCGCCTCAGGCAGCAGTGGTTCCTGATGGCTGACTGATCCGCTCTGAGGAGTCTGATTGGCTGATCCGTCTTCCACCTTAACTTAAACCATGGAAGCGATCATAATCAGATCTATGATTTCTAATGGTGCCAAGGGGGTATTGAGTCTGAGGGCCTTTTCATTTCAAAAATCCCTGGAAAATACCATGCTCATTGCAGCCTGCTCCATACCACCGCGCGATAGATCAATTTTCGCCACCTAAAAAAACGCCCCACACTTACCCACATGCACTAGGCAGCTTTGCACTCTTATATGGAAGCAATTGCGGGACGACATGGTCGGTAAGCATGGATATCAAAGAGTAGAAAAGAATATACTTTTTCCTTTGAAGCTGATACAGTATATGTCATGCTAATCTGCACCTGGGCATTCATGTTAGTCTTCATGGGCACAAACTCGCTGAAACTACGGCCCCACTATGCAAAGACAGTCTGGCCATGGTCTATAGAGCTAGTTTGATTTATCCAAAAACCACGAATATTGAAAAAACCTGCGGCAACTTGCCTAAAGGGGCTAGAATCCATTCACTGTCCAAGGGGGTATTAAATGCAGAAATCTTCACCCAGGTCATTGATGATCAAGTTCCAAGACTTTCATCTATGCCCGGTTATGCATATTTACCTAGACCTGGGTACATGGATATGAATCAATGGCTTCAAATCCGGATTATCTATAACCGATTGACCTCATGATCACTCACACAACCATTTGCCATCAAGTCAAGCGCATTCGGTATATGATTGAGACCACCTTTCACAACTTATAGTCTCGTAGGAATGATCAACCCCGTTTCCAGCCCCCTCGGCTTTCTCAACATTACAGTCATACGATGCAAATGTCACTATCACATCTTGATTACGGTTTTCTCGTTCCCCATCAAAGGGACAAAGCGCTATAAAACCCCCTCAAACCGACGCAAGGTATGACATTAGTATATCAGTCACGGGAGTCAAAACGATCGCGTTAAAAATGGCCCTAGAAGGACCATGACGCCGGATCTGCTCTTATATAGTCTCTGCAGAAGCTGTATGATCTATCATATGAGCCGGGCCGAATGATTCAACGAACTCGTTGAATGAGTGACCTTGAGGATAAAAGCCCAATCAGACAAAATCAGTTTCTTCACAGATATGCAAAATGGGGATCGGTTACTACTATATAATTTCGATGCGATATAGGCTCATATTAAACATTCAGATATTGTTACTATACAAAAACAAAAATGGGGTTCATACAATCTACTCGTTACGCTTCTCCGCGTACGAATGAAAGTTGTCCACGGGAGCATCAGGCAGAACGATCTTCCACACATTTTCAATCTGCTCCGCTATATGAGAAGGAAGTGGTCCTTTCTCCAGCCCAGCAAGAGTTTGGTTGACTTGTTCCAAGGTGCGTGCACCGAAGATCAAACCATCTCCAAGTTCACCTTTGAGATCGGAATTGTAAGCCACCCACCTGTATGCAATTTCGGCCTTGGCGATCCCGGAGTCGTTGGAAATCTCCTCCCACAACTTCAGGCCTTTCAGCATACTGGGCTTATTGTAGAGGGCGTTGTAGAGTCCATCTATTGCTGTAGTTTGATCCCATCGGCCGTCACCACCCGCGACCAAAGTTTTGACGGCTTTTGTTAAAAACCCTCCGACAATCGGAGAGTAGGCGTAGAAAGACATATTGTGTTTCCGAAGAGTGGGCAATATGTCGTTTTCCGCTCGACGAGCAACGGGCGAATAATTCCCCTGGTAAACGGTTGGTAGAACATAGTTCTTCTCGCGGCAAATGCGGACGACTTCATCAACCTCGTTGGCTAAGAAATTTGAGAGACCAAATCTTTTGAACTTTCCAGCTTGGTGGAGCTGGTTAAAAGCCTCTAGCTGGCCTTCAAGGGAGGTTCGACGATCAGGTGCGTGTAAATAAAGTACGTCAACCTTGAGGTGATGTTAGACGATGGCGAAAATTCCTTGTCAAGTCCCCTCGACGTACCTGGTTTGTCTTCAAAGTTCTTAAGCTTTGCTCCGTGGTGCTGATCAACAGCTCTTTGGTAGATGGCTGCGGGCCAAAGCCCCCGGGCAGTTTTGTTTGGATGTTAAAACGGGAGGCAGCCGAAACCAGACCTAGCAATTCTTCTGAGTTTCCATAGGTTCTGGCTGTATCAATGCTCTCGACACCTCCTGCCTTGATAGTATCGAGTACCTTGTTTATGAAATCAAGGTTGGAGAATGATTGATCCACGAAGGCACCCCCAAAGATAAGTTTGACTTTGGAATCCATGTTTAAGAAGGACCTGAAGAATTCAATGAAGTCAAAGTGAGGTGTGGTGTGGAAAGCTGAGGATGTAGGAAGGAATTTTGAGTGTTTAACCTCTGCTATTTATGAAGCCAAATAAGTCAAAGCCCCGCTGAATATCAAATTATTTTCCCTTGTCATCCCATGACAAAGTATATATGCTGCTTTTCTCTAGACACATCGGCAATGATGTTGGTGATAGCAAACTGAATGCCAAGGTAGATTTGAAATCAGGGCGGTTGGAGTTCACGTTGGTAAGCAGTTTGGTTGGTCCCCCGAGACCGAGCTCCGACAGTACACTCATATTGGCACGAGTGGCTTGGAATGGTGTCAATCATTGTGCCGTTCCTTTTCTTCTTCTTTCTCTTCATTTCCATTCGAAAAGTGTCATCGACTTATGGGTTGCGGTTGGTCCTCTTCTTTGGTGCCCTGATGTCCGAAGAGCCTTTTCTTCATTTCGTGGCTCCTTGGTCTTTCTCCTAAATTCTACTGAAGTATGCGCTCCTGAGATCTCCCAATGCCTATTTGCCTTCCCTTCTGTCGCCCTGTTCAGCATGTAACAGCAACACACGCCTTCACGTGACCACTGATCCAAATCTGGCAACCCCCGCCCTTATCGCCATGCAACTGCAAACCCCTTAGCAAGGTGTACAATACTGCGTTACCACGGTGTAATGACTGATAGACAGTCAAAAACAGCTGCATTTGCATGTGAACAATGCAGATCCTCGAAGCGTCGTGTTGGTGTATGGTAATCCGTTCATAAGTTTGAAGCTTATCATTCGATAGTGCGATGGGGCGAAACCCCAATGTTCAACCTGTGCAAAAGTTGATAAGAGTTGTCTCTACCAAAATGAACAGAAACCCAGAAAGTTCGTTGTTTGTCAGCTTGCTCTCCGGTAACAATTTCTAACAAATCATCAGGCGGAAATACTGGGATGAAGATTATGTCAAGTCTCTCGAAAACCAAGTGAAGGCTCTATTAGCTTTACAGAGCACAAGAGGTCCAACCGAACATCTTGACGCGCTCGTCATATCTGACCTAGAACCTGGTGAGCCCTCACCCCGCATAGGCTTCGGTTGGGATGAAGAGCACAGAGAGATTCAAACACAAGGCGTCTTGGAATCCACCCAATCTCGCAAAGCAATGGAGGAGCTCAGTGTGATGATGTGGAGAACCAATCTTGCAGATGGAGTAAGCATTGGTCCCGAGTCAGTTAGCAGCCAATCGGAAATTGCAAGCAGCCCCAACACGCGTTATAGCATACCCAATCACATATCGGACTATGCCAAAGATCGAAACCGCATACACAGTCTTGCTGCCCTGTTCTTGAAGCATATAAACGGAGAGCATCAATTCACCCGATACAAGACAACCACTCCGTTCTCAGATTTCCCAGAAAATCCACTCGACATCGTTTTCCTTCATGGAGCTATATTAGCAGCTGGTGCTACATTTGAAAACCAGCCAGACTCCCTGAAGCTTAGCGATGACTTTGCAGAATTCAGTGAGAATTTGGTTTTCACATGTTTTCGACATGCACCGACAATAAATATTATCCAAGGACTCTGCATTCTATCTTGGCGGTCTCTGGCCCTGGGACATGATCATCTCGGGTGGACATTTCTATCGATGGCTGCTGGAATGGCAGTACATTTGCGTCTTCATGTCTTGGCTCTTGATGAGATTGCAACAAAGTCTATCAAGCCATCAATTGAAACAGTGCAGACTTTTTGGTCATTTTACATGACAGACCGTACATCTCTGTCAATTCTTGGACGAAACTGTGGACTGCCATGGCGGCGTGTCAATGTGCCGCCCATCGAATCTTTCTTCTCTGGGAAGAAGGAAGACTTGACTCAAATTTCATTCGCCTGGCAGTGCAAACTATGGTATATGCATGACCAGAATATGGATCAAATGTATGATCTAACAATGAAAGCTTGAGACCCCCTTGACTAATGATTCGCGATAGATTTTCATCGTCCTTTGAGAAACTTGCCCCTGCAGATCAAATACATCTCCTCATCTCTACTCACAAAGACTTGAACAAATTTTTCAAGTCCCGTGATCAACGACTGACAATCACCCGTGTAGCTGCCTCGAAGCCTGTTCTTCTTTTCCACATGGCATACCAAATGGCTGTTTTAGTCACTATGCCCCCATTCCTCCGCCTTTTAGCAACATCCAAAGTCGAGAATCCAAAGATTTTGCAAGCAATGCCGTTGGTATTGCGGTCGATTGCCTCTGCAGCAGCATCAATGGTCCGCCTTGTGCAAAAATACACGAAGAAGTACGGATTTCGACACGCCAACCCGTTGGTGATACATCATCTTCTAAGCGCAGCGATTGTGCATCTCATGAATGCAACAACTACATCGCACGCATTTCGAAGATACAGTACTCGTTCAGTACGAACGTGTCTCACTCTGCTTCGGGAACTCGGTCGCTACTGGGTCTTACGCTCGCGAAAAAGCGTGGACGTTATTAAGGCTTTAGCACGAAGATGGAATGTCGAGTTCGTGTTCCGAGAGAACACATCGGATAAAACCGATGAAAACGTAGACACGGAGCCAAATTCGGAAAATGCTGATCCTTTCGCCCCAATTCCCGATCCGACGCCAGAGTCCAAAATGAATACAGACAACGCTGCAGCCAATATACCGCCCGAATTCTTCAGCGAGACTTCGGATCTTCATATTGGCATGGCAGACGAATGGCAACCGTTTCACTGGAACACAGAGCTGCAGTTTGATTTTCCAAGTATTCCTTTCTCTGAAATTGAGTATGAACCTTTCGATATATCCCATGTGTTCCGATTTGGTAGCTGTGATGACCGGTCTCGGGGATCTACGGGCTGAATCCCATGCAATTCATATAAGCAATATTGACCTGGTCTGTACCAAACACTACATCGGAAATGAACAGGAGACACAACGGACAAACGGAGTTATCGACGGCATTGAAGTTGATGCACTCTCATCCAATATTGACAATCGCACCCTCCACGAACTCTATGCTTGGCCATTCGCGGATGCCATGCGCGCAGGGACAGCATCAACGATGTGCTCCTAACACGACTCAGCAACGTTTACGCATGCGAATATGAGGAAACTCTCAATGGACTGCTGAAAGAGGAGCTTGGCTTCCGCGGATATACTGCGTGTGATTGGGTTGTAACTCATTCTGGCGCAAATGCCGTAAATTCCGGTTTGGACATGTCCATGTCTGGTCCTATCAGTCAATACAATTTTGTGGGGTCTTACTTCGGTGGAAATTGTTCCCAGAGAAGTTCAGTCCGGTCATGTGTCGGCAGACAGACTTGACGACATGGTGCGCCGCGTGTTGACGCCCTATTTCTATCTTGGTCAGGATGAAGACTTCCCAACGGTCGACCCATCATCACCCTTTGTCGGTTTGGCGGCCGTAGGCTACACACCTTCTGCTTTAGGTCTGCCCGCAGATATGTCCTTGCCACCCTCATGAGACGTCCGGGCGAATCACGGTAAACTAATTCGCAAGCATGGCGTGGCCGGTACAGTTCTCCTCAAGAACGTCAATCCCACACTTCCCCTCAAAGCCTCCAGCGTAATTACTATCTTTGGCAGCGATCCCTAATGACTGGAATGGATTGACTATGATCGAAAGTTGGAAAGGAGCAAGCTTTGAAAAAAGCGGAAAGTTGGAAGAAGCGAGCAAGAGGATGGTGGATCAAGTGATCGAAGGAGGGAACGAAATCTGACTTTGAAAACAATCCCTGAATCACTCCGAGTCATATTTGTTACATAACTCAGTTCAATGTAGTCTTTTAATTTAGACCCAACATGGCCGACAGAGCGATCTATTTTACATAAAGAGCATGATTTTGTTTCACTCTAGTCTTCGCCTGGATTGACTGCTTCCGACTGTTTCTTCACTCCTAACGCTCAGATCCCCCAACGAATCAGACTTCTGTATCTCGATATCAACCTCTGGATTTGTCCCTATCGGTCGCATCCATAGCTGGCTCGTTTCATCATCCATTGGCTGAGATCCGTTGCCGGCAGTGAGACCAGCTCTGGGAGATGAACCTGACAACTTGGACGGCCGGGTCGAGGACTCGGGTGTGTATACAGAGCGCCCTAGCAAAGGACGCATCAAGGGGATCGAAGCAGTGACAACTGCAAGACAGGGCTCAACGCCACTGAAGATATTGGCGCGGGGCAGGCTATAGGTAATGTCCGTGAAGCTCATCGTAGAGAGTGCGGCAATGCGCATGATACTGACGACGCAGGTGCTAAAGAGAGTGGTAGTCAGCAGAGAATTTTTCCTTGAGGGAGATGAAAGTTGCAGAAAAGAAATGATAGTGTTTTCGGTGAATCTTACATTATCCCCAAGCCGAAGACAGCAATTAAAGCCACTTTCTTGTAGGTAGGCATCTGTAGTCGGTAAAGTAGCGGCATGGGGATCAGAAGCACGGCCACGTCGGTGAGAAGATTGATGACTCCCGTCGCCGTGAAAGAGGTGACTTGGTTTCCGCATGACCCCCCTGGGATAGTCTGGTCCCAGTTATAAGCAAATGGCCGGCAGACCAGAAACCCAGCGAGTATTGTTGCAATGGCCCAGACCACAATGACTACGATTGTAGTCCAAGAAACCCACACAACCCAAGTCACTGGAAAGATCTGGAGATAAAGGCACAGGATGGAGATTTTGGTGCAGCTCAGGCTCAGGACCCATGTAAATTGTAGTGGGATAATCAGTTGTAGCAACTTCGTGATAGGCTCCTCCCCATAAGCCTCCACAATGGACACTGTGTGGCCGTAGCCGATCCCGGCTTGTACTACCCCGGTGATGGTGATGGACTCGAGGCCTACGGCGAAGGTCTTGATTGACAGACTGTTTAGTATAATACAAGAATTGTGTAGAGTATTCCACTTACACAAGCAGTAATTATGAAATAATCACTTGGGGTCCATCTCTTGCGCGCGATGTGGTGAGCGAGCAGGCGCAAGCACACGGCGGTGACAGCCAAGATGGTAAAAGTTATAGCCACGCCCAGCACGGCTTTTTGGTTATCCGTCACAATTGGGAAAATCAAAGTCATCTCGGTTCTGTTCCTCGAAGTTCAAAAGTTCACCACGGGTTGACAGGACGTTGGGATACTGTTGACATGAATCGTCTCGCAAAATGGGTGGAACCGGATATCTGGCCGCCGATGATAAGTGGAGTCTGTTGTATCTCATAAGGTTCTGTCAAACCCACAGTTCCCCGAATGTAAAGAGGACAGTATGGCAGATAGGCACGTAGGCTGTTATGTAGAACGAACGTGCGGAGCGAGACGGGAATTGACATGCCAAGTCCAATACCAAAATTTCTAGACGATCAGGGGGTGATTTATCCCGCTGGCTCCTCCATGACATCGATTCCAGTGGCATTGATTTTGCTATATCGGCACTCTCAGACTCTCAATGTTGTACAGTCCACAAAGGACAGCTGATCTGTATTGACTGCATTTCATTTGCCGTATACTGCATATTAATATGAAAGCCATAAATTGATATGTTCCTCGGTCAACTGCACTCTGTCGAGTTCTTAGTGTTGGAAGCTGACCAAAATAGGCATTGAGCTCCTTCTCAAGCTATTGAATCCTTCATGCACGGGAAAGCACTTTTATTGGCGTACACGTATCGCTTCTCCCCTAGCCGTTTCATGTGGAACCCTTCGGCCCCACCTGCCACATAATATGCACTAGTATAGGAAGAGCCAATTAGATTCTTGTGAACTTGATGTTCAAAACGCTCCATGCAGAACGACAGCGTGTGTGGCCTAGGACATTAGCGGCTCTAGTCTGTTACCCATCAGCCATGACGGATACTTCCCCTTTTCCTTTACAACCATCCCAATAGGTTGCGTTGCCTTCGCTTTCACTACGCAGAAACAACAAATTTTTCTGCCCCGATGGATATATCTTTTGTTGTCGCGATTACCCTCGCGATTGGCCTCTTGACAGTGCTGTACATCCGCAGGAAAAATAGCAGCAAGGCTCGCGTAGACAAAGGCAAAAAACGCCCTTTAAAGCTACCTCTCATTGGTGACCTCCATAGTTCCTCGATCGAAAAACCTTTGGAGAATTGGGACTCATGGGTCAGACAGAATGGTCCGATAGCAGTGCCCAAGTTGTTTGGAATCGTGCCAATTGTCGTTCTCAACTCGTATGAGGCTGTGAATGAATTGTTTAGTCGTCGCAGCCAGTGGTATAGCAACCGCCCGGCTTCAGTGAGTATGGAGATGATTACAGGCGCCAGTCCCGGTCGGTCGCGGTTTACTCTGATGCACGACTATGATGATCACCTCAAGTTGCACCACCGCATCCTCTCTCCTAGTCTTGGCGCTCCTGCTGCCCCTCAATACCAGCCCATGATGGAGCTGGAGTCCAAGCAGTTGCTAGTTGATCTTTTAAGAGCTGTGCAGCAGTGCTCTGACGGTACCACAATCAGCACCGACACCGTCTACCCGCTTTTAGAGCGTGCCCAGTCAGGCGTCATTTTGGCTTTGCATTACAGCCTGCGCATAGCCCACTTTGAAGATCCAATTCTGCATGAGATTATCGAAATGCAGACAAAAGTAACCCATATTGCTGCCAATCCCGGTTTGCCCGATTTTATCCCGGCTCTGCGATACTTACCCGCCTTTTTGTCTCCCTGGAAGCGTGCTGCCGACAAACTCTACGCCGAGCAGGTTGATCTCTATATGCGCTTATTCCATCATGGGCGGGTGTCAGCTGGCTGGAACGCTACAAAACAGGCACTTTCCACGGCGAAAAAGTACGCCCCGGCTGATTCACCAGTAGAGGACCTCGACATCGCTTTTACTCTCGCGACGTCTATCCAGGGAGGGATGGAGACCTCCCCACGCCAAATGTTGTGGCTGTTCATTGCAGCGCTGTACAAGCCACACTTGATGAATCGCGCGCATTGTGTACTTGATGAAGTGGTTGGACGCGATCGTCTCCCATGCTTCGCGGATCGTGCAAAGCTGGGCTTTATTGACGCCATTATGCACGAGATGTTCCGTTGGCGGCCTATCTCGCCGGGCTCCATTCCTCGTCGCGCGGATCGTGATGACGAGTTCGGAGGGACCAAGTTCAAAAAAGGTGTGACGATCATGGCCAACGCCTGGTCTATCGGCCGAGATGAGAAGGTGTTTGACCCAACGCTAGGTGACCCTTCCGAATTCATTCCCGAGAGATGGCTGCGACAAGATGAGAATGGAGATGAGAAGCTTCGAACAGACCTTCCACTCCCAGTTTTTGGCCAGGGCAGACGTATCTGTCAAGGCAGAAGGGTCGCGATAGACGGTACATTTATGCAACTTGCTTGTTTATTATGGGCATTTGATATTGAGCCCGCTGATGGAGAAGAGGTTGATCCTTGGGCAATGGTCGTGGAGGGCTTCATGACTATGCCGAAGGAGCTAAGATTCAAACTCAAACCGAGGGGTATGTGGGTGCAGGAAGTTGTTGCCAGAGAGTGGGAAACGGCAGAAAAGAGTCTAGATAAGGTCATGGGAACAGGAAATGATGTTGAGAAATAAGCTCTGCTATTAGTTGTCTGTTGAGATCGGCTCTATATGACAAGACAAGAGCATCCCCCTTGATACCCATACCCATATGCCACCATAATTTATGAAAATTCCTTTAATTTAAATAAATCATCCCTTCTCAATAGATAAAGATATCTATCAGGGCAGACCTCCCAAGATGACGCTACTGTAAAGGTCAAGATCTTTTCAATAAGCAAAATGGGCCAGTTCTGGGATACTAAGAATGTCACAACGGAAGAAGTGTAGGTCAGCGTGATCAGGTAAATTGAACACAATAGCGTATGTTTTGGCCTAAGAGGAGGGAAAATCTAGTGAGAGCGTAGTTAGTCAAGATTATGCTAGGTTCTCTCATATTCCCTTTCATGAGGGTTGAAAGAAACGGAGCCAACAGAAGCAACTGCATTGTTGACGAAAGAGAAGAAGAGACAGAAGTACTGATCTAACCAACAAGTAAGAGAGCATCACATGATCTCTCAACAGCTGCTCTATGTTCCTGGGTCATTCCGAGCATTTATCATTGCGGAACTATTATCTATAAAAGCGAACTTGAATAGGACTTGGTAGATGACGCTCGGGCAATGAAATCATATGATCAGGAAGCAAAAGGTTAGTGACGGCTTTGTGTCCGTCGTATATAGGCCTCTGGCTAATTTTTACTTTCTTGGATGTTTTTATTGATTTGTTCCTACCTGAAGTAGATAGGTATGATGAAAGGCATATGACGTGTCTACTTTGCCTCGGCGGCATTATTAGCGTGAAAGCGGTATACTCTGGTAATCTGTGTCGTCGCATTCGATAATATCGCTTCGAAAACCCTGCCTGTGTGCTCCGGCAGTTGGAAGCTCGATGAGCTCCTTCATCACCACGCACTTCAGTGCATAGCTCGAAAGCACACAGGGTGCAGATCAACCAGGGCCCCAACAAGAGTGACGCAGCTAGTGTCATGAAATAAAAAAACACCTATCATGGGTGGCATCACGAAGGGTAGAAAGTTTACTGGTAACTCGCCAAGCTGCCAAGGGCCAACTCCCCCGCATTCGACCCATCGAGTCCCCGTATTTCCCCGGATTTCTGGACTGAATCTGTCTTGAGATCCACTTTCTTTGCCCCTCCATTTCCCCTCATTCCTCTCTCGGGAAATTATGATGCATTTGGATTGCGAGCTACTGCATTTCGTCAAAGACCCGAGGCATCTAGCTACTTCCTGTCGGTTATTGTGATCTAGATCGGCTATGCAATGCTGGGCATGTCTGGGCATGTCTAGGTATTCCCAAATACAGTGTCAAAGTAGGCGAGAGAATTGGTTCTATACTCTGGGATTTAGAATTGGAAATGCGCCACCTATGGAGCAGAGTTACTATTGGATACCTGCTATCTAAATTATTGGGCCCTGTTTAGAGTCCGATTAGCGCTTTGATGTAGAGCAGGCTAAGTTCCAAGACTTAGGTAGAGGGCTGTCTCACATAGCTGGGGGGACATATAAATCTTCTCGGATACCTTTGCGCAGGGTAGCAGCTGTGACAACTTCTCTCAAATCTACTATCTAGAGCTCCTTTCTTTTTTTCTTTCTTCTCACCTGATCCTCCTCGTTAATCATTGCTATCTCCTCCGTTTCCCCTTCAACCTCAGTGCAACAGAATGGGCATAATGCCTCCTATTGATGAGAAACCACCTGGCGTGGAGCGTATCGAAGACATAATGGTCGATAAAACCCTGACCCAAGAGGGGGAAGAATTCACGCCCGAGGAACAGAAGAAAATTATTCGGCGTATTGATCTTCGTCTTGTCACAATGACCGGGCTGGCTTATTGCGTTTCGCTCATGGATCGGACGAACTTGAGTATGGCTGCCGTTGCTGGGTAAGGCGATACACCATCTGGCTTGTTATTGTTATTGTCCACTGAGGTTGACAAACCGCAATCTCAAAAGTTTGACAAAAGAGTTGGACTTGGAGCATGATAATCGCTATGTTTGTCCTCCATTTTATTTTTACGATAATTGGTTGAAGAGTATACTGACGCCAAATTCTTGTGACAGTCAATCGCCGTGTTGATGTTTTTCGTGCCGTACGTGCTTTTCCAGCCACCGATGACGATCTTGATTCGAAAGATTGGCCCAACTATTTTCCTTTCGACAATTATAATGACCTGGGCTGTGATCCTGATTGTATGGATTCTCTTGTTTCGGTTGTGGCATCGGCTGCATTGCTGACCCCACTCCCAGGGAACCGGTTTCGCGAAGGACTTTGGCCAATTGGTCGGGCTACGAGTTCTGCTTGGCGTTTTAGAGGCCGGATATTTCCCAGGATGTGTATACCTGCTGTCTTGCTGGTATACTCGATGTACGTGCTGCACCTCAGTGCGATCTGGTTCTGCGCTGACTTGAGGAAACAGATGACGTCCAAAAGAGATTTTCAATTTTCTATCTGATTGGATGCGTTGCATCTGCGCTCTCTGGTATTCTAGCATTTGGCTTGATGCAATTAAATGGTCAGCATGGCTTGTCAGGCTGGCGATGGATCTTCATCCTGGAAGGAGTGGTATGTGTCCCAAACACCACATCTCACCACGGCCGCTAATGAACTGCAGATCAGCGGAGCTATCAGTATTCTGTGCTTTATCTTCCTTGTCGACTTTCCCGACCGTGCGTCCCGGTCCTGGAAGTTCTTGAACGAGGCCGAGTGTGCCTTTATCGTCCGTCGCATCGAGAATGACCGCAAGGATGGCCACCTGGAAGCATTCTCGCTCAAGAAGTTCCTGAAGCCAGCGTTGGATCCGAAGATTTGGGCATTTGCTATGATCTTTTTGTAAGTACGGGCCTCTTTCATATCGGGCTTTTCCCACTAATAACCACCCGCAGTTGTCTTACCACTGTCACCTACGCGATCGCGTACTTCCTGCCCATCATTCTCCGCTCCGGCATGGGCTTCGACATCGGCCAGTCACAATGCCTAGTGGCGCCTCCCTACGTATTCGCAGGTATCGTCATGTACACTGGTGCGTGGATCGGTGACAAATACCATATGCGTGGACCGATCCTGATCGCCAATGCGCTGTTGTGCATCATCGGGCTCCCGATGATGGGCTTCGCCAAGGGTAACGCGACCCGCTACGCCGGTGTCTTCCTAACGGTCGCTGGAGCAAACGCGAACATTCCATCATGTATGGCCTACCAGGCGAACAATGTGCGAGGACAGTGGACGCGAGCTTTCTCCAGTGCCACTCTGGTTGGCTTTGGTGGACTGGGTGGAATCGCGAGCAGTTTGGTGTTCCGTGACAAGGACGCGCCAGAGTACCGACCGGGAATGTATGCGGCTCTTGCGTAAGTCTAGCCAAACCCAGAGGCCGATGTTTGAAAGTGTATGTTTACTGTAGGCTGACCTTCTTTCTGCAGGTGTAACATCTTGATCATTTTGATTGTCTGCGTTATGAGCGTGTGGCTCCGGTTCTGCAATCGGCAGGCTGATCGGGGCAAGCGGGTCATTGAAGGTGAACCCTCATTTCGGTATACGATCTGAGTACTTCCTAGTTCTAAGCCATCCAATTGCAATACGTTTGGTCCATGTATCTCAGCTCATGACTTGTACCTACTCGGCCATACTACTCCGTAGATCACCACGGAATGTAAAGGGGGTTAAAGAGTGGTATCCCCTGAGAGGGTGCTCTGTATTACCCGGAATTTGAATGTCAGTGCATATTTTTTCTCCAAAGAAGTTATATTTGTAGCTGGTCTCATGCTCGAACGCCAGAGCTTCGAATAGCAAGCCAAGAACTTTCGCTGCGGAACTCTTGGCGATAGTTCAGTGGCCTCTTACCATTGAATGATCATGTAAAACGGGATGGAAGTAAGATTGTCATTAGGAGCCGGTTATCTGGCACCTTTGGCTTTAGGATTATCTGCGTCTCCGGGGAGATGCGAAGGGTTGCCACTTGTGCCGCTTTGCCGTCGGGCCTCCTATCAGACGACGCCATGTAAGATAGTTGCGAAGGACTTCTCGCTTTTGTCTTTTCCTCTGCCTGAACAGACCGCTCCAGATCAAAGTAAGCGGATGTAGCCCAATAATTCGGCTGACGGTTCGCTTTGGAGGCTTGAAGTCTTGGCGGCCAATGTTACCCTTTCCGGTTAGTGTGGTGATGCAGTCATGCGTTCTTTGCAATAAACTCTCGATATTTTGTTTATGGAAACCAACATGGACTAATCATATTGCGCTCTCGAAATAGAATAGTGGAGCCGATCGATGAAATCAAAACTATTCATCTTGACTATACATTGTTTGAATGGACGTTGAATAATCAATGCTCATGCATTTGTCAGAGCTAACAGCCGGCTGCTCTATTTAAGAGGTCTCAACCCACGTCAAATCTCCTCAAACATCTTTCAATTCTTCTTCCATTCCTCTAAGCCCCTGTGACAACCAATAAACCTCTAATTTGTGTTCATCAAGACCTTACCACACCTAATTCTTCACAACTTGCAATCGTCAACCACTCGTCGTTCCGAAATGGGTTCTACAGGTTTCAAAAGCTCCCTGACCATGACTTTCATCGGTACAGCAACTGCTATCCTGGATGTCAACGGTGTTAGATTCTTGACCGACCCTTTCTTCTCGCCTGCCGGGACTGAATTCGATATTGGTCTCGCGGTCCTTAAGAACGAGGAAAGCCCAGCCCTCCGTCTTCAGGATCTACCACCAATCGATGCTATTCTCCTAAGTCATGAAGATCATCCCGATAATTTGGATACCCTTGGACGTCAATTGTTGAATGGCCGCCATGTATTGACAACAATGGATGGCGCATCGAAGCTTGCTCCTCGTCCTGCCGTCCGCGGCCTTGAACCTTGGGAAACCGTGACCTTGTCCCTCGGAGGGAAGATCTTTGAAATCACTAGCACCCCATGCCAACATCTTCCTGGTGGAGAGTGTACTGGCTTTATCATCACGACGGAGGAATTTGGAATTGGGGAAAACGGTCTCCCTAACGCGATTTACTTCTCTGGGGATACTGTATACCTTGAGGAATTCAAGAGAATCCCTGAGAAATGGAATATTACCGCTGCGATTCTCAACTTCGGCAATGCAACCCCTGTGCTTCCAGATGGGCCCGTGCAGATCACCTTTGATGGCAAGCAAGGCGCACATATGTTCCGTGTTCTCAAGGCAGATGTTCTCATTCCTATGCATTTCGATGCATGGGGCCACTTTGAGCAAAAGGGCGTTGAACTTAGGTCGATTCTCATCGAGGAGGGGATCAATGACATGGTGCAGTGGCTTGAGCCCGGAAAGCCCCAAAGGATTTTGTGATTTATGAGACCCACGCATGAAAAGGTTGTCTGTGTTTCTTTCTTTTGTGTGCTTCTACTACATGTTATCTTTGGTTGGAAGGTGTAATATACATTAGTGATCGCCACAAAAACTGAGAATAAATGGAATGTGCCTTCCAGCTTGTGCCTGGCCACTATACATTAGACGAAGAATGATTTTTCAAGAGCCTAGATATTGGTAGGGTTCTATCTTGATTTTCTTTCTTCTAGAGTAGTTAGCGTGCACCTACTCCTTTACCGACACATCATCTGTTCAGGCCTGCTAGACATATAATAACAGGTAGAAAGTGCTATAGTGCGGTGCCTTCCATATAGATATTTCAATCAGTTCTTACTGAGACACACCTACTACCGAATTGAATTGCTGAGATTTGTAAATCAGGGGGAGCGGGTTAAGTTAAAAGTCAAATCCTACGTCTCTTCCTATCTTGCGCCCGAAGAACTTTCTTGAAATTGACCCGCTCTCCTTTGATAATCGTCTCTAGTGATCATTTCTGCTAGTAGTCTAGATACTAGCAGAACAATGGACAAGTTGGGAGTTCAAGAGAGAATTCGAATATTTCTCCCAAGGGCAATTGTCATGACGTCATTGTCTTTATATAGACTTCTCGGTGGCTGTCAGACATTATGGCTTCCCTCTTGACTCACCAGACGATTCCGAAGTTATAAAGTCTTCAATCAATGAGGCCATGAAACCATCGCGATAAAATTGTCATGACCGATCTCAATATCTCGACCGATAGCCCGGATTTCTTGACTGATGATTCACTCCATGAAGCTTATGAGCTGGACATCCAATCAGGAAGAGGCGAGAATGTGCGCTTTGGTGAGATCGTCGCTTCCAAGGGAGACTCGGTAACATCGATTGTCATTTTTGGTCAGTTTTAGCATCTTCTGCATGCTCACCTGCGGGGCTCACAAACAAGTACTGATTGAAGTGTTTCAGTGCGCCACTTCTTTTGCCTCTACGACCAAGACTACGTTCGAACCCTGGCTGGGCAAATCACCCAGTCGTTACTCGACACTGTCCCATCTAGTGCCAAACCGGCCCAGGTTATCATCATCGGATGCGGGGACCCTGCCCTCATTGGACCGTATATGGAAGAGACAAGTGATGAATTTCCAATCTACTCAGACCCATCTGGGAAGATCTACGAAACACTAAAAATGAAAAGGAGTACAGATGGTTTCACAGATCCACCTCCGTACACAAGTGAATCATTTTCAACTGCCTTGGGAAAAGCTCTCAAACAAATGTGGAAGCGCGGGTGGGCAGGGCTCAAGGGTGGCAATTGGGATCAGCAAGGGGGCGAGTGGATCTTCCAACGTGGAAAGCTTCGGTATGCTCATCGCATGGAAGGGGCCAGTGATCATCTCACAGCCGAGCGGCTTTGTGAGATCTTGAGCGTTGATCATGACCCAAGTAATACTTTGATATCCGAAGGTCCGCCACAAGAGACAAAGAATACGCAAGATGAATGAAGAAATGGAGGGACATCGAGGAAGCGTATATCCCACAGCAATCCGAGAAGGGAGCGATAGCCCCTTAATTTACCGTGATGAGCCACGCCGAAACGAAATGCGAAAGTGCAATCACTACAGAAAATATGATGTATACGAAATCAATCTCTTGAAGCGACTGTTGTGTAAGCTCTTCTGCTTGCATTGATTTGCGATTTCAGCTTTATCTGAATGGAAACATATATCCTTTTCCTTCAACGTGACGCCATTAAGTAATTCTTAAATAGTACATTCGAAAAGACGTTCCGAATGAAGGGTATGAGTAACATTTGCCCAGTCATTTCACTTTCGTGAAATCGTCTGTAAACTTCTTCCCGCGCTGGAAGTTGGAAGCACGAGGGGACGACGAATATGCGCTGCCACAGAAGGCACCTGGAGTGACCATGTTACCATCATTGGAACTATTGACTTTTACGAAGGACTCCCTTTCTTAGTCATAACAATTTCACATGCCAGGCAAGACATGAGCCGGTTGTTGCAAAACCCCCAACATGAACATCCTCACCTCAAATCTGAATTCCAGGTCCACTGACAGACAAAGATAATCCCCCGTCCTCCCGCCAAATCATTCTACCCTTTGACCTGCGTCTGAACCCGTCTGAATTTGACAATCCTGGAAACCGACGACTACTTATCGATGTCCTCCCCAGCATTGCGAAGTCGCATTCGATGAAAAGGTGCTTGTCCTGTTTTTCGACGAGCTACCAAACAAACCATGGCCGAAGAAGGTTGCAGGTGTTCCCTGTTTTCTGACGGCAGACTCGAATGAGCAAGGACCCACGATACCCATGCGGCGTCGAAGTCGTTCAAATTTGCATCTATCCGGCTAAGTTGATATCAGAGAAAATGAACCCGCGGTGGGGCTCGCATGGAAACCCTTCAATCAGTAATTGCTTGTGAGCCCCGCAAATTAGCATGCAGAAGAGATCAAAAGATATAATATTATCATTACCAAGATTATCAATCATCTCATCATATAGAGTTTTGGTGGTGGAGTAGTAGGTGCCGGGGTGGCCTGTCTGATGACTTTGGCAGGGGGAAGTATGAAGAATCAGGCATTCTGATTGGATAGTGGGGCTGACTAGACAGATGACTCATCAAAAATCAGAGGGAAAAGAAAGGTACAGTACAAAGGTGAGTTGTTTTAAAAGTGGGTCCAAGCAAGCGGATGGTGTACATACTATAACCGGGAGTGTTCTTTTACCCGCCATGCCATAAAGGAGGAGTTGACTGTATATTGACTGGTTCTTAATTCCTATTTTTCTTTGTAGTGGAGGTCAGGGATCCGGATCAATAGCAGAAATGCCTCAGGTACAACGTACAGGGGGAAGGGGAACTCGAAAAAAAAACCGGATGCTACAGCAGGTGGGACGGGGTAATTGGGAAAGGGCACGCACAAGCACGTAGAGACGCGGGGCGCTAAACCTAGTAGAAGGTTGATTTCAAACCTAATGGGGCAACTCGCTGTACCCATCCGATATGGTGTAGTGGCTAACATCGTCGTCTCTCACACGACAGCCGGGGGTTCGATTCCCCCTATCGGAGTTTCTTTTTGATAAATTTTTGCCCTCTCTTAAACTCCCTCGCCTCTGTAGCAATTTTATTCTTTTGCAGCCCAAGGCGATATAGCTTGTGTTTAAGGTAAAGAACTTGAGTGCAATTCATCGCATTTGCAACGCTTGAGACGTCGCCTTTATACTATCCACACTGCATCGTCTGCACTCAAATAATTTCTACAGCCAATTTGGTCAATTTCCTGCATTTTGAACTCAATTCGGATGGGTAACAAGACATTGAACCCGAGATAAGGAACAGCCATCACCCGATCAAACGAAACTTTTGTGCACCCTAAATCTTCCAGATTACACTCTTCAATCGCCTCCTCCAACCTCTCCCCGTCTGGGTCAGGATTATATTCCTTCCAACCAGCCCGAAAAATGCGCATGAAGGCTAATTTCTTACTGTCATCAGTAATAAATGACTGTAAAATCTCCTATATCACATGGATATAGTTCCTATACTGTTGCGACCTAAAGCTTCTAAATCGTTGACGAGGACCTCGTTCATGCCGCTCTATAGTCGCAGCCCACTGCTTTAAATGGTCTCGGACCACCACTGTTGTCGCGCCATCAAATCACCTTAAGCCGTCAAATATAGGCAGGGCCAGATTGTCAAGTAAATTAGGACCCGCCATCTTTTCTAACGAAAAGGCGATATTGGGGAGCAGACCGCGCATAAATTCGTCCTAGGCTACGCTACTCTGGACTGTAGAGCGGTAGATAGCAGAACCCCATGCACAATGGTCGTCCATGAAGAATTTGCTCGATTCTATTGAACCTCGTTGTTTTGGGCTCTGTAGTACGGGGCGTGGAGAGGGTAGCTGCACAAAGGGGGGGTGGGGGTTTGCACCGATGGGCGCGTGTGCTCTTGCGTTTTGATTGTGACTGGTAGATTTTAGAGCAAAAAATTCGACTGCGGAGGTTGAGATGCCACTGAATGTGCGCGATACGAGAGGTGATATTGAAGACCGAAATAGCCACCTAAGCATGCCTTTAAGAGCAAGACTCATTCTGGGTGATATTCGAGAAGCATTAGGGATAGTGAAGTTGCAGATTTAGACGAAGAGAAAGAGCAAGTAAAGGAAAATGGGTCGTAAGGAAGCTGTGGAAGTAAGATTCGAGGTCTAGTGTGAGGGAAGCTATAATTGAACGCATCACCAACGGTATTTCGTCCAGCGTTGTATTTTGATGTAGAGAATTGGAAATCTGATATTTCGGGCATTCAATAACCAAGGGTTCTATTTGACTTCACTCTGGACATCAGCTTCCTTGATGCTCTTCACACTTTCGACTGTTTCCTCCTCGTGAACCAACTTCTTCACCTGTTTAAAAACATGAAGCGACATAAGGTCCGGGCGACTGTAGTGGCCGGTGGCATCTGCGAAAAACTTGGTGGCTAAAATTTGATCCATATCTAAATCGGCATAAATGATGCTCTCCGTTGTACCGTCGACTGGCTCCGTCAATCTTCTACCATCTGGGCCAAAGACGACTGAGCAACCTCCACCAGGGGCTGACATCAGAGCTCCCCCAGACGTGTTCATTCTTTCGATACCCTTTTGAGAAATTAGTGCCGTGCAATGGAGCACAAAACTCTGTGACTCGATTGCGTATGTTTGAGAAAGACCTTGGCAGCCTAAAGGGTCTTAGTAATGTTTGTTATTTTAGAAAGTCTAACATGGACTCACCTTCTGCCGACATGGACCACAGTTCCGAACCGCCACTGTGAGGAAAGAGACAAGGCCATGCCGAGACATGGATATCTTCCTGTTGGGATAGGGTGTGATATTTCAGCAGAGGCTGAATATGCTCCCAGCAGGACAGTGCGCCAACTCGTGCAAATGGGAGCTGCACAACACTTGCGAAGCATTCACCCGAGGCATCGCCGAAGATAGTTCGCTCCATGTGCGTGGGTTTCATCTTACGGCGATGGGCCTTGATTTCTCCATCCGGCCCGATCATCACCTGAGCGATGTACACGGAGCCATTGAAATTCTCTGAAAACCCCAAAGATACGGCGATCTTGTTGGTGCTTGCGCAGAGCTGGATATCCGTCATCTCGGGGGAATTGAGACGGATTGAGTTCTTGATATAGGCTACATTGAGCTTAACGTCAAGTAGTCGGGTCCTAGGGCCTGTTATTACCAATCCCGGGCTTTCGATCAGTTCATACTTACCATATCCAGCAAGGATACCCAGGGATCCAACACTCGGGAAAGGCAATTAGCTTCGCACCATTCTGTGAAGCCTCTGTGATCAATTCACAGGTCTTTGCCACACCGGCTGCGAGATCCAACCAGGCTGGTTCAGCCTGGGTGACAGCAGCACGAACAGTTTGGGTCGACATGCAGAACAGCGTACAATGGAATTGGGTATTCTTCTCAGGAAGCAAGAGATTATGAGAAGGAATCAGAAAGAGAAATGCCAAATATATAATAATCTTTGGGACGCTACCCACTGAGCTCTGTGACTTTCGTTCAAGTGCGGAATTGTTTATCTGAACTATAATCCTGTGTCTTTCTTCTCTTCCTATCAAGGGACACTGATAAGGTCATTCATTCTACCTTAAGTACTCTGGGTCCGAGTGGGGCTGGGGCATTTGCGGACGTTATCCCCTCCGCAAGGCGGGGAACCCTGTCATTATCATCAATCATCTCGACTCATTTACGAGTCTCACTCAGCGATGAGCCACAATGCTGGTTGCCTATCTGTGCCGATCAATTATTCATGGATCAAAATACTCTTGAAAATGCGGAAGGATAGTTTCCGCCATCAACCGCTGTCCACGTACTAATAAGTCGAATCTTAAATATCGCGGGAAATTCATCAAAGGTCATCGAATCATCAAATTTTGTTTCATATCATTAAAATGAAAGCACACCTATTCAGCAATGTGGGGAGTCAAGTTGTCACAAGATGAGCCATTCGTCTACTCCATATTTGGGCTTCAATACCGTGATGATAAATCAACCGCCGAAAAAGATTCTATGAGACAAACATTCGACGCTCTTATAGACAACAAACCCATTCATATCGACCGTATCATCCAAGAAAATTCCATCACGACAAACCCTGGGAGAACTTGTGTCTGGCTTGGGTATTGGAAATCTCGCACAGATTACCTTGACTGGTGGATGAGCCAACCGGTATCACAGTTCTGGGCATCGCTCCCCTTAGACGCCGGAATGTGGAGAGAAATGATGATGCCAGATGCATCTCGCACACAGTATGGTACGAACAAAACCGATTTAGATTGGACTTGGTACTCTCGGATCCCGAGTGTCAGTTGTCGACAAATCCGGATACTGGGGCTGTTACCGGCAACGAATGGATGCATCAACCAGCGATACATTCGCGACGCACCTTGGAAAAGATTTAGAACCTTGTCCTGCTATACTAACCTCACCCGACCGCGTTTCCATCCGCTCTGAGCGCATTCTCATGACTCAGTTTCCCGACAACATTTGCTTCGTCGTCGAAGGCCAAGACCACTCCCAAATCACCCCGGGAGAAAAAGCTTACTGGTTTCAGAACTTCCACCAATCCGTGCAAACCTGGATAAAGGATCTCATGTCCGCGGAACCAGACTCTGGGATTCTTGATGGCCGTTTATGCTTTGACACTGACAGTGGGATCTTTGGAAATTCCACGACCAAGGCGCTGAACTATAACAAAAAGATCCAGTTGTTTTATTTCAAGGATTTGCGTCATATGGAGCGTATCGGGCGTAGTAACAAAGGACATGTGCAGCTGCGAGAACGCTTTATGGCGGCATATGGCCCCGGTGGGGAAATGTGTGCTGGGAAGATCGGGTTGTGGGTGGAGACGACGGTGCTTAAAGCAGGTGAAATGGAATGTGAATACGTCGGTTGTTTGGAAGGAACAGGATGGATGGCGTGGGCAGGCAACCGTGGATTCCAAACTGTCTAGATGAAAGTTGGATAATCAATATGGAATGAAGAGAATAAAGTCGGGTTAAGAGACTGGTTTTGTTGGAAATTGACATGAAACTACAGAGACACCGTTGTTCAATTCAATAGACCTCTTGAGCCCCACGCCAACAATATGGCTCAATGGATTTACTTTTGTAACTCAGCATGTCATATTGTGTTGCCATAGCTATACCCTATTTCTTTGTTGGTCGTTAGCTTTCGTGAAGTTAAAGTTGTTTCACTCTGTTTCTGTTGCGGTGTCTTTTTTTAGTCTTTCGATATTCAAGGGTTAGATGCTATAAATTTTATTTTTCTTCCGATCGCATTAGAACAGAGAATAGCGCCCACTATAGTTAAACTCGTATGGACACTAGTGTCGTATAGGGTAAATAATTATCCGACTTACAGGATTAGCCATTCTGACTCATTATGGCTCATTGCCACTGATTGGCTACTTTCTTATCATGTAACATTTGTAAATAATCTATTGTATATTAAAGGTGGCAGTCCAAGCAACATTGGAAGTCATTCGATACCTAGGTACATCTCGCTATGCTTGTATCTAACGTAGCCTCGACCGCATCTTCCACTTCCCCAATGAATGATCTTCTTCCGCCTGGGATGCATGTCATCCCATCTGAGTTGCTTGACACACGCCCCGACGCAGATATCGACTTTGACCTGGCTCACCCCTCGCCAGTGACTGGCGTCAAGAATATTTGGTTTTTCTGGCACTCTGGCTATGCCAGCATGCATTCATATACGCAACGGACCGTGCGCGCATGGCATCGTCGATTCACCAAGCAAGGGTGGAGTGTACGCATTATCGACCGATTACCTGGCTCAAAAAGCAATATCTCCGAGTTCCTGGATATTAGCGATCCAAAACTGTTCCCACTTGCCTTCACCAATGAGACTCTTACGGGCCCGTACGCGCTACAACACACTTCAGACCTTGTGCGCTGGCCACTTCTCCTACGGTATGGCGGCGTCTATGCCGATGTAGGGTTGATGCAAATCGGAGATTTGGATAAGCTATGGAACGATATTATTGCAAACCCCGACTCGCCTTATGAGGTTCTATCTTATACTTCTATTGACAGCAACTTTTACAACTTGTGCAATTATTTCCTTGCCGCGCTTCCAGATAACACGCTTTTCGCACGCTGCCACTCTTTACTTCTTGCTCTTTGGGGAGCCGACGGTGGCAAGACTTCCACCGAAGGAATGCACGCTAGCCCTTTATTGCAAAGTACTCCGCTTATGGGCGGCAAGTTCACGATCACGGAAGAAGATGGGACTTTCATCGGACCCGACGAAGTCAGCCGTATGTTAACCGACTATATCATCCAAGGCCAAGCGGCCACGGCAGTGATGGGTCTGGTCGACACCCAGGACGATTGGGATGGACCAGCTTATTGTATGAAACACTTCTACGCAATCGATTTTATGGAAGGGTCACAGCTCATAAACGAGCTAACAGACTGGGACGGACAGAAGGCATTCGAACTTTTATCACTATCTATGCCGAAAGGAGGCGAAGAAGAATCCAGTGACCAAAAGAAAGCCCGCGAGATTGTCGAAGCTTGTCTCTCACGCAGTTTTGGGTTCAAGCTTGCACATGGCCTCATTCTGCGAGTTTGTAAAACCACACTTGGTGCGCTATGGCGGCAAAATTCCGACTCCGATATTGTGACTGGCACATATGCTGCTTGGCTTAGACATGGCATTGCGTACTGGAATCAAAACACGATCCCGGATCGAGTAGCGCTTCCATTAATTCCTGCAACAAAAAGGGGAAGATTGCTAGAACCGTCAATATAGAAAATATTCATCTGTATATATATTTTGCAACTCAAGTCCATCTCATAGATATCAATTAGCCCTGAATCGTCAAAAATGAACAAAGCAAATGATCATTCCATACCTAGAGGACCTAATGAAGCCCTGGTTAATGGCAAGCGAAAGAAGAAGTAGGAGTGGTAATCATGGAAGTAGCCGACATTCCAAGATACCGGATTCAGTAGACATGTTGTTGCCTCGGTAGCGGCGCTTTTGGGGGAGGTAAAAATCGGCGATATAAACTATGTATCATCTTCATAACCTTAATCTTAATCTAGATATTTTTCTTCCTCGTGGAAGCCCTTAGCTTGGAAATATTTTCATGTGAGCAATACTGAGGTTTCAACTTTCAAGAGGACCACAGAAAGTTTGGGTCCCCTGACTTCAAAGGTTGCTTTTTCAGCAATGTGACCGTCGTTTTTAACCCAGCTGTTTACTTGTCACTAGCATTCCAAAATATCGCTTCATAACTTAAAAGAGCATCACTGAGTTGGGATTTGGTCAGATTTGGTCACTTGTGCATGGTTCGCGAGTAATAATTCTTTCCTACTCGATTGAAGGCTCTGCCATTGGTTGCGGAGTGAGAGGATGCCACCTAGCAATGGTGAAGGTTCATCTTGCTTTTTGATGAGAGTGTTCGTGTCCATGCTAATGAACATGCCTTGCTTAGAAAATGCGCGGGCTGCCGACTACATCCTCGTCACCTGGGACGGACCGAATGATCCAGACAACCCTTACAACTGGCCTCTTCGACGAAAATGGACTTTGACAATCATGTCCGGCGTGATCACGTTTCTGACGATGATGAATGGCACGATCATAACGGTCGCTCACAATGCAATATCCCGGGATTTGCATATCTCAGACAGTTCATTTCCCAACTCGTATTGGCCTGTTACGTCGTGGGCGATCGGAGTTGGAATTTTTGCACTCTTCTTCCTTCCACTGATGGAGGATTTCGGGGTACGGTGGGCCTTTCTCGGCTCATATGCCCTCTTCATATGTTTCGTCATCCCCCAGGCCCTTGCCAAGAACTTTACTACGCTTGTTGTGACCAGATTCTTTGCTGGCGGCTTTGTCGCTATCGTTGGTAATACTTGCGTATCAGTGGCGGGGAATATCTGGGAAGATGAACGCGGGCGCACGATTCCAGTGAGCATTTATATCGTCGCCTACTTATCAAGAAGCAGTATGGGTCCTGTAGTTGGTGCTGCAATCTTCCAATTTCTTTCTTGGAGGTGGATAGGATACATTCAGCTTATATGGTTCGTGGCACTGTTTCCTATATACGCCATTGAATTCCGAGAATCTCGCGGCAGTACAATACTTCGTCAGCGCGCGACATTGCTACGGTCGCAAGGGAAAAGAGCATATACGAAGCAAGAGATTGATAGTGGTGGCGAAGACAAATCCATCGTCGATCAAGTCCTCAAAAGTGCCGTCCGCCCACTTACACGTTTTTCAGAGAGCCAGTTGCATTTATCTCTACGATGTGGTCAGCCTTCACTGTCGGTGTTCTATATCTTTTCACCCAGTCTGTTGAACAAGTATTTAGTGGTCTATATGATTGGACTCCGTGCCAAGGTGGGTACGTTCAGTCTGCGATTGTCATTGGAGAGATGTTTGGCTGGGCTGGAACTTTGCTATCCGCGAGGATCTACTTTGCTTCAGCTTGTAGAAATACCGTGAATCCAGGTTCCCCAATTCCCGAAGCTCGACTTTACCTAGCGATGCTTTGTGGTGCGCTAAGGATATCTGGAGGAATGTTTGTGTATGCATGGACTTCTTTTTCATTCCTTCCCTGGATTGCACCTGCTGTCGGTCTTGCAATGGTGGGAGCTGGGAGCATGGTCGTTGTAACAGGGATAACGGACTATGCAGTTGACTCGTATAGCAACTATGCTAGGAGTATAAATGCCATCATCGTAATAGGAGAAAATACTTTAGCAAGTATCTTGCCCCTGGCTACTCAGAGCCTATATTCCAACTTGGGCTATCAATGGACTAGTACAATATTGGGCATTATTGCACTGGCTTTCTCCATTGTCCCAATATTTGTGCTTATATGGGGGAGAAAAATTAGGGCCAAGAGCCCCTTTATGAGGGAGTCGAATGTGCAAGAAATGACCGTCTCGAGTAATTAGGATGAACTTTCTTTTTCAAGCAAAATTTGAACTTCCCCTCAGCCTACACTATCTAGTCAAAAGCTTTCCCCCAAATCAGTTTCCGGGCCTACCTCATCAATTATATGTAAAGGTTCACTAAATAGTTCACCACACCACAATGTCTTATTAAAATTTATATAATTACTCCTAGTAATGAATACCCATCTGACGCACAGAACTATCTCTTAATATCTTCGAAAATCTACCCTAAGATTTTTAACCACAAGTAATTATCTCGTCACTCTTTATAATAACACATTAATTTTTACGTATGGTATCACTCACCATAATTCTAGTACATGCCCCCGAAGGTACTATTAAATAGTGTTATATCTTCCTCTTTAAATAAAATAAGTTTTAGATACAACCTAAGAAGTCGTGACCAGAGCTTGTGGATCTAGAGCTCGCACCAGAGCGAGTTTCGTTAGGAAATGCCAGGGTATCAAAAGTCTTATATACCTGTGACAAGGCAACGAGGCGATGAGTCTCCACAACGCATGTCAAGCGAGACTCGAGGCTACAGGCATCACTAGTGCTCAGCTCATCAGAGGAGTTGGACCCTGAGATAACCGAATTGGTTGCTAGACGGGTGTACGGGTGCCGCTTTCTCAATATCTTGCAGTGACACTCCAAGCGACGATTCGGTGACTCTATATGGTCGTTCTTCACTGCTATGAGACCTTCGACGTAGTAGAATAGCTGATGAAAAGAAGTTCTGTGTTGTAGCCCAGATGCCAGTCCATGGACAATGAATGAACTGGGTATCCCAATCACCAGACTCTTGAAAGAGCTTCCAGCTCGAACCAATCTCTTGTCCTTGAGATATTCCAGACAATAGCCTAGTCGGATCGCGAGGCAACTTTGGGAAGGCGGTTCCTACCTGGCGGAGTCATCTGAGTGGGGACTTCACAGGACTAGGTTAATATTACTTGTTTGGGTTTAGTGTGATTATGCATACATCCTAAAGGCATTTGAAGTTAATTTTGGATCTTCAAGAGACCCGACATGAAATACTCAAGGGCATTGTTGAGACCATGTTGACTATACCGAAGAGCGCAAATATTCAACAACACTTTTGCCCCAGCGGATTGCACTTTTATACCTATGCATGTCTGGTGCATTCCCCTTCCTCATACCTTCAATCGCATCCGCCAAATCAGCTGCAGAACCATCGCGTTTGAGACTTTCAAGGGGATACATAAACGTCTTGAAACAGAACAAGATGAATTTTGTGTCCGGAAGACGTGTTAGAGACTGCAACTCTATCCTCAAATTTGCCTGCCAAATGTATCACATTAGCCGACCTTATGGACCTGGGCTCCGATTTGCTGCATTCAAGTGCAATCAGGAAATACGGCATAGAGTAGAAGCAAGCTTGCCTTTGAGCAATCGATGTTGTCGTCCTCGACAAATGAATCGCCCTTTTTAATGTGATTTCCAGAGATATTTATAAGCTCCTCGTCCACTTGGACATTCCACTAGAGACCTTTAGCATGTGAAAACAATTATCTGGGGACCCTCTCACATTCATCCGCCTGACAACTTGCCCAGGCTGTATTTTGCGAAAATATCGCTCCATACTTGGCCCTATCTTATCGTAGTGGGGCACTGGGCCATGGATGGCGGCGAGGTCCGCCCCAAGCTTTGAAGACGGATCGAACCCCGCTGGAAAGCAACATGCAAAAGCAAGGCACATATGAGTAGCTTCTGTCTCTTTAAGTAGAAAAATGTCTTCCTCGATTGTCTCAGCCAGGATCTTCAAGCAGGTCTCGGGATCTTTAGGGGGCTCTGCGGGGAAGATTTGCTTTGTCATGAGATTTTTGAATTCACCAGACTCAACTTTGAACAGCCCCGGAAAGCGACGAGGCAAGTAGTGTGTCAGGATATAAGAGTAAAGCTCGTATACAGCTCCTTCACCGCCAGGTCGATAGCCGTAAACGGTGTTTTGGTATTGCGAGACAATTTCGCGGCGTATTGTGGTCCGGTCCAAATACTGACTGTCAATTGTTATAAGGTTTGACAAAGACTCTCTTTGAAGACCTATCGTTGCATTATTTAAGCCCACTAACCAAGACCAGAGGAATGTGTTCACGCTGAGCATCAACATACCCATACTCATGTTATAAATCGGCTTGAAAGGACGTAGCTCTTTTGGCTGTTGCGCCCTCCAATCAAAATCGTACCATGGCTCAATATAGGGAAGTTGACCCCTGGCTCTTTTCTGATTCACTGCTGCCAATATCTGAACGTTTAGCAACTGCATGGGTAGATAGATGATCAATAACTCGAGAAAGGAAAGACTAGGGCGGGACACACTTTGTATCCAGTTATCGCGATTAAAAAGGTTCCGACAAAACAAAGGAGAAGTGCTGGTGAAATCACCAGGTTGGGCGAGAGAGAAATGGAATGCGACATCTTTAATGGAGATACAAAGAAACAACGCTCAGCTGGTAGTGCAAAGAGAGATGCGAAGAGTATCTTGCTTGTATATGAATGAGAATTATGATTCAATTTGACAATGGCTAAGTCACTCGGCAGTACTCGTTTCGAGTGGCAAACAGGATCAACGTTGTCGCTTCACTTTTCCCAGATAGGAAATTCCAGTTCTGTCCCGTGAGGGGTATATTCAGGTCCCCGCAATAGGGGAGATAAGCTGGATTCGATCCTACCCTCGGTTTCTCCCGCTTGTCACAGTGATTACCAAAATGGTAAGTCGGGCTAGAGTCAAACAGTAATCTTGAACATATCAATGTAGACAGAGCAATAGGATGATAACGAAAGCTACAACGACGAGGACTTTTACGAGGATGACATGGCCTTTGAATCCGCGGAATATGCCATCTGTGATCTGATCATGAATGCATCAAGGTTTCCACATTCAGACAGAGGTGAAGCAGGCGAAGGTGAGCCCAATGGCCCTATAGTCTGAATGAAAACCGTTGTCAAATCTGTGATTAAACTTGTGGAGACACAAAGGTTTGAAAAACCCTGAAAATGTCCTTAGCTACGTATAGTTTGGAAAGTCTAGGTCCACACGGGCGTTTTGGGACTCTATATTATTCCTGACAATCTTAGGAGCAATACCAACAACAATAAGGGCGACTTCGATCAAGACTTGATAACAACCTGAAAGTACGACGTCAGGAACCACTGCCCGACGCAGGCATCATACCAAATACAATCATCTCGCTAGAACAGCACTTCGCAGCGTCCAATACAAGAAACCGCAAAATCAGTGAGCCCATCAATGTAATCCGCGATGCTCAACTAGTCTGATTTAAGACCCTAGTCGTGTTCGATAACCAGATACGACTTCTGGAACGGCCCCGCCTCGCGAATTTCTCTACAAGCTTCGGAGAATAGATAGTATCTTCATGATAATGGCCTAAGACCATTTCCTGCTTTTGTAGAACTCCACGAAGCACTGTTTCCGCACCGTCATACCGACTCTGCTTAGTGAGTGCAAGACCAAGGGACTGCGGGGAATGGAGTGTGTGCGGGTGATCTGGGCCTAGCACTCTCGTTCGGCCTTGATGTAAAAGACTTTTTTTCAAGCGAGCCCTTTTAATACTGAGTAGTATATACCTTCCCAGAAGTTGGTTGTTTGGGTGACCTGACCGGGCCCGCACTTGGCGTAATACTTACGGTCCCCATTGGGTACCTCCTTTCCCTTACACAACCCAGCCCCTCCCCAGAAGACAACATTATGATCAAGAAGGCGCTGTTCCTAATCGACACACAAGCAGAGCTTGTCTCGATTCCAAGTACCGCTATTCCCCATGCAGAACGCATTTGTGAAGTCGGTGGTGCGATCCTTGACCGTGCGCGACTCATTCCCAGCACAGAACTTGAGATCATCGTGGTTCAACACTGTGAGGATGCAAGCGATCCAAATGCCACGCTAGTACCCGGTAGCAAGGAGTGGAAGCTGGCTTTACCTCCTCGAGAAGGTGTCAAGAATGAAAGAGTTGTCCGCAAAACCACCGGTTCGTAATATTCAAGAAGGCTGTCTTGAGCTTATCTTGAGTGCGATATAGGTGATACATTTGAATCGAATCCTTCGTTAGCGAGTGATCTGAAGGACCAAGGCGTGACCACAGTCGTGGCCATCGGGGTTCAAAGTGAACAATGCGTGCGCGCTACCTGCCGAGGGGCTGTAGATGCGGGGTTTACGGTAGTGCTGCTGCAAGGGGCACATTCCACCTATGACAATGCAGGTACGGGGGAAAGTGCAGAAGATATCGAGAAGGCAGTCGAACAGGAGCTACAGTCTATCGGCGTTCAAATTGTACCTTGGGATCAGTATACTTTCTGAGAGACACAGGGTTGTAGGCTTGATCATAACATGTATTCATTCGTGGGTATCGAAGAACCAAGATTGCACCTATTTTACACACATAAATCCACAACCTTCGCGAGCCCGCTCACAGGCCTTCTTCAAAGCCTGCTCCTCCACATCAGTCCACTTCACAGTAAGCTCGTCCCAAGGCTTGCTGCCTTTGAACTCTTCTCGATGCTTTTTGTGCATGGCTTGAAGGCGGCTGACCTCACGAGGATCGCCAGTGCCTGAATAAACCACAAACAATGTACACGGGGGAAGCGATTCGTAAATGCGATTAATGTCGGAGACAGTTTGAGTCACGGCATCAGCAAGAGCGGGATTGAATGAGACTGTAGAGCCATCCGAGCTCGTCGTTGGTGTCGTTTCCTCCGGGAGGGTAGCAACCTCGGTAGATTCATTGGCATTGTTCGCATCTGGGAGGCGTGTGGCCCAGCCACGAAATTGTTCAAGGCTGCGCAGACGTGCCCAGGTGAGATCTACACCTCCACCAGGGATAGCTGGGTTCGAGGCATCGCCATTGACGGTGGCGGAAACACCTTTGACAACGTCTTCATCATTGGTGCATCCAATAGATACAGTTGCCTGAGCGCCGAAGCCGCGTTCAGGATTTCCCCAGTCCACCACTGCTCCAGTTCGTGCTTCCTCAGAAGAGTTCTTGCTGGGACGCTTGGTGCGACCAATTCGACGGAAAATACTTTCATTGGAAGCATCGCTGGTACCCCAACGCTCACCTTTCTCGCATTTCAGTTTCACCAGGTCCAGCACAGCACGGGCATCTTCAACGGAATCATGACCGGTGGTGCCTTGCTGGATTGCCTTGTTGAGGTATTTTTGAGTAAGCCACTTCAGGCTGCACTTCAATGGAGGGCCGCGTGGGTGGGGATAAATGATGCCCGTATCCACGATGAAAGGATGGGTAAGTTTGAGTGCTGTCAGATCCGAATTCAGGGAGTGTCCAACCAAGATCGCGCGAGGTGTAAGAATAGAGAGAAGCTTCTTTTGAATATCCTCCAGCGTGGTTGTCACCGGATCTAGCATTTCCTGGGTGATGCCAGAGAAACGAGTGAGGTAGTCGATAATTGGCCGCGGTGGTTTTACCAATTCGTCCAACACTACCTCGCCATCCCAGCGCATCATACTGATGCGAGTCAACTCAGACTTGCCACCCTCTGTGAGACACATTTCACAATCGAGGGCTAGTACATCCCGACCTGCAGTCATGCTGCCCTTTTCAATCTCATTATCAGGTATATCGCCAGCCTCCAAGCTAGGAACGAGAGAATCAACCCATCCGTGCTCCTCAGACTCTCCACTTCGTCGTCGAGCGTCGGCCTCGGCAGCCTTTTCTTCCTCCGAGTTGAAGAATGCAGGGTGTATAGTGTAGTCGTTTTCGCGGAGTTGGTCCAATGTGCTAATGAAATTTGTGATGGGCGTCCGCTGATCAACGTAGCTCTTGTCGACCCGGGCAGGACGTGCCCCCTTGCTACGTGCAGCATCATCCTTGGATTTTGGCACCTGGGACAACAGAATGGCTTGTAGAGGTGAATGCACCTTGTTGTATTTGCTGTCGCCTGGGGCCTTGACAGGCCAAATGTGAGGGAACATGTGGGCCAGAGGGCGCAAGGGTTCAGGAAGGTCAACGGAGGAGAGAGGTCGAGGATTGAATCGGTTAGATCGATCCTCGAGTGGGAGGCCTTGCTTCCATCTCTCGAAGTCGGCGGCCTTCTCTTCGGCGGCACCCTTTTCGGTCTCATCCGATGGCTCGGGATTCGGTTTGCTGTCTTGGATTGGCTGCAATGGAATGGTACCATCAAACATACCAATCTCCAACCCGGGTACCATCAGGGCAACTACTTTGCGCATATGTCCAGAGTGCTTAACGGAGATCCACTGTGGTGCGACGCCATCCGCAAAGCAGTAGAGGAGCAATCCTTGTAGGTCGGCGATCCGGATAGACGACTGAAGCTTCCCTTCAACGTAAGTCAAATCAGGGTACTTCGTCTTCTCGCCGTCCACACGCTTCTTTTTAGACTTGCGATGATGCGCATCGCGATTCTCGTTGTCGTTCACATCGGCACTGGGAGCTGGCGGTGAGGTGGAGGAATTGGCCTGCGACGGATTCAAGGATACACCAGGGTCATTATTTGCGGTATCCACGACAGAACCATCGTCTTCTTCGCGCTTGCGCTTGTTTTCTCCCGTCATGATCGAGGGTGCAGGATGTAAAGTCCAAGCTCCGCCGCAAGTCAAATTGAGCAGCTCATCACGTGCCGATAAAGGTCGATAAGCTCGGGCTGTAAAATACGGACGCATCGTGTAAATTACCCGTTCCGGTTCAACGATCTGATAACGACGATCGCCGGTTAAAATTCGCCTCGTCACGCAATCAATCTTCGTCCTCTATAGAACCTGCTTACAACACCCTTGCTGATTCACCAGGGGCCTGATTCGTCCATCGCATATCTATTCAGCATAATCCGTCATTCAATTGCCTATCCTTAGCCATTTGCTCTCCTCTGGGACTCTAATCCCACCTCCCGCACCTTCTCCGATATCCATCTCCCATATACCCCCTCATCCACCATGTCGGCACTCACCGAAGTCCTCACCGAGGAGGACTTTGCGGCACACCTCAGCTCGCTCTCGCCATCTGCGCTGGTTGTTCTCTACTTCCACACGCCATGGGCTGCACCCTGCGCCCAGATGAGCACTGTCCTTTCCGCCCTCGCCTCGCAGTACCCCGCTACAACCCCACCTACCATCTCTTTTATCAGCATCAATGCCGAAGAGCTGGCCGATATCTCAGAGGAGTATGATGTCTCTGCTGTTCCCTTTGTCGTCTGTCTGCGCAGTGGCCAGATCCTAGAGTCCATCAGCGGTAGCGACGCCATCAAGGTTCGCGACGCTATCGAGCGCCACGCTGGTCGCGGAAACGGCGCCGCTCCTACGGACGGTGCCCACCGAGCCCATATTCCCCCTCCCCTTTCTGCCACCCCTCGCGAAGATGGTCCGGTGATGGCCACTCAGTCGCCTTACGCATCGGTGGACGCCGCTGGCCCTGCGGCTAACGCCACTCCCGTTGCCGCCGCACCTACCCTCACCCCCGAGCAGTCCAAGGAAGCACTTTTCGCTCGTCTTAGTGAGTTGGTTAAGGCTGCACCGGTTATGCTGTTTATGAAGGGAACCCCTAGCTCGCCGCAGTGCGGCTTCAGCAGACAGTTGGTGGGTATCCTCCGAGAGCGGAGCGTCAAGTACGGATTCTTCAATATTCTTGCGGACGAGGACGTGCGACAGGGTCTGAAGGAGTTCGCCGAGTGGCCCACCTTCCCACAGTTGTGGGTCGGTGGGGAGCTGGTTGGTGGTTTGGATATTGTAAGCGAAACCCTCTTTCTTTGTCACAGTGGCAATCGCTAATCGTTCGATACAGGTGCGCGAGGAAATCAACAATGACGAGAACTTCTTCGCGAACTACTCTGTCAACAAATAGGTGATTAGTTCTGGTACGATACCCATGAAAAGCGTGGAGAGCTACACCTTAATGGGCCACCATGATGATATACGTTTTCTTTGGTATGAAAAAGATATTTCAAAATGCGACGTCGATATAATCAATTTATGTCGAAATCCAGAATCAACGCTTGTAGTTATAATCCCCGCGTGGTGATAACCCCCTTACAGAAATCGACCTTTCTTTCCCAGCCAACTAGCCATATAGTCATAAGCAGTTACCATGGTATGGCCGAATTACCCAGGATACTTCTCACACTCCAAACAAGTTGCAATCATATGCGTGGCGCCGTCAACAAATGCAATGTCGGTGTCATTACTAGCAGCATTCAGGTGAATCTTTTCCGCATTCAGATACTCCCAGTGACCAGTCATTCCCATATTGAGTAAAGGGACGACAACACCCTTGATAGACTCAGATGGAGAGAACTGGTTGGAGGCAAAGTCAATCCCCTTGAATCCATCGGCCATAATTTCAAAATCATCGCCTGCACGAATAGCAAAGGTGCCCAAAAATCGACGAATCGTGGTCTTGAGGGCACCCTGCATGTATGAAGTTGCATAGCTTTCAAAGTTCACAGGGACTCGGACAGTGTGCACAATTTGGTTGGTGATCTTTCCGTCCTTGTGAAGTAGCTTCCATGGGTACGTAGTGTGGGCGATATAGTTCAAGTCCTGGGGAAAGAACTTGTTGTTCATCGTTCCGTATGCGGCATTGGTGATATAAAAAGGCTCATCATCGGTCAAGCCAGTCTTTCCGGACTCAATTTTGGCAAGTCGGTCCTGTGCATAACTGATGATGTCGTTGTTCCGCTTCACCACCGCGGCTTGGTATCTCTTCTTGAAATCAGCGGTGAAGTTGGACGAAGCACCATTGACGAACCCATTAGCAGGATTGAATAGGTTCAAAGTTTGGTTCACTGTCGTGCCATGGGGACCAGTTAGAGCAGGGTTCAAGCTCAAAGAGGGCATACTCCCGAGTCCATAGTTGGCATCAATGAGCATGATACCATCAGCAGGAAGAAGACCAGCAACAGAGTCGGTACAATTATGGATCTTCTCTGGGCCCTGGCATGCACTGACGCCATTTTCAGCAACGTCCTGATAACCAGCCATCATGGCACCACCGCCGCTGTGACCGAACAACACAACCTTGTCAATTCCAGTTAAGTTGCGCAGGTACCGCATCCCCTGATCAACCTGGGTGAGTTCATCTTCGAAATAGATGGTCGACATCACGCCTGTCTTGTCGGCAGCATTATTTGCACATAGTGTGGTTAAGCCGCGCTGGGGCAGCTCTGTGCAAGCGGAGATCGACAGGTAGTCGCTTTCGGCGTGCATCACATATACTGCAATACTCGACCTTGCGCTATTTACTGATGGGCGATAAAGCCCACCAACAACGCCATCGTCGTCAAAGTCGATCATGGTAGGACCAGGGACCACGGCAGCACTGCTTGAGGTGGGTGCAGAGTAGGCTGGCTGGCTAAGCGCACACAATGCTACTAGAGCGGGTGGAGCTCTGCTTTTGAAAAGACGCATGGTGAAATTGAGGAGGGAGGATAAGGTTGAACTCGATGATTGATCTGATGTAACAATACTCGTAGCACCTGGACAAATTTCATTGCAGGCTTTATAGCTATCCCTTCGCGCGATGCCATCACGTTATCCCCGAGGTTGGCTCAGCAATGTGGAGTCAAATGGCTGACGCGTGTGGTGAAACCGGATCGCGAGGGTTATTTGGGGAATTGATCGTTGCTAGTGAACGGCTACCTAAATGAATGCCTCCTATGATGACTATGTCAAGTTTTAAAATAACTTATCTCACAATACGCAGGACCACGGCGAGGTGCTGTCCACTTGACCACCTGGTGTGATTTCATGCGCACCTACAGGGTCCAACAGTTACGAATCTTGGAACTGAAGATCGATGATCATCCATAATTGATAGATGCACGGATGATCGTTCCGTATGCCCACCGGGGATGGCTAGCCCATTCGCACTCCCCCTTGCATCAGACTCCAGTTTCGTTCTTGAACAACACACTAATCCCAAGAAAGAAGGCAAGTCCGTACTGACTAAATTGAGTAGATTTGCAATCTACTACTTATGAATCACGGAAAGGAGACTTTCCCTCGTTTAAGCTTTTTTACTAGCAACTTTCTCCTAAGCAAACCGCACCGAATGGTTCGATGAGATATCATAATGCTCATAACAATATACTCCAATTTAAGTCCCAGTTGAGATACATTGAGTCTAGATTATGAGCTACTATAGTATCAACTAATATCCTTAACCTAGCACGTCATACTTTTCCGATCCATATTGAATGTTGTGGGGTAATGTCTTCTTCCACCAGTTGGAACCAATCGATTAGTCACAAGGCTTGTATGACCTAAAGCCGCTGGTGGAGACCACCAGCATAACCTGTCAAATCATTCGCGTGCTGTATTGCTCTTCAGCATTAAGACTAAATGTGTCTAGAAACGTGATGGAGAGTTCACATTGATCCTGGGCCTCGGTGCATGTTGTACGCCTGCCTGGTAGACAAAATATAAAGGCCAGTGCACAGGTACACTCTCGAAAACATTACCCTTGAAAACTCTGTATGAAGATCTTGAGGTTCCAGTCATGCATACATCTCGCATTTGTGAAGAATCTGAAAAATGATTTTTAAAGAGGATTTTTGGACTCGGTCGTAATTGCCCCCTTTGCCAGCCACCTTCACAAGCATACCATGATTGTTCTTGACTGATTGATTCGACCAACTTGAACGTGCAGTAACTCCATCACACTTCACATCTCCTGCTTTCTGAGCCAGGATCCTTGGAAACAAATCTACGGGCTGTCAAGTGACATCTCTCATTTTTGTCAAGAAAAAGTGGAACACATACAACCGGTCTCCACTTTATTCCCGAGGCCCACGCCGGTCGTTGTGCCGCAATAAGGTTAATGATTTTCAGAGTTGCTTCCTGTAGATAGTTGAAGGACTTTGTAAAGCCGAGAAGGGGAACATTGCTTTCTTCGATTAACACGCTGGTCCCCGCAGGTTTCCTTCATACTTAGTCAAATGCATGTGTTTTGGGGCAGTGAGTTGTTGTACAAGGTGCCTGGTGAGACTTCTGCCAACCCTCTTGGCTATGAATTCACAAGTAAATATCTATACGCGTTTCCATTATTCTTAGATACTTCTACTAAATGGCTGGAATAGGATCTTCACTCTCTTAGTATTACCTCTGGCGTCCTCTCGTTCACTAGGTACTTTGTGCGACTTTGGAGTATAATTCCTATTTACAAAATAGATACATCGTGCAGACACTGATATTATGTGTACAAAGCTTACCCTACACTTGTTGAAAAATAAATGAACGGACGTGGCCGAAAACCACATATGTAATGAAATGATTACCATTCGGGCAGGGTAGACGTGCACTTGTGAAGGAACTTGATGCGACGCTCATCCATCGAAATGGGACCCATACCCCAAGAGTTGCCCAGCCACATAGTCTCGTGGGACGCCTTGGTCGATGGCTTGAACTTAGCTTGGCTGTTTCCGTTGGGGTTTCCACTGCGAATGAAGTTGGCCCAGTAGTTTGTCATCTTCTCCTCAACGACAAGGTCATACTCGGTCCAGGTCACATTGGAGTAGTCGGCGTAGGGAATGTTGTTAAAAGTATACCAAATCTCGGAGCCATGGTAAGTACCTTCGTTGCGGTTCTCAGCGGGCGCATGGTCGAAGTAGTAAGTGTATACGTTACTCTTAGCACCACCAGCAGTCCAATCAACCGCCCAGCGCCATGTGCCGACGCGGCTGAGATCCCGGTAGAACTCCTTAGCACTCTCGGAAGCTTGGAAGGTGTTTTGACTCCGAGACGTCGACCACAGCGTGATCCACCGACCTGGCCGTGTTTATGTACTCGTTGTCAACCTCATTCGCGATCATGCGCACGGACCCGACGATGTTCATAATCCAGTTCCCCCCGTCTCGTTCACGCACTTGGTGCACCTCACGAGCAAGATCGTGTTCCTGGCCATGCCACGTCAACGAGTTCGCGGCCGGCCTCATCTACGACCCCGCGTACACGGAGATGCAGGCGATAACGGCTATGATCGTGATGGCGATCAGATGCGGGGGTGTCGAGCACGCTCATCAGGGGGAACTCCATCAACACCGCGGCCGCGAAGGAGAACTTCGTCAGGTTCCTGCAGCCAATCGAGCCCCTGAGCATGACGCCGGAGAACTCTGCGGTCGTGAATAAAGAGATCAAGGGGAGGTGGGCCGGGTGGATGATTTCGCAGCAGTTGGAGTTCACGGTTGAGGGCAACCCCGTCTGCATGAACGTTAACATGTCCGGGTCCAGCCTCCTGTTCGCGGTCCACTACGAGGGCATGAACGTGATCCATGATCATGACGCCCGACTCCATCAACGCGCTCTCGTCCTACTCCAAGGGCGTGTGCATGAAGATGAAAATGACCTTGTCCTTGATCTGCTACTCGTCCACGAAGCTGAAGATCCAGGTGCCCGTGCACACGTCCAGAGCCTCGGCCCTGACCTTGTACGGCAACGGCTCCATGCAGATCTGCGGCTCCCCGAACGACATCGAGGCTCTCTGCGCGTGCACGAACGAGATCATCAAGACGGTCGTGAACACGGAGCCGGTCGCATTTTTGAAGACGATGAGGAGGGCGGACGTCCACGAGCTCTAGGGCACGGGATCGAAGCTGGTCGAAAACTAGTCGCTGACGCCGGTCATGACCGTCTTGCCGTACTCGTTTGTCGTCATGAGCCTGTTCGTCAACTCGGTCGTGATGATGAGGACGTGCTTGTAGGGCCATTTCGGTCTGCTGGAGTTCTGGGTGATGACCTTGATCTGCATTGGAGAAAAAAGGCGCGGGATATTCCGGTACATGCTCTCTACGAAACCTACACGGAGGACGTATCACTTTTCCTGAATTTCCTCACATTCTTCTTGCCAATGGCGTCTGCGGATAACGCCTTCCGAGATTACGCCTCAGTAGGAGACATCTTAGATCGGGCCGACGCTTACACCAAGGCCATTCCCTCGGGGAACAAGATATTGGAAGTGATTCATTTTACAGAGAGCGTCCATGAGATACCAGTCTTCCGGCAATACAGAGAGCTTCACGTGGAGAAATACACAGACAAGGCTCGAGGGGCAGACGCATTTGGAAAGGCGCTTGTTGAGCTGGGTCACCGCAGTGGCTACACACGAAATATCACGATTCGTTCCTGCCGCAGATGGGCACTTATGGAAGCAGGTAGATAACACGCCGAAGCATTGGGAGATTAAGACTGCTTTGCTAACAATAATACAGATAAAGGGCATTCAAAGTCTGCAAGGATGAGATTCGCGGGGCAGACTAACAGAGATACTTACGGAAGGTTCTATGCCCATCCGGTTAGCGGAATAGACGGACCAGCAAACTACCTTGGGGTTACCAGCCGAAGCGAGCATATTCAAAACCGCCGCGGAATGGGAATATACCAGGATTCGCACCTTCTCCAGTCTCTTCCCGCTAAGGCAGAATTTGAGTTCCAGGATCGAAGTGATGTTCGGGCCCTTGATGAAGAATTGCGCTCTCTAAGCGCACAACCATTGTCTCCGACAACACCTGTGCAGAAACACGAGATTCAGATCAAGCAAAAGCTCGTATATAGCAAGAAGCGATGGCTTTATAAAGAGGAGCTCAACAGGATCCGAGGGACACAATCCAACAAGCTAAAGACCCCCAACGAGAACCAAGCCACAGTCCATAATGAAACCCTTTTCTACTATAGGCGAAGGGTTATGCCACAGAGAGACCTTTTAGCTAATATTTTCCCTCGCGAGATTTCACTACGACACCAGGATGGGAGGAGAGCAATAGAGGCATTGGAATCTCTGTGCAAAGATAAATGCCCTGTTGCTTATCGAGCCAGTATCCGGCCCCGATGTGGAAAATGCCCCTGTGGAAAGCCGATTGATGGATGAGTATTGAATCTAAACTAACTACATTGCATCGCTAAGTACTTCAGGTTTAGACCACATAGAAAGTGATTACACCTCTATCGATGCTACAAAGCCGTCAACATTAGCGGAGGTCGTTTTGCAGAGATGTGCTTCGAATGCGACCGTTGGTTTACAACGTCATGGGAATGGGAGAATCATTGCCAGGAGCATCTTAAAAGTCCGGAAGGGCTACTTCGATGCGACCCTTTGATATTCCGCAATGCCCCGACTAAAGCAGGGTTTTGTCCTTTCTGCTTGGGTAACAAGAAACTTCTTCCATCAAAGCGGATGAGCCAGTTTGTCACTAGTCCCCCGATTTGGCACGCCCACATTGAAGCCCATTTGAAAGACCTTGGAGAGGATTTCAGTTGCAAGCATCCTGCTTGCACATTGAAGTTCGAAAATCTAGAGGCGCTGACCTACCACCTTATGCACACACACTGCTGGCGGCCTCGGCGTGAATACCCTAAAAAGAGGAAGTTGCAGTTGGAGGATACACTTTAGTTGATTTTTAACGACTTATGAGGTCGCATACAGTCGCACAACATCTTGTGTCCTAGCTATCATGAGCAGAATCATGAATCATATTGAGCTCAATTCGACCAGTGAAGATGGATCTTAGCCTGCCTTCATACGTTAGGTGGCCTGCATATATCCCAGGACTTTGAGTCGGTCCTACGGCGATTCAGCTTAAGACACATGGAAGAAGGAGATACTTTAGTCCGTAACTTTCGTAGCTAGGGTCCTTGCCAATCCCAATAGCGGGAAGGGCAATCAAAACTATTCCGCTCTGAGCTTTAAGAGTCCTAATATCATCATCACGTGACATACAGACTGGATTAGGTTACGCCAGGAGAGTTTGACACTTGGAAAGTGTCATCTATGGCGCTCTATGCCCATCATGTCTCTTTGAAGCATTTTATTTGCAGTTAAGTTGAAATAAACATGTCCCATATCACAAAGAGATTGCTAAACATGTACATACTGTTCAATATCTTTGGAATGACATCCTGGCTATGCCCAGCTTACTGATGCAAGTATTCACCCTGACCAGATGCGGTCGATTCCACTTATGCTATACTAGCTCTACCGCAACGGTATTCCTGACCAGCAAGGTTCAAGGAGAGGCGGAGGGAATTGATAGGCTATGCGTTTACTCAATACCTCCTTTTCTTTTCCAGCCTAGATTCGTCTTTTGCCTGGACCAATCGGCCACTCTTTACCATGACTGGACTTTTGCTCAAGACTTCACAAAGTTCACCTGGCGGAATTGACGCGCAGATAGCCACCACTACCCTCCGTACCAGGCGTGATGATGAATTGACTAGTCACCACACCTACGTAACTCGGGAGAACCTGCGTGACTCGCCTCACGGGCCAGAGCCTGTGATACTGATGACCTGGGTAGTAGCCAGCTACTTCGCCCTTGGCCTGAACAAACAACGGATTCAGGTGTGGTGCTGGATTGGCTAGCCACCACATCTACATGACTCGTTTCTACGGGCCAGAGCCTGTAATCCCTGTGGCCAGGGTAGCAGCCAGCTACGTCGCCCTTGGCCTGGACCAACAACGAAGCCAGGTGTGATGCTGGATTGGCTAACCACCACACCTGGGTGGCTTGAAATGGCAGGAGAAGCCCAGTTCCACACATCTAGGTGCGTCCATTCTTTCTAATTCAAGTCCTAGACGTCGTGCCCTGGTGCCGTCCATGATCGAGCTGCGTTGGAAGACCATGGAGACTCACAGTCTCGCCCATTTTACCGAATTGAACTCCAAACCACTCTAATTATACCTACAAGTCCCCTAACTAGAATAAATCCGGGCGGAGGCGTTACCTTAAAGGCCGCTTGAATCCCCTCTTCCAATCTTTCAAACCCCTCCCATTTCGTCCCCTATCCCCACTTCTATTATCAAAGGTTCTTTCCCTTGTTAACTGTCTCAGCAATAGAACCCACACAAAGGGAGAGAACTGATATGACGTCTCTTACTCAGGAATTATACTTAGCCCTAATAGAGGGTCCACTCGGCAGAATTTCTCCGAAAGCTCTTCTCAGGCTTGATTTCAGAATAAGGGGTGTAAGGGAATCTAGGAAAGCCGCGGGGGATTGGAGACGGATCTCTAATCAGAACCCAAAAGATCTGTTAGGTGATCGAGCTGAGAAATTATGTGGGTACATATTCGCTCGCTTATTATGAAGCTTATACTAAAGCTACCTTAGGGGACATTATAACGGCCATATCGCGTGAGCTCTACGTACGATCCAGGAAGCTCTTAAGAAGGCGTCGCAATTTAAGTAGCTATTCTCCGCTTAAAACTGAGGATCCGAAGGCGTATAACTACAAGAAAAGGGTTGATAAGCTTTTTGAGTATATCATTAAGCCTCATATGGGCTTCATTCCCAGACTCGAGGCAAAATTCAAGATCAGCATCAACGTCTTCCGGAACATTAAAGTGTTTTTGGTTCCCGCTTTGCCAATAGCGGGCTTTGCCAATAGCAACCCAGCTCGGGATGCCAGATTCATACTATATCTAGCTGGCTATCTAGTAAGCTCGTACTGTCTCTTCCGTTGTTCTCGACTAATACCACATCATAGATACGTAGAGAGCGAACACACCTAGCATTGCTTTGGAGGAAGCTCGCTGGAAAGCTTCTAGTTACAGAAATCAAACACATAATTAGGAGACTCTTTGTGATGGTATAGAGCATGTCTCTACCGAGTGAATTCACACTAGGACTAGTGATCCTAGGGAAAGGCGGTGGTGGGCAGAAGTCATTGATATGTGCTTTACATGAGAGAGACTGGCATAGCATAGGAAGGCTACCAGGCTTACCATATCTAGATGAGACTCAAAAAAGCTCATGGGTGGCTAGCAACGTCATTAATTGGGGAATGGGCGGCGGAAATTAGATACGGGAGTAGGCGATAGTCCAGAAAAGAGGAAGAGGACGCTAAACCTTTTATGCTCGAGGCTGTCCCCGGGGCATATTTATCCCAGGGGCCAAGGAGCCCAGAAGCATGCTCAAGGGCTTTCATTGGCTTAGGTGAAGCCGCTTGAGTATGGCTACTTATGCACTACGAACACACTAGAGTCCAATCATCTTCCGGAGATGACTCCGTCACTGTTGGTCCTTGGGAATATAAGGGGCCTCCCTTTCCCCAGCTGGAGGCGTTCCGTGATTTCCTTTTCTTCCCATCCAGCCAGATTATGTCGGCTTTCCTCCTCCAAGTGGCGACTAGTGGCACAACGGCCAGTCATTCCGATGCAATCATTATAGCCGATGATGAGAGATTACCAATACCCGAGCCAGGCACCTCGCGACCTCAAAAGGCCCCTCGGCGCGATTACAGTTACCCTGATTTTAAGAGTATGGACTTTAGTGATGATGGGGCTGACACAGAACCATCACGCAAACGCAAAAGAACTGAAACGGGGGAGTCCTCTACTCTGACACGAGCTCCTCACGAGGCCTTGTTCTTCTACGGCTAATGAAAGACTAGGATCGTGCTTTTAAGAAGCTCCGAAAAGCACTTGACCATGATATTCAACAGCTACGACAAACCAACATAATACTTCGAGAGGATGTTCGTTTGGAGAGGAACAGGCACAAAAGGACACAAAAGGAGCTATCACAGCTAAGAAAACTGGACTGCAAGATCTACTATATGCAGCCAGACCGTTGGGTGGCTTTGCTATGTGGGCACATGGTCTGCAAGTTGTGCGCAGAAAGTCTTGCGACTCCAAGGAGATGCCCTCTTTGTAGGGCAACTTGCACTGGATACGTCGAATGCTACCCATTTGCAGGATAATATATGTCCGCGATGTTGCTGATCTAGTTTGAGGATATAAGTCCAAGCACTAGAGCTGCACCTGACACTCTTAGCCTCTGCTATTCTGTATGAGATTGTTGTGATCCTCTCGAATACTTCTTCGAGTATTGAACTAAAATTCAATTTGAGGTACTCTATCCATTGTAATATATTGGACACGATGTTATACTCATGAACTAGTATCTCTTGGGAAGCTAGGTCCCGTAGCCAATGTCCGTGTTTCGAGTGAGAGCGGAAGGTTACCATTGCTATTCAAAATTCCATCCCCCCGGGCCACGGATTCGCTTTTTCCCCAATATGCAATCATTGCACTAATATCCTGTGGATACAAACTGGTACTTGGTCTGCCGCTTCCAGTATAGCATTCAACGTTATGAAGGCCCGTTGCGCGGATAGATTCTACCGTTAGTTCAAAGAAAGTCCGTCAGAAATTTTTTGTCATGGGTGGTCAGGATACATGCCTTTTATGGACCAGAGACACCCACTATCGAGTTCGAGTGGTAATACAGGGGTAGATAAAGGTCGTGCAAGCTTTCTGCCTATGATTATCAGAAAGATCGGCTTGCTCTGAACGCATCAGTGGCTTATCCCCCGAAGCGAGGGGCAGGCCCGCCGGCGCGAAATGGACATACTTTCTACTATTGTGTTTTGGTTTCTTTTCCATTGTGCGTGCCGCAGCAACATACTTCACCTCCCTCAATCGCCACTCTACCACCGTTCTTGTGTGTCCAGCCAGTAGGAGCTATCCATCAGGGCTTGCTTATGAACTCCGCCGGAACAGTGCTGGCAACATGAAGACAGACAGAACGAACTAGTTCATCCGGCTGGGCGAGTTTGTCTGCCGTGGGTGTATTTGACGTTTCCGCTCATTTCCAGGGATGCGGGAACGAGGGAAGCTGTCAGATCAAGTTATATTGGTATGGTCTAGTGTGCATTCAGAACGAATGAGATCAAGCGGAATCAAAATAGGATAAATTGATTGATTGACTAAAGAGAGAAATCAGGGGAAACGCTGTTGAAGTAGTCCCCATGACTGATGTATGGGTATGGTAGCCCGTACTAGCGATACTCGGTGGTTACAATGACCGAGTTCATGAGTAATTTAGAATAACATACAAAAACATAAGAAATGTGGTTTTCGGTGTATTCCATCACTTTCTAGTGGTAAGTTACCCCTCTGCGCGCTGACAGAAGCTTTTCGCGAAGCCACTAGCGTAGCTATTTCTCGATTGTGGCTGAATAAACATTGCCAGCTTAACACGCTAATCTAAACTTGGTTGCTTCCTAGATAACCTTTGCTCACCCCCAGGGAAACAGTTCAAGGCCATTCCATAGGCTAAAGTAGGGTTGCTAGTGGAATAGGGCTCTTCATGTGCATATCACTATTCCGATGATATTCAACAGTCTGGAAATTGAACAGCCAAGCAAGAACAAAGCTGCCACAGCAATATTCGGAATATTTTACCCAGGACACTCTTTAAATCGTTTCCTAGAACTAACCTGAACAAGTTGGATCTGAAGTCATGAACTTGTAAAGCTAGAGAGGCTATCCTGTATCCCACTCTCTCCTCCGAGCTATTTTAGTTGCAAAAAGAATGTCGGGAATGTGAATCCACCAGTTCGGAAGAATGGTAGGAAATAAACCTTTACCAAAGGAGCTTCTTGACTATGCTTTCTTTAAAGTACTCCCGAGGCCCGTTCCTAATTCTACCATGATTCGCATCCAAACGCTTTTTGATAATTGTCCTTGGACCCAATAACCACCCCGCTCGCCGGGTCCTTGCCAGATAACTAACAGATCATCCACTATAAGTCCTAAGTATCTAAGAGGCTGACAAAAGCGTACACAGCCGTGTATTAGCGTGGGTTGATGCTCTTTCACCCGAAGATCCCAGAGGGGCTGTTTAGCCCAGGACGTTATCATAATCTGGGGACTTTTGGAGCCAAAACGGCGCGGGACAAGTGGTCGATTCCCCGCGCCAATATGCTGGTCGATAATACTTTTTAGGCAGGCCGGACTTCTGGCAGCGATAATATTTCGGCGAATATGGGCTGCCCACCTCACCACTCCCAGCAGGGACGTGTCATGTTGTGATTCTGAATCTTCGTCACCATCAATCAGTGGCTGCACAGGAACAACTATCCAAGGATTCCCAAATGTTGCCTTGGATTGAAGTTGCGGCTGAATGTTCATGATGAAGCCGAAGGTTTGAGAGTGGCATGTTTGCTTTGCCGCTTGTTTGTAAATGAAGCCTAATACCAAGTCATGCGCTGTGACCTGGATACCCAGTTCTTTTGCCTTCTCAACCCATTTGTCAACATGTTCCTGAGAAATGTGCACGGTTCTCTCAACTCGTCGCGAGGAGGGGTGCAACAAATTCCGAAATTTCTGTCTGGCGGCATGGTCGAAGAAGTCAAGCCAGCTGGAGCTGAGCGTGCCAGCATGTAGTTGTGCTACTGCGTTATAGTTCACGGGAGTAGACAACCCAGGTACTTCCAAAAAAGGATCCTTTTTCAATTTGATCGGTGGTCGAAGATGGGATATCTGCATCGGTGGCACTCCATGGAGGATGGAGAAATACGCTTTCGTTATTCGTACCATGGCTGGAGATAATGGAAGCAAAATGATAGGGTCAGTAGGGATACCAAATACAACTATGCGCATTAGAGGGAGCATTGAGGGAATACCATCTGCGTCTCCGAATGGATGCTGGACCATAAAATGTAGGATACAACCGTCACGGAATATCATAGCTCGGATGCTAACCACACTTGGTCGTGATATCTTGATTCTGCGGAAGCCACGGTTGAGAAGTTGCCTCGCTCTAGAAATGTCGAGATACATCACAGTGTCGGTCTTGCATGGCGAGCTGATGACCTCCCCAACACAGCAATCAAACTCTTCCCCTCGCCAGAAATGGGCCAAAGAGTTCCGCTCACGAGGTTGCAATAATTTGTTACGCTGACGTACATAGTATCAGTGTCTGTGAATGCAATGAGATAGGATAAATCTGGTATTACTTGGTAATTCAGTTTTCCATTTAATAATGGCCAATGTAAGAGGAGCGTAAGAGCCGCTGATTCAAGTTGCTGAAGGCTGGGTGTCTCCTTGTAAACCAGCGCCAAGCCGTGCTCCAGGAAACGAGGAAGCCCTGTATCTAGTACTGTAAGGTCGATATCCATGGTCGATGAATGATATCCTTTTTGTCTCAACTGATTTGCAGCGCACTTTATGAGCCCAGTAGAAATCCTATATTATGATTTGCGTCACACAATGTAATCGAGATTCCAAACCAATTCCAAAAGTTTGTTCCATTGAACTTACATTCCGATGCACAGACCAATCCTTTTACTCATGAGCATTCCGCCCTGGCTGGTTATTGATATGGAAGTACGGCTCCAGTCACGTGGGGCCCTCGGACTAACATCATTGGGTAAGTAAAGAGAATGCTCAAACCCCTTCGGTCCGAGCACAGTTACCCACGACTGATTCTACCTCGCATATGATGGATGTGCTTTAACAAACGTCATTTTAATCGTGCGCGGAATAGTTTTGGTCACGTATTCTTAGACAAGCCCAGGTTCAACACAATCAGATTCATATTGGTTGGAACAATGAATGGGGAAGTATGAAGTCACGTAGGATGCATTCCAGGAAAAGTGAACTTCAAATATGCAGAGGCAGGGTTCCGAAGAAGGCCAAAACAGCAAATGACAACATTGGTCGTCATGCATGTTAGATTCACATTCCACGCAAGAAGATGCCAGAATCAAGTTTCCATACAATCAAATATGCCTAGCACACCTGACCGGAGGCTCCAAGGCTCATTGTAACAGATTAAAGAGTTTTCGATAGGAAGAAGAGTCTGTTTACATCGTCCAGCATCCACACACAATGCGAAATTCACTGGATCCGCAGAGATGTATCTCCGGGGGATATCCAACACGAATGACAGATGCTAATACGTGCAATTTAGGGTTCTTTTGTGAGCTTACATTGTCTACGTGAAGTCTCGTTGCTGATATTCTGAAGGTCCGAATAACACCATAGAAAACCCTCCCGAATACTGCCCGCCCACTCCCGAATGCTTGACTTCTCGACTGCAGCAATCTATGAACACATGCGAAAAAGCGCAGGGAGACTATGAGCCTACAGTTTGCACCCCGGGATACTATTGTCCCCACTACGGTCGGGTGCAGATTCGATGTCCCGAAAGGCACTGGTGTCCTTTGGGTACAGTTGAACCAATTCGATGCATGCCTTTGTCTATCTGCCCCCAGGGCAGCACCCGAGAGTTCCATATGCTTGGGTTTTTTTGTATTCTTCTGATCGACACTGTCCTCTTAGTTGGGTATGTCTTTTCCCGTCCATCGACACAGCGCGTCCATTTATTCTCGCGCCGCCCATTTGCATTGTTAGGAGACAGGGGACCCAACTGTTCACGTGAACTACAAGGAAAAAACCAAAATTCTGGACCAAAATGCCAACAAAACGGGAAGTCGGAGACAAGCGCTTCGGCATGGGAAGAAGCTGAAGCATCAATGAGAGGACTCAGCGCGGACGAACTTGGGATCTCGTTCGGCTTACGTCATATTGAGTTTCGGCCCGACCCCGAAAAGCCCTCTATTGTACACGGCATTTGGGCAAGCATCCCCAGGGGAGCATTCTTGGGCATAATGGGACCGTCTGGAGCTGGAAAATGTAAGCACATGGTTATTTGCCTTTAGCGTCAGGTGCTAAAAATAAATGAAAAGCAACGCTTTTGAAAATTTTGGCAGGCAAACTTCGCCAGACGTCTGGAGGCACAACTCTCAACGGCATCGAAAAGGACATCTCTATGTTCAAGCAGCTCATTGGATTCGTTCCACAGTCAGATGTTGCTCTTGTTGATCTTACTGTGCGTGAGAATGTGTTACTCTCAGCACGCCTTCAATTGGGCGGCATCAGAAGTGATACATTCATCAAAAGTCATGTGGATCATATTCTTTTGTGTATGGGACTTGACGGGATCCAGGACAGCATTATTGGTGAGCCCTGCTCTAAGAGAAGCATTTCGGGTGGTGAGCGGAGACGAGTCAGTATTGCCTTGCAATTGGTTGCGATGCCATTTGCATTGCTTCTTGATGAACCCACATCTGGGCTTGATGCGCATACTGCGCTATCAGTTATGGAGCTTCTGGCTTCTATATCCCAATTAGGTGTTACTGTTGTATGTGTCCTTCACCAGCCTCGATCCGAAATTCTCAATAAACTGGATTATCTGATGCTGTTGGGCCGACAAAACCCTGTTTATATGGGGAGAGCAGCTGAAGTCAAGATGTATTTTGAAGGACTCGGATACCAGATCCCAGAACATTCAAATCCAGCAGACGCTATTTTGGACATCTTGTCAGCTGGATTTGATCATCCATTCCGGGAAGACTACCGGCAAGACATGTCTGAGGCAGAATGCTCGCCAACAGGTTGTAGGGATTTGGAAACACTTTCTGAAATGGTGAAATCGCGCAAAGCGCCATGGCACCGGCAATGCTTCATTCACTTCATGCGTGGCATGAGACAACAAGCACGGCAGACCACTGTGGCGTTAACTGAAATCCTTGTTGGTGCGATTTCAGGCCTAGTGATGGGGCTCGCTGTGTATAACTTTGATGGCAACCTGTTCCATGGGATTTTCCGAGAACCTTTTGAACCCTTATCCAGTGCGGTGAACTATAATCTTGTCCCACAACTGGCTCTTCTCTCAACGTTGGCGATCAGTAAGAGTGCCTGCTACCCTATTCCCCTTGACCTCTTTCTTTCTGATTATGATCTTAGGCCTAGCAGCTGCCCCAGCCGGTGTCGAGACCTTCGGAGCAGAAAGTAAGCGCTGATACTAAATGAGGAGTTCCTGGCCTGAAGCTTGCAGACTTATCTATTACTAGAGGATAATTTTTATCGTCAAGTCGACGCAGGTCACTCACCCAGCGCCTACTTCGTGGGCAGAGACCTATCGACCTTACCGCGCATCGCTCTGTCCGCTCTTCACTTTACAACATTCTATATCGTCCTCGCAACACCTATTGTCTCGTTTGGACAGCTCCTTCTAACCAACTTATTATACTTTTTCTGTGGGTGCACACCGGTAGCCGGTACTGTTATCTGCATTACTGCCCGAAAGCTAAACACCCCACACTATTAGGCATATACGGGCTCGCTTCTGCCGTCTCCTCCTTAGTTAGGCGCGAGAGTGCTTTACTGCTGGCTCTGCTCATATCCTTGATAGTAGGGATATGCAACGGCTATGGCCCGCCTCTTTCTCGCGTCAAGTCATGGCACATGGAATGGTTCTGGTACCTTTGCCCTGGGGTAAGTAAGGGGAATCACCGCTTGACCGCCGGAAATAGAACTTAACACGTTTTAGACTTGGTTTGCCGAGGCTTATTTTACGGAGCATGTTTCCCGGCTTTCTTATTTATACGATATCCAAACTGCTGCGGCTTGGAATGGCTATGTTGTTGGAAGGACAGGGTTTGACCTAGGGTAAGTGATAAGCTTCAATTCAATTCTCTTGCTCGCTTTTTTACAAGGAAAACTAGATTGCTCGTCCTAATCGGAACCTTGTACCGAGTAATTGCTTACGTCAGTCTGACTCTACCAACTACAATTTATTTCACGCCGTTGCGGGCCATTTTGAGAAGGCTTTGTCTGCCGTGTCGGGGTGAACATCACTAGAATTATGTACTTTAGCGATTTCCCACCCTACTACTTGTTTTGCAGATATTCTCAATGACAAATCTAGTTCAAAATATTAGTGCCTCATCAGGAAGTGGCCCTTCAATAGCTGTCGTCTCGACAGGCATCAACTTTATAACCACTCAATCTCCACTTACTATTACTAGTCTGTACGCCTTTCCGTATAAGCTACATACTTCTAATCGAAAGAGAACAGTACGACCCAGCAAACCTCCTACCTATGCTAGCGCTTCTTAGCAACCAAAACATACAAACAAATTGAAGAATGAAAACGTTTGAACTTATTTCGTCATCGTGTACACCGATATTGGCTCAAAAGTATATATAATCGTACGGTCGTACATTTCGTTTCGGCTCGGGTCAGAGTAGAATGAAGCTATTATCCTACCTATTTTGTGTAAAACCAGAAGTGTAGATTTGTAACAATCAAGACTCATCAACAAAGCCATTGGCTTTAGAATCGGTCGGAAATGCTCCAAATTTGTTGCTATATTCAAACTCGATATTTGAACGTTGCGATAAAGAATTGCTGCCATCAACTGTGCCAGGGCGGCACAACAGTTTGATCAAACAGGGCGGCCAGTTTTTTTTCTTCGCGATGCACAAGGCCATTTGGCGGATCTGGTACCTTCTATGGACAAATTCATATGGTTTGAAGTCGTCCATGAATAGCTTGAGATGAAGCTTTTCATGCTGACTGAGGTTGCTCAAAAGCTGCGTTGTCCGACCCTCTTGAAAGTCAAAAGAGGTACCTAGGATAACGTAAAGCTGGCCCAGTGGATGAATCTTCGGTGAATGCCAATCGAGGGTGGACCAAACGGGTTTAACGTCCCATGGTAGGCGGCGCTCCCGCATGAGAGCGGGCCACCACTCACAGAAGCGTGATCGACCCGTTTTACCTCCCACCGCATGAACACATCCGAATGTGCCGCGGGAAAGATGAGAAAGCATCCTATCGGCCACGACATCTACCGGTACTTCATCGATAGTGACATCTTTGTCAGGATCGGAACTTCGACTAGCAAGCTTTATATGTCGTCCTATTTGGAGCACAATCCCAGTAGCCAAAGCTGTTGAAGGTGTTGAAGATGGAACCGAGAAGCCCGGATGTGGGTGGCTCATTGCTGGACACAAGACGGAAGGCCTGACAATCAACAGTTTCTTCCTTGCACCATTCCGCATAAAGACATCAGTAATGAGGCGCTCTGTCAAATGCTTGGCATATGCGTACGCCCAAGGAAAATCGTGATCCTCGAATTCGCGACTCGTTCCCGTTGTCCGCACAGATTCCCATTCGTTTGCCGTCTGGAGGCCGATTTTCTCCCACGTCACGGAATGATCGATATAGAATGGCTTGCTGTCTGGTTGAAGCGGGTATATACACTCATCGACAGGCACATCTGAGAGTAAAGTGGTCTTCCACAAGTGTGAATTGGCGTATGCCGTTGATACAAAGACAAAACTTTGCAAGTTGGCAAACTCAATTGCATTCTGTGCCAATGACAGGCTTGGCGCAATGATAGATGCCGATAGCTTGTGCAAAGAGCTACGCAAGTTGATTGATGCAGCAGCGTGTATAACGATCTGCACGGACTGACTGAGCTGCTGCCAAACAGTATTCGAGAATCCCATTTGATTAGCTGTGAGGTCACCGCTCAATATGGTGATGCATCGACTCTCGAGAAGCATACCCACTTGAGACGCAGGAAGTAATGCATTCCATTTGGCATGTGCGCCCCTGCACGCTAAGATCAATCACTATCTCCTCATTCGCAATTGGATGACTTACTCAGGACCCGAACGAGCAAGGATGAATATTCTTTTTGGTGTGGCCTGGCTAAGGATCCTGCATAGAATTGCCGTTCCTAGGAAGCCCGTGCCTCCAGTGAGAAAAATAGTCTTTCCATGATAATACTCCCACATCACGCTGATGAGATAAGTCAATTTACTTCTCGGCTCAGAATTGATAGGTCCAATGGAGCAGTAAAGAAATCACTGCTCTCCGAAATCAATATGTTCTGGGCTGAAGGTGGCACCCTCATAAATAAGAGTATCTGACGGGTAGATTGATTGCTTGGGGATCAATTATAATGGATCTTCATTTCATCATCCCTTTTTGGCTGACTGGTGACCCTCCTACTTTCTTGGAATTCAGCAATCCGGATTACGTCTGTTTTCAATATTCTGAATAACCAAAGGGCGCTGTGTGCGAGTTCCGACATGAAACCCTAGTAGTGCAGTTAGGATACCACCAACGTAAGCAAAAATAGCACTTAATATATTTCATCCCCACATTACTGCATCTTACAAGCAAGTTTTTTGTGGATGTGACGGCATAACTCGGTCAGTGGCACACTCTAAGATCATGTGAAGATCTCATATAGCATATCCGCCAAGTTCAAGAGGTCATTGTGCCTGCCGTGGTCGGGCATGGGCGCTAAGCGGCCGAGGGAGTGACATGCAAGCTAATCCGTCAAATATGTATTGCCCTGCGAGCACGCCGGGGTTTCGACAATATGGCAAACCCCATATTGTACCCATTTGACGAGCATCATGGAGAGATCAGAAACTGGGAGGGCAATTCGTAGGAGGGGCGTGGGAGAGATAGACGACACAGAGTGAAGACATGGTTGAAGCCAGCCGCGCATAGCCCGTCGGATTGCCAATGGGGCCTGGGTCTTTCATCGTTCATTCCTTATCCCTTGAAATGATGGGCCTGTTGCTTAGGTTCCCTATCAGCAGACATGTTCCTATGTCTACCTTGTTTGTGCTACTATGAAGTTGAATCGGAAAAATCCTCATCTTACTCCTGCTGTAGAGTGCCTTCTTGCTAATCTCACCCTATTAGCATGCCATCAAAATGCGTTCTGGTGGTCACATTTATCGAAGAACTACTGCGGCATTGCGTGACCAAAACGAAGACACTCAACCCTTTATTGAGGTTTTCCCAAGCCAGGGATTAGCACTACGTGAAATGATCATACTTTTTGGGAAACAACCGGCGACATAACACTCGGCGGCCAGAGTTTCGCACACGATATATAAGGCGATCGACTCTTAAGGCCCTCAGAATGAAGATGGAGCCACAACGCGCAGGAATGTTGGAAGGCCAAATGCAATCAGGACACATGTCTACTGAGGCAGGCGTAACAAAACGAAAGCAGAGCGTCACCGTAAAAAGAAAGTTCAGGAAAGGTAAGCGAAGCAATCATTCAAATGGAACTCGCATATACATAGCAGATGAAGCCCTAGAACCCTAAAAACACGATACACCATTCCCGACAAGGAAACGAGAAGGCGGGGCTGGGGGCGTGGGAGGCAAAATGAGCAACAAGACCGTCCATACCTAGTTAAGCACCAATTTCTTTTGCAGAACGTGCACAAACATCTGAATTTATTAGTTCCCTTTCTCTCACTACGTTCGTTTCAGGGCACACCGGGTGGTTTATGATACCACCAGTGTGAATGTTACAAGGCATCTATGTACGTAGAAGCCTGAAGGAGAGATAAGTTCCATGCAAACTTAAGATCCCCCGCCCATCTCCAGCCCGGGCCAGTCTGTTGTAGACATACTTGGTATATGAGCGGATCGGTTCTAAAGACTGTGTAGATGATTTTCGGACTTTATATAAATATTAGACTGTGTGTCGATGGGTCTATATATCAACCCAATCATCTATGTGAACCGGCTCATCGTCCCAACCAAGCGACTCCTTGATGAAGTCGACCACAGTCTTTACAGCGTAGTCGCCACAAGGCACATAGTGGGCGCCTTCAAAACAGAAAATTTTCCCATTCGCACAGGTCTCAGCCAGCGTGTTTGTCTCTGACTGGAATCCAGAAATCATAAATTCCCGTCAGGTGGAGGATCGGCGTCCAAATCTGACCCAGATACAATGATCAGAACTTTGGATGCGTTAGCTTAAATCCGCTAAAGCAAATCGCGAATTGCAACTGCGGATGCTGAGCCTGATCATAAACCAGTCAGTGTAATTCATACGCTCTTCACTCGCATGCAACGACCCCTCACCTCTAGTCCTTCGTCCTGGAAACCACACCCATCCTTTCTCTTCAGAAGTCCTGTCAGAATAGCTGCTAGACATGCCCCCGTCGAGAACCCCATGACCCCGATGAAGGGTCCTTCTGTACGCATAATTCCGAGCAAATTTCGAAGGCTCGGCTCTAGTCCAACCAGCTCATCGCCGACAGGATCACCGTATCCCCATATGCGGGATGAGCCTCGCGCGTTAATTGTCATAGAGCGTGAGGAGGGATTCGAAGTTAGAGTCATCGTCGGCACTGGCAACGACGAGGATTTTATCGCAAGTGCTGACCATATGAAAGATCCTCGAGGCCTTGTCGACTACAGCTTGAATGGGCGCCATAAAGAGGCTATTCCGTGGAAAATTACCGGGAACCTTGGTGGAGAACAGTACCAGGATCACAGTCGAGGACCCTTTAACGAAGGCGCATTCTATGCTGAGCGTCAAGGCTATCATCTTCCTGGTGCGCCTTTCAGTGAATGGAAGACCCAGTCACCATTCACCGAGATCACAGAGCCTGGTGTTGGTTTCTGGGCCACGTCGTTTGATCTTGATCTCCCAGTTGGCTATGATATCCCGCTCAGCGTACAGTTTACCAACAGTACCACAAAGGATTCATCAGTTGCCAGATTTCGGTCGGAACTGTTTGTGAACGGTTGGCAATTTGGAAAATACGGTATGTCCCCATCTATATCACTTTTTGGCGGCCCAGATGGAGCTAACCCATACCTTAGTGAACAATGTAGGCCCACAAACACGATTCCCAGTTCCAGAGGGGATTATCAACTATAATGGGCCCAATTATCTTACTCTAACAATCTGGTCAATGGACTCAAGGCCATTCCAGCTAACCAATCTGCAGCTACAGGCTGACGCGGTGATCCAGAGCGGATATAGCAAGCCTGATCTGGTTCAGAGACTTCATTATAACGAGAGATTGGATAGTTATTAGACGACCCGAGGCTTCTTGGGCCTGGCTAAAGAGTCTTCAATTTATTACTATTACACAAATATTATATATGCATTCGTATGCCGATTTCCAATTCCCCTTTCTGAGGATGCACCCAAATTGGTCAGGTTCTGGAGAATCGGACTTCACGAGTGTCTATACCTGAATAAGCCAAGATGACTTCTCATGCCATAGGAGAGCGACATTTGTTCATGGAACCCAGCGTGACTCTAATTTAGTAATTAGTCTATACAGTCTATATCTAAATGCCTGTATGAACATCGCCCTCGGGCGCCCGGGTCCATCTTCCACATTACCATCGAATCGAATCAAGCCTGAGCCACCGCCTGGTCCAACTCCTCTGGTTGGATGAGGTCATCAGCAGATTGTACCATGCAATCCGCAGCCTGCCACACGTCTGGCTGTTTCTTCGACATCACGTTGAAACAAGAGAGCACAGCATCTGTGTCCACATACGCCCCCGCTAGCCACCGCGAACCAGTCGAAGTGTTGAAATGGCGACGTGCATGAACAATGCGACGGTTATCAAAGATCACGCATTCGCCCGGATTCAATTTCAAATCGAAGCACATCTCCTCAGATTCTAGCATTTGAGTGAACACATCCAAGGCCTTCTTCAGAGGCTGGAATCTCAGCTCGCCCTCAATAGGCATAGCAGATTGGAAGGGAGGTGAGTAGTTGACGTGTCGGAGATGCTGGCTTGATTCAGCAAGCTCGAAGACAGGTCGCTCATTGTAGTAGATTTGATCCTCGTGAACATACTCGTAGCCCAACTTGCGTCGAGTAAGTTCTTTGAACTCTTCCGGGAAGAATTGCTTCATCTTGTACGCAGCACGAAAGGCATCAGCAAATAGTGACTCGCCACCGTCGCAGGAATTCTCCAGACAATGCAAGAGCTGGTAGCCGGGGGGCTCATTCATGTACATCAGGTCCATGTGGAAGCCCAAGAAATGGTTGGTGTAGGCCACATTCTTGGCCTCTGGAACCGTGCGCACATCCCAGGTCATCCCATAGAAACTATTGCGCAATGGGCCCATGCGCGTCGCAACCTTCGCGACCTCTTCGCGTGCATCAGGGATATCCTTGACGAATATAAGACCTGTGCGCTGTAAGTTTCGCATTGAAGCAGCAAAATTTGCATCATTGGTCATATAGTCTTCATATGAGACCCAGTGCTGATGTTTCTGCATTATCTTTGCATCCCAGGTCTTTGTTTTATTTGAAAATTCGTGAATATCGTGAGTGTTGAGCGTAGGCTTCCGGAGGTAGCTATGGTGCCATCGCGAAAGGTGATCGGGACCTGCACCTGGGATATCGTTGGCCCATTGGATCTCTAAATGTACCCCGTCCCACTTGATGTGACGAGGGCGAATATCGGTAGGTATGTCATTTGTGCGGAAGGATCGTTGCTTTGAATAGCGATCCACGCATTGGGGGCATTTGCAAAGATCACGAAGATAAGAATAGTCCAATGGCAGGGACAAGACACCGGGAGCTTCGATAGACAGTCCATGATCACTGCAAACTACTTTCGCTGGTTTCGCGGCTTCAATAGTGGCAAAAGATGGTCCAATGGAATTGTCAATTGCATGATTGTGAGAAACATCGGGCCGCTTCAACGGAACAGCTTTCACTGATTCTCCAATTGAATCTATCGTGAAAACGTGGGGTTTAGGCGTGTTCGCATTGACCTGAAGTCGGGCCGAAGTGACGAAGCCTTGAACAGGGCGCGGCAGGCGCGCGAGTCGAAGTAGTGGACGCATTGATACCGAGTTGAGATTGTGAGGGGAGGAAGGGCAGTGAAGTAATGGAGACATGGATCCCCGGACTTCGGCCGCACGGGCCTGCCGATGAGCCGAGGTCCATTGACCGAAACCTTGACGACCTTAACAACCTCGTCGAACCCTTAAAGCGAAGCCACCTACCATGTATTGCACATGATGGAGGAGCATTGCTTGTTCATTTCCTCTCACTTTCAATTGACAGTTGGTCTTTATTCCATAGGCCCTTGGCCCTTCAAGACTGATGCTTGCAGGGTCCATCCCACCTGCACATCCACGGTGATCCACCTACACACCCAACATGATTCCACATTCAACCCTTGTTTGGAGGATAGATCAAGTACGAATTGGCTTGAATCCAACTAATAGTACTGAATATAACATCCTACACTCCGTCACCTCCACAGCAAGATGAACAACTGACACCTCAGGCACCAAATTCCCACTTACGTAAAAAAACGCCAGATTCCCAGGATTCCAAGCAATTTGCCCCCGGAAATTCCATAACAAAATAATGACAACACACATCATGACTTCCCCAACCAACACATAACACCCCTCCCCTACCAAGAAATGTCGGCCGGAGGCGAACATCTTAAAGATGAGGGCACCAAGCGGCAAACAGTGCTGGCCGGCGGGATAGCAGGACTAATCTCACGGTTCTGCATTGCGCCGCTAGATGTCGTCAAGATCCGACTGCAATTACAAGTCCACTCGCTTTCGGATCCGGCAAGTCATCAATCGGTCCAGGGACCTATCTACAAAGGAACCTTATCGACTATGCGGGCTATCATGCGACAGGAAGGCATCACAGTATGTTTCTTACTCCGAGAGAAAGACAGCTCAACAACAAAGGGCAGATCCAATACTGACGATTCCCAGGGCCTTTGGAAAGGAAACATACCCGCAGAAATGATGTACGTCTGCTACGGCGCGCTCCAATTCACCGCATACCGAAGCACAACTCAAGTTCTCGCCGAATTACCCTACCGATTACCCCCGTCCGCCGAATCCTTTGTCGCAGGCGCCGCAGCCGGTGGAATGGCCACAGCTACAACCTACCCACTCGATCTCCTCCGCACACGCTTCGCCGCACAAGGCCCCGAGCAGATCTATAAATCCCTCCGCGCCTCGATAGTCGATATAGCACGACACGAAGGCGTAGCGGGATTCTTCCGCGGAAGCTCCGCGGCTATTGTCCAGATCGTTCCGTACATGGGTCTATTCTTCTCCGCATATGAAGGGTTCAGACCGATAATGGCCAACGTGGATCACATGCCGTTCGGAACGGGGGATGCGGCTGCGGGTATCTGTGCGAGTGTGCTTGCCAAAACGGGAGTTTTCCCCTTGGATCTTGTGAGGAAACGGCTGCAGGTTCAGGGTCCTACAAGGACGCGATATGTACATCGAAATATTCCCGAGTATACTGGGGTGTTTCGGTCTATTGGAATGATATTGCGTACGCAGGGCGTGCGCGGGCTCTATCGCGGGTTGACTGTTAGTTTGCTTAAGGCCGCGCCGGCTAGTGCGGTCACGATGTGGACGTATGAACGGGTCTTGCGCATCTTGCAGGAGATGGAGGTGGCGGCGCTGGCCTGATGTGCTGCTTGCATTGCATTGATTGGTCTGATTTGGCATTGAATGGCGTTGTCTGGGAATACATAGACTAAAGGGTAATATGCCCTTGTACTTTTATCTACAAATTAGGCTTGTGCCGATGCACACAGGCTCAATAAAAGGTTCATTGATTTTGATATCATTAAAGACCTATCGAGGCACGAAGAAAAGGAAAGTAACGCTGAAAGAGCTAGCTCGAACGGAAAGGGGGTGTCGAAAAAACAAACGCAAGGGCCGGGGAGGGATATATTCTGACGGATGAAAGAATCACGGCAATATGTGCGAGGGAAGTTTCGGTGCGAGAAACCACTCGATCAGTACTCGCCGTGCTCGTCAATCTCGTCCTCGAGGGTGTCGTCGGCGGCAACCTCCTCGTAGTCCTTCTCAAGGGCAGCAAGGTCCTCGCGAGCCTCGGAGAACTCACCCTCCTCCATACCCTCACCAACGTACCAGTGAACGAAGGCACGCTTGGAGTACATGAGATCGAACTTGTGGTCCAGACGGCTCCAGGCCTCGGCGATAGCGGTGGTGTTGGACAGCATGCTGACGCAGCGGTCGACGGGGGCAAGCTCGCTTTCGGGGACACGGACGGGCTTCTGGTAGTTGATACCCAGCTTGAATCCAGTGGGGCACCACTCGACCAAGTTGAAGGTCTCCTTGGCCTTCAGGGAAGCAACAGCGGCGTTACATTCGCGAGGCACAACATCACCGCGGTACAGAAGAGCAACGGCCATGTACTTGCCCTTACGGGGATCGCAGACCACCATCTGGTTGTGGGGCTCGACACCTAGTAAAGAATTAATATCACCAGTGCAGGCAGGGAAAGACGAGGAAGTACATACACTGAGCGGTCAGGTCCTGCACCTTGAAGCTCTCGTGGGAGCTGTTCTTCATGCCAATGACAGGAGCGTAAGAAATCAGAGGATAGTGGATACGCGGGTACGGCACCAAGTTGGTCTGGAACTCGTTCAAGTCGACATTGAGAGCACCCTCGAAGCGCAAGCTGGAGGTAATGGAGCTGACAACCTGGGCAATGAGACGGTTCAGGTGCTCATAGCCGGGACGGGGGATATCCAAGTGACGACGGCAGATGTCGTAGACAGCCTCGTTGTCAACGAGGAAAGTACAGTCGGCGTTCTCAATGGTGCTGTGGGTGGACAGGACGGCGTTGTAGGGCTCAACAACGGCAGTAGACACCTGGGGCGCAGGGTACACGGAGAACTCCAGCTTGGACTTCTTGCCATACTCGCTGGCAAGGCGCTCAAGCAGGAGAGCACCAAATCCGGAACCGGTACCACCACCGAAGGAGTGGAAGATGAGGAATCCCTGCAGAGAAGAGCAGTTGTCTAGGTCCAATTAGTTCAGGTCAACTGTGGGAACCAATCTCGATTTGCGTACCGATAACACGACGAATACGGTCCATCACATCATCAGCGTACTCCTTGCCGACGGTGTAGTGACCACGGGCATCTGGGACTGGTCAGTTCTATCGCTCCATATATTCTCCCATATCCAAACGTACAGTTGTTGGCAGCATCCTCCTTGCCACTGATCAGCTGCTCAGGGTGGAAAAGCTGGCGGTAGGTACCAGTGCGAATCTCATCAATGGGCTATCATGTACAAAGTATTAGGTATCCGGTTATATTCCTTCACTTCCGAACCAACCTACCGATGGGTCCAAATCAACGAAGATGGAACGGGGAACGTATTTGCCGCCGGGGGTTTCGGTGAAGAAAGTATCGTAGGAACCATTTGTGGTCTCGGAGTCGGCGAGTTCCTCCTTGAAATGTCCATCGGGGGTGAGGCCGTGCTCGAGGAGGTATCTGTACAATTGGTGAGAATGATGCCCGACGATCACTAAGAAGCGGTGAAGAAACGTACAGCTCCCAACAGGCGTTACCAAGCTGAATACCAGCCTGGCCAATGTGAAGGTGACAGATCTGATGGATTGACGCGTTAGTAAATAGTGCCGGAGGTCTAATGCCGGCAGTGTTTGTGCTGCCCGTGGAATTGGGTTGTTTTTTTCACGGTTCAGGAGAGGGGAACCCGTGGGGGGATGCCAGCGTAAACACATGTTCAACGCGGCTGAGGGAACATAAACATACCTCGCCTCGTGTCATATTGAATGAGGATTGTGAAAAGAGAAAGGAGAAGGGAGTAGAAGAATTGAGGGAGACTCTTCTTGGGGGTGAGGAGATGAAGAAAGTAGGGAATAGTGGGGCGCCAATCACCCGTGACTGTCCAAAAAGAAAACAATGGCGGTCACCACCGAACTGCAAATATTGGTTTTAAATTCGTCTATTTAATTTCTCTTCAATCTCAGAATTCATATCCAGGCATGACTATTATACTTGAATTTTGGAATTTCGCAATCATTCTCGCTTATTTAAGGTGTAGAACTGTGTGCCGTGGAATGCGGGGTGACAATCAATGTGACAATCGATGCAGGCACAAACTCTGCTTGTATAACTCACCCCTTGCGGGCACATGAGGATATCAAATATTGCCCTATATACCACCGACATATGAAGCATCGATCTTACTTTTCAGATTCGGAAAGCAGTCAGGAACAATCAACGGCAAAAGAAGACTCATGATAAGCCGAGACCCATAGTTCTTCCATAGAGAAGGGCCCGTGCCCGATTGCATGATCTAATACGCATATCCATAGATCGCGCAGGTGGCCGTCTAGATACCGAAACGTTCTTGAGAGAAAAGGCTCAGTAGGAAATGATTTGATTGCCAAAAAAAATACATGCAAGATGCGTAGACATGTATGTTAAATTATCGAACATAGCATATGCAAGGCCAACAAATATTCGTTGACTGACCTCGGGGAATCTAAAACATACACAGGTGAATTTGGGATATATAAAAGAGAGATTAATGTATGAGAAGGAATGTAGAAACGCTGAAAATGTCCAAGAAATTTTGATCTCATGCGAAATCATGAGAGCACCTGGGCAGCATCAATCAGTCAGTCTTGACTGCGGGCGGCGGAGAGCCAGTGCGACCCTGCTCGATATCCTCCCGGTCACGACTAACGCTGCTACGGTGGTGCCGGAAGAAGCGGTTCCGGGTAGACGAGGCACCACTCCGGTAGCTGTGAGCATCGGTAGACTGACGAGGTTCGTGCGTCGGGGTACTGAAGTTAGAAGGACGACGATGCTGAGATGACGACGCCCGACTGCGGCGTTCTTCCTCCTCCTCCGCGACATCTTGCATGCGGCGCTCGGTAGCTTCACGGTTCGCGTTGCGGACGACGTTATCTAGACGTACGCCACGATCTTCAAAGACGTCACCCATGACATCGTTCGAGGACATATTGGCCATCCCCAGTGAGAAGTCAACATGTTTACGGGAAGTAGAAGCGCCACGAGCGCGGGCCGCAGCCGTATCCATACCCTTGCGCAATATAGAAGGCTGACGGGTAGCGGTGCCGCTGGTTGAGGCGGTGTTTTCCTGAAGCGAGCTGGACCCTTGGCCGATTGGGACCGGCTCTGCCTCGGTTGGTTCCTCGCGTCTGGCGGGCGGGGGGGAATATAGGTTGAGAGCTGTGGACATGGACGGGGAAGTCGAACTTGGCACCCTGGAGGTTCATGCGCGAGCCCTCGATGCCGATCTCCTGGAGGGCTATCATGAGCATGCAGATGAACTTGTTGCGGCGTTGCAGACGGAGACCCTCGTTTTGCCAGTTGGATTTGTAGAAGAAGACGATGTTGAGAGTTAGGGAGAAGTTGTCGGTCACCTCGCGCAACTCGGTGAGCATGTTGCTCTGGAAATCGCGCTTCTCGCTGCGCACAAATTCCAACAGACGCTGCCGGAGCGCATCGATTTGTTCGATGGTTGTGCCGTACTTGATGATGATGGGAATGGCCTCGGCCAGAGCACCAGATCGGCGCTGGTTGAGGATGAACAACCCGTTAAGATAGCTGTTTGGTGCTTGGACAACATGACCCTGCATCTTCTTGAACTCGGTGTACAGCAGGGTAATCTCCTTGACAAAATAATCGTCACCAAGACCGGAGTCGCCGGCATTACCGTAGATAGTGACACGGTCACCGACATCAAAGGGGTGCTTGACGAAAACGAAAATGACAGACTGCAGGAATTCCTGAGCTGTGGCCGAGAACAACCAAGAAAGAGCCAGGATACTGGATCCAGCCGAAGTTAAAACACCAGCAGCAGAGGTAGAGATCAGTGACAGGAAGACCACGATAACGATGACGAAGACGAAGAACATAAAGACGTTGTCAAGCTTGGAGACGACTGAATCCAAATCCTTCAAGGATGCAGTGATCGATTTCCGCTCACGACCAATATCGACACAGACGGCCTCAAGCTCCTCCATGGAGATATCACCATTCATATCGCGATCGAACATGGTAAATGCAGCCTCAGCCTCATCACCGTTCTCAAAGGCCTCCTTCAAATCGCCAGAGAAAACAGTGTCAAACCCATCACGTACGAAAGTGCGGTAGAGACGACGCGCAAGAACCTGACAGCCAGATGTAGTCCGCAACAAGGCCAGCACGACTTGGTAAGGGTCATTGCTCCTAGCCGCCTTGCGACCAGTAAAGTCTGCAGCAACGGCACCAGCGACATCACCGACCTTGTTACCGACCTTCTTCGCGGCACCCTTGGCCACACCGACAGCCTTCTTATGGGCCTTGCCGGCATACTGCAGCGGATTCATCATCCCAGTTGTCGGAGTTTCTTCATCGGGCTTCTCATGGAAAGCCTCATCAGTCTCCTCGATACGGGCGCGCGACCAATCATACAGCTTGGTCAAGCTACCAATCTGAAATTTGTTGATCTCGATACGATCCGCATAGGTCCGAAGGTGGAAGCTGATCGCGATGAGCTGGATAATCACCTTCTCGATCAGGTTGAGAATAGTCCAGACGAAGATGACAATGATGATCTTGTTAAAAGTGTTTTCCCAGCTCCTGGTACTCGAGTCCCCGTTCACATGGTGGTTCTTCATAGTCGGCAAGAAGGAGATTTCCACGCCCAGCCACCATAGGAACAGGGCAGCATGAATCTCCAGCTGCTTAGCCATATCACGCCATTTCTTCGCGTTGTTGGTGAAGATACTAGCCACAATACTGACGACTGCGGGTAATCCTTTGCTAACAATTCGGCCAGCCCAAAGGGTCAACCAGAAAATCTCCAGCCAGATGGAAAACCACATCAACTTCACACCACCAACATTGGCCTTGGGAAAGACGAGAGCACCGATAAGGAGGGGAACCAACAAGAGGATGACAACGGGCGCGATGTAGGTGAAATAACGAACGATAAAACTGGACTGATGCAGTTTCTTCACAAAAGCCGAGAGTTGAGTATTGGGGCGCTCTGGCGGAGTATACACCGCGGCCTTTTCGTGTAACGGGTTGGTCGCTTCGTCGAACTCATCGACCTCGGTACGACGGGATCTCGACCGGTTCATCGACTCGCCTTCCCCTTCCTCGGGCCCTTGCGTCGACCGAGATACCACGCGCTCGGCCTGCAGGAGCAACAAATCGTCTTCCAGGCGGGTTGCCTGTTCGCGACGGGCAGAAGGCGTACTCATAGGCAAAGGAATCTCATCGTTGATGCTTGTGTCGACTCTTAACCGATTGCTAGGTTCGATAGAAGGTTCGTGCACATAGGTATCATCGTCGGAGGGTGAGATCTGGTCGGAGGTTCGTTTTTCATGATGTTCCTGAAGGTGCAAATTCTTGTGTTCATCAGGGCTCGACATGGCGGCACCAGGCCAATTGAAAGATTGAAAGAATGTGGGGGTCTACGATCGTGCTCTACGGATCAACCAGCAGAGCAGATGGAATGTAAACGGTTCGGTGTAGGGGAAGAGAGGTAATCTCGTGTCAATAGGGCATTTGCACCCAGCAACGAAGGTTCAAACCAGTAACGAATGTCGAATACAGCACAGGTGAGTGAATGAGAAAATTGAAGCATCGGGGGAACAGCAAGCAGTGAAGATCGTTACGAAAAATAGGAACCCTGGGCAAGTGAGACCCAGCGGGTCGGAGATAGTGGGTCCGTAGTCTGGACCCGTAGATTAAGGGTCAATTTGTTTTAATTAATTGGGATCTCGACACGATCAACTACCATAGTACATCGGTAGGCACAGACGAGATGACCTCGATCTGGGATCCTCATCGAGATCTCCATCGCGAGATAGAGCTACAGTGCACAATTCCACGAAATCTCAAATCTTCCAATTGCTAATCCAACCACATTAACCCGCCAAGCCCGTCCGCGCAATGCGCATTTGTGGTCCTTTCTCTGTGTCGACGGGCCCACCGGGCTGATCCCCACCGGGTGGCGTAGAAGGAGAAAGGCCCGGAGTTAATCACCCACGGGCTTTTTTATCCCAAGCTATGCGGGAGATGGATATGGATAAGATCCATCGTCATAAAACGCCACAAACGCCACCGTGCAGCAACCCCTGCTTTTATAGGAAAGCCGAGCGAACTGTTGTAGGACACGACCCGAGATTGAGATTTGCATAAATCAACAAATAAACGAGACTGAAAATAAAGCCACATGCACAGTATCTATTTTAAACTAGAAGAACAAAATTCAATATCCAAAATCGCAAAAATCGTGATATCATTCTACGCGTGGGTCAAACGTTGGAGCCACACGTATGAAGATCCATGTCATCGCTCACCCGAACTCCATTCACCGTCCCAAATCATGATCGGTACACCAGACACCAATGCACAAGGGCAGTCTGGGGAGAGACGTGTGTAGCAACCCCGCAAGACAACGTCCAATCGATGATTGTCGATCGCAAGTGACCAACCTGATTGCACCCTCCACCTTGGAATTCTTGGACTGTGATAGCACAACGAGACACTAACGATGCAGGCGCTGCATCGATTATCTTGTGTTGCGCGTGCACCGGCCTCTTGGGGCAGGACCATTTCCCCCCCGAAAAAGTAGGATCGTCGGGCTCTCAGAGGAAATTGACAGCGCCAAGAAATCGCGTGTATCCGAGCTCTCGGCTTAGCTGAGTCTGGCCATTTGACTGGTGTGAGGGTGGTTTCATCTGCGTTCCAGTCCACCAGGATACGCGGTGGGTGGTGGAGATGCTGGGGCTGTGGGGAGTCTAGATTCCATTGTAGATCTAGGGAATATTCCGGTGAAGAGTGTTAACTCTATTTTTGTTTCGACTTTCAAATCTGGACCGTTATAAGAAGATAATATTTTTAGTACTCGAGCCAAGTACCGCTGATAACAATAGGACAAAATCGGGTATGAAACATCGGCATATGGAAACTTGAATCCAGTCAAATCTCTGACATCTACTTATTTTCCGCAAGAAACAGCCTTGGGAGATGATTCACAGAATGCATAAGAGAGGAAATGGAAAAGACGGGGAGAAAGCAAGTCAAGTTGGATACTCGAAATGGCAAGGCAGAGCGAAAAAAAAAAAAAAAAAAAAGGAGAAATAGGTCCAGGAGGGAAGAATACTGCCTTCAACCCATTCTTCCATCCACACCAGTTGCATGTGATAAACGGTAAAGGAGAAAATTCAAGAAAGCAGTGAACCGAAACACCGTGCCCCAATAAGCCATGTAAACATAAGAGACGTGAGGTAACGCGTATGGTGACATGTCCGCAGGACATTGGAAATGTTTCCCGAAGAAAGGGTAAAACAACAAGGAAAAAGTGTACATGAATGAAGGGAAATTATCGCATATCAGAATGTGGAGAAGGGAAGACGTAAAGTGGAGATACGGGTGTGGGAAGTGGACGTCGAACACAATCATCTCTTAAATGCAGTAGATATGTCAGATCGGTACCGCTCAGGAGGGCGAGGCGTCTCCTCGGCATCTAGGCTCGGAGAAGGTTGCTGAGGGCGCGGGGTGGCTTCAGAGTCAGACATGGGCTTGCCGTCGGTATCTGCACCAGAGGACTCAGCTCCAACGTTGATCTCTGGAGTGATGGGTGAACTGTTGCCGCTCATCTCCCGGGGAGTGGACGGGCCAGGCTTGGCAGCACGTTCGGAACCGTTGAAAGCAGCGTGAGAGGTAGGGGGAGGTCCACTGTAGATCTCAGTGTTGTGGTGGGCAAGCGATGGCCGACGCCGAGAGCTTTTGGATCCATCAAGTGGAGGCGAGTCTTCAATGCTCAGTGCCTCCTCAGCCTCTGATTCTTCTGGGATACTGAGCCCTTCGAATCTTTCCTCGAGGCTAGTACTAACAGGAGATCCCAGAGGGCCATCGTCAGTGTCGGTGTCGATATACTCTCCGCTTCGGCGGCGCAAGGCCTCTCGTTCTTTCTTGAGAAGCTCTTCACTGCCACTGACTACGCTGCCACGGCTATTGGTGCGCATCATCTCAATGCCTAGCTTTGACCCGGGGCGACGGCTACGACCAGGCGGACTTTTGCGGGCTTGGGAATTCCCAAGCTCTTCATCTTCGTCGTCTCCGGACTCAGCGCCTTCATACCGTTTCCGCTCCAGGGATTCCCGCTTGGCTTGAATGGCTTCGCTAGACCGTTGCTTGCGAGGTGTTAGGCCTCCACTTCCGTCTACAGCTGCTGGGGCTGAGACCGCATGAAGCAACTGTGGAACAGGTACTGCTTTGGGTTCGGGACTGCCTGGGTGTGCATCCTCAGAGATTCCCAGTCCACTCTGGTCCCACTCGTCATGGTTGCGACGGATGATGACTGGAACCTCTTCTGGCTTGATAGACTCCATGTCTCCAAACACGCTACTACTCATTGAATCTTCACGACTTGATCCACGGTATGAGCTGGGAGGGTTTGGCACAAATCCAGATGATGTCGAGCTGGGGCTGTTATCGTCGGTTGGAAGCTGCGAAGGCCGTACGCTCGGCATTGGTAGCGGAAGAGGTTGAGATGGGTCATAATCCTTTGGAGGCGGCTTCCACGCGCAGTACTTGCACAGCGTCTCGGTGATTTTTGACAAAGTTAGAGGCTTTTGCACCAGACTATTGAAATGATGCATCTCGGGCAGATCTTTCAGGTAGCCAGTGACAGCAACGATGGGAGTGTTTCTGTTGGCACTGCGAGTCTCTCGTATCATGCGAGCAAGATCGGCGCCGTTCACCTGTGGCAACTTGTACTCTGTCATGATAATATCGAACTGGATATCACCAAGGGCATAGCGTGCAGCTTCCGCGCCGTTCGTCACTGTTATAGTGCGACAGCGAAGCTTTTCAAAGAGGCGCTCCATTACCAGTCGTGAGACAGGGTGGTCCTCGCAAATGAGGATATCCAGCGGCCTAAAGAAAGGTCCATCCTGAATATTGAATTGAGAATGACGACGAGAGCTTTGTCGGCGCCGCTGGACCTTGAGCAGAGCTTTGGTACGTGGGTCCTCATTATCTGACGAGGATGGTGAAATGTCAAAGAGCTGGCTTCGGCGTTTGTGGTGAGAGGGTATGAACGTCTCCTTGGGGAATGAGGACAGATCGCCATCTTGAGACCCTATAGTGTGAGACCGAGCCCGACTAGCGGGGGCACTACCTTGACGCTGCATGGATGGATGCTTGTCCGGAGAATGGGCGGGGATTCGGTTGGCTTTCACAGGAGAAGATGCCACTGATCCGAGCCGAAGATTGGGCATGCGGTTTTGCTCAACAGATGAGGGTTGGAAAGTGCCGCTGGACTGGTGCGATGCAGTGGATGAGGACCCAGATGTTTTGCGTCGTTCATGGTTGCTACCAGTGCTAAACTGAACCAAGAGTGGAGACGATGGTTGAGATGGCCGACTGGGAGATGAGTTGGCTTGACTCAAACTGGATGGAGACGATGGCCGGTTGCTGCCCTTGGTCTGAGACATAGTACGCTGGAGGGACATTGGGAGTGGGCTTCCGTCCAGAGAAGGCTGGGAAGCGGTCAATGGTGTTTGGCCAGAAGAGGAAGAGCTTGATTGACGATGCTGGGTTTGCATAGCCTCCTGACGCATCTTTTGAATGACGTCCTTGTTGGCTTTTTCCAACATCGGCAAGTTCTTGAAGTTGAAACTTCCAAAGTCATCAGCCAGTGCTGGCTCACTCAATCTTCGGCTGCGAGAATCGCGAGCGTCACGGACGTGGGGAGGAATATGCAGTGGCATCAATGGACGTTTCATTGAATTCACCTGAGACCGAACCTTAAACAAAGCATCATGGGGTCGATCTGGATAGGATTCTGATGCAGGAACCGGGTGAGGGGACTGCTCATCATCTTCCATCTCCTCGGCAAATGCTTGAAGAGTAGCTCCACGAGCATCAAAGTATTCAGTATCTTCAGGGTTCTCAAGATTGGGGACAAATTCCGCCTTATCTTCTAGTAGAGTATCCCAAACGATATCAGAGAACCAAGGATGAGCACGAATCTCCGCGCCACCATTGGGGTACTTTTCTTCCACATTGGCTCCAATGCGCTCGCGAGGATTGAGGGTCATGAGCTTGTTCATAAGATCCAATGATTCCGGTGTGGTGTACTCCTCTGGGTCATCTGGCCAGTTGATCCTGCGATGCAAGATATTCTCGAACACTTCATCGGGAGTCGCAGCATTGAAAGGGGGGGTAACCAAAAATGAATTCAAACATAATGCAGCCCAGTGACCACCAATCACTAATTTCATCCTGTCCAACACCATTAATTGTTTCTGGTGCCAGATAATCCGGCGTACCAACAAAACGTCGGTCATGATCTTCAGGGTCGAAAAGTGCCATGACAGGCGGAAGCATGCTTTGCTGTGGAGGAGTGCTGTGCGCAGGGTTGCTAAACGTTTGCTGCAATGGATAGAGATGTGGCGAGTCGTCTGTTTCGCTCGGGGGCTCTTCCTCGGCTAAACTGCTAGCGACGATGCTTGGTGATGGGGCAGTTGGTTCATTTCCATTGTCGTTAAGTGAGAACGTTCGGAACATTCCATTCAAGCTGTCACTGCCAGCACTATCACTGCGATATCCAGAAGCTCTCCGAGAGGTCTGGCGACTGAGGCCGGTCTGATTCAGATTTGTCTGATTTAGACTGAAATAAGACGGTTGAGGTGCGCCAACGGGATTGTCAGGAGTCATCAGCGGCGTAGAGCCAGGGGAGCTAGCTTGGAAATCAAAGGAGGCCGATCGTGATGAAGCAATCGATATGGCACGAGGGAACGGTCCTTGTTTCAATAAGTCCGGAGCGGGCTCATTCGGGCTCTTTAAAACGCGCTTCTGGCGACCTACCAAGCCCATTCGAGATAAACCAAAATCAGTCAACTTGAGGTGGCCGCTATGGTCAATGAGAAGATTGTCTGGCTTTAGATCACGATGCACAATTCCTCGGTTATGCAGATGCTCAACTCCGAGAACCACTTCGGCAACGTATTTTTTAGCCCAATCCTCGGGGAGACCACCAAGAACCTTGACAAGGGAAGCACAGTCACCTCCATTCAAGTACTCCATAACCAGGTAGAGATACTCTTTGCTGGAAAATGTCCAATAAAGCTTGGCAACAAAGTCGCTTTCTCCTTGCCACATCATGATGGCTCGTTCAGCTTTGACATTGGTTACCTGGTTCTTGGCAATCATGTCTGCTTTCTTCAGAACCTTGATGGCATAGTACTCGCCTGTAGATTTCTTCTTAGACAAGTAAACACTGCCAAACGCACCCTTGCTAATCGGTTTGATGATCTCAAAATCTTTGATCGAAGGCGGCGCAGGTCGAGGCTGCTGGCTGACTGACGGCAGACGCGGCGAAGGGGGTGGTTTCGCCACGTCGGAAGAGTTGGCTGATGACTGGCGACGATGATGGTGGCAGTGATGAGCCAATTCGCTAGCGTAGGTTGATGGGGATACTACCGGCGATGGTAAGCTTTCTGCCCCATAGGAATGCCGGGGCTTGGGCATGCGTAATGGGGAGTGCGGACCAGATACACGCGCGGGAGATGGCTGCCGACGGGGGGAACTAGACAGCCCGGGAAGCACCAGGCTTCTCCTCTTCCGATCGAAGCTTCGTTCAGACAATGGGGAATCAGTTCGCATGGCCCCCGGGAAGACTGAGGATGGCATGCTACTGTCACTGCTATCTCCGGGATCAATATCTGCAAGTGAGAAACCCCTGCGGCTAGATTGTGAAGTTCCAAGCAGTCCAGCGGCACTTTTATAAGACCGAGGAGTAGGGCATTCCATAGGGCTGTTAGATCCCGTAGAGACGGCAAGAGATGAGGATGAAGGTCTGCCATCTGTCTGTTGATGTTGTTGCTGCTGCTGCCCGAGCAGTGAGCGATCAGGTGAGTTACGCATGGACAGCGTAAGTGCAGATGTCGTTGACCTGAGTGGGGTGGGTATTGTCTGGCGTGCCGGGGATGGCAATGATTCCTGGCTAGAAGGATCGGGTACCAAAGAGTCATCACTGCTCATAGGCACTGGAACCATATTGTAGTCATTGAAGTTCTGTTCGGGGGTATCTTCCAAGATCTCATCATCAGAGGAGCATGAGGAATCGCTGAGCTGGCCAGCGGCTATCCGCTCTGCCTTGCTCAGCGCAGCTGTAATGCACTCCTCTACAAGAACAGTATATTCGATACGGATCCTCTCCGCGTACTCAACAATCTTACGATGACGAACGACAGCATCAACTTTGCTCTTTGCAAGTTGCTCCGTGTCGCCTGCCAGAGCAGCGAGACCCTGTTCCTGTTCGAGAGTATTGGAGCTTGGTGATTGCCACTGGATGACTTGCGAGATTCGAGATTCAGACTGCGGAGAAAGTGTTCGAAACTCTTCCGGGTGTTCTGCACGAGATGCCTCCTTGACCATCGGCATGCTGATTTCTAGGGAAGTATCACAGAGGTCAAGCACCAGCTCCACGATGCGTGCCAGTGGTCGCCGTACAGTGAATGAGCGGGCGCGGCCCGTCGCAGGAAGACCCGAGGCCGAGTGGTCTCTAGAACGAGGCGGAGTGCCTGGCGCAGAGTTTCCGGTAGACACGGGGGCTGAAGATGGAGATGAACTAGCAGGAGACGGACCAATAGGCAAGCCTTTATATTCTGGCTGGGGAAGCGTGGCTACATTTCCCTCAGGAGTGATCAAGGGTCTTCCTTGTCGAGCCTCCAAGGCGTCCAGCACTTTCACAATGGTGTGTCGATGTTCATTGAGGTTCTCCTGGGCGATTTGGACATCCATTTCGGCTCGGTGTTCCTGGAGGCAGAGATCCGAGTGTTTTTCGAACCACCAGGGTGTAATCTGGCGTTCGCAAATGCGACATAGTACCGGGGTAGGTGCAGGGTGTTTCGAAGGGTCGGGTTCGTTCGCAGCGGCCTCGGCCAATGTAGTCAAGTAGTTCGCGAGTACCTCAGCACCCACGCCCAGCGACTCCACTAGGAGAGGTGGAAGATCGATTGTGACTTCTCTGGGTTTGGTAAAGGGCCGCAACATCCACATCGACTGTATTGTCAAAGCAGGTTAACTTGTATACTCTATTTCAAATCTCATCGTAAAGCACCACTCACATGTCCATCCTCATCGCGTTCATAAACCATAATACCTTGCCCTTCCATGGTAAGCACATCGTTGCACTGTTCACCTTCGGCCTGCGAGGGTTCTGTCGTCTCTTCGGTGATGGCTTCGTGCGTCTCCTCTTCCATTTCAGTTGGTCGCGGCTCCGGCGCGTACTTCAGAACGGAGTCCGGCCCCATCTGCACTGTAAAACGGATGAATCGACTACGCGTGTCGTCCTCTTTCATCGCTTCAATCGCATCCCGAAATACATTCTTGTTTCCGAGAAGCAAGTCCGATATCATACGACCTTCGACAGACTCAGGAGCCGAGCCAACGACTTGCCGCCACGATGGGCTCACCCATTTGATTCGTCCTTCAAGATCCAAATCCACGATGATATTCAATGTCTGTTCCGCAGCTTCCTTGAGGTCCTCCCGTTCTTCCCGTATATTCTCACTCAAGGTTCTTATCATTTTCGGGTTGATGTTCCGAGCCTCCTGTCGCAACGCGGTCACAGCAGGAGGCGCGAGGAATTGTGGGTTGGGAGGGCCATTGTCCGCCATGGTGAAGCGGTTCACCAGGGATCCGAGGTAAAGAGAGTGGAGTAGGCGCGTCGAGTGAACCGAATAACGAGAAAGAGCTTGTCCACTGGTGTATGTAGAGCCAAGCAGAACCGTCTGCTAGAAGGCAGAGCGGGTGCTCTTTGGCTTTGTAGGCTATGGATTCATCCGTAACATCAACGGGCCATAACGTATCGACAGGGAGGAAAGACAATGGTTGCTTTGAACAGCCCCTAAAAGAGCTGGGCGTTCGTGTGAGCAGACACAGGATCGCCTTCAGCGTGAAACGGAGGATAGCGGAAACCGTTGTGGTTTATGCGGGGAACAACGCGACCGATTCAACGCGCAGGATCATCGACGTCAACGCCGACGGAGGCCCAGAGAAGGAAGATCAGGAATCAGACAGGGTCCTGAGGGAAGTATTTTTGTCGGTGTTTATCGTGTTAACCCAAAAAAAAAAGAGGGAGAGGAATGGGGGGAATTTGGGAGAGGGGAGGTGGAAAGCAGGACGACAGTTGATTGGCGCAGAACGAGAAAAACTGGGTCGTGCGTCTCTTTCCCTTCTGCACCACCTTACGCTGTCCCATATCACCAAGTCAAGGGTTTATAGGAATTTGACACTGCATGGTTTGATCTGAGAATTGTCTTGTGTTTTAATCTGATATATCATCCTAACGAAGCTCCAAGCAAAAGAGAAAAACATTTAGACCCTAGCCGCCCTTGCTCATGACGTTGCTTAATATACCATAGCCTACCTATATCTAACCTATCTGACCACTAAGAAGTCTATGCAGCTGCAGTCTTCGATAGCATCAAGTCTGGATTTGGACGGTTTCTTTTCTTTTTTTCTCGGTCTGTTTTCCCTTGTTATGGTACTTTTGTCAAGTCTACCCATACCTTCCCCGAGAGAAACCGCTCATATCACTCCGATAAGAGGGGAAAAACAGATTATGCTGGCACAAAAACACGCCAAAGAAAATTATAATAATTGATAATTGGCATTGGCTAGGTAATTGGGCTCGCGTAGCAGGTAGCCCCGCCCCCGGCTGTTACGGGAAGCGAGCCCAATCCCCTTCATGCTGTGTTGGTCATTCTGACATAGAAAAAATAATAAACGAGTTACATAGGACTCACCAATAACAGTCTCAGTGGGCACCACCATCTGTTCCAGGATCATTAATAATTCCCAAAGTCGCTTGCTGGCGGCCGAGACAATTTGAACATGCAGCAGTCTAAAGTACTTACATAACCACACAGAAACCTTGGAATGCATCTATGATACCCTTTGCTTATCGCACCATTCAAGTGTCTCTAAGCACAGAAGAATTACGACGCTTATTGAGGATGAGACCAATTGCACTGGCTTGTCCCACAAAGAATGGTTTGTTGCGGTCCCTTACTGGCCGTCGTGATCCATATCGGACTGAGATGCCGATCCAGACTGGTGGAGCCACATCCGGCACTCTTTCCACCCTTTTTTGGGGTCTTGTGTCATTAGTCGGAAGGAGAAGGGAGCCGATGTGCTTGGAATGTAAAGTTTGGGTGGACCGTCGATCCTCGACTCCACCGTTGTCTTCAGATTCTTGGGTCTGCGGGGTAAGAGTCAGCTGATGCTATATGAGGACATGACTCTGGGGTTTAGATTAGACTAGTCTTTGAACGAGATGAACTTGGCTCCTTTGAACCTAGTGCAGAAAATTGGTCCTGATACAAGCCTGCTAGGTTGTTCCACGAGAATCCGGGGCAGCACGACTCCAAACAGTCATTCACTTCCCTTCTTTATGACTGGCTGTGCCTTCGAGTGACCAACCTAGGACGATGATACTCCCCGAAGAAACTTTATGCTTCTCTCCCTTCCCCACAGCTCTTGAGCGGGGTGGCCCAATCATCGTGACCATTCCTGTCGGCATGAACCCACTGTTGGCCTGTGGGCATGATTGGTGCACTAATAGAAGGGGTGGGAACATTGATGCGTGTTCTCAGGACCTGGTTAAACCTTAGGAATAGATGGAGGTCTATTACGTACTAAGTGCGTATCATACGTTGTTCGACACCTGACTCGTTTAACCCTAGACCATATATATATTCCGGGGCGGCCCATATGACGACACGCTTGTTTCACGTTTGTCAGAGAATATTTGAATGCCCGCGGAAGCAAGTCATATAGCGAAACAATTCAACGTGATGTTCATTAATAATCTATATGATGGCGCTTGAAGGTACAGTAGTTTCAATGTTTGAGAGGCAATTCTGCCGCCGAGTGCTCCACTCCTGTCGCATGATCGACGGGAGAAAATTTTTTGCTCACGTGGACTACTGTCCACAGGAATGTTCCATAGTTACCTGACACCTTTAGGTAAGAGAATATTTCCTGCTCTGAGTAGACTCGTAAGTACCTAACTTGACTCGGTAGAAAATGTCTAGGAATAGATAAATCTTGTCTAGCACGATCTACGAACACATATTTGCAAATATTGTGACGTCTACTTTTTCTCCCTCTCGTCTCCAAGAGCCGATGTAGAAGTAAAGTATAGTGCGCAGAGCGAGGTAATCAGCTCAAGCAAAGTTAGCTCTGAACCCTGGAATATGAAGTAGCGTGACACTGACCTCAATGTAGGCTAGCGCCCACGCATACTGCTCCGCCAAGACCTGGAGGCTTCAGGTCGGTAAAAAAGTACTAGCAGAGGTACTTAGGCTTATTGAGTCTGGCTTCAATTGTAGCCAAAATGACGGAATGTTGTAAATGTAGGCTCTACAAGCTCTGAAGCGAGCGAAAAACCTGGGAAGCACTGGAACTCTTAGGTAGCATTTTGGGCATGCATACCACTAGCTGACCATCTGTCTGGCGAGACACGTAAACCCCATGGGTCAAGGAAGGCATGATTTTGAACATATTTAGACCTCCAGCCAGGCCTTCGTATGAGTGTCTTGTGCCTGGCTCCCGAGTGGGATGAGGTATGAAGACTGTGGGGTTCAGCCACTTTGATTCATCAATGAAGAGGGGGATCTTCAGATTGCATGATTGACTGCAGCTTAGAAGGTTTCTACCATTAATAGAGGTGGAATTGAGCTCGACCAATGCTAACCCAATATGTCGCATTGCTTCTACATTAGCCTTGCATACGGTATCCAACGACTTAAGGAGTGAAAGGGCAGCAATAACAATGGGAGAAATTTACGACCCACGGCGACCACAGATGGGTAGTGTTTGAAGATTCGTGATTTTGCGTTCTGAAATTGCCCTTTTTGAATTCAGCCCAATTCTACATGATTATCAGCTTCGTTGAATCCGAGTTCAAGTTGGCGGCCATTATGCAAGGGAAATGGTTTCAGAGGCAATATGTGGCTATATTCAGCCAAAGAAGCGACCGTCATGTTTACTTAGGTATGTTTACTATGTGATGATAGTCTGCTATACTCGCTTGGGTTCATTTCTCCTTCCCTTCTCACAAAGAAAATGAGATAAAAGTGAAATTTCAAAATATCTTCTAAGGCGCAAGCCGCATTAAAGAAAGTGGTTTGTATGTCTTCACTTACTAGGTACTTCATTGAGACATCTTTCTTGTGTTTGCCTTTTCTCAACAGGACTGAGACATTATCCGCATAAGCGATTAGGCCTAACTCCTTAGTATGAAGGGGCCCTGCGAGGATGAAGATTACTCCAGATGTTGAAAGCAAGGCTGCTTGGAACATTGAAGGTTTTTTGTTCCCTTGATCAAATCTTCGAAATATCTTAAGACACAAATCCTCCTCCGTCAGAATATTCCCAATGGTATCACTCATAGGGGGAACCCACTCTCCTCGCCGAATAGCCCGATACAAGATACTGGTATAAACACCCAAAGTGGGTGAATCCATTACATCCGCTTGGACAATATCCCCAGAGGCAGATTTTGCGATTCTAGCTGTGTACAAATATGGAATGCACAACGTTCTCCGGAGGTGTTCGTACATCTTTGTGGAAGCCGCTCATAGGACTGGCGTGGCATCATCGTGGTTCTGTCACCGTGGTTCTTGTAAGCTTCACGGCTGGTAGTCCATCCATCATAAAGTAACTGGGTCAGCATTTCAATCAAGGGTTTCCATATTTACTAATGTATCGGGCTCTGATGCGGCAGCGACTTGGTCATGAATGGGGACGCGCATGGATTTAGCAACGTGGACAATCTTTCTTCGGTGTTCATTGTGACAGTCCGAGCAAGTTTCTTTTGAAGGTGGGCCTAGAGAATATCGGACAAGGGCTGGACTTCTGATTGAATGTTGAATTTGGTTTACAATGTGCTGGCGAAAATGTTCAACTCAGCATTTATACTATCCAAGAACAGCAGTTGCATGGCGCGAAGGTCGAAAGCCTGGCACAATGAAAGATATGCGCGGCAGTGGCAGTCTAGCAGGCGGATATAAGGGCAAGAGAGTTTTTCTCGTGACTCCATCGCTCTGGACGGGATTCGTCAACATCAGGACCCCAGAAATCCTTGCGACGGTGGAGAGAATATATTGAAAAGCGAACCCCGAGTGCCTTTTTAAAAAGGATGGGAGATTGCCTGTCTGAGCCGCCACCTTCAAGTAATATGGTATGTCGAGAGGCAATTCGCGAATTAGACGCCTGGGGTGGATAAAGGCGAAGGACTATTCAGTCATGTCAGTTTCGCAAATCTACGGTATGACCAAGAACAAAACACCTATCACTTACTTTCTCGAATGCAGTCCCCTGCATAGCGCAGCTTTTCGAGTTGCCCCAGAGTTGGTGGCTTGCCCTCGAGTGACTCGACCGGTTCGCGCAAACGATGCCAAATATCTGGTCTCTTTGATAGCAGTAAAAACAAATTGATCAGTGTTGCTGCAGGAGCGTCTGCACCGGCAAATTACAGGGTATTTAACTCATCCTGAGAGGCATTCCGGCCTTGCGTCTGTTGACTGAGTTGGTCGATGAACAAGATTCGTGGAGAGAAGGTATCCGCGCTGGATGACTTGAACGACGGTAGCTTTCCACGTTGGACAGCAGCATCCACGTATTTTTGGATCCATTGGTGCGTGATGGGGACATTTTCACGTGAATCTCGGCCAGATTGCAGTCAGGTGCCCCAGCAGCCATCGAAATTCGTAGCTGACCAGTGTATTGCGGAAGGCTTTCAAGGCACTGTAGTGAAGGTTCTTGGGGCTTCGCAAGGAATCGATTGATTCCTCAAACAGAAAATCTGCACCAAAATCTGCAGCAAACAGATGTAGGAATAAGGCTAAATCGAAGCTTTGTCCATCTGGTGGCAGTATAGCTATGAGGTTCTGAAAGTGATGCTTTAACAGCGCGGGTTGAGATGTCTCGACCCATGTGAAGTCAGAAATATCGTGATTTTACACCGGGGGATCGTACAAGAGTCTCAAATATTGAGAAAGCGACATAGAGGCTATGAAAAGCAAGATTCGACAAATTTTATGAGCATTTGGTCTTGACACTGTTACAGACCCGCTCGATCAGAAACCTGGATACATATTATTCAACAAGTTGTATTATACAGTACCCTATTGTGGTATTGATACGTCTTGGCGGGGTTGGGGTCCAAAAGTTCAACTTCCAATTCATGAGAAACAAGTGCAACATCACTTCTAAACAATCAGGTCTAGGGGGGTTTTCCTTACCGCTTTCAACACTATACCACCACTGTAAACCCTGGAGTCTGCGTTGCGTAAGTCTCGATTCTTTGCCTACCATGTCTTTTCCCTTTCAAATAATCGAGCATACGATCCCGGGTCAACACATTCGAGAGTACCCGCACAGTACCAGGAAGAACGTGAAACAAGAAACGCCCCTTCACCTCGCTATCAAATAGTATATTCCCTTGGACCTTCCCACCCCGGTCCCTGATAACGCAATCACAATCATAGGAGCACCGGGCAATGGCACGCAAAAGGAACTTTACGAGCCCCTCTGGGAGGATCTTCATGCCGAATTGAAGCGGAAACAGATCCCTTTGCGTGGTATCTGGGTAGCGGACATGTCAAACCAAGGAGCAAGTGGAGTTCTCAACGAATATATCCAGGGTGATCAAAGTGCGATTCCTCTCTCTTCCTCCCCTCCATCGGTGCCGAAATTTAAGCACAGGAAGTTAACGCGCATGATGATATAAAGCAAACTGGTATGATCACTCGCGTGATCTTCTCTACATGGTCAATCATTTTCGCGACCAGATCCCTCGTCCGATTATTGGTGTCGCGCATAGTATGGGTTGCGCTCAGCTGTACGACTCTCTTGTCACATGAACTTGGAAAATTCTCCAACAAAGAGATCTAATCATCAACATAGAGTGAACCTCTCAATAATTCATCCACGCCTTCTTTCTTCACTGATTCTCTTCGAACCCGTCATCGTGGAGAAATCGTTCGGGGGTCCCAATCCGGCCATTTTCTCCAGTCGTCGCCGGGATCTCTGGCCCAATTCCGAAAAGGCTAAAAAATCTCTCACGAAATCTCTTAAGGGGTGGGATCATCGGGCGCGAGAAAGATACATCACCTACGGCCTTCGTAGTGTCCCAACTGCAATCTATGACCCCAAGGAGCCCAAGGTTGGCCCGCAGGCCGTAACATTGACCACAAGCAAACATCAAGAGTCATGGAGCTTCACCACTCCAAACCTTGAGCCTGAATCTTTAGATAGGCTACTTTTGCCTGATTGGCATAGTGAACAAGAACGACCGTACTTGTTCTCTCGACCAGAATGCTGGTCAGCCATGAGGAATTTACCATACCTTAGACCAAGCGTGAAGTGGATTTTTGGTGGCAAGAGCTTCCTTTCATCACCTGGTGCGCAAGAGTCAAAGATGCGAGCTACCGGAACCGGGGTAGGCGGAAGTGGCGGGGTGTGTGCTGGAGCTGTGGAAAAAGCGGTCCTAGCAGAGGGCGAGCACTTCCTTTGCTTTGAGCAGGTTGGGTGGTGTGCGAGTGTCTCGGGCGACTGGATTGAGAAGTGGTTCAATTCGTGGTTGGCGGACGAGACGTTCTGGGCGGAGTATCGCAGTCGGAACTCGGACGAGGATATGTTGAGAATGTCGGAAGAAGGAATGATGGTTATGAAGATGCCTACTGGGACGAAGAGGGGCGATTTCCCTCCTAAAGGCAAGTTGTAACCATGATATTTCACAGTTGTATAGTATTCTCTTTTCCCTGACCACGCGTAAGGTAGGATAGATACGAGATCGTGTCTAAGTGACCATATTATAAAGGAGAATATTGGAATATAAATGAACTTCGCCCTAGTAAGGACATAGAGCTTATATGCATTCTTAACGATGTGCACAGTTACTTTGTCAGGCATTTAAGCGAATAGTGCAGCAATCTCATCCTCGTATGAGCGCAAAGTCTGCATTCTCGCCACGCTTCCTTTGATAGTCATAATGAATGGCTTCTCCTCCGAAGCAATGATTACCTTTTCTGGAGAGATCTTAACGGAAGCATGGCATCGCGCGTTGAGCTTCTCAATGTAGGGCCACAGATTCTCCAGCACCTTCTCACGAGACTCGTCATTTGCGACATTAGCAAGTTCCACCAAGAGCACAGGTGACTGTCTTCCATGCCCTCCGATAAGTGCATTATTGACGGCTGGATGGGCCGTAATTTCAGGCTCTAGAAGCGAAGCATGCAATCCCTCTCCATGGGATAAACAAACATAATCGTCGCTTCGGCCGATGATCTTCCACAGACCCTTTTCAGTAGGGTGCTCAACCCACAAATCATTCGTTGCAAATCGATCGCGGTCTGGATATACTGTGAATATCTGCTGCATCGCACAACTCGGGTTACGGATAAATACAAGCTCGTGCAGATCACCTAGTTGTTTCTCAAAGATGGCTCCAGCATGTTTCTGGAAGGCAAGATAATCCCATTTATCAGGTTTGCCATGTATGGTTGTGAAGTAACCACCAGATTCGGTGCTACCAACACAGGGTACCACCTGAGCATAGGGGGGTAAGAAGCTCTGCAGACTTAGCAGATAGCGGAGCACCAGCAAAATGAATATATCTGAGGTCCCTGAGGGCCTGAAGTCCCTCAGGTGAGAGACAGAGGGCGTCGATGAGTACCGGCGGAAGCAGTGCTCCCTCAACTCGTCCTTGCCGAAGGACCTCGGTAATAACATCTGGAGATGGGGGACCAGCAGGGCCAATCACGGCTATCATATGGACAAAGGTCGTCATAGAAAGCGTCATGAGCATTCCAACGAACTTATCAAGTCAGTATTAAGGCCACACATATCTTTTTGGGAAAGGATGATTTACATGCAGTGAAGGCAAAGGCGTATACCATCTTCTTTGGGCATATTGATGTATGTGAGACTCCTCAATATCAGGGATTGAAGCTGCTTTATCTGCTCCAGCCATCATCTGGTGTGAATAGGTGATAGGCTTGGGGTTTCCTATTTCAACAATTTTATGTTATCTCAAGGATTGATCTCTATAGGTACTGTATCGGAATCATACCCGTTGTCCCGGAAGTGTGAAAGACCAACCAAGGGTCGTCTTTTCCTTCTACCCATGACTTTGGATAGTTGACTGGGACAGCTTCCGTCTCATTCAGGAAATGCTCCAAGGATGGGCAGGTAATAGGTTGGATATGCGAAGTGTCCTTTAAGATTCCTGCTACAGACTCAGCCATTTCCTCAGGCCTAAGGTAAAGCGTACAGCCTTTCTTTTCAAATATTTGCAACTGGGCCTCGGGAGTGACTAATGGTGACGGTAGTACCATCTATATTGGTCAGTCTTTTCTAGCTCCATCTTGAAAGTGCAAGCCATAGTTACTTACCACTTTCTGTGCTTTGGCTGCCGCGACAGCCAAAATCGGATAACGGAGATCTTTTGGACCTGTGTAGGCAAAGCATTGAAATGGCTCGCCAGTGGGAAGATTGTCGCTCAACCAGTGCGCCGCGTGATTGGCGGCATTGTTCAGTTGCCAAAAGGTAAGATCCTTATAACCGAGGGACAGATTCGTCTCGTCTACCGGGACTGACATCCAGGATTCACTGGCACCACCTTTAGCCCGCTGTTCAATCACCGAGGTGAGAATACGTTTGCCATGTTCTATTCCTGGCAACGGAAAGGTGGTGGATGCCATTTAGAAAGCTTTAGATAAGCAACTGAGATTATATGACGTTATTATTCCGGATGTTGAGTTGAACTGCAAAAGTGACAATCAAATGCACAGTGAGAGAGGAAAGGGCACTTTCATATAACGAAAATTAAGAGAGGAGGGGAAACCTGCAAGCTTGCTGGGATATGGGGGACCTAGTGCGTGGCTTAAGTTCAAAGCAGATCACTTCTGGCCCCCACGTATGACATACCCGCACGTGAAAGACCCGTGTACTAAAGTAAGTACAAAAACCAATAAAAAGACACGTTAACCAATACAGATTACCCTTCTCTATTTTTTATGACTTTCCACGGTCGAAGCCCGGCCCGCGGTTTGGCTTGTTCGCTCCACTCCCCATTTTTCCTATAAACCGGGATGATTTAGATAGTAATAATACCGTAATTAATTCACTAGTGCATTGTTTGATTGACAGGTTTGCAGGAATGCATGCTGCATTTCAAGCAGGGCTCCTATATCACAGTTAATATTGACGGCTTATGCAGGAATACTGTTCGCACTAGCTGCCCGCGGCTAAACGCCATCCATGGATAGCGAATGCGATATCCCCTCCACTTCTGGGGGCCCTATGTAGACGGCAAAGGTACTAGGGCCGCCCCTAATAGCTGACCCACACGTGTAATTAATTAGTGAATCATGTCATTTCTGCAAAACGCCTGAAATCGTAATTATCGGGAAAAATGATGACTAAAATACCAAGACACGAATGAGACGAATCTCTTACTGTTAATGTATGGGCTCTGGAGTGTACCCACGTAGTTACAGTCTGGCCACTGTCTATATTGCATAAGCAATCCCCGGACAAAGCTAATTAGCTAGGTGTGATGGCCATCACAAGCTGAAGAAAGCCGGCTACACAACTTTTGAAAATTGCTTATTGTTCACATAACAGTGACCTAGATTAACGGAGCGAAGGATGTACGAATTCCGTAGTATGATTGATTTTTGACGTCTTTGATGTTGGGAGGCCTCACTTGCAAGATGGTACTTTCTCAATTGCCATATGGAAATATGTTCCCCGTAAAGCTAAGATGTCAATACGGTCAGCACTTTAAGACAGCGCTTGGGCGCCACAAGCGAGAAATACAGTAGTTCTAGGTGCGTGAAGGGATTCATTCTAAGCGCCAGAGCTGCAAATTTAGAGTTTATGGCCTGAGATCCAAGGTGTCAATATTGCTTTGTAATATCATCACGCTGACCTTGCCTCGCCACTCCATTCTTTTATTCACAAGGTCACTTGTTCAGGTACCTAAAGCTATGGATCCACCGTCTAATCCTGCACCCCCACAGGATGATCCGTCCGCCAAGCGCAAACGCGCGGGGAGAAAATATACATCTCGAGCCTGTGAAGAATGCCGCCGACGAAGAGCAAAGGTGATTTCCATATTGTCAGTGCCAAACTTATATGAAAATTAACAAATTTCACCAAGTGCGATGGTATGCGACCATCATGTTCTCGGTGTCTTGACCGAGGTTCTCGCTGCCAATATTCGACGGCCGAAGACGGGAGGCAACCGGCCCCGAAGTCATATGTAGTGATGCTACGTAATAGAATCGAGCTCCTGGAGCGTGTTCTGCGAAATCATGGCATTGATGCGGAAGCTTCTGTTGCGGAATTGATGGTCGAGGCTGAGCTTTTCAATCAGCAGACAGATTCTAACCATGCGGTGGATGATTTATGCGTGACTTTTGATGGTGCACTTACTATAGATGAATCTTTGAACTTTGATCAAGATGGCGAAGTTCGTTATTTTGGACCGACTAGTGGACGCTTGCTGTTTCAGTCTTCGACGACTAGTGAGTGGATTATTTCTTGTAATTTTCTTTCATACACAATTGCTGACTATGGATAGCCTCCCCCGAGGAAGATACTCCTCCAACAGATGCTTCCTATACCGGGGGCTCTGGAGTCACACCAGATACTCCTGATTTGATATCTCCGCACTGTGCTACAAAGTATCATGAATGCCCCTTTGAGCCCGATGCGCCCCCAATCTCCGAAGAGCTCCAGGCCCATTTGATCAATCTATACTTCGATTGGGACCAACCATGGCTGCAAGTTGTGAATGAGCAGCTGTTTCGCGAAAGCCTAGCCTCTGGGGGTCGATACTGCAGTCCTCTTCTGTTAAATTGCATTCTTGCCGTCGGTTCCCGATATTGCGATAGAATAGAGGTTCGGACAGACCCCAATGATTCCAACACAGCGGGCAAAATGTTTATTTGCGTGGCGGAGAGGCTTATAAACAACGACCTTCGCTGGCCCAAGATTACAACTATTCAGTCCTTGACAATCATGGGAATGTATTATATTGTACGTTACACGTCGGATTTGGCTAGAATTTTGGCTAATTTTGATAATTTGCAGGCAACGGGATCTGATGCAGCAGGCTGGCTTCAACAAGGTATGGCTAACCGCTTGGCCATTGATATGGGCTTCAACATGGACCCTGCGGTTCTCACAGGGACTGTTTCTCTTCCGGCGATTGAAATCGAGTTACGAAGGCAAATTTACTGGGCGTTGTACTGCCATGATAAGTTGTCGGCCTGCTATACAGGGAGGGTCTGCACACTGTTGGTATGGTACATTCGCATTTTCTTCCCCTGGAGCACAGCTAATATCAAACCAGGACTCCCAAGGTGCTGTGAATAAGCCCGATCTGGAGTGCGTCTCTGGTGTTCAATTGCCTTCTGCCAACGGACAGCTGCGAGCAGCTAATCAGAAGACTGTCACTCAGCTGCAGAGGTCAATGATTGATCTATGCCGCATCATCGAAAAGATCCTACGTTCTCTGTAAGAACCAAATATCAGCACTGATAGCTAGCTCTTACTAATGCCAACTTAGATGGTCCCCTAAACCACTTCTCCATTGTCATCAACGAGCTGCATTCTTCGACACCGCCCTCCTCGAACTAAAGACGTGGTACTACGACCTCCCATCCGAGCTGAAGGTTGACCGTCCATCAGGACCCTCCCGATTCCCGCACGCTTTTACCTTGTCAATGGTATATCACCAGGCAGTTATCTTACTCTGCTGCCCATTCGTTTCCTCCAACACGCAGTCCACATCCCCCAAAAATGGTGATACCGTGCAACAGTCACCACAGCCAAACGATAAACAATCACCAAACTCACGATACGCAAAAGCCCTTTCAAGCTGCAGCAACTCGATTCGAGTAATGTGCTGCATCGCACAAAGATATCGGCAGACATTTGGCAGTTTCAAGCTCAGCCCCATCACCGCTACACATTGCACGTTATCCACAGCGCTGATGCTCATCGAGCTATGTTGCGCTGCTAAGCCCGTCGCCAAGCATTCCCCAACAGATGACGGGCCGCACCGATTACCTCCACATGCTGCGGTAGCTCTATGCTTCCAGGTTCTGCGAGAGCTGTCTACATCGTGGAATATCGCTAAGCGTATTGGGAGGAATTTGGAGAGGGTTTATATCGAGAGATATGGTTCTGAACATCTGGCGTTCATGCCAAAAGAGGGAGAAGAAAATGGCCAGGTTCTGCTTGAGGAACCCAAGTTTACCACCGCAGGCGATTTCACAATCCCCAATCTGGAGATGTTTGATGATATCCTCAATGCCAGGCCATTCCTCACTGAGGATCCACTACAAGTTGGCGTCGAAATACCCGTTGAGTTTAATCAACCACCAAATTTCAGTCGACCTGGCATACCTGCCATGGCATTGCATTCCTCTGGGGATACCCAGAACTTTCCGAATCAAGACGAGGCATTTGTGAATAGTCATGGATATGCGTTCTCCCTGGACTCTCTGCCGAGTGATTACAATATGTTCGACACGTTGAATCAAATGTATCTAGAGGACAGTTGGTAATGAGCTAAAAATGAAATACGATAATGATGCACTATTCTATCACAGGCACGATTCCTGTTAATAAGAATGACAACTTTTGGTATCATTAAACACGATCACCTTGAATGCGTAATTTCTCACGAGGCTGCAATGTCAGCTGCAATCTTTTCGGCAAGCATATCTTCGGGATCGTCAGTAACATTCCAAGTACATGATAATATCATTGAAAATTAACTCACAAACAGTGGATTGAGGATGGCCCGGGGGTAATATTGGAAAAGCACTGGCATCCACGACTCTCAGTCCAGACACCCCAAACACCCTTGCACAACTATCGACGACCGCCATGCTATCATTTTGAACCCCCATCTTGCAGGTACATGCAGCATGGTAAATTGTCATCATCGACTGCTTGATTACTTCGAGTATTTCCTCGTCCGTTTCGACCTCGAGCCCCGGAAAAAGCTCTTCTCCCGTAAGAACCCAATCCATAACCGCGGTATTGAAAATACCCCGGATTCGCCTGTAGGACGCAATTGCAACCTTTTGGTCGGTGTCAGTCTCCAGCCAATTCGGATTTATGATCGGCGGGTCAATCATATTTGCCGATCGTATGGTGACATTCCCGCGTGAGGTGGGTGCAACGAGCGTGGCAACAATGCTTCCATACTGACCCTTGACGGGTTGCTGCCCAAAAGGATTCGAATAATTGCCGACATAAGCAGCGGCAGCTAGATACTACGAACGTTATTAGCTGGCCTCTTTCTGAAAAATCAAAATTGATTAGAATGTATCTCACCTCTACTTCAGGCCAATCTGCAGGGAACCAGGAAAGATCTCGCTCCATTTTGGCGGAGAAAATCGATCGATGTGGTGCTGGAAGCTTTTCAAATGCAAGTAAATCGGTGGATGGGTTCGTCAAGAAACCTTGATGCCAAAGAGCCCAATATAGGATCTGGGTTACAAGTTCAACTTTGCTCTGCGTCATACCTGTGAAAGTCTTCATAGCGACCGGGTATGATGGTCCAAAGAAAACATGATCCCACATGTTCTGACCCACGCCAGGACGGTCGGCAATGATTTTGATTCCATGCTTCTGTAATATGTTGGCGGGACCAATGCCAGAGACCATCAGAAGTTGAGGAGACTGAAATGCGCCTGCAGATATGATAACCTCTTTTCTTGCTTTCAAAGTGTGCGCTCCAAATTGTTTGACTCTAACCCCGACCGCTCGGCTTTTATTGTCGAACAGAATCTTCTCTGCCAGGGCCTTTTGATATATGGTCAAATCACTGAGATGTAACGCTCCAATGAATGCAGACTCGGAGCTGCTTCTTGTTTGATCGATTGCTCTGATGGTCATTGTGCAGAATTGGTGACCAAGAAGGGATCCGCTATTGAGATCCTCTACTTCAGGTATTCCAGCCTCTGTGAAAGCTGCCGATACCCATTTTGAAAATGGCATGGAAAGTTCCGGATACGACACGTGCAAAGGACCGCCCCAAGAACTAAAGGCAGATTCGTTGTATGGCCCTTCTCGAGCTTCAGGGCGTGTGAACTTTGCTGTTTGCTTATAGAACGAAAGGACGTTTTCGAATAGGTAGCTGGAATCGTCAGTGAGTTCGGCCCACCTCCTCATGGCATCCTTGGATGGCCTATTCGAATGTTAGCATTGAACAAGCAAGGGATGCAAGGTCCTGACCGTTGGTATATCATGAAGTTCACGGCAGACCTGAACAGGACATATTAGCTTCTGCGGACCTATCCAAAAGCTGACAAGGGTGTGCACTTACGATCCACCCATACATTTTCCCCTTGGATAGTGGATATCCCGATAGCCTGCACCTGTGCCCCCATGGACTACAAAGCCCCAGTCGACAAACGATGACATTTTTGGATCAGCACCGATACCTAGAATAGCGGCGCCCGGTACTCGAGCAGAAGGGTGCTTGATTTCGTAATAACCCCCGGCTTCCACGAGTGCAACTCGAAAGCCGTGCTCGACCAGCCGGGCTGCAATGGTGATACCCGCTGTGCCTCCACCAACCACCACATAGTCGAATGTTGCATCGAGAGTGCACCATGTGTAGAAGGCGACGATACTGAGGAGGACAGCAAGAATGGCTTCTGTCAGCTGAAAAATAGAGAAGAACATTGAATCAGCCGTTTCGAGCCAAGGAAAATCGGGCAGCCAGACCTGAGAGCCTGAAAATCTCATGTCTGGGCATCTCGTGGTTTCCTTATTCAGCTGGATATTGCCCAAGGCAGTTTCCAGTCTCTCCGACCATTTTCCTTTGAACGCTCCTCCATAATGGTAGTTTCTAGAATTTGGCAAACTGTATGATGAGAATTTGAATTGAAGTTTGCTTGTATGCATGCTTTGCTGATGTTGTTTGATTGCTTCACTATAAAACCCATGATCTTATGATTCGCCATCTTCCTGTTCAACAAATTCCTACGAGTTATGGCGATTAATTCTTCTGATAATCATCTCAAAATGACTTTTAAACGCAGCTCTTCTGTCGAGTCGATGTCGAAAATACCGCAAGCATCCACTTACTTCGCCAGCTTTTCTGGCTTCGATCACGAGCCCAACAGCCCCGTGAGTGAGGAGTTCAAGCGCCTGGCCAAGTGGAGAGGTTGGAAAACTGGATCCAAAAACTGGAGGAAGAACTGGAATCGCTGCATAACCGAACAGTATGATTTACTGATCGGAGACCGAATTAATGACCTCGCAACCTGGCAGCAAATGTGCCGGAAGCTCGATATTTTGGGCGAATTTCCATCGATCACCAAATGTCGGAAGGTGGGTGTTCTTTACCTCTGTCATGTACAGCCAATCAAGCTAACGATATGCTTTGCATGTCCATTCAGGCGCTCTCGCATGTCTATGTGAACCTCGTCGATTTGTTGGAGTGCTGGGAGGACGAACGATCACCCGAGCTCTTCGAAAACGCCAAGCAATTGTCGATTTACACCAAGCGCGAGAGCAAGTTCTTCGGTCGGCAGATTGCCAAGCAAGACAAAGCGTTGCGCACCTTGCTGAAGAGGATCGGCTGAAGTCGCTTGTGCTCACCCTGTTCCGAGGTCCTTATCATGTGCGAAAACTCTGATTCGCTCTGTGCCGCTTGATGGCGTTTTGGCAAGGGATTTATGGTTTAGGGGGCGTTTACCTTGGGACTTTTGCATGGGGCTCGGTGCAATTCCAATTCTTATTTGAGCGTGCTGATATCTTTATCTGCTGCTTATCCACATCAGGCGATGTTTTCTTGCATTTGGCTTTCCTTGGGGCTGAAGGAGCGTAAGATTCAGGCAGGGGTGCCCCTAAGCAATTTACACAGTAGGAAGGTCTTCGCCGTTAGCGCGAAGCCGATAGAACATTCACCAATAGACAGCGGGCATTTTAAAGTAGACCCACTTGAGTATCAAGATCTGATAGGACGATACCAGATCTCAAGCTTTTAGTCTCCTCCGTGGGGGCTGTATGGTTCTGGTTAATAAAGCCATGAGCAAGGTGAGTGGTTCCTCGGTAAGCGCTACCAAGCCAATGACAAGACATCCAATGAGAAAACCGCCTCTGAACCTTGATCGCGAGCCTGTGCGGGGCGGAGAAACAAAAAAAGCCACGAAATGCCCACGTACTGCACCACTGACAACCGGTTTCTCTCGGGGTCCGCCGAAGCTTCGGCCCGTGATCTTCTCTTTATTTTATTTATTTATTTTTTTTTCTCTTGCTTTTGCCTTCGCTCTGTCTTTTTCTTCCCTTCGCCTCTAAATCACCTTATCGATCATCCGACTTCAATCGATATACAACATGGCGGATATTACGACCGCCAACGCAGATGGGCTTCATCAAATACGGAATCGTCTTGGCCGACAGGTTGAGATCGTGGGACCGGATGGACAACACAGGAAAATCGCTGTCGCCGATTTGACTGAAGCTGACAATGAGCTTGCGGTCAGATTTGGGTACAACCCAGTGTTCAAACGTGAGTTTGGATACTTGGCAACCTTCTCATTTGCAGTCAGTATCAGTGGTGTGTTCGCAACCATCATGACCACCCTATCGTACCCGTTGATGGCGGGTGGCAGCAGTGCGGTGGTGTGGTGTTGGGCCATCTCTGGTTTTGGCTGCATGTGTATTGCGGTAAGTACACTGAGAGCGTGATCACGCCTCGCTTATCTACGGAAGATATGCGAACTGATATGATGATGTAGTGCTCTGTGGCTGAATTGGTCTCTGCTTACCCAACGGCTGGTGGACTATACTTTACTATCTCTCGTATGGCGCCAAGTAAATGGGTTCCCTCAATCAGCTGGGTCACTGGCTGGCTCAATCTCATTGGCCAAATCGCCGGTGTGGCTTCATCTGAATACGGCGCTGCCCAGATGCTTCTCGCCGCGGTGTCCATGAGCCGGAACTTCAATTACACCATTACCACCGACACGACCGTCGGTGTGATGGCTGCTTTGACTGTCTCTACTGGCGTAGTGAACTCCTTGTCGACCTACTGGATGGAGAAGATGACCAAGTGGTACGTGATCTTCCATATTGCAGTGCTTGTGGCATGTGCCATCGCCCTGCTGGTTCTCACCAAAGACAAGCATGATGCAAGCTATGTTTTTACTCATGTTGAATCAACAAACGGATGGACTCCCATCGGTTTCAGCTGGCTATTTGGTTTCTTGTCTGTCAGCTGGACTATGACCGACTACGATGCAACTGCCCACATCACGGAGGAGATGAGTGAGCCCGAGAAGAAGGCACCCTGGGCTATCTCTATGGCGATGCTCTTTACCTACGTTGCCGGTTTTCTCTTTAACATCGTCCTCTGCTTCTGCATGGGCGACACAACTGCCATTCTAAGTTCCCCAATGCAGCAGCCCGTGGCTCAAATCTTCTATAACAGTCTTGGTAAGGGTGGTGGTATGTTCTTTACCATTGCGGCCCTCCTTATCATCAAGTTTGTTACCTTCACTGCTATGCAGTCTCTTGGACGTACTGTCTTCGCCTTCTCCCGTGACCGTATGCTGCCCTTTTCCAACATTTGGATCAAGGTCACTCCCTGGACCGGTACACCTTTGTACGCCGTCTGGATCTCAGTGTTCTTCTGTATTGCGATCAACTTGATTGCATTGGGATCTTACATCGCCATTAGCGGTATTTTCACTCTTTGTGCCATTGCTTTGGATTGGAGTTACTGCATTCCGATTCTCTGCAAGCTGATGTTTGGCAACTTCGAGCCCGGTCCATGGCACATGGGAGTTTTGAGTCCCTGGGTGAACGCCTGGGCCTGTCTGTGGACGCTCTTTGTTAGCATCATTTTTGTCCTACCCACAGCTATGCCCGTCTTAGCGGACAACGTATGTACCACAACACCCTCTCGTTGCTCTATTCGCTGACATGACCACAGATGAACTACGCCTGTGTATACTTGGCCGCCGTTCTGCTCTTCTCTTTGTTGTATTGGTTCATCCGTGGAAAGGCCGTCTACACTGGTCCGGTCACCGAGGCTATTGCCGACGAAATGTCCGAGGAGGAAGTTGTCATCAACGACAAGAGAAATGACCATGGTCCATCCGTCTAATCACTGAAAACCCGCCAGCAATCCCCCGTGCGACATACCCCGCCACCCCTTGCGACCTAATACGGCCCATATACCCGGCTCCCAAAATATTAACCCTGGCCTTTGCGACTTGGCCACCACTACGTTCGACCTGTGCGATACTATCTAACCATGCGCTTGCCCTTGCCCTGCTCTTAATTCCGATCCTGACCCATGCTACGACAACCCATGTGAAACGCCCCTTTCCAAGGATTTCCAATTGCCATGCGACCTTCCGATTGTATAGCTGCCATTGCGCCAATCCCGTTCGGATCGCCTGAGGGGCCTTAACCTTGCGACAACCTTGACCAATTCGACAACTTCTGGTCAGAATGAATGAAATATTGACTGGAGAGAAATAGTGGAACCATATGCTAGGACTGTACATAATTGACTACTCCAGATATGCATGTACCAATCTTTATTCGAACTGAAACAAGGCTCTTGCAGTCGTGACGGGATCGCCGCAAATACTGGGACTGTTGTGATAAGGAAAGGAGATTCAACGACTATTCGAGAATATGCACCAATACCTGGTCGAAACGGGGATGCTCCACGAGGCCCACTACGCACCCACCACCCATGCGACTATCAAGACCAGATTGATAGCGCCGAACGGTACCCACCCAATCATTCTTGGCAGGCTTATCAGTCCCATGCATTTTTGGGAGATAGCTTTCCCAACCGACATCACCAAATTGATGATTCGAAACGCGCGATCTAAATGTATCAAGTCTGCGTTTGCCAATGCGATTTTCCAAATCTGAGCCCTAAGCTGCGTCCACTTCGACTTTGCCCTAGCAGCCTCCCGGTCCCACTATCCGATTCGATACTGAGTAGGATCCCAGAAATAATCAGCCCATTTACCCTACGTGAACAGAATTCTTGTCTCTGTCCGCTGTGCGGTCCCGGAAAGATCTCCCAGCTTGAAAGTGCCGCTTTAAGTGCAAAGGCTCCAATCGCATTCTCAATCTGCCACCTTCAGATCTGAAGCGCCATCCATCTAGGTCAAACTTTCTATCCCATGTTCATCAGAAATGTAACACCGCACCATAAGCCTCTCAGTTAGAGGTTCGAATCCAGCATTCCGCAAATGTCGTCACCATATCCATAGACATTAATAGCGGACTGTACCCCTTTCTTTCAGCCGTTAAAGAACGCTAGTTAATGTGCATGGAAATGACTACGCCGATTTCCGCAAAGGGAACCGATTTCCAAAAGAACAGTTGAAGTTACAAATCCGACATTACTTCCGCCGATTGCGCGGTCTTTATGATCTCCTATCTCTCGCGAGGGAGCCCAGAGGAATGATCATGATAGACATAAAGGAAAATGACGAAAGTGGTAAATTAGAGATCTAGACAAGGATAACTCCGCCATATGTATTATTCAGCCTGACGCTCAAGGGGTCTCCAAGCAATCCCAGATATTACCAAGCCATGGTGTTAATTGAAGCAAGCCAAACCCGGCTATCGATCTGAGACAATATTCAAATCAACATCGTCTTTGGGTTTGACAATCCGAGGATAGAGGCGCTCAAGTTCCACCTATTGACAAATAGGCAAGCCATCTGGTCCTTGATAGATAGCCTCATTGGATCAGTGAATGGAGGATTCAAGGTTTTCGCCTATGTGGTCAATAATCTAACATAGTGAATGAAGCCTTTCCAAAGGAGTGCCGAGTCTCCAGCACCTACTACACGCCACATTCTTCTACTGCATCTGGCATGCGAACTCCTCTTCAAACCGGGGTCATCAAGGCACCATGGTTCCTGCGCTAATGCAAAGGCGTTTCGGCCTCTCCGTGAAGAAGCTCCTCAAGCGATTTCTCGTTGCCGACCAAGCTTTTAAAGCCATGAATATAAAATATTTCTGGCGATGGGAGGAGCTCACATCGGATAAATTTCTTAATACCTTGTTGGACTAAACCAATTAAAGAACTAAATATTGCAGTTATAGCACCTAATCATCAACATACTACTAATACAGTCGAACTATTTTCTTGAGTTTACAGCGGGCGAATCGCCAGCTGAAGCCGCGAAAGGAATAATTTGTGATTATTCGGCCAATCCACCTGCACTCCTGGGGCTATGTATCTCATCCCAAGCACCTCAATAACCTTGAGAATCAATTATGAGAATAGTCGAAGCTGGAACCATCAGAAATACTCTGACAAAAGTTACCTACTCTGTTGCCAGTGTGGACAAGAAACAAGTCCAGCCCAAGGCCAATGGAGACGACAAAACTGATCACATCCTGACGGATATTTGGTCTGCCAAATTTATGACGGGATCGCAAAGTTTACTGAAGCTCTTTCAATGAAGAATCTGTTCCTGTTCAACCTCAGCCCCAAGAGAGGCTTCTGGGTCTTCATATATAACCAGAAGGTGGAAGACATCTCCTTGGACTTCGAACAGAACCGAAATTTCAAGGAAAGAACGCTATTGTATGTTCTCGAAGAAACATCAAGGGAGGCTCTTGAGATTGCCCGCAATCCAAAGTTTCCTGACTTGGAGAAGAAAGCTGAAGGACTAAAGCATCTCTCAAATCTGGGGCGAACGCGGAAGTTGATCTTGACCATCTTGCTACTCTGATGACCGACGTCAATGGCGAGGAGAAGCCGAACCTACTAAAGCCGTGGAATACGCTGTCTTGAACACTTTTCGGCCTCTTCGGGCTCGGGAACCATAGAGATATAAGCTCGAAGAGCAGAGATTTTATGCTTTCTGAAATTAAGAGCAATTTAGTCTAAGCCACGCCCTAGATTATTAGATTACTGTAGTGTAGGTCAAGTAGAGCTTGAGTAGCCGACACGGGACTTAATTATTCTCGAGCTATGGATTGCAGTAGGTAAATCAACCGTGTGGCAAAGTCGAGTAAGACACAAAGCACACAACTTCTTGACCGACTCCCCGAGATTACGGCATTTTTTCGGCTTTTACGGGGTCGAAATATCTAATGAAAGAGAGCTCATTTGGAAAGGTATTGAAATTGCCGCTGACATCTAGGGCCCGTGACAAAGAAACTTACCTTAGCTAGCGCTCTTATCCCGATAAGGCTGCCAGAAGACCACTACATAAAGAGAAACCAACTCGGCTCCGATGAACTTTCCCTTTGGAACAACGATCCCAGTAGGACTTGACAAAGGCACGTACAAAGCCCACCTTGCGCGTACCTTGTACCCACAGCTGATCGGTGCAGGGGGCACCGTTCCGTTGTTCAACCTCCCATTGGCCAAATCAGTCTGCTCGGCGTCGTATATTCCCTGCATCCACTGCTTCCATGGAATTCCATTCCAAGTTTCCTGCGCTCTTGGCAGCACGAGATTCGGAGCGGGTATGCAGGTATGCAATTTTCCGTACAACTGTACTCCGTGCTCCTGGCGTGATGCGATCCACTATTAAGGGGACGCATAAGCAATTATATGCCATACTCAGCAGGGCCTCTTTCGCTACTGGGGGCATCCTTGTGGATCTGCCCCCAAATACGAACAAAGAACGCGTCTCACTTCAAAGGCGTGATTGGTGCTAGCGATCACCAGCAACCCGCTTGCTGTGTGACCACCTTGCTTCACTGACCGCATCGGATTTGATATATTGGAAGCGGCTTGAAGCCTATATATTACAAATATGAGCTACCGGGCACTTCCAGGTTTTAGCGTTAGCCGACAGCCGATCCCTCATGCGGCTCTACCATTGGTCAGGAATGTGCATCGCAAGGGGGCCCAGCGACCTGAACACGAGTATGGATTATATTAAAGCTCAGCAGCTCTTTGAATACACATTCTAGCACGAACGAAAAGCCACGGATGAGCATTGAAGTATATAGAAGCGAGCGAGGCGATCGACCCGACCAGCCGAATGATCTCATGTCTTTGTGGGGCAAATGTCGAAATGCGGAGAAAGCGGGTGGGCCGATCTCTGGATCTGGATGTCATTTACCCCTAGACTTCTCTTCCAGGTTCACCAGGGGTGTTGAATTGGTACCTCGGAAAGAGGAGAATTTTGATTTCATTTTGATAGAAGTCGTAAGCTTTGACAGGCCATAAAGCTTAGATCCAGTAAGAGTGAAGATCGGGGGAAGACTTGTCTCAGCTCCATGGCGTGCTATGGCGAAATCGACGGGCGACGGTTGCGTGCTGTAGATCCGCAGTCCAAGACATTAGGTTAAAGCCACGAGGTTACAGTTGAGCTCCGACTCACCTATTTCAACCTTGTTTTCCTCTTTTTTTTCTTTTTGTTCTTGAGCGTCTCTTTTATAATATACGCAGTCATGGGGCGATTAAATGGTACCAAGCTGGGCGCTTTCCGAGCTTATTTCCTCGGTTTCTTTATCTGTCTCGCTGGGTTCCTATTTGGATATGACACAGGAATCGTGGGTAAGTGGAGCATGTAGCTCATAGCCCTATTCCTGACTTCGACGGGGACTAACGTGAGTGTCCTAGGTGGAATCCTCGAGTTCCCGTCCTATATGGATGATTTCGGCTACACCGATGAAACAACCGTCGATGCAGTGATGGTCAGTCTGCAAAATGTGGGCGCCTTCTTTGCTGCTCTCGCCATCTTCCCCATATCCGAGCGCTTCGGCCGCAAGAAGACTATCCAGACCTCCATGGCCATTTTCTGCGTTGGTGTCATCTTGCAAGTGGTGCCGTCCCACTCATTGGTCTGTTTCTATATCGGCCGTGTGGTCTCGGGCGTTGGCCTCGGTGGTGCGACCGCTGTCGTACCAACATACAGTGCTGAGATGGCACCCAAGGAGATCCGCGGTATGCTTGGTTCAGGTGTGCAGTGGCTTTTCGCCTTGGGTGTGATGACGAGTTACTGGATTGATTACGCCGTTGAGCAGACCCTAGCGGGGCAGTCCAAGGAGTGGCAGATTCCCGTTGGTCTGCAATTGGTGCCTTCTTCCATTCTGGCTTTGGGTCTCTTCACCCAGCCAGAGAGTTGCCGCTGGTTGGCAAAGAAGGGACGTATGGAGGAGGCGTGGCAGAGCTTGGCTTGGATGCGTGCAGACGACGGTGAGTAATTCATTACTTTCAACGCATGATGATTAGCGATACTAATTATACCCGTATCCAGGTCCCGCCGTCAAAGCCGAGTTCAACGAGATTAAAATCGGTCTGCAAGAAGAGGCCAAGGCCACAGAAGGCCTCAGGAAAAAGAACTCCTGCAACCCGCCAACCGATACCGACTAGCTCTCGCAGCCCTGATGTTCTGCGGTCAGCAATGCACCGGAATGACAGCCCTAGCCTACTACGGCCCACAATTCTTCAAGATCATCGTCGGCGACGACAGCAGCCGCTCCCTCCTCGTAACTGGCCTCTTTGGCGCTGAGAAATTCGTCACCGTCGGTACCTACATCCTCTTCTTCTCCGAAATGTGGGGACGCAAGCCTACCCTCTGGATTGGTAACCTTCTCATGGCATGCTGCTTCATCACCGTAGTAGCCGTGAACAAAACGACCGATTCTCTCGACGCAGAAGGAAACCCATCCAGCGCAGGAATCGCTACGGTCTTTATGATCTTCCTCAGCAACTCGATCTACCAGTTCAGCTGGGGTCCTATTCCCTGGCCCTACACGACCGAGATCTTCCCCTCACGTATCCGTGAGATCGGATCCTCGGTCGCCGTCTCATCACAATGGCTCTTCAATTTCCTTTTCTCGCTTACGACACCTTATATGATTAGTGCATGGGGCACCTACACTTTCATCTTCTATGCTGGATTAGATATCATCATGGCTATCTCCGTTTTCCTTTTCGTCAAGGAAACTCGGGGTAAGTCACTTGAGGAGATGGAGAGTATCTTTCACAGTGCTGCTGCGTTTGATGTGGAGATTGCTCGGCATGAGGGCCTGGCGATCCAGGATGAGAACTTAAGCGCGCTAGAGGTGCATGAGAATTTAAAGAGTCCGGATACTAAGAAGAGTCAGGATTCTTCGGATTAATGGGTTATGATCTTTTATAGCGAATCTTTTTTTGTTTTTCATGTTTTGTCTTTTGGGACATTGGTTCTAGAATAGAGCCTGCAGGATTGGCTTGATGATATACCCGTGGACAATGAACCTTTTCTCAGCTCCGTGGTCAGAATATATTAATGATACAAATAGAAGGAAATGGGTTACCTTCCTTCTTTCAAATCGAGGCATCTACTACATTCCAATGTCTAAAATCATACAATAGGATTACTATGTAATGCTCCTGAATTTCATAGATTGGTCATTCCTCTAGGCGACTCGCCATATTATTACAGTATCAACAATAGTTTTCTATCAGATCCATGAAGGTCGCACACTGGAACATGATATTTACAATGCCTTCTTTCCCTCATCCTCACGCTGCTTCTGAACTACATACCCAACTGCACGGGTAATACCCTCATCAACGGGGACAACGGGCAGGTAAGCGAGACGATACTTGGCCTTCTCAATAGAGTAGTACCGTGTCATGCATGAGTACCGGACCATGCGCTGCGTCAAACGAGGAGTCTTTCCAAACACTCCCATAACAGTCTCCGCAATGCCACCAATCACACCCAGCAGACCCTCGGGCAAAGCCCAAACCTCATTAGGCTCGACAATCCGGTCGATCAACGCCCACATAGCGCGGGTGGCATCCCAGAAGTAAATAGGGGAGTCATTGGTAATGTTGAACGCCTCACCATCAACACGCTCGTGGTCCAGGGGCCCGCCCTGACCGGACTCGTAGCGGGTGTAGGAGGCCAGCAGGCGGTGTGCAGCCAGCATGTGTGCGTAGGCAATGTTGCCGACGTAGGTGAAGTCGAACAAGTTGTCGTTGTCACCGAGCTGCATCTTCAGCACGGTAGAGGAGGCCTTGGAGCCGTGCTCGAGGATCTTGTGGGTGACGGTTGTGTCCTTCTCGCCGAGAATACCAGCGGGGCGGATAGCGGCTGTGACCATTCCGGTGGGGGATTGACGGTTGTACTTGAGGACGAGTTCTTCGGCATCGGCCTAGAGCAAAGGGGGATTAGCTTCGTTATTTGCAATTGGGGGTGGGGGTTGCAATTGAGATCCGAGTAGACCTGAAGATAATTTCAACACACCTTAGTCTCTGAGTAGTACTCCTTCTGCATTTTGCCACGGATAAGAGGCCACTCCTCGTTGACATTGATCAGGTCGCTCTGGGTATCGTGCACCACGGAGCTAGAGCTCGTGTACACAAAAGCCTTACACTTGCCACCCCAATCGCCGTGCTCGCCACCAGCAACCTCAACCAGAGTGCGGGTTCCATCCACATTAACCTTGCGCAGCAGAGGTTTGTTTCCGTCCAACACCGAGGGAGTAGCAGTGTGAATGACAACGTCGGGCTTCACGGCGCGGAAAACCTCGAGCATGGACTCAACGGAGGTAATATCGCCATCGTAGTAAGTCGCACCGGGAAGACGGTTGTGCGTAGTGCGCAGATCCACGACCGAGACCTTGGCCTGGTAATCTGGGAACCGGGAACCGAGTGTCGGGACCTCGAAGCGCGCATCACCGGTAATCTTGGGCAGTGCGACACTGGGGTCTGTCTCGGAGGGGAAGTTCAGTAGGTGATCGACAATGTGCCACCCCAGGAAGCCGCAGCCACCAACGACCAGGACATTGCCCAGTTCCAAATTGCGTCGCTTTGCAGACATTGTGATTGATCGAAGTTAGGGGTCTATCTGGTTGCGCAAGTGTGGAGTGAAAAGGGGAGAACTTGGGGCGGGATCAGCTGACTGATAAGTGTTATCGTGGTCTTTTGCACAGCTCGACTCCGCAACCTTAACCTTGGAATTGTTCTACGTCCTGAAACTATAGGTATATTGGAAATGAATGAATTTCTATGATGCTAACCATCATCAACGACTGGCCTGAGCAAACATGTGTGGTCAGCAGGAATGGTAAAGAAAACATTCATTGTTATCCTGAACTTCTTCGAAACTGGGGGTATTATTGAATCAAGATTGTATGCAAAGGGTAGACAACATCAAGCATCTGATGAAGAGCTGAATGATGTGGTTTGTGTCTCGGCTCAAAGATTCCTGGGCGAATTAGCATTTCACAGCATGAACTTTCTAAAACGAATGCAACATACTCGAGACTGTCGGCGACAGATCGACGAAGCCGACGATTGTACTCCCTCTTCTCACCGGCATTGCCCCAGCAAAGCCGGGCACTTTCTTGATTAACAACCATGAGTGGATTACAGATCGGCCACTTCTCCTCCAAGGCGAATAAGATACCCTCGATATGACGAATCATTTCATCAGCACGCACAGGAAGATAGATCAGCATCTGATCAGTCGCCACGCGGACGTGGAACAGCGGTGTCTCCATGTAAACACGAGGCTGGTCGTTCGGGTGATTAGGGCTGATGTGAATTTTAATCTTGAAAACGCCATCATCGACTGGCGTACCCGAGCGACCGAAGTACGTGATACGCCAGAGAAAAGGGTTATTATCAATCAAAGCCAGGTCAAATATGGCGCTCGAGCGGTGGGACATCTCCGAGACAATCTGCGCCAGTTGAGCGCGCAAACTAACTGCGAGGCCAGACTCCTTCTTTTCGAGTGTCAGGCCTGCGTTGGGCCATTCGTTGGTTTCTTTCATCAAAGCCTTCTCCAGTGCCTCAAAGCGGGACATCAATTGGGGGTAATTCCATTGGCCTACCATGCCATTGTCGTGCGATTCAAAGAGGGTCTGGGAGAAAGGCTGACCAGCGCAAATTTCCGTGTTATCAATGCCATCTTGAATCGCCTTTTTGTACTGCTCTCGATACCACAGAAAGCGTTGTTTACAGAAATCGATGAACGGGCCCAGCGTGGAATCGAATTCTTTTCCTCCTTTGGACTTGGGTTGTTTGCTTGAAGATGAATCCTTGGATATGCCCATGGCCAGTTCGAGAGGCGCAATGACCGTGAGTCTCAGATTCTCATGGGCAATCTGTTATCAATGAGTCAGCGAACCTTTAATCTGTGGGCAGATTTCCTACCTTTGCACTGTAGTCCTTGCTGGATTGTTTGTCATTGGGGGAGCGGGGATTTTCGAAGCCAGGCTCCAAGGTGTACGGGGTTGCGGAGAGCAAGCTCTGGATTGAGAGCAAAACCGACTCTAAGCCCTGAGCGGGGGACCATTCTTCATTTGGCGGCCCCGGCCATGTCCTACAGATCGTTAGCAAGTGACAAACTGAACGTAGCGCCAAACAGAAGACTTGCCCAATGATTGACCTAATTGAATGGTTAGTTCTAGCTGAGGGGAAGGACACGCTCGAATGCACTTACAAACAGATCTTGCCACATGCATAGAGATTAGGGCCAAAGCGAGTTTTGCCTTGATTTGTGGTCCGCAGGGTAACTATTGGAGGCCGAGCAGGGTAGTCTGGGAGATCTTGGATTAGTAGTCACATGTTTAACAGGGTGAGGTGTTACTCAACGTACCAAGGGGGATCGAAATGGCTAACTGTTTGGGTATATAATTTATGAGCACATCATGTAGCGTAACCCTGTTGTGAAAACCTATCAAACCCACCTGATAGAATCCAAAGGCATAAGGAGTATCTGGAGGCCCAATGAGTAGAGCGGTGATTTGGCGGATATTCTTCTCGGAGTAGTGGATGGTCATGGCTGCGATATGTCAGTGCCAGCCTTAGAATATATCATCAGCATTATCGCATGTTGTTACCTACCTAGTTGATCATCCTTTTCGAACAACCGAACCTCCTAATGTAAGCCTCTGTCAGTATTTTGCTTGGCCATGGGATGGGTCTTGCATACCCGGAGGATACGGATGAGGCTCTGATCTGCCATATTGGCCAATCTAGTGAGCCCAGTCGTGTCAAAGATTGGAAAAGAAAGCAGCACAATTTTCCGGGGTAGAAATGAAGCGGGAAAGAAGTAAAGTGGAAGATTGGTCAGGCGGGCGGTCGTAGGGAGAGGGTTGCAGTGAACGTTCTGCGATGATCATGATCTATTGAGCATAGGAAAGATCGTCTAGGTACTTATCAACGTCACTTTCGGCTGAGCCTTTTTCAAAAAGCTGTTTCTCTCGCAGTTGCAAACATGAATAAAGACTTGCCGTGTTAAGTGTTGACGTCGTGGTTCTGTCAACCATTTTCTTGCCCGGGAACCTACATATCACGCATATATACCTTCCACAAGGGGCATCCTTGGGTACGAAGGTATTTATAGTTTGCGGCCTACCCACGGCTTACCACATCAATAAAAGAGACGATTCTCAATATATACTCTTGTTGTCTAAACGATTATGCTTAATTCATATCCATAAAGCCATGTTGGCCCTGAAAGACAATTAAAGCAAGAAATCTGCTAAGTGGAGCACTGAAACCTAACATGGTGAAACAGAGCGCGTGCTATAATAACGCGGGAAACCATGGGTGAGCATGTCTGGGTCGGGGAACCGCCAACAAACCAGGACACCTAGGCAGTACAGTAGATGATCCAAATCCTCTGGAACACATCCTATCACCTCATTCTAATTCTTCTTCATTATTTTCTATTTTTCATTCTACTTATAGACTATTCTACTGATCGTCGGGGCGGTGTGCCACGTGACTTCAGGGACCGCGCCTAATAATACATTGGCATTATAGTCCAAATTAGGGGGGCAGCACCACAAGTCCAATTAGCACCCAAACCTTCTCCATCTCCATTCCTCAGCCCCCCCACTTCTTTTCCCACCAACCCCCCCTAACACTATCACCGTTGTGGTTCTTTCTTACTCTTCTCTTTGGGTCTGATTACTCTCTGGCCTCCTTGTCCTTGGTCCTTCGTGCGCCGCTCCCGAGCTCCTCAGCCTTGAACCCCCGCGTCCTGGTCTGCGCGTTAAGCACCTGACTTCCTGTACACCAATCCGACACATACCGATCATCACTCCCTGCAGGACCTTGCTTTTCGCGTAACAGCGTCAAGTTGCCCCCCCCCCGCTACTATCACCCCCGCGTGGTGGAAATACATGGCGTGAGGAGTGAGTAATGAATCCTCCCCGAAGACTCGATCCCAAAACCACATCAAACGAGTCCTAACCAAACAATCTGGACTTGCAATAGGACTTACCCAATATTGTTTGCGAATCTCTCCCTGCGCGCATTGCACAGTTGTGTTAGCCAGACACAACGATTAATTCAATCCCACGCCGTCACTCCTTTAGTTCCTTTGCATGCAGTATTCACCGTGTGACTGTGCCCGCGATTCGATTCTGTTGATTTCTGACGGGGGACCATCATGCCCCCCGGTGAACTTCCGGCCAGCCTGGTCGCAGGCAAGCCCACTCCGACTTTAAATACCTCGGGCTACGGGGGCAGTTACTCGAAAAATACACCTACCTCGCCCGAAGATAGTTTAATCCCATTTGACTCGCCCACCACGCGCACGGCAGGAAACCATAGCCCGCTCAGTCAGGATGATCGCCCGGGTCGGGGATTAGAACCTGAACAACCTGGCTATCGGGATCGATCCAATGCGAGGGATCGATCGCGTACCAATGGAAGATCACACAACAAGTCACCTGGCTCCTCACGCATCTGCCAAAAGTGCAATGAGCCACTGACTGGTCAGTTTGTTCGAGCGCTGGGTGGTACATTCCATCTCGAGTGTTTCAAGTGCGAGGTAAGTGATTGACTCGTGGGGGATGCGTTGATCCCCATGCTGACCATTTGATTGCAGGATTGCGGTGAGATTGTCGCTTCCAAATTCTTCCCCGTCGACTCAGAGGACCACAATCTCCAATTTCCTCTGTGCGAGACCGACTACTTTCGACGACTGAACCTGTTGTGCCATGATTGTGGTGGTGCCTTGCGCGGCTCATATATTACCGCATTAGATCGCAAGTACCATATTGAACATTTTACCTGCTCAGTATGTCCGACCGTGTTTGGAGCCCAGGATTCGTACTATGAGCATGAGGGTAAGGTCTATTGTCACTTTCACTACTCGACGCATTTCGCACAGCGGTGTCATGGCTGCCATACTGCGATTCTCAAGCAATTTGTCGAGATCTTCCGCAATGGTCAAAATCAGCATTGGCACCCGGAGTGCTACATGATACACAAGTTTTGGAATGTGCGGCTGTCTCCTGCTGGTCAAGCGTGGGAGACCCCACCGCTTGATGAGGATGCTACTCCTGAGGAACGGGAGCGCATTCGACGGGAAGAGGATACGATGGAGGAGAAAGTTTACAACATTTGGAGCACACTATCGACCTTTGAAGAGTCATCAGCCGCTTGCATATCGGATATGCTGTTGCATGTCAGCAATGGTGTTTACATTGATGGAGTCCTCGTGGCGAAGAGATTCATCGCTCATGTGGAGATTCTTTTCACTGCCGTTGATGAGCTGGCTACCTTTATCAAGTCTCAAGGGGTGAAGGAACTTTCATATGGCCGAGAAGCGAAGCTGCTCTGCAAAAAGATTGTGGCCTTCTTTGCTCTGTTGTCGAAAACACAGGAGACTGGGGTTCGGAAGCTTGGTGTAACACAGGAGCTACTTTCACTGGTGACGGGTCTTGCCCACTACCTCAAGCTACTTATTCGCATCGGCCTCCAAGGTGCTTTGAAGCTCGAACGGGAGAAATCAGCTCCTGATGGCCTGCATGAGTTCCTGGGCCATCTGGCCAACACGGAATCATTGGCCCAGCCAGAGGATGAGGATGGCCCAATTGATCTCAATGCCGGGGTGGAAGGTCTGGCAGATCAACTTTCAGACTGTTGCATTCAATGCAAGGAGCCCATTGATGATGAGTGTCTTCGTTTGGAAGACAAGCGTTGGCACCTTAAGCCTCCCCATCTATCATGCTCTTCTTGTGAGAAAGATTTGAGCGCTGAACTGCCTGATGCCCTCTGGAGTGAGACTGAGAAGAGCATCTACTGCTCGGCATGTGCTGATCAGCATAATGTGGCATCTACCGCACAAACTGGGTTCATCCAAGTGACCAAGTTGCAGCAATTTGTGTTCCTGCTGAGAGTTGCCTTGGCCAGATTGCTTGCTGTGCTTCGTGCGGGTGGCACATTGCCTCACACCTCTGATGATCCCAATTTGAATGATTATCAAAACAACGAAGGCCACCGAGTGCAGCCTGGCGAGCCTCGCCGAGCCAACACACGTTCCATGTCATATAGTGCCGGTGGTCGCGAGGGAATGGCAGAATCGTCACTCGAGCAGACTGTCGGTGAGATGCGCAGACTACGCTCAATCCGCAACGAACGCACTTTATCTACGACGTATAAGAAAGCTCGGGCGTCTCGCATTATCGACGGCCCCGAGGGCAGAAGTGCACGACCTGGATCATCTGGCAATGACGGTAGCGACCCTAGAGGTCCCGGGTTCCAGATCGTCGAGGAGAGAGATGCCAATGGCGATACTGTCAAGGACTTGACATTTGGAGCCCAGGATGCACTCACTTTAGACGATATTCCGCGGATTGTTGCCGCCGAGCAGGCTAAGGAACAGCGGCCCAATGCTTACAGACACGCTGGATCGAAGCTTGTCGCGCCCCAGGAGCCGATGCCTGTCTACAAGGCCGGTCATCAACGCGAGATGTCGGCCGGAAGGTTGGATATGATGCTTGAGCCTGCGACGCGCACCAAGCGATACTTTTCCGAACTTACTGCCTTGGAATACTTCATCGTGCGCCACGTTGCTGTGCTGTCAATGGAGCCACTGCTAGAAGGCCAATTCAACATGGAAGAATTACTCTCTCTCATCGAGTCCCGCAAGCCAACTGTCTGGAACATCTTTGGCCGTGCCTTCAAAGATAACAAGAAGGCGGGCAAGAGGAAGGGTATCTTCGGCGTATCTCTGGACTACTTGGTCGAGAAAGAAGGGGGAACCGAATCTAGCCATGGTGTTGGACCGGGCGCTTTGCGTATTCCCGCGGTTGTGGATGACGCCGTCTCTGCAATGCGACAAATGGACATGTCTGTCGAGGGTGTCTTCCGAAAGAACGGTAATATTCGACGACTGAAGGATCTCGCCGAGCTTATCGACAAGAAGTACGAGTCTGTCGATATGACCAAAGAGAATCCGGTGCAGATTGCAGCCCTATTGAAGAAATTCCTTCGTGAGATGCCGGATCCATTGTTGACGTTCAAACTGCATCGTCTTTGGGTAGCCGCACAAAGTGAGTGTTGATACCGTATTTCTTGCCACCTTCAAGCTAACCCATGTAACAGAATTGCCCGATCCTGAGAAGCAGAAGCGACTCCTACACCTCACGTGTTGTCTCCTCCCTAAGGCTCACCGTGATACAATGGAGGTACTCTTCTCTTTCCTCAACTGGACATCATCCTTCTCGCATGTAGATGAAGATTCTGGAAGCAAGATGGACATCCACAACCTAGCAACAGTCATCACACCCAACATTCTCTATCCCAATGCCAAGACCAGCACGGTGGATGAGAGCTTCTTGGCTATCGAGGCTGTCAATGCGCTAATCACGTATAACGACAACATGTGCGAGGTAAGTAACCCCCTACCTTCAAGTCTTGATGACATTAGTCTTATTATAATTTTAGATTCCCGAGGACCTGCAATCCATCCTCAGCGATCCCACGTTGTTCAGAGAAAATGCAGAAGTTACCACAAAGGAGATTCTTAAACGCTATGGTGACATTGCCCGTGGAAGTTTCTCAACACGACCTGACAATGGCGGTGAGACTTTCACAATCACCAACTCCAGCCGACATAACACCCCAACCTCGGCTCGTATCGAATCCGATCCTTCCCAGGACGCAGCCTGGCAAATGCAAAGCTCTGTTCGCCACGTGCCTGGCCCAAGCGGCCACTCTCATTCGACGAGTGCTGCTCCCCAGGCCGGATTGGATTTTGTACCACCAGAGCCTAGCTACCGTCGTGACCGCAGTACCAGCAATGGCAGTCAACAAAATGCCGACGGTCAGTCACCAAATGTCCCCTATCGACCTCGTCCTAGTCCAGGTGCTATGGGCGTCACAGGGTAGACTTTGTTTCTCTTCCTTTCTTCATGCACAGTTAATACACCATTCATCGATGACCTGATTTGCATCAACCAACCTGGCGCCATACCTCCCTGTCCGTGGTGTACTTTTTCTTCTTTTACCCACTCTATTTCCTTTCTAGCTTCTGGGGGCTTGTTTTAGCGTTGTTCTGTGTTGTCTTTTCATCTCGACTGACAGGTTTGGTTGACGGAGTTCTTCATTCCCTTTTCTTTTCTACTACCTACATACATCAAAATTCTTTCAAAAGTGATCAGCGAGCTGATTGGTCCGATGGATTCGTGTCTGTTCTTTTCTCATTCCATCTTTGACTAACAGAATATTTCCTTCTGTTCTGTTTTCTTTTCATTTTCTTTTCTCCCTTCTTGCTTGCATCTGATTCTGGGGATCAGTCATACCCATACCGTCACATTCCTACTTCGTCGCCGTGGGACTCTTCTACGTCCCTCGTTCATCTAATCTCGAGCATGTTCCAGTCTATCTCGTGTTGAGACCAGGGCTCCGAGCTACCTTGGTCTCCCTTCTCGTCCTTCCCACCATTTTCCTTTCTGCCTTCGATCTGGCGCTATAAGATCAAGGATTCTTCTTCCCTTTCTTTTTTCTCTTCTTTTCTCCCTCTTGACTATTGTTGCTCGTCAACCAGCATGATTGCTATGATACCATTGCTGAGTCTAAATGTAGCTGTTACTTTACCATGTTGACCTTCCATTCTTCGATATTGCTACTTGGGATTTAATTGGCCATTGGAATAGAGCCGTGGTTCTGGGTCTTCCTACCTGTTGGGTAGTTAATCTAGTTTCCGTACGATTCTTCTCAATGAAGGCTGTGTTAAAACCAATTGCATCAGGTTATCATGCAGCGCATGGATATTTCAAAACAAAACTTTGGCTCAATACCAATCAGACCCGTAAGGTAGAAATTTATCACGCTAGATATCTCTAATTGAACTCGCCTTGGATGTAGCAGCTCTCAAGATTTGGTTACATTTTCAGGTTCCAAGGGCTTGTGAGTAGACCACCTGGTGATTAAATTTTATTCGAAACTTGATTCAAAGCTCATCAGCCTGAATTGAATTACAGTAGACTTCGAAGGCGCTCTATCCCACAATCTGCTTCAATAAAGTAGGATCTAGGGACGGGCATCTGGGACTTTATGGCATTAAGCTTGGGAGAGTATGCGATAAAAAGCTATCTTTAGAAGTAATGTGCATTGAGGGTCTTATCCCGCGCAAGGAGAGCCACGAAAAAAAACCTGGGTGACCAGTATCCAAGTAACACTCATGATGAATCCAACTAAAACAGCAATAACAACAGAAACAAAGAAACATTCCAAAGAAGAAGCGCCGATAGGTTTCATTCTCCTTGTCAAAATACTCCACGCTCAAGAATTATTAACTCCATCCAACTCGTGAAATGAAAAGCAGCAAGCTAAACGCTCAAGTTCGCCAAGCCATGATTACGTTGGTACTATTTTATACGCGTTTTCGCAGGGCACGGGTTCCCCGCGCGGAAGCCTCAGTTATAGAAGCTGGCGCAGTAGTCTTGCGGACAGAAGCCGCACTAGCAGCAGTCTTCTTCACTGCCAAAGATGCAGTCTGCACACGAGGGGCGGTAGGTTTCTTCGCAGCAGTGGAGGCAGTGCCAGCCGTCGCTTTGCGAGCACCAGTGCCCGTGCGAGTAGGTTTAGCCACAGTGGTCCCGGATGAGGCGTTTGAAGAAAAGCTGTTCTTGCGCTCGCCCTGTCTTGTAGCAGGTCTCGGAAGTGGAGAACGTGTAGTTGTCTTAGGGCCCGTCGCAGCGCGAGCAGTCTTTCTCGCTTGCGAGGGCTGGTTCCAGGAATCCTTGACAGTAGAGACGGTTGCGCCACGAGGGCGAGTGGTGCTGCCGGGAGCAGCGCGGAGTGGGCTTGATGGTTTCAGCGGGGAAGTAGGGCGGGATAGGTAAGATGGTTGGCCCTTTTCTGGCGAAGCACGGAAGGGCGACTGTGGGTATGTGCGGGAGTTGAGAGACTTGGGGGAGAGGATACGGTGGTCGTTGCCTCGGACTTCTTGTGAGACAACACGAGAGGTGCCGCCGACAGCAGGAGCTTTACCGCGGCGCTTGGGGTTCTGCAAGCCTTCTGGGCCGCCGTTCTCTTTGTCAGAAAAGTGGCCATCATGACTGTCAGGTTGTTAGTTGGGGAGAGCCTTCAATCAAACAGGTGGGCCGATCTTGCCTTGGGCGGCGGGTTCGTGTGCCGGCTGGGGAGAGAGCCTGGTCAATAGAACCGATGGTGGGAATGGGTCGCTGAGCCTTAGTAGGAGAGACCCTGCGCGGGGGAGAAGTGGATTGAACTTGAGCTAGGGACGCATTGTGCTTTTCGAGGAGCTCGCCCATGTTGGCTTTGCGGAGAGAGATTGGGATACGGTTGACGCGTCGTTCAATGCGCGAGCGAAGGTCGTGCGCCTGCAGAGCATATTGGGATCGGAGCTTGCGAGCTCGCTCAGTAACTGCAAAGCACTGTCAGCATCTGTTCTGGCAGACGGGTCAGGTATCTAACGCACTTTCAAGTTGAAGATTGTCGATTAACGCCTGCTTCTGGTTCTGGGTCAGACGCAGCTTCTTGACTGGTCGACCTGTAGGGGTAGCATCTGGTGCAGAAAGGAACTCGGGGGATTTGCGCTTTAAAGTAGCCATTGTTGTGGTCTGAATCGTGACGAATAGAGTTAACGGTTTAACGGCTGGAGGTGTAGAGTCGAGAGTGGAGCGCGGAGTCACAACAAACAAGCGTGTGCGGGCGGAGGAATCCGGCAGAACCGAGCTCTACCTTCCATCGTCATCAGCGACTTGGGACCCCGTTAACGACCATCTCTTCTATCGCTCATCCCCACACCCATTATCTTTCAGCTCCGTTGATCACACCGCCATCATGTCTCTCGAAGCTACGATGATCATGTCCGTCATTGTGTCCCCCACTCGCAAGCTAATAGCAGCACTGACCTCTTCTGCAGTGTCGACAACAGCGAAAGCAGTCGCAATGGAGACTATACGTGAGCTTGTCCACCCTCCCCCTCGCTTTGGTTAGACCGTCTAACCATCTCAGATCAACTCGGTGGCAAGCTCAAGTCGATGCCGTTAGCATTATCCACAGTGTGAAGATGCGCGTACACCCGCAGTCGGCAGTCGGCCTGATGAGCATGGGCGGCAACGGTCCCGAAGTGCTCTCGACATTCACGTCCGACTTTGGCAGCATCCTAGCTGGTCTTCACCGGACCAAGATTCACGGCACGTCGCATCTCAGCTCGAGTATTCAGGTCGCAGGCGTAAGTATTCATCACTGGGAAGGGCAATGGCATGGCGGACAATACTGATACTACAATACAGTTGGCCCTTAAACACCGATCTGAGAAGTCGCAACGGCAACGAATCATCGTGTTCTCCTGCTCGCCAATCCAAGAAGACGAAAAAACGCTCGTCAAGCTCGCCAAGAAAATGAAGAAGAACAATGTCTCGATCGACGTGGTGGCATTCGGTGACCTGGAATCCGACCAAACCAAGAAGCTAGAGGCCTTTGTGGATAATGTGACGAGTGGTGAAGGCTCTTACCTAGCTATCATTCCTCCGGGCCCGCACCTGCTCAGTGAAGAGCTGCAGCAGACCCCGATCCTGGCAGGTGAGGGTGCTGGAGCCTCTGCCCCATCTGGTGGTGAGGGTGGTGAGGCCGGTGGCTTCAACTTCGAGGATGCGGCAGAGGATGATCCGGAGCTCGCATTCGCTTTGCGGTTATCACTCGAGGAGGAGAAGAACCGACAGGACAAGGAGAAGCGTGATCGCGAGGAGCAGGAGGGCAAGACGGAACTGGGTGGCATTCCCGAAGAAGGTCAGGGCGAATCTAGTGGTGACAAGAAGGATGACGACAAGATGGACACTGCGTAGATTGCCTGAGCTTTCTTGTGGAAACGATCTGTGATGCATACCCGGCGTTTTAAGTCTTTTCTTGTTGTCTTTCTGTATTCTGTATACTCGAACATCTCCTATGCTAGGCGCTGTTCTAAATAGGCTAAATAGGGGACGAGGGAAATATTGATGCAATTGGTATTAAGCACAAATCCGGAGTAACCCCAGTCCGTACAGCCAGTAAACATAAAATCAACAGCAATGAAAGTCTAGTCATAAAGTCGTGATCCCACTTGGCTACTGGGGGCATGACACTATGTCCTCCCCCTCAACCAGGCCCCAAGATGCCGATCAAAAGCCTCGCATCGTACCGGCATCTCTAGCTGGTAGAACGGATTCTTCATAACATAATCCGCATACAGCTCATATATCTTATTGATAATCGACTCCACACTCCCCGAAACTGGATCCGTAAAAAGCAGGAACTTGGTCCCCGTCAGGGTCTGGAAACAAGTCAATCGAAACTTATCCGTCTCAAGCTGTTCGAGACCGGAGATCGGAACACCGGGTACTGGGTAGCTGTATCCAGATGTAGAGGGGGCATTTGTGCCGGGCGAGGAGGGAACGGGGGAGGCCGTAGTCTGGAGCGGAATTTTAGGGGTAATGGAGCGAGTGATTGCGTGGACACTGTGGAGCTATCATTAGTGCTTGTCAGGGGTAGGTATGTGGAGTGCTAGACATGATGCGATCATGGCAGCTGGAGAGATTAATTTACCCGTGAAAGGTACCGGCGAGGACGAGGTAGTCGTTTGTGGAGAGCTTGTGCAGGCCGGCTTGGAATTCACGTTGGTAGATTAGACCACCGGCCTTGTTGATGATGATGAGGGAGAAGACAGTCCTGAGGTTGGTCAGTTGCGCGCTCGTGGTAGCTTCCGGGGAGGGGGCCGCACATGATGCCGGTGATGAGGAGTGTTGATGCAGACGTGGTCGGAGGGGATGGGAGTTATTGCGCTTGTAGCATGCCTGATAAGATCGGAATACTATGGAAAGCAGAATGGGGGGATAATGGAGGTTGTTTGAAGGAATTGGAGAATCTAAATCCCCATGGCAATGTCATGCAGGAGCTGGTTGGAGTCGCGGGGATTCGACGTCGAGCACGTATTTATTCCATATAGCGCTAAGGGAGATAGGCGGGGCATATACGATAACAGCCAATAGGCGGTCTGTAAATCGGGCAGTTGTCTAGATTATAGAGGGCTCACCAAATGAGGTGAAGAACACCGAAATATATATCTTGAGGTTAGAACTTTACATTGTCACCCAATTGCTTGTAAGACACCCAGGTCAATTGGAATAAGAACTCGAACAACGGTTTCCATGCTAACTACTTCAAATTTCCGCAAGTTGTCATAAATTACGATAAAGCCCTCAAATGCTTGCATTCTAGTTGGTGGCCAGCACCGTACTAATCTCCACGACACTCTGCAGAACATATAAGTGACAATCCAAAGAGCGGAGCGTGAGCAGAAGAACCGTGAACGTACCGGGCCACGTCCACCCTGAGTCTCATAAGACTTGCTCTCATACTTAACAGCGCCAGCAGCCCCGCTGCCACCGGCCTTGACATAAGCCAAGTAATCCGGCGCACCGGGCATATCAGTGTTATCGGCGATCGCCAGCGATCCCTCACGCCAAAGCTTCAGCTCCTCAATAAGCTGGAGGTCAGAAAGATAAAACTTCTCCCAGTGATCGAAGAACGCCATATCAACACTAAGGACCTTGCCCTCGTTGACAAGCTTCTGTAGACACTCCGAGCCGGGGCCCTCAAGAACATGCACGACATCCTCCACACCGGCAAGCTTAACCAAGTCCCGTGTAAGAGCAACCATCATGGGGTTCGGGTCGAAGGTGTACACATTGACATCATCGGGAACCTTCTCACCGTGGATATCACGGAGAATAGCACTCCAAGCCAAAGCCGACTTGCCGACAAAGGTGCCGAATTCTAGAATGGTCCGGGGAGCAGGCTTCTGAGCGACGAGAGCTGCCTTGGCGACATCAAGCTTCTTTGAGCGGAAGATCATCATGTGGCCCTTTTCGTTGGAGAAGGTTTCGATGGCATCAGCCAAGGCCCAGGGGTTGTTTTCGAAGTTACTCGCGGGCTGGCAGAAGATGTACTCGCGCAACTCAAGGGCGCGCTGAGCGAAGATCTCTTGCAGATTGTCGGACGCCATGCTGAGCAGTTTTGTTCTGAGACGTTGGAATGGAAGAGATTATTGTAAATGGATTCCAAGCGGAATGAGGGTAAGGCCGAAGAGGATGAGAAGGTAGCGGGGCCGAAATGAGAACATGGTGAGGGCATGGACAATCCCTTTTAAACACCCCAGGGGCGCAGTTGCACATGGGTCTCGTGCGGATACTACTTGTGTCGCCATCGGTGCTAAGAACCCTACGAATGCCTGTGGGTCAGTGGATGCAATCTTCTCCGAGCATTGTAGCCTAAAAGATATACCGACAGGGTCGTCCGACCCGGGTAATTATGTAGCTGGATGTTTGGACCGGGTAACGAAGGCCAGAATATAGTCATAGCCAATCACGGATACCATGGACCCTGGCATCGATTTTAAATATGCTAAGCTTGTAGTATGTAGATCGTTATCCCCGATGCCGATGTGCCGATTTGGGACGGAGTATATCCGGGCTCTCGGGTCTTTTAACTGAATTTGGTTTCCAAAGCCGAGGTTCCGCAATGCAGCGCCACGGACTGACGAATAGCATCAGAGAAGGGTGAGGACTTACATTGTGGCGTAGAATAAGCGTGATAAATCTAGTTTTTTGTTCCGTCTTTATGCATGGGAGATCTTAAGCGAAGTACACAGCGGGATCAGCCGAGTAGGGTTGACTGTTGACGTAGCACTGATCAAATGAGTTTTTGGGGACCTTGAGAGTAATATGACCTTGGCTTTGATCTGTTGAATAGATTGTGCTCTTATTCTAACTGGTGCCATAATTCATTCAAGGTACCAGTAAACTTGACGTGTGTGGCTTGTCTCTTCATGCGGGCTTAACAATTCGTGCATGATACGCCTGGCTACATAAAGGTTCATAGTTAATTTTTTCCTCGACTTGCTCAACCCTGATGAGTCTATGGGAATAATTATCGGTGTAGATTAGTGTCATACAGACGTCGGTACGTGGTAAATACATGTGTAATTCAGATTGAATGCACTGGTATGTGGCCGGGCCACTGTATAGCAAGCAAGAAGTGCAGACCAGCAGGTATCTAAAGATCTCAAGTCAGCCTACACCAAAGCATCAACTGATCTAATTCTCTCCATTTAACATTGTAAAATGCAACAAAGCGTCAATTTGGCAATTTTCAATCCTATCTAAAGCTCATAGCAACCTGGGTGCCTTGAAGTGCCGCAGACTCGGAATAGTATGCAGGCCCAAATGCGTCCTCAGCCTCCTCAGCCCGTACACCAATTCATGCCAGACCTGATCCATTTCGACATGACACACTAGAAGTAGATCCACAGCAGTAGGCAGCCTTGGAACCCCACGGGACAACCTTAAGTCAATCTGGCGGTCCATCCCGCCGGAGCCACACAGTCGCAGCCTTGCCGTCGAAGGTTGCCATTTCCGACATTGGCAGTGGAGTCATCACGGACCAAATGAGCTTATTTCTACTACCCTTAGAAGACATTGAATAAATCAAATTGAATAAGCGAGGGGATGTGTTCGCCAGCGCCAGAAACCGAGTTTGCAGATCAAATAGCGTGCAAAGGTTTCTGGTCCATTCAGATTATATTCATATACGCAGTAGCGATAGCGCGAGCACATTTTTGCTACAATGTTCTAATTATTTAGACATAAAGTCACTGGCTGAGTTCTAACCACGGATATTCCTATTCATGTTTGCATCGTACTCGTACCCCGGCCTCCTTTGAGGCCACAATTATGATGACTGCAGAGCAATTAAATCGGGATTAATTTAGGGCAATTACAATCACATTCAGCAAGTCAATGTAGCTTACAAACTCGGCATCCTGTCGGTAAAATATGTACCACATGGATTGACGTGGCGTCTCCACAGAGCAAAAGCACCCGGGTGCCCGTCTTCTCTGTGTCAGTGCATCTCTACACAGTCTGTGGCCATATGCATAGCTACCTCATCATGAAACAATTCGCCCCAAGCACCCTGCAATGACTGCCGGCCAAGTGTCTCGGGACAAAGCGTCACCCAGATCGAGAAGACCTTTGGGGACTACAATGTATGTAGACAAGCACGATCGGACCACGGAACAGGAAAAGGGGTGCAATTTTAATTACGCTCCACAACCAGACCACAGTGTTCCCCAAAAGAACATAGTGTTAGACGGAACATCGCCGCTCCGTCCCTCTTTATCCACGAAAAAGAAAATAATAAAACTACCCACGAACTAAAAAATGAAACTCAAATCACACCCAAAGAGGAAAACAATCAAATGGGCAACAGTGGATCAGGATTGACGAATCGGACTCGAGTTCTGCACCGTTGCCTGGATTTTACCGAGCACACCAATCAAATCGCATTAGCGTCGGAATACCCTCCTTATCTCGAAACAACGCTTGCGAGTAGGTTACCGGATCTGGACACCTGTCATATGCTCAGGCATTTAATCATACGGTTGACAAATGAAAAAGAACCCAGAAATAGAAGTCCACGATCTACAGTCCAAAGTACGGAACTAGTCCGATCCCATCAGGATCAACATAGCCTCATTAAAGCCAGATCATACGTCAAAAACGTGGCCAACGTGGCAAGATGCAGACTAGACTAGTGCTCACATCCCAATCAAACCTCGCCCAACGACCAAAGACCAGGAACTTTCGGATGGCTTAGCGCCGAGTGAAGGATTCCTGAAATGAGTTTCATGTCGGTGTGCGCCGTCTCCACGCTAAACGACTAGCTAAGTAAGGAGTCCCAAGTTCTATTCTTGTCTCTATGGAATGTTGACAGGTCCACGGAGGAGGACGCTGATCTGATGATCATTAAATTTAATAGTGGTACCCATATCTGCCTTATTTTAGTAATCTAAATCCAAAGTCTGAGATATGCCTTGGAGCTGTTAGGGATAGTCGGGGTTACGCGGAGATACGCCCGTTCAGTGCCGTCAGGGCCGGTGTTTTTGGCGCATGCAACCGGTGACGAAAGTTTGGTTCGTATTGTTTGGTTCCAAGGTTGGACCCTGGGGTGATCCGATCTGCAGCTCGGAGATGCTCGGGTCCTGACCCAGTACAAATGTCGATAGCAGATATATTATCGAATTTGTGATGCGCGGTAAAATTGAAAAAAATTGAAAAAAATTGAAAAGAGGGTATATTTCATGATCATAATGCTGCCATGCTCTAATATCTAAGCATTGAAAGGAAAAGATTCATATAATACAAAATCACAACGTCCGAGTCTATCGGAACAGTAGGCCCCAACACCAAACAAAAAACCCAAGCAAGCCCAGATACCGCCCCAAAATATCAAACCCATGGTGTAGCCAAGATGTGTCATAGCACAGCACAAAGCTACAATCCCACCAAACTAGCCAATCTCCAACCACCATCAACACCAACCAAAATGCCCTGCTCAACTCCCCATTCCCTCAGCGCAAGATCCTCCTCTTCCACCCCCAGAACACGTCGATCTTCCCTCTCGAAGTGGCGACCGATATGTTCCATGCGCACGTCCCAGCTTCCTTCACCCGAGAATACTTCCTTACAGAATCCACAGTGACTCTGCAGGGGCGGGGTTCGTAGACCGTGCCAGCAGCGCTGACGGACCTCTTCTAGACTGGCTTCGAAGGCATTACGTTCTTCCTCAGAGGGGGCTCGTCGGTCTCCAGGTTGATGCCAGGGTGCGTGCATGCGGCGGTGATGTTGCGTGAAAAGGTCTTTGCGGTTGAAATCGTTCGGTTGGCCCGGGGGAGGTGTAGAGCATCGTCCAGGAAGGGGACATTGTGTCTTTGACGTAGAAGTAGATGTAGAAAGGAGGGGTGTAGGTATTTGTTGGTGGTAAGCACTACATTTTCCAACATCACAGCGATAAAACCCAAGCTGCAAATGCTGCGACGTAACATGGCGCTTCCACTCATTCTTCGAGACGAACGTACTTTCGCAACCGTACGGTGCGAAACTGCAGGTGAATGTCCGGGCTGAACTGTTATTACCGGTGGTCCCGCGTCGCCGCCTGCTGCGACCAGGGTTGGAAGTTGGTCTGCGCTCAGCTGATTTGCGAACCCCCTTGGAAGTAGACGTTGAAGCTGCCGCTCTAGCCGGGCGGCTCTTGTTTTGGCGAATAGGTTGCGGAAAGGCCAGCTCTGTGGGGAAAGGAGCGGACCATTGTTGTTCGGGCGTAACATTTCGGTCCGATTGACTGCCCGACCAGGCATCGAATTCTGTATCGAATGGCGAAGGATGATCGAGAGGCCTATCGAGGGGAGACTGGGAAAAGGCGATTGAGTGGTCAATATCGACAAGTCCGTCGGGCGCGGGGTATTCATCGATGGGAAGAGAGATATCCTCGTGACGGAAAGCTGGTGATGCGATGCAATTCATGCCTAGGATACTGCCGCTATTGCTGCTGCGGGGACTTTGGGGATCGGATATTGTCGAGAGGCCGCTGTTCCAGGCGGAGAAATCAGGGGGAAGATAACCCATGTTAAGGGCGGCGTCTTCGGCCTGACACCATGGTTGCGGGGTCATGATTTCGTTCGATTTTGGCTCCAGTGGCAGGTGAAATTGGAACTGGGAAGCACGAGTCACAAATGGGTGATCGGCCGGTAGAGAGGGATCATAGATATCGTATGTCTGAGGGGCAGACATAGACTCAATAGGGATATCGGTAAAAGGAGGATAAGAATCCATCATCTATAGCCCTATTTTTGATTGTTTAGGGTAAATAGAAGAAAGGTAGGATGAAAGGTTGGAGGAAAAAAAGTCAAAAGGAAGATGGAGCCGTGACAAGGACCCTCCGGTATAAATAATGGGCTGCACGTATGTGACGAGCTCCATCGAGACCCGTACTGGCGGGTGCGTTGCATCAATAGATGCGAAAGCCATAACGGCCCAGGGAAAGGCGCAGTGGATCAGTCCAGTGGGGCGTAGATGAGCCTCAAAATCCGACCAATGGCGGACACTGGACTAGGACTAGTCGCGAGGGCCAAGAGCTGCTTAGGGACAAAAAGACCCATAATTAATGGATTAGGGCTTGAGTCATAGCGCATTAACGTCTAGTGCAGTGTTCACGCTTCATATTGAAATCCCACGGGGCATAATGGCAAACCTTGAATAGCCCCTAACCCCAAGTGGTCCGTGTAGAGGATCGCAGTTCTAACTTCTTTTGGACTTCATTTGGACCCCAAATGCCCACCCGATTGACCTGGCCCGGTTTAATGAATTTTGGAATTCCTAATTCTACTTTTTTAATTTCGAATTTCGATTTCCCCTGCACTCACAGACTCAGGGAATCAGGCCCCTAGTTCCCCGCATACCCTGAGCACCCTCGTTTCATCCCGGCCCCCGACGATCACCAACACACGTTAATCTGAGACAGAAATAGCAATTCGAGCGGAGAAGACCCGAACCCTGAATAACCTACGTTATGTTGTCGCCATCACGCATAAATACGTTCATTCGGATTTCGTCAACACCAATCCCTATCCAAAGGTCTCCTATCCTTTCCCAAAAAATGGTGTTGCGATCGACACTCCGGACTCCTGAGCTATGAAGTAATCTCATTTGATTTCTCATCACATTCTAATCCCTGCTAGTACAGTGGTCTAAAATGTAGAACAAAGAATCACTGATTTGATCACAGAAACTAGCAAGTGCGATGACACAATAGACACGGGTAAAATGTCCCCCACGCTCATCTTCTCGCTTGTGAGCACGGACTCTGACTAGATTATCCGAACACCCCAATGAGCCGCGCTTGAGGATTCTCGTGCTGCAGATCGAAGTCTGATAAATGTATCTCCAATACCGTATCTTAGGTATGAATTAGCTGTGGTACGGAGGCTGAGGCTAGACGGCGGTGTTCCTGCTCACCGTGGCTTAGTCAGACCACCCCACCCGGCTCTCGGCACAACTTTAGTTCACGGAAACATCTATCGATAGTTATCACTTGTACCATAGGAAAAGGCTTCTATGGCCTCATATTTCCGAAGCCACAGGAAGAGATAGTTGGAACTGGCAAGGTTTGAATCGCAAACATTCTCTCAAACCTCCACGTCTTTTCAATGTTAACAGAGAAGCCCAAAGCCACCCGAAAAATATATACGTGCCAAATGACCATAGCAGGAATCAAAAAGGCAAGGGAATGTTTCGCCATCCCAGAACGTCAAGCAGTTGAGTAGCCATCTTTTCAATGATGGACCTCATTTTCACTTAATTGGCAACCCACCTATTCGGGTATCACGGAAGATCAGCCGTAACCGTCGATCGATATCCAAGACCTCCGCTGATGAGCTTCAATGACAGCGATGTTTCACAATATCGCATAGTAATATCTCCATTTGACTATGTGATCAATACGCACGATGCATATTTGGTTGAGTGGAGAGCCAATTGTGACTTTGTGCCCTATCTAGAAAAGAAGAGGGCGCAGTTCAACATCAATTCGTCTTAGTATCATAACTAGATTGACACCCAGACTATAAATGCAATTCCCGGGCATGGTGATTAGAACCGTTATTGATAAACACCCTGCAAGCTACTCTACTCTCAAACACCGTGAAGGTCGTCAATCTAGCAGCCTCTGCGGAGTATTTTCACGAGTACTAAAGGGCGAGCACCTAAGCTCTCTAGTTCGGGTGATGCAGGCCAAAAAAGCAAATCTCTTCTATCACTCGATGATTCGCCGGCGGCCTGTACGCAGCAGTGACGTAGTAGTCTCGCCCGGGTCATGCATTTAATGTTCCGAAATCCTAAATCCCACGGCCTAATTGTGGTCGAGCCGGCCTGCCAAAGTGAAGGGCGGAAAGGCAGCTCTTTCTGGCGCTGGGAGCAGTCAATCTTGGCGACTCTCCAGGTCCTTGTATTCTAGTTCCCAAAGAGCAGGATGAACTTTCTTGTAAGGCTATAATGTTCATTGCTGGGGTTAATTCAATGAAATAAACCAATATTTGATTCCTATACAGAATTAAGATTATCTATGGAGCAAATGGATTTAATTTGGGTCGAGACCACGGGCCTGACCTAAAATCCGCCCCCACGGAGTGGAGAATTGAGTGGAGTGAAAACTTTGCGCTCGCTCACTCCTGCTTCTGCCTCACCTTGCGAGACCAGTTCTTTGGTACCCGAACCAACCAATAGAGGAACACAGCCATGAAAACATTGAAGATAATGTAAGCAAAGATCAAGCCGATGTTCCTCCAGTGGTCGCTAAAGTAGATGTTGAGAGCGGCCAAGAACTCGTCCGTGGTGGAGATCGAACAGAGTTGGCAATTCTCCGTCGCTTCCGGGTTGAGCAGGGTCGCATGGTATTGTGTCGCATAGAAATCCAGGTATTGGGAACAGTTCTGTCCGGTAGGTGGCGGGATGGTTAGGAGCTCGATATCCGAACAATGGGCACTATTCCCTGACAACCCTGTGGATAGGACGGCAGAAACCAGGTACGTGAATGGCGAGACGCGGTACATGAAGATCCAGAACCGGGGCAATTGGGTGGGACTTGAGAGGACACTAGAGAAAGCCAAGATAAGTAAGTGGGCGTAGATCATCAAAGGAGAAAAAAAAAAGTGCCAAGGTTGGGAGAACTCAGTGATATGGGGCAAACTTACCCGTTAAAAACCAAACAAAGAGAGAAAAGCAACTGCGCGATATTACTTCCCGTCTCAGGCTGCTCGATCCCGGCGATGATCATTGAGCTGAACGTCGAGGAGAACATGAGGAAGACCAGGATAATCAAGAACATGGTCCCACCCCGCTCCATCGTTGTGCCCTCTGGTGCATTACGGTACAGTCCGATCGGGTAGTACCATGAGAAATACACAGGAACGGCCATAATTATGTTCCACGGAAGCTCGGTGAAGATACTGGCAAGCATGAATGCCTTCCAGGAATAGGCTTTTGAAGGCCGTTCACGAACTTCATACAGCGATCGCTGCGTGCAGAAACTGGGCATCATCTGTTGAACCAGATTGGGAAAAATGATGAGAAGCATGAAAATGGCGAACATCTGGTTCTGCAGGCCTTGTTGAGTGTTGGGCTCGCGCCAGAAACTGAATCCGATAAACAAGGGCTGTTAAAGGTTAGTAAGGAATGAAAGAGATAGACCATTTGAGTTCGCTGACCGGAAAAATACACATGGCAGTCTTGGAATAGAGATACCCAGGACTGCGGAAATACTGCTGGTACATGCGACGAATACAGATGAGAAACTGATACCAGATTGGAGTTGCGAACTCTCCATATCCAGCAGTCGCAGCCGCCACCGGTTTCTGGGAGAGCTCCTCTTTCATCTTGACAAGTTCCTCGCGCACAGCAACTCGTTCAGGACTATTGACCCATTCATCTGCCCAGTCACGATCCGAGTGAGAGCCTGGGGCCGCGCCAATAACCTCAAGCATCCACTCGGCAGGGTTTGCGTCCTTTGGACAGCTAATCGAGCCCTTATCCTCAAAGTACTTGATGAGAGTCTCCATGTTGGAGCCCAGATCACCAAAGTACACTGTACGGCCACCTTTGGCAAGGAACAGCAATCGGTCGAACTCCTGCATTAGGATAGCCGAGGGCTGGTGAATGGTGCAGAGAACCGCCTGGCCGTGGTTGGCGAGCTTGCGCATCAACGAGCAGATAGACCAAGCGGTTTGACTGTCAAGACCGGAGGTTGGCTCATCGAAGAACAGCAGCAGATCTGGTTTAGCCGCGATCTCAACACCAATGGTCAATCGCTTGCGTTGTTCCACGTTCAATCCTTCACCCAAGATGCCGACAACGGCTTCCGCGTATTCTTCCATGTCAAGCATCTTGATGACTTCCTCAACGTAGGCGATCTTCTCGTTGTACGGGGTCTTGTGAGGCTGACGGAGGAGCGCACTGAAAGTGAGTGCTTCACGCACAGTGCTGGTCTCCAGATGGAGATCCTGTTGTTGAACGTAGCCAGTTTTACGCTGGAACGAATGATCGCGCTGTCTACCATCCACGAGCATGTCACCGGTGATTACTCCCATGGTCACTCGGTCGGCGAGCACATCGAGTAGAGAGGTTTTACCAGCACCTGTCACGCCCATCAGGGCAGTCAAGGTGCCAGGCTTCACCCAGCCATCCACGCCGTCAAGGATACGACGGGGCTTGCCTTTGATCTTGATATCGTAGCAAACATTTTCCCAATGGAAGATAGCAGTCTGTTTAGCAAGATTGGCAGTGTGACCCTGAGGTTCACCGATGTGCTCCTTCTCTGCTAATCCGGTTTCTGAATCACTGCTGCGAGCCTTGTTCACAAAGGCAGGAATCTTGCCGCGAGGGAAGACCAAGATCTCACCCTTGGATGGCTTGGCTCGAATAAACTCGCTGGTGACAATATACAAGATCAAGAAGAAGATATAGAACGCAATCAGGATACCGAAGTTGCGCCACATGTGATCCTTGTAGTACTTGAATGTGGTGTTGATGTATTTGTCTCCGTTGACAAAGTTCTCACCAGCGACCGCGCCCTTGTCGTTACAGATTGTCGAGCTGAGAGGTGTATCTGCATAGTGCGGACCTTGAGGAACATAAGAAGAACATGGAAAATCCCGATCACTGAATTCGTTCACCATTAAGGATTCGAATGCGTACTAGCAGACGTTAGCATGAAACCACGATCCTCTACACGGGACTCTTACCGCAATGGGATTAAGCCAATTGAGCCACCTGAACCAAGGGTGCATATCACGAGTTGGAATAGCAAAACCAGTGTAGATAACTAGAATCATCATGAAGATTGAAGACGGGACCATGGCTTGGGCCATAGATCGTGAAACAGCTCCAATCCATCTAAAGATATTCGACATCACCAAGGTCGTGGTGAAAGAGAACAAAAAGAAGATAAAAAAGTGGCCGGCCGTCCGACGAAGATGAGGAATGAAATAGATAATGAGGTTAAAGAAGATAGCAATCAATATCTTTGACGGCAGCTCGACAATGTAAGAGCTGATAGCTTCGGCGGAAGGGTGGTAAAGGGCGTATTTGTAGTGTTTCTCCACGATTGGCCGTTGTTGCCACAAGATCATAATTTCCAGAGCGCTGGCGAAGGCGTTCAGCAGAACTGCGAAAAATAGTAGCGCTCCACGCTGGAAGAAGCTACCTGTGTTATCTTCCAGATTCAAAAAGACCGTAGAGACGATAATGCCCATAACCGCGTTACCAATCACAGATGCGATTGTCATGCTCATGTCTCCTTTTAACCGAAGGAATCCACGCCATAGACAGAGCTTGATCTGCATAGGATATGAAATAGTGTACGGAGAGGCAGCTCGTGAACCCTTAGACTTCTGTGCTGCACGAGACTGGTTGAATTCGTCCAGCTGGCGACCTCCAACTGGGTTCTGAGCATTCTTATCGGCAATTTCCTGAAGAAGCCTCTTCCGCTCAGGACTCGCCTTCCAGCGAGCAGCGAATTCATCCGGGGTGCGAGGGACCTGGCTTTCAAAGCCTGGACGAGCTTTGCGTTCCGAAGGACTGGTTAGAGAAGTGAGGAAGTCTGCAGTGGTTTGGCGATCGGGACAGTCGAAGCCCATATCGATAAAGAAACGACGCGCATCCTGTGCTTTGCCAAAGTAGATCTGTCGTCCCTCGTAGAGAACAATCGCCTTGTCGAAGAGGTCGTAGATGGACTGACTGGCCTGGTAAATGGCGACGACAGCTGTGGTACCACTGTAGTCGGTGGACAAACGAATGTTCTTCACGAATTCTAACGCAGTGGAACTATCGAGACCACGTGTGCTGTTATCCCAGCACTGCAGGGGGCTGCCACAGAGAGTCGTCTCGGCAATACTAACGCGCTTCCGTTCACCTCCCGAGACGCCACGAATGAAGTCATTTCCTACCTTGGTGTTAACAGTATGGGAAAGCCCAAGCATGGCCATGGTCACATCTCGCATGTGCAGGGCATACTGATCACGTGTTACGCCTGGAAGCCGATTGCTCGGAGTGCGTGCTTGAGCCGCAAAAAGCAAAGTTTCGCCGGCGGTCAACTGAGGGAAATGGATCTCCGTCTCAGCTTGATAGATGACCTCACCGCGGAAACGACTGTGCATCTGATCCCACGAGATGCCTTCATACTGTACATCCACCCCATCACCTAGGAAGAGACCATGCGTCTCACCAGCAATGGTCTTGAGAAACGTGGAACACCCACTAAGCACATGTCAGTGTGACGGCCGAAAACAGCTAAAATTAGGAAAAGGGCCCGAAACTTACCTGCCTGGTCGACCCAAGGCAACTAACATCTCCCCATGTTCGAGAATTCCCTCAAAGTCGCGCAGAATATCAATGCGCACTTTCTTTCCCAGGCCGAACATGCGTTTTGTCCCATCAATCATCTTCAGCCACACATTGGCAAAATTCAACTGGTAATCTGCCGCCGTACCATACCCAAAGACATTCAAGTTTTGAAAAGACACGCCTGCAGTACGACGCGGGAAGCGGTCAGGGTCGCGGGTCATCTGCAGGGTATTGCGAACCCATTTGCGGGAGTTAAAATCGGACGAACTAGGGTCCAACTCAGGGTTCTTGGAAGGATCAAGGAAGGTATTGATTGCATCGGACGATGAGCCGGAGCTCTGCTGTTGTGACAGTCGCGAAAAAGTGCGCGCGAGCTTTGTGATTTCTTGGTGTCGCAATTCTTCCGACTCAGCTGGTGTGACGGATTCTGTCTTCTCTTCGTGTTCGCTGAGAGAGGACGTGGTTTCTGTGGTGTTTGTCTCCTGGGCCTGCTGGACTGCGCGAGCAACAACGGCGCTTCCACCAAACGGTGCCGGGGGCTGAGGGGCCGCCATGAGTCTATCGCATGGCAGGTGGGGCACCGAGTCGAGTCTGGGGAAAGAAAGGGGAGAAGAGCAGGCGAAGAAATCATCTTGCAATAAGCCCGGGGAGCGATTACGCTTTTGGGAAAGTGATGATGTCCCGGTTCTCGGATGGAGTAAGACCCGAGTCGCCAATTTTTACTTCCGGGTCTCCTGAACCCTGTGTGTGCATGGATATCGGGCGCCTGAAAGGGATCCCGATAGATGTAAATATACTTGCTGGACCACTATCTCCGCTACGGTGAACCATGTATCGACTACTTACTTCCCGGAACTTCAAGTTGCCGTGAATCGGCGTTCAAGATCCGGGATGCACATAATAAGAGTCATGCTGGGTCATATCGAAGCGATCAGGAAATATCTCAAACTCAACCGTTTTCCTACCCAAGTATAAATGATGATTGGCCGCGTATTCGTGTCGTATTCCCCGCATCTTTAAGTGGATTCGGTGGAGTCATCCACGGATCCATCTGCATTGACCCTTTTGGGATAGCTCATATGGCCGATACGAGCTGACGAATCATGCACGTGGACCATGTGGCAGGTCACGTGTGTCATACAAAGGAACATCAATCATTCATGTTCCGATGCCACTGATCCTAGCACGGATAACATTACCTCCGGGAACCCGATACAGCGTCTAATACCCTTACCCAAAATGCAGAGATTGATATTACATGCATCCCAAAATAACACAATAAGATTATCTAGGAAGGACCACTTGCCTAGAACCCATACGGTACACTTCAAAACAAGACAAAGGATCAAATGAATGTATTGTTCAACTACTTCTAGTCCATCATGATGCTATACCCCTGAACTCGTGTGGTGAAAACCTGAGCACAAGCGAGTTAACAACCGTCACCTTCTGCTAACCATAATGGATCCATGTTGGTCAGTCATGTGATGGTTATGCGGCTGCCTAGGCTTGGTATCAAGCTTGGAACACCACTTGCTTCATATGCGATCGGTCGGGCGAGGACAGTGCAGTAACCTCGATACCATGGGCACCAGGGGGAAGAACTTGATCCTGAACACGAGTAATTTGCGTGGTTCTCAAGACGTGACCTCGACCGGAGATGGCCTCGGCAGCTACATGCATATGTATATGGCCAGATAAAAGCAGCGAGGTCTCGAATCCACTGCGCTCAGCTTCACCCAGAAACGACCGCGATCCATAATTGTCCGTCACGGCATAGAAGCGCCAAGCCACAGTCTCGGTGTCGCCGTTCCAGGAGACATACACGGCCATGCCAGAAGATGTCTTGTGTGCCACAATGGCGGGTTCTTCAGTGGGAAGGCCAGTCCAATTGAACCGGAAAGCGCGATAGTTCTGTACGCCTTCACCCAGAAGGTCCGAATCCATGTAGGCGTGAAAGATGGGGACGCTATCCGATGTGAATTCGGTCATCGCCCCCTCGGAACCCCAGTTGACCAGTGCGTTGCCATTAGGCAGGAGCTGAGTACTTCCTTGCGATTTGGCCAGGAGGTCATCGGGAGGCTGAAATGCCTGAATAATTTCCGCGGTCCAAGTTGCGGTATTGACGGAGATTACCTTTCCCTGCGAGATGGGGTACGTATGAACTTCATGACCACGGTGATTTTCAGTTCCATGAGCAGAGTTATCAAACAGTGAGATTATCTCTTTGTCACCATCGCGGGAGACGAAGCGCGCATGATGTTGGAAGCAAAATGCGACATTGGGACCAAGTTCAAAGTCGGACTTGAGACCACCTAGCCGCCAGATAATCTCCCCGGTGGCTCCATTAATCTTGTGAACGGCACAGGCATCGCGAGCAGAGATAAGGTAGTCCCCGGCTGCATCCTTGTCGACGGAGTTGATGTGGAAGTAGTCCCATGCATCAGATGAGTTCCATCCGGCACCAGCCTGGCCTGGATTCAAGGGAAGGACAGCCTCTGATCATCATTAGCCGGGAAATTTGAGAATCCTTTGATTTAGGAACATACCATCTGGACTGACATGCTCTAGACTGGACCACTCGAAAAGTAACTCACCGGTCTCGATGTCCAATTCTAGTTAGCGTCAGCAAAGTTCGCCATAATCTTCGAGTACGTTACCTAGAAAGGTATCGAGGTCGGTCCTCACCTTGAAAAATAGCATCAACAATCCATTGCTGGTCTGCACTCCCACCCCAACGGCTCAAGTCCGTCGGAATAGGCTGATAGACTTGGATCAACGCAGTCTTCCCATCAATAACTTGCAGCTCATGTTTATCCATAAACTTATGATTTCCAGCCCGCAACTCGCGAATGGTCTCATAACGATTATTCAAGATCGTGGCATGACCATGACCATGACCATAAGCTGGGTTATGATCCCCCTCAAAGCTATACAGAACATCTTGGCCTTTCCACTGTCCCTTGTGGAAGTTCGCCGCCCAGATGGAGTAGTATGTATATCCAGACCAGACGAGTTCGCCATCATCACGGAAGATATAAGGGCCTTCCTGGCGTGGGCCATGATGCTCTGGATCAACGAACTGGCCGGGGAAGGGAGCTATGAACAGATAGCCCTTTTCCACGTCGACGGTTGCTGGGATGGTGATGTTCAGACGAGGAGGAGCGAGGTCCGTGCGAGACTTGAATTGCCAGTCCGCGGCTGCAAGGGGGAGGAGCGCAGTAGCGCAGGCGAGGGTTTTGAGAACCTTCATCGTAACGGTGAGAGGGACTGGTCCAGCGATCAGTTTCCATGATGCCCGACATGATTTGTGACATAGGGTACATTAACCTTAGGTTGGTATTCTGCACTTGAAGCCGTGCGCTTTTGGATGTATATTCTGGGTTGTTCTTGAAGAAAATTGAGGTCGCGAATGGTTTCCGGAATTGTCTCAGTGTTCGAAGTGGGCTTTTTATGAGTACTTTAGTTGGTACTGCGACGTCATATCTTGAGTTCTGGTGCAAGAGAGATAATGCAAATGGAACATCAAATGTCGTGCTTGGTTCAGCGGGGCTTCATTTCCCGCATTTCCCAATCGGGTGCCCGATGCACTTCCCCTCGAATGAAATGACTAAAATTTGGAAGAGTTTTCTGTCAATGCCGATGTTTCGGCTGCACTAGCGGAAGTGACCTTTAAAAATTATAGTTTTCAATCTTAGATATCGCAATCCCCGCAATGCCGCACCCCAATACCGAACGAACTTCTGTACACTTTCACCACACCATGGAGTCAGAGCAAGAGCCTAGGATGGTTTCGAGCGAAAATGAGCCTCTTCTGGAGTCGGCTTCTCCTGTTTGGAGTCCACCGCGGGGCTTTTTCTGGATACAACTGGGTGTGTATATACTTATGTTTGCCTAGGCAATCTGTCGCAATAATCGAAAGCTAATGTGTTACAGCTATAATGTCCAATGTATTCCTGTCTGGGTTTGATGGAACAATCACCGCTTCGACATACGCAGTCATCAGTTCCGAGTTCAACGCTGCAAACACGGCGTCGTGGTTAACCACCTCCTACCTTATTACGAGCACTGCTTTTCAACCTCTTTATGGTCGCTTCTCAGATTTACTGGGCCGCCGGGCTTGTTTCTTTACTGCGACAATCACTTTCTTCACTGGTTGCTTGGGTTGTGCCCTGGCGCGAGATGTAATCTTTTTGAACATCATGCGTGCGTTGACCGGTATGGGCGGTGGTGGGTTGATGACAATGGGTGAGTCAAGTCGAAATATTGACGTCGATTTTAACTAACTTTTGGAAGCCACCATTATCAACTCGGATCTTATTCCTTTCCGCAATCGCGGGATGTATCAGGCTGTTCAAAATGCTGCGTATGGCTTTGGTGCCATCTGCGGTGCTTCCTTTGGAGGTGCTATTGTCGACACAATCGGCTGGCGCTGGTGCTTTCTAGTCCAGGTTCCTGTTTCCCTCACCGTGCTCGTCTTGGGATACTTTGTTCTCAAATTCCCTGCCAAAAGCAAGATCCTCGTACCCGGTCAACGTGGCCTCTGGCATCAGATTGATTTTCTTGGATCTTTACTGCTTATCCTGGCTCTCTCAAGTCAACTTGCTGGACTAAGCTTTGGTGGAAATGAGCTTCCTTGGACAAGTATCTGGGTGATTCTCCCTCTGGTAGCTAGTGTTGCTTTCCTAGCTGCATTTATTGCTGTGGAGGCGAAGACCACAGCTGTTCCGCTTATCCCGCTGAAGATGCTCCGTGGACTCCATCCAGTCTCTACTCAGATTGCTAATGTCTGCGTGGGAATGTCTGCATATGCCGTAAGTTTGCCCCGGAATATTATCAAGAGTAACGCTAATTTCAGCAGTTCCTCTTTACGCTACCGCTCCTCTTCCAGGTTATTCTGCTGGATAGTCCTACCAAAGCCGGTGCCCGCCTGGTCATTCCATCTCTAATGACTCCTGTTGGTGGAGTCATTGCAGGTGTAGTCATGTCACGCTGGGGCAAGCTAGCACATCTTGTGCGCGTTGGAGCCGCGTTAATGTTCATCGGAAATCTCCTAGTGACATTCCTCAACTTCAACGACTCAAACTGGAAGTACTTTGCATACATCATCCCCGCCAACTTAGGACAAGGCATTGTGTACCCAGGAATTCTATTCACCTTCCTCTCTGCGTTCGACCACGATGGTACACTTTCCCCCACATGTCATCCAAACCAAACCCCTTCGCTGACTATTTCCCAATCAGACCACGCCGTCTCAGCCTCAACAGTCTACCTAATTCGCTCCCTCGGAACAGTTTGGGGCGTCGCCATAACGTCCGCAATAATCCAAAACACACTGAGCTCAGGCCTCACGGAGGCCTTGAGTGGAGTACCAGACAAATGGAAAGTACTATCCAATCTTCCCAAAAGCAAGACGATAGGTCAAAATACACGGAACGAAGACAGCTGACCCCTTACCTTTTTTCCAATCTAGTTAATTGACGAAATCCGCCATTCAATCTCCGCAATCCACGATCTACCACCCGACATCCAAATGGCCGTCCGACTGGTCTATTACCGTGGAATCCGACTCTCCTTCGCAGCATCGGCCGCATTCGGACTGATTGCGACGGTTGCCGCTTTCTTTACCCGCGGAAAGGGCTTGGAACGGGGTAGAGGTGCTTAAGATTGTATATTTGCCTTGTATACGTTTACCTGATAGGCTAAATACTTTACCCGGGAAAGTGTAGGTAAAAGTGCGAGATAAAGGGTCTAGCGCGGCTCTGCTTTACGGCGAGAAGTGGATTCTAGACTGAAGAATGCACTGTACATAGGGTGGTGCGTTGGTGTGGGCACAGCCCCTGATCGGCGTGAGTCCCAGCACAAAGGGCTGTTAGCGAGATGAGTGGAGTCGGGAGGTTGGACGGGGATGTGTATAGCTCGTTTGAATGGGGTTTGGGGAGCGACGCTGGGTATAGCAGGGGTCATTTTAGATGATTACGTTTAGAGTTAGAATTTAACTTGATGAAAAACGCGATGTTCGTTTGAGGTTTAATGCCTCAAGGATGTAGCAGGGTTGAGACTAAAATCGTGCTTCATTGGCAAAATCTCAAATCTACCCATGGACATACAATCAATTGGTAGTCAGCACCGCAACACTAAGATTAGGCAAGCTGAAGCTGAAAGCTCCGCTCTTGCCTGCCTTGATGGTAGTGGTCTTGGAATTCACAAGGTTAGCCCCACCGACCGCATTCATCGAGAAAGCATCAGGGGCCGTCAAAATAGTCAGGTCAGCTTTAGTTCCCTTTTTAACTCCCTCGAAGGTCAATGAAACTGGGACAGCCTCAGTGCTATTGTACACAGCTCCCTTCCAGATGTGCGAGTTGGTCTTGTTGTTCAACCCAGCAACCCAGTAAAGAGGACCATAGGCATCAGCTGATGTTGTGGGCAAGGTGTTGGTGATGTGGTTGTGATTGAACAACTATATGATGTTAGAGGAGATGAAAACGTGAGGGCAGTAAAAACTTACATCATAGACATGCCAGCTCGTGGAACGAGCGGTGTCATCTGGATCAGCATTGAAAGAGTACATGCAGGGGCTCCATTCATAGGAGTTGATGTTCATGAAGTAGGGCGCCTGGACCAATTAGCTTAGTTCGTATACGAACTGGATGAGCAACCTACATATGTCGTTCCGATAATTTTGTCTGCGTTCCGCTCTGCGCCCAAAAAGTAGACAGCTTCGGCAACTGAGCCAATCCACCAGGGGTAAAGCGAGAAATTGATATCGGACCAGTCAATACCAACGCCATTGTTGTACTCCGTAGCGGCAATCTCACCTGTCACCAATCATTAGTCATCTCACAGAGTGGTGGTAACTGGATCATTAATAAACATACCAAGCAGGATGGGGTGCTCGTCGGTGTACTGGTCAAACTGGTTAAACGACGCAACAAAATTATCGGGAATGTCATAAAGATGGAAATCACCACCCGCAGAGCCCGGAAGGGTCATGTCAATTGTCGATGCCAGGACCTGGATGTTGGGGTATTTCTCTGTGATGGCATCGTAGAACGCAGCAAATCGGTATGCAATGTAAGAGTCTAAACCGTTATTGAGATTGTCTTCGTTACCGACCTCAACGAAATTGATGGTCCACGGGTCGGGGTATCCGTATTTCGCTCGGAGAGCACCATACTCAGTATCGACAGAGCCGGTCAGGAACTCAATCTCATTGAGGGCATCTTCAACGTAGATTCCAAGGTCTTCTTCAGAGACAATATCCTCATTCAGCGCGAGGCCACTCCAAACGGCGAGAACTAAATGGGTTAGTTGTGGATTCTAGAATCTTTGGTGGGATGATACTGACTAGGCTCCATGCCGAGATCGTCACACCAGTGCATGTATTCGATGAGTCCCATTCCACCAGTTTCTTCGTATCCCCAGGTAGTAGGGCGACCAGGGCGATCTTTGAGTGGGCCAAGGGTCTCGTTCCATTTCCAGCGAGTGTCAATTGTCTCTCCCTCAAGGTTGTTTCCACCAGGGAATCGAAGGAATTTCTGTCATTATATCAGCATAGACACAACAAGGCGTACTAAAGATCACTTACAGGGCCCATATCACTCATGGCTTGCATAAGATCAGTCCGGAAGCCATTGGGACGGTTATTCCATGTTGGTGGGAACAGGCTAATCAAGTTGAAGTCCAAGGAGCCACCAGAAGCTTTCTAAACACCGACGCATATTAGTCACTGAAGGGCGAAACATTCAATTTCAAGCTTACCGAGGCATCAAAGGTCAGCGAGAATGTGTTTTCGACATCGGCAGCCTTGTACTTCGGGGTGAGTGTAAACTCATGTTGAACCCACTCGTTGGCGACACTCTTAGAGGTCACCTTCACACTAGCCAGTGTCTTCCCAGTAGTGTTGGACTCAAGAGATGCCGTGAAAGAGCCCTTGTAATTACCCTTCACATAAAATGTACCAGAATACTTCTGAGGCCGCACATCAATTCCCCACCATCCCTCGTTCTTGAGACCAATGGTTCCTTTTCCTGATACTTTGACTGAAGTCGGAAGAGCAGAGGAGAGTGGCTTGCTGAGATTCTGGAGGGCTATTGTTGACTCGCCAACAGCAGACCAGGCATCCAAGTTTGACGGGTAGAGTGAACTCCCTTGAAAGGCTCGGTTGCGAATCAGTTCTGCATACAGGCCTCCTTCGCCGCCGTGGTTGATTTCCTACACGCTCTTTCAATACTAAGTCACTTCTGCAAAATACAAGGAGACTAACCTCTATCATGACACCATATTGTGTGTTGGTAGTGATGTTGCCCCCAGACTTCGCAACTGAAATGGTATAAGCCGCACTGGCAGAGGCCAGCAACGGCAACAGCAAATATTCACGCAACATTGTTGCGGCCTTCAATTGAAGATATGCAAATCGAAGATCCTATCCCGAGTAGACCATAAGAGAAGATTCCACGGCGGGATCGCAGCGGGTATTTATGCATCTGGAATTCCAGTCCCGCATCGAAATATCCCGTCCGACCCACGAGCAAAGCCATGTTGCCGGTTGGAGACCCCTCCTTGAACGTAAATACCCCTCAACATCGTGAGAAGAGATCTAGAAGTGGGCCGTATCGGAGCCGATCATTTCCTCTTGGGAGGTAAAACGAGCTGTTAGCTCCCTGTAGTCAGGCAATGACAGGTATCGCATTTCCCGTTTAGGCAAAATCCCTGGGGAGTGCAGGATGCAGGGGTCGGTTCCCTCCAGGGGCGCAGTGGGAAAACCTCGGCAGAATGGCTGCAGGACTACTATGTGATCCCTGCATGGAATGTTGGCAGAGATTGTTGTCCGATTAGATGATGAGGAATGTCAGAATTCAGGAGACTTGCAGGAATCTCTATAAATGTGACATCCGCTGTCGAGTCGTATTGTCGCTCTTGAAAAGCTACTACGATGACTTTCTTCAGCGCCACCGGAGAATCACTAACAAACAAGAAATTGAAGCGGGGAATATGATTGACGGGTAAATAGGGCCTTCTCCGCATCTCCACAGAGCCTCCACTTCCCGTCACAGACCCAACGTACAATTTTGTGTAGTTACGTGACGAAATTTTTAAGCAGAAGATTTTGAATTGGATACATCAAAGATATGCTAATTTACAAAAGTTCGGCCGCTTTTCAAATTGCAGATACCAATGGCGGACTAGGGTCAGCCTTCTTGTCTCGTAAGCTGCCAATAAGAGTTTCATCCGTTGAGGCACAACTGATTGGCTGGATAAGTGTCGAGTCTAACTTCAACTTTACCTCTTTGAGAATGGAATCGTCCTTTTTTCGCCGTCGGAAACTGAGTAACCCAAAGTAGCCTTTCTGTTGAGGCCACTTTTGTCTTCCACCTAATACCCATTGGGCGCGCTCCATATAACTAATTCGGCACCGTGCCTGTAAGAACAAACTATTTTTATGAAGTTTTCGTTAATATTAATATCACCAAATAAGCTGATTGAATGGAAGGAAACATTCGCCATGCGGGAACATACTTGCGCGAAGTCCATTGTTCTAGGTGTTCGTAGCAATTGACAGTGGAACGATGGTTACGTCCATGGACCTTGGTCTCTAGACGTGCACATTCTGTCATCATTGCAAGGGCTTCATCATGTCGCATTTGTGCCTTCAAAACCAAAGCCAATTGGAAAGTATCACGTAGGACTGCCGGATGCTCCGGCCCAAGAGCTTTTCGGCCCGTTTCCAGTGCATCGATGTATAACTGCTCCGCCTCTTTCATTTTCCATCGGTATATATAACAATCCGCAAGGATAACAATGGCACGTCTCGTAAGAGACCAGGTACTGCTTTTGTCAGGGTTATCTGACCTCTTTGCCATGCTCATTATGTGACAACACAACTCTTCCGCTTCACGGAACCGGCCTTGTCCTTGATAAACACGAGCCATCGCATCGATGGCCATAAAGAGCCGAGGGTCACCTGGCGAGTAATGATCTAAGGAGAATCTGAGAGCACTCTCGCAAAGCACCTCAGCCTCCTCTAGTTCATTGATGTTTTGAAGGCCACAAACCAATTCGAGCTGCAAACGTATCGCTTGTTCGCTGTTAGGACCGCGGATGCTTTTCTCAACACCTAAAATCTCACGAAGTATCTTTATACTATCCTGATACTCCCCCAGGTTTTGGTGATTGTTAGCGAGATTTGCACGAAGCAGGATGGTACGCAAATTGTCATGACCATGTACAGCTTCGGAGGATTGGATTGCTTGTCGATAAAGCCCCAAAGCTTCTCTGTACCTGCAATCAGAATGTATTGAGTAGACGGACACACTTAGCAATTCGACTCTCTCCCAGGTGGGAGGATCATCAGCCGTTGACTCCAGAATTTGGAGTGCATGCGGCAATGCTGCTCGTCGTTCGCTGGGTGCATCTGTGGGTTGAAACATTGCGGCTAAATGACGAAGTGTGAATACCTCCCATTCACGAAGGCAATTCATCGATCGAAGCCAATTCTTTGTCGCAAGGTGGACTAGTCGATGCATATCAAGTCGAGTGCTATCGCTTCGAGCTCGAACAAAAGAATAGGAAATGAGTACACCAATGGCTTTTTGTTTCTCTAGCTCGGGTGCGGAAGGGAGAAGCGAGATAGGTATATCCTTTGCATTTACACAGGACATGAAAGCGAGGTAATCAGTCGCCAAGCGATTATCTCGCTGGATTTGACTAAATGAAGTAAGCCATGTTGTTGCGACTGGATTTCGTATGCTCTTGTATCTTCCTTCGTCTTCGAAGTCTTCACTAAGAAGATTCAACACATCCTGGTCTTGTCCGTCTAAAAGTTTGACGTAGGCTAATAGGTCCATGCCGTTCTCGTTGATGAATGAAGCGGCCTGAATGATGGCCAATGGGAGATATGTGAGGCGTTCAAGGAGCTCCCGGGCACTTTGGGTGTTGTCCAGGAGATCCTTCTTAAGAAGAGAGTTGGCCAGTACCCGCATTGCTTTTGGTTCATCCAATTCATTGATTTGGATCACGTCCGTTGCGGCAAGATATTGTGCCACTTTGGTACTTCTGGTGGTAAAAAGAATGACACCTCGATCGCTTTTGGGAAGAAAGCCCCTCAAACCTCCCTGTTGGCAATCTCGATTGTTTTCCTTCCACAACTCAAGATCGTCAGCATTGTCAAATATCAAAACCCAGCGACCACTGTGAGACTGGCTAAGATAACTCTGCACCACCCTCTTGACGTCTTCCTTTTGCGGATCAAATTGAAGACGCAAATGGTGTGCAATATCCAGATATGCCTGTTCCAGAGTTTCCGTGTCAACAGCAGGAATCCAGAATACTGAGCAGTCTGGATATAAGTCTTTGGTTTGGTACACTACTTCCAGAGCAATTTGCGTTTTTCCGACACCACCAAGGCCAACCACAGCAATGCGTCCTGATTGGCCCTTCGCGAAAAATGTTCGTTTAATTTTGCTGACATGCTCACGATCAACGAATTTGGAATTTCGCTCTATTGGAACAACCCAACCAGAAGGATCATGTTGTTCAAATGCACTTCCAGCGGAATGAATGTTGCCGAGAACCTGGGCTCGAAATACTTGGGCTTCGTATCCCTGTTTCTGATTAGAATGATTCCTCAGATCATCAACCTTATCAATTCTTACAGTGAACTGTAAGTCAAAATCAAGACTCGTTTTTCCTATAGGCCGTTAGTCTTCCAATGGCTTCAGCACAGGACAAAAATTGCACATACCTTCTTTCTCAGCTAAATTCAAAATACAATCATGAATGCGAGACTTTTGTGAAGAATGATGCAGATAATCTTGCGTCGCGTTTTCAATCAAACTTCGCTGCGAACAGTCGTCCATACGGACTGCCTGAAGCCCTTGTTCAACACTAAATCGGAAGAGGCGATTTCCCTTGCTCTCGTTACTCCACCGAGCCATGAAGCGTCGCTCCGTGCTTTCTGGCTTTGTAGCTAAATTGATCAACGTTTTACTAAGGAATTTCCAAGCGTTATTAGTAATTGGTGGTAAAGCCGGACAGCCCGTGCCCACCGTCAGGAAGCATTTGACCAAGGGCTTTATCTCTCGACTCGTGGTGCACCATATGTCGGCAGCCTCCTCTTCCACTTCTTCAACGGGATTATTTGCCCCAAATGCACCATCCACAAACTCTCGATTGCCGATGGTCACCGGTTCAAAGAAAGTTGTTGCCGCAGAAGTGGCTAAGGCTGCCTCACATATCGTGGCTGGCAGGGTATCCTCATTGGGGACACTATAACTCCGAAGTCGTGTGACCTGAAGTGTATCTCTGGATGTAGTGCAAACGAAAGATCTGGTACGGCGTGGAGCGCCGTCATCCATAAGATCATTAGGTGACGCACCGGCCTTAGTAATGACATGCTCAATAGCTGCCTTGAGCCGTTTGCTATCGAATTGCGCTCTAATATTTAGAGACCAATCGATAGGAACCTTTCTTATCTTCTCGCCGAAGACGGATTCCATCAATTCGCTGTACGCATCAATGCATTCGTCGACATCAAGTTCCAATCGACCGAGCATAATGGCAATGAGTCTGGTAATTTAGTTTGAGCTTGGAATCATTCAACTATGGCTCCACTCACCCTCCTGTACTGGTTCCCCCAATCAAATCAAAAATATCGCATGGCTTGAGATGTTGACCATCTGTGCGTTCACGGTTCAGTTGGAGCATAATGTCCCTCAAAATTAACAAAGTAGAGAATCCTCGAACTCCACCCCCGTCAAGTGACAATAGGCACAGCCCATTCGTGTCACGAGGATTTGGTCCAGCATTCTCCATTATTATCGAACGAACAATATAAGGTTATTATTGCAAGTAAAAATACCACAGAGTGTTTGAGTTCAGAAAGATTTCCTATGGCCCAGGATTTACTACTACCTTTAAAAAGGCGCAGACCTGGATGATCTACGCGACATGGCAATGCGGGCGGAGCAAGGCGCTTAGCTGCATTCTGAAACTCACTCCTTGCCAATCGCAGGTACAAGGCTCCAATCGGGCGATGCGCTGCCATGATTTTCGCATAGAAATTCGCACAGGGAAGTTATGCATGTAATTTGAGAAGTTAGTGGGTTCCCTGCTGCACAATCATAATCCATCCATCCGCCTTCAAGCGATATTTGAACATCCTTCTAAAAAGCATAACAACTTACCTTATTTAGTGTATTAGAGAAATTGTGTACAATTATCGTTTATCAGACTCGAGGGATTTAATAGTTTCGATTTCCCATGGGCGCCATATCCTCAGATGAAAACACAATTTTGGCTACATTCACATTGTCATAAGACTGCAGCTCCGCAGAACTTGATAAAGAAAGATTAAGGCTCAAAGAGGAAATTGGATCAAGGCCAGACCCTGCCGGGAAGTTCCAACAAAATCAAACGCCGAAAGGAAGCAAGGTATCATCGGGTTCATTGGTCATGGCATTCAGCACATCTCGCAGCACTCGATGCAATCCGCACAACACTCACAGCCCTCCTCACAAACGAAGCAGCAGCACAAAGTCGCCAAGCTACGGGTTTTCATTAATACACGGAAGGTCACAAGCATTGGGGATATAGTTCGAGCTTACCAGGCACCGAGACAACCCTGGCTCTTGCCGCCGCCACCACTGCCGCGGTTGTCGGGTGGGGGTTGCTGATATTGCATCTGAACAGTTTATTAGTTTATTTTGCGCGCCCCGCCACTAGATTAGACATACCGGCTGCTGCTGGTAGCCCTGAGGGGGGCCATATTGTCCGGGAGGGGGACCGTATTGTCCGGGAGGGGGACCGTATCCTTGCTGAGGGTAGCCACCGTAACTATATCCAAACAGCTGGTCAGCACATATCCTTCCAAAGTCCTGATGCGCACTCCCTCGAAGGCTGGCATGAATCCATCCGAACACCACTCAATCTATTCGATCGGCGGGCGCACGATCCGGATTTCGTCTAGTGGTATTCAAGGTATATCGTTCACGACTCGGTATGACTTACGCCTGGGGAGGAGGAGGGGGGCCGCCGTGAGGGGGACCCTGATGATAGTAATCGGCCATATTGAAGCTAAACTGAAGAACGAATCAGTAACACGATCACACCCAACAATATTATGCACAAAGCCGCTGCTGAATTCACAGCCAAAGGATCGAGAGGATGATAGACCGCTGCGATAACTAGAGCGATCAGGGATGCGACGTACCTAGTCGGTCGGGGAAGCGGAAATTGGCGGAGAGGAGCACAAGGCTTGCGACAGAAACAAGGGGCTTGACTAGCGAGTGAAGCGACCGCTAGAATGAAAAAGAGTGGTTGAAATCGATGAGATGAAGCCCGAAGGGAAGAGAGAGAGTAAGAAAGGAAAAAGAGGAGACAAGGTTTACCGAAGCCGCCGATGGAGCTGAATCTGCAGGAAGAATAATTACTCGCGACTCCTTTTTTTTCCCTTTTCCGTTTTCCGTTGTTTACTAAATGTATGGTACGGGCTTGGCAACGTAAGGCTGGATGAGAATAGAATTCCCCAAAGCCAAGACTACAGTCTGGTACTTTAATACACCGATATCTAGTTACCTAGAATGACCCGATTCATGTCTTGAATTCTATTTATTTCCACATTGCGGCTGTGAAGCCAATGTATCGATCCACTATGAATGGACTGCCACACTTGCTCGCCACTAATTGCTCGGGTAAAGAATTCAATACCATTTTCTGACCCCCATATTAGGCCGGGGCCGTATTATTACCGTTAAGGAGTGTAACGTGGCCCACTGAGCCACAACAGAGACCCAGCCCTATCACCGGACCAGCGCGGTCAGCCACACATCCTTCTCCACCCTGTTGAGAGTCATTGGCCTGGAACCCAGCCACCGTGTCACTAGAAGCATTTGGATCCCCACTATGAGCGGGATCTCACCCACTCAGAACCCGGGAGTGGGCGAACCGCCCACCCTGGCTTTATCGGTTTTCTTTCGGCAGGTTGACCGCTGGTATTGCTGCTGCCTGTGTAGACTACATACATGGACGTACATAGCTGCCTGTATATGAAGTTTACATTGCAGGCGGGTGCCGAGACATCAAACTGGAATGTAACCAGTATGTTCCATTCCGAAATTGGCCACTGGATATGATACGCTACATCGACCCTCGTCCCTTTGTTGTCTATGGAAGGAAGTTGATCGTCGAGTTCATCGTCAGCCCCAAAGTGATCCTGTAAAATACACGTAATGCCAAGGCGCCGACTCTCCCGATCCGGCAATTCGGAGCCGTAATGCTCCGTACGGATTTACGGATCCCCAACATCGGTACTGGTACATCTATCATATTTACTGGACCAACCATTACAATCGTGCCACATATACACTACCCTAGGTTTCTATATGTGGAAACATTCCAGAGAATTCCATTGCTAATGCCATGATAGAAAATAATAATCATTAGTTGCTTCGTCGCTCGTGTCAGTAGAACCAGCCGGGTCTTCAAGAACCCGAAATTGAGTAAAGAACGACGAACCCCGGATTGCAGTATTCATGCAATGTGGAGCAAATGGAAATGATGTCACGCTGCGCCAAGTCGCCAAACCTCAGAGCCTTCCTTCCAAAATTTCATGCCCAAATGCATGTTTATAACCATAATCAATACCAAAACCCCTTACAAGCCAATCCCAATGTTCTGTTCAACTGAATGCGGAGTCATGCCCTCTCCAAATGAAATGCCACCCAGATCCGGTCCGTATATACCCACAATTCTCAAACATATACCACATACCATATACCGCCGATACCGTGAAAAATAACCATATCACACATAAATTGCACCCGTCGACCAACATGAATTCGACAGGGAAGAAAGAAAAGGAGGATTAACTCGCCAAGAATAGCACAAACAGCAACTACGACCGCTCACATTACATACGACTCCATCTCCGGCGGGAATGGAGGCTGAGAGTCCATGTAGAACGGGACATTGAGCGAGGGATCCAACTCATAGCTCGGGACGGGGTACGGATCATAACCATGCATCAGGGCAGATTCCATCCCGTACGAGACGTGGGGGCCCATGGAGCGGGGCTGCGAGTGCGCATTCACATGCGCATTCAAACGAACATTCGGCTCCTCGTGATCCAGATCAGCATCATCAAGTCCATGATCCTGATCACGCTCGTTATCGCCAATACACTCATCAAGGACCGAATCGGACCTAAAACTCCCACATTGCTGCTGCTCATATTCGAGCTCCAGCTCAGCCTCCAATTCGGCGCTCTCACGTCCATTCCTGTTCTCACCGGCCCTTTCAACAGTTTGTCTCATCCAATGCTTAAGAACATCCATAGGCGGATGATTACCCCCACCCTTTCCACCGCGTTTCTCACTATCTTTTCCTCTTCCCCCACGACCCCGCTGACAAGGATTGAAATGCGTACGTCGCAAATGCGCCGCAGCATTATAGTTCGCGCCATATTTTTTCCCATTTCGGCACGCCTTGCAATTAGCCAAGAAGCTCTTATCGGGTGAGATGTCGACGCAGACCCAGACTTTGCGGACAGTGGCATGTACGCGGTCCATGTGGCGGCGGAGTTCGTGTTCGCCGTGAAACCCTTCTGGCTGATCTGTGCAGAGGCGACAGTACGTCTTTTGGCGGGGTGGCCGGTGAATTGAGGCTTTAGGTATGGCTGCTACTTCTTTGGCTGTGCCGTCTGTGGGCGAAATGCGGACCATCTTGTGTGGCATTTTGCTGTCTTGGAGGAGAATTGTGCCTGTGTTGCTGTCGTGGGATTCGCGCTTTGGAGCGATAGGGCGGGTTGCGTGAGCGAGTTGTTCTTGAGTGCGGCGGACTGCACGGGAGGATTGACTTTCTTCCGTTGAGATGATGGGTTTCACGTCTACTGGAGATGTGGCTTCGGTTTCGGATATGGGGAGGGTTGATTGTTGGAATGACGGTGGGAAGGAGGTTGTACAGGGTGCAGAGGTGGAAAAGGATGCAGGGTAGGTAATGGGGAAAGAGGTGGAATCTAGGTCAGGATAGACGGGGGAAGGAAAAGGGAGACCAGATGTGGATGTTGGCACCCATTCTGGGGCGATGGAATAGGGAGCCAGGTCCAGGTCCGCGCGTGGAGTCGATTGATCAAATCGGAAGGTGTCGAAGTGGTTGATGATGCTATCGGCGGTTCCGCTGCGAGTCATCTCGACGGCCGTCGGGGGAGATATATCGGCCACGGGGGAAACTTGTCCGTCGTGGAGTTGCAGAGATGGTCCAGTCGATCCATGAGCGAGGCCGAGCGACAGAGCAGAACCAGGACCAGAGCCAGAGCCAGAGCCAGAACCCGAGGGATATGACTGGTTGTCGGCGTCGTCCAATTGCAGATGCTCCGTATATTCGTCAGGCGAGTACTCGTCGATGACTTGCTCAAGCGGTTGCGTCCTCCGGGATTCGAAAGAGGGGCCCTTGCCCATGACCCCGGCGGGCGGGTGCCAGTGGGAGATAGGGATCTGTTGACTCTGGGAGCGGACCATAGGCGCCGTATGCCGGTAAGTCGAGAAGGAGATACCCTTTCGGGGTCCATCAGTCGTGGATGCTTGGGAGAGCGCGCGCCTCAGCTCGACGGTCACCGGGAGATCCGGGGTCTGCCAATCGTCAATCCAAAGATTTTGGCTGGAGAGCAGGGGAGGGGAAGAGGAAAGCGGAATGGGATATTCTTGATCAAAGGGTGCGGGAGCAAGAGACCAAGGTCACACATACGGTGGCTCGCCGTTTCGCTTGCGGAAGACCAGAACCAGAGGGGACCGTCCGCGGGATAGCATCCTGTCGAGTCCGTTTGCCCGTAATTCCGGGGGTCGCGTCGTCCCGCTCGATGGCCGGGATGAAAGGGCTGATCCGACGACTCCAAAGTTGATTTCGTTGAGCTTCCGGTAGGTGGGAGTATCGAACCAAAAATGCTTCGCGGTACCCAGATATGGCCCTGGTGAACAGTTCATCTTCGTCCTGATTGAACGTCATAGTGGGGATTTAACCCTGCGTTGACCCGGAGGTGCAGCCGAGCTGGTGTATCAGTATGCGAAAGGGGAGAGAGATCAGGAACCACTGAAAAGTGCCAGAATAGGTAGGTGTAGGTCGGTGGTGGTAGTCGTACTCGTTCGTCGATGCTTTCTATATAGATCATTAGGAGCCGCAAATCCCGAATGAGGACCCGCACGTACGTATTTCCCCAGAAAAAGTGTCTTATCAAGGTCCGATTCCGATCGAGATTGTCGATAAGGAGAATGGAAAAGGTGGAAATGGGAGATTAAAAAGGATTTACAGATGAAGAGTTTGAAGTCAGGAAAGATTGGGCAGCATGAAGGGAAGAGAAGAAGAACAAAAGTCCGGAAATGAGAAACAGCTAACTAGTCCCACCGAATGGATACGAAGTCCACGGGTTAATGACGGATTGCTATAGACAAGAACTCGGACAATCCTGTGGATGAGAAAGTGGAGCTTAAGGTCTGGACCATCGAGTATTATGATGCGTATTATTACCCAGGAAAGGGGCTATACTGTACATGAAATCTGTATGGAACATGCTCACGATTTTCTTGATCCCCCACGTACAGCACTCTTATTTTCTCTGGTTGGTTCCTCCAACGCACCACGGGCAGACTCGGTGGTGGGAAAACCAGCGGATAAAGTGAGGCAGCGAACCGGATCGCCCCGAGCGTGACCCGACGCCCACGATGCATACTAGTCAGATTAAATAATCAAGGGGGGATACTTTTCGTCTCAAAGGGTTTTGGAAGTGCAAGAGATACCAAACCTCCAGCGCCAACAGCGGAAAACGCTGGTGCCCACTTCTGCCCTGAATATTCGACCTTGTGTGCCTCTCCTTTTATTTCCCACACGGCACTGCTAGAGATACCCCCCTCTAAATCCATTGGTTTCGAACTAAGAACAGGTCGGACGTCTGAATGGATGCCACGTCGTCCAGCCTGCAGCTGGGGACTCAGTCGGGCCCTGCAGGTGACTCTTGGTGGACTCTAGGTTAGAATGGGGTGGCTCTGCGCCCAATTGTTGCCCGGTGGTGAACCGTTATGAAGGTCCGTGGGAGAAGCTCCCGCGAAGCGTACCATGGTTCCAATCTATAATTGGCACGAGAAGAGCAAACCATCGGATCCCAATAATCAATAATCAAATCCCCTATAATGAGACACTTCTCGTTTTTCAGGGGCGACCTGTTTCGACGATCAGACGATCTTGGCGCTAACGATACGCGATACAGAACAATAGTCAGTATGGGGGCGTCTAGCAAGTCACACCGAAAATCCAGTTTTCCTTTTAAACCAGCGGTAACTGCGTTTCGCCTGCTTTCCCTTCTTCAGCATTCATAGGCGATTAACAGATACCGGCCCGCAGTGGAGGATCGACCACGCAGTTGTCAACCCAATAGCGATCAGACTGCACCGCCCAATCTTGGATTGGCTCCACGGCTCCACGGACGAGTGAGAGTAACTGTTATCTGTCAGTTTTGATGTGTCATGGCACTAACTAGGGTTGTATTTCCTCGGGATCGAATCAATGTTGCTTCTTTTCGCTTAGAACAGCTAAAACAATACGAAGGTACTGTTTGGACCGCTTGATAGACCTTCAATTATTTCGTCATGGAACTCCACAGACGGTGTATCATTTTCTGCCCAAGGGACCTTTAATCGGCGTTCTGATTGGTTGGCGATGTTCTTGTTCTGTCCAATCGGGCTCGGCGTCATTATACTGAAGTCCGACGACATCATCTTCGGTCGCATTAGAGCCATAGTTGTCTGAGCCAGAAATGCTTTGGGCAATGGATTTGAAGTCACCATATCTTTTGGTTACAGATCACCAAAGTTTGACAGCAGACATGAAAATCTTCCGGCTGAGCTCAGGCCGCAGGATCCATGTTGATAGAACCTGCGACGTCTTCCTAACTCGCCAAGTTCCAACCAGCCTCCTAAATGGTCCTGATATAGCATCCATTCACATCTCTCAGTGGCCCTACCCGCCGCAATCAGGTTATGGCCGAATCTAGGTTTACGTACACTCGGTGTTTCATCGGCGAGGTTGACAAGGCAGACTGAGGCCACCCGTGCGCAGCATGTCGCGTGCGCTACGTCGCGGCCTAGGACTGCATCTCCCTTGAACACGGGATCCAGGTGGCGCATCACAAAAGCGTACAACTCACGATTTTATTGGAGCTATAGACGCATCACGCAGCAACGGAGCCATGGGAACTGGAGTGGCTGATTGCGTTTGCTGATTGCTATAGTTCTTGCAGACTAGCGTGGATGGAGACGTTGGCGCGGCAGCAGTCAGCTTTTAAATCGCCGAATATATGTGACACTGGGGCTGATGCTGTCCATTCTGATCGCGTGGTCCGCCATCCCTGAGCTGGGCTAAGAGACCATGCTGCTTCTGGCGGCTCTGCAGTGGAGCGAACGCCGTCGAGGGTATCTATACTGACCGCTACTCTGCCACTCTGCACAGACTGGATCCAGTGCATTTAATTTTGTCGCACTAACAGTTTTAGACAATGGGGCTACACGTTGGCTTTGGCGGTGTGTATCCGAAAAGTATTTGGGGCTGGACAGAGTTCTCTCTTGACCCTACGCTTGTCCTGTTGCGGACCTGACTACGGTACGATAGGCAAAAATGAAGACCAAGATCAGGTTTGCTGAGTTCACCTGGGAAAGTACGGGAGACAGGAACCGTGGAAGCCTATATTCCAGAAGGATATCGTCTCGAACTAGCAGCCCATGGTTCAAGCTCAGAGGCGAATTTGTCGCAGGAACGATTAGGGAACACGAGCACAGCTCCTGCACACAAGTTGACCCGTGCTAATTTCCATAAAGCTAATGTCTGGGCGCTGAACCACGGCAGCAAACCTAGAGGTTGCTATTCAACCAACCACTGTTCTCGACAAGAAATCAGTGACGGCAGCGGAACTGGGTCGGGCTGACGTCAAGTCGCCACGCCCGGGGCAATCTTGGAAAACGCATTGAAGATGTGGAGAAAGCATATTAGAAAATCGGCCAAGTAGCCGCGAATCAAGGCGAAAATGATGAATTTGGTTTGTGGTAAATCAAAGCGTTTGAGAGAATAAAGCCTACACGTGATCCTTCCCCAGCCACGTCATAATTTCAAGGAGAATCAGTTTCACGCTGCACAAAGGCCTTCCATATAATATATTATTTTTGCTTCATCACTAGTTGTTTGATGTTCTCCATCTGGATGAATTGCCCCTGACCCATTTACCCCTTTATTTACGATTTACGATCAATCTCCATCAGCGATAAACTTACCTTCTCAACCATCCCACCACCCCACCCCTGAGCGCTTCACCATGTCCGACTCAACCCTCTACCTGTACACCTCGCTCACTGCGGGGTCTTCGCACATCATCACTGCAACTTCCCGCATAGAAACTATTCTCAAGGCGAACAAGCTCCCTTTCCGAGCCATTGACGTCGCCACAGACGAGGCTGCCCGCAAACTGTGGGGTCGTCGTTCCAAGGGCAAGAAGTTGCCCGGTTTGGTCAAGTATGGCAACATCGTCGGAGTACGTTCATCTTTCTCCTATTCGCCAGAAGAATAATGACTAACTCACCCGTAGGACTTGGAAGAAGTTGAAGAATGGAACGAGTTCGGCGAGCTGCGCATGGTGATTAACAGCGCTCCAGACCTGGACGGCATGCCGGCTACCAGCTACCCGATCGCCGCGACCGAAGTACCCTCCACACCCAAGGAGCCCGAACCCAAGACCCCCAAGCCCTCTACGATCAAGATCCAGTCCCCGCCGGCGAAGACCAAGCCCGAAGAAGAGAAGAAAGACGAGACAGCTGTTCTAGCCCTGCGACAAGCCAGCGCCGAGGCCGCATCCAAAGCGAAAAACAAGACAGACGACAAGAAGGACGCGACCACAGAGCCCGGGTCTGAGGAGGTCCAATCCACGAGTCCCACTACCAGGCAGCGCAAAAGCTCCGTCGCGCCTGAAATGCCCGAGGCAGTGCCGGAATCACCCAAGGGAGCTAAGAGACCCCCTCTTCAGTATCCTGAAGTCGCGGCTGTCTCGTCTGCCAACTTCCGTGCGGATAATGCCGAGATGCTCGGTCTTGTTGGGCATCACCGTGGGTCGATCATTTCCGTGACGGACAAAGAGGAGCAAGATAGGGTTGTGAAGGAGATTCGGTCGTCTATCTCGGCGGAGGATCCCTCTGGCTCGTTGGAGGCTTTGCGGAAGGAGGCTGCGGCGAAGACCCAACCGAATGAGACTATTGAGGAGAGTCCTATTGGGGAGGATATCGAGGCTACTAAGGCGGAGGCCGAGGTTAAGGAGAAGGAAGAGAAGAAGGCTACCGAGAGCAAGAAGGATACTGCGACCGAGACTAAGGACAAGGATGCCACCGAGCCCGAGGTGAAGAGTAATACCAAGCTCAAAGACCAGGACGCAAAGGGCGAGACCGAGGCTACTATTGTCCCTGCGAACCCCGCGGCGGAGAGCACGGAAGCTACGTCAGCGATCGAGTGAGGGGCTTTTTACAAAACTGTACAGGAGGAATGCGCGTCAATTGCGATGTTTTTTGCATGATACCAGTGAGCCCAATTCAAGCGTAGTCATAAGAATTGAAATGTTTATTTTCTTATTCTCTGTAAATTTTCCGAATGCGATTCATAGCTCATGATTAAAACGAATACACCCCATAATGAATAGGAAAAAAAAGAAACAAATCCCTTTATGGCAAATCAAATCAAACCCGCAAAGAGAAGAAGTCGAATAGCGACAAAACTGTTGAGAACACCGAAACCCCTTTTTGATCATCGAAAGGACCCCACCAAACAAACCCCCACTTTGAACAAAAACATTCATCCATAGCGGGGCAATGCTAATAACAATATGTAATCCAGAACCAAGCCTAGCGGTTCACACTAGATAGTCTGAAGTTCAAATTCAAGCTCAAGATTGCGCTTAAGCAGAACCAGCCTCAAGACCTCTCCGCTTTTGAACAGCATCTCTCAATTTCGCAATGACATCAGCGGGATCCTGCGCGCCAAAGATCGCAGAACCAGCCACAATGACATTGGCACCTGCATCAGCAGCCTGGTCGATCGTTCCGAGACCGAGACCACCGTCGACTTCGATGTTCAGTTCGGGATAGCGTTCGCGCAGGGCCGTGACCTTAGGAAGCTCGGAGGCCATGAACTTTTGACCGCCGAAACCGGGGTGGACTGTCATAACGAGGACCATCTAATCGCAGAATTGTTAGCGCATGCATTGCAAACCGGACTTCGCTCCGAATAAACGTAAATTGTAGAATCCAGTGTAGAAGTTCGAAGGCTAGCGGTACTCACGTCGGGTCGCTCAGACAGATCGGGGCTATCCAAAATATCCCACAGCACATCAACGGGGGTATCGGGCTTGATAGCAATACCAGCCTGCATTCCCTCGTCGTGAATATACTTGATTAATTGGCGCGGCGAAGTGCGCTGGGTTGTCTCCTTATCGGTAGGATCGGTAGCAGCCACGGAAGAAACAGCAGCTTCATAATGGAAGCAATAAAGATCGCAACCAGCTTTCTGGAACTCCTTCACCCACTTATGAGGCTATGCGCACAAGATAAAAACATTAGCTCGAGAAGCTCGAGAACTGCGGATTTATTCCGAGGAAACCCGGGAAGTGAAAGCAACTGGAATTGGGTAGGCTAGCTAACTCACCTCCATAATCATCATGTGGCAGTCAAATGTGCCGCGAGCACAAGGCTCAAGCGGACGGTCGACGCAGCCGCGGATTTGAGAAACGACAGGACACCCGATGGTCATGTTTGGGACGAAGTGGCCGTCCATGATGTCGACGTGGAGCCAGTCGGCGCCTTGCTCCATCTTTCTTTTGCAGTCATGGCCGAGATCTGCGAAGTTGGCGCTGAGAATAGACGGGGCGATGATGGCGGGCGGAGCCATTTTGGAGTATGGGCGGATTGAATGGGGGGAAGAATTGAGGGGAAGGGGAGAAGTAGGGGGGAATGGGGGAGGAGGCGTAATAAGGGTAAAAAAATTTGAATCGGGTTATTAAGGTGAAGCTCCCGACTCTATCGTGTAATCGTGTTTACATCAGGCTGAGTGGCAACCCAAGGGTGGATATGCCGGGTTCGCCGTTCACCGTATGGATCCCTTGTTCAAAGTACCAAGTACATTACGTAGGTATTTGGTGTTTAAAATCGATTGGGGGAATCTTGAATATAGCTCCCTCTACACAAATTTCTTGAAAAATAATGCATTGCCTTCTTGATTTCATGAAAAATATCCAAGATAAAAATCTCCAAATGATGCAAACGACTTTGATAAGGGCTTGGCTCCTCACGTGGACCCCGGTCGCAGTTAATCTTCAACGATCGTCGCTGCAGTCTATTAAGGGCCTTACATGTACATGCAAATGAGATCCACTCAACGTGTTCGCTGCCATTCATGTAACAGTATAACGATCGCAATGGAGTCAGGGGATTCTGTCCTGACAAATCACCGTCATCATCCAGGAATACCCGTTTTGGACATTCCGGTTGACGTGAATCGTGAAAGTGAAAAATCATCAAGTCTGCTGACCGCAAGCTCAGACAAGGATGTTGGAACCTTCGATCGCCACGTTTCTCATTGGGGGAAAAGCCTGGAATTCCCGTCGAAGCTCAGGAGCTCTACCCACCAATCAGTGCCCCCCATGATGCAACCCCTTATGAAGTGTCAAGTTTGACAGTTCATGCTGGAAAGCTTTAGCTATATAGTCTAAATATTTGTGCAAGTACATGTTATTGATTCAAAATAAAGTGAAGGGAAGGTCATTCGAGAACATCTCACACGCATCCCTCGCTCGCAGGGTATCGGCCTCGGACCGACACGGTCATCTAGTCGGAAAACTCCCTCATAGGCTGGTAGTGCACCTCCAGTACAATTTCAATAGCCGTCACGATAACCGCTCTTCGGTCATCCGAAAATGGGGATGTATTAAATGTGTGAAAAGCGGATCTTAAGCATAAAGCGGGGATGCAACAGCACATTGCCAATGTCCCGGCGCACTGTGATCCGAAACCCCAATGCATCCCACATGATGGACCGCCCCAGGCGCCCAACGGTTTTATAGATGATTTGTTCCTGTTTGCTCATCGCGCTATCGCTAAATGACACCCAACATCATTGATATGGATTTTATGATCCGTCATCTCGTTGGGATACGCCACAGAGGGGTCAAGAAAACCAGTATACGTCTAGGCTCATATCTACCTACCTGTTCTTAAATTGAAGCCACCAGGCGAAAAGACTCAGAATCCGTAGTTGAGATGATCTACTAAAGTCCAGACAAAATGCTTGTTAATTAATCCCAAACATTGCGTCAGATCCCGCTGGCTCTCAGACACGTGTAGGTATCTATAATTGCAATTCTAGAACTGTCTCGGATCTTATCCCTGATAAGCTATGTCTGCAGTCAGGGCCCATGCTACCAGCAGTTTGTCATTAAGCATAGACGACGGGTAAACCCGTTCTGCATCTTATGGAGGAAGGTGTAGCGGGTTCATTTGCTAAGACCTAGCGTGGGATTGCATTGAAGGTTGATGGATCTGTTTTCCGCCGGTAGCTTGAATGATCATGAGGAGAGTCAAGGAGAAAGACGCGACGAGGAACAGGGCTGACTCGATACCGTTGGACAGCAACGCGGCCCTGGTTCCCGTTTGACCGGTCTGGGCAAACACCTTGGCAGCGTAGTACAGAATGATGTTGACACCAGTAATCTGCTGCATGAACTGCAGTCCCATGGCCAATGCGGTCCGACGACGGTACTGCTTGCTGACCAGCAGCGAAAGGTAGGAGGGGGCAGGTGTCCCTCTCTCGTACTCGACAACGACTCGAATTTCTTCAAACTCTGACTGAACAACAGGTGCGTCCTGGTCCCCCTTAGCGTGGAGTCTAGCTAAAACCTGTAAAGCTTCTTCGGAGCGATCGTGCCGGAAAAGCCAGCGAGAGGATTCAGGGCGGAACAGCACGATGGCACCGACGACCGCACCAGGTACTAGCTGAAGGCTGAAGCACATGCTCCAGGCAGCATTGCCCTGAATATTTGCCGCACCATACTGAACCCAGTATGCGACTAAAAGTCCCATTGCGATACCCAGACTCATCATCGAAGTCATCACGCCACGAATTTGTGGAGGTGTAATTTCGGCAGTGTACCTGAAAACAAGTTAGCAAAAGACAAATTTAGCCGGAGATTAGGAAAACGTACAATGATATCGTCTGGAACAAACCACCAGCACCCAATCCATTGACTACTCGTCCAGCAATAAACATCGGTTGATTCTGAGAAGCCACAATAATAGCCTGGCCGATCAGGTAAACAACGACACAAAACAAGATGGTGATGCGCCGACCAAAACGATCTGAGATCAAAAAACCAATCATCAAAGAACCGCCAAATTCACCAGCTAGCAATCCCGCAGTCATAACGCCCTGTCGGAAGGCAGAGGGGGTACCAAAATAATCCAAAAATTGGGTCATGGTGAGAATACCACTCATAGAAGCATTTTCCCAACCATTGGCAAAGCCCGCAATGGCTGGAGGAATAGCATAGTACATCAGTAGCCATGGTGAAAGCCCGGCACCTCAAAGACAAGAGACAGACGAGATGAAAACCCGAATTCCCACGGGGAAACCCCAGCCAAATAACCGGGGATCTCATTCTCGCTTAAGGAATGCACTCCGAGATGTGGGGAGGGCTAAGCTTCTGTGCCGGCTTGTTTTTTTAAGGCCGGCTTGGCGGATTATATCATATCCGGGTGTAGAGAGAATTTCAGTGGTTCTGGTGCAAAGGCCGATTCCGGGGAATGTCCGAGTCGGTAAACAATCTGGAGAAGTGGGGTAAGGAGTTCGGCCTCCGAAATCCCCAGATACAGTCTAGAGCATGGAGTGGGCTTATTCTTGGCCCAATTGTATCCTCTCATTCCATGGATTATGACGCCGGTGTCTTGCTAGCCCGTTAGATACTTTCTATGTCTCTCATCCTAGATGGTTTGTATGGATATTTGCTTACCCTTTACCAATAACCCAAAGCTGCTTTCTATCTGCTCCTGAAAAATGGCAAAATAAATCCATTAGAGACACTTGCTGTAAGCATTGCTATGGATATTCTCGGGGTTTGTTTCATTTCCCTCATTGGCACTTAAAAGCTTCCCCGGGTAGCAGCTTCCTTTAATCCAGGAATAAAAGTGATGCCGCTAGTCACAAGACAGCATTAAAGTTCAAAGAAGGATTTTGCCGGGAGTGAAGAATCTTCGATCCTGAACAAACCCAGTCCCATACCATTGACTCGATTTTAAAACTGTAGGCACTCTCACTTTATCGAGGAAATATTCTTTCCAACCAAGACACAACCATCCCCCCCACAAAATCTTCCATGGTATATATGAGTCTGAAATCATTATTTGAACCTTTACTGAAAGGATGTTAAGCCAAAACATCTTTTGCACTCACTGCATTGTCCAAGCATTCTTGGGCTATACTTGGACCTAACCTGGAAGATCGCTTTGCAACAGTCGAGGTCCTCAGTCTAGAGGGTTATAGCGACCCATTTGGACATGCCTACTATTTAACGAATTCTTCCTCGCATGTGGAAAGCGAATATTCATGTATTTTTGGGTGTGAGATCCCAATCAAATTGATTTCTTGTATGGCAATGGATCTCGTACTTGGTGAACTAATTTGAGCCCTGCTCGCCATGTAAAGGTTTTTACCGCGAAACCCTCATACAATTGATAGACAGATATGTTCTTTTACAGTTGTGAGATGGGTATCAAGATTGCGCTGAGAAGAGTCTTGGACCTCGGGAACTTGGTATTTAGCGCCCTATGCGAGAGCTATGGAGGAACTTTTGAATTGAAGCTTGAAGAAGATGAAGCAACACACCTATAGGTTTGGTCATTTTAGAGTGGATATTAATTCAATTCCGGTAGTATAATAAATCTTCGAAAGGGCATTGCAATAAGATTCTCGACCTCGACTTCCAACTCGGCAAAAATATTTCTTTCGAGGGTTTCCAAAAATGTCTATGAAAGATCGTGAACTTGGATGCGCTTGAGGAGTTCAAATTTCAAGGTGCCGCAAGCCTTGGAAATAGCCAACTGTTCCGCAAATCAGCTCCTAATAAACCTTCCAACTTGATTGTGAATATTCAATGTTGCTACACCTAATTGTAAACCCAATGTCAACAGAGCATCACGTGATGCATTCCCCGCGGGCCTTTCCGCGGGGATCCCCACCAGTACTATGCAAATGTATCGACACCAAGTGAATTAATCCCACTGCAAAGCCAGGGCTTTCAGTTTCCTGTCTTGGAGCGAACGTACCGGAAGTAAATTTCTGAATGAGATCAGAGGCTGCCAAAATGAGCCAGTCTAACAGAGAAGGCCGGCCCTATCGGTCACATTTACACCCGGCGTGCTTCTCCTGCAAGAAGCGCAAATCTCGCTGCAAGACGCGAGATTCCTCGGACGAATGCATCATGTGTCAGGCTCATGGTACTAGATGTGTATTTCCACGCTCTGACCATAGCTATGTCCGTCGACTCTCTATCTCACCACGGAAGTCACCAGCCATTGCGAGGCAGCGACGCATCACGGACGATAGTACACTACACGCACGGCCTTGTCCTGATCCACATGATGTGTCCCGAATGGAAAGTCCAATGATAACGTTTCCTGGACTAGATCGCATTCCTGCAGCGCTGGAGGATCCTCATCTTATGCCACCTCCCTTGGGAGATCAGCACAGAGCCGAAGGTTTAACTAATTTAGCGGGCCTTGTCGCGGAAGCTGAGCACAATACCTCTCACATAGTGAGTCCTACAGTTGCAGATGATAACGAAATTTTGGAAAGCTATTTATCAGCCGTTCCTGTTGCGCGGAGATGTTTGGTACCGACAAGTCCATCGTCAAATCGGCTGCTCCGGCCCGTACGATTTAACATTGTTCCCAAACGACCTTTGGGCGTCACTGCCAACCAGTCGCTTGCAGCGTCTAAATGTGAGATTATTGAGAAATATATTGATCCCGACATCAATGAATATTTGAATTTGTTAGTACCCAACCGAACTTGCATTTCGAACTATGCGTTCATTCGAGTCTTACGCCGAACTCTCAGGTTCTTCCGAAAGGCTAATGTATGCTTCCCATTATTTGACGAGCATTTGTTCAAGAGTGCATATTCTTCCCACAAAGGCAAAATGTCATCCGCATTGCTTTGCAACCTATATGCCAATTCTCTTATCTACTGGAAGGACTCGCCTAAGTTGCGTGGAGGGCGCACTCCCGATGTTCGATTCATATGGAACCAGGCGAATGAAGCATTGCATTCGGAACTATTCCTCTCGCCCGGATTATCTACGGTCATGTCTATCATTCTCAATGTCTGCGGGAGACCAAGTACCTCCATGTTTGGCAACGGGGGAATGGTTGGGACAGCAGTTGCGCTATCCAATGCACTCGGTCTAAATAGAGACCCATCGGGCTGGAGTATATCACCACTGGAGAAGAGTCTCCGAATACGAATATGGTGGCTAGTGGTTCTTCATGATCGGTGGTGCAGCCTGGCATATGGAACACCTGTACAAATCCACAGAGCACAATATGATGTGCCGTTTCCATCAATTAGTGATATGTGCTCAGCCGGTGCATCACCATACCAAAGGGAAGCAGCCTCCATATTCATTGCCCTTCTCGGTTTGACGGATGTGCTCGCCCGCTATCTAGAACACCTGTACAGCGTGTCGTCGGACTCGGCGTCCTTGGGGCTTTCCACATTCGACTTGGAGCAGATCCTCAGCGAATGGGAAGAAACCCTGACAGGCGATATCCGTACGCTGATTCTACGAGGAACGAAACTTGATGGGCCTGGGGCGGCCAACCTCCGACTTGCTTACCTAGCTGTCAAGCTTCTGCTCCGCCGCATCCAACTTGGTCTCAGCAGAAGCCATGTACAAGTAGAGGAAGAAACTAGCTCCCCATTTTATATGCAAGCCCAACGTGCAGCCGAAGATATTGCCCACCTGATGCGAGAGATGAACGAGCCACAACTCGGTGGTTTCTGGATTCCTCTCCAAGCATTCTCGATCAATTCTGCGACGATGTTTCTTCTTCGAAGTGGTCTTCGCATTAGGAACCGGACTCAAAATAGTCCACTCAAAACCGCAAAAGAAACGATCGCTATCCTTCAGGCCCATCGTAGAAACTTTGATTGGGATTTAGCGGATGATTGTCTTAATCACTGCAGTGATCTGGTTCAAAGGATAGCCATGAACAATCCACAAATCAATCCGGACCTGCCTATTGAAGACTTTTCATATTTCTCAGAGAATCTCGATATAGATCCATCTATTTTGGATGACCTGTTTGAGGGAATAACGGGGGTCTCAGAAAGCCTTGATATCTGACATTTATTTAACTAAAATATGTTAGCATAGCACTCAGATATCCATGGACCTAATTTTGAGATATAAGTGTACATGGCCAATTCAAAAACTGTTATTTGAGCCGAAGTGAGGACCAATACTTCCCGACAAGAGTTTGAGGTGCCTGTATATTACTTGTCAGAGATAAGAGCCATTTGTTTTGCCGAAAATTTGGCAATTTTGGCTTATCTGATTCTAACTTGATTGGTAACTGATGTACCGGAATTTTCCCAGTGGCCGCGGCCAAGCATTGACAACTACTCCGCGGGCCCTTGATTGGCCTTCTGGTAAAGAACATCGTCCTTCTTCAACTGGACCGTTCGATCATCTAATGGTGATAATATATTCTTTATAAGATGGCTGCTCACCCACCCCTCCGATCAGAAGTTTCTAGGTTCTTAACTTACATTCTACTGTTTCCAATATAAACATGAGCTCCATTGACAGCACTGCCGCCTTTTGGGCAAAGACAAACAAACACCTCATGTCGACGGGAGTCCCATTTTCTCCCGTCATCATCACAAAAGCAAAAGGCGCCCGTCTGTATGAGGCTGACGGTCGGTCAATCCTGGATTTTACCTCCGGCCAGATGAGCTCCCTTCTCGGTCACTCCCATCCTGAGGTTGTGGAAGTTGTCAAGCACTATGTCTCGGAGCTGGATCACCTACTCAGTAACATGATAACCCATCCAGTCGTCAATCTCGCAGAGCGCCTTGCCAAAGTCTTGCCCGCTCCACTTGAGAAATCCTTTTTCCTCAACACTGGATCTGAATCTACTGAGGCCGCTATCAAGATAGCCAAGTGCTATACTGGAAACTTTGAAATCATCGCATTCGCAGCCAGTTACCATGGACTTACTCAGGGTTCTGGATCTGCTACATACTCTGCCGGCCGCAAACGCGGTGGTCCTTGCACTCCGGGCCAACTGGCATTCCCTGCGCCTTACGCCTATCGCTCGCCTTTTCGGAAGCCCGATGGATCCTACGACTGGGAGACAGAAATGGATTTTGGCTGGTCAATGATTGATCGGCAAAGTGTTGGCTCACTTGCTGCCTTTATTATGGAGCCTATACTCTCTACCGGTGGGATTCTGGACATGCCCGAAGGATATATGAAGCGCATGGTGGCCGAGTGCAAGAAACGCGGTATGCTTGCTATCATGGATGAGGCGCAGACCGGCGTCGGACGTACGGGCTATATGTTTGCATTCGAAAAAGATGGCATTGTCCCTGATATTCTTGCCCTCTCAAAGACGCTTGGATGTGGTCTTCCTCTTGCCTCCGTCAGTACCACAGCTGAAATCGAGCGCGGCTGTACAGAGGCTGGTTTCTTGTGGCTTAGCACCCATCTTAATGATCCTTTGACCGCAGCAGTGGGTAGTAAAGTCTTGGAAATTATTGAGCGTGATGATATCTGCAAGCGCGCTACTGAGCACGGGGCCCAGCTTCGTGAGGGTCTGCTCAAGCTTCAGAAGAAGTACTGGTGTATTGGTGATGTTCGTGGCCGTGGGCTTTTGCAAGGCATTGAGATTATCTCTGACCCTAAGACACGAGCCCCTGGATCAGAGCTTGGGCAGGCAGTCTCAGATCGCGCGATAGCCTGCGGCCTTTCTTGTAACGTTGTTAATCTTCCGGGCATGGGTGGTGTCTTCCGCCTCGCGCCACCGGTTACTGTTACCACCGAGGAGATTGACGAAGGCCTGCAGATTCTGGATGATGCTTTTGCATACGTACTGAGGATGCTCACCATAGATACTTGAGTTTCGCCTCAATGGCTCTATGAGGGAAGACTTTATGGCCTGCCTTAAACTGGGTTTTCTCCGTATTTCAAGCTATGTTGTTACGCCCCACACATGAAGGAGAACTCCCGTAGTATAAAAGAAGTATGTCATAAGCTCGTATGAAAAAAAGCCGCTAAGAGACTAGAGTAAGGTCGCAGTATGAGCACAGCATAACTGCGCAATGCCTGTAGCATAAGATAGATCCATACTAGCATACTATCCTAAGGGGCTTATCTAAGGCTCGCACTTAGATTGAAGCGCGGGGCAGAACTCAGGAGTTCTCCAGCCTTATTACAATCAACCCAGACCTACAGTACCACACATTATCCTTGCAGTACATTTGCACTATCACTCTTATTCATTACACCCCTAGAACAGCACTCCTGCTCTAACAATGGATTCGAGTATGTTTAGTTATTATGTCGGTCTGTTCTAATACCATGCTAGGTCAGACCGTAATAGGAGTAGCTTATAGAATATACTTTTACTAGAATCCTTTACTAGAATAATCGTAAGGTAACGTTATGTAGGTATATAGGCTGATCCTATGCCTAAGCGGTTTCATTGGCCTCCCTATCATGAAATGACACCAATTCACTACTATGCACGCGTCTAGACGCTAGCACTACGGCATCACCCACCAAACCATCTCACCATATTCTCCCTAATAATCAGCTGCCACCAAGGTTGCTAAAGCTTTTTCCATAACTAGGAAGTGGACAGCTTGCTCTTGATGAATGCCAAGGCCTGCGCACCGTATTCAGCTCCGTAGCCCTGGTGGGTTTGGGCGTTGCTGCCATTGCAGCAGTATGGATCTGAGGCGTCACAGTACGACTGTATTTTGCTTGCAGATGGGCAGGTAAAGCCAACTGGTCGTTCATCAAACTGCATCTCAATTGTCAGGACCAAACGTCAAAGGAGGAAAAGCAAGAAGTTCATACCCCGCCAGCGGCGCAAGTACCAACTTCATATGATAAACCCGCTCTAAAAAGTGGATCACCCATGAAGATGGCCGCCTTTACCATTTGTACCGCGGACGACGACAACGGAACCGCTGTGTTGGTGTAGCCTTGGTTAGGGTCACCCCCACCGCACAGAGCAGCATCCATGATTTCACCGCCCTAAAATGGTACTTTAATTTAGCATAGTTGAAGATCCCCCCTCTATTGAATGCCTTATATGTAACTCACTTGGGAATAGCCAACCAAAACGAGCTTTGTCTCTGGGCAACGGGAATTAAAAGAATTGACGGCTGAGGCAACAGCTGCAATACCCTGAGCGACTGAGCTGGAGTAGCTCACACTGCCACACGAGGACTGTCCACCGCATGCCGGGTAACTGATGGCTTCAGCCGTGGAGCCTGAATAGGCATTGAGAACGCTGTTGACGACCGTACTAGATGAACCGTAGCCTGGAGATGCGGTGGTCTCGCGTGCGCCAAAAACATGGACGCCCGGGCAGCTTTGACGCTTCTCAGTGTAAACTTCGAGCGGGACGGCGAGGGTGCCGCAAAAAAGGAGAGAAATTGTCAATAGTCTGGGGAGCATGGTATCAATTAGAGTGAAGAATCAAGATATGTATCAAAAGTACACCCCAGCCAAAGTTGATTATTTTCAGTGTTCTTGAGATTTTGCCTGTGAAAAACTGGATATCTTCCCAGACGACAGAGATGGCAGCTTGTTTATATAGCTGACTTGTAAAGTCCTTGACATATCTGGAACACAAGGCATTCTCGTATTTCCGATTGGCTTGCCAACATCAGTCAAAATTCGTTCCTTTGGACCGAAGATATATTTTTGCCTAATGATAAATGAAATTAGCCGTTCAAAAACAGTTCCATAGCATTAGGCTGAATCGAATGGTCGATCAGTGTAAGTAAAGCCGGGATGGCTAAAATTGTGGCAGTTGAAACGGTGTAGGTTACATATTGGGTGCGTTGCTAAACGCCACATCTTCAGGGTCCACGCTATTTACCCCGCATTTTTACCAGGGCTCGATTGCCACCCCACTGGGGTACTGATCCCTAGATAAAAAAATAACACGCCGAATGGACTGACTTGCTCGTGTGCCATGGGGAATGGAGCGATACAGCTGGGACAATCTACGATTGTGGGGGATTTGTTGACGGGAACCAGAAGAAGAGAAGAAAAGAAAAGTGAGAAGCGCTAATCTATCAATAGAGGCTTAGTATGTGACGATAAATTCCAATTTATCAATTTGTCATGCATAATACGCTTTGAATAATATGTTGCTACACCTATAGGTGCAACTCGTAAAGTATGACGTGATCTCTGATGTATTCTAGAGTGGTTCTCGCCATGTGTTCTCTCTACGGGACTACACCCCAAGGTATAGGGCGCGTGTCTTTACTTTGCATAGGTATGGACTTCAGTATAATGGTAAGGTCACACTTAGCTTTGTGCAAAATTATAGACCTTGATTGGCATCAAATACTGGGATATTAGCCGAATCCGATGCATGAATTTCTATGTAAAAGACCACCATTCACCATGTAACCCGAATTCATTCCTTGATAAAAAAAACAAGTAGACGATCAGCGGAGTTAGATTTTATCATATGCTATCTTATTAACGAATAAACTCTCGATATTTCTATCTAAAATATTCGCGAACAGCGGTTTCAACGTTTGGTTCGGTTTCTAAAGGCAAAAACCAAAGAGGCCCTGATTCATAACAGGTATATAATGGCCGATGACCACAAGGCCATATTTATGCCCCCAATCTCGGGCACTTCCTTAACCAAAGATACAGCTTCAAGAGCGTACAAGGTAATGTCATCCAGAAGCTACCTTCCCTGTCGCAGTTTTATCATTGAAGAATCGCCATGCCCTGCGATCGTTTCCCAGCACCCAACTTTTCCAGCAAGAAATGCTGAATTTGTAAGCCCTTGAATGAATCTACCACGGTGATTGCCGCAGGCATAGTACCGTTGCCAGGAGAAAGGGCATAAACAAAGCGACCAGCAACCTGAAGGTCAGTGAGTCCGGGGTCGCCATTGGTCAATTCCAACCTCGACATGATCTCCGAACCATCTTTATTGATCTCAATCAATCGGTTGACTGCAGCATCGGTCACAAAAAAACTCTTCCTCGCCTGTGAATAAGCAACCCAGCAAGTCGCCTTTTGACCCTGGATGGTGACTTTGTTTTCCAAGAACAGATTTTCCGTTGTGTAGTTAAGACTGAGCAGTGTAGTCCCAAAGGATGCGTCCGTGATGAAGAGATCTGAGGTGTCGGGAACGTTGACACCACCAAACAGCACAGCAGTCCCGGGAGGCGAGCTTCTTGTATCACCATCTTCGAAAGCAGGTGAGCGTGCATCTTTGAAAGGCAGAACAGAGATGAACCCCGTTTTGTTCGTACTAGGGTCTCCCTTGACGGTGGTGATTAATCGAGACTCGTCCGCAGCGAAGAAGACCTGAGCGACCGTATTCGTGGGCCCCATAGGAGGAGTGGTTTGGCCAAGGTCAATTTCGACGACCTGTTTCATCTGACCCAGTCCCATTCGGGTGAATTGAGCGCAAGACGTGCCGGACTTGGCCCCGGTATACCCGACGCATGCCATGTTGTGCTTCACCGATGCTCCAACAGTCACGGGGAATTCGCCAGGAACCTCGGCAGGCTGTCCGATCATAGTCAAGTGTGTTGCATCGTTCTGGTCGATTTTGAACATGGAGAGGGTGTTTGAGCCGGCGTTTACAGCAAAAAGATACTATTCAAAGCAGTCGGTTTAGATCCTGAGAAGAAGCCATCATGGCAATCACGCCATGCAGGTACACTCATACACTCACATCGCCGCTCACAGTTACCGATCCTTGCGAAGAGAGTGCGTCCGGGCCTGCGGGTTTCTTGGTCGTCCCGTCGATGCTGGCACCTCCCTTGCCACCCGAAGAAATGACTATGCCACCAGAAAGCTTCCCATCACGTCCTATTGGAATTGAAACAACGCTGTTATCATGCTCATTAGATTGCAAGTAGACTGCCTTTCCAGAATGCCATTCGTTGCAGGGGTCTCCGGGGCATGCTTGGATGATGTTGGCATTGGTAGACTTGACAAGAAGTGTCATTAACGGACACAGGCAAAGCAAGGTAAAGTGCATGGTTGAGAAAATAAGAGCGATGGAGATATTTGAGCCGAGAAAGAAAAATGTTATGAATGAATTGAGTCCTACTGATGAGCCTTATATATTTTCCCACCCCAGAATTAGAATCTAATATTATCCTAGACTACATAGAATAGGAAATAATGATAGTGTCAACAATCTAACCCTTGATTCTCAGAATAGACGGAAAGTCAACTTCACGCTAAACCGAAAAAGAGAAAAATGATTGTGTCAACAATGCATGACGCTTGTCCGAATCGGGACTAGCATCAGAGTTAAATTAGCCGCTAGCTTCCCTTGATTACAGAACCCTGGATCTTACTCGACACCTTTTCCCCTCGAACACCGTCCTCGAGGATCCGAACCTGTGATATCATCCATCGGAACCACTATGAAAAAGGTGTTTACATTTCTTCCTGGCCGCTCCAATGGCACAGATCGCAATTCAGGTAATCATCTCAAATATTTCGTCCCTATAGCGAGCACCATGGATAAATATGGAAACTCACTGACTTTTGATTTTAGCTGACAATTTTGGGAGTGCCTCTAAACGGCGTGAACAACTCCGAAAGGCGCAACGGTACGGAAGAGTCTACGTTCATTCCATAATCGCTTAAACGGCTCATATTCAATAGAACACACCGCCAGCGCAAGCATCAATATTTCAAGAGTTTAGAAGCTGAAGTTTTGCGTCTACGTGCCAATGAAGTGAATTTACTTGCTCGAGTCCAAACTTTAAACGATCATGTCAACCTACTCCAGAGGACCCTTGAGCAACATGGGCTATCCGAAGTCGCTGCGCTCACCGAAAAATCAGAAACAATCAATGGTGGTGTGCCAGATTCGGCCATGAACAAAGAGCCAATTCAGTGTTCCGGACAACTGAGCAATGGGGTTAACTCAAGAGACCTAGCGGATATGGATATTGAACTGACCGATCCATCAACGCATCCGACCAGGCAAGACCGTTTAGATCAAGTTATCTCGGACGCCTTGCCAAAGTCCCATGCTGAACTAATTAGGCCAACAAACATTCAAAAGCTCGATCAGCTTTCCGGTCCACTAGTTGTCGCTTCTCAATTAAAGGAACGACAATATAGATGTACCGGCCTGATATGTAATCAAGACATGACTGATATGGGGATGGAATTCGTCATGGCGTAAGTACTGATACCTTCTGGTCTTTTGTCTGAATATCTCATTCTCACATCAATTCAGACTTGAGGACCCTTGTCGTCCTCATATGGAGCTTCATTTAGACAAGCCTAATGGCCATGCTCTCCTTACATCGGCTACTCTCATTGCCCCACATCATCACCAGCATCCCCTGCTCACAGCTTCAAAACATACACAACAGTCCCAGACAGAACAAAACCCGGCCACTATTTTCGAAAATCTACTAGCCTTGTCTGGACAACTGGTTGTCGAGGACGAGCTTAGCCCAATCCAGGCTTGGTATTATATCCTTCAACAAACCTGGGCCAGCAAGCTAGATCCTGGAAAGCTAAGGAAGCTGAGTTCGTCGCTTTTGAAGCTGATTGAATGCCATGGGTATGTCGGTCTCTTGAATGTGATTTCCTCTCAATTTCTGGGCTGATATTAATATGGTGTTCTAGTTTCGGTGCTGTCATGCAGAAAAATGCGTTTGAGAATATTTTACTCCAAAATCTTTCGAGAACAGGCTTGAATTAGCTTGAACAGAAAAGGACACCACAGGACAATCTCAAGTAAAATGCTCGTGTATCAGAGTCAACAGAATTTGAGCCAGCATCTAACTGTCTATCTGAAGCGCGCTTTCTTGCGAGGCATCTCAGACTCGGTTTTTGAGAGAAGCCCCAGTCTACTGTCTTCACACAAGTCAACTTTTCTAGTCCAACATGCATTACTTCCACCACTTTCCGCCCTGGAAATTCGGACAAATATAATGCCTTCGTGATTTGGGTGTGGGCCTGTCTTTGATGATAATATGGCTGGAATTGAAAAATATTCAAACACATAATATTTGGTTAAATGAAATTATGGTTTTAGTGTGGAATACCGCTCAATGCCTTTGGTAGTCACGATTTCCAAACCATAAAGATCTTTAGCCGCTAAGGAATAAACGGTTGTCTTTCAGATGACCGTCATGAGAAATCGACTGACCTTGTTTGAAACGTCGGCAATAGGGGGGGGGGGGCACAAACCCGGCTTGTCGGAGCAAAAATTTTACTCGATTCGTATCATCGTTCGCTAGGTTGAAGTGATAAATTAAGAATTCTAATCGCTTGATGGTGAGTTATGGACCTCATTTCTTATATGTAACATTTGGCTTGACATTGACCTAAAGTATCAACAGTTCAATGGAGGGAGACAAATGTAGGTCGTCGATGGATACTGCCTCTCGAGGTATATGTGGAGGTCTAGCCTACTATGTTTCATATACAGCTAAAGCTTTCGTCTTGAACCAATTGGCATTAAGAAACATTACTGTTCCATTTTTTTCAGCGTTGTTCTTTTGTTGCCTGATGATCAATTTAGTTGTTGGAGAACAATAGTAGTCGCAGCAATGGAGAAGCTTCTCTGATGATTGAAACATCTAGAATGGTCTCCTGGGTCCTTTCTCACATGTATTGTGACTCTTTTGCTCTGTCTTGCTAGAGTGGTGTCGGAAACATGTGGTGTGGAGCTATACGAACTGGATCCATGGCAAGGGCAGAACATGAGACACAAGTGATGGATAAGAGGACCAAGGAGAAGTGTGTTGCCTAAGTGGGGCAGGACGAAATTTACAAGTGCTATCATGGACAAACAGAACTAGAATGACCAACAAGGATTCATTGTAGAATGCATGATTGAATTGAGAACATTGGAATAGCCCTATCAATAAGCAGGTGCTGACTAGCGCGAGAATCAAATTTAGGTATTTCTGTCTGATATTTGACTATTGCAACCCAATTACCCTACCCTCATTGAGGCTGCTATGCAGTATTGATTATTCTGATGTCCCATTAGAACTCGCAAATACAAGGTAGCTGCATCTATCTCTGTATCTATTCACGGAGCAGAATATAGTTGTACTCACGAATTTTGGTGAGTACAAGTGAAAAGTCTCAAATGACTAGTCATACAGGACCAGCTTCATTAGTGCTAGCGTATTGCTTGCTTGCGTGGCCTAACTGTGTATTCTTCCTTTCAAAATGAGGCGCAATCAAGCCTTGCCAGAGAGGGCCTAGTTAGATAGACCCACTTGCCTTAGCGTTGACATTGCTTGCGCGGCCTATTCTGCCTTGCCAATTTGAATTTTCAATCATTCAGCCTTATAAGTCCTACAAAGATTTACATATAAGCTGTCTTGCCTGAGTGCAACAAAGTATCGAAAATTCGCTGGATTTTCTATTGGTAGCTGTTTGTCGCATCCCAAATTGAAGAGAACTTCTAAATCCAGAAACTTAAGAACATTTCACCAGTTCGTGAATAGACTCTCACTATATGGTCTTCACATTCGTTTGTTGCTGACTTTGAAGAATACTACAGCGGTTGAAGTGGTACTGCTCTCCGCCACTTGATAAAACGCTTGATCAATATGCTGGATACGACTTCGCTATCCCTGATTATGGGGGCACCGATAATTTGGCCCTCCCGGAAGTTTCGCTCTGGGTTGACTAGAGCACAAAGCATTGTTTACTGGATGGGCTTCACCACTTACTTTATGAGTCTGTGCTGCTTTCTGGCGGCATTTCTATGGCGAGGTATTATCATTTCTCTCAAGATCTCGATCCACCTGCTAAATATAACATAGTCCGAGCATGTTCGACTACGGAAGTTCTAGGAAAAGTATTGTCGGAAACACAAGATTGGTATTGGGGCCTTGGAGGGGTGGCACGAGTTCTGCACACACTTGCGGCGGTCTGTTATCTGGTTGCTTTCGTCGTTTTCCCGATGATACATCTATGCAGAGGTATATTGATATTTTCTCCTATATGTTCGTTGCAATCATTAATATCGGCATTTAGTCAAATTCTTCGGGGAAAGTACGCCGCAAGCTTCTAGTTGAAAGAGGCTAAAGCCTTGTGCATGAGACTTGCTCAGATCAGGATCTGTGAAGGTTTTTTAATGACAGCTGCATCCCTTTCATGCTTACTTTCACTGATGGAGACTGTCTTGAAAAGTCTTGATCACCTCTCTCAGGCCTCAGATGATCGCAGGGGTTTGAAATAAGTGTACCGCGCGCCGTTCCTTGGATATGGATTACAGCCGTTACTGAATTCTGCTAGTTCATAGTATGCAAACTACTAAATAGCAGATTACAAGAAGAGCATGTGGGTCAATGAAGCGGGGATGCAATTGATTGCAGATCTAGGCTAGCACATTGAGACCAGGACGGATTTCAATAAAGTTTCGTTCAATAGATAGAGGCCCAACTCAAGAAATTTCTGACATGTATACCTATCTAACCGCTTTCAATGCTCGTGGTTTCAGGTTTAATGCCTTCCGAACCCTCGAGACATTTACAGAACCCCAATAGCATATCGGCAAATGTGTACATCAAGGTCGTTGACATGATGTGGACCGCCATTCCATGCACAACTTTGGATAGGTCTAATTTCCGGGGATTAAATGTCACACATAAATATCAGTGCGTTGAAAAATGGTCGACTGGCTTTCCTCGGGGCGGCTATTTGTCTCGGGGTGAGAAGAGTAGAAACGGAGAATGTAACCATGATCTCGACTTTGGTTCTTAATCACACTGGTAAGGCGCCCGATCATACTCTTGGATTATCGTAGAAATGAAATTCGTGTCGACCCTCCCAAAGCCAATCATGGGGTTGCAGAACACCAAGCTGAGATTGAAAGTGTGTCATTGTGGCTATGCTGCCCTGAAGATTGCTGGTAGGGCACCAATCCGCTTCGATTCTGTATGCGCCCTGGTGATTTACCCACCATTGGCATAATTACTAAGTCTTCAGTCGGATCAGTTCAACCGATGACGGATCCGTGCGGAATGAGTCAATTAGCTCGATTTTCTATAATTAATCCAAACTAAGTATGCAATGCTGCTGACTAGCGAAATTGAAGTCATTACCCCTCTTTCTTTGCTGACTTGGTCGACGATCTTGACCGCTTGCCTCCACTTAACCATGTCATGCCAGACTAATTATCCTGAATTCGCGCTGCGAGTGTGCTGGAAGTGGTGATATTGATGTTGCACGGCCTTGGCGGGGACTAAACATAGCATCCACAGCGGTTAGAAAGGATCGATCATTGGCCCCATCCCCCGCGTGGGCGTTTTGTCACACTCTCCGCATTCATGATTCGCCCACCCTCTGCATTTTTCCTCCCCACTCATCATGCTCTTTTCGACAAATTTGTTGGGCATGAGTCGGTCGAGAGTGAAAAATCGTTCCCGGGCGACGCGCCGACTGGCCTGGGAGCCAATGAACGGTCTCATCGCTGTCGCGTCGACAGGGGGGTCATCTTAGCGGTGCCCAAACTTGCAGTAGCTCATGCACCTGGTGACTAGCCGTGAACAAGGATCCGCTCCCTCATGCACGTCTCCAGAGGGGACGAACGCACCATTCGTCTATATAGTCTATTCAACGACCCGGAGGACTAACTCGAACTTGCGTCCTTAATTTCGTCATCTTGATTTTGTTTGGTACCATCTAGCTCTGGTAGCTACGTTGGTTTTTTGTACTGTTTCTTTCTTTACTGTTCACTACGCAGACCCGTTGATCGGCGTCTCCATGCACTTTCTTATTACCAGATACCCATAGAATTCTGTCCTGCGATACGCCACGCTTCGGACTAGAACAACCAAACCAACATCGAGCACCAAAATGGCCGACACACTTCGATCATACCAAGCACGATGTCCGCCCCTTCGGCAGGCCCGAGGGACGGTGCTTAATACTATAATGGAGGATACCCGCGAATCACAATTTGCCGAGAAGAGGGTCAACACGCCAACGCAACAGAAGCCTTTGACCAGCCCAAAGTTGACATTGAAGACTAGCGGGTTATCAATACCGACTCGCTCACAATTGGCCCGCCTGATGTCGCCTCTTTCAGCGGCAACCGTGTCGTCATGTTGCTCAGATGTGGAATGGCAGCAACAAATGCAAGGATTTGATGACCTTTACGATGCAACGGATGAGGAAGATATGGACGATGACAACTCGACGGAAATCAGCCTATCATGCTTCTCCCAGCCAACACGCCCATCGAGTTTAGTGACACCGGTCACAAGGGATTCTTATACATCAACTGGAAGTCGTAGACGCTCTCTTACTCTCCAGATCCCTCCGTCCAATGTCTGGCCCTCGATTACTGGAGGCCACAAGAGCTCGCCGATCCCTCCAACACCTCCACCCAAGATCCCCGTTTCTCCTGCTGCACTTTCAATGCTGACTCGATCTGTTCCTGCATCCTACGCACCGCCTTCACTGGATGGAAGCATGTCGTCGGACCAGGAATCGAACCTCAGTGCTCTCGCTACTCCTGATACACACTCTCTTCCCGACTGGGATGCTACGGATATTCATGTCCGGCCTGATATAGAGGGAAGCGAGGACGAGCGTGAGAATGATAATGCAGATCTCCCGGACATGCCAATTACGATCGAGACCCCGGAAGATGTTGACTGGCGCAATGTCTTGAGAAGTTTCCCACAAATCCCCACTGCTCTTCAGAACTACGACGAGCCATCCCGGGAACCTACTCCATCTGATCAGGGTGTTTTCCTTCCAGATGGAGCTCTAGCGATGCTCCACCACATTCAGCTTGATGGTGTACCGGAGGCCTGGTCAGAATCTTCCGAGGGGAACGACGAGATGTGGCAATTACAGGCACCTCCAAGTCGCCCTCGCAGTGCTGATGGCGCCACTCCAGCGTCTGCTATGTCCAGCTACAGCTTCAGTGAGCTGAGCATTCCTTCCCCTGGTGGGTTTTTTGCTTCACTCGCTCCACGTGCACGACACACCTGGTCCATGGCGCCTTCCAACCTGCCCCCATCATCGGCTGTTGCTGAGGGATTCTACAACCTGCCATGGCGTCGAGACGACGAAGAGGTCGTCGAGCAGGTTATTGATTGGCCTCAGCGCTCAGAGGACGATGACCCCGTTACTGCAGTCCGGGATGAACAGGGACCGCCAACAGCGATTCGAATTCCATGTGATACCCCCACGCAACCTGCCACTCGACAAGATAGCCCAATGAGCGCAACTTTCGAAGCAGTCCAGGAGATTGCCCGTTCTGAAGCTCTTCCTGAGTACGACGAGTCCTATGACCAAGAACTGCAGGACCGTGCTGCGGATAGTCTTGACCGAACCAGCGTCTGGCTCACTGCCCAGGCTACCTATATGGCTGCTTTGAGTGAAACCAACCCTGTCAATGAGACGGAAACTGAGGACTCCACCAAAGTGGAAGAGGAACAATTGCCTAAGGTGCAAGACACCCCCGCCAAAAAAGCAGTTCGATTCGTCGAAGGTACCCCGGCACCTATGAGCCCTCTACCTCCCCTGCCTTCCACAGCTGCCAGCAAAGATTCAATCTACTGGCGTGGGTTCCAATCCATCATCGACCGAGCCGAAAAGCCCGATGGTTTCCTCCATAGTAGCATGCGTTATGATGCCGTTCAATCATTTCGTCTCGGACTAGTCGACAATCACATCAACTGCCTGACAGGAAAGTACGAGCTCGTTCGTCCTGACCGACCTGCCTACAGGGGACCTTTCTCAAAGGCACCGCGCAACTCAACTATTGCTTCTGTCCTCACAGAGAAAGCTCAATTCTCCAAGCTCGAAAAGGAGCAGCTCGTTCTTGCCCAGATATGCGAGCCCATGTGGGCAATGGAATCACTTCGTGCCCTCAACGGTGGCAAGCTACTTACCAGCCCCGCCGAGAAACGTATCGCACGGACAAACAAACCGACCAAGACCCAAGACGGACCGAAACGCTCCATCCGCATCCTTGATCTTGGTGGACAGTCATCATGCGAATGGGCATGGCATGTCGCCCAGGAGTACCCAAACGTCAAGGTGTACTCCGTCAACAACAAGACCCAGGTCGTCAACAGCGGAATCAAGGGCCCATCAAACCACCGCGTGATCTCTGTCGCCAACTTATGGGAACTCCCATTCGGCGCCAACAAATTCGACGTCATCACTACGCGCTCCTTGCACGCTCTTCTTAAGATAGAATGTCCAGCTGGTTTCGATCGCGACGAGTACGACCTTGTCTTGAAAGAATGTCTCCGCTGTCTCAAGCCTGGTGGTTTCCTTGAATACATGCTCCTTGACGCTGAGGTCTCTCGTGCTGGCGCTCAATCCACTGCATCATCGACTGAGTTTGCCTCCAACCTGCGCTCACATGCCTATGATCCTGCAGCTTCAAAGACTTTCCTCGCTCGCCTTCGCAAAAATGGCTTTGTAGGAATCAAGCGCGCTTGGATGTTTCTTCCAATGGGCGTGGAACCTGCCAAGCCCCTGCCGCCTCGGGAGACACCAGCCCCTCGTGTCCCGAGCCAGATCGAGGAGTATGAGGTCGTGCAAGGCCCCATCGGAAGCACGGGTGATATTGCCAGCATCACAGGATTACTTGGTGGATGGATGTGGGAGCAGTGGCTTGTGAAATTACGCATGGAGATGGGACAGGAACGGGGCCAGTTGCTCGAGGGTGTGGGTGCAATTTTCGATGAGGGACGGAAGAACGGTGCGGGTTGGACTTGTTTGTCTGGTTGGGCCATGAAGCCGAAGCATTTGAGAGAAGAAGCTACTTGGATTTGAGGGGATTGAAATTATTTGCATTCATCTTGATACCTGAACAATTTGTGCCTTCGGGCCACTTATGTATTTTAATGCGAGACATGAGATCGGAATCATGCTGAAGATGAGCTGACATAACCTGTTCATTATGTATACTCATGGAATACGTAGCTTGATACCACTGGGTTAACTTCTGCATACACCTAGCGGCTGCGAGGCCTTATAGTCAAAACATCCACACAAGAATAGACAAAAACAAAGAGTCTCATTTATTTGACTTAGCACATACATCAGAATTACAGAGTGACTTGCACATCCAGACACCTTGTTATAACATTTCCTTGTGGTGGAGCATACCACGTGACCGAATTACCACTCCCGCATCGGAACGTTCCTTCTGCCAGAGAGAAGATCCCCGCGCCTTCCATACTCAAGAGCTTACCATCAGTGCCGTGACTTCTGTATTCAGTGCCAAACGTCGCTCATTAGTTCTTTCCTTTACTCCCGCTCAACCTACAATTTTTCCACGCGCCTAGTGCGCTATTCCCCGCCATCATGCTTTTCTTCAGGTACGAAGCCCAGCTCATTGCGATACTCACTGCGATCTCCGACCTTCCCAGCAGTGACTGACTGTCTTTGACACAGCTTCTTCAAGACCCTTACCAATCAGACCGTTACCATCGAGCTTAAAAATGACATTCGCATCCGTGGAATCCTCAAGTCGGTCGACCAGTACCTGAACATCAAGTTGGACGACGTGGAAGTTTTGGACTTAGACAAGTACCCTCACCTGTCATCGGTGAAGAACATGTTCATCCGTGGTAGTGTGGTGCGCTATGTGATGTTGCCTCGCTCGGAGGTTGACGTGGGGTTGTTGGAGGATGCTACACGGCGGGGTGAGTGACCTTTAGCTGCAATCGGCCGGCCGTTTGCTGTCTTTGACAGTCAATGGATCACCGATCGAGTGCTACCAGCGCTTCATTGCCCTGGAAGACTATGCTAATCTTTATTGAATGATACAGAGGCTGCCAACCAGGCGGGCAAGGCTCGGTAAACGACCACGAATTAACGCAACATTTTCAACACCACATTTAATATCCTTGTTAATGCCTCTCGACGCTTGCCAACGTAATATCCCTTGGACCCAGAGGATCGAGAGGAATATCGGGGCCACGAGCCCTCGACTGCAGGAGGTCTGGAAACCATGACCGCAAACTGGGAGAGAATCTACGACCGAGCGTTTCTTTTATTTATTTCGGCGACTTTGGCTCTCAATATCTGCCGATATGATATCGCATTCAGAGGTGGTTTCGCTGGAACTAGGTACATTAACTCACTTGATCTGGCTTCTACGATATGCGAAAAAGTTGGAGAGCCATGGGCTTATTTGGCCTGACTTGCCTTTCATGAGTCCAATACCCTTGCAATCATCAAATTTTGATTCAGCCTCTGTTCGATTTTGAGATCTGTAGATTTGTAGATATTAATGGGTCATGTGACTTCGTGTCGCGGTCCCGCGCGGTTCTCGTTACTGGTTTTTCCACGACGCCACTCGACCGAGACTTGCTTCTCAGGCGTGGACAGGGCTCTAACAGCTTTGTACATACCAAAATCCGCGGCCTCCTATATTACAAAACGTCCGCTCGCTGTTTGCCATCCGTTTTTTGACTTGTCTCTCGTCTCGCAATGGCAGGTTCAAACGCACGAAAGGTGTCAACGCCATCCAAGGCACCTCCCTCTTCCAAACGAAATTCGAGCATTTTGAGCTTTTTTCAAAAAAGCGATACTCCACAAGGAGCTAAATCGACCCAACTTCGCATGTCACATTTCCTCACATCCTCTCCAAGTTCCGGCCGCGGAACACCATCATTACAACGTGGCGATAGCTCCAAAAGCGATACAAATGAAGGACTATTTCTAGAAGATAGGAAAGGACTCGCAAAACTTCAGCAGAATGGTGCAAATAGCGAAACGAAATCAAGGGCCCGATCACGAACACCAGATGACTTTTGGGGCGAAACCAATGTGACACGATATAACGAGAATAACTCTGCAGCAAAGCGCCGCAAAACGGATGAAGCCATTGATTTGACCGATAATAGACAAGCGGATGATGAGAAGAAACCGCCAAAGGCTGTTGCACCCAGAAAGGCGACTAGTGGCCCTTTTATCGACGAATCAGACAGCGAATACGAGGACGACATGGACGCATATCGAGAAATTAAAGATCAAGAGTTCCCTGAAGACAACCCGGAACCTACAAAATCACCAATCAGTGGCGACCACGCCGAGGTTTCATCTGCCGAATCTGCGCAGCCGCCATTGGTAAGAGACACGAATTATGCCGATAATGAAGACGAAAATTTTGACGACGAGGGAGAAGATGAACTTGTAGGGGAGGAATTTCAAGACTTGCCGTGGGGAAATGAGGAAGCAAGTTTAGAAGCGGCACTAGAGGATGTCACGGATGCAATAAGTCCCGCGGAGGCAGAGGGGATATCCGGCATCGCTGATCTTATCTGTCCGGCATGCCAGGGACGACTGGCCGGGCTTGATGAACGAGTATGTTGCCTTTGATCATGATTGTTAAAGTTCCATGCTGATTCATCCCAGCAACGAAATATACACGTGAATGATTGTTTGGATGGGAAGTCTAGTTCCATAACGTTACTTGAGTCGATCTCAAGCGAGATTTCACCGAAAGAGATTGCACAGACGCCAATACCTAAACCGATAAGCGTGAATGCAGGATTAACACGGACTGAACGAGCTGCTGTCGCGCGACCTGCCCAACGCCATCCCTATCCACAAAACAATGCCGGCAACCGAACGGCTTTTTCAAAAATGATGGCAGGGAATGCTGAAGATACAGCGTGGGCGGATGCGGCAGCGCAAGAGGTATCTTCTCGCGGGAAGCAGGCATATCAACGGACTTGTCCTTTTTACAAGATCATGCCAGGGTTTTCAATCACCGTGGATGCCTTTCGCTACGGAGCTGTTGAAGGATGTAATGCCTACTTTCTCAGCCACTTCCACAGCGATCACTACATCGGCCTGAGCAAGTCCTGGTGTCACGGTCCTATCTATTGCAGTCGACCTACGGGTAATCTTGTCCGGCAACAGCTCCGAGTAGACCCCAAGTGGGTCATCGATCTCGAGTTTGAGACCACCACTGAAGTGCCGAACACGGGCGGCGTGCAGGTTACTATGATTCATGCGAATCACTGTCCAGGAAGTTCTTTGTTTCTCTTTGAGAAGAGCTTCGGAAATGGACCGAATCCTCGTCGACAGCGTATACTTCACTGTGGTGATTTCCGTGCATCCCCAGATCATATACGGCATCCTCTACTATGTCCCAACCCAATTAATTCAACTACTGGCCAGCCGAGGCACCAGCGACTCGATCAGTGTTATCTAGACACAACTTATCTCAGTCCGAAGTATGCTTTTCCAAGCCAGGCAGATGTCATTACGGCATGCTCCGAACTCTGTGTACGTTTGAACGAAGAGGCAGGGGTGGGCCTGGATCTGGGAAAGGCAACTGGTGGTCTTATGAGCAAGTTCCTATCATCAGTGACAGGAAATGACCGGCCAAAAGAGACATCTCAAGCCGGTGGTCGTCTATTGGTAGTCATTGGGACATACAGTATTGGCAAAGAGCGGATCTGCATAGGCGTTGCACGCGCTCTGGGATCTAAGATTTTCGCACCACCTGCCAAACAACGCATTTGCGCTTGCCTTGAAGACCCAGAGCTCACTGCACTGTTAACCACGGACCCGAAAGAAGCCCAGGTGCACATGCAGACGCTATTTGAGATCCGAGCAGAGACTTTGGCCGACTACCTGGATTCCATGAAACCACACTTTACACGAGTTGTGGGGTTTCGGCCAACCGGATGGTCCTATCGGCCCCCCGCGGGGCGAATGTTGGAGAACCCGCCCGTACCGACCGTTCTGCGTGGCGAACACTGGCGGACACCGTTCACGGTAGAGCATCTAACACCCCAGCGGGGGAGCACGCGAGAAAGTGCCTGTTTTGGTGTGCCGTATAGTGAGCACAGTTCATTCCGTGAACTTACCATGTTTTGCTGTGCACTCCGGATTGGACGAGTCATCCCCACTGTAAATGTGGGGAGTCAGAAGAGTCGGGATAATATGAAAGCTTGGATGGAACGATGGGAGGGAGAAAAGAAGCGAAACGGACTATTTCCCGTAGAAGACTGGTGATACCCAGACAAATCATCTGTATTTTATTATCCGTGCTCTCGGTATACTCTATAGCCAGATGAGACATGAATGCCAATGTTGTAGATCCGGAAGCCGGATCAGCAATGATATCCCAATCGAGTAATACGCTCCTATGCGCAAGAGCTAATGCAGATCATACAAAGCGGACCAACCACAGGCCATAGATCTTTGTATGTAAGCACGTCGATCATCGTCAAATCGGAGTCTCGTGATTTGTTCACCGCATACCCGACTTCGGTCGCCAACAACGGCACTTGCTCTCTCGAGCGCTGATTGGTCACTCCACGTCTCCACACATTCTATTCGATCCCCAGATACCGAATTCCATTCCCGTCAACCTTAACCTCGGGGATGCGGTCATCACTCCAAATGATGGCTCTAACATAAATAGTCTTCAGACTCAGCAAGAACTCGACCTGAACAATACATCCCGCCAACTCTCAAAGTCCCAACCAGCTTCGTTATCTGGCAATTGCCATCGGAACTTTCCCGCGATTTCCATCATCGGCTGACAGTTGAGCTGCACTTCCCCACCTTCAGTGCGGTTGATCTACCTCAGCTTATTGGGCCGAAGCCCTAACTATTCATTTCTTTCTTTCTGATTTCTATACATTGAAAACCATGTTGATCTCAATCGAGACCGCCCCATTCTTGGCTGTGGGCTTGGTCATCGCCTACTTCCTTCTACCCTACCTGCAGCGATCGCGGCTGCGTGACATCCCTGCCCCCAGTTTCGCCGCATTCACCAATCTCTGGCTTTTCTTGCAGACCCGCCAGGGTAAACGTTACCTTTCTGTCGATCAAGCCCATGCCAAATATGGAAAGCTGGTCCGTATCGCGCCCAAACACGTCTCCGTCGCTGATGACGAGGCCGTGAATGCCATCTACGGACACGGAAACGGATTCTTGAAGGCGTAAGTTTATCCACAACCAAGTACCAAGGTATGAACGAACGCTAATCGAAATATACAGCGACTTTTACGATGCTTTCGTCTCTATCCGCCGTGGTCTCTTCAACACCCGCGATCGCCACGAGCACACTCGTAAGCGCAAGACTGTCTCACACACTTTCAGCGCCAAGTCTATCGGGCAGTTCGAGCAGTATATCCATGGCAATGTTGAGCTCTTCGTTAAGCAGTGGAACAAGATGTCCGATCTGCAGGCGAACCCGAAGACCGGCTACGCCTCCCTCGACGCCCTCAACTGGTTCAACTACCTTGCCTTCGACATCATCGGTGATCTTGCCTTCGGAGCTCCATTTGGCATGCTTGAGAAGGGTAAGGATTTCGCCGAAATGCGCAAGAGCCCTAACGAGCCTGCCAAGTACGTTGCTGCTATCGAAGTCCTGAACCGTCGTGGTGAAGTCTCCGCTACCCTGGGCTGCATGCCTTCTATCATTCCCTTCGCCAAGTATATTCCAGACAAGTTCTTCTCTGAGGGACTTGCTGCCGTTGAGAATCTTGCTGGTATTGCCATTGCCCGTGTGTCTGAGCGCTTGAAGCCCGAGGCTATGGCCAACAACACTCGTGTTGATTTGCTCGCTCGTCTGATGGAGGGCAAGGACGAGACCGGTAACAAGCTTGGAAAGGAGGAACTTACCGCCGAGGCACTCACTCAACTGATTGCTGGCTCGGATACCACATCTAACACTGCCTGCGCCATTCTTTACTGGTGTCTTCGTACCCCCGGTGTCATTCCCAAGCTCCAGAAGGCCCTCGACGAAGCCATCCCCAAAGACATCGATGTCCCCACTTTCGCCATGGTCAAGGAAATTCCCTACTTGCAGTGGGTCATTTGGGAAACCATGCGCATTCACAGCACCTCGGCCATGGGTCTTCCCCGCGAGATCCCCGCCGGTGCTGCCCCCGTCACAATCGCAGGCCACGTTTTCGGACCTGGCGATGTCCTCTCCGTCCCCACTTACACTATTCACCACTCAAAGGCTATCTGGGGTGCTGATGCCGAGGAGTTCGTGCCTGAGCGCTGGAGCCCCGAGCGCCTGACTCCGAGACAGAAGTCTGCTTTCATCCCCTTCAGCCACGGCCCTCGTGCCTGCGTTGGACGTAACATTGCCGAGATGGAGTTGCTTGTTATGGGCGCTACTGTGTTCAGACAGTTTGAGTTCCAGCTTGAGCAGGATCACCCCATGGAGACACGTGAGGGATTCTTGCGGAAGCCTCTGGGCTTGCAGGTTGGTATGCGTCGGAGACAGGTTCAGGTTTAACTGAGTTTCTTATGTGAGGTTGATTTGGATGGAGCATTGGACAGAATCTGTGTTTATATGATGAGACGGTGTGCGGTAGTCCTGTCACCGCTGATGACTTTATGTGTTTTCCATCATTCCAAGGTGAAAGTGAATATCTTGGTCTAGAGTTTTGGAGAAAATGGAGTATGTATATACTTACTATTCTTTTGATCTTATTTCAATTTCAAAATTATGTCTACTACAGCCTAAGTTTCGTATGTTGATTTTGACATTTGGTGAGTAGAACGTAGAAATGTGCAATTTATCCGGAAACCAATACCAGCAGTACAATCCAAGCATCACCCACAAAAACATGCGGAAGCTTCTTTCTCTCCAGCCCGACACCTTACGAGAGGCAAGCTTAGGGTTTAAGGCCATCTTGACGTCACGTTCCGCGAAATTGGCGTAGATGTCGGGCTTAATGACAGGGAAATGATCAACGTACTGTCGTCTGCTGGAGGTCAAGTGAAACTACGAATTGCGATAAAATTTGTATGTCATCAAGAAGCGGAATACGTAAATTCAAGCACGGCGATAGTACCAAAGCTCATGGACAGTCCAATTCTACATCGTTGCGCTTCATTTAGATGTTATCCATCATCCTGGAGCTCATGATGCACACGACTGAAAGTGTACAAGACATGTGGTTCACAAATGGAGTCTATACCGATTCGTAAGTGTCCGCTTTTGTAGTCTCTGGGGCTGTTGACACGCGTAAATCGTCATAAAAAAGACACAATAGACGTGTAGATCTTATTAACACCTCAGCAGTGTGTCTCGATCACTTAAAAGTGCCATCTACAACAGATTACTTCCCGCAGGCCAAGAATTGGACAAATTCTCCGTGGAAAATAGCGCCTCATCAGTCAAGGCCCACTCAAAATCAGCCAGGAACTGCTCATCAAGAAGGAATGCATCCTGATTAAGACCGGCAGTCATATCTTGTTGACTCGTATCAGTCCCCGATACGGTAGGCCCGGGTTCCGGCGCTCCATACGACCGTGAATGTCCGTAAACACTGCCACCAGCAGGCTCAACGACAGATCTGAATCTGGAAGGGGGATCATATTCGTCCCGCCACCACCAAATAGCATCAATAACAGGACCGACTACTAACCGACCTCGGATGCGGAGTGTAGTGTATTCTGATCCATCTGGTCTGCGGAATGCCTTGTTGCTATTCCACACTGCGCTGAGAATAATCACTATTTTGGAAGCCATATCTGCGCTGTCGACGGACATTTGTTTGGCGAGGTTGATGGCTGTGAAGAGGGATGCTCGTGCACGAATCGTTTCGAGACCGTGTGAAGCGGCAGGGCTTTTGAGGATCCTTAGTAATGAGGCTGAGGCGAGGAAAAGACCGAACTGAATTTGTGCGGGGACCATTGCTAGACTGCTGACTCGATCAGTTAAGGATTGTATGTAGTCGATTAGGTTGCATGCTGTGACAAGGACTCGTGGGGAACATGCACTTGAGACCCATGTCTGGATCTTGTAGAAGTGGTAGGCTTGGATAGCCATGCGGGCAAGGAAGACATCAAACCTCTCGTCGTCTTAAAGTCGGGGTCAGCAGGGAAAACCATACCATAACTTGAAGCCATATAGTGATCTTACCAGTAACCGCTTGTAGTTCTATGTCATCTATCTGACTTTCATATGTACGGAGCAAGATATCGAGGGCCCGCTCCTGGTCCATGGACATTACTTGGATTCCATTCTCTATGACTGCCTCGCTACACCTGCCAACTATCCCTTGGCAGCGAAGCTTCAACGCTAACCACGGAGCGATCTTATCGAGAATAGACTGGCGTTGCGTTGGATCTTGCGCCGAGTTAATTCGAGGTATTTGACCCTTTTGCATGCACACCCTAAGAGAATCAGCGAATATTTCCAATCGCAGTCGATACCAGTGCGAGCTTACCGGTGATAAACAAACACAGAGAGTGCCCACAGCTCTGACCGACGCAAAAGATCAGCTTCAGAAGGCGCTGGCATCTTTCGACGTGAAAATTCATGACTTGACATCGGGATATGCAAGCCATTCTGCATGGCGATATGTAACATCATCCCAGCAATCGTAAAGTTCACATCAGGATGATCGCCCCTTGGAAAAGGCCACTGTAAAATCAACAAGTAAGCCTGGACTAAATGCCAAGGTGATGATGAAGACAGCGCAGACATGAATGCCATGTCAACAATACTTCGCGCCAACGCCATCAAAAGCGTGGGGTTTTGCGGATAGACCCGGCATGACACACCAATGATTGCCCAGAAGAGGAAGGGAGATTGCGCATAGAAGGCGTTCGGGCGGGTATGAGGATCAAGGATGGGCAGAAACTGGGCATAATGTCGGAAGTATAATTGAAACAGATCGTCGATCTCGACGCTTGTGAGCTCAACTCCATTTAAAGTTCTAGGCAGTGTGGCATCGTTGCTTTCGTAGGCCGGTGCTGGGGTCTGCGACCCCAGACCCGGATTTAGCAGCTGCGGTAAATATGATTCAGGCGAGACATGCGACGAAGCAGGAAGAGAAGCGGCATGTGGATCCGATCGACTCTGCTCCGCCGCAGCTGTCAAAAGAGCAATGGGCGACGGGTGGGGATCTGCAGGTTGTGATTCTCGGAGTTTCCGCCGCAATTCTTCAGACTCGCGCTGTAGATCGGATAGGCGTCTGAGCATATATCAGATCGTGTATCAATCGGCCCGGTTTCGAATGTGCATACCTGCGCTTGTGTTCCCTCTTGAAGGGGTCCGAGATAATGCATTCCGCCTTGACTTTGCGACATCGTGTGCATGGCTCGTCCGGATTTAAATAAACATCACATTTTGCCTATAAAGCTTTAGTGTCCGACGTAATATTGCTTATTCTATCTCGCGACATGTACCTTCTGCTGACGGCACTCAGTGCACGCCTTCTTCCCTTTCTTCAACGGCCTGCGGATTTCCACGTTAGCGGTCAGGGATAGTATTGCGCAACGGGCTCTTACGTAGACATAGAGACGACTCGGTTTAACGGACTATAAGCCGCACCGTGAAAGTGGCGTAACCGGGCTCGAGATGTGATAGAGGAAGCTTCAGTGAAAACGAGGGACCGTTCCGGTGCCGGCAACATGGGGAGAGGCGAATCCCGGGACCGGCATATCGGTCAACGCTGATTGGCTAAAGCTCGCTCGCAAAAAAGCATAGCCATTTGCACGGATGACCAAGCTCTCTAATCGAAGGTTCTTATAAAAAGACTCAAAAGACCTTGGTATCGTGTCCAGGGGAAATTCTAATTACCAGTTTCAGTAGGCATAACAATACCAAACGCACTCAACACAATACAGGTACACACAATGACTTCCCTCGGCAAGGACCAAAGTCAATCAGATTTACAACCCGTTCGTGTCCCTTCTCTGACCGACCCAGTGGAACGATTGGCATCGGGCCAAGACGGGGTTTCCATAAAAGGTCATTGCAGGGTACCCAGTGTACAACCTATAAAACACGCTGTTCTCTTCAGTTCTCTGGTTTGGAACGAATTGTTCCTGTGGACTCGTCGGGAACTCCAAGCTATCTTCATGTCGCACTGGAGAATTCTATAAAACTACCATGCTGGGCCCCATAGTTCGTTAGCGAGGACCTTCGTGACTGACGGCTAAGTGCAGACTTGACGAATTCGTCACTGTGTAAGGCAAGCTGGATAGATGCAGATGTTGGGTTGTCGGTGAAACAGCGTACATCCATTGATTTCGCAGTTTATTGGGTTCGCGGACAATGTGATTAGGTATGATTCCTTCGAAACTCCTGCCTATCTCAGTCTGTTAAACTTGAGTTTCCATGTGGTGGCGATGATGTGTATATTCAATCTCGTGGACCCTCAAGTCTGCTCCACATGTTTTTCTATTCAAACAAGGGTATTTTGATTTGAATTATTCTCAAGGATTAAGCTCTATACGGAGTGGCAGCGCCACTGATGGCGTGCGGCAATTGAGGATGTGTTCAAGGTGACATCAGCGCCACAAAGAAGACTATATATCATACCCGACAAACCGTGGCGAATGCCGGTTGAAGCCACACCCACATACCCAAGCATCGATAGCAACCATGAGCGCAGATATTCCCACCGTGGCTGATCTCAAACAAGCCGTTGAGGCCGGACAAAGAATTACCCCCGCGGACGTCTCAATGATTTCCCACGCCGAAAGCGTGTTAACTGGACGCGGCCCGCTCCGGGGTGGACCAGCTGGTATGCCCCTACCTTGCACCCATTGACCATTATGACTGATCGCAAAGAAGCGACCGCTCAAAGCCTTGCGATGCGACAAATGAACTTCGATGCCCAGCTAGACGAAGTATCTCGCAAACCCCAAAGCCACATCACACACGAAGATGCACGCGAGATGCAAGCCACAGAGGTAGTTTTGTCTCATCGCATCTCACGCCAACGACTGACAGCAATGCAGGGCCGTGCATTTGGCCGACCCCCCGGTCGAGGCTCCGTATCGGAACAAGTACGCTCGATCGCGGATCGGAACGAAATTCTCGGGTTACCTGTTGTGCCAACCGAAGTCTCGGTCTATGTCACAAAAGACGACGCTCGAGAGGCCCAACGAGCCGAGTCAATGCTGTACGGAGGGCAGACTCCCCGACAGGGCATGGCCGCACAGATGCAGGTAAGTGGGGCATCCGAGGTGTTGAGGGGGCTATTGCATTAATTATTTGCTTCGATGCATAGAGCGCTGCGGATAAGATTGAGAACGTCAGGCGAGAAGAGCCGTGGTAAAAGGCTCCAGCTACCTGATAGACTTAGAGCGAATGACAACGAAACATCTGTCCACAAGGCAAGAATTTGATTGCACAAAGTTTTCACCGTAAGCGGGGGGTAGATATGTAAAGTTTGGGGCGCATCCCTGGACCTGACCCGCTTCATTGCATTCACAGCTAAATGATCGACGGGCTCGACCAGCGCCGCATCCCGACGCCGTGGTCCCAAATCCCCCATTGCCCCGTCAGCGCTCCCTGGCTTGACTGGTCTGCTGTATCTGGACCAAATTTGTCACCGTACAGGATGAGTTGCTCGCGAGAGATGCTCCCCGAGACAAGACCCCGAAAACAGGTTCACCATAATCGCGCCCCCCACCGCTTGATTATCCACACCGAGTTCCCGACCAAAACCGACGCTAGCAGACACCAAGTCACCGCCTGCATTGACTATCTGACCTGTGAGCTCTGATAACTGCGCGTTACACACGGTCTCAGTTTCTCGATCAACCCCACATCGGGCCAATGGAATTCTCGCACGCGTCGATCGCGGGGAGATCCCAGCGAGAAGGTGAGTGCTCAGGACTCGGCACTTCCACGATGCATTGCGATATCCTCTTTTCAACTGGCTTACCCTCGCAGGAGTCGGACATGGGCGGGTAAGCTGAGGCTAATAGATAGGGTAATCGTAAATCCTCCGTACACATCAGCTCAATAGATTAAGGAGGGGCTTCAATCTGGCGGGGCTGGAAGAATTTGTCATGCACAATTTGGAATTGATTTTAGTATGACGCAGCACGTATCAAGGGCGTTCAGCTTCACGAGGTTTCCAAGTCATGGAGAAAGTCTATTATGAAGTAAATGCAGCTCCGGTTTCCTTTAAATACTCCCGTCTATCCCCCCCCTCCCCAAGGTCCTCAAACACACTCCCAATTCTTTGAGAACCTTGTGAGAATCAAGTCATCATGCCTATGAACGGACACTGCCTCTGCAAGGCGGTCACCTACACCATCGAGGTCGACCAGCCTATCATCACTGCCTACGATCACTGTGATGACTGCCAGCGTCAGAGTGGCTCTACCTACTGTATGTTTTTTAAAAAAAAATACCCCTCTAGAGGATGACGTCGACTAATTATGTAGCTCTGGTCGCCGTGGTTCCCAAGGCGGCTCTTACCATTAACGGCCCCACCAAGAGCTGGGAGGGCAAGGGATCATCTGGACACTCTGTGCACCGGATCTTCTGTGGCGAGTGCGGTTCCCCGATCGCTCACGATCCAGATGCCGCCCCTGAGATCATCGCCATCAAGGCTGGTACCCTGAGCACGGAAATCAAGAAGACACTGAAGCCGGTACGTGGGGCAAAATGGAACACACTAGATGGTGGGGCTAACTTTTTTTTCCCGCAGGACACCGAGATCTGGTCTGTGAGCAAGCTTCCTTTCTGCCAGGAGCACCTTGAGAAGCCTTTTGCCCACATGCCTGAATAATTGCAAAAATTTTAAAATACCCCTTCTATGGCACGGAAAATATTGCAGGAAAGGTTGTCTTGATTTCCATCGCTTGTATGGCATAACGAACTTATCATGAAATGCACAAATTCCAATGATCTTACTGAAAACACAAATCCGCTTTCTAAGTGCCTCATGTGGGCTTTAACTACACACTAGTCCAAATTCAAGTTGTCGTACCTGGACATGTCTACCAAAACTATGCTCATCATCCCTATAGATATACACAGTATATTGGGACCTGTTTTATCAGAACCCCAGGAAAGATCTCACTCTAATCTAATCCACAATATCGCCGAGGCGATTGGACTTACCATCCCCGCAACGGATGAGCACTCACTTCCCTTCCTTCTTGTCCTGAAATTCGTGAATGCTTGTATATCGGCAGACAGAAACAGTCTCAATAGGCTTGGTATGCTTTATCTGCTTCCCTTTCCGTCCGTCGGATGGAGAGCTTCCGTCTTTCGGCTGAGGATTGTGTAGCTCGGCAAGAGCTTCCGATATGTGGGTCTGATGGGGAACTTGGCTCAGGGCGGATGGATGTGAGATTTGTCCAAGGTCCTCGTTCTTGTGGAACAGTGATATTGGCATTGCACAGACTCCTTAGGGAAATGGTCGAGTGACGGGGTAATTGATACAATATCGTAAATTGGCAAGAAGGGTGCTCTGCTAGGTGCTCATTTAGTCTCCACCGAAGAATTGTATCCGGCCATGCAAACCTTTTAACCAAGATGTGGAGAGAAATAAAGTTGCCCGTGGGCATCTAGACAAATGTTTTTCATCCATGTACAGTGCAGGTCTCGTGCTCAATAAATCCACTGAAATTGTAATACCATACAGCAGCATAACCGGAAAACATCCAAATGATTTTAGAGTCTACTTTACTGGTACATTTTTCCAAGTCCTCTCTTTCCGAAGAAAAGCCATTGCAAACCAGGAGTCAGATATACCTAGCACACACGGGGCATTCCAGCCAGTCGGGTAGGACAACAAGACAGCTCAACAGGGGCCTTCGGATGTAACTTCTAACTCAACCATGATCTAGCAGTAGGCCCTTTCGTTATCGACAAATTCGGAAAGAGATATGAACGCGGGAATGTAATGTCGATCCCGGGACTGTGGGTGAGTGCGGGGGTGCTGTATAGATAAATGGGCTTCAGTGCGTTAGGAACCAGCGAAGCTGCTTGAAATACTTTGATCCGAAGTTCTCTACCAGCTTTTCCAAGTACAGTTACTATATCATCAGCATGAGTTTGTCAAAACAAGTGAAAAGTGCAGTTGGTCAACTGCCCAAAAGCGTAAAAGTTCGCTCTACGTGTAATGCTTGTCAGCAGGCCAAGATTCGCTGCAGCCATGAGAAACCTTCTTGTCGCCGCTGTAAGAAACACAAGATCGAGTGTATCTACAGCATGTCGCGCCGACTAGGACGTCCGGCAAAAAAGAAGGATTCTCGGATAGGGGTTGAAACGCCGAGGGACAGTCTTCCACCTGAATTATTTGAAGATCTTGGATGTGAACGAGCGGCTCGCAGAAGATCACGGAAAAAGGGGATTCGGTCAGGTTCAGGAACGGCCATACAACCTCGAGCTACTAGGATGAAACCCATGCCCGAAGAACAAGTTGCTACTCCGACGCTATCAGATAATGTCAATGAATCCGATATGTCAGTTCCCCTCCACGACATGGATGAGCCAGCTTGCCACTCAGTCTTTGAAATGGACTTTGCATCCGAAAACTGGACTCAGCAGCTCATATCTACTCGACTTAATGAGTCATCACTCAAGCAGATATGTGCGGAGATCGAGCTAGAAGACAGGCTCGACACAACATCAGAATACACGAGACACTCAGCTCCATTTACCATCCAACCATCGGGAGACCCATACTTCCCCTCATTCCCAATAGGACCCGACTCAAATCTGACCTCGCCAAACAAGGACCGTGATCTGAAAGCATTTCAAACACCCGAGCAAATGATATTCCCCGATATCAAAGACCCCGACACATCACCCTGGTCCTATCACACCTCCAGACTAGACATGCAACCCCTACCAAACACATGGGTAGTCGAAAGACCACACCAGCCCATTCCCATTCTGATCAACCCCTCGGACTCAAACTACTGTCCACTTCAGTCACCAGAGACAAGTCCGGACAGCGAAATATACTCACCCGACGAACCTGGTAATCTCAGCCTGCCGTCAAATTTCACTTGCAACTGCTACAAGTATGCGATAGGTGAATTGATCCGATCAAGTCTACGCGCTGGACCGGACGGATCGGTGAGTATTGATAGTATCCTCGGGTGTCAAAATGCGTTGTTGTTACAGACTGAAGCGATTCTACAATGTAATATATGTTCACAGTCGGAGGTGCAAGCTAACATGTTGATGGTTGTTATTGTGACCATTGACAGTCTTCTCTCGACGCTGGATGCGACTGCCACATCAGCTGGGGCAGTGGACGAGGAAGAGTTTTCTAGTCAATCGCAATATTTGGCTAATAGGAATTCACAGGATCGGGGTGATGGGGTTGGGTTCAAGTCGCATGTTGATGCTTGTCCGTTACTTGTGGGCGGGTATAGGGTTCCGCTTGAGGAGAAATCTTATTTTATACTACAAGTTTTGCAAGGTCGTCTTTCATTGCTTTTGTTGACTATTCGGCGGATTCGCGCTTGTATGCAGCAGCACTTGGGGGCTGTTTTTACTAGGGGGAGATTGTTTATGATTATGGAGACTGATCGGAGGTTGCAACTTATTATGATTAAGATAAGGAAGGCCATTAGTTAAAAGATAGCTCTTGGTTTTAGGTATATTGAATTTGATTAATGATCACCATTCGATTGGCTCTGTATATGTTGTGATGATAGACGGGGACAAGTGCTCACTAACTATAGCAACCTACTAAATTGGCAGCTCTTGTGTCTTGTGGGGAACCTGGTCGGTTTAAAGTCTATGAAGAACCCTATTTAGCCACAAGAAATTTCATTTGGTGAGTAAGAAACCTTCATTAGGGCTTTCAATTTCCGGAATATCATTGCGGTGTGACAACTGCTGATATGTCTTCTGTCAGGTGGACTGGAAATTTCTGTTCAGAGTGACAGGGACAAGCGGCGAAAAGATTTGCTTCAGCCTTCATTCCCTGTGTGAATATGCTATGAGTTCATGCTTATTCTGGGTATTACTCATGAGTGTAAGGGGCTTTCACAGCAGTGGTTCTGTTGGCGGCAAAGTATCCAGTCTTGCTAACCAAAGAAGCTTGCGATTACCACTGGGCATTCCCACCCAAGTGGGACAAAATAAAATCAGCAACCCCCCGAGTCAATCCCGCGCACCATCCCAACATGAGCTTCGATACTGTCTGTCCTTGCTCCATCAAAGGCCTGCAGATAATGTCGGAGCTACAGAACATACATACCGTCGTGGATGCAGAGATCATTCTAGACTTAATCTATCGCATCTGCCAGGAAGGAGAGACTATGGTGCAGTGCAAGAGCTGCATTCAAACACCACAACCTTCTATAATGGCTATATCAGCATTGTCGGAGCACTGTATTCCACTCCTGGAGGCGTTGTGCTCAACATATGATATCGCCACCCAGCCCGGCTTTTTTGACTCGGCCATGCTTGCTATGGAGCAGTCGACATCTCGATTTATTTGCATCAGAAATAGCGCTCTCCTCGGTCAAATGAAGCTTGATGAAAATGAGACGAGGCTCTTGATTCGCACGATAATTGGACAGAGACTGGGGAGGCTGTTGGATGTGATGGAGAGCCTGAATAGCTCTCTCTTGATGATCCTGGCAGTTGCCCCTTCGCAACAAAATGGAGCTGCGCCATTTCGCACCCTGAGGTCTTCAGTCAAGTCAATCATTACCCGATTGAGAGGTTTGGTGAAGACTATCGATGAACGCGACGCTATTCTGTTGGCTTGATCTACTTCCGCTGGGTGGTCTTTCAATACCAATCGATCTAGAAAGACAGACTTAGGTGGCAACGCAAACAACAGTCTCGAAGATGTTATCTATAGTATGATTATTTCTAATATAATGTTCTTCAACAAAGCTGGAATAGGCATGAGGAAACAATTTGGTGAATCCACACCATCAAGAACAAAAAGGCGGACACCGGGGGAATCATATATGAGACTTTTGAATCCTCAAGTTGCCCAATTCTTGACACGCCTTCCCATTTTGTAAGCGAGGTTCGAGGACAAGTGCCAATATGGCATCTAGTTAGGCCACGGGCGCTCAAATTCGCCGACCCACTGACCCCAACCGATAACCTTGCCAGCGATGGCCTTTTTGATGTCCGATTTGCTGACCTTCTCAGGGGTGTCGAACTTGAGACTCTCCTTCAGAGCAATGATAGTGAAAACATATCGGTGGGTTCCATGGCCGAGAACAGGGTTTGCGCCGACATAAGCTGAGCCTCGGAGGTTAGGAACGTATTTCCACGCGCAACTTGTCTGCCATTTTGGACCGTCCTTCGATGCATTGGTCTGCAGCGGAGTCACAGCACGGTAGGAGGGATTGATTCCCCAAAAGAGACCGTGGTGAATAACGAGAAAGGGAATTGGCAGGTCGATGTCTTCACTAATCAAGATGTATTCCTCGACAGGACCGGTGACTTGTGGGGGTGTCCACTTCAGCTCGGGAATGCAACCGACGCCATCGTCAGCGAGGGATGTGTGGTGCAGGAGAAGCTTCGAGCCAGACGGACCGCATTCGTCGCATATGAGGGTCATGTTTGGCCTGGGTATATCTTTGAATGCCGGGCTATAGATGAACTGGCGGGAGTCATGGCCTCGGAAGGGATAGAACAAGCGGCCGAGGAAGTACTGCAGATAATGCAGAATCGTAGCCATGTTGACGGATGATACAACAGATCCTAAAGCGAAAGGAGAAAAAAATCATCACCAAAGGAGCTCAAATGCTGACAGGATGTTCTTCAGGCAAGAACGATGCCGGTCCCGGGCCGTAAACGGCAGGCACGGGCGACGCCAACTCATTTGACTTTTTGAGTTGTTTGGTTCAGCTCGCCCCTCCATGTTTACATCCTCCACACTACCTACAACTACCTCCCAGATGAACAATTGTGGTATAGCATGACGCCGCTGCGAAGTGGCATTCAAAGTGGGTCCGCCCTGTGGTTCCTGGACGATCGCGATCGGCGATGACCACATAGTGCGTCCCCGCCCCGTTTCCGTCGACATCCGGTTTGAATTTCACTGCGCGATGAGCGTCGGCTTTTAACTTCTCAACGTCACCTCTCCATGCTGTCGACCATCCTCGCCGCCATCAGGTCATCTCCTGATCCCGCCGAAGGGGTTCAGCAAAGGCCTCCCCGGTATGCCGGCGAAGACACCACCCCGACAACCCGCCGTGAAATTCTTGGGTGGTATGCTTACGGCATTGCCGCGGAGGTGTTCGCGGTCTGCGGTGTAGGTTCGTAGTAGCTCCATGCCAGCTCACTGAATCTATTTTCTGACTCCGCAATTCAGGTTCTTTTCTGCCTCTTACACTTGAGCAACTGGCGCGCGAACATGGCACACTGCAGACCAGCCATCTGCCCTGCTGGGGCCCTCAGGCGCCAACAAACGGCACGCAAGCCGACGAACAATGTATAGTCGGAGTAATGGGACTCCACATCACCACTGCGAGTTTCGCGATGTATACATTCTCGCTGGCGGTGCTAATCCAGGCATTAACATTAATTTCGTTCAGTGCCCTAGCGGACTACGGTAAGCTTGCAGATCACCCATTCTTTTTACGCAGCAAAAGGTTGATTGGTATATTCTATCGGCGCAGAAAGTAACCGTAAAACGTTGCTCTTGTCTTTCGGATTCATTGGTTCGGCTACCAGCATGCTCTTCGTGCTTATCGCACCGTCGGTCTTTATTCTCGGCTCCGTCTTGGTCGTCATCGGCGTTACCTGCCTCGGATCCTCTTTTGTTGTCCTGAATTCCTTTCTGCCCGTTCTGGTCGCCAATGATCCTTCGATTCAGGATGTCAAAAATGGAGGTGATGAAATGTCAAACTTCCAGAGCAACAGCCACAATGGCGTCGGCGACGACGCCGATTGGAACGCGTGGGACGAGGAGGACAGCCTAGACGGCCTGCAAGGTACAGGTCAACATGCTCCGCTCGGAGGGGATGATCTCAAGGGCAAAAGCTCGGGATCTAACCCTGAACTTCAGCTTTCTACGAAGATCTCGTCCAAGGGTGTTGGACTTGGGTATTGCGCGGCGGTTTTCGTGCAAATTCTGAGCATTGCGCTCTTGGTAACACTCTCTAAGACCAAGCTCGCGGAAATTTCAGGGACATTTCCGATGCGCTTCGTTCTCCTTTTGGTTGGAATATGGTGGTGTCTATTCACGATTGTCACCGGTCGCTGGCTAAGATCACGACCTGGGCCCCGTCTGGATACGTCATCCAGTCCTGGCGCCTCTCGGTGGCGCGTGTGGTTACGTCTCATGGGTTTTGCATGGAAGTCACTCTGGAAAACGGTGAAAATGGCCGTGAAGTTGCGTGAAGCTATGGTTTTCCTCGTCGCTTGGTTTCTGTTGTCAGACGCCATGGCTACTGTTTCAGGTACAGCCATTCTTTTTGCGCGTACTGAACTAAAGATGAGCACAACCTCGGTTGGTCTGTTGTCCATCACCGCTACTCTGTCGGGTATGACTGGTGCGTTCCTTTGGCCCCACGTATCCCGACGATTCGGACTGAAGCCAAACCAAACAATCATCGTTTGCATTGTACTTTTCGAGACCATTCCGCTGTATGGGATGCTGGCCTACATCCCGTTTGTCAAAAATTGGGGAGTGATTGGCCTGCAAAAATCATGGGAAATCTTCCCGCTTGCAATTGTCCATGGGGTGGTGTCTGGAGGCCTCGCTTCCTACTGTCGCTCTTTCTTTGGTCTATTAATTCCTCCTGGTAGTGAGGCTGCATTTTATGCGCTGTATGCGGCCACGGATAAGGGCAGCTCATTCATCGGGCCTGCGGTGGTAGGAGTGCTTGTCGATGCGACTGGCCAAGTCCGGTCTGGTTTCTTCTTCATTGCGATCTTGATTGTACTGCCGATCCCGCTGGTGTGGATGGTGAATGCCGACAAGGGGCGTCGCGACGCTCTTGCCATGGCAGAGTCTTTAGAAAAGTCCCACGGCGGATCAGCTGAGGATTCTCAGGAGGCAGAGGGACTTCTGTCTCGCGAGCACTAGCCTTGTCAAATGCGACAAGGTTTACAGGTGGCGTAAGGCGCCACTAAAGAACCTAGAACCACGGCATATATATATTCCGGCCAGGCAGGGAAAGGTTCGATGACTTTATTGAGGATATGTTTAAAATTATGATCAACAGAATGGGCTTCTATTATGTATGCATATCCCAAACGAAACAATTCTATTCACGGCTTTGGTGTTGATCAATCTGTTCACGGAGAGGATTGGACTAGCAGTGTAGTGTCTTCTTAATTTCCAGGGTTTGCAACCTAAAAGCAACGTTAGTCTCAGGCCCTTGGATTTTCACACAGTCCATTCAATATACCAATACAATCGGAGTGATTTTCGATATTCAGTCCTTCACCCGCCGGGAAAGGAACTCGGGAAGACGAGGAGGTCTGTGCGAGATATTTGGAAACCCCGGATCGTCAGACTGCATCAGATCAGCTCGTCTGATCAATACCCTCAGTCCCCCACCGGGCCATTATGGCCAAAAGAAACATCGGCATGATCAAAATCTTCCGATAAAATCTTCCGATTTCGCGGCTAAAAAATAACTGTTAACCGCATCGGGTCTGCGCGAACCTTGCCATTCGCGCAACTCGATCGGTCAAGGCCAGCACCCCGGACCGACACTCCGGAATCCCAGGAATCCGCCTTCGGAGCACGAATAAGAATTTCGGGCGCGTGCCAAAGGCAAGCCCTGCTATTATCACACAATCCGTGTAAGATAATCTCGGCGCGAAGTCCGTTACGTGAAGGGTATAGAGGCCTTTAGAGGCGTCAGCCATCAAACGCGGGATCCAATCATAGCGTGGCCCCCCATTCCCGAATCTCGCTTCCCCAGACACTAATCAGAATCCACGGGTCGATTCGTGAGCTAGCCCCTAGTTTGACGGGCCGAACAATATGATAGGTGCAAAATTAGGGTCTTTGTTGACTTTCGCATTCCGGCGTGTGGCAAGACATCATATCCCTGGTCATTTTACTGGCCGGACTAGCTCCCCAGCTCGTTCAAAACTGCCCACTGATGTCTATTATAGGCTGAATGCATAATTAGACTCTTTGCTATTGGTATCTTTCTCCACACTTTTCCTCGGAATCTGAATCGGCACGTGGTGGGCCGTGTCGAGACCATGTCGGCCAAAAAGTCTTATATCCCTAGCCTCGTCCATCCATTGCCGGGAGCCCGTTGAGGCTACGGGATATTTGGAATCGGGTCTTCTGCTGCCGTCTTTGCTCTCCGCCATGGCGACTCCTACCCAGACTGAGATCGCGCTGGAGAAGACGGCTGCGCACCATGTCGAGGACACTCTGGGTCACGGTGCGATTATCGAAGCAAAGCAGGCAAGTGACGAGGAGCATGCCCAGACTCTGTTCCAGGCACTGCGCGACAATCGCAAGGCTGTCGCGTGGTCAATGCTGATCTCGATGTCCATTATCATGGAAGGATATGATACAATTCTCATGGGAAACTTCTACGGTTATCCCTCTTTTACGGAAAAGTACGGAAGCTACTATGCCAAGGACGATAACTATCAGGTGTCAGCCCCGTGGCAGTCAGGACTCAGTATGGCTAGTACGGTGGGATGTATCTTTGGTAAGTTCAGTTTGGCTCATATGAGGAGTACTCGCTGACCAGCCTAGGCGGTATTATGAATGGATACTTTGCATCGAAATTCGGATACCGAGGGGTTATGATCGTGGCACTGGCCTTCCTGACTGCCTTCATCTTTATCACCTTCTTCGCCAACTCAGCCGCCGTCCTTCTTGTCGGTCAGATTCTCTGTGGATTCTCCTGGGGAGTCTTCGCGACTGTTGGACCCGCCTACGCATCCGAAGTCTGTCCCACAAATCTGCGTGGGTACCTCACCATCTACGTGAACATGTGCTGGGCCATCGGTCAACTCATTGCATCTGGCGTTCTGTACGGCCTGGTCGACCGACATGATCAGTGGTCGTACCGTATTCCGTTCGGTCTGCAGTGGATCTGGCCCGTGCCATTGATCGTAATCTGCTGGTTCGCCCCTGAGAGCCCATGGTACCTCGTGCGCAAGGATAGACTCGAAGATGCCAAGCGCAGCATCCGTCGACTTGGAGGAAACAAGACCGAGGATCAAATCAACGGACAATTGGCGATGCTGGTGCACACGACTAAGATCGAAGCCGAAATCGAGGCCGGAACAACATATGCCGAGTGCTTCAAGGGAGTGGATCTACGCCGCACAGAAATTTGCTGCGTAGCCTTCATGGGCCAGATCATGGCTGGTAGCTCGTTCGCTTACACGCCCACTTATTTCTTCGAGCAAGCCGGCATGAGCGTCAACCGATCTTTCCAGCTTGGAGTTGGATGTACAGCCGTCAGCTTTGTCGGTACCGCACTATCCTGGTTCCTGATCACCAAGTTTGGACGACGAACCCTCTACGTCTGGGGTCAGGGCATTCTCGCCACTCTCCTATTCCTGGTCGGAATTATCAGTGCTGCAACATCTTCTACCGGTGCTATGTGGGCTCAAGCAGCACTCTGCATGATGTGGCTCTTTGTCTACTCCTTGACAGTCGGACCAATCGCCTACTCCGTTGTCTCGGAGATTTCCTCCGTCCGCCTTCGAACCCTCACCGTTTGTCTTGCACGGACAGCCTACCAGCTGATCAACGTTGTCTCGCAAGTCTTGGAGCCTTACTTCATGAACCCAACCGCATGGAACGCGTCTGGTAAAACCGGCTTTTTCTGGGGCAGTACCGCTTTGATCGCATTTACATGGGCCTTCTTCCGTCTACCGGAACCCAAGGACCGTACCTACGCTGAATTGGACATCCTCTTTGCCACGAAGGTTCCTGCACGCAAATTCTCCTCGACTCACGTTGATGCGTACGCGGCCGTGTCTGCATCTTCACAGGAGGGTCTCGTCCGGGAGGAGGCTGTTCAAGAAGTCAAAGAGTGAAACAATGAGCTTTGGCTTTCTATATTGTCAAATTCTGGTTTGATGGTTCCAGAAACTAGCTCCGCGACCTAGTCTAGGGGTCGCAAGTTCGTGTATACCTAATTATTGAGACGTATATCGATTATTATTTTGCCTCCCATAGCCTCGGTACTAGACATGCATAGTTCTGTGGGCAACACTCAGCTGCCTGGAGCTTCAACAGGGCTAAAAAGGACATGTGCAAATTTAAGTTGCGCAATAGTAACACCTGGCACCTGAGTCCTGGGTCGGATAACGTAAATTACGTTAAAATATAAGGAATTTTGTGCTTAGAGAGGGCATACCGAGCTTGTAACTATCTAAGGTCAATAGGGCGATTAATTACACTTTAGACAAAGCATACGACTTAAAAGGGGGGAGAATAGGTAACAATCGGTCATGGGGACAGAATTGTTTCATGCGAAGCCACAACTCAAACTGGATGGCCATTTTGTGAGAGGGTACGATTAGCAAATCGAGGTACAAATAGCAACTCTTTTATATATATCTTCCTTACAAATTGATGGCATCGCGGTACTCCAAGTATTCTCAAGCAGGTTACCTGATATTCATTGTTACATAAGGATGAAAAGTATTATGCGACAGAACGCAGTAGTTGGAATCTATTTGTATGAAATGTAATGGAATTATGGACCAGAGGCGGGCATGATCGCATATTCTAAAAAGCAATATGCCGGGGTTATTCTTGTATTAGAGCCCATCCAAATTAACAGCCAGGGGCCGGTTAGCAATTCAGATCTAATCATCCATTATATTTAGTGCACCCGTAGGATCCAATTCGGGTCTACCAACTAAGTGTGCCGTGTCTAAGAAAAGTGGTTTAAACGCTTTCCGCTGAGCCCCCGGGTACTCGTTTCTTCGCCCGTCCACACCGCTTCCGGCAACAGCTCTCCGCTTTGATGATGTAGAATGACAAGTAACGTGCCTCTGAATATAACCCTTTCCATCACTTCCAAACATCAACATCATGACAGCATTACCGTCCAACCTCCGACTGCTTGCACAAGAAGTGTTCGAACTACTAAATGCTCGAAAAGAAACAGTGTCTATCATGGAAACGGTGGGTTTTTCTGACCATTTCCTGCTATGACCTATTTGCTTATCATCTAGGCGTGTGGAGGACTCATTTCGGCATCCTTGATATCTCTTCCAGGAGCGTCGGCAATATACAAGGGCGGTCTTACGGTATTCGTTCCCAGTTCTTGACCAACGGGGCAGTTAATTGCTTACAGACATAGGTTTATACCCTGGAGTCACGCCTTGCCTTTGCTGGCTGGACACCAGCCGACGTCGAGAATTACAGCGGCCCAACGACTGATATTGTGGCCCAGCTGGCTGGTCACGTCCGCGAATCCCTCAAGTCAACCTACGGTTTGAGTGAGAGTGGAACCGCTGGGCCGACAGGCGGGTCATCCAAGAACCGCACCCCGTAAGTTTAACTTAGGTTTGGAACGAGACAAAGCCTAAGGCGGATAGGCTAACGACCTTCAGTGGTTACGTAGCCGTGGCAGTGTCAACTGCGCAAAGGACGTACACACGTGAGGTTGAAACAGGCGATGACGATCGAGAGAAAAATATGATTGCCTTTGCTATGATAAGCTTGGAGCTGCTGAAAGAAGTTTTGCTGAAATGACTTGAAGCTGCATGTTTCGGCTACTATGAGTTCTTTTAAGAAGAATTTGATAGATTCATATACATTCAAAGGGTTACTTTTAACTAAATCAACGTTTTTTCTACATAATTCACCATTGGAATTGGCATAAACTATTCTCCGAGACCTCTCAAGGCTCCTGGGACAACATGGCCGAGTTTGAGGAGCCTCAGCCTTCTATTAGGAAGCATAGAATCCCATTTCAGGTCAAAAGTGTTGCCTTAAACTTCCGAGACATCGCCATTACGATCGGTTAGTATCCCTCTCCAGTCAAGGAGAATATAGTCCCAGTAGGCAAGTGTTATATGCACTGTACTACGGCATGGAATGCTCTATATAGAAATAACCCTTTAAAGCCGAGCGAGACCGTTCTCTCCCAATGTGAATTTGAAACATAAATATTAAAAAGACATAAATATTAAAAAGGGCAAAGTAAACTAATTTGTGTTAAGAAACTGGTGGAGTGTCAATCACTGGTCTCGCATTGGCCAAGGCTACGGGCTTCACAACCATCATCACACCCTCTTCCGACGAGAAGCTCGAGCACGTAAAGGCGAAGTACGAAGTTAAGTACACTATCAACTACAAGAGCCCCAAATGGGTAAGTGAGGCCCAGAAGATTCCCGGAGGGCAGGGTGTTGACTACATTTTAGAGAACGGCGGCTTCGGAACTATCAAGCAATCGCTCGAGGCAATTGTTTTCGGTCGTGTTATTTCAGTCATCGGCTTTCTCTCGTCTAGGACTCAAGACAACATGCCTGATGTCGCTTCGCTTGCTCTCTCCAAGGCTGCTGTTGTTTGAGGTATCATTATCGGGTCGAAGCAGCAATTGGAGGAGGTTGTCCGCTTCATCACCGGGAATTCAAGTACACGTACCATCAAGAAGTGGCCAATCGTGTCCACGTGCCATGAGTTGCGATCTGCCAGTTTAACATTCCTAACGGCCTGAAACTGGTACCTATCTCCATGTGGGCCTTTACGATTCGATGTGCAGATCGAATAATTAGCATCAAATCCCGAGAACAGGATGCGCATGCTCATAATCCAGACAAAAGTACCAATTTCAGGCCACCATGCCGATGCCAGACTGTGGCGCATTGCCCAGATACACTCATACGTAACCTTCCGAATTGTTCAGATATTAAGTCCTAGCCTCAATAGGTAAGCTTAGTCGAAGACAGCACCCGAGGCGCCCAACGAGAAACGCAAGTTTTGAACATGAACCAGATTATCATGCCATCAACGCTTTCAGTTGTGGTGACTTAAAATTACTATCGCCCAAGCTACAGTACGTAACACGCTACTTGCACGGCAGAATATAATTGGGTATTAAGTTCACTAACTGGCGATCCGGAGGGTTGTTTCCCCTTTAGGCCGAAAAGGGAATAGATCCTGCACTAAAGGACCCATACAATACACTTGTAATTCAGTCCTCGCGGCACTTTCATGAAACCAATCTATATTAATTAAATCACCCGAGACCCGACAGTGGGGTGGCGATCGAAGTGATCTAGTTGCCGAATGTTTGACCATAAGGCGATGGAGGCTACAATGAAACAGTTCGGTTGTTTAGAGTCAGTGCTTCGAGTTTCGAGGGTGCTGCATCATCTCGCTTACAGTACAATAGACCCACTGGGACCACCGATCGTTTCCAATGCAGGCTGAAATTTGGAAGCACGAGGGGGTTTTGTCCCAACAAAAGTGATGGACACTGCAGAAACTGGGACCCCCCAAAATTGAATCATTCAACACATTACATATTTTCTTGGTCGTTATGGTATAGTACATTAATTATACGTAACATTAGAAGTGGGAACAAAACCCGCCTCATTCATCGCGCACGGACACCCGAACGGACCGCTCGACTTTCCACCCAGTATTCTGCTGCGGATTCAGGTCCTCCTCACTACTACTTTTGGGATTCGGAGGACGCGTGCTCCCCATGATCGTAGTCGTGATACCATGGTAGTCATCCTGATCTGTGCCGGTCCAAAGTTGTCCCTCTTCAGCATCGTGCTTCGATCGCGTAGAGCGGTGGAACCCTTGCGCCACATTGCTGGATAGGGGAAAAGATCCGGGGGCGGGAGTGCGATTGTTGCGGCTGCGGGAGGCGGAGGAGCCATCGCGGAGGAATCGGACTAAGGGGCGTAGTGTGGTGAGACATCCAGCTGTAATGCCTAGGCCTGCTTCGACGTTTGACCAGATGGAGATTTGGTAGGTATTATCTATAAGGCGTTGGTTGTTAGCCGATGGGTCCAATCGGGGGAATGGGTCGAAAGAGGTATGGGGTTGATGGGTTTCAGGCGCAACGTACACAAGAATTCGGTGCTTTTGTAGTTTTTGATGAAAGGAATGCGGATGATCACGGCGGCGCTCGCGCTGGAATCTGATTAGCAATGGAATCCGGGGAGAGGTGGTGGCGTGACATACATGCAGCCGATTCCTAAAATTCCGACAATGGCGGTCTTGGTGCGCTGATTCATGCGGAGATTCCAGATTAGTGCCACTGGGAGGAGGCCAATGGTCAAGTCGGTGACGGCTGCGCCGACGCTATACAGGTATGCGATGTCGATAAGGAGGTCGGTGCTGATACATGTGCCGGTCACGGGGCTGCGATTCCAGAAGAAGGAGACAGGATCGCATTGGAAAACAGTGAAGAAAAGGAAAATTAAACCAACGGCCGTGGCAAGCGTGATAGCGGCGTAGAGAACGTAGGCGTGGACGCGATCCACGGTGATGCGCAAAAGAGTGATGATGATGGATACCTTGGCGACGACACAGGTAATGACATAGAAGATCTGGCCCAGCCACCAACACTATAAATCCACGTAATTAGCAATCTTGACCATTGCGCAGCCAAAAATCAATTCAGCCATACCAGTAAGGCCCTGTGGAAATTAGCTTGCCCCCCTTCGACTTCAAAGTGAATCAACTTCCGTCCCATGCCGTATTTCACTCCGAGAAATCCACAAATGGCGAAGGCCAAGTTCAGAATCATGGCCAATAACATAAAGACATCATCCTTGCCGAATGCCTTGACCACGCGAGTCCGAACAAATATTCTGAGGATGACGGCAATGAGCGAGATGGCGAGAAAGATCGCAGTCACGATCAGGATAGCCTGACTACGGCTATCATCGTCGTCGGCTTCCATGGCAGTCCGACGGAAAGCCCATTCGCCTGACGGTACAGCAATTCGAGATTGGGAGGGGAAGAAGGGAAGACCAAAAATATGGGGTGGCGCCCTCGTGGTTTTATGTTTTCATGAAGATCGGATCCCCACGCTTCTGCAGCCCGGCTATTTTGACTTTGAAAACCTGTAGCAGCTCTAGACTTTTGGTTCCGAGTGGACCCCCCTGCGTCCGTGAATAATGCATCTTATGGTACAGGTGGGGGGTATTGTTTTCTAGGGCCGAGTCTAAATCTGGATCGGCACGCGAGAGGAACCCTAGCGATCGTTAAGTGGAATGGTCTGTCAAAAGCCCGGTTGCAAGCCTTCTTGTCCGTTTTGGTATTTGATACTCGAAGTTTGGATGGTTGGCAGGCCTATAGCCGAAGTGGGACTGCACGGTTCCAGGGTTCATGCTCGGGTATGGAGCAGAAACGAGATTCAAACAGAATTACATACTGCAGTACAAACACGGCATCACTATGGAAATGGAATATCTCCGAAGCCCCGAAGATCTGACGATCGGTTTGGCTAGTGCATAGTCGGGTTTCATTTGGGCGGGCGAGGAGCCGCATCTATCCTGAAAGCCGGTAAGGTTCTGGTAACATTAGTGTGATTGGTTGGCTCGATCGCCGGGAGTCGAATACGAACTAAATATGCAAACCACGGTTGCATGGTCCATTGATCTGGTTGCCAAGCCGATGCAACATCGTCTCTTGTGTATGACGTGTTAGACTTGGGGATTCAAGTTGGAGTTTGTGGAATTATAGAGTCGAAGCTTTGGATGCCACGAGGCTTCTGGCCTTGCAGCCGGAGCTACATCGAAATGGTAACAATTGATACCTGAGGCGTGAAGTACGAGATCCGATTGGGGCAAGTGCAGGGGCTGTTGCCCTAATCCGATTGCACCTTCCAGAAATGGTTTAGTGTCATCATAGCTACAGTATGTATGTTGAATACTATCATGCAGATATTCGCTTTGTACTCCGTATTCAAGGACGTTATTATCTGTGGATCAAGTCGTGGCGTTTTGAAGAATCTTCGATTCAACATTCCATCTGCGCTTTGGGCACCTAGTTACGCAACTCTGGGTCCTGATCAAGCCTTGCAAATCCGCAAACTAGATTATTGCTGTCCGTGCGCGTCTATTGATACACTAGAGTCCGGGACCCTCCGGTCCATGGGTTTACGCGCGCGGGAGAAACGCAAAAACGCGGCAGGGCTTTGATCGACATTCTCCAACTGATGCTTAACATTCAATAAAACGTCCATATTGCTCACTTGACTAATGAAGGGGTCTCAAAAATGAGAAAAGTTATCGAAGTTTCTATACTCTAATTCTCTAATTTGATCGTCTATACAGTGCAACAACCCCTGGAGGCTTCTGCCTTGCCTACCCCCTGAATGACAAGCGCGCTGTCATTATCGGTAACTTTTCGCTTGAAGAAGCCTCCCATGGGTTGTTGATGCGCCACTTCTCCACCGTTCGCTAAGCAGAGGCGCTTGGGGAAATACCTCCAGTAGCGCTGCCAGATGGAGCAGTGCCGTTGGTTCCACTAGGAGCACCGCCTCCACTGCCTCCAGCGAAGGAGCTGTCAGAGTTCTCGTGGCCTCCGTTCGCATCGTGATAGGCGGCGATGCTGTAGTAAGAGTTGTCCGTGTAGTCGGCTGTGGCGTTGATACCAATCTGGATCCAAGCGAAGAGACCGTCGTCCAGGTCGTCGCCAAGGTAGATGTACTCGGGGAACGGGTCATATGCGCTGTCGGCCTGCTTCACAGACCACATGTCCTCGGCGTTGGTCGTAACCGCCTGAGTGTTGGTGGTATAGGGGTAGGTGTCCTCCACTGCGGACCGGAGAACCTCATTCCAGAACAGCTGTCCAATGTGAGCCACACTGCCGGAGTCAACTTCGAGGGTCTTGTTTGGGAAGACCGTTGCGTTGAGGTGAGTCAATAGGTGGGTGTGCGTGGCCCGGCCTTCGTAGTGACCGGGGAAAATTGTGTCAAAGTTCACAACACCGTCCTGGTTGGTTTGCTGAATACCGCGTAGGTAAGTGCTGTCCCATCCATCGGCGGCATAGTTACCGGATTCCGAGATTCCACTGTATTGGTCAGTACATATGGTGGTTGTATGTTGCGGATGTTTGCATACCTGTAGACACCTGTGGCATTGGCTTGCCAGATATCAACCAGAGCGCCAGGGATGGGTCGGCAGGTGTTAATGTCAATGTACTGCACCTCCAGGGAGACGTCCACACCGTCGGAGTAGAGATCCTCCTTCACATTCTCACGGATCACCTCGCCCCAGACATAGTATGGGCCATCGGTAACGGTGGGGGTCAAAATGCAGCTGGTGTTGGCGGCAAACACGACAGACTCGGGAGTGGCAGGGCTATAGTTGAGGATACCAGTCTGGTTGTGGTTGATTGCCTCCCACTTCTCGAGAGCGACCAGGTCACGACGCCATTTCTGGGGGTCTGAATGTATAATTTAGCAATGCTTCCGTGACAGGGGTATAACAAGGATCCCATACGGGCAGTGACACCACGCTTCTTGCGAAGGTTCTGGACTTTCTGCGAGCGACGTGCGACATTGCGCTTGGCCAACTCTCGGGCATGGAGGCTGTTCTCACAGCCAGCGAGCGAGCGCTTTGCAGCCGCAGCCGCATAGTCGCGGGCGTGGAGCTCACGCTTCACGACATGGGGGTCATGCTTCTCGCCAGGGTGAGCGACGGCAGGTGCAGCCAAGCAAGCCGCTGCGACAGCGATGTATTTGGCCAATTGGACCATTATGAACGGCAATACTAAGAAAAACTTGTTTGACCACTCAAATACTATTTCTTCCTCTGAGCTGGCTGGATGCGCCGGGTTTATATAGCTCCAGCTTCCTGCTCTTGTCTCTGGACGCGTCATGCCAGCGCCAACAAAAGTCCCCACAATGCCAATCCAATTGCCTGTAATACTTTGTCTGTCATCATTTCTCCAGAGGTTCCCAGTCTAGAAGCGTTGGGTTTCCCAGACGTTGCCCTATGCGGCGTCCAAATGACTGCTTGGCGCCGCGTGTCCGCAGAAGGACGCGACAGAGCCCCACGAGCTTACCTCGACAGGGCAAACGATCGTCGCAGAACTGACGAATAGAAAGCTTTTTATTGGAGATGATCCCCGTTATCCCCAATTCCTTCTCTGAATCATACCCACATGCTTAAAAAAAGCCGGATTGTCTACGGCAATGCGAACCCAGGGATTGGAGACCGCGTCAGAGATGAGACGGGAGAGGCTTGGCGGGTAGCGGTAGGATTGCTTCTTTTGGCTCCGGGGTCTTGGCCTTCCATATTCTTTCCGACAGCAATATAAAAGGAAAGACATAATTGATGTATACTTATTGAAAAGCTCATGTGCCGGCGAGGGATTGAAAAATGTTGTTTGTGAGATTTCAAGTGTACACAAGCACCTCGGGTCTCTAATCAATCCCATGTTAGTTTTGGATGTTTAGCCCTCGGCATTTGAAATGACTCGTAATCAAAAATTTTGATTGGTCTCTTTGTTCTTTTAATATATCCAAACATCGCTCAGCCCACATGAAGGGTTTTGTTGCGTTGAAGATCTTCTGCAACGCCACCAAATATCCGAAACACATACGTCAACATACTAGCCAGATGCGTGTGCACTAAAGCAGAGGCTACTTCTAGAGCCAATAAAACACTTGAGGTTGAAAGAGCACATCATATAGAGCTAAGTCAATCAACAATAATTAAACGAGTCCCAGAATTGTCAGCTTGCCATAAGAAAAGGAGGCATGGAGGCAGACGTAAGCATATTTAAGCATCCTTTTTAGAAAGTATATCGATAGCTCTTCTTGGAATTCTTAGATTGTCACAAAATCTATCTTCCTCTGGGGTATTGACCCTTGTCTAGACTGGACTCCGGATTGCCGCGGCCTTGGAGGCTCCACTTTGGGATTCTTCGCTGTAACACCCAGTAGATCTCGCTCCCCCACTTATATTAGGAGTGGAAAGCTTGCACGGATTTGGCTCAGTGTATTCTATACTGATAGTTAAATGATATTGGACGCCAAGAATGCCAAGGGGTGATAAAGAGAAAATCGTGGCTGCGGTGTTTTGTATTGGAAGGTGCTCATACTGAAACACTGTGGTGGGCCTTTTGCACACCCTGCTGCCAGAAGAGTCGTGGTTGGTGGATTTGGAAGATGCCGCAATCACCGTGCCTCTCGGGATATGATTTCCAACTCCCCGGAAGCCTAGACCCCAGCAAAGAAGTGGAATAATGATTACTTCTCCAAGCAACTTTCATTCTGGGCTAAGGGAGTACGGCCTTGGCCAGTAAATGAATGAATCTTTTCTAGAGTGAAATGGATTCACGTCTTTGCCCTCGCAAAAGACAAGTCTGCAACGAAAAACACACTAACTTCGCGGACAGTTGTGACTCCTCAACCTGCAAAGCATATCATATACACCCGTTCAATTTTCCCTCCGGGATTCCAGACGCGAATGAAATGCCTCACTGGTAGCTATCAATAAATGTTCACCCACGCCCAGAGATTGCGACATCTGTCGCAAGTGCTCTGATCTATCACATCTCATGAGTGTGTGCTCAGCGTGCAGTAAGCTGAAACCGAGCCCTGTGGGTGCTAGAAGGTGAAGTGAGCACTGAAAGATCGTTTCCCGTGAACATTGCAGGTGTTAATTTGGGATGCCGGCTTGGTAAAAAGAAAATGTAACCACCTGGACATGGCTATAGCAAATAACGACAGTAAAATGCCTGTGGGTTGATTATATCCAATATCAAATATGTTTTTTTATCCCGATTCCTGTTAATTCCTTGCTTCCGTAGGAACTCATTGCCGTGAATACAATGCGGTATGTGGAGTGGACATCTGCAAAAAAAATACTCGTTGAGGATATCCCAGTTGTTAATCTTGCCGACTATAATTGCCTTGGGATCGGGCAAATTTTGGTAAATATCAGATCTGCAAAGGAGATATCAGAAGAATTATTATTATCTCGTGCTCACAGTGATGTTGACAATAATACCGTGATCATGCTTCTTCCGCGACAGACATAATCAGCCTGTGGAAATTTCTTTGTCGCCGGATTCATTCCGCACATCGCTCCTCATGGAACATTCAGTACGCATCTCGTTCGAATTATATTTGCTCGTGATCAGGCGTGCTGTTAGAAGAGAAGTAAATGGAAGAGGTTGAATAGTTGTGAGGACATTAACTGTCATTATCGTCGTAGGTAGTCACACGGACCATTGTGGTGCATTTACTAAACGCAAGCTTAACTTAGTTACCAGGCCAGATGAACACATAATAAGCAGACACGGCAGCTACTATGGGAGCATATAATCAGACGGGTATTCACGATGGACTAGCGCACTGCTCTTTTATCACAACCAGCCTCAGAGTTACACCACGTGCCCCGTGTCAACGCGATACCCCCCGCATAAAACACACAATCAACCATGTTTTCCCCATGAGAATATTCGAAATGACGATTCAAGTCATCATGGGCTTTGCAATAATAAAATCAATGTCGCATACCTGTATTCCACGAGAAGTCGCTGCCCGTCATGGCATGCATGACGTAATCCATATTGAGAGTCGTTGACTCAGCAATCAATTGCAGCTGTTGGTATGCAAGATTTATTTTTTCATTGATTCTATTGTGCTTTCCTACCAAACTGAGCCTTTAGCTGATTTAGGGTACCACCATGGAGACAAATGATGCCGAAGAGGTCCCTAAGGAGCAATCCCCTGTTGACCCGACCCCCAACCCTATCCACCGATCATCGACGGTCAGTACGCTCCATCACAATCAATTTGACGATTCTTTCTTGTCGAGGTGAGGAATATCATATACCAATTTGAATGCTTCATGTTAAAAACTTACATCACTCAAGAGTACGCTCGTTCTTCAAGAGAGACGATCACATCGGCCATGTTTCCCGGCACCCATTACGAGACAAGGAAGATATCGAAATCCACACATGGCAAGGTCCTGATGACCCCGAAAACCCTTTCAATTGGAGCAAAACCTATAAGTGGGTGTTGACTTTAACAGTTTGCTTCATGTTAGTTTGTCCTCTTCTTACATGCTCTCATGCTGCAAAAGCTAATGGTGGATACAGTTCTATCCTGACAGGCCTGCCCGCAGGATCCTATGGCGCAGGAAATAATTATATGGAGCAACGGTTCCACGTACAAAATACCCCGTTCCCCAATTTGGCTTGGGCCACAACATCCTGGAACATGGGAGCCGCCTTCTGGCCACTCATCTTCGTCCCGTTGACCGAATCCTCGGGCCGGATGCCGGGCTATTTTGTCGCTTACTTTATCCTCGTTGTCTCCCTGTTCCCGTCAGCATTCGCACAAAACTTTGCAACGCTAGTTGTGACCAGATTTTTTGGTGGCGGTGCTTCCTCTGTCAGCATCAACATTGTGGGCGGTAGCATCAGTGATGTGTGGTATGGTGATAAAGCTCGCAGTCTACCAATGTCACTGTTTGGATTTACTAGTGTGGTTGGAATCGCGCTAGGACCGTTTGTGGGTGCTGCTATTCAGACAATCGACAAAAAAGATCCATGGAGATGGTAAGCTTGATAGATCATTCTCCAGATGAGCCTCACTGACATCGAGCAGGATATTTTATATCCAGATCATCTACAATGCTGCATTGATCCCGGTATTCTGGCTGATTCTTCGCGAGACCCGTGCCGACGTTATTTTGAAAAGGCGAGCTAAAAAGCTTCGCAAAGAGACCGGGAGACCCATTTATGCAGAAGCCGATCTTGATACCACTAGTGTATGGAAACTACTTCAGGTTTCCTTCGAGCGACCGACTCGAATGCTTCTCACGGAGCCGGTGGTCACATTCTTCACTCTTTGGGTTAGCTTCGCATGGGGGATTTTGTTTCTTTTCTTTTCAAGCGTTTCACAAACATTCAGTCACAATTACGGCTGGGGTACATTTACCACTGGTCTTGTTCAGCTCGCTATTTCTGTTGGCGCGGTGATCGGTACCGTCTTCAATCCAATCCAAGACTGGATCTATCTCCGCTCTGCGAAAAACAATCGTGAGCAGCCAGGCCGGCCGGTTCCGGAGGCTCGTCTCTATACATCGATCCCTGGAAGCTTGCTTTTTGCGGGGGGTTTATTCTGGTATGGGTGGGCAAGTTCTGGGGATGGATCCATTCACTGGATTGTGCCAACTCTTGGTATTGGATGCACAGGTGTTGGAATCTATAGCATTTACATGGCTGTCGTGAACTATCTGACTGACGCCTACGAGAAGTACGCTGCATCGGCGCTGTCGGCGGCTTCGCTGGGGCGGAACACGTTTGGCGCTTTTTTGCCCCTCGCCTCCTACGAACTTTTCCAGACTCTCGGTTATGGATGGGCTGGCTCACTGTTAGGATTCGTTGGCGTCGCCCTTTCGGTTGTCCCTGTTGTCCTGGTACTTAAGGGGCCGGATATTAGACGCCGCAGTCCGTTCATGCGCGAGTCGATGTTTGACTCGGGAGAGTCGAATGAGTCTACTGAGCCGATTGAGCCGGAGAAAGCCTGATATCTGTCGTCCTGAAGCTTCGAACTCGATCAATAGAAGATTGCTTTTTCATATAAATTCTCTCGGTTCTCTCAAGGAAATTGCCCCGATCGGACGGGTTAAGACTGTGGCTATGGACCCCAATAGCCGGGTGGGCGAGTCCTTGAGGGCAAATTGATAAGCAGATCTGAGTCTTCGATGGCAAAACTGTGCATAATTAAATTGTGAATCCGGAATAAGTCAGTTCTAAGTAGGGATTCGGGAGTCCTGGAGAGACGTCATCAGTACTGGACAGATGATGGAGGGTAAGAAATATAAATATGGGTCGGAAGGATGCGGGGGGCCTTTGCAGATCACCTGAGGCTTCGCGAAGGTTTCACCACCCCTGAGGCAGCTGAGCATTTGTCAGACAATAGAATGACGCTTCTGTCCTTCGATCCAATAGAATATCATAAATACAGGTGATTATTCAACAGTAACAAATATACCGGCACTCGTGGACTCCCTGGGAATTTGCCAAGTTCTAAGGCGTCGTTCATCAGGTCAGATGCATATATAGATCTCGAGTTTGTTTGGTTCTGTAATCAAAAACAATCAAAGTACCTTTCGAACTGGAAGAATTATTGTGGCTGCTTATTACAACACGGCTGAGCGTCGTGGCTATGTAGTGTTTGTAGCCGACATGGTACGCCTGTATTTTGTGTATTTGATGTCATCGGCTTCTAAGCTTTGCTTTTAAATCCCAGTCTTTTCCCAATTTCCATGATTGTACATAAATCACATCATGGTCAACTTCTTAACTACACTTTTAGGTATCCTCAAGGGGCTTATCTATCTAATCGTCACGCTTCTTACTTTAGGACTATTCGCAATCTGGCTTCAAATACGTGACTTATTTATACTCGTGAGTATTATTCCCTGACCTGCACTCACCTAGCATCAAATAATAGCGTGATCTGATCGAACTTGTCATCATTATAGGTAGCGAACGTCCTTTCCCCAAGCCGTCGTGTAGGAAATGTTGTTTCCCCCGGCAGTCCAGGTCATGGTGGAATCTGGCCGAAATACATCCCTCCCATAAATGGCATTGACAGCCGGTCTCCATGTCCAGCGTACGCATCGTCACCCTGTATGTTTTACTAGTACTATTGACTCTTCTGACCCGCATGCACCGTTTATCTAGACTCAATGCGCTTGCCAACCACGGTACGTATAGAAAAGTACACACGATCTAGAAAAGAGCCTTGGCTAAAGAATGTTGTGCAGAAATATTGCCACACGATGGTAGACAGCTCACCTATAAACAAATCTCACGCGCAGTTCAGCATGCATATAATCTGTCGCCGACCCTCGCAGAGCAGCTCACTTCTTCCGCCAGTCTTCTCGACCAAGGAAGGGGCTATATCAACTTACATGACCTGAATGCATTGAATGTGACTAGACCATAAGGATTGACTCAGGGTAGATACTGATAATATTTTGTTCTTAGGTTGTCCAGCATGACGCCTCATTCACGCGTCCTGATATTGCCTTCTGTGCCGACCAAAGCTTTCCACACCCTAGGATGGTCGATATGTTCCTCGACCATGCGACAAATGGCAAAAACCTCTCACTAGATGACATTGTGTACTATTCGGGACTTCGTCGTGCTAAGTCAAAAAGCTCAAACGGGCAATACTCGCTAACATGGAGCTTTTTACATAAGTTCTTTGGTGAGTAGATTCTCCATATCGGGATATCCCTTTTCTTCTCCAACAACTGACGATTTCATGCCACGTTGATAGGATCTGGAAACTCCGCACTTATATTCTCTATTTTTGGTGGCGATGTCGAAGATCTAAGGGTCTGGCTGAGTGAGGAGCGATTTCCCGACGGATGGGAACCCAAGAACAGAGAGGCACATGGACACACTATCGCAGTTCGTTCTGTTTTACTCTTCCTCCCTATCCTGCTTTGCTGTATATCTGATTCACTGACAATCGCGGCACATACAGCAAGCACAAGCCACGTCTCTCACGATCGAGTTTAATATCAATGAAAAGCAGAAACTGCACCCTACGGATGTGGCTTACCTCGAATCTAATGAGCAGTATTGAACCAATCTGCGTGACCTCTTCGCTTCATGAGGAACTATCATAGGAAAGTGATGTGTACTCTAATTTTGGGGTTTGAAGCATAATAAGTGCTGGACTGGACGTGTTACTGTAACAACTCCTTTTCCTTTAATGAAGCCCAATGTTCTGTACTCCGAGATCAAAACATGGAAAAGACTTGGATTGCTGTAACTCCCAATAGCTGCATGAAGAAATCTATTTTTCTAGAATTGGCAACAACAAATAAAAAAAGCAACAGAAAGTCAATATCGATGGAAATGGCACCGCAATTTGGTACACCAGGAACTACCTATCCACTGTGCGACTGCGAAGTACAGTAAACGGAATTCTTGCCATTCTTCGGGATGCTTAGCAAGAATGAATTAATGGTCATAGGCAGTGAAATATTTTCGTCTCCCGAGCAGTCAGGATTGCTAAATGTTTAAAGCTTTATGTCAGCGCACAATGCAATTCTAGTCGTACTGGTAAATCTCACTTATATAGCGAACAGCCATTTGTGGCAGCAGTCCACTTTACCTTGTCCCTAGCAAAAGATAAGCCCCAAGTACCATCAAAGAATGGGAGAAATGCTCACGCATGATTCAAAGTTGTGCACTGGTTCATGTTGACATTTTGTAGCGAACAATCATCGGAGGACTCATTAGCGCAATACTCAACCTACACTCCAAGGTCAGCGATGTGGCATTCCGTTGAAAAGCATCCGAAAGATTACCTACCAGAGAATGATCACTCATCACTGGAGCCGCAAGGCTGCTGCCTAGGTAAAGCAAGAAAGCTGTGGAGAATATCTTGGAGGCCATATTTCCTAATATACTTTCGATGAAAAAGAGAATCAATCAACGCGAGTGCCGTCAAACAACGACAATCAAAAGTCGTATAAGCAACTCACTGCAGATATATTATATACTAACTACGAGCCACGAAACAGTGACAAGAACAGGTAATGCCCCTGAGATCGGAGATTCTTCTCCCACTCATATTTCAAACCAATCTGTATTAGGTCGCACTGAATCTCAACGCGAACCGTAGATAAATGACTAGACACCTTTGAAAACTGGACTTGACACCCAAACATGTAAAGCTAATGTATTTTTGACGACTTATGAACAACAAATTGATGGTTTGCTAGGCTCAACAATTGTTTGCGCCAAAGAGCTAGGCATTGAGTTTTCAAATTAGTTCAATTCTCAAATGGTACCCATGGCAAGACGTCATGGATGCTCGGGCTGAGTTTCATTCTTGGCAATTTCCCCTATCCAACAAGAAAAAACGGGCGATCTAGTTCTGATCAAAACTTGACAGTTCACTCGCCTCATGTGGGTACGTGACGTTGGTGGCACTACAGCTGCAGGCCCCCGAGTAAGGGGATTGCACGGACTATCCTCTTTACTGGGGATATATGCATATTCCTGATTGCAATTATACGAGAGACTAAAAATTCGAGTTTTACCGGCTGATTCGAGATCCCGCTGGTCTTTCTGAGCAGATGAAAGGGAAATTAGAGTCAACGACTTTGGTGGCCCAGTAAAGCTAAGCAAGAGGCTCGCATGTCAATCCAGCTGGCCAAGCGCAGCTATTCATGAAATATACTTATTGAACACCCAACGGCCTTTGATACGAATCAACAGCTGATTGTACAGTTGACGATATGGACTGTCAGATACACTGGGTGTTTGTTGTGTATTCCACTATTTGAACGAAGTTTAATAAGTAGGGAAAATGATGACATGGGCATCAATTCTCGCATCTGACAGCATCATAAGACTTTCCTCGCTAGTAAAGCCAATAACCTGAATGCCGGAAAGTTTCGCGGCAGTTGCTGAGTGAATGATTCCCCTTGGCCATTGCTTTGCTTATTTCTTACATGTGGGGCAGATTTAGGCAAGACTAGTTTCAATTCAGTCAAGGATCAACCCTTGGCTCGAGGCAGAAATATGAAAAAGTGCAAACGCAGATCCGAAAACTAATACGCAGGGTACTCTCATGTTAACTTTCCGTAGTTTACAGCGGTGTAGGAGCGGGTCAGAAGACAAAGCTCATCCGTTCCCATGCATTTCCAGTGTCTTCTCTAACCCCGGAAGTCAAGCGAATCTTCCAAAAGCATGAGTCTATTCGTGGCTTCTAGCAGAGTTCACGTCATAAAGTCCAATTTTTCTATCATAAGTTATCCAATGTCTGTGAATTTGTGTTGATTTTGGTGTTTGGTTCATTGTCTCTTATCTCCATCGATCCACAAATGCCGGCCCCGATCGGAGCTTGACCTCGGACAACCCGAACCTTCAGGGCCATGGAAGCCGAGCATCGGCACCTGAGTTTTGACCAGAAATTAAGTGGGGAGTGACAGACAAAATTGAAGTTAGGCGACTTCACTTCGATTAATCATTGAATAAGAGCTTTTACCTCAAGAAGTTGGTAGAACTAAGTTTGCTTTGAACCGTGTTGTGGTAATCAGATGTGTAGGGGACTTCCGAGTCATTTGTAACTAGGTGATGCATTTTAATGGAGTATACATGTGGCATTAAGTTTACCAGGAGCTTCGAGGTCAAAGTGAGAGATCTATCGTGTATTGAAGCGGCCTTCCATAGACCAAGTCCCTATCTATCCATTCTATGTATTGTACATGATTGTCGCAATGCTGGCTATATGAAGATTCGTAATGTCGTTAAAATTTAGAACTTGGAAGCCTTCTTCGCACCGGGCTCATCACTGTCCGTAGCCTTGGCCATCTCAGCCGCTTCGACGCCATGGGTGTCAGCCACATGAAGCTTTGGCATGGAACGAGCAATGCGAGGCGGATCGAAAATGCTCTTGGACTGGATGAAGATCTCGTCGATTTCTTCCAGTGATCTTCCATTAGTCTCAGGGAAGAAGAAGTACACGATCGGAACAATGGCAGCATTGAGAACGGCGAAGATAATATAGTATCGCCATGAAATGGTGTCAAAGCCGACGGGAGTAACCTCCGCCAAAAGGAAGTTGAACATCCATACTGCCGTGGTGGAAACAGCACTAATGGCTGCTCGTAGTTGTAATGGAGCTACCTCAGTCGCGTACAGGAAGGTCAATCCAGAGAAGCCGATGGTGAAGATGAACTCGAAAATGAAGAGGAACACGACCGCAGCGATCATAGCAGCAGTGTTGTCGCTGAGTGAGTTTGTACCAGCGAGGATTGCCATTGAGACAGACATGCCGGCTGCACTCCACAGCATCAGGACACGACGACCCAGGCGGTCAATTGTGAAGTATGCCACGAAGCCACCTAGCGGCTGCGTGAGGCACATTGATGCCGCAAGGATCCGAGACTTGGTTGCATCTAGACCGAGGTATTGTTGGAAGATTGTTGTTGCGTAGTAAGTGATCAAATTGATACCACACATTTGTTGGAAGACCTGGCCACAGGCTGCGAGGACGGTGCGGTGGAAAAGACGCTGCTCACCCATATAGAGTAAGCTCTTGAAGGAGCCAGAACCAGAGAGAACAAGAGAGGTTTCAATATCGCGGATCTCAAGTGTAATTTCTTCGGAATTTTCGTCGGTATCAGCGAGCGCAGCGAGAATAGCCCGTGCCTCCTCGGTACGCCCCTTCTTAATCAACCAACGAGGCGACTCGGGGAGAAGCATCACAAACGCCATGACGATCAAGGACAAGACGATCTGGAAGGCGAGAGGGAACCGCCATGAGACTGAGCTGCCAGTCACAAAGTAGAAGCCGAAGTCGATCCAGAGGGAGATGGTAATACCCGCGCCGATGAAAATTCCGTCCGTAACGACGTGTGCACCACGCTTGGTGGGTTTGGAGATTTCGGACTGCCAGACTGGCACGGTAGCAACGTATCCTCCGGTGCCGTACCCGAGAACCAATCTAGCAACGATGAATTGGGCAAGCGAGAAAGAACTAGCCATCAAGACTGCTCCAATAAGTGAGATGAAGGTAGTGATAAAGATAATACGCCGGCGACCAAGAATATCTCCCAACTGAATGCATGATAATGAGCCGAACATTCCTCCCACGGTGTATAATGCGACCACGGTTCCTACAAGAGATGCGTTAGAAGAGCTCTTTGACCTAGGAACGCCATACAAAAACGAGTCGCAGGTCATCAAAATACATACCCTGAATTGTAGAGTTGTAATGTTTTTCAGCGCCCGTCGTAGTGAGTGTGTTCATCTGAGGGAATTGTTCTGCAAATGCCTTCAAAGTCAAAAGACCTCCAGTAACACCTTGATTGTATCCATATGTCAGAAAAGCCGGACAAACAACCAGCCACATGATGGCACGACTCAAAGCCGTTCCACGAAGACCAAAGTAAGGCGCCATGTTGATTTCAATGGTCAAACTCAACCAAGATCCTAGTCAAGTTAAAGTTGGTGATCATGCAAGGATCATAAAAAAGTCACCTCGCCAAGGCCAAGTATGAAGTTAGAGGTGATCCAATTGATATATACAGCAAGCACAGTTTCCACGGCCATCGGCGTCCCCCGACCTGACAAACGCGACTTTTACAGCAAATTGTGGACCACCATCCACCCCGGACCGAGCATCGCAGTACTCATTGGCGAGTACCATAGGCGATGTACGGCCAATCCAGGCCCGATCTTCGGAATAGTGGAGACCGAACCCGCAACGAAAACCGAAAAGGAAATAATATTAGCTAAAATCTCTTGGTTTCCCCGGATTTTGCTCGAACGGCACTCCAGTTCTGGGGATTGATGTAGCGCACCATCCATCTCTTGATCGGGATGCCTAGTTTCAAACCCAAAGATGCCGAAATCATTTTAAAAAAGCCTAAAAGGTGACTCGGTCCGATATCCATGTGTCCAGAGATAGCACTGACTCCCGGCCTACGGGGAGAGGTGCTCCACTTTGTTCCATCGGACCCGGCCGATGACCAGTGAGAAGAGACCTCGGGCTACGATAACGGATTTGGTTGTCATGAGTATTTGTCGCGATCAAACCGATAATCTTACCCCGGATGCTGGTGCCCCATATTCCGAGCCTTCCATGCCGTGCTTGCATGCGTTCTATGAGCTGACCTGAACTGCATGGAGCTACAGTCGCCACGCGCCAAGCACACTAGTACCTCATGAGGAATTTTTTCCCGTTTATTAGATTTTTAAATGACTGTGCAACGCTCTCTATCTGTCGCGTAAATCAAAACCCGCGAGATCACCCGAGTTGATCATGCTTGTTAGTAAAATCAAATGGGTTTCCATGTTGATAATACCAGCCGGTCTGTGTGCATCGCCGATTTGCAATATGAATTAGATGACAGATTCTCGTTCGCGAATTATGGGTCTTGACAAGGCAAAATCTTCGTTTCTTCAACCTTGCAACACGAAAGTCGCCTGCGTCAATAATCAGACTTCTCCATGAGAAGATCGCGATCTCTCTGGCAGGAAATGCTGCAAAGTCACCGCACGAAGTGTTTGGGCCGTGAAGGAAGCCTCAACCTTAACCGTGATAGATATTGACGAAATTGGTACTTGTTCAGCGACTATCTGCGATTAAGAATCTATCTAATAGCAGTCACGTGGATCCGCACTTGAAAGACCCAGGAACAAATAACAAGGCAAAATCCTTGCTGCTCAAGGAACTGACATGAAATGGGAACACTAGGGCCATCCATGATCTGAACGGGTCATAGAATTCGTCAAGGTTAAATTGACGTCTCATCTTCTTCGGTGCATCCTTAGTCGCGTCTTTGTACCGTAACAACAGGCCCCACATATTGCATCTTCCCTTGAAAGATATACATGACCAGACTGAGAACGAAAACCCCCACAAATATAACCACACTCCAGTTAAAGTCTTCCACTCCCGCAGATGGACTGGGCGGCCAGAAGGACCAGAAAAGAGCGAAGCACACGTACATCAAGCCAATGATATTTATAGCCAGCCCGGCTGGTCCCAGCGACCATCGCCGTGGCGGAAGAGTTTCAGGACAATATATCTTTCGATAAATCACGCAGCTCATGGAAACGGCGTACGTGTACATGAGAGCTGCCACATTCAATGAGATGATGGCATTGAATGCGACCGAAGATCCGATGTAGATAAGTGAGAGCAGGCCGCTTGTCAGACAGGAAAGGCCGATAGCGCGCACGGGGATTCGACGGCGAGGATGGACATGGGAGATCCACCGAGCAAAGGGAAGACCCTTATCGCGAGCAAAGGCATGTGTTTGACGAGCCGTCGATGCATTGAACAGAATATTGCTGAAAATGACAGGAATCAAAATAATAGAGGCCAATCCATTCACTCCGGCCAGTGACATTGTGTTTCGTAAAACGAAGAGGAATGGGAATCCGGAGCTGTCGTTTAGTGACGCTGGAACTGATTCGATTGAGAGTAGTAGCCCAACAAGAACAATGATTGCCAATACACCATTGCCAAAATATCCCCATGCAATTGCAATGGGAACGTAGCGTCCGGCATCCTTTACCTCCTCCGACATGTGCGCTGTAGCATCCGAACCTGGAATAATCAGTCGATTTTTTCAGAATCGGGTTCAAACAAACAACATACTGAGTGACCCATAGATCGCAGAAATCTGGCCGACCATCAAGCTCACTCCTATGGTCGGCCAGCCGCCACCGTTGTAAAATTCGGTAAATACTACCTTCGCGGGTTGATGGGGAGTCATGGCAAATAGCGTAACAACCACAATAACCCAGCACATAAGATGCAAAGCGAGAAGCAGATTTTGTATCCGTGGCATCCAGTTTGCGGCATAGACGTTGAAAAAGTAAATGACTGCAATCATCGCCCAGACGAAGAGAGTTCCCTGCCAATTCTGTGGCTGATAGCTTGGGTCGCGTATGCTGATCAAGCCTTGGATGATCGTTCCAGTAAGAAAGGACCCACTAGCTGCCCCAGCTTGCCAAGCCAAAACAGACATCCATCCTACAAGACAAGAAGAGAAAAAGTCTCAGTAAAGGATATTTGGATCACTCACGCAAAGACTTACCGGTCGTATAGCTAAGGAACTTCTGGTATCGCTTCGGTGCAAATTCTGAAACCCAATGATACTGACCACCTGATGTCGGTGCCATGGACGCCATTTCAGCCAGGCTAAGGATAATAAACCCGAATCCAATAAAAGTCCATATGAAAGACCAAAAAAGGCCAGCATACCCACCATTTTCCAGGCCTTGAGAGTTGGATCTATATATGAAGAATTAGACATGGAGGTTGGTAACCTGTTGGTATTGGCTTACATCAAGATAAATTCCCACGTGGCTTGGAGAACGGCTGAAAAGCTTAACGCAGCTAATGGGCGGAAGTTGCGCTATTTTCATTCAGCTTTAAAAATTCGGAGATCTTCATGAAAGTGATACCTTGAATTCTTGAATCTTTCCCATTCGGTGCATGTCATTTTTGTCGTTGTGTGTGGCCCCCGAGTCGGGGAAAACTTTATCGATACTCTCCGCTTCCATCGCCTGTATTGCTGTGATTTGGTTTTCATCATCTGGACTCAAGATGGAGGATAGAGTGTTGGACGCCATAAGCCAAGCTCAATGCGGCATAATTTTGTGGTGCAAATGTTGTTGACCACAGGAAGTTGAGAAACGTGGCACTTGAGCTGATCTCTGTGATGGTTAAAGGGGTTTCTTTCGTGATGCAGCCTAGAGGTGAGGGGCAGGTGTTTGGAATGAACCACGGCTGTTAAAGCGTTGAGAAGGAGCTGCAGGCTTGCCAAAGAAGAGCTCGTCTCCTCAATCAAACTCCGTAGTACAGCAAGCGGCCGAAATTTCCGATCCAAGTATCACTATTGGGGTATTCTACATCCCTTGAAGGTGGGCTTTTATAAAGTGTTGCAACGGATGCTGCCCAGCCAGCGACACGAGATTATGCATTAAGCCACATGGCCGTCGAAACGCAATAACGGATATGATGTATCCGTACTTGCCAAGTCCCTGTCTTTGTGCAACATAATGGCTCAGATGTAGAGTCAATCCAAGACAGCTCATTAATTCAAGACTGGGTATCATCAAGTCTTCTATATACCGCTTTATAGAGAAGGATGGAAACGCGTCGTGGCGACGTACTATTTCGCTATTTCGCGTCGGATACTGGTAATCAAGGGGGGTTCTAAAATGCCCCTCTCTCGTATTCGTGTTTTGGCTGAGTGACTTTCGTGTCCCCCGACGGTGCGATACTTCCAATCATAAAGGTTTGACTGTCACTGCACATTCCCGGAGCCGCTGGTCGAGCTTCGAATACCAGAGGTGGCAATTCCAAATATAGCTTAGCCTAACAGTAAAATTGGTCATCATTGCAATCGACGAGTACGTTCTGTGTTCAAGCGCTATGGATTTCCAGAGGAAGAGCGGCATGGAGCGGTTGTGTCACAATAAGCAACGGAATGGTCATGTCGCTTCATACGGAGCCGAGAGACTTGAAAGATACAAACGTTCCCACGGTTACATGACCTTCTGTCTCGATGACGACGAAAATTTAAACATCTTCAGAAAAATAAACCAACCCAAGATTGGCGGATGATCACAGGCCCGTGCTGAAACATTGGTAGAGAAGGTAGCCTAAATGCACCAACCGGACGCCACAGAAGCCCAATCGGCCTACCAGACAAACAGGACAAGCGAAAATCAAGCAACAGCTGCAAAAGCCTGTCGTGCACCCATAAGCATAGCTTTCGTATCCAAAAAATTAGCCACGAGCCATGATCAGCCCCGAGCTTAGCAGTGCATCAAGTCAGCCCTCGTATCCGTGATCTCCCTCCTCCATTTATTCCCAGTCAACGGCTCGCACGCATTTCCCCCTTCTGGATATATGCCAGGACATGTCCCAACGTTAGCTGAATGATTTCCGCATCGACCTGCGTTGTCGGCCATGGCAGTCGCTTTTTCTTCGACACCGCCGGGGATGACACCCCCGCTGACTGTGGATAATGATGAGAATCACAGCGGTTTGATTACTATTATCCTATCATTTGCAATGTTCCTTGTCTTGGGGTCTTTGGGTATCAGGGTCTACTCGGCCTACGCTAGACATGCCAGAGGGATGGACGATTTTTTCTTTGCCTTGATAGTGGTAGGTTTCTGTAAGCATACAAGATTGGAATCAATCGTTGATCGTCGCAGGTTGTTGCACTAGGCCAAATTTCCGCACTATTTGTTTCAGTTCATCTCGGCTGGGGGCAGGCCGCCAGACTTATCTCCGCTAAGGATGAATTGAAAAAGGTACGCTCTGCAATTAGGAATGTGTCTGATTTCCACTTATCAGTCTTTCAATAGGCTGTCTACTCTGCGGATATACTCTATGTTACGACACTATGGCTATCCAAAGTCTCGACTTCAGTCTTTTACCGCACGATCACGATGCGGAACTCGCAGTGGATGATACATGGCCTTATTGGGGTCATCGCTTTTTGGGGGCCGGTATCAATGTACACTACCCCATTCACAGCCCTCTATATAGCCTCAAAGCCTACTGATCAAACAAACAATAGAATCCTAATATCCGTCCGGTGCGGAAATGATCCTTGGAACGATATCGATAACCATTGCCAAGTTTTTGTGAGCCTGCAAATTGACAAAGGGTTCTTCATGGCGCTAATTAGGAATTCCAGTTTCCCAGGTGGCAAGCGATCACTGCGCTGGATGTGGTCCTCGAGATGGCCCTATTTCTGTACCCCATCCGAGTTATCCCCAAGCTTCATACCAGTCTTGGCAAAAAGGTAGTCGTTGTTTTAATTCTAAGCTGTCGCGTGATGTATGTCTCTACATTCCGATCCGGACTTCAAAATCGCTATCTTTCTCTGACTATCTTGTCCAGACTCATACCGGTTGCGGCGGTTCACCTCTACTACATACATCGCCAAGTAGGATCATCCGATCCAACACTCGAAGGCACCGGAGCCACCCTCGTTGCCGAGGTACATGTTGCACTGAGCATTGTCGTTCTCATTGCGCCCCTCATGAAGCCTTTCATCGCGGCATACGTGGATGCAAATGGATTGGCCTATACAGATGACGCGTCCAAGTCCCTAAGCCCCCATAATTCTCGCATCAAAGCGATCAAGGGAATGTTCTACTCGAAGGGACGGGATCCGTATCTTTGGATTGAGGATGACTCTTTGCCTTCGAGATCACTTGGGCCAGAGAATCATATTATGAAAAGTGTGCAAATTTCTGTTGATCGGCAGACCTTGGAAATTCCAGAGAGATCTGTTGGTCGAAGCGACGGATCAGGTGTTCCTTTAAATATTCACTAGAACTTGTAGAGTTATAAGCAGATTGCGTAATTTATTTTAGATCTTTTATCCATTTCCATCCTGTGTTGGCTCCATCATTAATTCTATCACTGACTTCACTTCCTCAGATTCAGTGGTAGAAGCTTTTCGCTTACCAAAAAGCGCCTTTCATTACCGTGCGGCGGTGACGCAAGCCTTCTATGGTCCAAATCCTCAGAACACCCTCTGCAAGTATTTGTCCGTTACTTATAGTATTTTCAACTGATTGGTCAACTCTTGTTATCAACAAGCGTTGCTCTCATGCGTAAGGATATTGTCTCCTCATTCATTGCCGTTCACAATCATGAGTCGCAAATCAAGCAGTTATGCAGCATTGCCTGGACATTTATCAACATTTGCACATTAAATCGAACGAACCCTTAGGTTCTCTTTATCTTTGTTTCAAGGCCTGTCCTATTGAATTCCTCAGGCTATACGAGTGGAACAATAGCGTCGGTGCCCTTCCATTTTCGGGAATCTTAATCGGAGTTCTCACCGATTCTTTGATTATCTTTTTTCCCCTCAATAGGTATAAGCATATCGTGGAGCGCAATGGACATGTTGATCCCGAGGAGCGGATACTTCCTGATGATCTATCTTCCTTCCGGTAGGGATGTCTGGTTCGCATGGACCCTAAATCTAGGTATTCTTTGGGTCCCAGAGGTCATCCATATTCGATGTATTACTTGGAGCCGGAGTTCAATTAATATTCTTGTAGGCAAGTATCCCATGTGAATGAACTTTCTTGGCAACGGGGGACTAATATATATTGATGGCTAAACTCCATCATTGATGTTATATTGTGCATGCAAATCCGGCCCTTGCAGCTGACACCTTTTACCAATCTTGGCTGGGGACTGGTTTCCCTTGTTTGCTAATGCTATGGTCAGTTGAGCACCTGCATTTGTAACTTCACATGCAAATGACGATAAATGCACGTGATGTAGTTTCGCAACCTTGGAATGGATTGGGCGATGATCCTTCTTGGCTGTTTAACGGCTATCCTTTTCCTTGGGCCAATTGCATTCTTCATATTTGACCCGAAGATAAGATCTTGGAGCACATTTAGTGAGTCATCAATCTGAGAAAACCCATTATTCATGACAATGGGTATATCGTGGATACATGAAGATTGGTGCGTGCCTCTATGGTCTTTGGAAGAATTGAACCGATAAGTGCAAGTTGTTTTTTGTTAAAGAATACCAAATTTTGCATGTGGGATGATTGTACAATGTGATGTATTTGTTCATGATGATCAGACCTCGTTGTTACCTTAAAATAGGAAGTGTGGCGTATGTTGAAGATGTCCGATGCCACCGCCTTGGCTGCGGAACACTTGAACCAATCAGTCATTCTTTCCCTTCCATGAAAGCCAAGCCAAGATAATGAGACCCTTCAGGATAGCAGCCATCCAAAGAGCTCCCATCATGCCAATCGAGCTATGTGCCCACAGACCACCGAGCACAACTCCAACAAGTAGACAGATCACGGCACCCAGTCGACGCATTTCCTCCTCATTGCGAAAAATCTTAAGAGACAAAAGATCTTCATGTGAAAAAAGGTCGCAATAAATACTGGTCAGGACAACACTGGTCAAGCCATTGTATTTCAAGACACGACTCGCGACGGCCTGTCCACTGCTCTGGAATGCTACCAGAGCAACAGGGACCAGGATCAACCAACTCAAAGGCGCGTCACGCGCAGGACGATAAACGGTAACAATCGTCGCAGCCACCATTATACACAGCATTTGTATGAAGAATGAAACTGTAATCACCCAGCGCAGACGTGGCGAAAAATAGCGATGATATGTGGAAAAGAACAGCGATCCAAGGCAGAATCCGCAAATGGAGACACCGGACTTGATCCATCGGTCATCGTCCGTTCCAACAAGGCCAAGGCCAAAGTAGACCGTATTTCCAGTTTGCATTGACACGAAGCTGCCCCAAATGAACACTGCCGAGCTGTCAAGGAGTCCAGTGATGATATAGCAAATGAGGAGAAGCAAATCGCCTCGACGTGTATCTATCTCTTCGCGCAGATATTTCGAAACGGCGCGTCGAGACGCGGGGGCATTGCCCAGCAAAGGCTCGTCTTCATCCGCCATAGCTTAACACGATTGTAGGAAGGGATAGGTGGAATAAGGGGTGCTCGGTTCGTGTTTTGTAGTTCCCGCGTGCGGGGATATAAATTTTCCATTGCGGTTGCCGAGTGTCTCCGCACGAAAATAGATCTGCTGAACGTCATAGGTCCACAATTATGGGGCCCCGATCCATTCCATGAATAAGCTTCCTGATTACGACATAGCAAGCTAATTTAATTTGATCATCAAAGAAAGTCAGCAGGCAACAGCCGGATGAATCGGAGCTTGGAAATGCTTGACGTACACGCTAAACCGGCATACTTGATTTGCGTGCGGGGGTTGGGACCTTAAACCCGACGCCGCTGCACAACGTAGATTGTACCACGTCGCTCACAATGCATATACTGTCGGCTAAGTGCTTTGCATTACAGCAATTGCTGTTTACCCTTGTGCTGGGTATTCCTGCTCCTGATTCGGCTATTCAGAGGCTTCTGCAGGTTCCCCCTGGACGAAGTCAGGATGTTCTCGGCCTTGGCAACCCTCCTTTCACTCCGGGACATCGTGACCCGTTTGATCACAAGGTTGACTCAGTAGGCGATGATCGACACCCTCTGCCTTACCGTGGAGGTTATGGAGCTTCGATCGAGGGACCCAGGAACAAAGACCGTGAGAAGCAGAACCCCGATCTTGTGCGTCCTCCGAGCACGGACCATGGCAGCATGTCCAATATGCGATGGAGTTTCGCTGATTCCCATATCCGCATTGAGGTAAGACAAATCTAGATTTGGTCCTTTAAAGTAATTTTAACGTGTTCTTCAGGAAGGGGGATGGACTAGACAAACTACCATCCGTGAACTACCAACGAGCCGCGAATTGGCCGGTGTGAACATGCGTTTGGATGAGGGCGTTTATCGCGAGCTCCACTGGCATACCGAGGCAGAATGGTAGGGTCTCTCCTTTACACATGTTTTTCTATGACGCAAGCTGACTTTCTAAGGGCATATGTCCTCGCAGGCAACGTCCGAGTGACTGCACTAGATCCGGACGGCGGTAGCTTTATCGACGACCTTGAAGCGGGTGATCTGTGGTACTTCCCAGCAGGTTTCCCTCACTCTCTTCAAGGCCTGAGTCCAAATGGTACCGAGTTCCTGTTGATCTTCGACGACGGGAACTTCTCCGAAGAATCAACATTCATTCTGACTGACTGGCTGGGTAAGCTACGTGGAAATTACAGTCAGTCACATCCTCGCTAACAGGAACTATAGCTCACACCCCAAAGTCTGTCCTGGCGGAAAACTTCCGCGTTAACCCGGAAAGATTCCTTTCGATTCCTCCGTCGGAAAAATACATCTTTAAAGGCACGGTTCCAGATACTGTGGAGCGCGAGAAACCTCCCGGATTCCATAAGAGCAAACTGCAATTTACCCATCATATGCACGCGCAAGATCCCATCCGCACAAGCGGTGGAGCTGTGCGAATTACTGACTCGACGAATTTCCCGATCTCGAAGACTGTAGCTGCTGCGCACCTAGAGATCGCCCCAGGTGCACTCCGTGAAATGCACTGGCACCCTAATGCAGATGAGTGGACGTATTTCAAGAAAGGTCGTGCTCGCGTGACCGTTTTCGCTGCAGAGGGAAATGCCCGTACATTCAACTACATGGCAGGCGATGTGGGTATTGTTCCCCGCAACATGGGCCATTTCATTGAGAACCTGAGTGACGATGAACCACTTGAGGTGTTGGAGATTTTCCGCGCAGATAAGTTCCAGGACTTTTCGCTTTTCCAGTGGCTTGGAGAGACTCCGCGCCGGATTGTTGCGGAACATATCTTTGCTGATGACCCTGAGGCTGCCGAGGAGTTTTTGAAGCAAGTTGAGGGTGCCGAAAAGGATCCGATCAAGGATACCCTGGCTTGAATGGGATGCTTATGTCTCAATCTCTGATTGTGACTTATCACTTTCATGCCGTGAATATTACTTCCATATTCAGGGACCAAAATATGAGCTCTTTTTTATTCACTGTATTAACTCACACCACGCTACCGAAGTAGGTGCTAAAGATAGACTTTCGAAAGGTACGTAGATACATGATATCGTTCCCCATTCTGTCAATCACTTCATCACTCAACAGCGCCAGTTACGAGCACATCTCCTCCTGCCCAGAGAGATCAATCGTAGGAATCTCCGACATATGCAGTTTCGCACTTCCATACGGCCTCAGTGTCACATTGAAAGCATCACCCAAACAAACCCTGTCCTCTTTCGGGATAGGTGACCCTGGAACAGACCCAAGGAACATTGGCCAATCAATCAAGCACCCTTTTGCAGTCATGTACATAGGCAGCGCACCATCTTGAAATGTAGGTTCGGGGAGAGAGCCAGAGCCAGGGTTATATTCCAATGTAGTCGGATCAATGGCGACATTCCACTCTGTGGTGTTTAGGAGGACATGATCTTGTGCCTGGCTGGGATATGTGCCAGCCGGGTAGTTGGATTGATTGTTATAAAATTTGGGAGGAGCGGATGAGATGTCGGGTTTAATATATAGTGCGTATAAGAGTGGACCTCTGTAGACCGAGACAGTGTCATTGGCCCGAGGGGTTGTTGTCATCTCCATCCCCAAAGTATAGGTGAATTTTGTCGTTCCAGTCGAGATGCTGAACTTCATTAGTCCGGTTGTCGGGTCTGTTGATGGTGTGTCCAGGCCTTGGATCGATACATCTGTCGACCAGTTTGGCACGCGGAGGTAGAAATCAAAATCTGTGTCACTGTCGATCGTGTAGGAAAGAGTGTTTGCAAATGGATAATCTGTTTCGCAATCGACAGAGACCTTCTTTCCGCCGATTTCTGTCTGCACGCTCCCGGGGCTAAGGAGGGCGTGTACAAGGCCGGTTGTTCCCTTTTTCACATAGGAATAGAGCACAAACTTGGGGTATCCTTGGGGATGATTCACAGTGCAACAGGGATAGTTAGGTTCGAGACCGAACGTGTTGGCCTGAGAGTTGTCGTCATAAAATGGGGTAGCTGATAGATTCTTAGAGAATGGCTGGTTGGGCTCCGTCATATACTGGTGACTCCACCAATCTCCCATCAGGGCAGCAGGGAGGGCATTGTATGCAGTCAACTCGGCTCGATCTGCGTAACCCGGGTCGCCGATTGCGATATAGTTGTATGCAAGAGAATACATGGTCTCGACGTGTGTGCAGAGCTCCGATCCGTAGTAGGGATTTAATCCGTCGATTCGCTCGTCTGCGAGGATTGTACCACTTGGCGCTCCGTGATACTTGAAGGTCCAGTCCACCTGACAAAATTAGCATCACGCTCGATGAATGTAGCAAAACCTGGACTTACGCCATTCTTGGCTGTGGTTAAAAGACTGTCATTGGAGGTAAAGCGTCTCACAACGGCGGCGTACTTCAGGCCTTCAATACGTCAACGACAAACGGCATAAAGCAAATTCTTGGCTTTATCTTACCTTCAGCAATCGTCACTCCGTGAAGGAATTGCCACAGATCATCCGTGACGGACTGAGGCAAATCATAAAAGTCTTCCTTGATATAACTCTCCTCGGTGTACCACCCTTCCCACTTGTACCCATATTCATGAAGCATTTCAAGATTCTCCTTCAATATTTTGGTCTCATTCCGAGGATGGTTATCCAGAAGCCACTCCACGCTAACCATAATATCCTCCACACGAGAACGAAGCCACAAGAAATCATCAACGGTAGGTTTGTCGCCCTCGTGCCAGATAATTCCAGTTCCATTGTCTTTCATCATGGTGTTCATAAGCCCATTGAAACGGAGCATCGCATCAACAATCGGAGCCTCATAAGTCGAGTTTGCATCAGCAAGATTCATCCAACCAAGGAACCTGCGATTATGTTAGCCATTACCAGACTCAAATTCACTTGTCACATGAGATTATACTCACAGAAGCGTCCTTGCCCAAATCATCCGTTCCCGACTCTCCAACGTCTCTGGGCCAATCCATCCATCCGGCTGAATCCGACCCAGCACGTTATCGACTATATCATGGACCTGTGCTTTCAGACGTTCATCTTGCGTGGTATACGCAAGTGGGACGAGTGCATTCACCCAATACGGCAGTGCCTCGTTCAGGTCACTATATTCCTGGTCTCCGCCAATCCATGATGAATTGGCCACGAATCGATAAAAATCGTACAAATGACCTCCGAGACCTGCAGCAGAGGTCTCAAGCTCAGTCTTTAACCATCCGTTCGCGGTGATGCTGCCCAAGGGAAGAGGATCATATGCGAATGGGACAACTGTTTACGATATTAGTAGAGAGTACTTCTTAACATGAGAGCCCCGAGAGCTTACGTGAAGTAGCCCGTGTAGGTGTTATGAGGCTAAAGGTCGCGGTGTATGGCAGAAGCCAAAGCACAGACCATATTAAAGGCATGTTGGATTATAATGCAGGGTTACTTTATTTCCCAAGGTCCCCGAATTTATACCTGCATGGAGGCACTATATCCTTCAAACTTGGTATTAATGCGAGCGGGGTCATGGTGATTAGATGCTACTAGACCGGTCGCACAGAATGCCGACCGAAGAATGAGGAGAAATGTAACCATTGTTGCGGGTAGACCGGATGTGTTTTGGATGCATGGTGCAGATCGTTCCAAGCTTGTCTCGGGCGAAGCTTCTCCGTCGGGATTTTCCCCGAACAGACTATATATATGCTGATCTTCGTGGGGGATCATCATGCAATAGGTGTTTGTGACATTATGCCTTAAGGAATATGGTGGAGAATGCAGACATCATCAACTGAAGTTAAATAAAATTTATATAAACAAGACATTATTCATATCCCACGTCACATGGTATCATCTAAACATGAATAACAGTTCCGTTCTCCTTGCGAACAAAGTCGAAGAAGTCCTTGAGGTTGTTGTGCTTAGGCTGACCCACAACAAAGACAGCAGGCTTGCCATAAGGAGCAGGCACAGTAGCAGTCTGACCACCCTGGTAAGTCTTTCCACTCCAAACGTGAGTGTATGTCTCGCCAGGACCGGGGAAGTAAACGCGCACGCTCTTGCGACCGGCATCCAAGACGGGGGCAACATACAAATCAGCGCCGAGGAAGTAGCTCTCGTAGCTGATTTGCTTAGCCTTGACGTCGTTGGGGTAGTAGATCACAGGCATGCGAACAAGGGGCCAGCCAAGGTGCTTGCTCTCGGTATCAAGGATCTGGCGACGGTAAGGTCCCAGACTGGCGAACATGCGAGCGTTATAGGCGTAGTATGCGTATGTGGAGGCGTTGGTGTAGAACTGGGCGTTCACCTGGGGGACGTTACCCTCGTGCGAGCGGAAGACGGCACTGGAAACGGCGGACAGTTCTCCCCAGCGACCGAGAAGTTCGGCAGAGCGGTTGACGATGCCGTTGCTGTCCCAGGTGGTCGTGTAGCCACCGATTTCAACGTGACCGTGAGCGTAGCCGGAGAGACCCATGTGCCCCAGGACAGTGACGGCAGACTTGATTCCGTCATTGACGCCCCAGTTGGTGTTTTGGTCACCGACCCAGTACAGGTTCATGTTGCGGTTGGACGACATGGAAGATGAACGGTGGAAGATGAGAGCATCAGCAACGGCGGAGACATTCTCACGAAGTTGATTGTTGATGACTGACCAGTCACGGGGGTACTGGTTGTGGTAGAAGCGGGGATCGATGTTCTTGTTGCTGAATTTGGTGTCAGAGCTGACGGGGGTGTACTCTCCGAAATCGCACATGTATCCAGAGACGTTAGCGCTCCAGACTTGATCAGTGAGGACCTCCTGGAACCAGGCCCAGGCAGCAGGGTTGGTGAGATCGACAATTCCAGCCTCAATACCGGGGCCACTGGAGATAACAGCAGTGCCATTGATGGTGGAGTTCTGGATCAAAAAGCCGCCCTCGGTGGCCTCGAGGTAGAGGTTGCGACGGTAACCATCAGGCTTGCTGCTGACATTGGCGATGAAGGGGTTGATGTACGACAGTGTACGGACGTTGTGCTGGTCGCGCAGGTTCTGCACAAACTTGTTCCAAGTAGGGTAGAGGTCGGAATCAGCCTCCCAATTCCACCATAGGCGAGAAACAGTGAGACCGTTCAGATGAGAGCCGGTTTGGCTGTGGGTACCCACCCAGTCCTGAAGCCAGACACCGGCGATGGGGCAGGAGTTGTTCAATCCCCAGTTGACAATGCGGTTGACCTTGGTCTGACCACCCTGGATACCAAGGATAGCACCCTTGTCAGCCCACTCAGGGAGCTCGGGCATGCGTCCAGTGTACTCAGTAAGCATGGTAATCGCATTCAGCATGTTGCTAGCCTGCATGAAGTAACCGTCGACGTTCAGCGCAGCGTAACGCACGGTAACGGCATTGGCATCGCGGAAATCGAAGTTGGCGTAGGCGGTACTCTCCTCGGCCAAGTAGAACACACGGGAATTCGAGGAGATGTACTGGGGGGTGGCAGAGTAGGTGGTGTGCTTGTCACCTCCAGAGAAGAAGCTGTCGGCGCTCTCAAGCTCGGTGGTAGGCTGGTCACCACGGCCGACACCACCCTCACGAGAGAAGATGGGCACAGACTGGTTCTTCAGAGATGCGAATGAAGCCTGGCCACCAAGACCGTAGAAGTCCTCAGACGGCGACGAAGCGTAGGTGAAAAACAACTTGGTCAGAGCGCCGTTCGAGCTGGGGTTGACCTTGATGCTGAAAGCAACACGATCCGGGAACTCCAAAGGAACATAAAGTGCCAACGAGAAACCGGCGGTGGCATTCCCACATCCAGATAGGGTGCCTTGCACGACTGCAGCGTGGCTGTTGACACTTCCCTTCCATGCGCGCTGCGAAACACGAGTGATACGTTCAGATGTGCACTTGTTGTTATCGACGTCGGTAATCTTGAAGTTTCCACTGGAATCGACAATTTCATCGAGTCCTGCGCTAGCGCTCAAGAAAGCTTTGCCAGGGAGAGTCTCCCAGATGGTCTGATTGCGACCAGTCACAGCCAGGTGGTTGGCATCCTGGTCAACAGAGAGACTGAAGCCGCTTCCAAGGTCCAATGGTGCTTGCGCCGCGACGGCTGACGCCGCAAGGGTCGTCCAGATCAAACTTTTTAACCCGATCATCTTGCAATTGAAGTTCAACCGATGTCGATCGAAACAAAAAAACGGCCATCGCTTACCTTTTAAGCTTCAGAGTCCTCTCCGAATTTGCCGAAGAACTCCCCAGATGACAGTTAAAGCGACCCACTCGGAAATTCTGTTACCTCTACGTCACAAACAACCCAATCATCGGGATCTCGTCCACGATGCCCCGGTGTTTAATGACGATCAGCTTGTCCGGTCATGTCAGAAGGTGTATGAATGGCTAATGGCGCGATGAACCCCACAATTGGCGACTCCATCGGGTCGTGTCGAGGACTCCGCTCGGAAGACTACCGATTTCCCCTCTTAAACAAATTGCCGTCCCCAGATTCGGGAATGGGGGTCCTGAAGAATCTGCACGTCGCATCAATGCATGAACCTCGATTTGCCCAAGACGATTTCCCGAGGGTTGATCAGTGATTTTAAGTATTTCCACCCGGTCGGTATGCCGACATCCCGAACATGTGGCTTTCTTCTCGCCTGACGGGCTTCTGCCACTGACGAGGTGTGGAGCTGGGGACTCCGCATTACGGGCGGTGTTTCGATTTTCCTATTGCCGTTGGTCGCCGCCAAGCACGCCTTAAACGGCTAAAATGGCATGGGAAATGCCGCACGACGGGACGAATGCGCCTTTTCCGGAGGACATTCTCGTCTTGGACCCATCTCGTTTATAGTCGACACTAGTAGTACCCGGGACGCCGGTTTTCATGACTAAAATGTGGTCAATGTGGAGCAATAAGAGTCTAAAGTACCTGATTCCAAGGTTCTTCGGTTTCTAAGAGCCGAGTGAAAATATGTACAGGCGAGTGACCTCATTTCTCCCATGCAGGGGTGGTTCCCCAGGAAGTAGGAGTGTCACTCATCTCAAACTCAATTGTTCCGGCATTCAATATATCGGCATGTTTTAGTTTCGGCAGATCCACCTGTTTTCCGGCTATCTTCAAGCTCTTGACGTATGGTTTGTTGAGTGCTCCAGGAGCACTAATGACAAGGGTCTTATCGGACTCATGTGTGGCCTGACCACCGGTAGTAGCTTCGGCTGACCAGCGGATAGTAGTCTTCTCGAAAAATGGGGCGGAGACAACGTATTCATCGCTGGCTGGGTTTACCGGGTAGAATCCAAGTGCTGAGAAGATATACCATGTACTCATCTGACCCAGGTCGTCGTTACCACTGAGTCCACCACTGGTGGCGTTATAGTTCTGCCAAGCAATGGGTGGAATCGTCTCGGCAGAGCGGTCGGGATAGCCAAGAACTGAGTAAAGGTAGGGAACATGGTGGCTTGGCTCGTTGGTCTGGTCGTTGTGTCCGTCCTGGAAGTACGTATCCAGTTTGTCACGCATGTCTTCCCGACCACCGAAAAGTTTAGACAAGCCCTCAACATCATGCATCACGTCAAATGTGTAGACCCAGTCATCACCTTCAGTCCAACCCCATGTGTTGTTTGCCCAAGTCCCATTTCGATTGCGTGCCTGCATAAAGTGTGTTTCGTTGTTCCAAATGTTGGCATAGTTTCCGCTTCGAACACGAAGAGCAGTAATTGTGTCGTTATCTGCCCTGACATGCGCTCCCACGATAGAACACGCGTAATCGTCAAATGCATAATCCAAAGTCCGGCTTCCAGATTCCGACCAGCCATCATTAGAGACCCATCCTTGCTTCATATAGGCTGTCAGTCCAGCGCGCACCTCATATGAAGTGTTAGGCTCACGGTCGTAGTAAAGCACTTCCAGATCACGAACTGGTGGCACGTACGCATCTTTCTTGACTGCTGCCCAGGCCTTAGAAATATTGAAGTCCCGGAATCCGCGCTCCAAAGCATTGGCAAGCACAACATCTGCGTTTGTCGCAACCATGATGTTGGTTTCGATCATGTTGGCCCACATGGGTAGCCAGCCAGTCCAGTCAAAGATCTTTAGCAATGACCGCATCATGCCGTTGACTCGTTCGGGGGCAAACAGTGTAAGTAGAGAGTGCTCCGCTCGATACGTATCCCAAATAGACCAAGACTGATAGTATGAGTCGTTGGCAGTATGAATGCTGTCCGTGTAACCGGAGTAAAAGGTCCGCAAGTTGCCATCCCTAGATACTGGCTCAGAGAAGCCGCTGGGATACTGCAATGCATGAAATAGGCCGGTGTAAAAGATTGTACGCGGATCATGGTCTGCGTCCGTGTTGTTGACACCTTCAATTGTCACCCGTCCCAGCTTCTCGAGCCATGCGTTCTTTGTGTGGTGAATGGTATCTTCGAATGAGGCGCTATCGGGGGTCTCGAACTCTAAGTTACGACGCGCCTGCTCGACACTGACATATGACACACCCGTTCTAACCTCTACAGCAGTGACGTTCTGGTGGAATTTCACGAACGCCCCAGTAAACTTTCCAGTCCTATCCATTTCCCCCTCAAATATGATGTTTCCGTCGGTGACACCACTTTTCGTGAAGGGCTCCGAGAATCGAGAGACAAAATACCCTTTGAATGACGACGCGCGGTCTGGTCCAAGAAGATAGTCTTGTCTTTCCGTGTTGTAGCCGTAGATTTCTCTTGTTTCAGGATCAACATGAACCTCCCCAGTCCAATTGCGACGAGAAGCTTCAATGAATACCCAAGGTTCAAGCCTCTCCGCCGAATCACTGTAATCCTCAAAATTGAATCGAAGATGCCCAGCATGAGAATCAGCAGTCATAGCGACCCGAATCGACCGCTGGGGATTTTCCCGCGTCTCCAGGCCAGAGGATATTCCAATCTGCTTTTGGCTTCGCTTTCTTGTTCGACCATTCGCACCCTCTTCAACCTCTTCAGGCACAGTACCAGCACCACCAGGATCAGGCCCATCATGCGCATACTCGGCCGTAGCATTCCAGTCTCGACCCAAAAGTTGCGTAGCATCCAGGACCACCTCATAAACATAGGGTGTGCTTTTCTCATCTTCCTTGCGGAAACCAAGTCCCCGGTTAATGAAAAGTGGCTGGACTTCACCTATTCCCGGTGTCAAAACAACCTGACCCGCCTCGCCCATCCAGATAGCTGGCTGGTGTGTAGCCTGGAACCCATGAATCAGACGGTCGCTATCACCGTAAGGACACTGAGAGATGAAATTTTCTCGCGTCTGCGGTGTCCATCGTGTCATCCCAAAAGGAGTGGAGACCGAGGGAATCATTCCACCATTGGTGTTTGGAGATACGCCATATGTGCCAATGAGGGGGTTGACGTATTTTAGTACTCCGGCATTATCATGGTAGTTGGGTGTGTCCCGTATGCCGCAGGTACCAGATTGACGCGTTGGTTGAGCGGAGACACTCCCACAGAGACCTAGGAACACTGGCAAAGCTGTATATAAGGTTTTCATCTTCCGATGTTATTTTGAATGGTCTAACCTAACCTCAGTCGATCGTTTCATCATAATGCGAGGGCCATGCGATTTATATTTGCAGAAGACAAGGCGGCTGGTGCCGATCGTAGCTCACATTCCTCAAATCCCGGTAGGTTCCACGATTTGTACCAAAGCGATGGGCTCGGGCTCTCCTGGCGTGGGGTGGAAGTAACGTTGTGGCTTTTCAGTGTTGATCGCAATCCCCGCTAAATTTGCGGGGTTGGGGTCGCACTGCGCTGTTAAGTGGGGGCTCCTGCCTCTTTCGCTCTCGCTTTCTCGTCTTCCGGGAAATTTCTGGTAATAAATACCGATTCATTTCGAATAAAATCTCGCTGCCGTTTTCCCCTAATTGAATGTATCGCCTATGCTATAATCTTGCAGAGTAATCTAGACTCTTTGCACGAAGTTTAAGGAGGCTCAATTGAGGACAAAGAAGGAGGTAGAAGCGGACTCAATAGGTTGAAAATGAGATCCAAGTCGATTTGGGTGATGGATTTGGAAAGCCAGAGCTTACAAAGGCGATGGATCCGAAGGTCTTGGAGATGAAGAGGCAGCACGAGGGAGTTGACACGATTTAGCATGGGGAACAGATAAAGGCTTACCTAGTCAAGGTTTAGACCAGTCTCAGATGACTACTGCACCAGCTACTTTATCTCAGCCTTATAAGACCATTACAAGCAAGTGAGCAACTAATGATCTTGCATGAAAAGACATCATTCCATGCCTCCAGCCCTCCTAGTTAGGATTCCACTATCGTTTTAGTTCCTATTTTTGAATGAGACTGGCAAAGAGAGACGTCGGTATTTAGCAGTAATAGACACAGATACTATTTGAGACACGTGGGGCAAACACCCTGAGGCTCGTCTTAAATCACCAAACACCGTTAGATGTAGAACTCCGTTCTTGCAAACATGGTTCCAAGCTATTTGACCTTCAGTATGAACAGTCTGTTAGTTAACAAGATAATTTATTTACCGCGCTATTGGAGCTTGAATATCTCGGCAAACGCCACTGCTTCGTTTGTATCCACTATATGGAGTTTAGTTCCAGAACGCGAGAGAGAGCGCAAGACGGAGTTCGTGCCTCATCGGCAATTGATACGGGAAACCGACATAGCTCACGATCAGTGCCGATGATCCACCCTGCCATTGGTGCCATTGGGGAACAGTTAATGAAAATTTTAGGTTTGAATGACTGGAAAATTTCGGTGCCGACGGACACAGATGAATTATATACAGAAATTCAGAAAAGACTTAGTTGACCAATCATCACTGTCGCGTTAATGTATACGATTCTGCAGTGTGGAGATGAAGCCGTGGTTCCGAGTCTTCAAGCTCCAAGCCCCAGAGTATTTGGCACCAAGCTAATGCTCGGCAAGGTGAAATGCACGTTCAATGCCAGAGCAGAGGCCAATGGGACTCTTGCGTGGGATGCCGTGCCTGGCGTGGCCCCACTTCGCCCTTGTCTCCCCCTGTCGGTCTCCGAATCCCAGGCCCATGGAGTCCTATCATCCCTAGCACGTGGAAAACCATGCCTCATTTGATGAAAATATTCAAGCTTTGCCGACGCGATAGAAGCACGATGGGAGTATCGAAACGAGCAATATAAACAGTGCAGGATTTCCTCAAGTGAAATGTCCGATCGAGGAAAATAAACAACACAATGTTGCGAACTCTGGCAGCCATCTCTTTCTTTGCTCTGCCATCGCTGCAGAGCACAGTCTCAAAGAAGTTCGCGCCTCTCAAATTCGCCAAGGATGGCACCTTCCAGATCTCAGTTCTGGAAGATCTTCACTTCGGAGAAAGTAAGTCCCCCACCCCCACACCCCGGTATCTAAGATTAACATTCACGAAAAGATGCCTGGGACACATGGGGCCCCGAGCAAGACGTGAACTCTGTGGCTGTTATCAACCGGGTTCTCAACGCTGAATCGCCTGACTTGGTCGTTCTCAACGGCGACTTGATCACGGGTGACAACGCATTCCTGGAAAACAGCACTGTTTACATCGATGAGATCGTCGCCCCACTCGTTGAACGTGGTTTGACCTGGGCTTCTACCTACGGCAACCACGATAGTTCCTACAATCTCTCTCGCGAAGCCATCCTAGCTCGCGAGCACCGCTGGCCTAATTCGAGAACGAAGCAGATGGTCTTTGGTCGCGAGGCTGGTGTCTCGAACTATTACCTCCCTGTTCACGGGTCCAAGGATGAGAACTCTACTGGGGCTCCCGAGCTGCTGCTTTGGTTCTTTGATAGCCGGGGTGGCTATTATTACCAGGAGCTGGATTCGGCTGGAGACGAGGTTGCGCAGCCAAACTGGGTTGATGTTAGTGTTGTTGATTGGTGGAAGAAAACCAATAAGGAGCTTGTGAAGAAGTATCACAAGGAGATCCCGTCTCTTGTTTTCGTGCATATCCCCACAAATGCGTCGTTGGCTGCGCAGACGGAGATTGGAATCAATGAGCACCGTGAACCGGGTATTAATGATGATTATACCCTTGCGCAACAGGGTGAGGGGTGGTGTGCTGACGGCAGCGATGCTAGCACTTGTGTCTATGGTGGACAGGATGTGCCTTTCATGAAGGCCCTTGTTGATACACCTGGTGTTCTTGCCGTGTTCTCGGGTCACGATCACGGTGATACTTGGTGCTACAAGTGGGATAGTCAAATTTCCGAGATGACTGTCAAGGGCAATGGTGTCAACCTCTGCTTTGAACAGCACTCTGGGTATGGAGGTTATGGAAGTTGGATTCGTGGATCGAGACAGATCCTTGTGTCGGAAGAGAAGTTGAAGAAGAGTGTGATTGATTCCTGGATTCGATTGGAATCTGGGGACGTGTCGGGCGCTATCTCGCTAAACTCGACATATGGTGAGGATAGCTATCCCGCGACAGTGGATCTGGATTCATCTTGCCCTACTTGCAACTATACTCTCAACTAATCTTCTGAAGAAAATTTTATGGGAGTAACAGTAGTCAAGGCAATTTGATATTTTGCTCTGTCTTGAAAATTCTTTGGTCCAGACGAGGCTGAGCATTTGGAAGTCATTGTGTGACATATATAATCTCAACAAGACCATAATATCTGAAACATGCAATCCAAGGCTCCCAGGTGAACAACAATTTAAACATGAAAAATGGGCGTGTCCCTGAGGCTTTGCCAGCCCTATGACCCGCTCTTGACACTAAAAATAGAAAGGCGGGAACCCCAGCCACACAATGGGCCTATCACAGACGCGGCGCCACACACAAAACAAACCGCCAAGATGGCATGCGCGTCCATTCCTGACGCGTCCAACTGAGAACGCTCCCAACAGCAATATTAAAGGGTTTGAGACTCCTCACACCTCAAAATTTTGACCCTCTTGCTCTCGTTTCGTTGTCAAAGGGATCTCACTTCTCAAACTCTCACCATGCCGGCTCTGTACTCGACCCTGGACGAGCGGGCCCACATGGCCATGGCCCCGCACCTTGCCCAACGCAGCCTAAGCGTCGACCATACACAGGCGATAACGCTAGGTATCATGGCCGTCTATGTGGTTGTTATCGCATTACTCTGGAACCTGCCATACCTTCGCTACTCACTATGGCCCTTCAAGGTAAGCAGGATTCATGCGCGCGAGCCGTTGCCTAGCTAACCACAACAGATGTTGGTTATCGCGTTTCACGAATTCGGACATGCGATCACGGCATGCTGTACCGGTGGAAAGGTTGAATCCATCTCCCTTGATCCCCATGAAGGAGGCGTCACGCATATGCGAGGAGGAGTGTCTGCGATTACACTGCCGGCGGGATATTTGGGATCATCCATCATCGGCGCTCTTTTGATCTTCGCTGGATTCGATATTGTGGCTAGTAAGGTTGCGAGCTTCGTTCTTGGGGTTTGCTTCCTTTTGACACTCTGGTGGGCGCGGAAAGATTGGTTGACTATCGGTACTGTTCTACTTGCGATCGGCTTGTTGATTGCCTGCTGGTTCATCGCCCATGCTGAAGCCTTGAGGTGGTTCGTGGTAAGTTATGGTGAGCTGGATTTCTACTATTGTCATATGCTAACCATTAGTATAGCTCTTCATCGGTGTCATGTCTTCTCTCTACAGCGTCTGGGATATTGTAAGTTTTCTCTCTGCAAAAATTATGATTGCATTAGCTAATCTTCTATACAGTGCGACGATCTCATTCTCCGCAAAGTCAACAGCTCTGATGCTAGCGTGTTTGCTAAAAAATATGGAGGATCTTCTCAATGCTGGGGAGTTATCTGGTCCATTATCTCGCTTTGCTTCATGGCTATCGGAATTATTGGTGGAATTGCTGCATTTCCCCAGTCCTTCAGCCAGCAAGAGAAAGACTCGCAGCATTTCATTCCCACCTTCTGATTGCAGATGTTATGACATTCACGAACAAAATTCAATACCCCATCTATATAGTTTCAATTTGTTGGCATTAGTTCTGATCTAATAGTTTTTGAGCAAAGATTGCTTCAGTCAGTCATTCCGGTTCGGCTGCAATCTATATTGCTTATCATCAACTGGGCACGCCAATAAACTACAGTTGCGCCAAGTTGCGCCAAGTCGTAGATCTTCCGCCCCCAAACCCGTTCATTTTGAGTTGTAATCTATTCTCTGATTTCACCAACTATTAGTAAGCACCAAGGTAAAGATTTTTTGGAGTCCTATCATTGCAATCCGAGGTAGGACAAGGCGCCAGCTCAATAGGTATCACCCTCAATTGCTTCCACGTTCCAGGGCAGCCTAGCATTAACATGGGTGCGTATTGGAGAGCATTATCACTCCAAATGTCGAATAGTGCACATTTCCTAATACCGCCCGTGAGTGAGGTGTCCAACTGTACTTCTAAGATTGGGGTATTAGATTACAAATGCCCGTCATACACGAGTCACAAAGCAAATAGATACTAACGAGTAAGAGGATGGCGCAAATTTGCAGGATTAGCCTGGGAGGTTTAGGGATTTAGATTCATCCTCGTCCTACTAGTCCATTGAATTCAGCCTCGTCGTTACGCAGACCCTCACCTAAGCACAGGCCGAGAAAATTATTCATGTTTGGTGTCCATGCCCCCCCCCCCCCGCAAGCTGTCATCTCAAGCTTGTTCGATAAATTGAACGAGTTTTCTTGAAATTGTCCTTGCTCCTAAACCATCATGCCATCGTCTTGCAGCTATAAATGTTCGGGTGAGACATATCATTCTACACATACGATATCATCAGGGTCGGGTTATTTCAACAATGATATCACGGGAGTTGGAGTGAGTTCCAAGTCCCGAGCAATCTCTATTCGAATGGAGTTCCTTCGTTTAAACTGATTTAGGTTGTCATCAATTACATTGTCGGTGCTGGCATCGCGGTTGTTATCACTATCATATACTATTTCTTCGTGTACCAACCATCGCAAGACCCATATGGAAGGACCGATGAAAATGCCCCGGCATTTAATGCGAACCCAGTAGATGAGTTATTCCTGACATGGCTACGGCGATGGCCGAAACGTCTCCTCACCCATTTCAGACCTTGCTGGGGGGAAACTCGAATCAGCAATCGACTTGAAAGAATATTTGTTAAGGTTTGGTGCTACAATATTCCGCTCAGTAATCCAGATTCTGACAACAAAGCAAGTGTCTTTTGGCAATGAGCGATTTTCAGCTCGTGACAGGCTTCTCTATCCTGATCAGTGGAGCTTCACAGCTTCGATGCGGCCTCACAACCCTTTATTGGGTTTTCATCATGGAATTAGCCTGGCTTTCCTGTTTCACTCACTTAGTCTGTCTGACACTTCTACGAAAATACCTTTATCATCATGCCTCAGAGCGCCTATGGCGATTGATCGCGATGGGCACTTTAGTAGTCTTTGTCGTCACTGGGTTGTTTTGCGAACTCACATTTTACTCCAACTACAACTACGACGACTCAGATGCCGCTATTTGCTATATTGGATTGCCTATACTAGGTTCTCGTTTTTCATCTGATGCCTGGGCGGTTTTAATAAGTGCACTGGTGATTATGCTTGGGTTCGTCGCTCGAGTTGTCAAATTGCATAGACCCATCTCCAATGCATTCGACCGGACTAGGTCATGGCTTAGTCTTCGAGGACGGAAAGTTCTGAGTTTCATCTATGAACAGTATCGCGAAGATTGCAGACCACAAACTCTTCGGCTTTCACTCTTGTATCGACCGCTGCTCGCCGCATTTCTGACCGCACGATTTCTTCTCGATACGTTGACCTCGGTCTTTTGTGAAGTAAGTTACTGGTTGCAATAAAATGGCACTTCTGACTTTCGATAGGTGGCTTGGTTGTGTGCTGCATTTTCGTGGGGCGTGTCAAACGTTGTGCGGACATTTGACTCGTTATCCCGAGAGACGAGTAATTCTGTTGTTGAATCAAGAATGAGCGACTGGACATTTGGGCAAGTCATATCGGTTGTGTTACTGGCCGCGCCGCTTCTAGCCATCATTGAGTACTTCAGTTCAGGTAAGTCTGAAGTGAGGACAACCATTGAATCTTTCCTAATAGTCAATCCATCTTCTATAAATCAGACTCCGACCAAGATGGAAAGCCAGCGATGAATGGACATCCAAATCAGTCTGCATATTTAGAGCCGCGAATCCTGTATCGCAACGGCCTCATATCGACAGCAAATGGGCTTGATGATCTCCACAACCCCGATGCAAATTGGAATTGCCGTCCAAACACATTACGAGTGGTCTTCTATTATTCATTGGGAGCTTGTTCATATATATATGGGCTCAGCTTCATTTACTCTTTGGGTGAAGAGCCCATGGGACCCTTGCTTGCTAACTGGGTATTATATGCTCTCGCGCTCTTCGGAGTATATGGGGTGAGTCTTTTCTCGCTGTTACTTGAAACTAATATGCCAAGAAGGCTCCGCTGGCTTAGAAACACACTGCAAGGTGTGAATTTGATTTATTTTCTTTTCAGTTTGACCATACCGGACTGGGTTAACTTTGGATGGATTAGCCAGACGAAAATTTGGCATCTTGTCCTTGTTTACTTTGGCATAAGTTGTGCTTTTTATGCCCTTTGTGCTGTTTCCTGCGTGATTCTTTGCTGAGAATAGCTAAAAACAGCTTACAATCCTTTCATATGAAGATAGTGAGGAATCTATGAAAGGTGATAAAATGAACGTACTGTAATCCTGAAAGTCAATAATAGAAAGCCAATATGGCTAGTCATCGTCTTAGTAGTGATCGAGATGACGGGAAAGCTGCCGGCTCAAGAAGAGGCGTGCCTTATCCCCTTTATATCTCATACTATCCTTTCGATGTCCTATATTTCCCAACAATAACCAGATAGTTGCTTACTGGTATTCCTTGGAGCGAAGCTCAAAAAAGGTTCTATCGTTGTGCATGTCTCTCTTGAATTGCTATAGTTCACTTTGTCTCACTCGCAGAGTTCCTTTTTAAAAGAATCATATATGTTCTGTAGCCACGGCCAGCCAATTAAATATCGGCAAAGCACTAAGTGCGACTATCGAGCCTGCAGGCTGAGTATGCTCGTCTTGCTCCTCGGCGGCAACGAATATCACCCTGCCATCCTCCAGCTGCTTAGCAATAGCCTATGGGTTAGGTCCATTAAGAGTCGTGTTGTAAGTGGCATTACTCGGAAGATCCTTGAAGACGATCGTGCCATTTCCCTCTCGGTAATCACTTGTAGCGGCTCCGACAGTTCGATAGCCCCCATGCTGTTTCATATGCTTCTTTCCGGTAGCGATGTCCTTTCGAGAGAGACCTCTCTCGAAAAACGATAATGCAGCCAGAGGCTGATAGAATGGGACTTCGTGACCAGATTCATAAATACGGACAAAAGTATACAAGTCACTTTGTCGGACCTGTCCGTGAACGATCCCATCCGAAGTGGTGAGATTGACAAAGCCTGCCTCTTCGTACCCAGGAGCATTGATCTCCTTTGCGATAACTTGACCACCAAGCCAGTTGCAGTTATAGTCGCTAAATGAGTCGATGTTAGCTAAATAGCTCTCTGTTATCAGTCGAGGCTGGGGTTGGGGGCTCATACGCATCGCCAAAATACATGACCACCTGAACACCCGATTCTATCAGCTTCTTCACGTCGCCTATGGTGCCAGACATACGGTCGTCATCACCGGTACTTCCAAAAGCAGTACCAACAGTGTTAGACGACTCGGAGAAATTCTGGTATGCACCGATCGCCGCTTGAACCTTCGGGGAATTGAGATAGTCCACATAGAACACGTAAGGGAACGGATCGGAGCTCAATTCACGCATATCATATTCATCGCGACCCGAGTAGATATCGTAAAGCTCCTCGACTTTTTCCGCACAGAAGTCGTCGGCTGCGGAGCAGATATCATTACGGCCGGTGGCATAACATTCCAGAGTTTGGTCAACGCAGTTTCCCTTTCCGTAAAGGTTGTTATACCACTCCGCCTTTATAGTTGCGTTGTATGGATCGTAATCATATGTGTTACCGGGGAACACAGAGAAATTGTAGTATGCCTGGTACTGGATCAGGGGATCGAACCAGCCATTACCGATGAATACGTTCTCGAGTTCGATATCGATTGCGCCAGGAATCTTTTTGGCGTTCTGCTCCAAAAAGTAGGCTGCTTTGGTCAGCATTCCACGATCACCTGCGATAATGTCAGGAAAGCTCACTGTTGAAAACCGGCCCATAGTGACCCCCATAACTCTCAGTAGCGAAATTGAAGCCGTTCTTTGAGTACTGTGGGAATGCACCCATGAATCCCTGCAGAGTTTTCCACATGTTGGGAGCGGCACCTTGGGTGGAATTCGGAACCAGTGCGATGTCAGGCTTGGAATATGTGCCGCATGTCCCGTATTGCTGGGCGTAATCTGGGCATGTGGTGTTGGGTAACTCAATTATATTGCCTTCGTCGTCCTGATATCCCGGAATAGGGATTGTGTATGAGAAGCCAGTTGTAGCAGGCTGATCGATGAAGATCTAATGATAATTGAGCAAAATTCATGGTAAAAGGTTTCTTGGGGAACTGACCATGTTGCTCACGTTGCTCCATGAATGAGGGTTGTTGTATACATTCCCCTCATAGTCAACTCCACATGGGCCTAATTCCTGGAATAATCCGATCATTGAAGATGACCCCGGGCCGCCATTGATCCAAACCGTCAGTGGTGCCTATATAATTCCAAAGTCGTTAGCTTTACTCCTAATCAACGTCTCAATGAGGTCGCGTGCCATACTTCTGAAGGATCTCCATTCCTGGTCTCGAAGAACCACCTTTCCTCATCCGTTAGCTTCTTTAACATTGAAAACAAATGGAATCAGTTGCGTTTTAACAAACGGCAACTGCCGCATATGCTGTTTAACCCTTGTGGTCAACATATTGGGGGATATTCGCTTACCAAAAAATGTGTTCATGCTCCCCAACATCAGCATAACCCGAGTAACTTTTTACATCCGGATCCTGCTCACAGATTCCAGCGGGCACTTCTTTATAGCGCACATTAATACCTGCATGACCTTTCTTCGTGATCAAGTCGGTCGGCGCTGGAACGAATTGAGCCGCGGTATAGTGGACCAGCGCTCCCAACACCGTTAACCGAGAAATTACACCCATTTTGAACCTCAATCCCTATGTTTGAGAGACTAAATTTCAAAAATCCAAAACCCAACAACCCCGCTCGGCTGGGACTTGATCCTATATAGCTCCTGCAGATCGCTAAGATCGATTGGGAAGGTAGGATCCATATATTGTTAAGATCGGACTTGATTGGCGAACCCCTTTATCTCGTCGAGGGGAAAGTGGGTCGGTCGGAGGTCCGGTCTACGTTGTATCCCTAGCAATCTAGTTGCATAGTACTAATCGATTTTTGAGTTTGTTTACTCATCGCTAACATTATATCTAGATTAGGTAGTCGCATGTGGTTGGTCAGATCGTGAATCGCACATGGGGGTGTGTAATCTAGACATAATTAGTGCAAAATATGCAGCATTTCGGCTATATTATCGTGAGATACCTCCGCTTAACGGTGTTAAATTCAATTTTTTTCCCCCTAAATTACGCTCAATAATCATCTCTTGTACTTAATAATGAGTAAATCTATACCAATGTCATCGCACATCACAAAATCCTCACAACGGCAGATCCGCGACCGTCGGAACTGTGGAGGTGTGGCTGTCCGCGATTGACCGCACAATTAATAATGTCGGGAGTTGTTACTTTAACCCGCGATCTAGGCCGGTGTCCTGAAAGAATAAATAAGTATCGTGTAAAGTATCTAAACTATTTTTTCTTATATATACCTTTTCTAACCCTTTCACAGGTCGTGGTGTACCTATATGATTGAATAGTGAAATGTCTAGTGCATCGGCCTTAAGACGATGTGGAGTAATCAACTCTTAGTAGCTAATCAAAAATTCAAAGAGCCTAGCATTTTTAGGTTATGCAGACTTTCATAAGCTAACCTTGAAGGTTCTTGAAGAAGGTCCAAATAATGTACTAGATTGTCAGGAAGAGCCTTTTTGTCGGCAAGATCCGGACTTTCACCTTCGCTGTTCTTTTTAGAGTTTTCCCTTAAGGCTCCAATAAATGGATGCTCACCATCCCATGCCTGGAGCTCCTCCTGTCTATCACATTCCTGTTTAACACACTTTGCTAACTGATAACCGGGGAGCAAATTAGGAATCTCCTGTCTGGTTGCTCATGTGTTGCGCGCAGAAATCAACCCCGGTAAGCCCGAAGCTGCACACTCGCTAGCTGTTCGACCATGATGCACGCTTGATGGAAGCCCTTTTGTATTCTATGATATATATATATTGGAAGGGGAATGAGACAGGGAATTAAGTTTAACAGAGGACGTGGTAGATAGAAGATGAAAGAAACCCCAGACTTGGGAGAAGCGACTCATCAGGCACCGATACCTACTTATACGTAAGTCTTACAATGCTGATTTATGGATGAGGCCACAGCTTATATTCCAGCAAACGATAAGCGGAGGCCTCGCTAGGTGGTGACTGCAGGATGTTCAATTCTGTATGAACTAAAATATTTGTCTGTTTTGTGTGGTGTGTGCGTTTCTCGTGTCTCAGTGGTATCCTTGGAATCAGGGTCTCAACCTCTTTTCCAACCACATTCCGGCCCACTTTGTCAGGCCCAATCTCGGTCCACCACTAAGCTCATTTGTTTTCATTGGATATCCCAAAGAGTAATGAAGCCCGATCAAGGGTCAACAGGTGTAAGGCTGATCGGCACCATGGAGCCGGGTGGGCTAGGTGGGTCGGTTTGGCCGAGTGAGCCGGACCCTTGTGACATCATTGACTGAAAGCTATTTTGTCCTTGACGAACTTGCCGAGGAACTTTTCCCAGCACGAGATCAACTAATTCTGTACCTTCAGGAAATTCTGCGTCGGGTTTATCTTCTCAATTATAATTATCTACCCGGTTGCATCAGCCCATACTATTCCTACAGGAGCCTGAACCCGCCGTGTCGATCTCCCGTCATGCCTTCTGTCGCATCGTCTACGGAAGAAGCTGAGTCTGGCCAACAGAGATCGACCCAATCCAGTGATTTGACTGAAGATACTAGCGATACACTGTCAGAATATAACGACCGGGTGCGGTTCAACGGTGATGGACTGAACACGGGAGTCCGGGTGCTAGGTTCGCGATCCAGAAAATTATCGATCTTGCTTCAGCAGTGACTAACCTCGCGATGGTCGAACAGGAGATGGCCGGCTCGACATCCGTATCAAAGAGCACAGGCCAAGCATCGCCGGACTGCTCAATCGGCTGCAGGCCACCCCTGCGCCATCAGAATGTGATCAAGCGAAAGACACCGCTAGCACTTGCAGCCGTGCCGGACGAGATGGAAAAACTTTCCCACTGGTCATGAATATCGTCATTCAGGTTATCGGCTCGCGCGGTGATATTCAGCCATTCGTCGCATTGGGTAAAGAGCTGAAAGCTCACGGACACCGAGTGCGACTGGCAACCCACCTCGCATTCCGCGAATTCGTTCTTGAAGGCGGACTGGAATTCTTCAATATCGGTGGAGATCCAGCTGAGCTCATGGCTTTCATGGTCAAGAACCCCGGACTACTTCCGGGTCTAAAAACGATTCGGAGTGGTGCGATTCAGAAGCGACGCCGGGAGATGAGAGAGATAATTCATGGATGCTGGAGATCATGCTTTGAAATGGGTGATGGGACAGATTTGCATCAGATTAAAGAGGATCTTTGGGGCGATACGAAGGACTACCGTCGACAGCCGTTTGTCGCCGATGCGATTATTGCCAATCCGCCCAGTCTAGCGCATGTTCACTGTGCGCAGAGGCTTGGCGTACCACTTCATATTATGTTTACGTACGTTCTGCATAGTTGCCATCTGCTGGAAATCGGCTAACTCTTTGCAGAATGCCATGGTCACCTACACAATCCTTTCCTCACCCTCTAGCTATCATTCATCAGCAAAACTGCAAGCCGACCGTCGCAAACTTCGTTTCTTATGCTGTCGTTGATATGATGGTGTGGGAGGGACTCGGTGATCTGGTGAATACGTTCCGGAAGAAAAGCTTAGCTCTTGATGCATTGGACCATATCACTGCGCCGAGCTTAATACATAGACTGCAAATACCTTGCTCATACCTTTGGTAGGAAGATAATGAATTACTCAGTCTTGATATGCTCCAACTAACGATGAAATTTCGCAGGTCACCGGCAGTATTACCGAAGCCAGCTGATTGGGGCGACAATATTGATATTTGTGGATTTAGCTTCCTCCCAACAGAGTCCGACTATAAACCCACAGCCGAGATTGACGCATTCCTCAAAGCAGGCCCAACACCAATATACGTTGGGTTCGGCTCCATTGTGGTTGACGACCAGATCAAATTAACTAAAATAATATTCGAAGCCGTTAAAATGTCAGGGCAACGGGCAATTATCTCCAAAGGCTGGGGAAATCTCGGCATTGACGAAAGTGACATCCCAGAAAACATCCTGATCATTGGTAGCTGCCCCCATGACTGGTTATTTCGACAAGTGTCCTGCGTGATTCATCACGGCGGTGCAGGCACGACTGCCGCTGGACTTGCACTTGCGCGACCAACTATCATCATCCCGTTTTTCGGAGACCAGGAGTTCTGGGGAGGAATTGTAGCACGCGCTGGCGCTGGGCCACGTCCAATCCCGCACAAAAGTCTCACGGCGGACAAGCTGAAAGATGCAATTGAGATGGCGCTGAAGGAAGAGACCCAGGTTAAGGCGCAAGCTATAGCAGAGAAGATGAAAAAGGAATCTGGGGTGCGCGACGGAGTTCGCAGTTTTCATCGGCAGTTGAACTTGAGGTCATTGCGATGTTGTGTGTGCCCTATTCATCCTGCCGTGTGGCATTTGAAACGCACACAACTAGGATTCAGCGCATTTGCAGCTGCCGTTTTGGTCGAAATGGGGAGATTGCACCCAGAAGACCTAGTTTTGTGAGTTTAATGGGCATGAGAACAATTATTCGGGTCATATACTAATTATGTTCATAGGAGCCGGGCGATGGAATACGATACTTACCGCGATCCAATCGGCCCACTAAGTGCTTCAGCCCAAGTTCTGTTCGGGGCCATCTCTGGTTTCGTCACAGGACTTGCAGATGTACCAGTAGAGATGATGCAGGACATCTTTTCAGCCGGTCGAGCAATAGGACACGCTCACTCAAAGCCCAAGCCAAGCAAATTATGGCACCAAAAGCCTCACAACGAAGATGAGCTTGCCAGCGATCCATCTTCCTCGGACCATGCAGTGGCTGAATCCCACCAAGAACAGAGCCAGCTTCCTCACTCAAGTGATGACGAGCAGGAATCGGCAGATGAAAATGAAGACGATGACCTGGATTGGGAAAACCAGTTTGGCGAAGATGGCTTATTTCCCGAAACTGAGCTCGAAAAAAACCATAGCCGGGAGTTGGAGAAGACACAAACCATGGGTGAACAAATTGGAATTGCGCAGGCGAATAGTAGGCTCCGTGAGGCAGCGAATCATGGTCGAAGGATGTCTATGAAGTTTCTTAATCTTGTTATTTGGCTTCCGACCGATGTGTCGCTCAGTCTTTCCAAGGGCTTCCACAATGCGCCAAAGCTGTATCATGATCCGATGGTGAGGTCCACGCCAAAGGTCAAGGGGATTCGCAGCGGCTTTAGGGCCGCTGGAACGGTTCGTTCAACTATTGCTATGTTGTCATTTTATGATGTTGTTAACACTAGACAGGAATTCCGCGACGGGTGGTACGACGGCGTCACAGGGTTAGTGACTCAGCCTCGGCATGGTTACAGAGATGAAGGCACCAAGGGAGTGTTCAAAGGCATCGGAAGGGGTATCGGTGGTGTTTTCCTCAAGCCCCCAGCAGGTAAGTCCCATCATTACCTTCGTTCGACTTGCATAAATGTCTAGCTGTGCAAATCTGACAACACCTAGCTTTGTGGGGATTGGCTGGCTACCCTCTAACTGGGCTACGCCGAAAACTTCTGAAATCACTCGGCAAAACCCAAGAATGTCAGATCATCTTGTCTCGCATTGCCCAGGGACGCGAAGAAATGCAAGCATCCACCCCGGAACAAAGAGCTCTCGTGGTCAAGAAGTGGAATTTGATCGAAGAAAGCCTGATGAAGAATCAGGAGTACAGTGGACATTGCCCTGCTCATCGGGTACATTAGTTGTATTACCTTCATGCTCTTATCTTCCGTTCTTTGTTCTTCTGGAAAAAGTGTATTCATGTATCGGATTCATGCATGAGGGGAAGCACTACAAATAACCTGCTTCATGCCGGGAACGGGTAACAAAGAACCTATCAGACGTGCTTCCGGGGTTTGAAATTCGAGCAAACAAGGCAATGAAAGGACAATCACCACGAAAACAACAAAGATCAGCCTTGGAAGGAATGTAACTGATAGGTTGCACATAGTGGACCATGACTCGGACATGTGCCGACCTGGGGTTTTAGCCGGACTCCATTCACACACTTCACCCCAACTACCCCACGACTTGTGGGGAAGTCCTCCATAAAAGACGGGGAAGGCTCATATCCAAGGTACATTTATTTCCAAGGTCATTGCGGTCCCCAGGAATCGGCAAGATGTCACCATCAACACAATCCCCATCATTCGTTGGGCTCAGAGGCCAAAACCTCATTTATGCCGTAACATTCACATGTTCGATCGGATTCCTTCTTTTCGGCTACGACCTAGGATTCATGGGTGGACTCACGACCTCGCCCGAATTTCTGGCAGTTTTCGGAGATCCCGAAGCATCTCTATTAGCATTCCTCGTGTCCTCCTACGAAGTCGGTGCATTACTCGGTGCTCTGTTCCAGTTCTTCATGGGCGATCGGTTCGGACGCAAGCCGAACAATATGGCTGGTGCGGTGATTGTGTCGATTGGCGCGATTCTCCAAGCGACTACATTCAGCCTTCCCCAGTTTCTTGTCGGTCGGATCGTTGCCGGGTTTGGGCTTGGTATCATGACGACTGTTATTCCCATCTGGCTGTCTGAATGCAGTATGCCTGAATCACGGGGTCGCATGATGGCTATGCAATTGTCAAACCTAATTGTCGGTCTGATTCTGGCAAACTGGCTTGACTACGGGATGGAATCTTATTCAGGATCTGTGCAGTGGCGGTTTGCGTGTGCGTTTCAGATTGTGTTCTGTTGTATCACGCTCGTTTGCATGCCGTTCCTACCGGAATCACCGCGTTATCTGTGTGCGAAGGGCGACATGACGAATGGGAGGATTGCTCTCGCGGCGCTTCGCGCTGGATTCCCAGATGACCCTGCGGTTGTGGAGGAGTTGAAGGAAATTCAATTTGCGCTTTCGGTTGAAGCAGAGGAACAGGGATCTTGGAGTGATATTTTCAAGGATAATGGGATCAGCGGGTTTTCACGAATGGCGATCGGATTTGCGGCGAACTTTTTCCAGCAGATGTCGGGGTGCAATGTCATGTCTTCGCTTGGTCCATATGTCTTTGAGGACTCGATCGGCATGTCACGACACAATGCGATGCTCGTTTCTGGTGGTCTGCAAGTGTGGTACTTTCTCAGCAGCTTGTTTCCATGGTGGGCTATCGAGCGTTTCGGGCGCCGTCCTCTCTTCATGATCGGATCTGCTGGTATGGGTGTTTGCATGACCCTCTCTGCTATTTTCATCGGCATTGGCGGGGAGAGACTTGGATACGGCGCCGCGGTGGTGTTATACCTCTTCCAAAGCTTTTTCACCTTGGGATGGCAATCGAACATGTGGATCTATCCCAGTGAGATTCTTCCGCTGAAGCTAAGATTGCGAGGTGGGGCCCTGGCCGTCGTCTCCCAGTGGCTATTCACATTCCTGGTTGTTGAAATTACTCCTGTCATGATCACCAATATCGGGTACAAGTGCTATGTTGTCTTCGCGATTATTAATTTTGCAACTGTACCACTTGTCTATTTCACTTTTCCGGAGACTAGCAAGATGCCTCTCGAAGCAATCGATCTTTTCTTCGCCGACCGGGATGGAAAGCGACCGTCACTTTGGCGCGTCGTTAGAGACTCCATGGACAAGACTTTCGTGGCAGGTGTTGAGAGGCAATTACAGGAGAGAGCAGCGTTGCGAGCGGAGAAACAGGATGGGGCATTGAGCTCTGAACACAAGGCCGAGCGTCTTGAGGTAGAGGCTGCGTGATGCAAAATATGCAACGTGAAGACCGATATCATTTTCATAACATTTTATTATGTATACGACAATCTGAAAACCATTCAATTCGCACATTTCTTGAATCATACTTTGATACTTAAGGTCACATACTGAGTATTGTCGAATGATCCTTCACAATTAGCAAGATATCTAAAATCCCGTATCAGCTTCGTTTTAGCTTTTACCCCGAGAATACTCTCAAGGGACGGCTAAATCTCCGACGACGATCAACTCGGTGGAAGTCCGATGACTGCCTATCAATCGGTTATGTTAAACTTCCACTTGGAAATGAAGAATCCCCTTGGCAAGGCTTACTTCATATGGCTAGAGCTTATTTAGTGATATGAACCTCGGCATCTGATTATCTCACACATTTCATCTAGCCACCTCCACCTGCAAGAGTCATGCCATTTCCAGTCTGCACAAGCATCACAACGACAAACCAAATCGTCAAGCGTTTCTGCCATTCACCAATAACCATACACATAGACGTCGCCATGACCAAGTCATATAGCTTAGTATTCTTCACGCCCCTCTCAGGCTGTGTATGCTCAGCCACGAAAGGGTTCTCGTTCTCCCCCACATCCTGGCTCATTCCCAAGGCAGTATTACCCGACTCCTCTAGAAGCCTCGAAATCGCTGAATCAAACACCAATAACCGTCCAAACTTTTTAGACGAGAAATCAGACCGATAATGAGCCAAAAATATCTTTTCTCGCCCAGGTATCTGTCCAATAAGTTTCAAGTGGTTAAGCGGCATCAGTCGTTTGGACCAAACATCACCAGGAAGATCACGAGTTCCCTCCCAAAAGAATGCAATACCACCATAGGTGAAAGAATATCGTCGGGGGCTTGTAAACGGTGAAGTCCACTTTAAATGTACCGCTTCATCTGCCATTGCAGGCTCGTATGTAATGTTCTCCTCCTTCCCTTCCTCTCGCAGGGCCTTCCTTCGCGCGTTCACACTCCGGTGGTATGCAGCTCCTGTTTCGCCCCAGATCCGCCACGACCGGACTTTATATCCTTTCAGCACGCGATCGTCTTTGGTAGACCTGTTATCCAGTCTCGTGCGATGTTCCCATTTTACCACACCTCGGCGGTCAATAATTTTCTCGGGGTTGGGAACGAATTGGATATTCCAATCTCGCCAGAAAGCTGAGCTGTTGATGATGCAGATCGGTTTTCCGAGCTTATGGCTTCCCCTGAGTAATGTTCGTGGCGGGTCATGAAAAGCTAGCACCGGGCGATGGATAAAATAGCTGTTAGAATCGTTGCATCTTCGGTTTCGAGAAGCATAGTCATCTGCTAGCCATTTGTGGTGTCTTTTTTTGTATCCGAATTCTTTAGTTATATCTAGGAATGGGATGAGGCAAACATGTTCTTCGCCTTCGTGGTAGACGTGGTACTCTGATACGGTGTGCCGGATGGCAGTAGCCTCTCCCAAAGTGGACATTTGTGTATTCGATTTCTTTAACGGTCGCAGATTCGCATTACCAGGCCAGATATAACAAAGATGCAAATAAAAGATCAAGGAAAGCTATGAATTTGAAAACCTTGTCTATGTCTTGCCCTAGTAAGCACTAACTTCACCCTCCTCGCCCGGAAGTGGAGTCGCATTGACCCATTAACACAGCCTTGTGGACAAGGGTCCTCTTTTCTATCATCGGGCGTTATAACACAGCCTTAAACCCGATGGACCCTATCCTTGGCATTCATCTGCCAAGATCATTTGAAGGCTAAGAAACCTTGAAGATGCCCCCTAGCCATTTCGGCATCAGCGTATTTGGCCAAACCTGAATTTTCAATAATATTTGTGGCAGCAAGGGTTTACAGCTCTTATGTATGCCCGAAGAATTGAATCAGTATACATTTGTACTAACTGGCAGCGGGAGCACTTGTCTTCCAAACTCTGAAACGGTCATTCAATCTCCAATTTTATTGGAAGGTTCTGGTTCAGCGCTATATATTTAGATGCCACGGCTAGGTAGTACTGTACAATGTCCTCACAGCTCTAGTCGATCATCACCAAACACTTCACCACCCTTAGGAGAGATTTTGTCAAACAAAGTCGCCTTTAGAAAGACTTTTCCAGGAGCCTTCGGGCTTTTGGTGAAAATAGCACTAGTTCAAATTAGTACTCATGGTATGCACCGTGACGGAAGATAGTGACCCACCTTCCACAATTCGAGCAAAAGTTGCGCTTCGAGCAACTGAATTAGTATTCATCTAATTCGTAGAAAGGCAGATCAAAATACCTGAATCACGTTTCCACTCGCAGTCTTGGAATCCACGAAAATCTTCAACGTCTTGTTCGGATCATTGATGGTCAAATCATCCTCGGGCACAAAATAGTTGACCGAAAACGCTGCAATGGTTTGTACGTTAATATCTCGTTGGTAAATTGCCTTAAAATTGAACTTACCACCACCGACGCGCTTGCAGTTTGAACTGTATTTACACTTTAGTGAATCTGACTGGCTGAACAGGGGTACACGAAGACTGACCAATGACAAACGCCAGTCTTAGGAGGCTGCTCGGGCAAAGTCACGTGGATGCTTTTACAGTTGCAATGGCCGGTATAAGACATATTGGGTAATATTTTCCAATTTCACGAATCAGATTGCTTTGAAGAAAGGACCTTTGGGGAAAGCCCAGGTGCTTGCTCTTAACTGTGCTTCGGTTCAACCGGGTACTGCGCCGCGGAATCGGCAGTTCCGCTCGGCAGTGACGTCACGCCAGCCAAGCATGCCAATCATGGAGATTCATAAAATACTATCTTGCTGCATAGATTACTAATCGGTTCCATAACTCAGTTGGTTAGAGTGTGGTGCTAATAACGCCAAAGTCGAGGGTTCGACCCCCTCTGGAACCAGTTCTTTTTGCTTTTTGACACTCGTTTTTGTCCTCCGAGCGCGACCCATTTCTGTGGTAAGATTCCGATGGCCTCAGGAGAATCATCTTAAAGGCTGTTTCAAAGTACAAGTAATGGCATTTGGCTTCTAAAGCTCCTTGGATGAAGTTTCGCTGGATGAATGTGCAGTTTTTAGCTTGTCTATGCTGTGAATAATTTGATCTAATGATGAAAAGACACTGATCTGTCTGACAGCAGGTCCTATATATTCAGCCATAATGTATGAAACTCGATAGTCGGTGTTGAACACTAGGAACTATCATCAGTCAAATGTCTTAAAATCTTCTTAGAAAATAACGCAACAGCAAAGGCAAAGAAAGAAAAAGGCGTTGTAAAAGAAGGAACTAGGGGCCAATAGAGCGTTTGGATATTCCGCTAATTAGTCCGGGTAAGAGGTACAGGTATAAATGAGGAAGGAGGCTTAGAGAGTTCGCGGGAGCGATGAATAGAAATGCACAAGAAATGTTTCTTATTTTCTTAGAGTATTGTCAAACCTCTCCAAAATCATCTTCAGGTATTCGACATCCTTAGACCATATCTAGATGTGACTGACCAAGACATTGGTTTCACATTCAAGAAAAGAAAAGGGCCTCGCGCACAGCGTACGGGACCGGTCTCTTCCTCGCAACACACACGACCCTGGGGGTGGTAACACCAGCACCACTCTGCGCTTCCGCATAAGCGTCCTCAATAAGATCATCAATATGCTTCGCCTCCTCCTCTCGTCCCTCAGTCTTCATCTGCCCATTGAACTCCTTGATAGTCATCAAATGAATTTCCGTGTCATGGCAAATCAAGTCGGGCCGTCCGTGATAAAATGTCAACTGACTCTCCTCAAACCCATGTCTGAGCAGATGCAAGGGCAGATCAAACACCCAGTCATGACGGCCACCGGAGTGCACAAACTCCCTGATCTTGTCGAGTGCCACAGTGGGAAGCTTCTCATCTGTCTTCTCAACATAGGTGTGCGCGGTGCTGAGGTCGTCCCACTGGATCCAGCCACCGGGCTTAAGCAGCTTAATGACATTCTGGATCACGGGGGCCGGATCGCTGTTTGAGATGGTAAGAAGGAGAAGACGGAGATGAATCACGTCATACTTCTCCTCGAGCTCAGCCGGGACCTCGTCGAAGATATTCCAGTTGTAGAGACGGTGGATGTTGCTGGGGCGCCAGGCGGCTGGTGGGAGACGCTCGAGGTTGATGTCAATTCCGTCGAGGATGGCACCGGGGAACTCGTGTGCTGCGTCAAGAAGCCAGAGGCCTGTTCCCGCGGTGATGTCGGCAATGCGGGGGTGGTCTCCGACTGCATCCCGGATGGTGGGGTGTAGGCTGTAATTGAGGCACTGCTTCCAGATGAGGTATTGGTAGTTTAGCCGTTGGCTTCCTGCGTGACCGGAGTCAAGGAGGTAGCCTTTCCCTTCACGCAGGCCAAAGCCGGCAGTATGGTCGAGAGGTGAGTTGTCAGGCATATTGTTGGGCAACGAGATTGAAGGTTCGATTGATGGACTAGAAAAGAGTATATCAAAATTCATTGATCAGTAGAGACTTACGTGGGATACTGAGCCCTATTTATTTACAGAACGTGCAAAGAAGCCACGATAGCTTCTCAGCATGGCAAAGGCCAAACATCTATGTCAACCTCGCATGCATTGGACATTTCATCAGGAACAGTACGCATAGCTACCGTAACACAGAGCTGAAAGTCGTCAGCCAAGTTAACCGACCAGCCACCGACAAGCCACCGACAATGCTCTCATGTCACTTCGTACTTGACCCACGGGCTCGTGGGCCTCACCGACGCATGATACTTATTGGCTTCGTTGCTTTTCCAGTGCCTTGGCAAGAGACCTTTGAGTAACCAATAGTCATTAGTGCAGATCGGATTACTCAACGACATTAATAGTCAACACACAATTCCCGCATGTATGAAATTATCCAGAGTAAAAACAAACACGATCGACAATATAGTAAGCCAGATCAGCACCTGTCTAGCGCGGTCGTCCACTTCCTCAAAGTCAAATTACCGAAGTCAAATCAGCACTATCGAAAATGAAGTAGGACAGATCGGCGTCTATCTAGCGCGATAGATGGTTACACAGAGATCATCGCAGGTACCATCACCTCACGATCGTAAAGTATCTTTGGTCAATTGACACCGATTCTTATCCACTGATGTGCGATCGAATGCCAACGGGAAAATAACTACAGGCTCAACATGTTGGACCACATAATTAGCGGAGCATTGTACTGCTAGCATTGCCCCGGGCCCAAATAGCGGTGATTCTAGTCAGCCTAATAAGGCGAAGATCTGCGATTCTTTGCTTTGCATACGACAAGCGATCTATGTCAGGTACGATAGCTCATGGCACAAGCTTCGAAGTCAAATATTTGGAATAGTCATACTTCGGAGTCCTGAAACGCTTTGGCCATGAGTTGCAGCTATGACGCATCCCTCGTGTCTATGAAGATCAGGTTTTCAGGAGGTAGAAACGACAAGCCCTAAAGTCTTCTTTCTGCACTTCCAGACCTGCTTCCTCTGAGGTCCGGAGTTCCTTGTGACTTTATCTCTTTCACCTCTACCAAATCTTTACGTATTCTACTATACTAGAAGGTCTTCTTATTTGTCAGATATTTGCTAGGGAGCAGGAGTACATTTCACCTTGGTTAGAATATCTCCCCGCGAGTATAGTCGTGCGTTCAATGCTTGGACATCTTTCTGACCCATTTACAATTCACCGCTTCTCCCCATTTCGCAATACAATCATTTTTTAGTTCGTTCTGTGTTCTCTCAGCCCCCCGCATATTGGTATGCTTCTTTATCTATTCTCAGTCCTTTCCAACCTATGCACTGATGATACCATTTCCCACTTCATGGACAACAACAGAGATGTGGAAAGAAAAGCAAAATAAATAGAACATATTTGGAAGTGGTTCAATTGTGCTCGCATTTAGTCTTGGACTGTTGGCCATAGACGTCCTCTTTCCCTCCGGATCCATGTTTCAGGACCATCGGCCTGGGGAAGCCTTCTTCCTCTTAAGGTATCAAACAAGCTTAGAGAGATGCCCTTGTAGTCTGTTAACTGAAAACTTCCAAAATTAGACCCATCGACCGCTTCGTGGAAATCGTTATCAGGCAGTAGGGTTCAAATTGTCATCTTTATTTCGAAGTAAAACTTAATTAATGAGCACGGCAGCTCTGCGAGATATCACCTCTTCAACGCGTACATACTACAGAATACTTGAGCACGGTGAATTGCCGCGCTTCCCTTCCTGTAAAAAAAAACTTCAATGAAAATCTTTCTTTTTGAGAAAAACCGATAAAATTGATTTGATACCTTGGTCAAAAAAAGCTCCATTTCTGCTGCCTTAAGCACCATCGAAAATTAGGAGGCTCTGAATCTGGACTCCCCCAAACCCATTTTGACGTAACAGCTCTCGGCCGCGGTGAATAGGAAACTCGGCCACGACAACTATCCTTATGTCCTGAACACTGACATTGGCTTTCTGTAGCAATCGTAGACCCGCACAGAGTGTGTTCCCCGTGGCAAGCATGTCGTCTACTACCACTACTAAAGCATCCCGGGGGATCAAATCTTGAACTATCTCAATCAACTCCTCTTTCAAATCCTTGGATGTCGAAGACGAAACATGTGACATAGACTTGAGCACAGAAACCGTTGGTGGTGGCTGCTTGCCGGCTTGGCGGATTAACGCTACGGTATGTTAAACTTCGCAGCCAACGCCGACGCGAAGAGGAAACCACCAGCCTCACAACTCGCAATCATATTGACTTTAGTCCAGTCACCTACGGTATAGGCTCGCAGCAGGATATACACAGAGCTAGCCCGCCGGGCTGCTGAATGATGTTGAGCACGTGCCTAAAGTCGATGCCTGGACATGGAAAGTTGGGTGCCAGGCGTACCATATCACTCAATAACTGATAGTCCTCATCAAAGAACGGAAGAAGATGCTCTTCGGCAAAGCAGGTGATTGCATTCTTCCCAGACATTTCATTATCGAAGATGAAGCTGGGACAACAGTCAGTGCCTGCCACATTTGCCTTCCCATCACTCATGTCCTCATCTTCCTGGTACTTGTCATTACTGGCACTGGGACATCCTCGACGGATTCGCCGTGTCTCCTTGCTGGCTTGAACGCGAACTTCTAGAAGTCTGCTTCCTGGGACCAGATATGAGAAGGCGGCGACTGGGGCCTCATCTCTCATTCCTGAGATGAGCAACACATCAAAATCCGTCCAGTTGTGGACCAAATCTAAGAAGTGCTCCTCTGGCAATCGTGAGCGCTGTTTAGCCTGGTCTTTGAAGAATCTTGTCAGCGCTGGCCGATGTTGTTCTTTGTAGGCACGGACCCCAAAGAGACGCCCAAGGTCGGCACCGGTAGCCACCGCATATTCTCGGTTGGTAATATCGCTAATGCTTGCTTTTCGCACCGCCAGGCCCTCATGGCCGGACGAACTCAACGCAGAGGCCCAGGTTTCGGCGCAATAGTTTTTCCCAGCACAACTTTCACCTGTGACAAGTATGATAAGTTTCGGTCCTATAGCCGCTTTCTGAATTGGGCAGGCATAAGCCAGCACATTGTGCGGATCTAAAATGTGCTTGAGGCGAGCCAGACGTGGCCCATTAGGCCCAAAAGCCTTAGCCGCCAGCGCATAATCTTTGGGATCCGGCCCGAGGTCTGCACTGTAGACTCCACTACACAATGGCAGCATTTCCTTAGCGACCTTATACACCCACTCCACGACAGTTCGAAAGAGAAAGCTGTTGTCTTGATATCGAGCCCAAACACCCGTTACTACACAGGCAAATTCCCAGTCTCTACAGCCAAACGCCGTGGCATCGGCCGCTATATCATGAACCGTTCCGCCACCGTGCAGGAGATGGAGGTAGCCAAATGGGGTAGGACGAGTGTCAATAGCCGACAACAAAATGTCAGCGATACGTCCAACATCTTTTAAGAATAAGCATCGCTTGAAAAAGGATGTTTTGGCTCCACCGTGTCCACCGTGTCCACCGTGCATGCTGGACATGTACATGTCGACCTCGAACAAATCGACACTGTTTGCGATATCCCCGGAGACTTCCTGTCCGAACAACGTTCGTATCGAGATTAATATTCGTGATGTAGAGACGTGCCCAATTGTGGAAGATTCGAACGTAGTGATGCCAAGACGAAGCTGGTCGACTTCCCAGTACAAATAGATGTCTGCAGACCAATTTTGGGGCAGCTTTCTGGTGATATGATTGTCAAATTTCTGGGGCTTGAGCTTTGCGTCATCCTGATCCCTCAGTGGGATAATCCATTTCCGAGTTGAAAATTTAGGAGCCTCAAATGTTTTAAAAGTCACGCTAATAGCTATGCCAAAATTGGTCCCAGCGCCTTTCATCGCCCACAGGATACCATTCTCGTTTATCGGGCAACGCGCATCAATTGGTTGGTGCTGGGTCGGTACATGCCCGATGCAGAAGATCTGACCAGTCTCAAGACCCACCACTACAGCACCGATGATGGCGTCGCACGCGAGCCCGTGAAGTCTTGTTAGATGCCCGATGCCACCTTGAAGCCACAGCCCCGCGCCAACGCTAGGGCGGGCCCCTAAGGGCACGGTAATACCCGCCGCCATTGTCTCACGGATGATATCCCCAGTCCTACAGCCGCTTTCGACAACAACCAAGGTGTTGCATCCATGAACGTCATTTTCAGCAGTTGAAATGTGTATTTTGTCGAAGGCACTCATGTCGACCGCAACGACGTTTGACCATAAGCAGTGGCCGCTGTGGCTTCCCCCAATAATGCTCAAGATGACCCCGTGTTTCAAAGCCCATTTGACACATTGCTGGACTTGCCGGACATCCTTAGGTCTCACGATTGAGGCGGGGTGGTGAAGGGCAGCCTCGCAGTTTTTGACCGCCCTACCCCCTTCCGATAACGTACTTGCATAGCTAGTTCCGTTATAGCGTTGGTATGTCTTTCAAAAACCTCCATTATGCTGGGTGAGCTGAAGGAAAGCTGATTTAGGTGGGCTTCATCACGGCGGCCCAAGATGCATCACACCTCTCTCCGTGCAACTCGAATGTCAACGTCCCCTACCACAGACCCTGCGATGAAAGCAGCAAAGTAATACAGTGAGTCGCTGTCGCCTGCAGCAAGTCTAGCTCCATTTGGGAAAGGTGCCATTTGTCGGCATACTCCATTGAGGCGCGGGGAATTGTCACGATAGAAACCAATTACCATGTTCATAAAGGAATCCTATGGCTTTAGGCTTCATGCCATGAATGATATGATGGATTAGGACTATATCGAATTGCTCGCCACTTTTGGCAAAGCTTGCTGAGTCATAGCGCGGAATGAATGGTGTTCAGTGAATGTCGGGTAGGCATACCAGACCGAGTAGCGGAGAACCTATCTTCAAAATAAAGCAGATAAAATTATTCTAGACTAGTCGCAAAAAATCCATTAAAATCAAGTGCAACGTATCTCGAAACCCCTTCTTCCTAGCGGCTGGGCAGACTTCCAAAGACACTTTTCGGGCCGGGCCCTATTTCCTGTATTGAGAACTGACCATACCACCTGAAGAGAAGCGCCCTTAAATGTGACAATTAATAATGATAAATTCTCAGTGGGTCTTCCATCCTAGGAACCGCAGCATAGTATCGAAACCGACGCTATTTTTCTCACCCTGTGACAGTGGTTCTTCTGGGGGTGAGTCTGGTGGGGTTGCCTCAATCCTCCCGAGGTCTCCTCTTCACAAAGGTGTTGTTCAACCAGACAATGCCTCGAATTAAGGGGCAAACCCTATTCACACATATCACCGAGGTCTCAGAGAAAAACAGCCTTGTCTATTTAGCAGAAATCAAACAAGATTCAGGGCCTGTGTGCGATCCTTGAAAAGGGATCTAAGACTTCAAAACTCCAAGAGATGCGAATGCTACGTAAGGACAAAGGGCGAGCAGTGTAAGAGCTCAATCGATGGCCATTCTCTCGATCTATCAAGGCGCTTGACTTTTCTTTAAATCCCCCGCCCCTTCCATCCTAAGCCCGCTATCATGTACCTCTTGTGTCCTTTGTAGAAACCGATTCTTTCATTTGTCCACCATATCTAGAATTTTTTAACTCAGGCCTGAGCTTCGTCAAAATGGATGACCCGAGTTTGCCATCTCAGGCTTATCTCCTTATCTACCTCCTTAGTATTACTAATTAAGTTAAATTCTACCTCCTTAAGCTTATTATCTTTCTCTTCTTTCGCTATTTCTATCTTAATATAAGAGAAAAATTTCTCTAGATACTTCGCTTCCTTCTCTTTGATATTAAATCTTAAAGTATAAAGAAATATTATTAGCTCTTAAATTATCTACTTCTTTTATCTCCCTTAATGATAATAATAGATATCCTAAGTAGTATTAAAAAGTTATTTAATACCTATCTATTACTAGGAATAGGCTGTGCCATCATGACCCGCATGAACCCGCACCCGAACCCGCCCCACCCTCCCTATGGGTAGGGAAATGGGTCAGTCTGTTTAACCCGCACGCGCGTTTGCGGGTTACCCAATGGGTCGTCAAACAGGACAAACATAGAAATAGCTCTCTCTCTGCATAAATTATGTAGTATATACTTGTATTTTTGAGTATGGCTAATCAAATTTATCCAACCAATTTAGGAAAAGTGTCAGAATTTTATGCAAAGATGGGCTAGCGTGGGTAACCCGCAACCCAACCCGCAACCCGCATGGGGAGGGTTGCAGGTTGACTTGGCCTACCCATTTGCGGGTTATGGCACAACCTACTCCGGAGGCCCCTAGCGGGATCGGGCTAACGCCCCTCGACGCGCGCAACATCGCAATATCGGTTAAGAAACCTCGAAACTAGTATCAAAATATAGCGTAGGGAGTTGAATTGAAACTAAAGTTACTTAAAAGTTACTAACTAGCGTGGTTCCTGAGATATTTCAAAAACTCGATTCGGCGCTGAAATTATTATCTTTATAATTAGCTATAAGATGGCCAAAAAGGGCAAGCAGAAGTTGACCAATCCAAAGCTGACAGAACAGGGCTATGAGCAAGTGCACACAAGCCCGCCAAGCCAGACATAAGGGGAGTTAAGAGGAATATTCTGTGAGTGCCAAAAAAAAACAGAGATATGGAAATAGGAACGCGAGTACTGCGAGATCGAAAAGGAATGACGGGTGCGAGCGGTTCGACCGATCTGATGGGATCATCGACCTTGACCTATAGCCTGTACTCATCTCTATCTTAGAACTCTATAAATAGGGCACAAAGGAGAATAGGTCTGACGTACAATGTTCTTATCAAGGTCTGCAATTTCCACAAAAATCAGCAAAGCTTTGGAGTATTTTCCTTCAGTGGGTCACTGGTTTCCAAATAAAGGTGGCTTTCACCCAATTTCCTATTTTGGGAAATGGGCTTTTTTGTCCCCCCCGGTAGGCTTAAAAGCAAAAGGGTTGACGAGACGGAAAATCTGATGCTTACTGATTCTCAGATGTCCAAATCTGTTCTCCTCTTCTAGCTGTGATTTGGATCGTATGAACCAGAGGCTGGGCACGATACAGAGCGGCAGTCATCTGTGACCCAGACCTGTCTATTTCCTTCATCGTCTACCGCCGAGTCCATATTGCAGTAATCAAACAACATGGTAGACACGGTCGATGCCATATTCAGATGCTGTTTGAGTGTTATGTAGGATGAAGTCGCTTTGCCGTGACGGAAATTGTTATGAAGGTTCAAGGAGAAGTTGAACGTGTTGCAACAATGAAGAAAGAGGATGGGCTCATTGAAGATACTTAAAGGAAACCGTGGTTCAAGGGGGGTTTCACATTCGGCTATTCACGCTCATACTCCGTACTTTGTGTGTTGAATGCAATGCCACGTCAGCCCATTGCCCGGCTGTGCAGGGTTAATACGATGTCGCATTTTGATGCTGTCTGAGATCTCTCATTGGTGTGGCTATTCATGCTTTGTGTGTTGAATGCAATGCCACGTCAGCCCATTGCGCAGGTCTTTCTTGATATTAAGAATAATTGTCACCTTCTGGTGAAGTTCCTTGACACCCTTACCAGCCATCGACGCAGTCAACCTTGAGTAGAGATCAATGCGAACGGTGCGAGTCAAAGAGGCATGGAGCCAACGCTCACAGCCCTCAATCTCCAGCGAAGTCCAGCCGTGGGAGAGGAAAGGCCGCAGGCTTACAGCTTACGATGGATATGAGGCTTACATTGGTACCATGCCACCGGATGAAAGCAAGAATTGGAGGGTTGGGGTGTATGATGATCTGGCAGACGCCGAATTTGAGCGCCTGCTGAGGTCCATGAGCCGCATCCCAGACCATGACATTTATCCTGTCTTCGAAGAGGGCATCACCCAGTTCGAGCCCCAGACCTCCACGCAAGACTACTTTTTAAAGCAGCCAAACATCAGCAACTACAACGGAAAGGATGACGTCGCCCAGTTGATGCTGGCCGAGGCCTGGACCCACCAGAGGTTTCTCGCGCACCCTCACGTCAACCTGGGCACCTATCTTGGCTGTGTGGTGCGCGGGAGGCGCATCGTCAGCCTCGCTTTTCCCAAGTACGTTAGGACCCTGGCGAATCTCGTCAGCAAAGCCCGGCAACTTGGGCCAGCCCACTTCCCGGCCGAGGAACGAGAACGCTGTATAGACAGCATTCAGTCTGCCGTCAAGCATCTGCACTCTCTGGGCTACGCGCATAATGACATCTCTGCATGCAACATCATGTTTGACAGCAGCGGTATTGCTATGCTTATTGATCTGGACTCCTGCGCTCCCATTGGAGAGAAGGTTAGAAAAGGTGGCGTTGTGGGCGGATGGAGGGGGCCCTTCTTTTGGGAGCAAGATTTTAAACAGTCATCAATCGAGTGTGATGATCTGTCGCTTCAGTATGTGCAAAACTGGTTGATCAGCGAGCTTTCAAGCAAACTGGCTTAGAAGAACTGTAAGGCTTTCTCTGGGCCTAGAGCGGTTCCCAGTAGCTCGGCGTCGTAAATCTTCCCCTCCGGGAATTGCGCGGAGCCGGTAAGGAAGGTAAATGAGACCTTGGCAATTTTCTATCCTTGAAGGCGTCCATATTAGTGTCGAGCGGGGAACCCTGTCTCTTGGGGCTATTTATGGGGCCTAAGTGTGTCCAACCCAGCGAAATGCGAGTTCAAGGCCCTATGTTATTGGTGATTCCTTCCAACAAGATTACCCCAAAAAGTTGAAACTTGAGACTCAGATCTTTCCCCTTTGCGGGAAGGATGGGTACGGGAGGGGACGCGGATACCGAGGAGTTATCGCCAGCCCAATATTGGCTGGACAGCACTCTCGTGCGTCCCGAAGGGGAAAGGCGCCGTCGCAATAACACCCAGGATACACATCTCCCTGTCATGCGCAACTAAGAAATAATCAATTTATTTAATAATTTAACTATAAAACTACTATTAATTATATGAATATTCATCAATATTAATATGTATTTCAAATATTCCACAGTGTTACGCTCAAGTACGAAAGGCTCAGAATCAATCGTAGTATTATTCCCGAAGCAACTAATCATGAGGAGAAAGGATGAAGGACGGCGAGAGAGCGATCTAAATAGTAGAAGTATGCAGACGGTTGCCTAAGGAACAAGGCATCAATATCAGACACTTGTGAATCGTCACAGATAGCCTCAATCGTGCATTCATATGTCCTTATTGTTAAGCGTTTTCGTGCGAAATAATACGCCCATGACGTTCTGAGAAGCTTGAAGAAGGCTAGATGAAAAGACCACCTTTCTTAGGCTTATTATGGCGATTTGGATCTATACAGTACGTGAGTAACTTATAACGATGGTTTACCGGAGTCATCTACCGTCACAATTTGAGTCAGCAGGTTGTTTGTACGCAGGCAAGTATCGTCAAGCCTAACGAAATAAAACATTACTACAGAATCAGTAGACGCTACCACAAGGCTCGTTAGTGCCTGGCAGCTGCGGGGCACGGATACTGCCAAAATGATTTAAATGTACTTGTATCCATACGCCATGGCCTCATGCATATGACCCACGCCTTAATAACTTGGGCATAAACGAAGCTGATGCCAGCAAAAGCGATGATGATAAATGAAGAAAAAAAAAATGCTGCGCTGCTCCGGCATCTTTCGGTCAATGAAGCACACATAATATGTAGAGCACAGTTGACATTTCTTCACTCACTTAAGACTGCGATCTCTACCCTTCTTCAAGAAATGTGATGAACAGAAATTTGTTACCTTTCCACACCTCCTCTTCCCGGTTGGGGGTGGAGGTTGAATATTTGGATCAGCTCTACTCCGTACAGCTGATGAAAACGAAGGGACACGCCTCCAGCTTGCCCATGTATCTTTAGGCTAGCTCCCAATGCATCGTTCCGGCACTACTTAAATGTCATAGTCGCGTTGACCCGGCGACTTCTACTAGCTAAGCCATACCTAGTCGCAGTGGTTCCTCGTTAATTACTATGGAAAGTCAAGACATCATCTTCCTTTGTGATGACCGGTTTGGAAGACTGCAGCTCCCCAAATAGATTGCTCTAAAACTTGCACAATCAATCTGATTGGTCTAGCAGTTCAAGTCAAAAGCTTGAGGCAGCAGGAACTTGCGCTGGTCCAACCGCCTCGAGTGATATCACGTGCAGCTCAGGACATCTTCCGAACCAGGAATCGCGGACTTCCACTTCACCGAATAATATCACCTCCCATCGAGGACTTTCTGTTCCTATACTATCTGTTTCAATCACCAGTGGCTTACTAGATTCCTTGCTATCCAATAGCAAGCAGGAAATTCTTCCGATATATTACCTTCGACATCTCCTTTATGTCGAATATAATCACAATGTCGTCCAATCAAAAGGGGCCTGACCCTCACCATCCCCTGCTTCGTTGAACTTATCCAAATAACTCCATGATAACATTCTGTATCGGTGCTCGACACTTCTAGCGATCAGAACCCTTAAGCGTATTCGACCTCGAGAAGTGAACGTCCTTATATTGACAGTCCGACTATGCGTTAAGTATGGGCGCCGCGTTTATTTCCTGAAGCATCAACAATACGGTTCATATCGCAACATATATCTATCCCGGTACCAAGAGTTTTATGCGTATTTACTCGTTCCGGGAGGACCTATATCGTGATGGAAAGGATTAAGGGAGACATAATCGGCAGAGGATGGGTGAAACGAAGTGAGGATTTAAAGGCGGAACTTCTTTCGTAGCTAGCAGGAATGGTTCGCGAGATGCGGGACCTTCAGCCCTCGCAAGGTATTAGGGTTACTTCTGTTGATGGCGGATCGCTTTTTGACTGTCGCGTTCCGGGCCCGTCCTTGCGCTTCGGTCCCTGAGCCAAATCGTTCGATATTGACAGATCCCAGGGACTCATCCTCAAATGAGAATTTATCGGGCTATCAGCAACTCGCAAGATCTGAAGGAGTAAGTACCAGAGCTCGGATATCATTAATAGATTATTGATCAGTGTCAGTTCCCTGCTTTGGCTCGATATAACCTATTGGCCCTTCAATCTCTTTCAGAGGCAGAGAGGCAGGATGTGGCCGCCAAAGCGGGTATACCATGCTTGATGCCAACCATGCCTTTTCTCGACATGCCCAGAAATCAAGTCTTATTGGACTCGCAGGTTGGAGAAAATGACGGTGCATAGCCTGTTCCATTTCAATTTCTGCTTTGATTTGCTACGCAATTTATTCAACACCGCATGTACTGACTTGATCTCTGTAGATCCCACGACGGAATCCACTTCCTGGAGTGAGTTCAGTGAGTTCACCCACGATCTCGGTATCTCGCCCATACCTTCGAACTCGGAGATTAATTCGCCAAAACCACAGCCTCCGGAAACATGCTCGTATCCAACCCCCAAGTCTGTTCCCAGTCCAGATGTAGGAGCCAATACCTTGGGCTCTGATTTCTCTAATCCGGCGGATCTCGATCCTTTCTAGTTGTTAGATGTGCCAAGACCCGCACATTTGGACCCGGCCTAGTCTACATTCGATTATACGCCGCCAGCCGCTGGCTCAGGGGGTTCTACGCTACATAATACGCCCGAAAATATAGATGCCATTGGCATGGGACCACCACTGGCAGAGCCAGCGGTTCTCATCTCCTAAGCTGCTGAGCAATTTTTAAGTCCACATATGGTTGATGATCCGGCCGAGGAAAATCAATGCGCTAGTCCTTCTCTTTCCCTGGAAGCCTTACCACATGTCCAGCTCCCTGAAGTCATGCCCATTGACCATGCTCCAAACATGATACTATTGTTTCCGGATTTAAGTACAAACAAACTTCGACAAGCTATGGAACTAGGTGACCGTCTTTTCCCGCAAGACTTGGCCTACTTGGAAACTCAAGTCAATCACTGCCAAGCTGAAGGATTGTGGAGTTTCGTGGACTTTAGCGTCTCACCAGGCTCGTCTGTGAGACAAAGGATCGCCGGAATCTGTAAATATATCAAGGAGATGGGCAACCCAAACGGAGAAAACTATATGAGGATTCGTCTCGCAAAATTCCAAGTCAACATGCTCTATGAGACCATCTGTAATGAGGAAAAGAACAGGCGTCTCAATCTCGGACCGAGAAAGTTCACTACCAATGTTCTTGACTTCATCGAGGCAGCCATTAGAAATACTAGCAACCGACGCCTTCCAGCTCCCGGAAAGTCACTTGTTCGCGATGCTATCTTTCGATACAAGCAAGTTGGTAAAAAATGGTCGGTGTCACAAGGTCTAAGTATAACGTTGCTGGTTGGCCAAGACTGTGGAAGGTTAATGTACGCGCTTCCATGAAGTTTCCCTGGCTAACCTCATACAGAGAAAATGGCCAATTCAATGAGATGCAGATGAAGGCTTTGATGTTCCATGTTTTGGTAACTCGGCCTGATATTATCAGTATTTGCAGCAACCTAGAATATGCTGTCAGCTGTTTCCTGACCAATAATCAGTTGCCAGCGCGTCTAAGTGTTGACGATGCTCGAAAAATGATCGGGATTCACAATTCAATGACAGCGATCGTAGATTAACAGTTGGATGGACAGGTTGAAGATTGCGCCGTTTTCTTCAGATGAATATCAAGTCTGATTTTGGCTTGGAAAGTTGGAGCTCAACCAGCATTAGGCCTGCGCTATTTATGCGTTTGTTTTTGCTTGGTCGAACTCTTTTCAGTTATATGCAAATAGAACATGAATCAATTAGTCCCGCCATACCACGTTCGAGCAATAGATCCTGTCACTCACTGCGTAGTGTCCCAGGAAGAATGAGGAGCTCTAGGCAAATCGGCCGTTCCCGTTCAAGGACGAGGAGTTTTATGTTAGAGAGAGGCAAATGAAAATTGCTGGAAGAACCCGATGGCGTTCACGGAAAGAATATTTTCTGGGAATATACCTCAATGTATCGCCAAGGGTGGAGTTGAAACTATTGTACTGTATATAGCAACGAGAAGCACACGGGAAAGTAGCTTTGTTACGGTACGGAAAAGCCGATTGGATTTTGCGGTTCGAGGTAAATACTGTGTGTCCATTGGTCGGACACCTTGTTGGCGGTTCAGAATCGCGAAACTGGAAGAACCTGCAGGCCGCGATTCCTCTTGCGCATCAAACCATACGACCAGGAGATTCCATCGCTTTAAGATCCGAGGAGGGTACAGTAACGTCCCAAGGACAGAAGCAGTGTTTCTGATATCTTACAATTAGCTACATCGAAAGGCCAGAGCGAATGCTGAACAGGAATGTACTGTACAGTAAAGTGGTACGTACACATAGTATTATCTGCCCACAAGTTACAACAGGCTAGTATTTCCACTGACTTTACAATTAAAGCTTCACTTCATATTCTTTTCATTCTAAATCCAGGTCTATGGCTAATCAACCCGCCTAGAGTATTTGGGATAAATATAGTCGGAGGGAGCAGGTCAAACGCTTTTTGATCACATTAGCTTGCTTCTATCGCTACATAATAGAACCCCGCAACTATCGTTCACGGCATTCTTGTAGAAATGCAAAGAAACTTGAAATATACTTCTGATAGCAAGCGGCTACAGTCGTAGCTAGCTATTCTTGATAATTGAGGCAGCTTGGTCTAGGTATCGCCATCTGCAGAGCACTGACCCTCAATACCGGCCAAGAACTCCATTCATATGACTATAAATGACTGTTGTATTTACTCTGCAGTGTCACTGCAAAATGACTTTGTGGAAGTCATTCTCACTTGGAAATGGACGAGGATGATTCTCAGATGGGATGAGTACTAGAGAAGCTAGCTGCTGAGCTGCATCAAGCCATATAGGAAGTAGGTTCTGTCCGCTTCAGGCCCCGACGGAATTATTCTATAGTTCCGCTTCAATAATGCCTTTGTTGTGCCCCTGAGGCAGCCAGAAGTTCTTGACTGTTAACCCGACAGACTGCAAAAGCTCGGTCCATCTGTGACGAGTCCGTTCAATCCCTGGACACCATACCATGACAATCATATCAGTCAAAGTCTCCTTTGGCCCTGCATTTTGGTCAGGAACGATATAATCTTCGATCAATATTTTGGAGTATCCTTTCTCCATAGCAGCAGTAATATGTTTTAAAATCACCCTGCAGTGATCGTCATCCCAGTCATGCATAATGTGCTTGAAGTAGTATGCACGAGCCCCTGCAGTATCCGTTAGACAATACGAGAACAGAAAAGGAACAGAACAAACCTTGGACTGGCTGAGGCGTGAAAATGTCATGTTTGACTCTCTGGATATCGCTATCAAGCTGTTGAATGTCCTCAATAACTGAAGGCAAATCCTCAAGCACGAGTTTTCCAGTTCCCACGGGGAATCGTTCCTTGAATCCTGAAAGGTCATGACCACGGCCCCCGGCAACATCAACAATCAGCGGACGATTATCCACTGCCCCATCAAGTAACTTCTCCTGAACAGGAAACCAGTCAGCCCAGTGGGCGATCTCGTCTCGGCCACCCTCCATGAAAGTGTTAAAGCGGTCTAGTGCCTCTGGATTCTTAGCTAACCAGTCCCAACAAGTACCAGTTGTGCTATAGGCATGTTGAAATGGCCCATCATTGGGGTCTCCAGGATTCCTGTAGTCGGACTTTTGAAAGAACTCCGGTGTTTTGTTAATTATGGGTAGAAAGTCCACGAAGCTTAATTGGTCACGTTAGCTCGGAAATGAATGGCCTACAGTTGCGGGAGAACTAAGCCGGATGCTTACAGTGAATCCATTGTTCCGATTGTTTTCCTCTCCGTCATTTGCCGTGAAAAATCAGTCGGCCCATATTGACCGAGACCCAGCTCACTAGCAAAACCGTTGCAAACAAGAACACGCATGATACGTTCTGTCGAAATCCAGTCAAAATTGCAATAAAATCGCTATGGATATGGATAGTACTTACCAACGAGCTGAAGGTCTGCGTTCTTCCGTGCAGCTAGCTCTTTACAAGTTGCAAAAGAAGTCGTTTGAGATAAAATAGTGAAGATACCCAGGTCACTGGCAGTCTTAATGGCCATGAGAACTGCAGGCTTTTGTTTCCGAATATAAGAAGTTAGTACTAGGTAGCTCAATTGCGGAAAGCTGGATCATACCGAAGCGAATAACTTATAAATCGCATCGGAAGGTTCTTCGAGAGCCCTTACGAGCCTTGTCGCAGCTTCAAGCGCATCATGCCGGGCCTTTTCTGTTTTGGCCGCTTCGTATGCACCAATTGATGCCACGGCCTTGGTAGTCAGACTAGAAAGATTGGAAGATTCCTGGAACGTCATGTTGGATGTGATTCTTATGAGGAAGGTCGTAGCATCTGATTGGTGGTTTTCTCTGTACCAAACAAGGTGAAGGGTCCTGATAGTGATTTCGCAGAGTTGAGATTCTATTTATCAACCTCTATCCACCATTGCTGGAAAATCCACTTGTACAAAGTCATGTGGGTGCAGCCGCGATCACGCAGTATCAGTATCTCGATACCTGGTAATGAAATTTGACTGTTATTTCTATTTTCCCATAATTTGCCTGCATATGACAGCGCTACTCGAAGCGACAGTCGAGTCGCTGCAAGATTGAGGGAGATACGTCTCAATTCCCGAGGAAACGCGTTGTATCACACGTTACCACTTATTCATCAAAACAGACAGACCACAGACAAATACAGGAATCCTTCGACCCCGCACCAATAATGTGTAGGCTCCCCACAGGAAGATGCATGAGTTTGTTGGGACTGAAATAAAACACGGCGATTTCCAATTGCAAATGGCGGTCTGCAAGAATAAAGTGATGCATCGAGTATACATGGAGGGGTACATCTTCGCAAGGCGGTGGCTGGCTGTGGCTACGGAGATCTGCATCGGCCGGGCCCATCTGCGAGGTCCAGATGTGGATACAAAAGAAAGCTGGCTGGATGAGCGCTGATCGTGGAATTATTGCATTACTGTACAGTCAGCTGCATGCAAGTGAGTACACTTCACTTTGTCTCCATCATGACTCCACCATGGAAGGATTGTCCGTAGCACAAAAATCATTAGTCGCAAAACTAGTGCATGACAAACCCATATACTGTAAGTCAGTGCGCTTCACTTGGTCTCAACCATGTGCCATGGAAGCAACGCCCGTTAGAGTAACGTCACTATCCGCCGATGAGTCAAGGTTCTGTGAACGTGGTAGAGCCTAACTGGTTGCGCAATGGCTGTCCAGGCGCTTTGCCCATTCAAATCGAAAACCTGGTCCCCCGGCCAAGGAATTCCGAGAACCCAAAGATGCACAAGGCAAATAGAATTGTCCTCCACGGGTACAATGAAGTTATCCACGATAGTCTGGGATAGAACCCGCTCGTATTGCTCATAGTTGTACATTAATCGGGCTATATCGGAAGTGGTGCATCGTAACATGCAGGGAAGAACTCCTCGATCGCATCTTCAACAGGGCCGGGAGATTAACATCCCACACCCGATAGGCTATGTCAGATAATAGCCAATGCGTATATGACTATTTTTGAGAATAGATAGTAGGTGGATTTGAGAACGGGACACGATCACGCTATGGTATCCAAACAATAACAACGTGCAGATTGCGGGGCTCTCAACTATAATTGTCCCCGGTATACACCAGTGTGGAAGGAACATTCAGCTCATACCGATCTCCCTGTGGATGTAGTAACAACACCCCACGCAGGTACTGTACTGCCCTTTCACACATACACAGCTCATTACGCGTGCTCCTTCAACTACCATTGGTGCTATCCACATCTTTCCCCGACGTGCAGAAAGTAAAATGACGTGACCAAGGCAGTGTGGCAGGGCTCGCCGTCACAACCACGTATTTTGAACGTAGGTCGCGACTGCATATGCATGGTGATGCATGTGAGTTGGCGGGAAACTCAATTGATCAGCTTGTGTAACCATAAGATGTTGTCCACGACACACGACTGAGCTGGGAACTGCGTGGTCTTGGTGGGGGGCAATGTGTTGAAGGGCCCACACGATTCAACCATATTCCACCAGAACTAAACGGGTGAAACTATAGAGCGTAGTGTGCAATAATTGGGGTTTATACAGGTCAGAAAGGGCGCTTCCAAAAAGCCATCCGCTCTACTTGCTTGGTACCGATAGCACGGTAGGCGGGGCTTGTAGGGAAGACCTTAAGCATCCACATTAAAATCATCCCTCATCTCCCAATCATCCGGCGAGGCAGCACCTGGATCTAAATTCGTTCCGCTCAGCTTTCGCAAATCAAGATGTCTCAACCAGGTATTCCATTGAAAATCACCGTCATTGGTGCTGGTATGGCCGGTCTGTCATCAGCAATAGCACTCTCAGACATAAACCCCGACCACCAGATTACAGTCCTAGAATCCAATGCCTCTCTCAGCGAGCTTGGCGCCGGACTGCAGCTCTTCCCAAATAGCACCCGCATCCTGCACAAATGGGGCCTAACACCATCCCTGGAGAAGGTCGCCTTCCAATCCTCTCATATGTCCGTTCGGCGCTGGCAAGACAACACCGAACTGTCCTTCAACATGAACAATCCCACTAGCACATGGCTCTATGGTTGGCCCCAATGGCAGGTCTACCGACCAGACCTGCAACAAGTGCTTTTCGAGCGCGTAAAGCAGCTACCCAACGTGTCTGTTTCCTTTGGAAAATCTGTTCTATCCGTGGACCACGAAACCGGCACTGTCCATACGGCAGATGGTGAAACCATCGAAGCGGACCTCACGGTCGCGGCAGATGGGATCTGGTCCAAGGCCAGGCGATGCTTGCCAGCGTCAAAGGATGTGGCCCCTACGCCGTATCGGGAACATAACTATCGCGCTGTGATTCCGCGGTCGCGAATGCTCTCTAACCCCATTACTGCACCCTTCATGGCTTCCCCAGAAGCCAAATCATGGGTGGGGCCCGGTGCGTTTGTGTTAGGGTATACGGTTGCCTCAAGCGAGTTGTATAATGTTGTAATCGGTGTCCCGCGACCGAGCGAAGGGGTGCCGCTCGGGGCTTGGAATCACCCTGCCGATATTGAGACGATGCGCGGGCTTGTATCGGAGTGGTGTGAGGAGGTGCGGGCGTTGGCGTCTCTTATACAAGAGGGGGAGTGCGTTTCCTGGACTTTGGGTGAAGTGGCTCCTATTCCCAGTTACGTCAGTGCTTCTGGAAGAGTAGCGCTGGTTGGGGATGCGGCTCATGCCCTCCTCCCTCATGCTGCGCAGGGAGCAGGGATGGCGATTGAAGATACGGCAAGTCTGGCAGAGTTTGTGGGGCATTTGAGATCGAAGGAGGATCTGACGAAAGTGATGAATGCGTGGAGCCAGTTTAGGCAGGCTCGCGTGGAGCATTTGCGCAGCATCAGCTGTGGCAATGCTGTTGACATGACTCTCCCGGATGGGGAACTTCAGATCGCCCGAGATGCTAAATGGAATGCTATTCGTGATATGCAGCGGTCACAATTAGCCGAACTTGGACTTGAGAAGGTTAGAGAGAAGGTGATTAGGGAGAGGCCGGCGCCGGATCCAGCTTGCAAAAGCACGTTTGAGCCTGGTGGTAGAATGTGGGTCAATGGGTTTGACGTGAGTGAGGAGAGTAGAAAGTTCTGTAGAGAGCATCTAGGATTTGAGGTATCAGTCTAGGCAATACGATCATACTGTATTTCATAAATAAGCCTTGTATCATCTTCTGGAGGCTTTGTCCTCTGCCACTAGTCTAATGTACTTACTCTTCGTCTGTCGTACATTAATATAGAATCTATAAATTTCGCTGAACCGGAGTGAACCAGAGGGCTGACCTCAGCATGTCACATATTCTTCTCAATTAGACTGAATAGGTCACACTGAGTTATCAAAGTTAGAGGTATGATATGTTTAAGTAATTACACGTAAGATAATAGTAATCGCTTTTCATGCATATCACTTTACTGCTGCCTTTCTTTCTCTTGGTCATTAACCTGATATCCAACGATCATGTGCACAACGATAGGTATGAACATCAACCGCAAAACGTGATAGGTGAGTGCGGTAGCAAAACGGACTTTAATAACAAGCACAGAAGAAGAAAAAGGGAATTTGGCTAATTCAACCGAGGGAGAGAAATGTTTCTATTCAACTTTTGCCAAAATAGTAGCGAATAAGTGCAAGTATTCTAAACGAATTGCGCCACATATCGCTTGAAGCCGAAATAGATATGCACGCGGTAAACATCAGGCAAAGTGGTCTAAGAGACGTAGAGAGAACCTGGGTCTTTCTCGATCACAAATATCTCTCACCACAGTTTTATCTCCTCTTTCCTTCGCCTGACACGGGCTTTCAAGCCTGGATGGGCCACATGAGTGGCTCCACGTTGAAACCACGCGCCTTCTTCAGGAATCGTGACCAAAACGTCATACTTCATTATCACATGGCAGAGGAGTATCTTTTGCATATACGATGCAAAAAACCTCCCAGGGCATGCTTGAGATCCGTGGCCGAAACCGAAATGGTCTTTAGAAGTTGATGTGAAGTTGTATGATGCCTGGCTTGCAGAAGAGTCTGCTTTTTGGCGTAGATTGTAAAATCGGTAGCCATCAAATTGGTCACCATCAGGCCACACTGAAGCGTCGAGCATATGGCAACCCGATACCAAGAGTGGAGTTCCTTTGGGGATAATGAGTCCATCTGGTAACACGACTTCCTCTAAAGCGATTCGTTGCATTTGGACTAATATCAACGGTCAAGTGGGGCTCCTCGTTCGCAGGTGAGTGAGACTTACGAACGGACTCTGGATGCATACGCATAGCCTCCTTCAGGACACTGTCCATGAGAACGAGATTCTGTAAGGTGTTCTTGTTGAAGCCCTCATTTCCAACCACATTTATAACCTCAGAACGAAGATCCCTTATAAGCTGATCATTCCTCCAAACGGAATGAAGAACATGAGTAAACAATTCGCCTCCTCCGTCGTATGACACGAGACAGAGAGCAATTAACATAGACCCAAGCTCATCTGAACGACCTTCAAGCTTTTGATGTAAGAAGCTTAAGGGATTACTGGGGTCAATTTCCAGCTTTTCCTCGTCTAGCTTTTTCTTCAAAGGCTTCAACAGCAGATTGATATGATCGAAGAGGGACTGAAGCTTCTGACAACTTGGAAGAAAAGGTGCGGCAAATTTCTTTGCCCATTTCGGGAAGGCTCGAAGCTCATATCCGGCCAAAGCTGATAGCTCCACATACTCAGAGCTCGCATGCACCCACTCTGGGTTGCGATAAAAGTCTTTGTCGTTGATGAAAGTCCTAGACATTATCTGTCCAAATATTTTCCACACGCAGTCTTTCAACATAACTTCGTGCCATTCTGATATACTTGTCAGCCCCAATCTCAATATAGATAGATTATGGAGTGATACCAGGTTCGTCAGTCCAGACCTGACGAAGTGCATAGTCGGACTCTTCATTAAGTGGCTCAACAAATGTCCCTTTTATAGAGTTAGATAGGGATTCTAGTACAAGGAAATGAGGTGGGAAGGGTCTTACCCAAATGACGAGTAAGTGAATGCTTCGTTACAGCTCGTACCATTCTTGTTTTGCTTGTCATTGATTCCATTGCCTCGAAGCCATGTACACCATTGACAAGTTTCTATTCCTTTGTCAGTCTTTGATTTCCCTGCAGGGTGGTTTGCTTACATCTGCAAGCGCTGTGTTGAAATCCAGACGCGTTTCATTGCGGATCATATCCGCATAGTTACGAGAAAGAATTAAGCGGTACCTAGAATCAGTATAGAGATAAAATGCATCTCCGTACTGCTCAAAAATGAGATCTTAGATAGAGAAACCCTATCGGAATCGGAATATGACTGACCTTCTCCAGAGAGGACCTGACGACACCAAGGCAATCTTCCCGGAAACGCTGTCTAGCTCTGCCATTGCCCAACTCATACCATCTTCTGCCAATTACAGGCAGCCCAGATGGATTCTTCAGCTGTGTAGATTTCCACCAATAGCCTAGAAGGCAGATGACGAGTCCATAAAATATGTAGGGGCCGCTGAACTCCAAGTTTTGATATCTTGAAACCTTTTCTTTTAGACTGAAAGACATTTTAAGCAATGCCGTAACAATGAGATGGATTGAATGTTTGAGTAGGGGGAAAAGACCCTGCACGGCCTACGCTGCTTGAGGATAATTGTGAGGTGGAAAAGCGACCAAACCCCCTAGTCACCTACGTAATACCCCATAAATTAACTACGATTAACGCAGCTGAATAATTGATCCAGCATGCAATGTATGGGTTAAAATTTCTCTCTAGCTGGTAATATATACAGTTCAAGAGAAATACCGTGACCAACAGAAAACAGCTAGTTCAATTGGGTCTTAGCGTAAAAAGGTGCACGGCAATATTGAAAATCGATCGACATGTTTGATGAGGGGTCATCGCATCTTGAATGGATCCGCAGTTCAGCTCTCCATCCCACATACGACGCAAAAATTAGTAAAAGTCTCCGCAGCGCATTCTATTGGACAACCCGTACTTGCTCTGCCAAACTACCAACGGTCGGTACCTATAGGCTCAGGGAAGCCAAGGCAAATAGTCGATCGAAATGATATGTCACAAGTTGCAGAATGACGATCACGTCACACAAGATCCCAACAAAATGCGAAAGGGACTACAGTATGCACTGCAGTAATGCCCGGAATAATCACTGTGCCCGGTGGACTTTCATGCAAGTATAAAACAATCAATTCTGGGAGGCGATAGCACAATTCTCCACCATCTGAGAAAGTCCACTGAGTCCACATGTCCGACATGGACTGACAACGCTCTATCACATTGATACGTAGCGCAATCCCCTCGGCCCCTCCATGCCTCCACTTCTTTCCAGACTACCCTTCTAAGGCATTAATCCCATATTTATCAAGTAACAAGGCCTTTTGTAGTGCGGAAGCATTTCATATAAGTGTCAATTATTGGCTGATTCCTCGCTTCATTCACCTGGTCCTTTTTAATTAATTCCCTTACCAATCTCTGTCATTTTATCTTTTTACAACCCCATTCCCGGGCAACCACACGAACGTGACTCTTCAGATTTGCGAGAATTGCCGATATATTCTGCCATAATGTCGAATATGGACATTTCTCAGCTTATCAAGTCCATTGATCTCGTCACTTCTTCCGGTAGCCTCGAGACTGCGGACCCGCAGCAGCTAGCTCAGCTTTCTCAGGCTTGTGATCGATTGAAAAGTCGTTGTGAAACTCCTCTGGATAAGACACTGAGGCTCTCTTATACGGTAATATTTCAACTCCCCCGAATCGGGTTCTCCAAGTGTGGGTTAGGCTGATCGGCTTCAAGTGCCACCAAGCCATCACAGTTCGTCTTGCTGTAGATCTTAAGCTCTTTGATGCTATAATTAAGCGGGCTTCTGAAAGCGAAGATGGGAAAGTACGCGTTGGTCAGCTCTCTGAAGATGTCAAAGCGGATCCAAAGCTAGTTGGTAAATATCTGTCTCTTCCTACTACTCAAGGTCTTGCTCGGTGTTGATGAGAATTAGGAAGGATTATGAGGGCACTTGTGCCTTTGGATATTCTCAAACAACACACCTCTGATACCTTCTCATCCACGCGATTCACATCGTCCTATGTTTCGTCGTTCTGGATGTCTGGAGCGATAATATTCTTGTGAATATCCCTGTCCCTACGTTTCAAAAGTCAATATATAACTAACATATGCAGCACTCATATGTTTCTTTTCATCGCCCAGTTACCCGAATATTTCAAAGAGAAAGGATGGAAGAATCCAGATGATCATGATGACTGCCCATGGAACTTCGTACTTGGGTCCAAGCGTGGATATTTTGATTACATGGCGTCGAAGCCTTATTACCAAAACGCTTTCGACACAGTCATGGCATCCCCCTACCGTCGGGACGAGAAGAGCTGGGTGGATTTCTTCCCAGTTGAGAAGAAGCTACAGGTTCAGAGCCCCTCCGAGGTTCTTCTAGTGGATGTCGGAGGTGGTCGGGGTAAAGATCTCGCGGCCTTCCGCGAAAGGTTCCCCAACTTGCCGGGAAGACTTATTCTGCAGGATCTGTCTCATGTGACGGAGACCGCAGAAAGCTCCATGGAAATCGAGACTCAGGTTCACAATTTCTTTGATGAGCAGCCTGTTAAAGGAGCAAAGGCGTACTATCTCCGCACCGTTCTCCACGACTGGCCAGACAAGCAGGCCGTGGAGATTTTATCGAGGCTTCGTGAGGCAATGAGTCCCGACTCTTTGCTCTTGATTCACGAGAAGGCCATGCCGGAGACCAACATTCCATGGATGGCTGCAATTGGTGATATGACTATGATGACTGCTTTCGCAGCAGCGGAGCGAACCAAGAATGAATGGGAGATTCTGCTCAACAAAGCTGGGCTGAAGCTCAATGGGTTTTGGAAACCCGAGGGCTCTGATGCGCAGCAACAAGTCATCATAGAGGGTGCAGTCCATTCATGTGAATATTGTTAGCCTCGTGGTTTAGAGATTACTTGATTCCGAAAATTCAAACACATCCAAGGATGCATTGTTGATCTGTAATCTGCAAGACTTTACCTAACGTAGAAAGCCCACAGTGGTTGAAATAGTACTTTTATGGTGCAGTGCTACACTTGAGCCTCATGGGGCTCTAATCAGCACGAATTGCACTTGGATTATGCTTCTAAATCCCAAATACGATATATCTCGGTGAAATCCTGACGAGATGATACTGTCGTGACAAGCTCTCAAGTGCCACTGAGCCGGCAATCCAGCATTAACTGCCATTTGACTTTTAAGTTTTGCTTTGGGGGTTTTACTTTTCTCCAATCTCGGGCTGGTCATCGTGGCAGCAGAGGAGCGAATCGATGCGTATGTGTGGAGATAGGTTACTCGATGCACAGCATGGCACACCGCTCTTAGCCAAGACGTCCACCATTTCAATTTATGCCGGGGCATTACAATGCATGCATATGATATATGTATGTAGGTACAACATCTCATGTCTACCCCTCATTATATGTAACAATTGAAGTGGGGCGAGTATTTTGTAGGAATACATAAATTTACATGTAATTTACATCCGGACCATACTGCTGTAATTTTCAAGATCAAAAAATGTCAAGCCCTCCGGGGCTGGACTTGAGGAATGGAACACCTGCCTGGTCATTACCAATAGAATCAGATTATTGACTAATAAAGACACCAACTAAGGCCTTCGTTGAGATGATGGGTAGAAAGCAAACATCAATACTTGTGCAACCTTGGGTTTTGGAACCTCAATCGCGTCTTGATTCCCCGAAATATGTCAAATCTTCGGGGCTCTTCAAATTTAGTCTCTTTAATTAGGACACGTGTGTCTAAATTGATAAGGGAAGTCTACAATAGTAGCAATGTCTTGTTTAAGGCAACTGACATGCGAGCTGATCAGCGCAGCCTTCCCCCATACATGAATATACATGTCTTGTAGACGGGGAAACTATTCAAGTATGTAGGGATGATCCCAGAGAGGAAATCTGATGTGGATGACGATGACCGATCAATTGACAAGATATGTACGCATCTCAATCTTCGCACCAGGGTGTCATCCACATCTGGAATGAGTTTATTTCGTCCACTCGATCGCATGCAGGTCCGAGGTCTTAGGCCGATCTCTACTAGGTATCGATACTTCGCTAGCATCACTATCTCAGGCCATCAAAGCCAGTGTGTTGCAGGTGGCTAATTCCAAGATTTTCGTGCTTCCAGTACACTGGTTTCACTGACAGCTCCCACTTTTTCAATATGTATCTCAGCAGTCACGCGAGAAGCCTGCAGGTTCCTGTAGGTATCCCGATGGGTATCATCTTTGATTCCCGCGCTGCGGATAGCCTATTCCTTGTTCATCTTGGATTATCTTGGAGTTGACAAGCCTCTCTTTCGTATATCCTAGGCTCAAACCCTAAGGCGATATTTAATCTCATACAATCCTCCTTCCAATTGTCTCCGCATACCACTTTCTCGTACCCTTACTCATCACCGCGACACAATGCAAGCCGTTCGTGTCCACCCAGCGCCTTCTGGATCCGCGCCATACACACCCTCCAACCCCGCGCCATCTACAGCGCTCAATCTTGATCAAAATGTTCCCATCCCCAAGCCCTCCCAGCCAGGGGACATCCTCGTTCGCGTCAAAGCCACATCCATTATCCGTGACATGCTAACCTGGCCGGAGACCTACGCTCACGAGTACGCCATTCTCGGCAGTGACATTGCTGGAGTTGTGACCGAGGTCCTTTCGCCTACCAGCAAGTTCAAGCCAGGTGATAACGTCTTCGGTATGACAGATGTAAACCGCGCGGCTACATGGGCCGAATACACGATCGCCAAAGAGGATGAAATCGCGCTGAAGCCGACTGCCTTGAGCTTCGCCGAGGCTGCAGCCATGCCACTCAGTGCTTCAACGGCGTACGAGGCCTTGTTCGAGCATGCCGGCATTCCTCGACCCACTGTGGATGAGCTCCGCTCGCGGTCCGCACGGATCAAAGACCGCCGCGTGCTAATCACCGGAGCAGGCGGCGCTCTCGGCCTATATCTCGTGCAAATGGCTGCAGGTGCTGGCGTAACTGTAGTTGCCGCGAGCAGCTCGAATTCTCGCAATGGTGAATTTCTCCGGGCCCTAGGTGCAGACGAAGTGGTCGAGTATAGCATGCTGGAGGAACATCGAGGGACATTCGACGTTATTATTGATGTTGTCGGGGGTGATTTGTTGAAGAAATGTTGGGGCTATGTAAAGGAGACAGGGGTTTTGATTTCGCTGGAGTCTGCCAGCTATGATTTTGTTGAAGAGCATCGGAAGCTCGGGCTTTGTAAGGATGGAGTTCGTGCGGTCTTTTTCGTCGTCAAAGGCAGCTCGGAAGCCTTGCGCTACATTGCTGATGCAGTGGACGCAGGTGCCCTTCGGTCATTTGTTGTGGACACATACCCGCTCACGAAAGCGCGAGAGGCGTATGATCTTGCGAATGGGCGGTATTCTGGGCGTGGGAAGTTCATTCTCAGTATTTGATTATGAAAATTGGTTAATTTGGGATTGCGTTGTCTTCTTTCATCATCATTGCAGCTGGCTCTGACCTAAGACGTTGACGATATCTTCCTACATGAGAATATTTTAATAGCTTGTGAAAGTCTGAATGATCGGATGGCAAGCACTTCGGCAATTAAAAGGAGACCAAAGAGAAATTAACTCCAACACTTCCCTGGTCAAATTTAAGCGAGGTGCGAAGGTTGGGGCTTCTGCAACGTCCCAGTCGATTCTCCGACCGGCTGATGGGCCTTGAAACCTCGAATTCGTTAAGATTATGAGTCCACGCAGGATATCGTATGCTCTCAGAAAAACGCAAGACACCTCAGGAATAGGACTTTTGCGTACAGTAGGATGTCCAAAAGAGACGAATGACGGGACCCATAGGTATTTGAACTAAAGATAAGCACTGCTGCCATATCAGATCGCTCCTCATTAACGCTGCTTTCGTCGCTGCATAAGCACAGCCAAAGGTACATCGTCCTCATCATAGAATTCCACGTCCTCGTCAACGCCAAAGTCACGGAGTCGCTCTCCTTCGGCATTCCGCCAGGACTCCTCGCCTTCATCAGAGTCATCGCCATAGACTGGTCCAGGTCCTCGGTCTTCATCACTCTCATAGGCTTCCTTTTCGAATCGATCGTGGAATCGCTTGCGTCGTTGAACTTCAGAATATGGCCTGCGGCGATCGATATCTTCTGCCTGGCGCTGTCTGAATGCCTCAAGGGTATCTCGGGCAGATGAATATGATTGTAATGGGAAGTCATTAGGATCTGGTCGGCTTACTGGCCAAGGAATACGATCTGGATCAGGCGGTGGCCATGAGGATCCAGGATCTATACATACCCAGTGGTTAGCATTACTCGTTACGAAGCATCGGCTGACATACCCTCAAAGCCATTCGTTTCAAACTCCCACCCAGTGCGACGGTCAGGGGTAGCTGCTAATGGCCAAAACCAGCTGAGAATCTATATGCGGCGTTAGACAGATTTTGAGATTTCGAACGGTGAAACGAACGTTTGCGCTTCCTCCCATTCCCTCTTTGATGTTGGTCCAAATTCCAATATCATACGGAAACTCATGCTTCTTGATTCGGACTTTTATCCCACCTGGTCCGTCGAGATGACCACCAAGAACACGGGCTCGTCGGACGAGTGTATCGTGTCGTTCTATCTCCCAGGATTCAATGGTGGTCATATTGAAGATAAGCGAATACAAGCTTCGCACAAGGAGAATTAACAGAGCGAAGACAGTCAAGCTGTTGACAACGAACAAAATAAATAGATGTCCTAGTTGCACAATAGAGGGACCCATATACTGGAAAAGTCAGTAACTGGGATTGAAAGAAGAATAGACTGCTTACACTGGGTAGGTTTCGGTTACCCCAGACAATAGACGCACGGCTCCAGAGAAGGGTCTCGAGGTAAGACATGCCAACTGTTGCGTAGAATAGAAAACGGATAAAGTGGGGAAAAGTAAAATGTGATACGCAATTGGAGGTCCACGGGCAATGGTGATCCATTTTTGGAATACACCTAGATCGATGTTAGTACATACCACGCAAAATTTGAGCCAAAGCAGCCTTGTGATATTATGCAACCTTTGACATGTCTTGCAATGATGTGCCCGCAGTGGCTTGTAAGCCTCACATCTACGGCACCATCGCTGCCGACCCGTGGCAGGCTCCTTCTCCTGCTTGTCGGGATTTGCTGAATTTTGATCTGAAGGTAGCCGACCAGGGTCTACATAGCAAGCTCGAAAGTAGCATATCCAAATGCATAAAGCGAAGATGTTGATTTTCCAGACTTCATCTCTCCGGAGTGGTGCATCCTCGAACCGCAGAAAGAAGTACTGGGATGAGTAAGCGAGAAAGCTGATCAGCACGCTGACCGCTGGGATGGCCAGCTGCGATATTGAGAAGTCATCGCGCATTTTTGACCTGACAACTTGCTACAATAGAGACGAGAAGGAAGAGTGAAGTCCGTGGACGTGTTGTTTATGGGGTGATGACTAAGCGGCACTGGGCGCTGAGGTCTTGACAACTGCACTGGCAAGCACGCCAACAGGACCTATATCGACATGGTCTTACATTTCCATCTCTTGGGTGCAGTATAAAAACCCTTGATACAAAGAAACACCTGACACGGCGAAGACAAAAGCACTTCAATGTCCGGCCACGAAATCTACGAGCTTGCAGAGTCTCAGTGACGATCGCCACCGCTTTGCTGACTAAGTGCGATTTCGAATTGAATCACGTCCAGCATTTGTTTTCATAAACTCTTGCAAAATGTTTCATTGTTTGCCCAAGATTCTTCCTTTTCATGGTACATCCCATCTTAATCAAGTATCTGATGGGATCAAAGCCATGTATGTTTGATATACAGCGCTCATAATGCCGATTGAGGCCCTCCCCCCGGCCACAGTCAGGGCAATCGGATCTACATCTGTGATCTCCGATCCTTGTTCTGTGGTCAAGGAACTCATCGACAATTCTTTAGATGCTGGGTCATCTTCAGTAATGATCGAAATCTCGTCAAACACCGTGGACGTGATACAACTCAAGGACAACGGACATGGTATCCCAACTGAAGACCACCCATACGTCTGCAGACACACGTATACCAGCAAGATTCAAACCCTTGACGATTTGAAAAACGTTGGTGGAATGTCCTTTGGCTTTCGTGGGGAGGCATTGGCCAGCGTGGCTGAGATGTCTGGCTGCATCACTATTACCACCCGTATCGCTTCAGAAATTATTGGGTCGTCTCTGAAATACGAAAGGGACGGCCAGCTATCTCAGTATGTGGAGCTTGGTACATACTCCTGTGAACTGTGTAATTAACACTCTAGAAGGTCCCAGCCGGCATCTCATCCGGTCGGCACGACTCTCCGTATTGCTCACTTTCTCAAGCACATTCCGGTCCGCAGGCAGGTAGTCTTGAAGAGTGCTACCAAGATCCTCACGAAAATCAAAAAGCTGGTTCAAGCCTATGCCATTGCTCAACCTTCTAAAAGGTTCTCGTTGAAAGTTCTCAAAGCGAAAAATGAAAACCAGAACTGGATGTATGCGCCGAGTACTGATGCGACACTCTCCGATGCGGCCGTCAAGACATTTGGTCGAGAGTTGTCATCGTGTTGTGTTATCAGGGAACTCTCAGCCGGATCTTCATCATTGCAAAGTGACCCAAATAAGGATGGATACGGTGTCGTGGCTTTTCTCCCAGGCCCAGATTCAGGTGATTTTCACTGTCGACTGCTCAGGCGACATGCTGACCTTGGCAGATATCTCCAAAATCAACAACTCAGGGCAGTTCATCAGTGTGGATGGACGGCCATTGTCTGCTACCGCCGGCATTGGTCAGGATATTGCAAAACTTTTCAAATCTTACATCCGTGCTATTGCGTCAAAGCATGCAGTGACGAGGTCGGTCACCGACCCGTTCCTTTGTCTCCAACTTAGCTGCCCACGGGGCTCATATGATGTTAACATCGAGCCGGGCAAAGATGATGTTCTCTTCGAGGATCGAGACGTCGTGGTTTCTATCATAGAAGATCTGTTCAATGAGCACTACGGACCACTCGGGGATTCTCGGCCAAAAAGTTCAGTGAAAGACAAGTCTTCCCGTACCAAAAAGAGCGATCAATTTGACATCATGCTGGCTCGGAGACCATTGACCGAAGTTTCCACGAAATCTACGCAGATGATAGAGAAACCTTCCCAGTCTGCAGTCATCCAGGGGGCTCCATACTCTGAAGCTCAGTCCCAAACGGCCACCTGGTCCGCGAGCCAATCCAGTCAAGAACCTTTGATGCGCTCAGTGGAAAGTAGGAAGCCTCGTTCTGTTAACCCTTGGTCTGTCACGGGCATGAATGCATCCTTACGTACCCCGAGAAGGGACCTTGCTCCTCAGTCCAAAAGTCCAGAACTTGGATGGGTTGAATCATCGCCGGGGGACATACGCCCTACGAAATCTCGGAGGAATAGCCAACCCTCGCCTCCTGAAAGTCCCGAACTCACAAGTCCCTCCCTTTCGCGACTGGTGTCAACATCTCCCACCAACCAGCGACGACAGTCCCAAGCACGGCAACCGCAAAGCCCTCCAATTGAGACAAACTCAACGAGTAATTCCAGAAAGGCAGCAAGACAACGTGATAAAGAACGGTATGGCAATGGGGCGCTGGACACCTGGTTCACCCGAACCACACAAGTCTCCCTCGGCGAAGACTCCGTGGTCACTGCGCAAGAGGAAGCAATTCCAACTATTTCCCAGCTTGCTTGCGAGAGATTTGGGGCTCAATCTAACGACATTGAAAGTGGGAATACAGTTGGCAAGGAAAATTCTGGACGTGAGGATCACGTATTAGAACATCATTTACCTTCGCCATCTCAAACTGACCAACACACCGGTGAGGCTGGCTATCAAGGCTCTATGGACAGCGGTCGTGGATTCCCAGTTCTTGAGAGATGGGCCGCCAATCTTCGAGAAGACTTCAATCCAGATAAGGATTCAGAGGTGGAAAGGGCTCTTGACTTCGAGAGACGCAAGAAAGAAGCGATCCAAAATTATCGCGCGCGCCAGGCCACAAATAATACGCTACCAAGCTCTCAAGCTAGTTCTCATGGCCCGCACCACAATCGATATATGAAGGCCAAGGCTGCTTTGGCATCAGATCGACCGTTCGCCCCAGAAACAGAGTATAATAGCTGCTTTCCTCTTAATGATCCTAGAGAATATCTCATTCGCCAAAATGCTCGAGGGTTGCCTAAGGATAACACCAAGATCCGACACGTTCCTAGCAGCAAATTGCCCTTCGAACATATACCCGAGGGGTACGATATTCACGATCTTGGTCTATCCTTATCAACTGATTTACTGCATGTGAAGAAGGCCTTCACTTTAATGGCTACTCATGATTCTTATACGCACGACGGAAAGGAAGACAAGCTTTCCGCATCAGCTGTGGAATCTCAAGCGCCAGCCTGGAATGCTCGAATTAACACCATGATCAAGAAAAAATATGAAGCCAAGGAGGCACGAACCGCTGATCTGAAGATTGATTTTTCTACTTTCATTGATCATCTCAAGCTTTTTGATGCCTGATCTTTTATTTGCTCTAATATTCGCCTCTATTCTAGCGAGTATATCCTATATTTGCTCCAACAACGCCTTTAATGCCTGTTCAATTTTATAGCCAGCATGTACACTACTCGATATACTTTACTGATTTATCTCAAATGAAGACATTTTTTACAAATCCCGATGGCTTTGAAACCTGATTTGCGGATGAAACATTCCGGGGCACGTCGTTACATAAGATTGACATCACCACATGAGCAATACACAACACCTCCAAAGACGCCAGCTTTTTTTTTCTTAATTGTCGCGTCGAATTCACCAACTCAGTGCGATACTAATTGGGCACTTTGGCAACATGGATGTGGTGAACAAAGTGGCTGAACATGGACCTAGGTCTTCCAGTCCCCTCCAACCACCTCCATTCCACACATTTCATCCCGAAGTCCATGGAACCACCGGCAATATCGGGATATTGAAATCGACAATTCTCCCCTCATTCAGTCTATACTCTAGCCTTTCGGTTGCAACTTTTGTAGCAGCCAAAAAAACCGACCGTGTCGAGCTGAAAGACTGGCTATGGCCATCAAGCCAAGTCCTCAACGCATGGTGGAGTGCCGTCGGGCGAGATATGTACAAGAATAATGTTACATTCTATGCCGCTTGGGGCAAGCTCAGCTGGACAGAGAAGCTCCTTCTTGGATCGGTTACAGTTTGGGGCATGAGACTATTTGCCCGTATCGCGCGTCGGTCTGTGGTTCGTGGGAAAGATGATTCGCGGTACGAGGCGCTCAAGAAAGACCCCGGGTTTTGGAGAACGGCGCTATTCAAATTGTTTCTCCCAGAAGCTGCTATCCTGTCTATTATCTCCTTGCCTTTTACGCTGCCATTCAACTGGAGTGGGTCCACTGTTTCACTCGGTGCGGAATGTTTGAATAAGATTCGCGCTTTCGGTGTTGGACTTTTCAGTGCTGGGTTTGCACTGGAGGTCATGTCTGATACTCAACTCGAGCTTCATCGTGAGGAGCGAAACGATCTATGTCGAGACGGAGTGTGGAGTCTAGTCCGACATCCGAAGTAAGTACCTCTCGAGTTTCAGTGTCTTTTTACTTTTGACTAATTTCACTAGCTACCTTGGCGATACTCTGGTGCATATCTCATTTGCCGTTCTCAACTTGGCCAACTCTTTCAACCCCGTCGTTTTCCTTGGGCCACTTTCGAACTATCTATTCCTCCGATTTGTTGGTGGCGACAAGCAGACCGAGGCTAGTCAAGAAGAAAGGTACCAAGCCAGTGATACAGAAAAGCTCACACAGCTCCGAGAATGGCAGCGTGAGAAAAACAGTTTCTGGCCATCACTGCGAGATTTAGTTAGCCCGTGGGCTTTGGCTGTCTATAGCTGCGGATTCATGGGTGCTTTCGCAGAGGAAGTGGTAAGGACTAGATACAACCTGTCTTGAATTTGACAGACAATGCAATTCCATTCTATGCAAATATTTCGGAAGAGGTTCCTAATAACCCTTTCCTCCATATTGGTTAATTAAAGGCAACCCCTTCGCCATGCGGTCCAAGTTGATTCGAAGAATTTGGAGCGAGCGCCAGAAATACTCTCTACCCGCTCCACTGATGTGCGGACTAATCTGCACATTTGGCGCATCCCAAAGAGGATGATCGGCAGGTAAGGGTTCAGGGTTTGTAACGTCAAGTGCCGCACCACCCAGCTGCCCAGACTTCAAGGCCTCGATCAATGCATCTTGGTCAAGCACCTTTCCACGTGAGATGTTGGTCAGATATGGCTTGACGCCAGGGTTCTTAGAGTTTTTAGCTAAGAGCGCGTATTCCTCATGACCCAATAGATGGGTCGTCTGAGGGGTAAGCGGGACAGAGACGACCAGGTGATCTAATCCGAGTGAGAGGAAGTCATGAATAGAACTCTTATCCGTGCCATGGTGCCATGATACGGGGATTGTTCCTTCAGGATCTCCAGTTCCTGGAACGATAAACCCGTTATCGCGGCGTGACTCGGGTGTTGGGCGTGGAGAAGCCGTGTAGGCGTAGACGGTCATTCCCATTGCTTGAGACACACGGGCGACTGGCAGCAGTTAGCGAATTTGTTCTCACTCTATTTTGAGGATATCGGACATACTCTGTCGGCCAATACTACCATATCCCAAGATTCCAACTGTCTTGCCAACTTGGTCGTAATTGGTTTGCATCCACGGGGTATCTTTATCCCATCTGTGCTCCTTCTGTGCCTCGTATGTCAAATTGTATTTCCGAGCGGAGACGAGCCAGTTCATAATGGTCCATTCAGCAATTGGTGGGCCGTGGATACCAGAACTGGTAGTGAACGGGATGAGACCACTCTTCAGAATAGGGTTATTCATAAGATGGTCCAGACCCGCGGAGAACGTGTGGACAACCTTCAAGCTATGCGCATGTTAATAGAGCGAATACGGAGGTGAAGGCCTCGGTTCCTTACTTTTCGGCATCCTCGGGTTCTGGCAAGTTGACATATGTGACAAGTATAGTCGCCTTGCGGAATAACTCTACAAGCAATGATCAGTATGTATAGTGAGGTTTTTGTCCTTCAGGATCGTGACATACCACTCGGTACCTTTGCGCCCCGGATCGCAGGGAACATGGTAATCTCGACATCGGCAAACATCTTGCGAATGACCTCCAACAGCGAATCAGATAAGTCATAGTTCAGAATAATGAGCACATGCTCGCTGGGAACTGGCGCTTCACCCATTTTGACAATGCAGAGATGTGACAGGAGCTGATATGAAAAGTCGCGAGACACGCATTTTGAACATGTCAATGGAAGGCGGGGTGGGGGCCCCGCAGCCGTTTGAAGCTTGGAATCGGTGATAGGCGAGGCTGCTGATAAAGATAAGATGATGTGATTCGCTGTCCCGGTGTGGAGAGGAAATGGTTATTGGTGAGAGCATTATGGTGCTCGATTGCGCCAGGTTGAGTGGATGCCTGATCAACCTGGCATCAAGGTACGATGCAATGGGCGTGGCCAATGAGCATAGAATCAGTTTCCCAGGTGCACGTACTACGAAGGCAGTGTTGGATCTGTCCGCTTCGAGATTGATTCGAAGCAACAGTGGATACGACGAAACCCGATTGGATCCGAGCCATGGATGGGCTCGGGAAATGCGAATTCGCATTTGTCATTGACCGGACATTCACCAGTTGATTCTATGCGTTGATATTCCTCTTTCCTCTAGAATGATCATCCACCTGTGCCTCCCCTTTCTCCTCCGGTATACGCTCCAAAGTGCGAAGATTGGACTAGCAAGTAATCGCAAATGGGTACTCAGACCAAGAAGGAAGGCGTGCGCATTCTAGCTGTTCGTAAAAAACCCGGAATCTCTTTCCCTTTAGAGTTCCAGTCACCCCTTATCAACAATCTCGCCAAGCCAAAGCTCCTATAACAGTTTGGGTCTGAGCCATTCGTTTTTAGCGCATTCATTCTAGCCCAATCATGGGCGTAAAGCATCATCACAAAAGACGGACAATCAAACCGCAAAACAAGTCCCTCCCCGTTTTTCTCGCTCCGCCCATTACACTCTTCAGGATCCACGCCAGTGGGACTCCGCGTCAGTGAGCAATAAAGATTGAACAATCTATGATTCTCTCAGGTTCCCGATAAGCCACACGATCGAGATCAATGAACTTTCTGATTCCCCGTGCATACAACAAGACCGCACGGACTAGATGGATAAACGGCACTTTCACTGCAGTCTCCGTGCAGGTGGAGCTAACATCCCGTGCGAGTAGCTCCACTCGGTTCACGCTCATTCCCGAGTTTCTGCAGAATGTCAATCTCAAAATGATCCGACTGGACCCTGAGCATATTGTAGGTTTCGCTATTGAAGCCCATGGTGACAAATCATCAAATCATGTTGCCAGCTTGTCGAGCCGTGATGCTGCATCGAATTGCCGTCGATCTTGATTTACCCCTGATGTTCTACGCCTAAAGGCGCCGGCCAAGGCCGTGCCATCGATCGACATTCCTCCTTTTCTAGATCGCGATGGGCCGTGACTGCACTACTTTAGACCCCACGGTTCTCGATTTCACGAGGCACCCGTGCAGATCTTCACCGCAATTGACGCCACGACCGAGTGACCAAGCCTTAGTCTGCATTTCAAGTCATAATGCTCGGTTAGTTCGTCCTTAAAGTTCAGCCGTCGTACACGCGGGTCGTTGCTCGACATGCGATTCCATGGTGCCCGACCTGTCATAATTGAGATCGAGTCTCTACACCCACCCTCCCACCAGACCCTGCAGCTTTGGCGTCTTTTGCTTGCCACATTGGGTATTAATCACGCTCATCATGGTTCCGTTCGCGCTGAGGTGCATCATCAGACTCCATTCTAGCCGTCAGTCCATTTCACATATGCAGTTAGTAGGATGTCATATGCACAGCGGGACTAGACTCTTCTGCCATTCGCAACTACAAATGTACTTCCATCCCCCTTTTCCCTTCGCTGTGACGCGTTACTATTTGCATTTTTCCTTTGTTTCCCGGGTCAGATTATACGCCTAGCCATGACCGAATCGCAAAAAGACAAGACCCTTTTGCGCCGAGTGGTCGAGGCCGCTCTCAATCGCCACGAAGACGCCTACCCACCCATGGCTGCACACGCTACCGCTGCAGCGGCTCGGAAAAATAGCGGTTTTGCAAACAAAGGCGACGTGGAAGGGCAACAATGGAAGATTGGGACAAGTCAACCCGAAACACTTATTCCAGCCAACGATAAGCTGCTTATCTTCCGCGCCTTGACCGGTATCGACAGCGTCCCCGCCCTCACGCAGGGAGGCCATCTTCTCCGAAGCGCGCCCAACGTCGGTATCTATACGCGTGTCATTCGTAACGAAACCAAAGCCGCGCGGGGATACCGTCTCTTCAACTACATGATCAACGTATGTTTGGGTGTCCAAATTGTCGTCGCCGCGGCTTTAACAGCGCTCGGCGCAGCAAGTGGTCCACATTCCGCCATCACGGCATTCGGCGCCATCAACACCATTGTGGCTGGTATCCTGACTTATCTGCGTGGATCTGGTCTTCCTGATCGCTTGAAAGGCTACCAAAACAAGTGGAAGCACATCCGCGAATATATTGAACAACGCGAACGTGAATTCTGCTTGGTGGGTATTGATCTCGACGTGCAAGAAGAAGTCTTTATCGTGGAGAGCATGTACCAAAGCTTGAAATCGGAAATGGAAACGTCGCGGAGTGCTGGTGATAGCCAAACACAACAGCCAGATGATCCGAGGATTCGGCGGTCTCTTCTTCCCACGCATAATGAGCTCAGTGGTCAACGGCCATCGGTGACTCCGGCGAAACGTTCTACGGCGTTGCATTCGCACGATGAGGAACCAGTTAGCCCAATCACTATTCCTGAGAAGACATATGAGCACAACTAAGCTCTTTTTCTTGATGGTTTCCTTACTTTAATCAACGCCCATACTATATTTATCTGGCTGCCCGCCCTGGAAGTGGAGTAGGCTCCCGACCCATTCGCGAGTGGGGAGGTTTGCCGCTTCTTCGCGAGTTACTCGCAAGTTACACTTCTAATTGGAAAGTCCCATGTTATGTACTATTTCCTCACGACTTTAATTGCGGAAATTGGTTGGTGTCCATGTCGATACTTCCGGAAATGGAGACATGGACGTGAACCCAGCTAGGCAGGTCACGGATTACTACGATGGCCATGGTCAATCATGTTATAATGTCTAAATATATACGAAAATTCACATCTGGTTTCATATTTACACTCTTCAATGGCTGTGGTTACTTACCGCTGCATAGCCATCTTTCGCAAAGGCTTAATTCAACGTGCATCGCAGAGCGCACATCAGTCAAACTCTGCAGCCTACAGAGTATCCAGCTACGAGACCATAACGAAAGAGGAAAGATGTCTTAGACACGCTACAAATAAGAACACAAATTAATAAACGTCACAGCCCGAAGTTCTGACGATTTTATCCCTCCAGCGCAAAAGGTAAATTTTCTCCGCGACCCACGCCAAACCCAAATCCGGCACCCGCCGCGACGAAAACCATCCCACCAGATACAGCAGCGAAAATCTCCGATCCCAAAAACCAAACGCAAAGCACACGGAGCAGGGCACATATATCAAATAAAAATGCTAGAAATCCATGAAGCGACGCCCGCCGACGCCCAGGACCTCGCAGAGGTATTCTTCGCGGCATTCTCAGATCCTTTCAACAGAACCATGTTCCCGCCCACAGCAGAAGTGAAAGGCTGGATAGCTGACACCTTCTTTAACGCAAAGGGACTTGCATCTGAACATGAGGTTACCTTGACGGCGACAGATGATAACGGAAAGCCCGTGGTATTCGCGAAATGGGTACGCCCCTATCACGCCGCTGCAGATCTCGATCTGCAGTCTCATGATGCCGTGGGCGGGTGGCCTGTGGGGAGTGATAAGGATCTCTGTGAATCTTTTTTTGAAACTATGAGTGACCATCATCATAAGTTGATGGGAGATCGGCCTCATTATTGTGAGACTTCTTTGCTTTTTCAATGATATCATTTTGTGCTGTTACATTACTAACTGGTGCAGATCTTGAGCTGTTGGGTGTACATCCCTCTTACCAGGGAAAGGGTCTTGCTTCCAAATTGTTGAAGTGGGGATTGGCCAGGGCGGATGAAGAGGGTGTTGAGGTTTATCTTTCCAGTTCTCCGGATGGGAAGTTTGTGTATGAGAAGAATGGGTTCAAGTCCTACGAGTCATTTTCGCCATTCCCTGGGTACGAGCAGTTAGATATGGTTCGGCCGGCTCAGCAATAGAAGTTCGCGTTTGGCGACTACGGTTACGATGGACTTCTTACCTCACGCTGGAAGCACCATGGTCATTAATCACTATCAAGCTATTCCAAATATAGTACCAGTAGAATTCGACTGGCAAACTTACATCCCCATTTCTCATAATCTCTCATGATCATATCCCATTTTCATTCATAAGATGCGCAATACATCGATCTCCTCGTTTAAGCAGATGCCATGGCTTGTGTCTCAGGCAAAGCAATCCAAGCACCAGCCATGACAATCCAAATAGCACCACAGAACCAAAAAGGTCCACCGCCTGAGACAACAGTGCTATTAAACGTAGTGATGATACACGCAATCATTCCAAAGAGACCCCAGAAGAAGCCCATAAATCCGAGTGAAAATCCACGAGTCGGGGTAGGGAAGGCCTCAACGGTGTAAATTGTGAGGGTCGCAAAGCCGGCGAAGTGTAAAAAGCTCAGAACACACTCAAAGCCCAGGAGTGCATTTCGAGACTCAGAAACAGCAGATACTAGCATGAACAGTCCAGTCAAAACTGCAATTCCAGCACCTGTGGATTTGCGTCCGATTCCCTTGACTTCCATCAGGAGGGCCGCGACGACCGGGCCTGGGATGGCGCAGATGGCGATATACACATAGCGACTGTACAGATACGGAGTATTGACTGTTGTGGCGGTGACTTTGCCCACGCCACTGTGCTCAGCGAGGTAGTTGCCGATGTAGGTCTTGTAAAGGATGAATGTCAAACCCATGACCGCCCATAGGAGGGTAAGGCATAGTGTGCCGACAGGACCAATGGAGGACACCAGAGCCTTAGTGCGAGACTTGGTGCGCAATTCGGCTTCAGATCCGTCGATCGTAGAATCAATGCGCGCGAAGGATGCTTCGGTGATCCAAGTCTGTCGCTTGTTGTGTTGAGCAATATCCTTGACTAGCTGGGTAGCCTCGGCATCACGACGACGGGCTAACAAGAACTTGGGGGTCTCGTAGAAGGCCAGTGCGAAGCGGCAGAGATACAGGAACAAGGTGATGCATCCGAAGGTCCACCAGACATATCGCCAGCCTTTGTTACTGACATAGTGGCAAGAGGCACTGCTGCTGCTGCTGCTGCTGCTCGAGGAGCCGGAGTGCGCACGCTTGTGGCTGGTAACTGAGAACGCACCACTCTTTTCGTCAGGGCCAGTACCACAGGTGTAAATCGCAATGAAAGCCCTGCGGTCGATTAGTACCGACATTCAAGTTTCCTCTTTTTTCGTCACTCACCAGCCTACAGCCGACGCGACCAATTGTCCTAATCCCCAGAATACACCTTGCATGGCGACCAAGAATTGATGGGATGCAGGGAGCGACTCCAGAAGGATCATGGCATCAACGCTCTTGTTGCCGGCCACAGCAAAGCCGACGACAAATCCCACGACGGAGAGTCCAGTGAACGAGGGCATGCCTGCACCAACCAGGCCTCCCATTCCCATAAGCACGATCGTGCTCGTGAACATCCACTTCCGACCCAGCACGTCGGACATCATCGGCCAAAGCGTCCCACCGACGGTCAAACCGACAAACAAGGTGATGAATAGGTAATCTTCATTATTACCCGAGAAGAAGAACTGGGCTTCATTACTAGCAGACGGGGCAATAACCAAAAAAGACATAACCCAGAACTACCAACGTAAGTATCCCATGGATAGATAAAAACACCAATCAGACTTACACTATCAAGGAACCACCCCACACCGGTCATTAAAAACAGAAGCCACTGATACTTCCCCATCCCAACATCCAATAAAGCCTGATTTAGCAGCTGAGCCTTAGCCGCAAAAACAGCATCAGTTCCAGCATGAGTCTCAAGTGTATCGATCTTCAACCCAAATAAATTCTTATACTCCTTCTCAGAACGAACACCATATTTCGACGGCTCGCCTTTTTCAACATCGTTCACCAACGTAGAAGCGAATGCACTCTGTGCCTCGATATTCCGACGCGGTGTGATCGAGTCGTCCTCGCTAGACATCTTGAGATAGTCGATGCACGAGGTTGAACAAATTCAGGTCCGGGGTAGAGGAAAATGAAGATAAATCAAAACATTTGAGTCGAAAATTCTCCGCTCATTACCCCACCTCAGCGGGTCTTTTATACCTCTGCAGATTAATGTATGAAAGGGAGGAAAAGTTTGCTCATGCCACCGAGCTAAGCTCTCGCCAAGGAAAAGAAAACACCGAGACCGAGCTCGGCGGGTGGGTTGGGAACCTCCTCCGCTAGTATACATGTACCTGCCTTGGTTTTTACCCAGCAGAAAGTAATTGAATCCACGGTGAACGGAGGTCTCCGCGGAGAAAAGCTTCACGCGCAATAGATTTCGTTACGATGCGGAAAGTACTCTAATCGGTTTAGTGTTACACCCAAGTCATCGAATTACTAGTACTAGGATCCGCGGACTTGTGAGGAATGAAACCATTATCAATCGAAGATGTACAGAATACATGTATTTCAAGCTTGATAAGAAATTAACGGCTACCGAACTTCCTTTCTCCGAGGATGGGCAGACTGGGGATGGGGTGAGGGGTTGGGTTGATATGAAGGGCGTGCTTTGTGGGTAGAGGAAGAATTCTCATCCGGATTAAGGATTATGATTGGCGTTCAAGCAGTCTGTTGGAGATAGTTGTATGAAATAGGACTAGTTTGTGGGCCGCGCAAGCTGCTCGGGTTTAAGTTGATGGGTCTTCTCTATGTCTGATTAAGACGGGAGAAGGGGGTCCTCTACCTATGTAATCTTGCTGGGTTTGCGCTTAGTTTGAGTATCTAGATCATATAAATGTAAAAATCTTTCGTTGATTTTTGTTTGCAAATAGGATTTAGAAGGTGAATAATGTAAGTGAAGCTTAGAAAGTTAAAGCCGAGATTCGGGCGATATTGCTCAATTTGGCCGCATCGGTGTCGCTTGGCGTTTCTTGGTCTCATTCTGCGTTACTCTGAGGACGTGGGGGCCTAACTCAGATCCCATATGAATAGTCTCAATGGAATCAGTCGCCAATGACTGGGTAATGTATAAATATGGAAGAGCAGGGGCGATCCCAGGACAAAAACAGAAGGGGTAGGAAGATGATCCCCGCCTCGAAGAACGAAGTTCTTCTTTCAAGAAGATCTGGATTGTTTCTTCTCGTATGAAGTACATAACATTCTCCTAGTAAGGTGAATTGCCCTCTTTCCTACGTCAAAAAAATGACAAAGTTTCATACGATCCTATATATGGTGCCGACATCAAGTAACAGGCCTTTGAACCAGGTCCCACGCGGCAAACAAGTTAGACCATGTCGTAAACTTTGAACTTGGAATTGTTCCGATTCGCCAATTCGCCAATTCGCCAATATAAGAGATCAAAGTTTGGAATTCAAGGCTTTGCTACTATACTCTCATTTCGACTGGAAAGTAAGAGAAGAGGCATTTACCCACAAGCATAGCTTATAGTCTAATGGTCGCTTAGCGTTGGTATAAACGGGTTGATCCATGATGAAAAAGGCTTAGTTTCCGCTTCTATACATCAAGAAATCAAGTGAAATGAACCTTCGAAGGAGTTGTTGGTACAATTTGAGCTTCAACCCCACCGTTTGCTTACAAATTTCTCGATGACTTCATGCGGGGTCGACATGGAAGACATAAAAGACACCAGCAATCAAGAATACATCGATACTCAAATTCAAAAGAGCTTGTAAGAGGTATTACACTAAGCTCAGTGATCAATCAACAGATCTACCATTCATTCACGACACGTTCTGACCTCGCGTGTTGACGTCTAAAATACAGTTACGCACGGTAGTAACCAATCACACAAAATGACCAAAATTTTCCTGTGAGTCCCATCATTTGTGCCGCAAGAACTATTCTTACCTACTCATAGCACCGGTGTAACTGGCTATATTGCCGGCGACGCCTTAGCCACCCTGGTTTCAAGGCACCCAAACTTCTCCTACTCTGCACTGGTTCGCAGCACAGCAAAGGCAGAGCAGGTCAAAGCCCAATACCCGAACATCCGTATTGTTCTTGGTGGTCTTGACGACTCAGCACTCCTAGAGCGAGAAAGTGCTGCCGCAGACATTGTCCTCCGTGGGTCTCCAGCAAGTCTCATCGGACCAAATAATTCGCTAACATTAATCAACAAAGATGCAGCAGATGCCTCCGATCATGCAGGCGCTGCAAAGGCAATCGCAGCAGGTCTAGTAGCCGGCCACACAAAAGAGAATCCTGGGTACTGGCTACACACAGGTGGAACAGGGATTTTAACATTCGAGGACAGCGACAGCGGTATCTATGGCAACAAGAGCGAGAAGGTTTACGACGACTGGGACAGGGTAGAGGAACTCCTCACACTCCCCGACCATGCATTCCATCGCAATGTAGACCAGCTCGTGCTAGAGGCCGGTTCGAAACATGCAGATGTCCTTAAAACCGCCCTAATTTGCCCGCCGACTATCTACGGTAATCCCTGAACACCCACCCCCACGCCAGCGAGATTGGCGGCTAACGCTGCTCTAGGTCGCGGCCGTGGACCATGCTCGCAACGCGGTCGACAGGTGTACGAACTAGCGAAAGTAACGCTTCAGTTACAAAAAGGTCCGATCATTGGAGCAGGGCAGTCGATCTGGAACAATGTCCATGTTCACGATCTAAGCGATGTTTATTCGCTGCTTGTTGATGCAGCGATTGCAGGCCGCACTGATGAGGGGCTCTGGGGTTCTGACGCTTACTATCTTACCGAGAATGGGGAACATGTCTGGGGAGAACTGGCCCAGCAGACGGCAGACGTAGCCGCCAAAATGGGGTACCTGCCAGAGGCGAAAGCCGAGCCAATCGATCTGGAAAGTGCCAAGAAATACGCTGGCTTTGAGTCGCTCAGCTGGGGGATGAATTCGCGTGGTCGTGCCCGACGCGCACGGGAATTGTTGGGGTGGAAGCCTTCACGCCCCAGTCTGGTGGCTCAGTTGCCGACTATCGTCCAGAGTGAGTGGCAGGCTCTGCAATAGGAGCTGTTTTCCCAAGGGGTGATATGGATATTCAAGTCGCTATGGGCAGTGTGACGTGACGTCATAGTATTGGCCAGTTTCAAAGCTGCATTGACCTCGCAAGGCATCAAGTAAAGTGCGGTGTGGTCTGGCACAGAGGTGTTTTTAGTTTCTTATATTTCCTGCTTCTGCAGTCGGAGCCCATGTCAGATTCAGCGAGTCTGGCCCGTTTGGTGACGAAGTCGGTTTTAAATCCAAGTAAATCAAAGACGAGTTTCTCACATAGCGTAGAGTTTTCGATCACTCTGTCGTGGTTCCTGTAAGACTTCGCGCCACAAAAGACATTAAGGCTGCATTGCAGTCTTGTCGGGACAAACAGCATAATCACAGGAATCGGCGGGTTTGGACACCCCAACTCCTATCGACTGTCTACGTGACCACAACGATAGGATAGCGCTTACGAGTTCAGACAAAGAGACTCATAATCTAACGAAATCCGGCTGGGTCCATTCAAATCTGATCGGATATTTACTTCAGTCCGCGGACCCGCGGGTCCTTTACGAGGGAGATTACACCGATCGCCGTGTCGGCGGGTATTTAGCCCGAGTCTTGGCAGATTTTAATCACCAAAGTCCACTTTACAACACCTCCACCAGCTGTCTGAGGCTATCAGGATGAGCGTATCCCGGTATGGAGCTTTGCGACGGGTGAACCCTTTTCTAAATGGGGATCATTTGAACAGATATGTGGATCCTTAGTTTCTTTAACATGGGATTTAAGCGTCCGGCTTAAATCCGGTCTGTTGTATATAGCCTTTCTGTAATGCACCCCCTTACCTTGTTCTATTGTTCATTAGCTGAGCAAGCGGCATATGATCGCCTTAGTCTGTGATCGCTCAGACATTCAGCAACATGCCTTCTTCATTTAATCCATCGTCCGTTGGGTCGGAGAAGCGAGGTCCTCTTACAAGTCATAGCAGACCGTCTTCTGTTATGACAACTGATCCACCGCCAGGTGATGGATTCAAGCTTGGTCAACGAGGCAAACTCGTGTTTTTTACTTTGGCTGTGCTAGTCTTGATGGCGGCTTTGGATGGGACTTCTCTTTCGGTAGCTTTACCGGTATGTATTCCAGCCGCAATACCTAGATTCAAGCTTACGATTTCAGACCATCTCCCAAGAATTAAATGGAACTGCTATAGAGGCCTTCTGGAGCGGAACTTCCTTCTTGTTAAGTTCTACAGGTACGCGATCCCACTATTGTTTGCGCCAGGTTCATCGCTAATATCCAACAGTATTCCAACCGAGCTTCGCATCTCTCTCCAACATATTCGGTCGCCGCCCTATGGTCCTCATTGCGATTCTGTTCTTCTGTATCGGCGCAATTGTGTCTGCTGTTGCAAAGAACTTCACCTATATGCTCGTGGCCCGAACCATCCAAGGAGTAGGCGGTGGTGGAATCATCGCCTTAAGCGAAGTGATTATCACCGACATCGTGCCATTGCGGTATCGCGGACAATATTTTGGAATTATGAGCGCAATGTGGAGTCTTGGATCTGTCACAGGTCCCATTCTAGGTGGCGGATTTGCCGAGAATGTTACTTGGGTGAGAAATTACATTTTACAACGGACCAAATTACCGCGAAATATACTAATAGCTCGTCAGCGCTGGATCTTCTACATCAACTTTCCCTTCATCGGCATTGGAGCAATCTTCGTCTTCCTCTTCCTGAACCTGAAGGTCCTGCCTGGCTCTCTCGTTGAGAAAATTCGCCAAATCGACTACGTCGGAACGATCCTATTCGTCGGAAGTCTGTCATCATTCCTTATCCCGATTAGCTGGGGCGGTATCTCTTACGCATGGAGCTCGTGGCATACACTCGTTCCATTGATCATCGGCATAGCAGGTCTATTTGTCTTCGCATTTTACGAGTATCGTTTCGCTTCCGATCCCATCATCCCGCCTATGATCTTCGTGAACCGCACAGCAACGGTTTCATTCATTGGGAGTGTCCTCCAAGGTCTGATTCTGTGGTGCACGCTCTACTATCTACCATTATACTACGAAGCCGTCAAGGGATTCAGCCCTATTCTCTCGGGTATCGCTCTTTTCCCTGAGACGTTTACTGTTGCACCCAGTGCAGTCGTTGTTGGTATCGTGATCACTATTACTGGACACTACCGCTGGGCTATCTGGCTGGGTTGGAGTGTGTCAACCATTGGACTGGGTTTGATGTGGTTGATCAAAGTGCAGACCAGTACCTATGGCTGGATCCTGTTGAATATCGTCCCAGGATTGGGGCTGGGCATTCTGTTCCCATCAATCGGATATGCGGTTCAAGCATCCGCTGAACCGGAGAACCTGGCTATCGCGGTTGCTATGTTCAGCTTCTTCCGTGCCCTGGGACAAGCTATTGGTGTCGCGGTTGGTGGTGTTATCTTCCAGAATCAGATGTATAAGAATCTCCTGAAATATCCTGCTCTTGCGCCTATGGCTAGCGCCTATAGCCAAGATGCATCAGGGTTGGTGCAGGTGATCAAGAATATGGCTGAAGGTTCGACGAAATCGCATTTGAAGGAGGCTTATACCGACAGCCTGCGCATTGTCTGGGTGGTCTGTTGTGCTATCTCCGGAGTGGCTTTGCTATTCAGTCTGTTGACTGAGTCTTATGACCTGGACAGAGTCCAGGAGACTTCCCAGGGTCTCCGCGATGAAAAGGACAATATCGACGATGAGAAAGACCTTGAGGCTCGTGCCGACCAGGCCATGCAGCAGGGAAACCCGCTGGCATGGTAGAACAGAAACCGTGGAAGGGAAGCTTGACGATTGACGACATTGTATAGAACATATCAATTTAGCCATAATAATTAAATATACATCCTCACTCACGCGTAATGCGATCCATATCTCGAAGTCCCATTTCTCTCCAATGCAAACTCCTCCAGGTCATCCGTATACCCAACCCCCCGAATCAACGTCTTAATCCCCTCGCCACGCGCCGTGGTCTCCCACGCCTCAACGACATCCTCAAAATCAACAATGTCAGTGATAAGCGGCTTCAACTCAATCTTCCTCGTAAAGGCCAACTCGAGCGCCATCTTAAAATCCCCCGCCCCATACCGATGACATCCCTTAACACTGATCTCGTTCTCCGAGACAGTGGCAATCGGGAAAACAACATTCTTGTTTCTAACTCCTGTCTGCACGAACGAGCCACCAACCCTCAGCGAATGAATAGCCATCTGAATGCAAGCCTCGACTCCCGTAGCCTCAATAGCAACATCGAAGCCAGGCACATCGGACTCTGTAAAATGTGAGCTCCGATGCATCCCCCTCAAACACTGCGCATTCTCCTCCGACGAAAGGGACTGGTTTGGTATAGCGGTTGAAAACGATAAGCGTCCATTCGGAACAAACGAATGGGCAAAATCAAGCTTTTCCCGATTGATATCCACGGACATTACAGTCGAAGCGCCGAATTCCCGTGCCACAGCCGCACATAGTAATCCTATTGTTCCGGCGCCGAAAACAACGACCTTATCGCCAGGTTGTACGCAAACCTGGCGAACAGAATGTACAGCCACACTGAGCGGCTCAATCAAGACAGCCTCGTCAAGTCCAAAGGATATGCCCACACTAGGCGGGATCTTGTAGCAGCAATCAGCAGGGATTTTGTAATACTTTGTCAACGTCCCATGGAAAGGCGGGGACGCAGCGAACTTCATCAACGGGCACAAGTTGTATTTTCCTAGTTTACAGCGACTGCATAGTCGGCATGGTGCACCTGGCTCGATAGCGACCGGGTCACCTGGTTGCAGGTTTAAGACTTCAAGACCGACGTCGTGGACGATGCCAGAAGCCTCGTGGCCCAGTACTAGAGGCTCATCTTCCGAGACGTAATTATTTTTGACGCCGCCATGAAGCCAGAAGTGAACCTGGAATTAATTTTAGCTTAAGGTTGCTTTTGGGGGCCGTGTTGTGCATGGTGCGTACGTCACTGCTACAAGCGCCTATGTAGGCGATGCGGACGATCACATCGTGGGGGTTTTCTATGATTGGGAGGGGCTGATCTTCAAAACGGACATCGCCTGGTCCGTAGAGTAGACAGGATGGGTTTTGCATGGTGGACAGTGAGATTTGAAACATCGTCGCTGGATCACTCTTATACTGGATATGCGGGATCCCGTAGGATCATACGATCGGAGGTTATTAGACCTATGAGAAGACAGAAAATAGAGTTGCTGTCTAAACGGCTGCAGAGGTGAAGAATGTCGGACGACAGAAATCCGAGGGGTTGCAGGGTTGCATGGGTTAATATCCCTTGGCCCACTGTGGGGTTAATTATAGAGTGACAAGGGTACGAACGAGAATTGGGAAATCAAATGCCATTGGTTATGGATAACGCCGCCATTGTCGGGAATCAAAGACAACTCAAAGGTCATATCGTCGTAAAATATCAAAATGAACAACATATCAACGACCCATAGCGCGGAGTCGTTCCTTCAACATATCCACTTCCTTGTCTACATCCATAGCCGCCCGCTTCTCCTTCTCTTTGTCACCCTCCTTGAGCACCACCGAACGATACTCCCCATCGCCATCGGGGGCTCCAACGGTAACCCAGACAAATTTGGTCCCAGCGCTTCCACTTTGCGATCGTTCTTGAGTGCCCTGCCAGAACATCTCTGGAGGCACATCACCTGGAGCTGATCTGGACATCGGACGACCGCCGAGGCGTCCATGCTTAATCCAGACTTTCAAGACATCCTTAATGAAGGTGACTTTTTGAAGGAAGGAGTTGGCATCCAAGATCTCACGAATGCGGTCTTCGATAGAGTTGAGAGATTCTCCGTTGACGATGCTCAGGAACGTCGCCGCTTCATCCGATGCGACAGCACGGGTATCAAATCCAGATGGATGCATCTTCCCCTTTGCAGAGAAATATCGTGCCGCAGAGGGTGAAAGATGGTAGAAGTCGATCCATGGCGAGGAGCTACGGGTCCGACCCGGGGAAATGACAAGCTTGGTATGATCGGGGAAGTTGAACTGGAAAGCGCCATCACCAAATCCCCAGATACCAACGTTTCCCAGCCGCTGGTAGAACTTGATGAATTGACCACTGGTGTGGCTGGCGACATGATCAGTGCCTTCATCACCGTGGCGACCCAAGGATCCAATCATATACTTTCCAAACTGGTCAACCAGCTTTACTCGCTTGACCTTCTCCATATCCGACTTGTCAGCTTCATTCCCCGCATTGACGCGTAGTCTCATTACTCTCGACGTTCTGGCGTCAAACAAAGATGGAGAGATGAATCCTCGCCGGATTCCACGACAACCAAGCAGATCGTCATCACGGTTCTCGTAAAACTCGACCGGGCTTCCGTTACGAGGAACCAGGTATTCAGCTTCAGAATACGGAATACCCTTCTCCTCGCCACTGTCGACACTGCGTGCCTTGCGGCGAATGTGTCTTTCGCCATCTCGTACAATGACACTGGAAGCTGGCTGGCCATTTTCACCCTTGAAAACACACCCAACACTACCATCATCTAACACATATCCAATACCATAGCGGTTGGTGTAGTCAACCCACTTTATCACATATGCGTGGGGCTGCTTTCGAGGACCAGTCCGCCGGCGAGTGGATTGGCTAACAAGGTTCGACAGCATAAGACGCAAATCTGTGTTGACTTCACTCAAAGAGGTGCCAGGCAAAACCTCGCAAACATCTTCCTGGTGGAAGAGAGGACTAAGTCCAAGACTAGACCGAGCCTTGGTTGAAGAGCTTCCCTTGCTGTTGGTCCGACCGATTCCGTGAGATGTGGACACGGGCTTGGACTGCGTGCTGGAAGTGAATACCGATTCGGTAGGACTAATGATCTTCGGTCGCTCTGTTCTGTCAGGCGCAATCTTCAAATCGGGTCGAGATGCTGATCGCAAGGATGTTTGTCGGCTAAGCAATCTGCCCTCATCTGGTCTTGCCAGCCTGGGTTCGAGAGGCGGCATGGATGGCACTTGACAAGCAGCCTCCAACTTTCGAGATTGAGACCGAGTCTTGCCAATAGTCAGGCCAAATGGCATGCTCGTAGATTTGGCTAACTGCGGCCGTTCAATCTCTCGGGTCGGCGCTTGAGAGGCAGATGCCATGCGTCGAGTTCGGATGGGGCGCTCTGCGAGGCCACCTGAAGGTACATCGGGAATCGAGGGTGGTGCGGGTTGGGGCTCTTTAGCCTCCTTATAAGATCTCGCTGACTCGCTCTCGCTCATTGCCGGGGCTTTGCGAGGAGATATCACGCCAGGTCGACCCTGCTGTCGAAGTGTCGCAGCGTGATTCTGGGTTTCCATTCTGCGTTGCTGAGCAGCAGCAAGAGCCGCATTTGTTCGGGTGGTAGCCGCTGTATTGGTGCGAACCGATACAGCTCGGCGCGATAAGATACTACTGTCTGAAGCACCGTCCACGGTGGGGATCGTTTTCCGGGATGTCTCCATCAGACACCAATCACCCTCGAAGTCATGTGGCCATTGATATACGAAATCCATGGGAAGAGGGACCGTAGGACGGAGGCCTCTGGCATCTTCGGTCTCGCACTCAGAGTAGGCCGATTTCGCACAGTTTCGTCCTACAGACTTGCGAGCAGTTCCATCTGGTTTCCGTCCAACACCGCAGAGGGAGTAGAAGGCTGCTTTGCAGGAGTGGTAGCGTTGGCTCGGATCGTCCACCTGGTATACATACCCACGCAGTATCTCATCGGAGTCTAAACCATAACCACTGATCATTACGTCACCTCGCGGAGCCTGTTCCTTTAACCAAATTGGCTTGTTGAATCGACAGGCGGGATCCAATTGGCGGGGAATGCAGCCGTCGTACATGTTGAAAAATGGGTGCTCAACAATGTCATCTGGGTCTGGACGTTCCTCATCGACGAGGTTCAAGCAGGCGCTGACCAAATCCTTTGCCTGTTCGGGAATGTGGTTGTTGTTCTCTGAGTCTTTCGGCCACACATAGGCTAGATTGCGAACTTTCTTGTAGATCTCCTCTTGTGTTTTGGATTGAAACGGTGGGTATCCAGTCAACATGGCAAAGCAGATAACACCAAGGGACCAGATGTCCACCTTCTGCGTGTGACCACCCTTGCTCTTGTCCAGGACCTCTGGTGCAATGTAATTTGGTGTTCCACACAACGTGTTTCGCCTTTTCGCATCCTTATCTGAGAGAATCATGGCAGCAAGGCCGAAGTCTCCGACCTTAATGTTCATATTGTGGTCGAGAAAGAGATTGCCCATCTTCAAATCACGATGCGCAACAAATCTCTTGTGTAGATACTTCATGGCGGCGCAAAGTTGAATCATGAACCGTCTCACTTCGGGCAATGTTAGGTATCGTCGTTTGCGTACCATATCCATCACTGACCCATTTGGACATAACTCCAGTACCACATATGTACTTTGCTCGAATGCAAAGGCCCTGTAGAATTGAACAATAAATGGGTGACGCATTTTGGAATGAATTTGTAACTCGGTGCGGAACTACCATATTGTCAGCACGCTTGACTCCGATCATCCTGAACAGCATGCCTACCTTTTCTTCCATTTTCTTTTGCGGCATCTGAGACTTCACGACTTTCATCGCATACACACGACCATTCCGTGCTAGTGTTCCTTCGTAACATACGGCAAATCCTCCTTTCCCCAAGAATGCGCCAATGGCATATCGCTCTCCACCATCTGCCGGTTCTGGGACTAGTGGCGGTGGCGGGTCGGCATGGTTTTTGGAGGAGGCCTTCTGACCGGCAGCGGCGGCGGGTTTGTTCACGATTTTCTGGTCCATAACGACTTTGGGCTTAATCATCTGATTTGTTGATCGTGGCGAGAGAGCGTCCATTATGAAGTGTATTTGTTTGATGTCTTCGCATTTGTCGGTATTATAGTTGGTCGCAATGGGTTTCAGATTGCGATCGAACTTCAGAATCAGACAGCAGGCATTAAAGTCATGAGAAGTAGCGAATATTAAGCAGGTAGGGCTGGTGGGGGTATCAAGTTGAGCAAGATTGGTATCCCTGCAACCATCCGAACGGTCAGCTTCAAGACTGCTTATCGAGCTCCACCCGGTCGGCAAACCGAAGAGCTTGAGTGGGTTTCAGGACAGGGCGAAGGATTGCCAGAGCGTACCGGAATGCAAAGCGCTAAACAATCAAAAACTGTACAAATCTCCCACAGAGCCACAGAGCGCAACCCGACCGAGAGTTGGAGTGGGGAAGGATTGAAGCCAAAGTGCAGAAGTCGGGCCATAATAGTTTTCCCGATTCGGAAATCGATAAACATTAGACACGATGAGGTAATCATCACGTGTCGCCCCAGCAGCATTCATTCACTGTCCAAATGTTCATTTTCAGCCCTGGAAGTCTTGGTAAATCAGTATTTACTGTCTGGAAGATGATCTTGAAACTCCAAAAACATATTCAATGATATTCTTCGTATCACATTCAATTTTTGCTGTACATTCAGTGTTGGTGAATTTCCCGTAGACTGTTATATATTGTGGATCTGTCACCCTGCACTTAGTCCATGAGTTGACTAGGTACTTTACCAATACGTAACACTGACTTTTGAATAACTCCAAGTATGCTCCTTGCCTCACACCCCCAAGGTTTTTGTCTGCAGCTATCAATACCAATGGATCTAGCATGTAAATCTCTACATGTAAGATTCTCGATTCATTTTTTGAAGATTCGCAGTATTTACGAACTGTAACTACAAGACTGCACATGTGTGAATGGAAGGGTCACACGAGCTCATATGAGCTCTACATGGATATATACATATACAAGTTCTACGCCTGAGTTTGATATAATGAAATAGACCAGAGAAGATGAAGCTCTAAGTAACTGAACATTTCATAATCAAGTAGACTCGAACCTGTTCAGTAGTCGAGTCCCGAGTCTCCTATTGGCCCGGATTTTGCTGCTGAGTCATCATCTACTAATCCCCTTCAGGACAGTGGGGGCAGTGTACCTGAACAACGTCACGGCGTGAGTCAAGCTCAAGGTCTAGGCAAGCATTGTCTTGGTCACACATCTTACTGCCACAATGTCGCTCACCCTCAAACTGTCATCCCTGGCGATTCGCACCCTTTCTAAGCCAATTGCGGTATGTTCCACGTCTCAACTTGTGGACTACGATAAGCTGACATCCGTTCGCAACAGACCCATCTCAAAGCCCAAGCTCGTGAACATGAACGCTTCCGCAAGATCTGTGTATCGATGGCGCAGGCCCTTCATAAGTTCGATATGCGCCTACGACTAGGCTCAATTCGCGACAACACCGCCTCCCAGCGCCAGGCTGCTGCTGAGAAGGCAGCAAAAAAGCACATCCCCACATCTCCGACTGCGAAAACAGAGGCCGAGACCAAAGCAGAGGAGCAGGCAATAGCCAAAGCCAAAGCTGCAGCGGAGGAAGCGGCAAAGCCCCACAACTATCGCATTAGACCTCTGTCTGAGTCAAAAGCAATTGAGTCAGGTGCAAATTTCATTAGCGAAAGTTTCCTTTTCCTCGTGGCGGGCGGGTTGATCGTTTTCGAAGCATGGCGATCCCGTCGGAAAGAAAGCACTCGGCGGGAAGGTGTTGAGGAGCGTCTTGCTGAGTTGGAACAATCGGAGAAGACGACAAGGGAGGCTTTGGTTGCCCTGGAGAAAGAACTGCTAGCACTACGTGCGGAAAAGTCCAAGTCGACTCATCGCATCCTACCGCGGGCAGTGTGGGAACAGGTGCCGGAGCTGGACGAGCCCGAGGTCGAGCAGACCTGGTGGTCTAGTGTCACCTCGTATTTCACATTCGGCCAGGAATCAAAGACACCCGAGCCAACTCCCCAACCGACCCTCCCGCAGACTGCGGCGTCGCAAGACTCGAAAGCGACAGACGCGTCTGTTGAACAGCCCGCTACATCTGCCCAAAAAAAGAACGCCGGAGCCGAAGACTTCGTAAGAAGCACGACTCCTTTCCATTTTACATATAGAGCGCTTGTCATTGTTGATACCGGATGTTGTTAATTAGAGCCATTTGCTGTTTGAGTGACGCACGTGGTTTTCTGTGTCGGCGTTGATACCCTCTCTACTATTGCATTTGTTATTTCTCTAGAATTCTGTACATAACTCACCTTTCACATCCCTCCAAAATTCATCCATAATGTCATCTACCAGATTCCAACTCCATGGCTCATATTCTCCTTCTCTTCCGGGCCACCCAGCATGGAATATTCTTCGTCCGATTTTCAAAGCTTCTAACTGCAGTGGGGAAGACCGCCATTTCGGCGCAGCCACAGGTCTCAAAAGCTGCCCTTCAGTCTTATTTGACTTCAAATTTACTGAAATTGATTTGAGCATCTGCCAATCGATCGTGCTTGATGTTCTCGTCTTTAGCCTTGCCTGCTTGAAATCAACCCCAGAGGTTACAATTAGTAGGATTGAGAAGTTCCTACAGTTCAGCCACTCTAAACCCTTCGGCACTGCGATTGTTCTCTTTCTTGAGGATGATTCGTCGGTGTGTCAGTCTAACGAGACCTGGTGGCTGAACGACCTGATGGAACTTGAAGTTATGTGAGCACCACCCCATAAAGCATGACAGACACTGTTCTAACTCCGATTGAATATCAGCATGATGCAATATGCCCCCAAAGCGTGTCCTATTCTACCTATCTCCGACACATCCAAGTTTCTGGATGTCATTCGAATATATATGGAACGCAAATTCACGGGCTTCCGGAATCTACCACCCCTCTGCGCCGACAAACCTTTGACCATACTCACTCGCATGACGAGTGATGGGAGTCAAGCGGATGATGCCCATCCTGATGATATTCTGGCATGCATCTCCTCATCTTTGCGGGACGTGAGCCAATCGAGGAATTCTGACCAAATCACGACTCTACTGCAGACGTATCTGGGAATGCAGTATGATGGCAAGAAGATCATCGAATTTTTGTGGAATGACTCAAAAGTGGATTCATTCATATTATTGAGGAAGTTTTGGTGAAATACAAGCATTCATATTCCAATGATCCATATCTTAACTATAGGAACATGATAGTATCAATGGATTTCCACCCGAGTATGCAACCACGTGTTTCGGTATATGTGTTTTTCGACGAGCATTAATTATGATGCATGAGGCTTGAAGGCGCTTAAAACTCTACGATCTGGTAAAAAGCAAACCCTGATGCACGCAAGGACTCGGGCGCTTACGAACGGTGCATGCCCAATGACGTCGATGTTGCTATTTATTACTCGCACGAGCCACAACAGCCTCATGGGGAAAGATATTCTACATAGAATCGAGCACACGTAATACAAAAGATTGAATACCATTGGAACAATTTTAGGCAGTGGAAATGCGGGTAAACGAAGAGCCAGTCATAATATAGATCTTGATGGAAATTCGCCCCCTAAGGCAGCAGCCGACCCAGACCCTTTAATGTGGCGCAGCTTGTTTGATTGGGTTTGTCTGTGTACGTAAGTCCGCCCTTCACTCCTGGCGATTAGACACCCAACTCTCTCCAACAGTTCCTCGTGAGCATATTTCTCTCATTTGTCTCCCAATTGCCGGGCGCGAGATTTGGGAGTTTGACACATCATGGTAAGCCGGTCATTCGGGGGAATCCCCCTTCTCCGTTAGCACGAAGTTCCGACACTGACCCCGCGGTTGTGATTACATAGGGTCAATCACGACGCCCGCAAGGCGGGGAAAAGAAGAGTCGGTTTGGCCGCTCTAAAGGAGCCGCCGATATTGGCGATGGCCGCCAATCCGGCAAGCCGCAGGTCAAAAAGGCCACCTTTGAGACTTCTAAGAAGAAGGAGATCGGAGTTTCGGACTTGACACTGTTGAGCAAGATCTCCAATGAGGCGATCAACGATAACCTGAAAATGCGATTCGAGCATGGCGAGATTTATGTAAGGGACATTATCGCAGGTGGGGTGACAGGCGCACGAGGAAGGCTGACAGGTGTTCGAACAGACCTATATCGGCCACGTCTTGGTCTCGGTCAATCCGTTCCAAGATCGTAAGTGATCGAATGCAACGCCTTGTACACTCGGGAATTTGGAATACTAATAAGTTGATATACAGTGGGTATTTACACCGATAAAGTGCTCGATTCCTACCGCGGCAAGAACCGTCTCGAAGTTCCCCCCCACGTATTCGGAGTCGCGGAGTCGGCGTACTACAACATGAAGTCCTACAAGGACAACCAATGTGTTATTATTTCGGGAGAGTCAGGTGCTGGAAAGACCGAGGCCGCTAAGCGGATCATGCAATATATCGCCAGCGTCTCCGGAGGCGGCGACTCGTCAATTCAGCAGACAAAGGACATGGTGCTAGCAACGAACCCTCTGCTGGAGTCGTTCGGCAATGCGAAAACCTTGCGCAACAACAACTCATCTCGTTTTGGTAAATACCTCGAACTCGAGTTCAATGCCAACGGCGAGCCTGTCGGAGCCAACATTACAAACTACTTGCTGGAGAAATCGCGAGTAGTTGGTCAGATCGCCAACGAACGAAACTTCCACATTTTCTACCAATTCACCAAGGGCGCACCTCAAAAGTACCGAGATAGCTTCGGTATCCAGCAGCCGCAATCCTACCTCTACACGAGCCGATCGAAGTGTTTCGATGTCGCGGGAATCGACGATTTGGCTGAGTTCAAGGACACATTGGATGCGATGCAGATGATTGGCATGAGTGAGGCGGAGCAGGACAATGTTTTCCGCATGCTAGCGGCGATTTTGTGGATTGGCAACGTTCAATTCACTGAAGATGACTCCGGCAATGCATCTATCACGGATCAGTCCGTGGTAGACTTTGTCGCATATCTTATGGAGGTCGATGCTGCACAAGTGAACAAGGCTTTGACTATTCGTCTGATGGAGACCGCGCGCGGAGGCCGCAGAGGTTCTGTCTACGAAGTTCCGCTTAACACCGTGCAAGCGATGGCTGTTCGGGATGCTTTGGCAAAGGCGATTTACTTCAATCTCTTTGACTGGATTGTGGCTCGTGTGAACCAGTCTTTGACTGCTCGTGGGTCGGTGACCAACTCCATTGGTATTCTGGATATTTACGGATTCGAGATTTTCGAGAAGAACTCATTCGAACAGCTCTGCATTAATTATGTCAATGAGAAGCTGCAGCAAATTTTCATCCAGTTGACCCTGAAAGCAGAGCAAGACGAATATGCTCGCGAAGAGATTAAGTGGACCCCCATCAAGTACTTTGATAATAAGGTGGTGTGTTCTTTGATCGAGGATAAGCGACCTCCTGGTGTCTTCGCTGCGCTGAATGATGCCTGCGCAACGGCCCACGCCGATTCCGGTGCTGCAGATAACACATTCGTTGGTCGTTTGAACTTCCTTTCTCAGAACCCCAACTTTGAGGGTCGCCAAGGCCAGTTCATTATCAAGCATTACGCTGGTGATGTGAGCTACGCCGTTGAGGGCATGACCGACAAGAACAAGGACCAGTTGTTGAAGGATCTTCTGAATCTGGCTGGATCTAGCAGCAACCAGTTTGTCCACGACCTCTTCCCGAACCAGGTGAACCAGGATGACAAGCGTCGCCCTCCTACCGCAGGTGACAAGATCAAGGCCTCGGCCAACGACCTTGTTGCTACGCTGATGAAGGCGCAGCCCTCTTATATCCGAACTATTAAACCAAACGACAACAAGGCCCCAAAGGAATACAATGTCGGCAATGTGCTGCATCAAATTAAATATCTTGGTCTCCAGGAGAACGTGCGCATTCGCCGCGCTGGTTTTGCCTACCGTCAGACTTTTGACAAATTTGTCGAGCGATTTTACCTGTTGTCTCCCAAAACATCATACGCTGGTGACTACACATGGACAGGTGATGCGGAATCCGGTGCGAAGCAGATCTTGAAGGATACCAGTATCCCTGCAGAGGAGTACCAGATGGGTATCTCGAAGGTATTTGTGAAGACACCCGAGACCCTCTTTGCCCTCGAAGCCATGCGTGATCGCTACTGGCACAACATGGCCATTCGCATCCAGCGTGCTTGGCGTAACTACCTTCGCTACCGTATCGAGTGCGCCATCCGTATTCAACGGTTCTGGCGCCGTATGACTGGTGGCTTAGAGTTCATCAAAGTACGTGACCAGGGACATAAGATTCTCCAAGGTCGCAAGGAGCGCCGAAGAATGAGTCTTCTTGGCTCTCGTCGCTTCCTTGGCGACTACCTTGGTGTCGGTAACAACGGTGGCCCTGGTGAGATGATCCGCAGCGGTGGCAACATCAACAGCTCAGAAGAGGTCCTCTTCTCTTGCCGAGGAGAAGTACTTGTGTCCAAATTTGGTCGCTCTAGTAAACCAGCTCCTCGCATTATTGTGTTGACAAATCGACACGTGTACATTGTGGCCCAGGGCATCGTCAACAACCAGCTTGTTATTTCGTCTGAACGCACTGTTCCAATTGGGGCCATCAAAGCGGTCAGCACCTCCAACCTGAAGGATGACTGGTTCTCCCTGGTGATTGGGGCTCAAGAGCCAGACCCATTGGTGAACTGTGTTTTCAAAACAGAGTTCTTCACTCACCTGAACACTGCTTTGCGCGGATCCCTGAATCTTAAGATTGGGGAGAGCATTGAATACAACAAGAAGCCTGGCAAGTTGGCTATGGTTAAGACCGTTAAAGACCCCGGGTCTAGCAATATCGACAGCTACAAGAGTAGCACGATCCACACCACTGCGGGTGAGCCAGCCAATTCTGTATCCAAGCCTACCCCTCGGCCGAAGCCTGTTGCTGCTCGGCCAGTCACTAAGGGCAAACTTCTCCGTCCTGGTGGCCCCGGAGGTGGTCAATCAAAGCTTTCTGCTGCTGCACGTAGACCTGCACCTGCTGCACAGCCTTTGCCTCAATCAACACCCAGACCCACCCCTGCTGCTGCGCCAGCAGAACAAGCCCGTGTTGTCCCAGTCCCGGTCCCAGTCCCTCAGCCCGTTGCTGCGACTCGGGCTTCGCATTCTCACACCTCGTCTACGGGCTCTGCAAGAGCTCCTCCCCCACCCCCTCCAACCGCACCCCCTGCCTCGAAGAAACCCACCGCGAAGGTCTTGTACGACTTTAACAGCGACCGTGCAAATGAATTGTCTATCAAGACTGGCGATATTGTGGAGATTGTATCAAAGGAAGGAAATGGTATGTTGCCTTCATGAGTGGCTCATGAAAACAGAAACTAACACTTCTCAGGATGGTGGCTATGCATGGACATGACAAACTCCACTCAAGGCTGGACTCCCGAAGCCTACCTTGAGGAGCAAGTAGCTCCGACTCCCAAACCCGCACCCCCCTCCTCCTCCCCCAGTCGCCCCTCGCGCAACCCCCAGCCCCGTTCCGAACGGAGCCGTGGCCGCTGCGAAGAGCAAACCCGCTCCACCCGCTCCCCCTGCCAAGCGACCCAACATGGCAGGTCGGAAACCCGCTCCTCCCCCCGCTCCCCGTGACAGTGCCGTAAGCATGAATTCAGGCGACTCGTCCGGTGCAAGTGGCCGCGGTACACCGAATAGCACCTCCAACGCCAGTCTGGCTGGTGGTCTAGCCGAGGCACTGCGTGCTCGACAGAATGCTATGCAGGGTAAGCAGGATGATGACGACTGGTAGATTCAAGCAAGATTTCTTTAAGTCTAGTCGGTCTCAAGTTTTTCAGAGGTCTTCTTTTTTGCGCTTAGCGTTAGGCCTTTTGTGTGATTGATTTGGTTTTGTGTTCTAAAGAACCCCTGGTATATGTGTGCATTCAGGTTTCATGATTGATGGATTGTCATTCTACTGTTTGTTGGGCATGGGCTAGCCGGGTTTCTCTTTTTCTTTTTACCCCTTCATTTCTCATTCTTCCTTCCTTCTTCCTGTTCTAGGGTTGTTGGTAGTCTCTACAAACTAGAAAGTTAACTTCAATATACTGTCCGCGCAAGATTTAGCATTTAAACGATCAATGATATGTTCATAGATTTCATTATCTACATAGCAACTACCTCATGTGAGTCATTATGACTATAAGGTACTAAGATGGTATTCAATGTAAACCTCCATTGCAGCTAGGCATGTAGGTAAAGAAATTCCATCATTCGTCCTAGCTAGCTAACGTCATAGGACAGCAACGACGGCAAACTTAAAGGAACTTTGAAGCCAAGCTCAGAAGACCGCTAGCACCACCAGTGCCACCAATACCACCACCCTGGCTCTTCATGTACATCTTCATAGCCATCTCAGCAGCGTTGTTAACAGCAGACTGCTTGTCACCAGACTAGCAGAAACAAATTAGCACAATGCATCATAATCCCAATATGCCACAAGTAACTCACCATGCTAGCACCGCCAGACTGCTTCTCATCCCACAGCTTTCCAGCCTGGGACATAGCCATTCCAATCAGCTTGTTCTTATCAAAGCCTCCATCACTGGAGCTACCACTGCCCCCAGTGAACATCTTCAAAGCCTGCATAGCAGCACCGGCACCAACAGTCGAAGAGTCATGGCTCTGTCCCTCGGAGCTACCACTATTGTACATAGCCTGGTGAGACTGGACAGCATGCTGCTCATCAACCTCGTAATCGCCCTGCTGGATTTGGCTCTTGCGTTCATTCAGGAAGGACATGGCATTATCGAAGAGTCCGCTGTGCGAGCTATCACCGTGGTGCTCATTGGCGTGTCGGGCCGCGGAGGAGAAATCATCGCCGCCGCTGTAGGAGTCCGGGCCGTTGTAGCGTGTGTCACGGTATTCTTGCTGGCCACCGCGGTAGTCGTCATTTCCACCGCGGTACTCTTGCTGGCCGCCGCGGTAGTCGTCGTTTCCACCGCGGTACTCTTCACCACCGTGGTGGCCGTGGCCGTGGCGGGGCTGTTCGCTGAAGTCGGCGTTCTGGTCGTAGTAGTTCGAGCCGGAGGAGCCGCCGCCACCAAATTCTTCTCTGTTGTAGGACATTTTGTGTGGGTCGATGGGGATTTGGATAGGATATGGAGGGGGAAAGAGAGTAAGAGGGGGCGGGGTGGTTTATTTACGTTGAGCTTTCCCAGCGATTGCGATGTGGCGGGGCGAGTGGAGCCGATCCAGATCGGTTTCAGCTCCGTTCAGCTCGGGTTTAATTACTTAAGAATCGGGGGTTAAGACTAGCAGACGGTAACTGACGTGGGCTTTGCATATGTACTCTGTACGTATGCTCGACATATCAGGCATTCATCAATGCTAGGCATGTTGGAGCGACTATACCGACTTGCCCAACTGGGAAGGGGAAATCAATAGTCTGATCAGCTGAAAAATGGGAACATGCTACGTGTGCCACCTCCGATAGGTTGTCCGAGTGGATACGAAATGAGCGCAAATAATAATTGGATAAGACAACTGGTTAGTGTGACAGATCCGATGCGATATGCGGTATACTCTATCTGGAAAGGTAGTGCAGACATCCAACAACACCAAAAAACCCAGGGTATCAGATGCAAGGCAGAACAAATGGGAAAGAAAAAAAAAAAAAAACAACAAGGGAAAGGTGCCGAGGTTAAATACAAAATTTGTCGTGTTCCTCATCGGTCAAATTGCGCAGGAATCGTAATTTTCTCTCTTGGGAGCTCAGCATGCACCGGTCATCTCGCTCAAGTTCTGACTCGTGCAGCCACTCATTCGGTAGATCAGCCAGCCCATAGGTGGCGCCCCATTGGCGGCGCTCATACTGCATGAACCCGCCAAAGTGAGGGTCGGTGTTGGCGACCCAAATAGTACTGCCGTCTGGGCAATAATCTGCGCCACCAATTTCACCGAAAAAGTCGTGCACCTGGCGGCTCTGGTAGAGTTGGGCATCGATGATGGAGATTCGGTCTGCTGGCTCACAGCAAAGGAGTGTGCGCGGGCCACCGCCTACAGGAGAGTAGCGAAGGGATCGGTAGCCTGCAATGTCGGAGTCAATAGTTTCAAGTACGCGCCAGGTGCGCGCATCCCAAATATTGACTGTTTTGTCTTGGTTACTAGTGGCGATGTGGCGCATGTCCGGAGACCAGGCGCAGGCGAAGCCGAAGTCGCGATGGCCTCGGAGAGGATGCACTGGTCGGCCGGTATCGGCCTCGATAATCCATGCGTCTGGGGAGTCTCCGATCACCACGCGAAGGCGACTATCAGGGGATGTTGCAGTGCAGTTGATCGGGCGGGATAGTTCTTGATCCGACAGGAAGATGTTTGTTTCGCAATCCAGGATACGCAGGTGGCGATCATTCGATGCAAACACACAGATCGGCGATCGGCCGGTCCGATTGAGAATGATATCCACGTGGTTCGTGATGCCATCATTGAAGTCTGGCGTCACCAATCCTCGCACACCAGAACCCGTACCATCTGACGCCTGCACCGCATACTCGCCACAGAACCCGCCTGCGATGGTAAGACCGTGTGCGGACTTCATGCTGGAAATTTTGACTGCGCCGAGAATCCCCACGTCTGGGTCTGGGCGACTCAGATCGATGACACTGCTATAACTATCCAAGGCCGGGGCCCACGAGTGGATTTTGCCCCGACTGGCAAACTGAATGGTATTGTATGCCGTGACTGACATTAGGTTTCGCAATTGAAAGTGCTCAATAGAAGCCTTGTGCGCTGTGTGCATGGATTTCGCTTGGAAGAATGACTCGCTTTGAGGCAGCCGCTCTGCATGGCTGGTTTGTGAATGGTTAACGTTATGGTAGGAGGTGTACCAAGCATCGCGGAGTGATCGAGCATCCGCCCGTTTCACCTTCAAAGTTTCGGTCCACGGAATCTGCTGAAGATCGTAAAATGAGCGTTTACTTGTCCGCGGTCGGTAGATATTTCGAGGTGGCCTCCAATTGATCATTTTTGACAGTGGGCGAAATTGCGGGGGAATCCTGCCCTCCGAGTGAAATTCAGAAGGTACACTGCGGGATTGGACCATCCAGCGATGGATGAACTCGTCGATTGTGTGGTTTCGTTCAAAAGCTGTATTTGTTAGGTGTAAATTGGCTTATGAGTGTTGGCTCATGACTTACTGGTTGTGTGAATGATCGATGCAGGGTGGGTATCTGTAACCTCTTGTGCCTCCTCTGCCAAAGGGCCTGTCGGGGTAGTAGTATCCCCAGGTGGCTGTGGGACGTCCACTTCAGGGTCATCATAAGTGACATGATCATAAAATTCGTCCAGATTTATATCATGCATGGAAGCCACGGGAGATCGCGCTCCTTTGCGTTGGCGCAGATATTCTTCTTCACCAGGATAGAACTTGAGCAAATCCTCTAGATCATCATCGGACCCAGAAGAAGGCGACGAGGCATAGTCCACAAAGGGAGGCTCGTAGTCCATTACCATGTCCTTCTTGGCATAGTCATGACCATTTTCAATTGTAGCAATATTTTCCCACGTCGCAGTCCGCTCAATCAGATCATTCACGATGCTGTCCATTTCCATTTCGTCATCCGAGGGGGAGACCCGGAGGAGGGCTCTGATTCTGACATGCTGTTCGGCGCTCCCAAATACACTCCCCCCTGATGGTCTGTCTCAGAGCTATCCCAGTCGGTATCTAGCTCCGTGGACTGGGGATGACGAAAAGCAGGACGAGCACTGCCCGTCATTGCGCCAACAACCTCTGATACCAAAAAAAAATCGCTCTCCTCGTTTACGGGATGTGGGTATTGTGAGACAGCAGCCAGAGCGGCAACTCCCACACTATGTAACCGCTGGTCATCTTCGGATGGTATCCCAGTCCATGGTGGGGCAGGCGAGAAAGCAGGCGAAACGTCCATACTCGAAGCATCACTAAAAACAGGGCGCCTGCCTGTGGTCGGATCTGACAATTCGTTCATAACTTGATGAGTTGGCGCTCTTGCGCTATCACATGACCCATCTCGAGGTATATCCTGGGTGCCTGAATGCACAAGGTCGGATGACGGACGAATAGGTGCAGAATTGCTGTCACCGAGCATCGCCCGTCATGGGGATTTCAAGGACCCGTATGGGGTGATTGGAAGGGAAAAACAAAGCAAAAAGAAAAGGAAAAACCAAAATAAAAAAAAGCAAGTCAGAGGGAGGAAATGTGACAGGCACGATGCACACGGTCGATCCAAAGTGTCCGGTACGCCACGAATGATTGGCAGCGAGGGGGTTACACGGGCTGAAGTAGAGATGGCGCAGTATCTTGGACCGGGATCACGGATCAGATCCTGGTTCTTTGAGCACTGATAATCCGCTGACACTGATGACCCCACTCTGCGTGGCGCAACTCGGCCCAAGCCGATACTGTGATGCGGGTGAGAAAGTAATGCCGCGACGATTGAACTCGGCGATCAGATCGCGGGTACCGCACGAGGGTGGCGCGGTGGTAAGTGCAGAGTGTTGAGAAGAGAAAGATGAGGGGAATGTGTGGGCCGTTAATGAGACGGAGTAACGGATGGGACTGAGCACAGAGGCCGTTATTTCGGGTTAGCGCGCCGTGTCAGTTCAGAGGAATGGGCAATGTAAAATATGGATCCTCGAGTCGGGAAATGCGGACATGCGAGAGAAAGATCAGTTGGAAAGAAAAAAAAAAAACCCCCCTAGTGATTTCCCAGTGTCCCATTAAACCTCGAACTCTCGTACTTTTGCACGGACAATGGCGCAAGGTATCAAAGCGGGCAGACTAGCAGTATACTCTGTACTCCGGTGATCTGATCCCAGGATGGAAAACGAGGCTGATAAGCGGGATGTAAGATGACGGAAGGGGTGAGTGGGGGGTGGAGAGTGCGAGGAATGCACGCCCAACGGGGGATAATCCTCGCGCCAGGTCTGCTGCAGATGTCCGAATAAAGTTCCAGGCGACCAGGCAACTTTCTCAGTTATGTTCATTATTAATTGTTCTCGTGATCTGACTTAGTCAGCAGTCGAGACGCGAGACTATATCTGGGGCATAATTAATGTGGCAGTGCAAGTCACTCTCAAATGCGTAGAATGGAGTCATAGGTGAGTTTGAAATCTCAGCCCATCTTTCAAATTAATGTTAACTGTGAATCCGAGAATGGACCCAAAAGCAGCCCCCTGGTTCAAACCTCCCGAGGTCGCTTTACGTGCATAGAAAAAAGTAGCTCATATGTAAGATGTAACATGAACCCCACCCAACGTATGCAAAACGTACATAATTGCCTAAGATAAGATTTATAGGCCTGGATTCCAAATACAAGATGGCAGGAAAATTTGGAACCATGTAGACGTTGGTTCGGCTCGATAGCACAACTTACCCATTGAAAATGCGGTTTAGCAACCCGCCTCAAGGCTCATACTGTGAAAGGTTCAATTGGCCGATCAATGACCTCAACCTGGACTACAATATCGTATGCTAAAGTTTTTGCGGGGTAAACTCGGTTTAAGCGCACGCCCATCGGCCATTTTAAGCCTTGGCAAGCGTTATCTGTCTTTCCTAGTTTTAAAAATAGTTGACCCAGATGTTCAAGTCTGACAATCAGCCATCTCACGTGAAAGTAGTAAGAATGGACGCTGAGTTTCATGCAGACCCCGCCATCGGCGAATTTTGCAGATATAATGCCAGTGAGAAAGATAAGCAAAGATTTTACCATCAACCAAAGAAAATGTATGTTTGGGGTTATTGGGACGCATGGAAGGAACCTGAAGTTTTGAGTGGGTGGAAGGTGGAAGAAAATAGTAGGAGCAAGTGCTATTGGTTTTGGTCACTTTACGTCAAGAAAAGAAAATGGCGCTTAGATTACTCTTGTCTGTCAAAATATTTGCTTTTCGCCAGGGCAGTCCCTAATGACTCATGCAAGTGCGAAAATCGGCATGGCTCATGAAAATCTCATTTCTAGCTTCGAGATCGTCCCTAGTAAAGCTAGCGGTGGTTTCTGAGGTATTTATGGGAGGTATCTTGGTCCCTCCTATAGGTAGGTCCAGGGATAAGCTTCCGCTCGGTATAAAGTACGTAAACTTATATTATAATAACCTTAATCATAACGTAGCGATCCTACGGTACCGGCGTCTATAGAGTAGCTGGAATTGAGTTAAACATCAAGAACTGGAGTGGGCCTTTAGAATCCAGCAACCTAGCAAGATCTCACTTTTCTCTTTCCCGCACCCAAGTAATGGTCTTAGGGCTTATTCTATACGTACCAGGTAGCACAAAATTTTACTTACAATACCTCATTCAGTAACAGATTATATTCATAGAAAGACTTTGGGGGAAGACACAAGGCATCTGATCTAAGCAAAGCCAAAGCAGAGAAGAAATAAACGACCCGACCAAAGTATAATAACGTGTTTTCAAATTATAGCATGTCCGTTCTTTTCTTAATAGGATAGCTCCAGAAGCATCTAGCTAGATGAACTAGTACTCGATTAGACCTTAACAAAGCCCACGGGATTCCACCATAGGACTGGCTATAAAACACTCATGGTCATAGAAACCGGTCCCATGGGAGTGGGGCGTGGTGGTTAAAACCCTTTAATCCCGTCCCATATGACAAGATTTTAGCGACTCCCCGTGATTTTATCCAAGTCTATACTCGATTATGGATAAGTCTTTATTTTCATGAAGAGAGAATACAAGAGAATTCCAGATCGCTAGGTATTCAGTGCCCGTGGGCAAGATAACTGATGGCGTCTTCGTCTATTGACAGGTTTTGAATCTCCCGAATTCACGATAATGTCTCCTCCGGCGTTCCAGAGTACAGCTCGGCAGCAATTCAGCGAAGGGCAACATGGAAGCTTAATAGCTCAGCAGCATGAGCCTTCAATCTTGATAAATGATTTTACTGCTAGACTAAAAATGCCATAATACTAGTAGTCAGTCAGTAATCATAATTGCAATGTATTTTCACCCCGCATAGAATTCTCCCGGAGAAGACCGGTATAATTCACTCTAACCCTCAATACGCTCGACACTGAACTTTCTCATCTTGGTCAAATGCCTTATCCATAGACTAATTACTATGTAGTATATAGCGGTGAGACATATGTCGTATTAGTAATACGCAATACGATATCTGTCGTATTGCATTCTATATCACGTACCATTTATTCTTAATAGCCATTATATGAAATTCAGGGTTGCTTCTATTGACTTTCGTCACATTCAGCTTCTTGCCGAGACACGCAACGTAGTTTTCAAAAAAAAAAAAAAAAAAAAAAAAATAACGACGTATATCCAATACAGTTCCACAGAATGCCTTTTGCATTTCCGAGAGCGAAGGAGAAGCGCAATCAACCATAGAGTCGGATCGTGGAGTATAGTATGTAACAGTGAGACATACATAGCATTAGTGATACGCAATTAGGTACGCCAGAGCGTGTTCATACGACAGAGCGTGTTGCGTCGGGATTACCATTTTCTCCTCCTATCGACGTGTATGAAAGCTGGAAGTGCCACAGGCTATACATATATAAACTGACTGCTACATCTCAATCAGAAGTATCTCTTAACTCATCAGATCTAAACATTTTCTCACTCCGATCATATCATCCTTTCAATCTTATCTTCAAGAAAAACGTTTTTGGTACTTTAACGCTTCTGAAAATGCATTTTTCCAAGATCCTTATTGCCTCTGCTGCCTTTATTCAAGGTGGCCTTTCAGCCGGCATTTTGACCTACTCTGGTCGTGATTGCACGGGCGAAGTCACGCAAACCACCGTTAAGAATGGTGCTTGCACAGGCCCGTTGCCTGTATTCCAGTCTTATCGAGAAAATGGATGGGGTCCTAAGCAAACACGAATCGGTTTTTATGGTTCCGGTACATGCACCGCGTACCTATATGATACGTGGGCCTATGATGGAGATTATTTCAAATCACGTCAATGCTACAATATCAATGGTCATTCGCCGAATGGGCAGAAGACTGGCGCCAGTGTCTTACTACACTAAAGGTAAGTTGGAATTTCTGCTCCTAGGTAACAGAATCAAGTAATTAACTTTGCCCTTGAGGAAATGAACAGGCACAGCCCGGGTCGGCTTCTTCAATAAGCCCCCATCAATCATTCCTTCGATAGGGCGGCCTGGGCCGCCTAGGGGATGGAAGAAGGAAGCGGACCAGATGGACATAACGGGCCCCGGAGGTTAGCCAGCAGGAAAGGATGGGCGAATAGCGTGGCTCTAAGGGAATCGCCTAGGTCGAACAAAGCAAGTCGCAGTCTATATACACCACAGTCGCTCACTACTATATATCTAGCTATCTTTCTTTACACTCTTTAAGTAGTGAATTCAGAACAGTCTTTACGGAATATTCATCAACCACTTAGTTACGCCTAGCTAACTGGTCAGTGAGCAGCGTTCGTAAGGTCCGTTATACGTACCTCAGGGCTCGTCCTTAAGTCTTAGTTGCAATCGTACCGTTACTAATTAGCATTATATAGGGGAAGTGGATCAAGGACTGTCCCGCCCTCGCCTCTTTCACTCTAACATTACTGACCTCTTTGTCCATCCAAACGCATATTAATGGGAACAAAAAGCTGCATAGTGCAAAAACTTATAGTTACCATCTGTATAACATTTTTGTTCTTTTTCTTTGATAAATCTATATTTGTTCCTCATGAGGAAACTTCAAATCACCGCGGTAGAGGTGGCGACACCGTACCAGACGGCCAGCTTGTGTCCAAAATCAGAATTTGGATGACATCAGAAGTGTCAACCATGGCGATTCTATTTCAGATGGACGGAATCTTTCAATGGAAGGTCCCTGGAAGATGTTCCCACAAAGAACGAGTATTTACCAGGCACGAATTCCCATTTTTTAGAAGCAGTGCTCCAGATAGACAAATCGTCAACGCTCAAGGTAAATTCGACCTTTGACTTGTGTTTCGAGTCGATGGCAACCTTTTGGAATCCCTTCAAAAGTCTAGGTGGTTCCTGGCATTCTTCGGGGAACTGCACGTATAGTTGGACAACTTCCTGTCCAAAAATAGCTCCTGTATTGTGGACTTCGGCCTTGATGTCAATGAACTTCTCATTCTTTCCACCAACTTTGACTTCCATCTTTGACAGCTCAAACTCAGTATATGACAGTCCGAATCCGAAGGGAAACAAAGGCTCCAGGGAGTTTTCATCGAACCAGCGGTAACCAACAAAGAGACCCTCAGAATAGTTAGCCTTCAGGCTGACCCCTGGGTAACGTTCAATGTCCGCGGTTGGGGTATCTGCAAGAGCCTTGGGGAATGTAATAGGAAGTTTTCCTGAGAAGTTCACATCACCGAAGAGAAGGCGCGCAATCGCAGGTCCGATTTCTTGGCCAGGGTAGAAAGTCTCGACGACAGCGTCGACTTCGTCCAACCAAGGCATCAAAATAGCGCTGTTGGTGCTGACAACAACTACCGTGCGCTTGCTGTGCTTGGAAATCTTTGAGATGAGCTCGTCCTGGTTGGTGGGTAGCTGCAAAGCGTTGTTACTGTCAAGACCCTCTGTAACCTCATCATTCACAAAAACAATGCTCAAATCCGCTTGCTTGGCAACCTTGGTCAAATCATCGTGGTTGAAGTCTTTCTCAATCTCCATGCCTAGAGTCACTCCGTAGATGCCATTGTCGACCGAGAAGCCCATGGAATAGTCAAGTCGTAGAGTCACAGCCTTTCCTGCGGAAAGCTTCACCACTCCTTGGGCCACCATGTTGAAGTTGCTTCCATTCAAGCTCGTAACCAGGTCTTCATCGATATAGATATTACCCAATCCATTTCCATACACGGAGAAATAATACAGGCCCGTCTCGTTAGGGTAGAAGTGGCCATCGTACCGAGAGGAGTAGACGTCGGGCCAAACGCTGGCCATGTTCTTGGGGTAATCTCCGGCAGTGATGTTCCCAACTGTCGTAGTCTGGTTCACGGGTCCTGTCCAATCGGTTGTCGTCCAGTATGTGACGTTTAAACCATCAGGGCCAAACATCGAGGTAGGAACCTGAGCGAAGGTCTGGGTACCTGGGAACGCTTTCAGGTAGTTGACCGAGACGTTCTCTTGAGCTGCTCGCTCTGTGATATAAGTGAGAGGCTTCTTCACCTTCATTGAGGTATCAAGTACAAAGCCACCGTGCAGCTCAGTGACCAATGCTTGGTCGTCTGCGTTACCTCCGAATATAGCCAAGGAACGGTATTGATCTCCGTTTAGCGGCAAAGTTCGATCGATGTTCTTGAGGAGCACGGCACCTTCTTCAACAATTTCCTTTGCTAGGCTTAGATGCTTCTCGGTACGGGCAATTGAAGTCTCGTTGCCCTCCACTGCTCGATCAATGACTCCAGTGGCGAACATAGGTCTCCAGAGGCGCTCAACCATATCTTCGACTCGGGAGGTGGGTATTGATCCATTATTGACAGCCTCCTGGAGAACTGAACCGTAGAGTTCTGGGAATCCATACAAGTCCATCAATGATCCACCGGGCTGGCTGTTGTCCAAACCTGCCAAAGCTGCCGCCACGGTGGTTCGCTGAGCGAAATACCAGTCTGTAACCACGAATCCATCAAAACCCCAATCACCCTTGAGAACTTGGTACAACCAAGGATCTTCACAAGTGTGCACACCGTTCAGCTTGTTATACGAGCACATCACAGAGCCGGCTTGACCTTCCTGGACTGCTGCCTTAAACGCTGGCAAGTAGACTTCCTGCATCGTGCGTTCATCCACAATGGCATCGATGGCATCAAATTCCGGGGCCACTCCAAAGCGGTTGGTGTCTTGGTTGTACGCTGCCAGGTGCTTGGGGCATGCGATCATCTCCTGAGACTGAATGCCCTTGGTAATCGCGACACCTACAAGGCTGTTCAGGTAGGGGTCCTCGGACAGGGATTCTGCTGCTCGGGCCCAGAGAGGGGTTCGAACGATGTTGATAGTTGGCGCCAGAACCACATTTCGTCCCTTGGCCTTGTGCTCCTGAGCGAGGGCCTCACCGAATCGAGTGGCGAGGGACACATTCCATGCTGCGGTGCTCATGACGGGCGCGGGGAAAGTCGTGACATTGTTGAGGTTATTACCGACTCCCTCTGGGCCGTCGCCCATGCAAACAGCCGGCATGCCCAGTCTATCGATTCCAGGCACATAACCAATGCAGCCGTTCGTCTCGAGCTGTTGCAATTCCACGTGCCATGTAAGTTGATTGTTCACGGATATGTATGTTGATCGAAGGGAGTTTCTAATGCTTACATTCTGGGTTCCTTGAACCATCGATAGCTTCTCAGTGAAGTTCAATTGCTTGAGCAACGACTGGAGTCTCTCTTCAGTTGGGAGGGACTTGTTCAGCCATGGCTGCTGCTCGGCAGCTGCTAAGCTGAGCAAGGACGAAATAGCAAGTAAACCCAGCATTCTGTGATTGAGGAACCCACACGTTCAATCAATAGAGCCTCGTTCCTGACATATATAATTAGCGCTTATCAGTTACCTCAGTTCGATGGGCAGCTTTAGTGTGCAGGTGATTCATCGAGCCGGCATTCTAAATAACACCGGTAAACCAGCGTCGGCGTTCAGGATAAGCCCTGGAGCTATTTAGATAACGCTAGTAATCAAAGCGGTAGTTCCCTATTAGTTCCCATTGGAATAGACTATAGTAGGTTTCGGATCCATTATCCTACCCAGAGGTCTGGATACTTCTTATCTTAAAGGTCAGAGGCAAAAAGTGCGAAAACACCGCCATGGCCATGTTGGCCAGACCAATTTCCACTCAGCACTGGGCAAATAATGCCGAGCTGTGATGCCTGTAATGATAGGGGTGGGCTTTTTAGATACTATTGAAGATAACGCTGAAAGATACCGCAGATAATGTATGGCCTACGAAGTGAAGCATAATACGTAGTAGTCACAGCTGTGTTCAAACGATTTTCGAGGAATTTTTCAGGCCTCCCCAGAATTCTTTAATTTATTCTCATTAAGCCAAGTCATGTGAAGCCTTAGACTAGGTTGCTTATCCAAGGTAAAAAAAGGAGGTGGAGCGTCCGAAACGGTTGGAGATGACGACTTCGAAGGTGGTTTCTTAAAGGCCGCGGAGTGAGCTAACCTAGAGATCCCCACCTGCCGGCTTGTCTAACGGAACGACAGTAGTCTCAGAATGGTTAAAGCTTCTGATGCCGGTTCGTACAATTTTGAGCTTTGATGGACAATGGGGATCAGGGCACGCGATCAAGGCGTCTGTTGTCATCCAATCGTTTTTGTCTGTCATGCGTTGTTTGGCCGCCAGTAAAGGCAAGACAGAGCCTAGTTATCTGTTAGGCATCAATCCGCACGCCAGGCTAGTGTGTCGATCCTTACCTAAGCTGTATATACTCATTCCTTGTCCAGGGGGCAAATACATCATCTCTCCCTCAAGAGTAAAGAAGTCACCTTCTTTAGCACCGCACATGATTCGCTCTCCTGGTGGGCACACGACCTCCACGCGGAGGTCATACAATCGAAATTCCTCACTCATTATGAAATGGATTTGATGTTATCAGGCGCCAATGAGAATTTATTATGCTTGATGGATGTTCCAAAGTTCTTTTAGACGTCGCGCTATATTTTCTACGCGCATGCGAAGTAAGCATCGGTGTTCTATCCTCCAATCGGCCAAATCTGCCGGTGATTAACCGACGGGCGGTAGAACGCCGGTTTGCACGTCCCTTCTAGTCTTATATCCCCGCATTTCGGGGATTCTGATTGGCCATGGGGAGATAAGCTATCTCGTGTGCTAAACCATTCGAGTCTTATAACAGTTACTGGCTTGCTTATGTTAAGGTTTCCTCCTGCATAACAGCGGCTCAGACTGCTAGCTGTCAACAACATGGCCTCTACAATCGAATTTCCAAAAGACGTTGAGTCCAAGGCTCACAGCATGGAGGCCGATGACTCCATCGATGCCACTGAAGGCAATGTCGAGGAGGTCAAGCGTGACCTCGAGTCACGACACATCAACATGATCGCCATCGCTGGCATGATCGTTAGTGCTCCCCCCGTCCATTGAATCGCCTAAGATGGACACTAAGAATGTATAGGGAACTGGTCTCTTCTTGAGCTCGGGTCAAGCCATTGCTACTGCAGGCCCGGCCGGGGCCTTCATGGCCTATATCATCATGGGTTTTGTTACCGCAGGAGTGTCTTACACCACGGGTGAGATAACCGCGTTCATGCCCTCAACGGGTGGATTTGTGAGACACGCAACGAAATTTGTCGAGCCAGCACTTGGAGCTGCAACAGGATGGAACTTCTGTAAGATCTCATAACCCTATGCATTGGCAATTAAGGGTGACTCATAATGTTAGGGTATACTATGGCCATCTCGGCACCAACGGAAATCACAGCTGCCGCTACTTTGATTCAATTCTGGAATACTGAAGTCAACGTCGCCGTATGGATTGCTGTCTTTGGCTTCTTCATTATCGCGCTGAACTTCTGCGGAGTCCGACTGTACGGTGAAGTAAGTCAACTTAACAATCGCGCTTCGATAACGGTGCAATAGTGCTAACCTTGACAATCTTACATAGTCGGAGGTTGTATTTGCTTGTCTCAAAATTATGCTCATCATCGGTTGCATTCTTGGAGGACTTGTCATTGACCTCGGGGGCGGCCCCGACCATCATCGCCTTGGCTTTCACTATTGGAACACTCCGGGTGCCTTCAACGAATATATTGCGTCGGGTTCCCCAGGCAGATTTCTTGCCTTCTGGAAGATCCTCCTGACTGCGGCTTTCAGCTACGGAAATATTCAAGTTGTGGCCATTGCTGGGTCCGAAACAAAGAACCCTCGCTTGACCATCCCAAATGCCACCAAAAAAACCTTCATCAGAGTCTTCCTATTTTACGTCCTCGGAATTTTCATTGTTGGCTTGATTGTGTATGATGAGCCCCTCTTCCCTCTCAAAGCTTGCCAACTTCTAATCAATCGATCTAGGCCTTTCAACGATAAATCTCTGTCTCTTTCCACGGGCACAGCTTCCGAGTCTCCATTTGTGATCGCATTTACACGTGCAGGCATATCCGTGGTACCGCACATCATCAATGCAGTCGTCTGTACTTCTGCCATCAGCAGTGGTTCAAGCTGTATCTTCTTGGCATCTCGTACTCTCTACGGTCTCAGCCAAGACGGCCATGCCCCTCGATTATTCCAGCGATGCAACCGTTTCGGAACTCCATGGTATGCTGTGAGTCTTAGCTCCGCTCTGATGCCGCTGGCATTCATGTCAGTCGGTTCTACTTCGTCGGTCGTCTTTGGGTGGTTTGTGAATATCACAACTGTGGCTGGACTGATTGGATGGATCGTTATCGAGGCGACATACTTGCGATTCTGGTGTGCACTCTCCGCCCAGAACATCTCTAGGGATAGTGAGTGTCCCCTCTCCGATTCTAACATTTCAATATATACTTACACCCAACAGGACTACCGTACAGAAGCCCATTGCAGCCTTATACGGCTATTGCCACTTTGATCATGGTAACTTTGATTGTCTTCTTCTCTGGTTAGTTTTAACTCTTCTAAATTGATATTGCGAAAGCTCCTGACATAAATAGGCTTCGACGTTTTCACGACAGGAAATTTCACTGCGTCAGGTTTCTTGACTTGCTATCTCAACATCGCGATCTTTGCTGGTAAGTGACATCACTAATCAGAGAACACACCAAGGTTCCTCTAATAAATAAATAACTAACTTCAAACAGTGTTGTATATCTTCTTCAAATTCTTCCTGAAGTCAATGATTGTGCCGCTGAAGGAGGTGGATTTGGATACCGAGCTAGCGGCCTTTGAGGAAGAAAAGGCTGCCATGCAGTATTCAGGTGAATCGGGCAACAACCAGCCGTGGTGGAAGTCTATAATTTAGAGGAACTGAACGACCAACTATAGTCACTTTTATTTAATATTGTTGTGTAGCTATGAATGAAATGTCTTTCAGATTCAAATTCTTAAACCTCTCTGATGAATTTACGCTATGCGGTCCAACAGGCAACCAAAATCATAATCACTCTGTTGAAAACGACTCATTTTCCCTATGACGCCTTCGTAAAGCAAGTAATCTACCTATATTCACCACCACAGTCACCTATAGTCTCAAACATCTCAGTCCTGCGGCTCCGGTTGAGAATGTCTCGGATTTGCTTTTGATCATCAGCACCCAATTTCCAGCCAAGCGATGCCAGGCTCTCGTCACATTGCTGGCTAATACCCATTCTTGTGCCAACAATGACCGCACCAACGTAAGGGAAGTCCAAGACCCATCTGGTGGCCACGTTCGAGAGAGAAACACCATGCTTTTGGGCAATAGAAAGAAGAGTCTTAAGTAGCTCTTGGAACAAAGCCCAACCTCCCCAGCTGTTGATCATTGCGAGATACTAGATTTTCCAAATCAACCCAATGCTTTTCAAACGCCGGAACATTATAGGGTAGCGTACCTTCCGTTGGCTGGGTGTGACTGTCTCGCCATAAAGATCAGGTGCGTCCTTTCCAATCCATCTCTCCGCCATGAGACCTCCACACTATAGCCAAGAATCAGAATCTAGGTCAAAACAAGAATGATGTTCTTAGGATATGTACCAAAGTTCCATATGTCAGCAGCTTTATATCGTGTCGCTCACAAAGTTCCGCCATGCGAACTGTTGGCCGGGAATCGATAAGGGAAAACTTTCAATATCCTTAGCGATAACCCAGGGCTTGAGATATTTGGAAAGCTTACCTGAACTTGGTTGGTATATACCTTGACTCCGCTGTCAATGACCTTTTGCATATGCTCTGTATCGAAGTTGCACAATCCCAAATTCTTAACGCGAGTGTCCTCTTGAATGTACTTCAAGGCCTGGATATATGAGCTGTCTTCATACTGCGAAGAAAAGAATAAGAGTTAGTTTTCAAACATCGATCCTGAAAGACCAATGACTTACATGTTGCCAATGAAATTGAAGGAGATCAATGCTGTCCGACTTGAGCCTCTGACACCGTTCATCGATGTTGGCAACCACTGCCTCCCGTGAAACCGTCACTGGATGAAACACGCAGTATTTGGTAGCGGCGAAAATCGATTTCGAAAATGCACTAGATGATCGGTATCGTCCCTATGAGATCTGTTAGCTCAAGAAGTCTTTGGGTGGGGTTGCTCAGGTTTATTCACAAAAATAACTTCGGCATCTCCATAGTGATCAGCCATGTCGAAGGCCGTGAGTCCACTTTCAACATACTTGGAGAACTGCTCCATAATTTTGGACTGGGGAGCAGAACCCCATGCTGGGCTTGAAAGTTGCCAAAGCCCAGTGAAGATTCTTGGTAGATTGACGCCATTCACCGCAAATGATTCTGAGATCTCAGGGGGATTCTTGGGGGATGGTGGGGTATTAATGCCAGTAGAACGGCCTAAGGTTTCGGGGTGGAGGAAATCCTTGACGGTTTCAAGGCCTCGATCTAGCAAAAATAGCTGTGACTGTTTTTCGCTAGCGACCTTGCAATTGGTGAGGCTATCAAGTAGTCTTTCAAGCAACTTGCTCTCATTTTCAGAAAGGTTCCGCGATCCTGTGGAAGAGACGAGAGATTTCTGAACAGCTGTGACAGCCTGAACAATGACCCCATCCAATTGGGTGACCTGATACGAAAGTGAACTTTCGTCTGTCGGGTTTCCTTCGGTCAATGCTAGAAACCGACCGATGGCCTCCACTGTGCTTTGGAGAACAGGGAGTGCCTCGTAGCAAAGACCGCACCCAAGCATACAGCAGACATGCTTCCTAGCATTCTGGATGTACTCGACTGCATCCTTGGATGTCTCGACAGACTCGGTACTGGGTAGCACCACGTCGCGAGTGTAACTGCGGGCTTGGTCCTCGAAGGTTGTGGTACAATCAGGTCGATTTGCGAGCATGCCACGCAGCACAACGCGCAGTCCCTCCAATGGAAGATTCGCAATCAGTGAATCAGCCATCATGTTGACATGCGCCGTTTTGAGCTTTGTCTCCGTCATCCTGAGAAGCTAAAAGTTGTCCTGGGGAATTCCTTGGGCGAGCCGTATGCAGGCGATGTATGGATTTAAGCAGCTAGCAAAGGTAATATTACAATGGCCGCCTTCCAGCGGTCGGGATAATTGTCTTGTCGTTTCAAGAGTGGGCACTAGCCTTATCGCACCCCGCAATGCATCTGATCCCACCGGCGTTCTAAGCACAGAATTCGCCGGTATTTGCTACTGCGGCCCGTTCCGGGCTCTTATCATTGGAGGTTGACAAAGGGGAATCACGCGCTCATATCCTAGGACTCCGATATGGTCCGAGGAGGCTAAATGTCAATCCATGGAGTCAATATCCACATTCCACGTGAGATTAAGATACCTGGAGCCATGTTTTGGATAAACCTTGATAAGCGTTGAGCATCTAAATTACAATTCTGTACGCTAAGCTAGGAATATTCCATCGTCAGTATTGAACCCGGCACTTGCAAACACATGTGCCCAATAATCGTCACTCATAAAGGCTTCTGGCTCTTGGAGCGATGCTCCTGCCGCTGCCATATCATATTGTTGGGAGGCTTCCTGTGTGCCGTTCTTGAAAAACCGACCGTCACGGATCGGGGTTTCAACGGTGTCAAGTCTTCCATTGAAAATATTCAAATCTGTAAGAATGGGGTCATTTTGTCTTGGAGTATCCATTTCAGATAGTCTTGCCGCAATTTTGCCTAGGAATTGGGCCTGTAGAACACAAGTAGACCCATCGGGCGCTCCTTGGCTGGAAAAGGCCGCGGTTGCTTCGCGAATCGCTTTTATTATCTCAGGTCTTATCTGTTTCGCAATTGTTTCGGGTACGGCGTGAGCCAACTGAATTTCATGATGGTCAGTCTCTATACCACGCAAAAAATGAAAATCAAACTTGTAAGTCGACGGGCAAAATGACTGACCTTCACGAGGAATGCACCACTATATGCATTCATCACATGTATCGAGTCCTGAACAAAGTAAATATGTGCCGAGAAGTCTGATATGAGCTTGAGCATTGATAGCGCACTCGAGTATGCCATCCAGAATGTTCCCAAGTCAAGTGAAGCCTCAGAAGCACCAGAACTCAGCATGACTTGCAGTGGTAACGAAGAGAGCTGAAGTATTATATGAGATCCATAAAAGCGTATCAAGAATTCGTGACAGTTTTCTTCACTGGTTGATAAGGCCTTGATCTTTCGAGTCCATTGCTTTTCCCACTTCCTAATGCGTGTATTAATAAAGTCCAACTGCAATTCAATTCCTTGCATTTTGGCTCTTTTGCCTTCCCAGCTTTGAGGATTTAATAATCTGACTGCTTCGGAGGTCAATATTCTCAAGGTAACAAATGCTCCCAGGAGAGGATCATGCCTGGTCGCGAGCGGATCGTTGCACCATGTCTCTATCGACTCAATGAACTCGTCACGCTCAATCATCCAAGGCCGACCTGTCTGTAGACTCATGCTGTATTCTTGTGTCAATCCCCTTCACATCTGGCTTGAAGCGATCAACATACCTCCGGTCGTAAACAAACAAAAGAAACCAAGTTCTTTCTTTATTTCGAGTTTCTCGCCTTTCGCTTTCGCTCATTGTGTGATTTTGTGATTGAGAAGGAAGGAACTTATGCCATCCCATGTCTGTACACATTCTGATCACGTAACCAAGTAGGACCCAGGCCCGTGTATCGCGAGGCTCCTTCCAATACGTTAGGATAAGAGTCCCCTGGGCTATTTCCGTAGTTTTAATGCCACTTAGAAAATTTTTGGCCAATAAGGATTCGGCATGTTCGTGAAGTTTGGGATAGAACGTTGGGTTGAAAGCCTTCGCCGAGCTTGCGAGGATCGTACTTAGCAAAAATGACGATTTCCGGCGCACGTATGAAAAGGTATGCAGGGCAGGGTCAAGCTGAGAAATATAGGGATTGAAGACGGTGATGAAGCTATTCATATTGTTAAGCCTCGTTGAAATTTACTGACGTCAAGTCCTACTCACTGATCAAATAGACACTGGGCAATAGATATATTGATCAGGCCCAAACGGATCGGATCGTCGAGCGAGCCGCTGTGGTCGCCTTCATGCCGCTCTGGTCTTTCATTTTCCCCCGAGCCAAGAATATATCGCAGAGAGAATCGCCCCTTCATGGCCTCATGACTGAGTACACCAGAAGGCTGTAACCCATCTGAGCCGGTACTTGACCGTGACATTGCGGGCGGCGGTTCGCGTACAGGGACATCTTCCTCTGGAACTGCCGTCCTGTCGGGTCGTAATTCACTTGACAAGAGGTATCTCGGTGTCACCGATTTCCGCTTTGATAACCTTGGAATGATTAGTTGGGAATGCTTGATCCGCGCCTGCATTAATACCTCGACTCACCTTGTTCCGGGCCTTCGGCCTCGACGGTGGGGCTCAAAGATGCATTCAAGCAATTTGCGCACGCAGCGTTCACATGCGCCGGCTTGCGCGCCCGGGATGCATTTCATTTTCACTCGACGACATTGTAGACACGCGTTCATTGTACCGGTGCTTTTCAAGTTAATTGATGGTAAGAAGGAGCAGCGACGAAGATAAGGGAATTAAGTCAAGGAAGCCGCTTATCTTCCATCTCGATAAACTCTGCCATACCCGGAGGGAACAATCTACGAAAAGTCGATGGCTCGTCAACTCGATATTCTGTAAGATCTTTGAATGCGTAAATGCTAGCGACTTGAGGTATACAAGGGGTCCAACGTAAACCAGCCTAGTAGCCTTAAACTTGCACACAATGAGGACACCGAGAACAAATGCACGAACAAATAATTCCCAAGCTTTCAAATTATTCAAGTATGAAGGAGACTTTTATATCACAGAAGGCTCAGCCCACTTGATTCAATTTCTCACTGTACATAAATAGAACCAACTTGGTAAGATAAGGAAAAAAATGTAAACCCAAAATCAACCTCTGTCAAACTCAAGCCCACAATAATAGCACACATGCACATAATATAGCTCGTGGAGTCGTGCAGAACCATAAATCCCAGAATCAGGCAAGTCAAGTCAATCCATGCATGAAAAGAAAAATGACACTCATAACGCCTGTCCGAGATTCGGTATGTAAAACAGAAGAATAAATCACAATTGAAATTGACGCCAAAGAAAAGAAAAATGAGGAATTAAAAACGGGGATAGAACGCTCATTAATAATCTGAATATGTCTCGTGATGTGGGTACCCATTTGCGGGCAGGTTTGGTTGAGCCCAGACGCTGTTTCGTAGTCGTCGTTCTACGACAAAGTTAGTTATGATGCTACCAAATAGTCGAGTAAGAATTATTAGTTGAAGTGAAACATACCTCTTTCAAAATCACGCCATCGCTTCATCGTAATTTTAGTACTGTCGAACTCGCCCTCAGCATCACCGTGTCCCTTGTCCTTCTCGCCAGCAGTCTTCCGGGTATCACCCCAACTGAAATCGTCGAATTTCCAGAAGGCATAAGTAGGAAGAACAAAGTTCCAGATGGGGAGAGAAACAAGGTAGATAAGCATCCAGAGAACGTAGACAAGGCGGTGGGCTGTCACGACGATCAAAACACCCGGTAGACCCAGAATCAAAGCAAGAAGAACGAGAGGAATAACCTGGACAGGTTTCCTGACAATGGACGAAATGATAACGTAGATGGTGAATGAAATGGCGGCGGGAAGAACTAATGTTCCGACTAGCTCAATGAAGATGACGAATTGCATGCTGAAGCAGAATGTACCGCATAGATCGCGGACAAGGACTAGTTCGAATAAGTTGTGGACTGTACTATTAATCCAGCGACGGCGCTGGGAAAGCAAGACCATGAACTTATCGGGGACAACTGTTTTGCAGACGGCCTGTGGGACGAAGATTTGTTTGCGCTTCGGGAAAGTTTTGAGCATTAGGGTAGTCAGGTACCGATCCTCACCGAGAAGAAGGAGATTCTTCTTGTGGAGGGTGTCAACCACGTTCTCGGAGTAGTGTTCCACGATATCCGGATTGGCTAGAATGGGGACCCAGTAGTTCTGGCCACCCTTAGGAGCTTTGATGCGATACATGGAGAAACATCCGGGGAGACAGGTGACACCACCGAAAACGGACTCGAAGGATTTGGCTTGGTGGTGGGAGATGAAGTATTCGAAGACTTGGATCATGGTAACCCAGCTGTCGGTCTTGTTGGCAATCTTGGTCTCACCGCACAGGCCCATAATTTCCGGGTCCTTGACCATAGCTGAGACCATGTGCGTCAAGCTGTCGGGGAATACCTTCGTATCGGCATCGACCATCAGAACGACCTCGTAGAAGTCCGGGGGCAGACCTGTGACATTCCACATGCCATTGAAAATCTCGAATTCAAGCTCAGTCATACGCTCATCAAACATAACTTTCTGCAAAAACGACATGAGGATAATTTGACTGTCTCGCTTGCCACGGTTACCCGGCTTGGACTGAGTAGACTCGGCAGGGGTACCGCACTTCACAATCACCATCATGGGAACACGCTGCTGCTTCTCAGGGGGAACCATAGAGGTATCGCCATAGTCGTAAAATCCAGTATATACCTTAGCCATGTTGTGTCTCTTTGAGCCAGTAGCTACGGCAACATATGAAAATGGTTGAACCTCATCTGGAAGAACCACATGATCTTTCACCATGCTAAGCACGATGTCAGGAGTGGAGTAGTCCTCTCCTTTACCCTTGATGATACCATCACAGATGACAAGAATCGTCTTGTGACTGTTCGGGTAATCAGTCAGTGCAATGGAGTCAAGAGTACTCCGAATACCCTCTTCACCCTCTGAGTAACATGTAACTAAGCAAAGCGCATGCGCCAAGGGGTAGCCAAATGGCTGCCATTCAGGCGGAGGCTGGGGAACAACAGACTCATGAATGAATCCAGCGGGGCCTGGGCCATCGGACTCGGGGACGATGGTGGAAAAGCCAGGGTCTTGCGAGCCCGCTCCAATCAAGCTGGTCCTACTGGCAGCAGGATTCCGGGAATTGTCCGCACTCAAAGTACCGCCACTACTGTTGTGACTCGTCTTGTACATAGTTCCAGTGGTGGTTGAGCTGGGCATAAGCCGGGAAGTCGAGTTCTGGCTAGCCATTGTCACATAATTCGAACGTTGCTTACCACCAGCACTGGTGGATCCACCCATGACATATGGACTGGAGAAACGAGATGTCGTCGGTAAGAAGCTGGCACGTTTGCTGAGGCGGTCCGGGATCGGAGGATCAGGCATGCGAGGTGCCGGTCGGTAGATATCGTTGGACCAGTCTTCGATCTGTTGGTTACGAGTCCTGGCATCAGAACTCATGCTTGTCCTGTCCGCAGCGAACTTCTTGGCCAAGAACCATTGGAACAACACCGCAAACGCAAACTTGACCACGACAATGGACAGAATGAAAATCAAAGAGACGTAGAGTACAACCTTGGAAGCAATGCATCCCACGGTGTCTGTGTCAATACTGCCCACTTTGATGATCTGCGTCAGACACTGTCCGAGCTTCTTCTCATCTCCACCCTGCAAGTAGTAGGTCAGATCAACTCCCCGAACATCCGGATTTTCGCGAAGCTTGTCGAACTTGGCAGGATACGAAACCTGACTGGTATTGAACCAGCGCAGAAGATCCAGGTCCAGAACGCTGCCCGAGTACACAGCCAGATTCCGGCTCTTGTTCCTTGTGTCTTCCCACGTGAAATACACATCACCTGATGGGTTGAGCTCCCAGAAGGGTTTCCGAGCAGCGGAGCTGGTATGACATGCCCACCCCTCGTAATAATCGTCTGTCCTATTTGGCTCGGACGAACCATCCTGGTTGAAAGCATTGCAAGGGAAGTACCACCCCAGATCCCCGTCGGAGTTGGTTGGAACACCGCCACCATCCACAGCAGTGATAAGCCCCTTGCAAGCACCATTGACTTCCTGGAAGAAAAAGCTGCCATCCTGACCACCATATTTATGGGGCAAGTCGTATAGAACATTAGTATCCTCGGGAATCCCTTCTGCGGCTGGGTGCTTGGAATTCTCCAAGTTGTATGCCTGACCGTGGAAAATCATATAGCCATTGCCGACCTCGTTGATCTTCAGTCGCGTTGGAGCGTTTCCGCAGACCGTTGCCGTGAATCCGAATGTCAAGAAACCGACAAAGGCTGCGACCATCAAAATGATACTGATAAGGCCAATCTTCTCCCGCCAGGCCGTCCGCTGTTCTCTCTGCGGCATGCCACAGCACTTGAGCAGGAAATCCGGCACCAAACAACTGATCAGTGCGCAGTACGTTGTCCACAAGTCCGGCGGGCGCACCGCCTCCATAGCCTTTTGTCGTTTTCTGTCCTCAAGGGTCGGCTTCTTCGAAATCCGGCGCGAAGACCTCTTCTTCTTCTTTTTCGAGTGATGTCGGCTCGGCCCCCGCTCCATCGGTTTGTTAACATTTCCCAACCCATACAGCTCCCTCGATTTCGTATCTATGCTCTTGGAGCTGTTCGTCTCGGCCTCGGCATCTCGATCGAGTAATGGGTCTTCTCCTGTCGTGGACGGATGTGTATTCATACGATGCGACCGCTGGCGATAGTGGTAGTTGGGGTGGTCGGAGTCGACATGGCGACGTTCGGGTTTGACGAGGCTTTTCTTGCGCCTGATGTCGCCGCCCCGCTCCATGCGATCGTCGTCGGTGTCGGTCGCTCGCCGGTGGCCATGGGAGTGTCGGCGACGATGCCGGTGGGAAGTCGGTGTGGAGGTCGGGTTGTCGCTGTACTCACCCGTGTCGATGTCCCTGCGACGCCGCCTTGAGGGTTCGCGGAAAGCCCGTACCTCTTCACGCCGCGGCGAGGCCTTGCCTGGCCTCTGGGGCAAAGACATGGTGCTATTCGGGCAGGGGTTAGTTATTCTAGTAGCAAGTACCGGAAGTCTGGTCGCACTCACCCTTAGGAAGTCCCTGTCATGTACTGCTGGTGAGCGGTCTCGAAATGTCCTAAATTCGCTGAGTCCGGTTGGTTGTCTAGAGCATGTCCGAGGATCAACAAAGCCTGTCTTCCGGATCCCCGCGCGAATGCAACTCCGATGCTAGTAGTTTGTATATGCCGGTAACGCTGCTCAAGGGGTAATAACGAAGGTGCTTGATCGGTCTTTTCCTCCCGTTTCTGTTACGGTCGGGCAGTTGAGCGTCACTGCGGTCGGCCGGTGCGACGGTGGAGAAATAAACAAAGGTCCACTCAATCTCACGGGGTCGAGAACATCAAATCAGAAACGAGCGGATCGACCCGAAGGGTTCAAGTCAACGACTTAGATACAAGAAAGAGATTCAGGAGCGATGTCCACACGATTTATTCCAAACAGGTCTACGGTACCACCCGGTCTTGCTGGCACCGAAGTACCCTACTATTTAGTGACTTCCTCGCTTGGGACAATGAGGAGAATTTCCCCCTTTAATCATTAATTTGTCGCTAGGGGCAGCATCCGGGGTGCATCACACCAATAAGCACATCAGCCAAAACATAGCCAACCGCAGTGATTGGTACGAGAACGCCGGTGGGTCAGACCCGAGGTCAGGGACCAAATGGAGCAAATGACCGTCCATGGCGCCCAGACGCTTGCCTCCATTCGGTTGAAACCGAACTTTTTCTCTTTGAAATTCTAAGCAAAGGGAACTCCTGCCGAGGAATCTGCTAGTCTCTGCTTACAGTCACGGGGTCATCGACTTTTTCGTGCTATTTTCGGATCGCGCCACTGGGACCCTGTCTCGCTTGGGTGGCACAATCGTGGATTCGTGGTATTCGCCTTACCAGTTCACGATACAATCGATTTGACTACAGAATGCTCAACTTTGGACTCTGATTTAGCGGTGCCATGCCAAGATATGTGAGCTACATAGACCCTGCAGAAGACGAACTAAAGAGTACCCAAGCTACATGTGCTTTGTCACTCTTAATCGCCACCGCTCGGTCCATAACCAAAGAAGACGACTCTAGGGGTATTCAATATCTGGTCAATTATTCCCGCCTTACCGCTCTATTTTCTTTTTATGCAATGCCGGCTGAGGCGCCGTCGTGAGATCTATCAATTCAACGTATCGTGAAGTCTCCAAGCCCTGGAATGGTTGAAAGGAAATCCCTGTTCTGCATCAGGGGTCAAAAGCCCGTGCCCAGTGCACCGTAGATCGACATGGCGGACGATCATAGCGGGTCTATACCAATCCTAATGACTCGGAACAGATTTGAATCTATACGAAAATTGGAGGTAGTCTGTACTCCATTCTGTCCCTGTTTATCACCCGAGAAAGTCTCCAGATCGAGTCCGGATCTGCTAGGAACCGCCATCCCTTGTGCGAGGGTCGGTCTGGGCAGCGCATGGGAGCCATGCCCACGTTCTTTCGGACTGGAATGTGCATCTGACAGAGACGAGATCGGTGTGGACATACCTGGCTAGTGGCGCTGGTATGCGCCAGCCGCGAGGGAGACTGGTAAGCCGGTCAAAAACCTGTATTCCGTCATCAAGATGCCAATATGAAATTGTGTAGCGTTGGCAACGTCTTTCCCGCTAGTTCGCCAGCAAGGAGCACTATCGAACCCATTTATTATTGAAGGTCCGAACAACGGGCCGTGCGGATATAACTCAATTGAATCAGACCAATTCAGGAAATCAACCAAACAAGAACATAATCATGTACCCAATGACGGGTGCCTAACTCAAACCCAGCCCACCTGGTAAATATAGAAATGGTGTCATCTTTTAACCACCTTGGACAAAATCTTGAATTGTGATTGTCTGGGTTCCAGTGTAGCGAAACCCGGACTCACCTGGTAAGCTAGACCGGAGATACCGGCAAAGTAGGGTTCGCCAACCTTTAGTGGGATGCACTCAGTTCCCCGTTGGTAACTAGCACCATGCTGCGTGCCCCAGCGTCCCGTCCCCGCCAATATCGAGGCTCGATCATCCGATGGCTCCACTGAGCCATGGTGATAGGGCGAGGGTGGATTGCGAGCATGAGAGCTAGAGGCTCAGGGAAAAACAAGGAGAAAAAAAAAAAAAAAAGAGCGACAAGCTGGCTTGGTTCGTATATGTACTTAGCGCCCAGGTGGCAGGCATTCTCGTGTTTAGGCTGGGCGGCTGAGAAGATTAGTACCGAACTTTGCAAGTTAAAGATCAGAATGACTCCGCGTGTTCCAGGGTGGAGTCCAAAGGTGGATCAGACGTGGGACGGTTGTATTGCCCTTTAGCCTTCTCTATTAATACGAGAAAGAAATACGGCGCGCGTAAAAGTCCCCCGAAAAAATCAGTATATTAATAGCTTCCCCGCCATATAGAGAATAATGATTCACAAACAGCGCATAAGAAATGGAGTGAACCGATATCTGATAAATACCTGAGCACGTAATCCTCAAGCATGGCGGAAGTCAATAGGGTGACCCTTCAAGGAGTAAACTAGCGATCAAGTGGGGATTCGAACCCTTTTTTACCCTTTTTCTCGCTCTTTTTTCTGGGAGTTCCTAGGCTCCAAAGCTCTTGGGGTCTTTACCGGCTGAAACATCTTTCCCCTCTTAATAACTTCATTACTGTCATGGTCGTCATTTTTCCTCCAACCTGAGTGAAAGAGTCCCTCCCCTTTAACATTAACCTGACTTCTGGTCCACTTCACTGGGACTACCCGACTTGTGCTCCACCGCCTCACAGCTCTCTGACACACTTTATTTCATTCCTCCAAGCGAGCTACGTTCATGTCTTTGTAGAATTCACATAATTCGCCTGAAATCTGCACACTCGTTTTGATCGACACATTGGCTGAACCATGGCTTATTCGGTGACAAACGGCCACCCTTTACCCTCGCCTCCCCCAGCTTATCTCCGGGATTCTCCTCCGTTATCGTCGCAGAACTCCAAAGCCACTCCACGAACAATTCCAACTCGTCCCCAGAGCTTGAATCTCATCCGTCCGGCAGTCTCAATTATTACCGACAGTGACGAGTCTCCAGTGGTACAAAATTCACCCAGGTCCCCGGTCAAGATCGACAGTGGAGTTCAATTACCCCAGGCTTCTAGCGTTGTCATCGAAAATATTCCCAATGACCATGGGTCACCACAGATCGAGCTCCCAGAGTTCGCGCATATGTCACTTAGAGGGCCTGCCCCGCATCAACACTGGGATACGAGCTACCCCCCACGGAAAGACTCACAGGCACCATATTCCCAGTCTCATGCATATGGACTCCCCGACAGCAACGGATCATGGTCTGCGGGCGAAACACCGCTGAAAGATGACGCTCAAAGCTCCTTAAAAAAGACCGACTCCTCTCGTGGCAGCTGGGAAAGCGTGGCAGTGGTGCCTGATGCCTATGAGCCCCTCACATATCACCACCAACAGCAACAGGTTACACAAGGGGCGAAGCGCTCAACCTTGGGAATGAATCTCAAAGACCACCCACCCAGCTCGCCTGGAAACCTGGCCGTTCAGCGCACAAGGATTGCTCGACCCCTTTCCGCATATTCATCTGGGTCAGATGGCGTGGTTGCTCACCGGCGCAATCTCTCAGCCTCGCCGTACCTGCACGGCCGGTCATCGTCCAGAAACTCCACCGCGTCCCCGGATAACCGCTCAAGCTCATTCCTCGATTTGCTGAATACATCCTATCCCCAGCCTGGTCCTAGTGCGGCTCAATTCGACAATTCGCAACTCCGATCATCGGTCGGCAACAATGCCTCGCTCCTAAGCCACAAGCAGACATTTGAGATGTACTTGGCAAACGTGAAGAAAACCGATTCACCAGGCGTGCAGTACGAATTTGCAGTTTTCATGATCAACTCCATGCGTGAAATGCCCAACGTGGATCTTGAGGACTCAAACTCCATCACGCGATCCCGGCTGCTCCGGGAATCGAAGTCCATTCTTCAGCGTCTTGCAGACCGCAGTTATCCTTTTGCTCAATACTACCTAGCTGACGGTTTTGCATCTGGACTATTCAACAAGGGGAAAGAGGACCACGACCGCGCATTCTCTCTCTTTGTCGCTGCTAGCAAACACGGCCACGTGGAGGCATGTTATCGTGCAGCTCTGTGTTATGAGTTTGGCTGGGGAACAAGGCCAGATGGTGGTCGGGCAGTCCAGTTTTACCGACAGGCTGCATCGAAGAATCACCCCGGAGCAATGTCTCGCATGGCGAAAGCTTGTTTGGCAGGCGACATGGGACTAGGCAAACGCTACCGAGAGGGAATCAAATGGATGAAGCGTGCAACTGAATCATCTGATATGCAATATAACTCCGCTCCATATGAACTCGGCTTGCTTCATGAGACGGGTTTCGGAGACGATGTGTTCCAGGATGTTTCGTACGCGGCACAGTTGTTCACCAAGTCTGCAGAGCTGGGTCACGTAGAGGCATCTTACCGACTAGGTGATGCTTACGAGCATGGCAAGTTGAACTGCCCCCGTGACCCTGCCCTGAGCATCCACTTCTATACTGCTGCTGCACAGCACGAACACCCACTTGCTATGATGGCATTGTGTGCGTGGTATATGGTCGGTGCGGAGCCGGTCCTGGAGAAGGATGAGGATGAGGCATATGAATGGGCTAGACGGGCAGCCAATCTTGGTAAGTACTTGTCCTTTCCCAAAGCAAAATCATTTCTGACTTGCGTTTCCTCCAGGTCTTGTGAAGGCCCAATACGCTGTTGGATATTTTACCGAAATGGGAATGGGCTGCCGACGTGATCCGCTCGAGGCGAATGTCTGGTATGTCAAAGCTGCCGACCAAGGTGACGAGCGTGCCAAGCTACGCATTGCTGCAATCCGAGCCGCCGCCGATGGTGCCGGTGCTGCAATAGCTGCTCGAGGTGGAGGTCGTTTCAAGAAGGACAAAAGTAACCAAGGGCAAGGTAAGTACCTTTCATTCACGGTTGGTAAGATGAATCATAGCGCTGACGAGATCTAGATGCCACCAAATCAAAGCAAAAGCGATTCACCATTTTCTGATTCAATACCTTTACCCAGAGCTGAACCTCCTGGAAACATTTATGTTACCGATGCATATTCCGTTCCTTATCTTTGACGTTTTGACCATGATATCCCTCACTGCACGCACCGCATCACTTTTCCTCCGGCATTAATACATAATCTGCATCTCACGCTCGTCAAATTTCGGGCCTGATCCATTTCATTTCATCATGTTATTATTGACTTTGTGGTTACCCTTTTATTTACAATCACTCCGAACCAGCGACAAATGTCCATGTATAGCGACCACTCCCTCGAGCTTTCATCTTACGGGCATGATTTCGCATCCCGTCTTTTCATCATCGTCAATTGTTCTATTTCTTGCATTTTGGGGTTTCATGATATTCGTGCGGTGTCTGTCTCCTTTTGTTTCATTATGGCATGATTATTCCAATCTTAGTCTGCGTGATTTTGTTGAATTGATTTTCATGGGCGTACACGTCCTTTTCGTCCCATATGTTTGGGCCTCAGCTTTTTGACTCTTCCTGGCGTCTTGATTTTCTAGTCTATGGTGGTCTCTGGTAGCAATATAATTGCGGATGAAGATACATACTCTCGAATTCGAATTCACTCTCTCTTTAATCATTTAGAGGTCCTGCGCGCTCCCACCACAAAGCAATGAACCGTCTTATTTATTTTGCTGTCCAGGCCGGACTCACCTTGATGTTTCTCTGGTGCTTCGAGCGGTTTTATGTGTTAATAATCGAGGGCGTAGGGATTGCTGGCCTCTTCGTACATTATTGTCGGAATCATTGGGAGATTAGAAAGTCTTATCTTGAAGACCTCGGCTAGAGTGGCTGGGAAGTTAGGCTTTCGGGCGTTTTATCCATTATTCCTCTGGGCGTCTGATTGAACGTGCATCTTGTCATAGGCGAGCAGCGAGTTTCTTTGCCGGCCAGCCATCGCTTGGCCTCGTATGAGCCATCCTTGGCTTCTTATTTTGTTTAGTAGCTTATGGAGGTATGCCGATATGATCTCTCAGTCAATGGCGGTGTCTTATACATGGATGGAACATGTTCATAATCCAAGTTTCCTTGTTGAAGCCTATTCAAATATGGATTCAATCTGGCAATTGAAAGTTACAACTCTTCATCTCGCTTGTTGATAAGCCCCGCTGTACAGCAAACACGTTTCAAGAAAACGGAAGATTTGTGGGGATCAACCCCGCAAAACACAGAAGCTCAGGCATCCCGGAGCCCGGCCAAGGTAAACAAAGTCAACCCCATTCCTCGGTAAATATTATGAGCAGGGATGTTACCTTTCATCGGCCCATTCGGTGGAGGCGGCCTAGAAGCTCTGCGATTGATGGAAATACCCCGGCTAAACCACGCTTGTCCTCAGATGTCCTGACGAGTCCAGAAAAAGGACAACTCCGGCGGGATAGAAGCTTGGCCCGATCTACCAACCTCACCTGCAATGCGCTGCACTGTAGATGTATAAAATGACGTTTTCCCATCTCAAAGCACTCTCAATTATATAAATCACCACGTCACCACGCATTGAAATCGATCCAACATGAAACTCTCTCATATATTCACATTCGTTGCAACAGCAGCTGCAGCATCCCTAAAGCCCCACACCCCATCCCCATCAGCTTTATCCGACGTAACAATCTTCGACCCACCAACAGACTACAATCTCCCCCGAACCCTGTATGCCCGCACAATCGAACTACCAAATGGTGACCTCCTCTCAACATGGGAAAATTATTCCCCCGAGCCACCGCTGGTCTACTTCCCAATCTACCGCTCCAAAGACTATGGTAAAACCTGGTCCGCGTACTCAAACGTTACCGACAAAGTAAACGGATACGGACTGCGTTACCAGCCATTCCTATACTATCTCACAGAATCCATTGGCTCATTCAAGGCCGGAACAATCTTGCTGGCTGGAAATAGTATCCCTGAGGACCTCTCTACCACGCATATCGATCTGTATGCTTCGCATGATCAGGGATTGACCTGGGAATTTGTGAGCCACATTGCTAGCGGTGGTGAGGCCTTGCCGAACAATGGCTTGACACCTGTTTGGGAGCCATTCCTTATGACTTAGTGAGTTCACGCGGTAGATCTGATTGTATCAAATCGTGCTGATCGGACGTGCAGCAAGGGAAAAATGATCTGCTACTACTCGGATCAACGGGATAATGCCACCTACGGACAGAAGCTTGTTCACCAGGTTTCGTCGGATCTGAAGAAGTGGGGACCTGTTGTCGATGATGTGTATGAAAGCTCTGACCATTTTTGAATATGCGAATTATGGCTGATAAGTACAGTGCCTATCCCACTTATACCGATCGTCCCGGAATGCCAACTGTGACGAAAGTACGTATATTCACTCAACCCTGAGTATTTCACAGAAATCCTAACAGTCATAGCTTCCTAACGGACAATACATCTACATGTACGAATACGGCTCCTTCTTCGGCACATCCTCCTACTCATTCCCTGTCTACTACCGCCTATCCTCGAATCCGCTGGACTTCAACTCAGCCGAAGGAATCCAATTGATTGCCACTGATGGCACGAAGCCCACATCTGCACCTTATGTGGTCTGGACCCCCTACGGCGGTAAGCATGGAACTATCATTGCGAATGGCCAGTCTTCCTCTTCCATTTTTGTGAACAAGGCGCTTGGGAAGGGTGAGTGGACGAAGGTTAGTTCGCCAGAGGTTGCTGCTTATTCGCGGTCTTTGAGGGTTCTGGAGGGAGACGGGAACTGGTTGGTTCTTACTGGAGGTGGTGACTCGGCTAGTACGACGGACAACTTGGTTAGTGTTAGTGTTATGGATTTGAAGGGGTTGGTGTGATTTAGTGGTGGGAAAAGGGACACTATTTCTTTGGACCTCCAGACCGAGGTCCACTACGATCGGAACATTCGGAACATTTGAATGGAGAGAAGGATTGAGCTTCTTCGACTTTAAAAATGTATCGTCCATGGTTATTTCTTCCTCTAGGGCTATGGATTCAGTGTCGCTAATCATTCATTGAAATGCAAAAAGTATCGTAATGCCTCCGCCTCCAGGGCTCAGAGTGCATATCTAAAGCTGGGTAAATCCTCGATCACAACCATCCCCCTATTAGCCCACTTGTTCTGTAAGGAGAAGTAAATGACCAAAAGTGTCGTAATAGTGAGAATAATCCCATTGGCCCTGCAATCCAAAGTCAGTATCTATATTCCAATGCGTAATCAGACAACCAGCAGTGAAACTCACGTCAAACAAGCATAAATCCCCAGAAGATACTTGGGTGCATCCTGCGACCGGAAAACAAGACTCCCAACAATTCCACCCGTTCCTCCAAGCCCAATCATACTAGCACTACAGAATGCTCTCTTCCAAGCTCCGCGAATGTTGTTCGCCTGGAACACCATCACAGTCGGCAGATTGGCGCTAGAACCGCTCGTCACGAGAATAGCACCAAAGTACTGTACACCCGCCGTGGAAGTCCAGACCATAAGACAGAGACCAGTTATAGAGATCAAGGCATTGAAATATAGCACTGGGAACCGGAGTTGGACTTTATCGCTCAGCCAACCTTGGACGAACATAAGGATCATGGCAATGATGTAGGGGGGCGTGCTGAGGCCTTGGGTAGCTGCTTTGGAGAAACCCATTTCTTCTTCGAGAATGATGGGGAGGAAATAGCCAATTGAGTATGCTTGCATTGTTGTGCATCTGAAAAACCCAGCAGTCAGCATGTTGTTTTTATGTGTATCTATAGAGGGGAACTGGTTGTACTCACAGGAAAATCAATGCGAAACCCCAAACCTTCAAATCACGGGCCGGCTTGAGGAACTTGGAAAATGAGAACTTATCTAGTCCTGCGTCTTGGCGATCGCGGTTGATGCGACGGGTGATGTATGCGCTTTCGCGCTCTGAAAGAAATCCCCATGCCTTGTGCGCTTGTTCGGGGAAATCAACCATGAACACGTATCCGGCGAGGCCGATCAGACAGGTGATAATCCCTTCCATAATGAATATCCATCGCCAACCAGCATAATTGCCCAGTCCATCCATTTTCGAGAATCCAAGTGCCAGGACGCCTGAGATGGCAGATCCAAAGACGCCAATGAGGTAGAAAATCGAGGTTCGCTTGAATAGATCATCTGGAGGTTGTGAGCGTGGAACATGTAGACTCGGGAACCGTATACGTACATCGGGAGTACCACGCTGAAATAAGATAATACTGGCTCGGGAAGCAGCCTGCCTCGAGGGCACCGATGATCATTCGGAGAGGGATGAGGGCTTTCCATGACTGGGCGAATGCGAAGCACTGTCCTCGTTAGTTAAGTTCATAAGTAAGAACACGAGTACATACAATCATCACAATGCCCCAAAGAAAAACAATTGTGGATAGGAAAAGACGAGGCCCAACTTTGCGAACGGCAATGGAAGCTGGGAATTGAAGAACGACATAAGGGGCGAAGAAGACGAGTAAAACGATGGACTGGTAAAAATCAATGTCAGCCTTCGTACAGGTTAAATCGGTACATGAACAAACATAACGAGTCCCAACACTCAGTCCAAGTGCCTCTTTCATCCTGTAAAATGTCAGATCCTGTCAAACAAGCAGATCAGTATTAGAGTTCATACCCAGCAACTTCCGCATTGGAAATATTCGCCCGATCCAAAAATGAAACCGCTTGCATCAATCCCAATAAGATAAGTAACCTCCTATCAACCTTATGGATAATCTTCCGCTGCTCAGCAAGCGTATATTCCTCATCAGCGTCGGGATCCTGCTGAACAAGAAAGTCGATCTTTTCATCCTCATAGTTCGTCTGGTATTGGGTTAAAGCTGGTAATGGTGCCTCCGCGTCTGCAAGAACGCCTATTTTTTCTGAATGGACGGGCATTTTGGTTTTAATTTTGATTCTGACTTGCGATTAAGATAAAATTGATGCAGGAACATCTACCTCTATATCTCGTAATATTTGTTTTGCCGCTGTCAACGTACGTGGTTAGCCGTGATGGCGAATGATGGCGTGCCCGGGAAGCTTGATGTCGCCAAATATGAGTGGAGCTTTCTTTGGAACTAAGCACAAATGAGATCGTAAGATCGACTATAATGGGAAGAAAATGTGGGTTATGAAATAAGTTATGCGCGTGAAGATCAAGAGATAAAATAGTATATTTAATATTCCAGGGTTTGAGGGGAAATGAAGCGTTATGATGGAATTACGGTTATTGAGGGGTGAATCTATGGTTACCGGAAGCTTAATGATCGGCTCGGGACAGCTTTGGCCTTGGTATATGTTCTAAGTCCTTACATTTTCAGTTTGTCTGGCATTGCTATAAGGCTGACAATGATGCTCCACGTTTGGATTGACGGCAATTTTGAATTTACATTCGATGCATGCTTCGAATAAAATTATGCAGGGAACTTAATCTTTCTTTTTATCTCGGATTTGATTACTTGTTTTGCCGATGTCGAGGCTAAGTGGTTTAGCCGTGATGGCGTGCGCGGAAAGCATAATATCGTCAAAGCGTGGGTGGAGCTTATTTCGGGACTAAGCGCAACAGAGATGAGATGGGATGATATCGTGAAAGGATTCTCGATTTTGCAAAATCAATGCTGTGATGATGTTGAGAAATAAAATAGTATTTCCAGTATTTGAGGGGAGAAGATATTGCGGGATTATAGTTATAGATGGGGTTGCTCCATGGTTGCCGAAAGGTTAAATGGTTGTAGCCGCCGGGGTGACAGGACAGATCTGCTAGCCGGGAACATCCAGTCGGAGCTAACGTTTTGATTTTCGGCAATTTAAAGCCCCACGTTGACGTATATATTCTTCGATAGCTAGCCAATTCAAAGTATTATCTTTTACGCGTGTTTCATTCTCGCACAAAGCCTCTCAGAATGGCAGCAAATCCCTCTTTTGAAGATCTAGCTGATCATGAAGCGACAGACCGAGGCTTCATCGCCGCACTAGAACCCGGCATCATCAAAGATGCCACGGGGAAAGTGGTCTGGAACATTGACGCCTATGATTTCATGAAAGCTGAATGCCCATCCACAGCGCACCCCAATCTCTGGCGCCAAGGTCAACTTAACTCCAAACATGGACTATACGAGATTTGCGAAGGAATTTATCACGTCCGCGCTTACGATCTCTCAAACATGACAATCGTAGAAGGCAAAGAGGGAATCATCATCATCGACCCTTTGGTCTCATGTGAGTGTGCCGCCGCTGGGTTGGCTTTATACCAAGAGCACCGCGGAAAGGGCAAGAAGGTGACGGGCATGATCTACTCCCACTCGCATGGAGATCATTACATGGGCGCTGGGGGTGTGATCGCTCAGGACGCGGACATCCCCATCATCGCACCGGAGGGTTTCCTCGAAGCCATCATGAGTGAGAGCATCCTTGCCGGGCCGGCAATGCGCAAGCGCGGGGCACGTATGTACGGAAACGCACTACCGCGCAGCGCGACGGGTCAAATCGGCACTGGACTGGGAATGGGATCAAGCGTCGGGACGACTAGTCTCATCCCGCCCAACCTGCTCATCCAAGAAACAGGCGAAGTACACGAAGTGGACGGCGTGAAGATTGTTTTCCAGATGGTTCCTGGATCCGAGGCGCCGGCCGAAATTAATTTCCATTTCCCTGATTTCAAAGCGCTCTGTATCCCTGAGACAGCGACAAATTGTATGCACAATATTGTTACGCTTCGGGGTGCGCAGGTGCGGGATGCGAAAGCTTGGTCTGGGTATCTGGATGAAGCGGTTGTTATGTTCGGCCGGGACTCGGATGTGCTCTTTGGCAGTCATAATTGGCCGACTTGGGGCCGCAAGGAGCTTGTTACAAGGCTTGAGGAGCAAAGGGATTTGTATGGATATTTGCATGACCAGACGGTTCGGATGATGAATCTGGGTATGACTGGCATTGAGATTGCGGAGATTATGCAGCTTCCTCCGGCGATCTCGAGGGCCTGGCATTGTCGTGGGTTCTATGGATCTTTAAGTCATAATGTGAAGGTATGTAACTGTTATATTCAGGTGAGGTCTAAGCTAATGGTTCCAGGGTATCTACCAAAAATACATGACTTGGTTCGATGGGCGCCCTGAGAACTTGTGGAAGTACCCTCCAACTGAAGAAGGACAGCGCTATGTGGAGTGTTTCGGGGGTGTCGATGGTCTATGTGACAAGGCCGAAACGTTCATTCAAAGAGGCGACAATCGGTTCGCAGCAACCATCTTGGCGCATGCCGTGGCCGCAAACCCTGCAAACCCAGAAAACCGAGCCAAACTACTGCTTGCCTCTGCATACGAAGCTTTGGGATTTGGATCAGAGAATGCAACATGGCGCAACTTTTACCTTACCAGCGCCCAAGAGCTTCGAAATGGCGCCAGGGCCGGCATGGTCGCAGGTGGTCGGACACAACTTGGAGAGAAGCTGAGTATCGACCAGTGGTTCGAGGTTATGTCCGTGCAAGTAGATGGAGAAAAGGCGGCAGAACTATCTTTTGTTATTGATTTCGATGTCACTGACGTGAAAGAAAAGTGGCGGTTGATCTTGAACAATGGTGTTCTCACCCGACGCCAGCTGCTTACCACGGATCAACTCCAAGATGCAAAGGAGAATGTTGCCGATTTTGCAATGATTCTAACTCGGATGGAGCTTCTTGAGGTTATCCGAGGCAACAAGGTCGGTGTTGAGACAACGGGTAGTTCTCAAGCATTGGAACAGTTGCTGGATTTAGTTCTGGTGCAGGAAGGGTCTGCTCGTGGGCCTAGTCAGCTATGATGATGTCGAGATGTCAATAGAAGTACATGCGAAAAGTTATGCATTTAAATGAAATGATAGACGAATATTCAAGTCGAGTTTCTTCCCATTCGTAGCTCAAATAACAATCCACGGAGAACGTAATGTAGCTCGGGTCAAATTCGGCTTTCCTAAAAAGGGCAGCCGATGCTCAGGATCACAGTAAGTATGAAAGATCTCTCCCATAAATCAAGCCACAAAGCGACAAATTTCCACATAGAGTTTTGGGGCGGAGATACCTCATTCTTCGCTCCGAATCGTGATCTAGACGATGACCGATATTTGACGGTCAAACGGCTAAATTTCTTGCGAATGGCATTCTCAAAAGAAGAAACATGTTACATCATGGAACTTCATGGAACTTCATGCGATATTCAAGCAGGACAAGAACCAGCATGTCGCTTTCAAGCCTCCTACCAATGTCATGCCTGGTGAATTGGGCCGGTATTCTTTTCGCAGGAGACCACTTGACTCTAATCAGGCTCGTCAATGAGAGATGCGAGACATTTCTCAATGATCTCCATAATTGGGCTCTGGGCTTGGGCATCGTATAGAGCCGTGGTGTATCTGGTGCTCATAGGATTGAAATTGGGGTCCTCTTCACAAGTTAGAGGCTGTATGGCCGCATATAGGTGCACTAGCCCATTCTGGAAAAATGCTTTAGAATTTTTGAACCCAAACCACCTGCATAATTTAGCTTCTGTCTATGTCTATCCCTTTAATGATTGCATCTTATTTGTAGTTTTTGGCGCCCGTATAATTGTATGAAAGTGATTTTGATGGCAATTTCTGCACCCAGTTTTCAGTGCCATGGCCCGTCGAGGGTCGCCTATCCCCTTTTCTTGATTCTACTTCTTTCCTTATTCAGTATTACTTCTCTTTCGTCTCTCCTTTGCGTTTGAATAGGTAGAGCTTCACTCGTGCACCGCATCTGTCCTGTTATTAGGACTCAAATGTGCCTCCTACTGTCCAGCTCCTGATCATCTACTACCGTCATTAATAGCTACTGCCGTCCTATAGTACGCGATAACAGCGAATATGACTGCCAATATACACACTCAATGCCTAGGGCCTTTCTCGCCACGATCACCAGGGCTTTCAAATCTCTACCAGTATAATTTACCGCCAACATCTTTCAGGACGAGCTATCGCACTTAAATAGCCACTTACTGTTGAGTTGAACCGAAAAGAAGAGTGGCAAAGCGAGCATACAGTGATATTCGAAATCAGTTTTAACTCCTATCTCTGTCTCTTCATTACCCGGCGCCCCACTTCATGCGTACTAGTCCCTATTAGGATGCACTTCCGCCATTCCCACAATTGTCTTATGTATCTTCCATAAGTTACCGTAAATTACAGTAATAAGATCCCTTAACAAAATGTCTCCTTAGCTGTCCTTCAAGAGGCGATCCAGAAACAGACGGCGTATGGGAATCTCATATTTATCGAGCACTGATACAGAGAATTGCTAAATCACCCTCATGTCATCTTGATACGGCAGCGAGGGTCAAGACCCCGGTCGATCAAGGCCTTAGAAAAAAGGTCACAGGAAAATCGGACTGTCATCCTATGAAATGTCGCGAGCGCATTAAGTTCGGGGCCGGTGTTGAACACTCTCAAATTACGCCAAATTAGTGCGGATATTTCTACTGGTAATTTTGAGATGTTCGGCTTTCTTCAGGCACCAGGTACTTTAATTCGAAAGTGATACTGTATTATAGCATCCATCCTAACAATTTATTTCTTCGACCTAAGTACTATCAGTTGATTTATCTTCTCAAACAAGTCATTCGTACGATACGGCTTATGGATAATATCGTCCATACCAGCCTGCAACATCTCTTTTTGTTGACTCGCCCTCACATTTGCAGTGACCCCAAGGATAGGGGTATCCGCTGCACGATCAAGATTGCGGATTGCCATAGTTGCGGAGTTTCCATCCATGACTGGCATTTCTTGGTCCATGAGGATGCAGTCAAATTCCTCGCGTTGGACAGCATTCAAGGCCTGTTGGCCGTTCGTCGCCTCCGAGATATGAAATCCCAAGGATCGCAATTTTCTAGAAACGATTTGTCGATTGATTATATTATCTTCCACCACGAGGACATGTCGAAGATTCGTATCAGCTTTCCCGCCAAGTACGGCGGACCCTTCTGGACTTTTCGAAGTTCTGTTCACATTGGGATCATCGTGCAGGAGTTCGTGCTCGCTCGCAGAAGGCTTATTAGACTTAGCTTGGTGAGCTATCTCCAACGTATGTATGTATTTGTCGTCACTCGCAGCCCCTGGTGCTATTTCCGCAATGTGAGTGACAACGGGATTCTCTGATATTTCAGGAGACTTCGTCCGGTCATTGACCCCGATAATCTTATTGCTTAGTTCTTGGATCCCACCACATAACTGATCAATTTCGGATTTGTCGTAATTAGGTAGAACGGGATTATATGGCTCATTCTCCCGCCGGACTCTGAAGAAGAAACCAAACGTGCTTCCCTCAGCTTCCTTTGAGCTTGCGCCGATTTCTCCACCATGAAGGTGGCAAAGTTTTCTGCTCACATTTAGGCCAAGACCAGAGCCACCATAAACGCTTTCAGTTCTGGGTGTCGCTTGGTTAAAGCGCTCAAATAGTCGCTTTTGGTCTTGGTCACTAATACCAATCCCGGTATCCTTCACGGCAACCATCACATACGCGACTTGGCCCTCTCCCCACTCAGGTGCGCTAGTGGCATCTAGGCGAAGTGCACTTTCGCTAGGTTCAAAGAATACAACATTAGGAGGGTAAGATGGCGGCCGCTTCGTGGAGGCGCCCATGGAGACTCTGATTTCTCTCTTACTATCCGCTTTTGCAGTGAATTTGATAGCATTGGAAACCAGGTTGATAAGAACCTGGCCCATCCGGCTTAAATCGGCTAACACCCACTCAATCCCGCATTCTGAGTAAGAATTGTCAAGTTTGAACTCAAACTGAATGTCTTGCTTCCGAAGCTCCGGGCGAAATATAGACAATGTTCGTGCAAAGTGTCGTTTCGGTTGATCTCTTCGCGGTGACAAGGTCAACATCGATGCGTCTAGCTTCGAAAATGTAAGAACATCGTCGACGATCTTCTTTTGATGTGCAACGCAGAAGCTTATTGTTTCTGCTGCTTGTGCAATGTCTGCCACAGGTAGTCCACTGCTTCCTTTGTTCTGTACAGCTTCAAGTATATCCTCTGTGCAATGAAGAATAGCAGAAAGCGGATTTCGGACTTCATGACTGATCATATCAATGAAACGTTCCTGTTGTTGCTTGCGTTCTTGTGCTTCTCGTGCAATTTCCACTTGCAAAAGTTCGGCTGTCTTTTCGTGGGTAATATCTGCTATAGTGCATATAAAGCCACCATTGATTAGATTGAGCCGGTGCATATCAACTTCATCTAACGGAGCCAACGCCAGAACTCGCCACAAAGGTATTCGGCTGTGAGTGCGAAACTCGATGCGAAGGGCACGCTTAGAGCGTGTGGTCTCAAAATACGCAGAGGCTATTCGGTCAAAATCATCTGGGTGAATTGACTGTGACCAGCACTCGAATGACCTAGCGCTTGAGCAGGTCATAAGTTCTCGGAAGCGCCGATTCACCATGATTGACTCGTCATTTTGATCGAGAATTGCAACACCGGTCGGTAGCATATCAGCAAACTCCTGTGCAGAAATATTGAAATCGAAAGCAACAGACATCTTTTGTGTCGTTGAAAGTGAAAAGCTCGTTTTCGAAAAGAGAAGAAGTATCAAGTCGGTCAGCTTACGACTTAACTATCAGCTGAACGGTAAGCCGGTTCAGTGAGCCGATCACGGTGACAATGATATGCTTGAAAAAGTGTGGTCTCAATTATAGGTGTCTCCACGTCTCGCTCATATCTCTCGATGGAAAACCCATCCTCTTGCGGCGACAGGAAGTTGCGTTCAGAGCATAATGATGTCATCGATGTCATCTCCTGGCGCGGAAAAACAAATTTCATTGGTAACTCCCACATGTCTCATTTCAAGCTGTCGAAAGTGCCGACGCTGATCCGACTTCAAAGAAACAAAAGGAGAACAGCACAAACCATTTTGATTACACTAGACAGATTCAGGTCTGCTTAAATGGGCTGGATGAAGATAATCCCCACAACGAATCAAAATAAAGGAAACCACACCCAGGGATTTGGGTGAGCTCTGCTGATCGTTGCGTAGCTTAAAAAAAGAAACGCGGACATCATAAGTGATGCATCCGACATTCACTCGCGGATGTGTTTTCCACGGTTTCTATCAGATAATTCGGGAAAATCCAACCCCCGATCTCGAAATACTAACCCATAGAGTCTGTTATGCGGAGAAAGTCGACAATCTCAAAACGATATTAGGGCGCATAGACTGTACCACATGTGCCACATTAACGGTACTTTTCAGATCTTGATCTAAGACACATGTATATATAGTATTATCTCGATGGGCAGTAGTAACATATTTCCAATGATGTTTAGCCACGTATAGTCTGCCACCAGATAAAGAGATTCGTTTCCCGTCTGATGACGTCATTTGTTCTCCCCTAGTTATCATGATTGTAGCTTAGTAATACACATGGCCGCCGGGTCCTAGCGTGATTCCCGTCAAGGAATAATCTGCAACCTGAGCTAATCATTCTTTCCTTCCAACGAGAAGTCGAAACACGCTGAACAAGCCCGACAAGTTGTCCTCTAATTATATTGTAAATAAGATTCTCTTCGCCTTCTATGCTCTCCTAACTAAGGCAGGTCACCTTTAAAGACTCGGCCACCACTGAGCAGATCAATACCTACATTCAACAGATTAATGAAGACGGTGGGACTGTAATCAACAGATTCCCAGACATGGTCGCGAGAGGCTACACGTATGTGCTCTTTCTGCTACAACGCTTCATAGGATGTTTGCCTAATGTACCTTCCAGTGCCTCTGTAACAGATTCAATCCTCGAAAAGCTTCAGTCAGACCCCCTGATTGATCGTATCACACATGATAGTTCCTCCTAGGCGCGGCGTTCGATCGTCCCTTCTAAAAGACTCGCATAGCTTAGCATACTTTTCTTCGCATTCCTTGTGTTTTACTAAGACAATGTTATGATTCGTGGCTACCTTCAAATGCGTAGAGGAAAATCATTCATCGGTTGGATTCCATGTCCCAAAATTGATACAAATTGTCGTTGTTCTGATTCAGCGTGTCTGCTCCGAGCGATTTTCAGCATTAATCTCAAAGGTACAGTGTAACGAATGGAAGAAAGTTAATGATAAGCCATTATTCCGAGATATCATCCAGAAATCAAACTGCTCTAGGCACTGGCCTCTTGAGTCTTGTGCGGTGCTTGGCGAATGTAGATCGTAGATACCGCCGAAGGGACACAGCCATGATTACAGTATCTGAGCACGGACAGAATTTCATATTAGATAGAAGATTTGGGTGGTTATAAGTGGTTCGTTGCGTGAATTCCCGGATGCTTTCCATTATATACAGTAATAGACCACTACTGTACATGCACAAGTGTGGGACCGGCGGAAAGATATCCTAATACTGACTATTGCGCTTGAGGTGGGGCGTCGGAAAACAAAGAAAGAGAGATTGGAGTTAAAACTGATTCCGAATATCACTGTAATTATCGATCAGTCTTTAAGCTCCAATCAATTGACTTTGGTGGCTTCAACTCGTTCAACCGAAACCCACTCAGCTGGTGCCTGATCTGAAGGTTCCCCACCCAAAGCCTGTGCTGCCTGACACTAACCCAGGCAGCAGCCACCTTGATGCCTCGTTCCTAAGGCCATAAGTGACTGGTGTCACCTTCAGCTTCGATTTAAAGAATCACTTTCCCTGGTTGACTCCATCAGTGTTCATCTTTCAATTATCTTTCTTCTTTATCCATCTGTCCCAGCTTCCAATTTTGGAAGGTTCATCTCATCTCGGTTTCGGACGCTACTTGGCGTCGCTGGTATTCTGACTCTCATTTCAGTCATTTCGCCTGTACTCTTCTTTTATTCTTTTCCTACTACACCTACAAGATGGCACCTCGATCTTTCAAGAAGCTTTCAATTGCGGTCAGCGGTACCATCCCAGGGTACAAGCAGGGTGAGTGGCCCCTATTGTGACCTGGAATATTGGCCCCACACTGATGGACCCTGACCAATGCTGACGAGCTGAGTTGCAGCCGATATTAAGTCGCTGGTTGAAGCTTCAGGTGCTATGTTCGCTGCAACAGTGGATGATTCCTGCACACATCTGATTACCACGCAAAAGGACGCTGCGAAAAATGCGATCAAATGTAAATATGCCGTTTTGTTTAATTTTCGCTGCAGCTTTAGCAAACGCACCAATATCATTACTAACGGAAGACCAACAGACCAACAAGCATGCAAGGTTAAAACTTGCAAGATTGTAACAGTGGACTGGCTGGTAGCTTCGAGTGAGGCGAAGAAAGTTCTTCCCGAGAAGACCTATCTTCTCTCGGATTCAAATGTCAAAGTCGAAATCCCAAACATGGATGGTACTACCGAAAACACAAAGAAGCGTACCATCAAGCAAGAGGATGAAGATCAGTCAGAATCAAACAAAAAGCCGAAGGACTCACAGCGGACAAGCTTCAAATCCTCCTTGAACGTTCCCATCGATGACGCATTCTTCCACAATTCTCCCTTCCAAAACAAGAATGGTAAGTCTACCTCCCTGAAAGCCCCATTCTTTACTGACTAATTCCTTAGATCCCATGGTTTGGATTGAAGATTCTGGGCTTATTTGGGATGCAACACTAAATCAGGCGGACTCTGGAAAGAACAACAACAAATTCTACCGTGTGCAGTTGATCGTATCGCCAGACGAAGAGGAATTCGTTACGTGGACTCGCTGGGGTCGCGTCGGTGAATTCGGCCAGTATGCTTCTTTGGGACATGGCCCCCTTGAAGCAGCTAAGGCTGCATTTCAAAAGAAGTTCAAAGATAAATCCGGATTGAAGTGGGAAAACCGCCTGGACACTCCAAAGCAGGGGAAATACACCTTTATCGAGCGAAACTACGAGGACGATGACTCTGATGACACGGTAGAGAAGAAGGAGTCTGAAGATGTGCAGATCAAGGTGGAGAGTACTTTGACCAAGCCCCTGCAAAACCTCATGTCCTTCATTTTCAACCCTGAACACTTCCAGTCGGCGATGGCGTCGATGTCATACGATGCGCAGAAGTTACCGCTGGGAAAATTGAGTGACCGGACCCTGAAAACTGGTTTCTCGATCCTGAAGGAACTAGCGGAGCTCATTGCTGAAACTACCCACGACACAAACTGGCAAAGGTCTATTGAGAGCCTGAGCAATAGATACTTTACCACGATCCCTCATGTCTTCGGGCGGCACCGACCTCCGGTTTTGAACTCTGATCAATTGATCAAAAAGGAAGTCGAATTGCTCGACGCCCTGACCGACATGGATGTCGCAAATGAAATCATGAAAGATTCCAAACTTTCGGATGTCAACGAGCTAGATCGCCAGTTCCAGGGCCTCGGCATGAAAGAAATGACTCGAGGTAGGTCAATCCCGGTTATCTTACAAGCCTATACTAATCCGCCGTAGTGGAACAAAATACAAGCGAATACCATGAGCTAGCTGCCTACCTCAATAGTTCCCGTGGTGCAACCCACAACATGAAATATCAAGTGGGTCCTTCACCATTCAGCCTTTGATCCCATACTAATCCAATTCATTCAGATCATTGATATCTTCCGGATTGAGCGCCAGGGTGAGAATGATCGCTTCACATCCTCCCCATTCTCACAATTGAAAAACAGCGACCGCCGCCTACTATGGCACGGCTCGCGCAGCACAAATTTCGGTGGCATTCTCAGTCAGGGTCTGCGCATCGCCCCTCCAGAAGCACCCGTTAACGGGTACATGTTTGGAAAAGGCGTCTATCTCGCCGACACATCAAGCAAGTCCGCGAATTATTGTTGCCCATACAATAGTGCGAACATGGGGCTGCTGTTGCTATGTGACGCAGAGCTCGGTGATCCAATGTTGGAGCTGACCCACAGTGATTATAATGCCGGAGAGAACGCGAAAAGTCAAGGAAAGATTGCTACGCTTGGTCGAGGTCGTTGCGTTCCTGGCGGGTGGAAAGATGCGGCCTGTTTGACTCCTGAACTGAAGGGAGTCACGATGCCCGACGTGGCGGTTGGCCAGGCAGGGAACGACAATGTCTTCTTGCAATACAATGAGTACATCGTATACAATGTGGCCCAAATCAGACAGCGGTACCTCTTTTACGTTCACATGCGGTGAGCAGTCAGTTTTGATTTTGATCTAAGCATTTTATGGGTGCTATGCTTTATGGCTGGATTTCCATGGCGAGGAGTTTTCGGGGGTTGCTTTCATTCATATCATCTGCATCACTTAAGGACGTTATCCATAGCTTTATTTGGAGCCCCTTTACATGGAAACTTTGTGGCATTCAATCCAATTCGCTTATATCCTTAATTTCGAATTTACCACATGTCTGTTGGCAAAGCGAGTTGTTGGCTGAACGGACTTACTCGTACGAGTAAACCCCCATAGACTCTACATCCAGCCAACTTGGCCATAATAACCTAGTCCCTCATCCAATTCAGGATAGCATTCACGTCATCTAATAGACTGTTCTATCAAAATGATCACGTCGAAATTTAGGCTCTGTGTTCCATGTTAGGCTAGCGCGATGCTAACATCATCCACATTAGGCGAATAACCACCAATCTAACCCAATTGGGCCGTGTATAGGCTACACTAACCCGATCGGGAGCCCATAGATAGACAAACAGAAAGAACATGGTAGAAAAAAAGATATATCAACCAAAGCCTACGTTTTTTCTCCAAACCCATCATTCTTCTTTTCCGCAAACAACAATTCGACTTTCAGTATGAGCCTTGGAAATCCCCAACCCGAACCCCACCTCGCCATCATCGGCTCCCTAAACATCGACTTCGTAACAACAACACCCCGTTGCCCTCAAGCAGGCGAAACCCTCACAGCAACTTCCCTCACCATAACAGCCGGGGGTAAAGGCGGAAATCAAGCAGTCGCAGCCGGTCGCGCCTCATTCGTGTCCCCGGGCAAACAACATGGATCTGTTCGCATGATCGGGGCTGTAAGAGCGAACGATCCGAACTACAAGGCACTCCTCGAACCTACACTTCGAGCATCCGGCGTCTGCACGAAAGGTGTTACGCTTTTATCTGACTTCCATGCCCAGACTGGATCAGCGACTATCATCGTTGAAGAAGACGGTGGCGAGAATCGAATCCTTGTCGTTCCTGGTGCGAATCATACTGGTATGATGGATGTTGACCGGATTCACTGGAGTATTATGGAGCCGACTACAATGCCTTTGCCACAGGTCCTTGTTTTGCAAGGCGAGATTCCACGGTCAACTACATTGTGGGCTTTGGAGTATTTTAATAGAGCCGAAGGTCTTCCTCATGTGGTGTTTAATCCTGCTCCTGTTTTTCCCGAGGGCATTTCGTTGGAAGCTATTATGGGGACTTCGGTTCTGATCATGAATGAAACCGAGGCTGTGCAGATGTCAAGGTCTATTGCTGGTTTCCCGATTTCGGGTTCCGCTGAGAGTGCTGAGGTGGATGGATTGAAGCCAGAGGAGTTGGCTTCGAGGTTTCATATGCTTGCGCGTGTGCAGGTTGTGATTATTACGCTCGGTGCTAAGGGTGTTTATTTCTCGACTAAAAATGGCCGGTCTGGCTCTGTGGAAGGAGTGAAGGTTGGCCGGGTTGTCGATACTACTGCTGCCGGTGATACTTTTGTCGGATACTTTTCGACAGCTTTTGCGCGGTTCATTGCGACTGGGGCTATTTTGGAGGAGTTTGACGATGAGATCGAAACGGTGGTGAGGAAAGCTAATTCGGCTGCAGCAGTTTGTGTGCAGCGGCAAGGCGCGATGTTAAGTATTCCGTTTGCCTATGAATTGGCATGAGGTGTTGCATATCATTTTATGACGAAATGGATCGGTGATTAGACAAAAGGCAGGCGTTATGAAATCATTATTATGTTTATTCCATCTACTCTTGTAATTCTTCGTCAAATCTCGCAACTTGCCATCTCGATTTCAGCGAATCCGTCTCAAGCTCCAAGTTCATCCCCGTAGTAGACGTTATCCTTCTCAATCGCTCTAGCAAAACAGCTTGCTGGGATTCATGTGTCATGTCTCTCGCAATGAATAACAGACTGGCTACCAGTACGGGGTCCCACTGCTCCGGCGAGTCATTACTAGCTGCGATACCGGCTATTGCCTGCGCATGCCATATGTGTGAAGTAAAACACCTCGGGCCGGGAAGCGACTTGAGGAGCCGTGGTTTGTGTGTGAGAAGCAGGAGGGACGTTATATGGTAAACAGCATTGGCGACCAGCGCCATAGGTGTAGTAAAGATCAGAATCGGGAATGATGAGTCGTGGTCCGGATCTATCTGATCTGCTTCGCCGCCTCGGACATCCAATACCTGCTGTGCATCGACTGGGCGATCGTTATACCATTTTTGGCAATCTGACCAGAGAAAGGTCCACTGTGAGAGAAAGTGGGATTGTCGAAGAGATGGAAAAGCCGCTAATTCTGGAGAGCCGACTTGTAGGGAAGAGACGGGGCCTCCATATATCAAGGCGAGGCAGTGTCCTAGGAGACACAGGGCATGTTGGTAAAATTCGGTGATATTCGATTGCATTTCGGATTTGGATGTATGAATTGGAGACCCATTCCGTTGAAGGAATGACTGAAAAGAAATAACGGGTGCTTTGGATGTAGAGATCGAAGCTGCCAGGTCTAAGAAATAGTTAGATCTATTTTCTATTGATTGATGACTCGGGACATACCAAGTCGAAAATAGAGCCAAAATAGCGACTCCCCTGGCTCTTGGGCCAAATCAAGTGGCGACATGAATCCACGCGGATGCTCAATTAGAGGTAAAATAAGGTTCCTCCATTGTTGAAGTCCAGATGGTAAAAGCTCCTGCACCAGCAGCAAGACTTCACCAACACGCCTTTCAAGCTCAGGCTGTAGTGTCATGTTGTCTTTTGCCTCCTTGCGGAACCGCAACATATTCACGATATCATCGCTGTGATTCAAGGAGAGAAGAGATCTCTGGCCAGCCGATAGTGCAAGGATGGCGCATTGTAGGGGTCTGTTTGATCGAGAAAGAAGAAGAACCTGAACGCCGAGGGCACAGTTTGAATCGCCAGTGTCCATCCATGGACCAATATGATAACGAAAGTGTCGAAGCAAGTCTGTCTCGTAACTGGTGTTTTCCTTCGTAGGCCTGCGCACTAATCTTTGATAGCTCGCAGCAAAACCAAGGTGTCCGTGATAGGAAACAGATGCTCTCGGTTCTTCTCTAAGGACCATTTCAGTATCCGCGCGCAAGTCTGGCTCTGAATATGCTATTTGCACATCGGGGGCAAGAACGTTTAATACCACCGGGTGGATGTCTTGGTTGTGAAAGGGAATCTCTTCTTGGTGATCGAGCTTGTCTTGTCCAATGCTCTGACTTGATGCAGATTGCTGTCTTGGCCTCCCTTTGTTCATTGAAGCAGGCGATTCATCCACAAACTATATCCGACATCAGCGCGCACCAAGAAGATCTTTCTCATGAAACCACTTACCTTGATCGCCTTGTAGCCCTGTTTCATGCCATCTGGGACCTGCCCAGATCGCGGCGTCATAAAAGCCAAGTCCGATCCATATTTGCAAGTGAATCCCTTGACTTCACAGTTCGCGCATCGTGGCTTTTGCTCATCACCTGCAAATGTCAAAACCAGCTCAGTCCGACTGAAATTCCCACCTACATTTTCTTCGCCTCTTGCGACATGTCAAACAACCCGTCCTCACCCTCTGTTTGTCTGTAGGTGTAGGCTTGCGAGGCATGATTGAAGTATGTCGTGCATGTCGGGATGTCAGACACCAAAAGAGGTTCAGCAGAGCCTATGCGGACCTGAAATGAGGGAGACGGTCGTATTGTGGGGCGGGACTCGCCGAGGGAGAAGAGCGGGCTGGACCGCGTTTTTCAAAGGATTTGGTAATGGCGGCGTCCGGACGCCACCCGAGATATATCTCGATTGCTCTCATCTACACGCATGTGGGGATTCCCCAGCATTACAAAAGTATGGGGTTTTATCAAAGCTTCATTCGCCAAGCATATGCGCTCAGATCTCAAAATGAACTAATTAGGAAACTCATGCCGACTACAGACTCTCAATATACTGAGGACCACTCTTTTCCAGATCTCGCCCAGTGGCAGCACCCATACGTTCCAGGAAGTCGGTCAAACCGACGTCGCGCTGTGCCTCACGCATCAATTCGGCATCTCGCTCGCCAGTGTTGCTCTTGAACACGCGATCCATCTCCTCCAGAGACGTGCCTTTGGTCTCGGGCAAGTAGAAATAAACCCAAGCAATACCGACCGCCAGGAACGCTGCGAAGAAAATATATGTGCCCCACTCCCAAGCCTGCAACATTGGTGGAACGAAGAATGCAATGGCAAAGTTGTTGATCCAGTTGCTTGAGGCTCCGATCGAGGCGCCTTTGGCGCGGATCGAGAGGGGGAAGATCTCTGAGACCAAGGTCCAGGAGACGGGACCCCAGGTGGCGCCAAATCCTGCGATATAGAGCCAGATGAGGGCTAGAGATGTGTTAGTCTTCGTTATTTTGGTAGGTACATGCGTTGCCACTTACCAACAGCGGTCCAACCAGCTGCCACATGGGACGGCCAGTCGTGTTGGAATTTCGCCACAATCACTCCGACGATAACCATGCTGCAGAACATCACGATAGATCCACCGAGAAGCATAGGCTTACGGCCAATTTTATCGATCACAAGCTAGGCGTTGTTAGAGTAGGTACTCAACGTGTGTAGTGATTGAACATACCATTCCAGGGATAGTGCTGACAATGAACACAACGCCAGTCACACCAGTTGCAAGAAGAGCAATGGTACCACCAGTCAGACCAAGACTCACAAAGACATTGGAAGCGTAGTAAATGACTAGACGCCGATTAGTATCAATCCCATATTCGCACAGACTGAGTACTCACTGGCATCGATACCACTCCACTGCTGGAAAAACATGATCAACCACGCAGTAGTCACCCGCTTAACGTTATCCATAGTCCGGAAGCAATTGGCATACTGCGCAATCTGATTCATGAAAACACTCTTGCGCTCACGCTCTGCCAATCTCGGGAAGGCCTTGGCAAAAGCGCGCTCCTCAAAGACGGCCTCGGCCTTGATCTCCAAATACTCCACCTGAACCAGCTCGTGCTCAACAGGTACCTTCCGCATCCAAGCAAGAGTAGCCTGTGCCTCTTCATCGCGGCCCTTCTTGACCAGCCAGCGAGGTGAGAACGGCATAAACCAAATTCCACATGCGAGACACACGGCTGGAATACCCTGGATAATGGAAGGAAGACGCCAGGCCAAATCGGACTGCATCGCGCCCGTACCGCCGATGTTGTTACTTCCGTAACCAACCCAGAAGGAAATCATGATTCCCAAGATCGTGGCGAACTGGTAGAAAGACACCAACAATCCACGCATCTCTGGAGCTGCTAGTTCGGCATTGTACAGTGGCCCGACACCACTGAACAGGCCCACGCCAAGACCAGTGAAGAAACGACCGGCATACAGAAGAGAAGGGTTTCCCGCTGTGGCGCCGATGTAAAGATAACTTCCCAGAATAACCCAGCAACACGCGAAAAACATGGTGTATTTGCGGGAGAAGATCTCGCCCAGGATACCCGCTGTGAGAGATCCAACAATACCTCCCAACTGCAGAACGGAGGTCAACCAACCCGTTGCTGTGGAAGATGCGACGACAGTCGGGAAGTTTTCCACGAAGCGGGTCATGACCAGAGATTGGCCGAGGACGCCCTGTTGGTATCCATACTCGAAACCACCGAAACTGACAAGGTTAGATTGTGATGAAGAGCTGCAGAATAGGGAAACTAACGAGGCAAAGAATGCGATGAAGAGTACTTTCGGATTGTCAAAGATAGACTGCCACATGGACTTTTTGACAATCTGCGCTCGTGGAGCAACCTCCACATCAACAGAAGATCGATCTTTCATGGCGCAAACAATGAAACTTCTGGACCCTTAGAAAGAAAAAAGATAAGACTGAAAAAAATCATCTAAACCCAAGGACGCCGACCCCATATATACAAAAAACCCTGTCATCGCGCGTACCTAAATCGTACCATAAAAACTTAAAACTTCCCCAGTCTCGGCCTCCCGAGTCACGCCCCCGAAAAAACATGGAGAACGAAAGTGCGGAGAGTGAGCCACTAGGCTTGAACCAGAAGACCGTAGCCTACGGTTCCCGTTTTGAGAACACGGGTGGATCCACTCGGTTAACTAAGGGAGAAATCGGGGATTCTCACCCAAAGACTGGCACGGAACGCGCCAAGAGTGTAACTGAAACTAGTGTGCCGTAGAGGTGGTCGGACCATAACTTCCTGATTAGGATGCAGAGGCAGAGACTTTCTCTTTTGGCAAAGTCGATGCGGGGAGAATCAACGACTGTGGGGATCATGGGATTGACTGTTGTTTTTGTTGACGTAAATTTCTTCTATGAAAGCTTGATGTTGTCGGGGATAGTCGGTGGTCGTATGGGTCAAGGTAGCAATAGGATTTCTTGATCGATGTAGATATAAAATGTGTTTCGCAAGAGAGATCGACACATGTGTATTCTCGATTGTTGATTCTATATTGACTTGAGTAGTGAACTAGACATGCATCCTATTTCCTTGTCGCTGCTTTGCAGCTCTCTATTACCTTTTGTGGCTGGTGCCCATGCTCTACCCAAAGCTTCCCGTGCAGAAAAGCACTATGCGATCATGGACAACGATTGGTACACAGCAGGCTTCGTACCATACCTCATCGCCCTCGACGGAGATATAGAAATTCTCGGTCTAGCCTCAGGTACGTCAAGTTCCATCCAAAACCAAACATATCTCAGACTCAACATCCTCCAGACACAGCAAACAGCTGGCAACCCCAAGGAGCCCTCCACGCCGTAGCAACCCTAGAAGCCGGGAACCTAAGCTGCATCCCCGTCTACCCCGGTGCAACATACCCACTCATCAACACACCAGAACGGTTCCAGGCATGGGAAACCATCCACGGAAAACTGCCCTGGGAAGGCGCTTTCGCTCCAGAGAACAAGACCGCCGAGGCTGCGGGTAGCGATCCTACCTCTGGGAACCCGAATCGTATTGTCAAAGCTGCGTTCAAGGAAGGGTTTCCGAAGGGAAGACCGGAGAACTCTACCTCTGCTGCGAACTTCATGGTTGAGATGGTGCATAAGTATCCCGGTCAGGTATCTATTTACTCCGCTGGGGCGTTGACGAATGTTGCACTGGCCGTTCGAATGGATCCTGAGTTTGCGTCGCTGGCTAAGGATTTGGTTATTATGGGTGGGTATGTGGATTTGAACATGTTGATGGCTACGGGGAGTATCCTTCTTGCTGATCTCCAGTCTGATGTGAGTTGAGCATTGTCTATCATTTTTTTGAGGTGTGCTGATAGTTCTAGATCAACCTTATGATCGACCCTGAAGCTTCGAAGATCGCATTAACGGCCGACTTTCCCAATATCACTATTGCCGGCAATGTCGCGAACCAAGTCTTTCCTAGTCAGGAGTTTGCCGATGAGGTCTACTCCGTTCCGAATCCCTACAGCAAGCTGTTCCATGATTATTACGATCTTTCGTTCCCATTCTGGGATGAAACTGCTGCGGCGCTTATGGTTGATCCCTCGCTTGCTACCAATCAGACCTCAGGTAGGTTCTCGATACTCAGTGAAAGACAATTGCTAATGGTTTTAGTCTATCTGGATGTCGACATTTCCTACGGCAGTCCCAATTATGGTAACATTCATGTATACCAGGAGGCTCTGGCTCCTAGTGGAATTCGAGAGGTCAATTATGTTTTCCAGGTTGATGCGGACAGACTGAAGCAGCGGATTAAGCATGCGCTCCAGTACCCGAAGACGTGTGCGGACCTGAAATAGATGTCCCCGGGTTTTATTTGTAAATAATACATATCGTCAAGCCTTATTTTATGAATACAAATGACATCAAACCTGAAAACCTGAGACAGGAAATGTCAAGTCTGGAATAATCTCCTTAATATAAATTGGTATCAAATCGCTGATAATATCTCACCAGGCTCATACCCCCAAGCCCGTTCCAAATCTTTTAGTCTCCAAAGCGCACCCCAGCCAGTCGTCTCCTCAACAATCTTAAAAAGCCTCGCCACCTCAACATGTTCACTGTGGTGACTAAGAAGTTTGCCCGCAATATACAGCGGCTGGATAGCGTTAATCAAATTGCCACTGTGCGGATTCGTAAGCGAAATTCCACAAACCCTCCGTGCATGCCAGATGGATGAGTAATGTGGTCTAGACGGAGGTACAATATGTTCCGGGGGCTTCATATCAAGCATTATAATGCAGGCGGCATGGTACAACTGGTTTCCCGAGATAGCAGCCCAGTGCGCGAAGAGGATCTCCGGGAAGATCTGACCGCCCCCTATCCCCGTCGTTTTGACGGGTAACATGGCCGGGGGTCGTTGTTCAAGCCAGTATTGCAATTCGTTCCATAGACAGGTCCATCGTTCGGTAAATGGACGTGGGTCTTCAACCATTTCGCCCAGCTCGACGTATCTGGTCTGTCGACAGGAGAGATCACATGTTTTCGCGCATAGGTAGACAGCCCAGTTAGCGTGCATATCTGGAGATATAACTCCCTTCTGGCAAAAGGAATCTCGAATCATATTATCTCGTTCCGTGGGTGTGGCGGTTTCAGGCATGGCAGGCACCCATTTTTCCAGCGGAAGCACTGTACTTTCTGCGCCGTTGGAGATTATCGCTCCACATAATTCCATGCGCGCGTAACACCAGAACACAGCTTGTAGATGACCCCCTGATAATCCATTCACATTGAAAGAATCGAAAAGAGCAGCGCAGCCCTCGACATGGCGGCGCCAGTCGCGCGGACTGACGGACATCAGTTCCATGACGGCGAGGATACACACTGTTGCCAGCACATTCGGGTCCTTGGCTTGGAGACATGGGCCAAGGAGACGAATAGATTCCTGATACAGCTCCAGACTATCATACGCCTTATCTAGACATGCCTTCCGCTCCGTTTGGCGGGCGGAAAAGGCCAAGATAGCATAAAATAGCGCAGGCGACCGTTGCGCCAAAATAGGGATGTGAACACCGAAATGACGCGACTCGTCGAATTTGTCGAGGTATGGCGCACATTCGGTGATCCAATTTTTGAGATAGTGAATTAGACGAATTTTCGGTATGGATACCCGGGTGAAGTCTAGGTTTTGACGGGATGTTCTCGCGGTCCCTGCTGTCCCTTCAAGTGGCTCAGAGGGAGGAGATGTGTAGCTGCTTGGATCAAGACTAGCTACTGCGCTGAAAAGTACGCAACGCAGTTCCTCTTGTAGTTCTAGGAAGCGCGGGTTTGCGGCGTACTCGTCCGCACTGGAGAATGTTCCTGGCGATAGGAAAGCTTCTTCTTCGAAGACTGGGGCATTGAACGATTCCCCGAGTCGCCCATCGGGTAGTATTGATGGGACATCGTCCATGGCAATTGGGCGTTGGTAAGTGTAGAATCTGGGGTAGAAAAGGTTTCAAGGTTCGGGTGGAGCAAAGACTTAGTCACGAAAAGAATCGACCCATGGAACGTCTAGTCTCAATATAGCAGGTCCAACAGGCTCGTATGTGACATGATAGACTCGCGAACTCGTTTGGGGTTGCCGACATACCAAATGTCACAGATTTTATTCACCAACCTGCTTCTTCAAGACCTGCAGGTCATCAGCCCCAGTCCTGTTGGCTGTGCTGTCCGTGAGAATAGATCCAGTGGGTCATTCTATCATATCTGGAGTGATCCTTGACTTCCTTTGCGCAGGTAGTTCATAAACTTGGTGATTCGACCTGAGCATCGCTCAAGTACAAGTATCCCTTGATGCCTAGCGCGCAAAACTTCGATATCATGGTGGCTCCAGACTGCTCAAGCATCTGATCATGATTCACGATAGCCAAATTTCCTCGGCCAGAATAAGCGCGTCATTTTCTGAAGTGCCCAAAGGGAGTTGTGTCGTGCGAAAAATGAACAATCTCTGAAGAAGCACCGCACTGCTGCCTCACGAACCGGGCTCCCATTGGCAATATCACAAATCCACGACATACGTCACCTTCAACCCCTTTTCTACAATATCGCACTCAGCTACAAATCACAATGCATATACGTACAAGATACCCAGTATCGACCCACAAAACCTCAGATCCCTCCCTAACAAGGAAAACCAGCAAAAGAGCCCGCCAAGCCCCGCCTCCTGCCATCCCCCACCACATGCATTAGAAGCCCCTCGCAGGAGGAACCAATGATGCCAAGCACCACCAGCCTGGTTTAGCTCGCGTCTAGAAACTAGGGGGTTTCCTGCCTTGTTTCATTGGAAAATCCAGTTTGTCTCTTCCACTGGCTATGGAGATATGATAGCGATGCCCCACCTTGAACGGCCCTAATCACTCGCTTAAAGTAGTTCGCTCTTATTCCCCATAATTAGTAGGAACTGCTTCTAAAAATATCTGGCGTTGCAATAGGGGAGTATTAGATGACGACCGTTATCATTGATAGGTTTCGAATCGATCTATATAAGATGGAAATGCAGAACACTTTGGTTTCGCCACCTACAATCGCCCGTAGTACAAGTAATGAAGGCGACGCAAGATGTCAATTCCCGTGACAGACAGATCATGAACATATGATTCATAAGCCAGCCTTCACCTATCACACCAACCACTCAATGATCAACCCAGCACGCCCCTGTCGATCCCTTGGCTCGTCTCACAATCATGGATCGGCAGTGTCTCCACGGGAGCATGGCAGCCCCATATATTTCAGGCACGGGATATGTGGAATGTTATAAGACGTCGTTCCCAGTGACCTGACATTCCTGAATTCTGGATATACTTCTCCGCCGTCGCTCATTCCAAAGTATGTTTCTACCAACCCAAACCTTTCTGGATACATTTGCTTTGAATTTATCTTATTGCTCTGAAACTTCAATCTCCCCAGCCTAAACTATCTATCTGCCTATTCCATCTTATCCTGCGTCACCACCATCTGCTATTTACAATTTTCAGTATTGCTGCTATTGAGTCATAGCTAACAACTCATCTAGAAAACAATACTTCTTACTCTCCCTCAACTTCAAAATGCAAGCCTCTATCTTCATCCTCGGCCTCATCGCCAGCATCACCTCCGCCATTCCCACTCCCGAGACCCAATCTACATGCCTGAACGTACGTGAACCTGAACCGAAACAGCCCTTTACACGACAGCATCTTCAACGAAAATGAACATCACCTAACGTCATCATAGGAATTTGAGGTCTGCCGCGTCAGTGCTCCGATGGGTGATCCCCACCAGTGCTGTATCAGCAACATGATCTGCCAGCCATCCGGCCACAGCAACAGCACTATGGGTGTAAGTTTTCACCGCCACACTTTGAACATTCAACACGCAATGATGTTGATAATTTTGATGGAGTTCCATGCTAATATTTTGATAGATCTGTATCAAGGAGGATGATGAGTACAAGCTGCCGCAGTAAAGTATCTTTGCATCACCGCGAAGGTCTAATTCGAGTTTGGACTCTGGCTGGAGGAAATTGCACATAGCAATGGTATAGCAATCGTCGGGTCTGATGCATTGGTATATGTGAGGCATAAGACTTGATGGATCTCCAGCATGTAATTAGGTTCGATTGTACATACAAGCATTTGAACAAAATCTCTTTATAATGATGATGATCCGGTTAAAAAGGTATTGGAGTCTCTATGGTACCCGTTGATTAGTCTGCAGCTTCGCAGTATACGTGCATGCATGGCTAGATGAGAAGATTATTGCAGCATAGATAGCCAAGGCGGTGCAGTATAGATCGATATGATCAGATCTGATCAGCGAGTTCTCCAGTCTCCAGTGGGCTTGGTACACCGCTAGATGATATCTGCTCTGCTCACAATGTTAGATCTGCATCCCTCGCTTCTAGACGTCTGCGATGTGCACCGCGCATTTGCCTGTATTCGAGACTGAGACAATGTTTCTAGTACGTGTGGCTGGGCAAGGGTTGGTAGCTGGGGTAGAATGGCTGGTTGAGGTCCATTGGTCATATCGATATACACGCAAACCTTATCTCGTTTGGAAAGCCGTTGTACCATACCGAATTAGCCGTTGCCTGATCCATGCTGCAGCAGACGCAAAGGCGCGTACAGACTGCTTGTGGCGGTAATTCGACACAATCCTGTGGCGGGCGTCTGCAGAATTATTACTTGGTATTACATTGCATTAACAGCCAAGCACACGGAAGGCTGCAGAGCAATTTCGGATATCAATCACAACTAGGCCATACAGCTTACGATACTACCAGGAGTGCCGGGTCATAAAAGGCATGTAATAAATAACATATACACAACGCAAAAGGCATGGAAATAAAACAAAGAGATCAGGTGGATGCAACCAGGGTCAGTAGACAACATCAAATAAAAAGGTATATCTACCACAGAACACGTCCAAGATAATAGACAATAGAAGCCAAGAAAAAAAGACAAGTTAGATGGCATCAGAATGCGGACCCAACGTGCTTAAGAATGGAAATGGTAAGAAACTCCTGATCCTCCTGTACAAGTTTTGAAAGGACTCCGCCGCATCACGATTGATGAGCTTAGAAGACGCTAGCGCATCCCCAGTGCTGCTCAACGTCGAACTCACCAGGGGACTTCCAGGTGTCGTCAGCGTAGGAGAAGAAGATGGACTTGGAGCCAATGGTGCTGGCAATGCCCTTGACGGCAGTCTCCTGCTCAGAGACACCGGGGACGGCCTTGCCGTTAGCGTTACCGGCGTTGGGCCAGCCAGTCTCGAGGTTGAGAACGTCCTTGTTACAGATCTTCTCGAGGAGCTTGTACTCGCTCAGAGCAAAGGCACCGGCCTCAGCGGCGGTGGTGTCGGCGTTGAAGAAGGGGTGGATGTTGGCACCGACCAGGTCAACGGGCGAGCACAGGCTGGCGGTACCGTACTCCTGCCAGATGTCAATGGGCTCGGTGGTGGTGACCTTGCCAGTGTAACCGGCAGACTGGAAGGTAGACTTGGAGGAGGAGATGAAGCTGGCGAGCTCGGCGGCGGTGACGTATCCACTGGAGACGGCCTCGTTACCGACAACAATCAGCTCAACCATGCTCCACTGAGCCCACTTGGCGATAGCCTCAACCTGCTCCTGAGCACCGGAGGTACCGGTGGACTCGATGTAGACACCGAGGATGACGTTCATGTTGTACTGCTTGGCGGCGTTGCCGATGAACTCCAGACCACTGCAGTCAGTGGAGTAGATACGGAGGAGGTTAAAGCCCTTGTCGGCGATAACCTTGACGTTCTTGGTGACCTCCTCCTGGGTCATGCAGTCACCGCTGTCGGTGTAGGGAGAGAAGGTCATACCGTACTTGCCGGAACCGCTGAAGCTGGAGGTGCTGCTGGCAGTGGCGGCGGCGCTGGTGGTGGAAACAGCAGCGACGGTGGTGGTAGCGGCAGCGGGGGTGGGGACAGCAGAGGTGGAGGCCAGGCCAGTGCTAGTGGCGTAGGGGCAGTAGTAGGTGGTGTCGGTCTCAGTGATGGTGAGGGTGGTCTCGGGCTGAGTGTAGGTACCGGGAGTAATGGTGGAAGCGGTAGGGACCACAACGGTGGTGTCGCTGGGAACGACAGTGGTGGTACCGGGAACCACAGTGTAAGTGCCGGCCACGGGGCAGGTGTAAGTGGTGTACTCAATGACACTGGTCACGGTGGTACCAGTGGGCTTGACGGTGGCGTAGGGGCAGGTCACAACGGTGCCAGTGGAGACAATGGTGGTGACCTCGCCAACGGTGTTGGTACCGCTGGTCAGAGCGGTGGTGGTGGCACCGCAGACAGTGGTGGTGTCGGTGACGGTCATGGTGGTGGCCGGGATGGTGTAGGTACCAGTGGAGGAGAAGCTGGTAACACCGTTGGTGGGCAGAGTCACGTAGACGGTGGAAACCTCGGGGGTGTAAGCCGGGGTGGCCGAAGTAGTCGGGGCCACGGAGGTGGTAGCAGCCACGGAGGGAGTCACGGTCACAGTGCTGGTGAGGGTGCTGGTGGAGTGGATGGTGCTGGTGAGAGTGCTGGTGGACTCAGTGGACTCGATGGCCTCGGTGGTGGAGGTCTGAGGAACGGGGACCAGAGTCGGCGAGCCGTAGTAGGTGATGACCTTGGTAGTGCAACCACAGGTCTCCTCAGCAGCGGGGACCAGAGGAGCGGCAGTCGAGGCCGAGGGCGAGGCCGAAGCAGAGCCAGGGACGGCGACGGCGCGCTTCTGGTGAAGCGCTTCATGACGACGGTGGAGGTTACCGTCAGCCAGGGCAGAGCCCACAATGGCGGCGGCGGCGAAGATAGAGCCCTTCATTTTGAATGAGGAGTCTTGCGTGCCAAAGAAAGAATGCCCGCTGAACGAGTGAAGCGGTGGTCAATGGTATCAAGGAACGTGGGTTAAGAGAGGAAGGAGAGGAAGTGGGCACGCAAGGCCTTTTGTTCGAGGGCTGTAGTTTGGGGGAGAAGTGGAGGTTAGGGGGAAAAACAGAAAAAGGGGAGGAGACAGGAAAAGGGCCTTTAGCCCCATTAGTGAATACATACAGGTACCAGGCTCCACCGATCGTGAATTCGAGTTACCCTGCAGTACCCCTGGGTGGTTCGTTCATACGGGGTCTAATCCAGCCGTTCAGGTACGCTGCAGATCCTATTGGCCCGTCGTTGCAGACCCAATGAAACGCTGCTGATGGTTGGCCCGCACGGGTCGGGCAAGAGTGGGGATCAGTTTACACAGGTCATGATTACAGGGGAAAAGTACAGCTCAGGTATCATCACAATCCTCTAATACCTGTAGTCTCTGGAGTTTATGTCTCACTTAGGGGCCGAGCTTGAGGGTTTTGTCTTAGCCCCTTACTGCGGGGCACAGGGTACAGGGACCCTGAGGGTTCGAATCTATATGTTCATGCGATGTGGAGGTCAATCTAAAGAGATGAGGTAGAGACTAGGATGACGCCTTCAGTAGAGATATCTCCTGAGGTACACAGCTAAGTGCCCATGGAGGAAAACGGAAATGAAAACACATCAGAAAAACAGGAAATTCCCCTGCGCCATGTGGGGCTCGCATGCTTACGATCTAATCTCGAAGAAGTCAAGTGGCAGCTTCTGGTGGAGATTTCGATCAATACTGAGGGACCGTGATTGGCCCACGCACAGACTCTAATTTCCGCCCTGCCGATCTTCATTCGTTCTGTCGGGCACTCGTACTCTCGTATTGACCAGCGCTCAATGTATTGTTTTGTTTATTGACGGTTTTTACACCTTGGCCGTTGTATGCGATCTTGATCTCTGTGGCGAATATACCGCCACGGATAAAATTTGATCAAGTACATTTACCATCAGAGCACCCACACTTTAATCTTAACGGTCCTCTTTTCTCTTCCGCGCGCTTCCTAGCTTAGCCCCAACTTGATTCTTCTCCATTGACTCGTCAGCTCTTGTGATTGCCGATCATCCGAGGTGCACGGGAACCTGATAGTTGCAGAGCATCCCGTCCACACTATTTTATAGAGCATTACTCCGTACGCGACGCACGTTCCCGACGATCACCGTGGGAAAAGATGCTGATCTCAATGCGACCAAGGCCTAGATCTTTTTGAGGCATTCTTGACTTCAGTGAAAAGGCTCGAAAGCATTTGCTCCCACTCGGGTATAGGGAGCATTCAATAAACATTGTAGTTTCTGGAGTAGCCACTGTGGAGGAGTCTCTCCCAGGCAACCCCATTCACCCCTGAGGCTTCACTGAGGCTTCGCTAGTTTCGGATAACTCGCTCCCGATCATCTAATCATTTCCTGTGGGGCCCATTATTGGCTCAACCCAGTTCCAAGCTGGACTAAACTTTGCGTACGTACACGACCATTGTGTATGGGGTATATATTTGAATAAAAGGGGAAGGGAAGGGAAAAAATTACATTTGGAAAACACTCTGGGAAATAGAGCAAAAATAAAAAACCACTCCGATCGGTGTGTATTTAATTCTCTTCTCCAATGGTCTCGACCGTCCAAATCTCCAGTCCGGAGACGCTATCCAATGCCAAGCAGGATAGTCGATCTGGGCACCGGCTGTCGTACGTTATGGAGTCGAATTTAGTCCGGAGGCTTGGCAAGACCCTGTTTCTGAGGTTATTCAGGGGTCAGCCCCGGGCTCGATAGGTCCATAGACATGGGCCACAGGTAATATTCATTTCATGAAACTTCGGGCCTCTCGTTGCGCTAGGCCAAGTGCCGGTGGCGTTGACGTGGCGGTATTCTGCTGGGTGCGTTTCAGCGTTTCATTTGCCAGTCCTTGCTGTCTGCCTACTTGGCCAAAATATGTGGAGTAGATGCTGGGCACTTGCAATGTCTCGGTGGCATTTCCTTTGTCAGATAGTTGTCTTACGCAAAGATAGAATGTTCCATTCTTCATCTGGAATCTCCTCAGGGGGCCGACCAATATGCTGACTAAGACAGATCAACTTGTTTGCCTCAGGCCACAGTTCTCTTCCTGCGCACATTCTACTGTATCTACTTGCGTAGCCTCGGAGATAACTTTGGGGCTAAAAGAAGACCCTGTCTACAGTATTCTCTAGCTCTAGTGATTTCTCTAGACAACATTCAACCCACCGTAGCCCTGGACCTCCTATTCAGGGCGGGTCCACTCTTGTTGATGGCGGTCACGGGCTTCCCGTAATTCGCGGAATATATATCTCACACGCAAAGATAACCCCAGCAAAATATTTGCACAAGCCCCAATACATGTCAAGGCATGCTAACTCCGGGGTCTGCTTCCAGTTCAGGCAGTTACACTAATGTAACAGACCCTAAAAGGAAAGTAGGTACCGATGTGTAAGCCGGAATAGAAACATGATGTAAACCATGTTTCAATCGATATTATGTTTTTCATGACCACCCATGAACCTTGAAGAACCTTGAAGAAACCTCAGAACCGCGGATATGGTGCTTAGCCGTAGATGAAAATAAAGATCTGTCGGACAAGACCGCCTCATCTTCCAGGGGTCACTAACCTCACGATCGTATTCCCAGTTGATGAGCTGGACAATCTACGCTTGAAAGCAAGCAGGATGGCTGTGACATCATCGGTGAGGGGACGGTAAGCATCATGACAGTAGTGAGGGAGACATCACTTTCTTGAACAACAGCAAAGGCGTCTGGAGATGTTGATTACCCAGACTAAATTTGGAATTATATCGTCAGAAACATATATACTGAGGTAGTTGGCCCGAATTTGATTTCGGATCGTCTGGCTGACATTATTGATTGCCCAGGTGGCTTGATCTTCGTGTCGATCTACAACACCGGCTCTTTTGCCTGTGATCACCTTACTTACACAAGCATTGGAATTGAAATAAGGAGCTGTTTGTTTTCAACCAATCTTTTTTGGTCAATTATGGCCCTTCGGTTCTTTTTCTCGAAATTTCAATCTGCCGCGCTTTGCACAGTATCACAGTGTGCTCTATGGTAGCCTAGAGATTCTCTGGACTCTGCATATAATCCAAATCCAAAACGCAACAGAACGGCCGACTCGTGTTTGAGAATTAAACCCCTGACAAATAGCCTCAAGCTCTTGTTTTGTGATTGACATGACATGACAGCCATAATAAGCATGCACCAGCTCCAGCGCTACGGAAAAACAACTTCGGCATCTGCCCGGCTCCACATCTTCCGACAAAGGGGGTCTTCCCAGGGGTTTCCCCCACACGCCTTGGGGAAAGGGGATGCCAATAAACTGGATTTCGTTTCAAAAGAAATCATCATTATTGCTTGCAGATCTAGATAAAAATGCCGGAATCCAATGTATTCAACGTGGACGCATTGCCCCCTTATGGCAACGTGCATGAGCTACGTGTTTCGTTCGGATCTAGCCTATTACTATCGAGAAATCACAAATCGAAGATCCTAGATTGGGAAACCGCAGGAATATTACCATGAGAGATCCTAGGCCAATATAAGCCAGCCCAAATTAATTGGAACATATGATTTTGCCAATGCCACAAGGAATAACTTGCGCGAGGTTATCAAGGAAGCACGGACACACGACCTGTGAACGGGGCCCAGAGCTGACAATGTTGAAATTCACGCGTTCCTCTATAAAAAGTCTATTTTCTTTGAAAGAAAAAAGGTGTTAGATGGAAATTTCCTAGTCGAAGGGGTCGGTCTTCGGTGGAACTTGAGCAAGTTCGCCTGTCCCAATCTCAAATTTGATGGCGAAAGAATGATGTACTCGGCTGGACAGTATGACTGTATGGCACATTATGTCCGACTTGATTGTACAAGATCTTTGTTTTGTTGAACAGAAATTGATCTGGAGTGATATTTGAAATCCCAAACCCCATAACTACTAAGCCTTGGCTCATAAAAAAATAAATAAATACAATCGTTGAATCTTAAAGCATCAAAAATCACAACATTTGGCGTTCAAGTGCACAGGTGGATCAATCTGTCGGCGGGTGGTATGATCCACCAAGGAACCTAAAAGCAAAGTCAGCCCCAGTCCAGGGATAAGTATCAGGTGGAGAAGCTTACCGACTCAAGAAAGATCCAAATAAGCCAGTCTGCGCATCTCCGGACTTTCGTCGTGCCCATCCACTGTCCACATTGTAGCTCTTCACGTCCTGAAGACCAGCGAAAAGGCCACGTCCAGCAGTAGCGTGCTATACATATATAATCAGTCCACAATTTTCGGTTAAATCGGAAAATAGAAAACCTACACGATGTTCTTGCTGGTTGCGAATCCAGTAGTCCGCTCCAAAGTCATTCTGGAGACGAGCGTGCTCCGAGTCGATCTTGGACTTTGGTGGGGTGGTCATTGTAAACCAAGTAGAGTAGAGTTGAGTTTGGTTGAGTAGAGAGTAAAGTATAGTAGAGATGAGATTGTACTGTGAATCCTGATGAACAAAAAAAGATGCTTCAACGCGACATCTCAACCACCTTATATACCCAAACAGCGATCTATAAAAACACCAATCCATCAAAGCACGGCCACACCGATCTAACCTAAACCATTGGACATCCTTGGATTGAATTGAATTGCCTGATACCCGCGACGGCCAAACCCGAACCAAAGTCTACCCTAAACGCGATCACCATAGTTTGGTTCAAAGCCAAAGAAGGATATGTCGGGCCCGAGCCAAACAGTAGACCCGGGTCCTCGAGCCAATCACGAGTCCAGTATTTGATTCAAAATGGATAAATAATTATGAGCACCTACAAGGCTGTGTGTGTAGCATGATCCAAATCCGGGGGTGGGGCTCAAGTCGTGACGTCGAGGTGGTGTGGTGCGTGGTACGGCCGAAGAACCACGCCGGAAGCAAATTCTCCGGGCCCTCGAATATGTTATGGGATTGAGTTTTAAGTATCCCTGGCTTTTGATTGGGTTACGAGTTTCGGATTTGCCGAATCATAGTATGGTGTGGCTGTGAAGGATTCTGATCAGGTGTCAAAAGGGGTTTTTCGGGTGTGGCATGATCGGTATGAACGGTGAGCGCATGGGCTCGGGCACGAACGGTACTTCTGCATCTCTACTGATGGGCTTTCTCGTCTTAAGGATTTCGTACTCGTGGTTTAGCCGCAATTCGCCGAACGTGTTCATTAGGAATAGATCGGTTCTACTGTTCCGAGGTACTTTCAATGTATGGGAATCTTCCAAAGCGGCACGAATTCCACGAAAAATGCGAGAAGGCCTTGGAACATTGAAAGATCAGGATTCGTTGTATGTAGCAGGAAAATAGTTTAGAGTATCTGATTTACTCAAGTGCAGTACTAGTAACATTGACGTCGCTCGCAAGCACATGCGTTTTCGGATTATTAATTGAACACTTCAAAATTTATGGGTAAGGAGTGTCTAAGACCAAGGATAGTTATATGATCAAGTATATGTCTAATAATCTACTGAAGAGGAGAATACTCGCTAGTCTGGAGATGTGCGGGTCGGTCCAGCAATAGCAAACTCGTGACACCAATAACCACGAGTCGTATGAGGGAACGGGGTAAATGTCCACAGGGATTGGATGGGAGTAGTGTGGATATGCACTTAAATTGCCTTCTTTTCTTGTCTAGATGACAACAAATATCTCAGGACTCTTAGACAGACTGCGCTATAAAGCAAATGCAATTTATTCAACTCCGCGATTGCGACCTCTGAAAGATAGGAATTTGTTCAAATAGTCAAAATGCAAAGTCCAAATCCTCTTTCTCTTCGTTTCTCGTTTCTTTTCTTTCTTCGGCTTTTTTCTTTCTCCATCTACCGTTCATTTTCAACTCTAACCTCTTGAAATGAGGTTGTTCGGCCTGCCAGACGGAAAGGCCATTAAATCTAAACAATGGAACAAATCACGCAGAATCAGTGCAGTAACAGCAAGCTGACTATCTTACTCCGAACACACAGTTGCGCACTTTCAAGCCTTGGAATTTTGGAAGGTGGAAGCAATAGCCTCGCTATAGGGAATTAACCTCGGGAAAAAAAGCCAGCGCATCGCCCCTCCAAGCCTCCTTTCTTTGTAAGCCATCAAAACTCCTAATTCCATCGCGTTTGACCATCTTATCTTCTAATAATTTCCACATTTACCTCCTCGGCACCATGCCGCCATTTTGCAAAATAGCTGTCATACAGCTCTATATTAGAGTATGGTAGATCCTCATCCAGCGATCAATGCACCCCCGTACCTCGGTTCAAAATCGACAGCCCCACATCATTTCTATGTCTGATAGCTCTTCTAGCCCCTCAAGCCCGAGGACAACTTCGCTCGTGCCGTGAAATTCATTCGCGATGCCGCAGCACAAGGATGTCAACTAGCCGTCCTGCCCGAATTCCACTTAACAAACTGGATCCCGACAGACCCCCGCTTTGCCGCCATTTGTGAAGATTGGGAGACCTATCTACACCGATACCAATCGCTCGCGAAAGAATGTAATATCTGCATCGTCCCCGGGTCAATTGTCCGACCCATATCTACATCTGCAGCATCCATAAACAAACCCGACCAGAATCCCGCAAAACCAGTACTTGAAAACGCCACCTTCTTCATCTCAAACACCGGCGAGATCCTGGGGACCTATATCAAAAAGAATCTCTGGCGCGGAACAGAAAGAACCTACCTCCGCTCCTCCTCAGCTCCGCACGAGGTCATCCAAACCCCCCTAGGACCGGTCGGGCTCCTCATCTGCTGGGACCTCGCCTTCCCCGAAGCATGGCGCGAACTGACGTCCGCCGGCGCGAAAATCATCATCGTGCCTACGATGTGGCTGCGCAATGGCGCCTCCGAGGCAGGCCAAGCCCAGAATTTAGCTGCCTCGTCTCTGTTTGTGGATAGTATACTGACGGCGCGTACGTTCGAGAATACCTGTGCCGTCGTGTTTGCCAATGCGGGCGGACCGCCTGGGAAGGCTTATTGTGGTCTTTCGCAGATTAATATTCCGTATGCGGGGCCGTTGGTGAGGCTGGGTACTTCCACGGAAGGGATGGGAGTTGCGACGCTTGATATGGCGGTTATGGATGATGCGGAGGAGAATTATGGGGTTAGAGCTGATATGGCGGATCCTGATTGGTGTTATAAGCATACGCTTAGAGATACTGGTGAGGTTGCGAAGGGGAAGTTGTAGATATGGTCAATTGGCTTGGGATACAGCTGTTTCAATAATCTTGACCCAGGGCACTAGATTAGCTTTTTTTTTTCTATAGAGATAAATCTTCATCTCTTCTATGTACTGCACAAGTTCCTTATGGTTTTAATCAGCCTTGCCAATAATTCTTGCGTAAGCGCGTTGTGTTGAACATCTCACAGGGATCAGTATTTGGGCCGAGGTATTCAGGCAAGGGACCTGGAGCTTGAAGACAACAACCATTACTGTTACTACGTAATGACACATTCAGCGACTATCTTTTTGTTATTTTCCGACAATCTAGGCTTTTTCAAGCGAGTAAAAAGACCGGGTAGGTCAATAATTACTATTTCCCATCTATCCTAGGACCTGACCAATCAGATGTAAGATTTGTAATGCATCAATATCTAGTCTCTGAGTGGGCTAGCAGCATACTACACTAAATAGATCTACAGAGCTAAACTCGACATCAAACCTACGGACATGTCTACAGAGCAAATTCCCAATAGTCCAAATCAAATCAAACCATGAATTGATAGTCAAATGAAACGCTAATTATATACAATATACTGAAAGGGGTTTTATAACACAAATACCAAGCCAGCCCTCTATTCCCAAGAATCAATCTTCATAGTACCCTTCTCCTGGAGGCTCTGGTGCATCTTGAAAGCCTGGAAAAGCATGTGCGGCTCATGGCCCATACCCTTACGCAAGCACTCAAACTCCGCACGATCAAGATAATCAGTGAGAATGGGGTAGTAGTCAGGGTGCGAGCACTTCTTAATGATAACACGGGCACGCTCACGCGGCGAAAGACCACGCACATCGGCAAGACCTTGCTCAGTGACGATAACGTCGAGATCATGCTCTGTCTGATCGATGTGTGTAGCGAAGGGAACGATACAGCTGACACCGGTAGGATCGGTCTTGCTAGGCCGGGTAGACGGGACGTGCATAATGGAGTACTTGGAGTTACGCAGGAAATCGGCAGAACCACCGAGACCGTTCAGCATGCGGGAGCCCATGACACAGGTGGAGTTCGCGTGGGCGTAGATGTCGACTTCAACGGGGGTGTTCATTCCGATACAGCCGAGACGACGAATGATCTCGGGGCTGTTGGAGACTTGCTGGGAACGGAGGAGAAGCTTGTCGGCGTAGCGCTCCCAGTTGTCGTAGAAGCGCTTGAAGCCGTCTGGGGAGAAGCGGATGGAAGTGGCAGTGGCGAAGTCGAGGTTGCCGCTGTCGAAGAGATCCAGGAAGGAGTCTTGAAGGACCTCAGTCCAGACCTTGAGGTTTTTGAAGTCTGCGCCGCCCTTTGCGAGGCCTCCGACGACGGCATTGGCAATGTTACCGATGCCGGATTGGATGGGGAGGAGGTTCTTAGGGAGGCGACCGTGGGCGACCTCGTGCTTGAGGAATTCAATCAGGTTGGCGGCGATGGCTTGGGAACACTCGTCTTCGGGGGAGTTGGGCTGGGTCTGATCGGGGTAGTTGGACTCCACGACGGCGACGACCTTCTCGGGGTCAACGGGGATGAATGGCTTTCCAATGCGGTCCTCCGGTGCCATGACAAGGTATGGCTTACGGCCTGGAGGCAGATCCGAGCCGACGATATCGTGCAAGCCCTCGAAAGAAGGCATGGAGGTGTTAAGCTCAATAATGACCTTATCGGCCATCTGGATCAACTCAGGTGAGGCGCCGACCGAGGCACCGGGAATAATACCACCACATTCTGTGATGGCCGAAGCCTCGATCACGGCAACGTCGATCTTGTTGGACGGCTTGTTCAATGTGTAGTAGCCCTACGGGAAGGGTTAGCGGCCGATCGCGATCGACGAATCTGTCCGCGGCGGAAAATCCCGATCCGCAAGATCCAGTCAACTTACATAGACCAAGTCCGAGGGAAACATGCTCAGATGTTTATCGAAGAATTTGATCTGTCCATTGTTGATTCCCTTGGCAATCTCTTTTCCGACTTGGTGAGGACTGCGGCGCTCAATCATGTTCAGATTGGCCCAGCGGTTCTCCGTCTCTGCGCCGGAGGATGCTCCGACAAACAGAGTGTATTTCGATTGGCCTTGGAGGTTGTTCTTCTCGACGTGATCGGCAAGTGCGGTGGGAACCATCCTGTCGACTTGTTAGATCCATTGATCATCAATATCTTCATCACAACGACGTACTTGGGGTATCCAACACCCGTGAAACCGGACCAGCCGATGTACGAGCCATTGGGAAACAGATGCAGAAGGTCCTCAGGCTTAGCTAGCTTGTTCAAGTAAGACGGGCGCCGAATCCGGCTCTTCAAAAGGGCAGATGCCGCCATTTTGACAATTAAGTATGGAGGAGAGGAGAGTGGTCAGGGGAAAGATGTAGAAAAGAAGAAAAGGAATGAAAAAGAGGAAATCGCCTGATTGAAATAACCCCACGGGCAATGGTTCCACCTAAAAGTTACCAAACTCGGGAGAAGGGAAAAGGTCTGGATTGCTAGCTCATCCTTGTGGGTGTATTCTCTTCCGCTCCCCAGATTTTGACATTCCCCACACATTCTGTGGATATGAGCATTGTATGTAGTACTGGACGATAGCTGACGCTTCCTGCTATCTTTTCAGTATAAATGTAGACTATCATACCTTCCTTTGGTCATCTCGTCATCATTTATCACGTCCAATCCTGGAGTCAGCGCCCGAATGCGGCCTAGCGTGGCCAATCATATTGACATCATCGCGGCCTTCACTCGGTGGTTTCGGGATTTTCTCGCTCGAAGCTAAATTTACAAGCTGCACCCCAGTTCTGATACCCCAAATACCCCATAATACACCGCCCATCACCTCGTCACTGGATAGAAGTATGCTAAAATACATCGAAGTAGACAGATATAGAGAACCCGATGTTGAAAAGCTACAAAACAATCCCTATTTCAGCCATTCAAAATGCGTCGAATCCAATACTATACGCAAAATAATAAGATACCGGCCAGGAGGATCCGCCCGGCCCGAACAAGGCCTCGTCAGTCCACGTCTCGGACTGTATCGGTTAAGCTAACTCGGCCACACGGAGCTCCTTCTACACACCGAGGACCCGTGGGCAACTGGGTTTGGACCATCGCGCCACAGAAATCGATTAAGCGCGCGGATCGTGATCCTTTATCGGTGATCGACAGGTTCATTTCTTTGATCCGGGTGGTTACAGAGCTGGAAAGGGGCTACTAAACTAGTATGCATAAACTTTAGATTGAACTATCCTTCTTTCCTAAGTAAACTACTAATTCATGGTCATTGAGATGCAGTGATTTTGAATTCGCCCCGTAGAATACCCTACAATACATTAAGACAATCAAAATGAGAAATGGAAAGAAAATATCAGATAACATAGATCATTCATTCATCCGGCTTAATCCACTTATTTTTCATCCTCCAGGGCTGAAGATTATCTCGGATCAGGCCGGACAACCTGGTTGACGGAAGGATTCATGGCGCCTAGGAACCTTGGAAACCTGGAATGCATCCGGTGTCCATAAACAGCAGCTGGAAAAGGACAAAACACCGCACTGTCGTTTGTGCATTGGGGAAACGATGATAAACAGACCGGGTAACTAGATCGCTAAGGATACAGGCCCCTAATACAGGTTGCGAGATCACAAAAAAAAAGAAAAAGAAGTAAAAAATTGAAGAATGGAAAAGAAAATGAAAAAGGTAAAAGGTAAAAATAGAAATAGACAAACCCCATAGAACTCATCGTCGCAATTTCCTCGTGTGATATGACGCCGTTTCCTTCTCGCAAGCAGCAAATGCATTTCATCTCCTCCAAGATCAACAAACGTCCTCCCCTTCCACTCCGTCCACATTACAGAACAGAAAACAGTAAATAACAGGAATATTACACTGCAGGCTCAACATCAGCCATCTCGACGTCGGCCTTTTCGGCGTTTGTGGGCTCCGGCTTGGCCTGCTCGGTCTCAGGCTCAGGCTGCTCCTCTTTCTCGGGAGCTGCAGCCTTGACCTCCTCGGCGGGAACCGGCGATACCTTCACAGCGTCTCCATTATCTCCGTTCTCCAGTGTCCCGTTCATCCAGGAGCGGAAGCGCTGGTTCGACTCGTCGACCTTGTCTTTGCTCAGACCACGCGCCCAGTTGGGGTTGTTGACAAACTTCTCGACAAAGCGGTCATGACGCTTTTCTTTGAGGGCAGCCTTCTCCTTTGCGCGCTCCTCTTCCAATGCCTTGATGGTTTCGGCGTCGGCGTCCTTCGGCGCTGGCGCATTGGAACGCCAAAACCAGTCGTGGCTGGGGGGTTGATAGAGGATGGTGTAGTTGTTTGCGCAGATACGGATGATCAAACCGTCGTGGTGCTGCAGGCGGCGGTAGAAGCGATCATATTCTTCGTCTTCATCTAGCTTGCCGGGTAGGTTGCGCTTCATGAAGGGAATGCGCATCTCAGAGAAGTGGACACCTTCGGTGGGATCACGCATCGAGTAGGCTGTCACATAATAGGACCAGCGGGCTTCGGAGCTCAGGTCCTCGTGTTCGAGGGTGGCGTCCTCCGTGGTCATCACTTGTATGGTGATCCGGCGATCAGAGGGGAACTGTGAAATGGTTAGGCATGTAAAGGTTGACTGCGAACGGGGTGGTACTCACGTAGGTAACACGATAGATATCACCCTCCTTGACCAGTCTCTCAACCTGCTTGCGATATTGGATCTCCTGGTGGTGGGTAGTCTCTTCCTTCTCACGCTCCTTGAAGAACAGGTTCGCAATATCTGAGCTGCGATCGCGCGAGTCTCCAGTAAAGATGGAGGCAACGAACTTGGTAATGGAAGAGAAGATCCTCTCTAAATTGTACAGGAGATATCCACCCTGCATGTAGAAGCGACGGAGAGTCTCCTCAAGATGAATCTGGTCAATATCACCCCGGATCACCTCCTCACACATGCGCACGATCTGCTTGTAGAGGTTGGCCTTCGGTTCAACATCATAAAAGAAATCGCTCGGGAACCGATCAATG